ATAAAGTCTTGGTAGTGCGATTTGACATCGGGCAGATTGATATGGATGATCTCAATGTCGTTGTTGCCGCCTAGAAGATCGATAACCTGCTTTAAACCACGTCTAACTGGCGGCGATGGAGTATAGACGCCGTCATTTTGAGCAACACCGATCCGGAGCTTGTGCGCGGGTTTGAGATCCACCCACGGAATCGAGATCGAAGTGCTGTCATACTTCCAGGGGTCTGCTTGAAGTATCGACTTGAGAAAGAGAGCGCAATCCCGGAGTGAGGTCGCCATGGGCCCAACTGTCGACCGGACACCATCTGTCCCCGGCGGGGTGAGGTCTCGTACACCACCATGAGGAATCAAACCTACGCTAGGCCTGAATCCATATATGCCATTGCATACTGACGGGACACGGATGCTGCCACCAATGTCTGTCCCAACTCCGAGAATGCTGCCTCGAAGGGCGAGGAGGGCACCTTCGCCTCCAGTACTTCCACCTGCAGTGAGCAATTTATTGCGAGGGTTCAATGTTCTTCCAAAAATATTATTGTCACTATCGCCAGTCATGATTGACTGGGGAAGATTGGTCTTGCAATAGAGGACCGCACCCAGGTCAATCAGCATGGCAGCAAGCGCGCTGTTACCCTCCGCTGGCTCATCCACATAGCAACCCAACCCAGTCGACGTGTCGTATCCGGAAACTTGAAAACTATCCTTGAGTGAAATTGGTAGTCCAAATAGCGGCGGGAGGGGCTTTCCGCGAGACTTCGGGTCATATTCCTGGTCAAGCTTCTTCGCTCGTTCAATAGCATCGTCGAAGAATATTTCTGTCAGACAATTCGTCTGCCATGGGTTCAAAATTAGCGATCCTTCTTCAACAGGCGCTTCACCAACTGACCAACTGCTGGGCAATTGCAGCCCTTTTGCAAAATGCTCTGGTTACTTGCTCAGCCGACCAGACTCCAGCCTTCAGCTTTTCAAGAAGTGCGGTTGCATCGTAGTCAGAAGTAATTCTGGATTCTGTCTCGTTTAACAGCCCGCAGGTAAGAGGTACATCCATGACATTGTTTGCATTCTGGAACCTCTCTGTAGGGATTCGCCAATCTTTGGGAATACTGTCCTGCTGCTGCGCCTTCTTTGCTGCTGAGATGGCCTGGTAGTGTCTCATTTTCGATGCCATCTTGATCTTGCGAAATTTGAATCAGCAGGAAACAAGAATGAATGAGTGAAGTTTTCGTTGCTTGTGGATGGTTTTGAAATCTAGACGAATTTCAAACTGGGATATTTCAAGCTATTTATCGTCACAAAAAATAATCAAGACTATCAAAAGAACCCATGAGGGACCGTAGAAACCATAGAAAGCCTCCGGCTCCGGCCCTGGATCTAGCTCTAGCGCAGATGACGGATTCGTAATGCAATGCCTGAAATCTACTGGATTGATTTCTAACCAGCTCTTCGTATTCCACATGACGCAGCAAAGAACCTCGATGTCCCAGTAGAATTTGGTAAGGATGTGAAATACCTTCAGAGCGTCCAAGTCGTCTTGATTGGCCAAGTGTTCAAATCCCGGGCCCTCGGTGGGCTGGTGGGGTAAAAGCTATACCTCCGGTCAACCTTCCGGCCCACTATGACCAATAAGCGTGCGACTTGTCCGGAACGTTTCAAAAACAGGTGGAGGTTTAAAGCCGATTCTTGTTAAAGTGATTGGCGATGAGCGTGACCCGTGGCATGAACCCCGACATTAAACGTGGCTAGGTAGCTATTATGTATCTGCTAAATAAGACATATATTGGGTTGTGCAAGTTGGACGTTAACAGTAGGCTGAATCGATCTTATCAGCGTGTAGGACTTGGTACAAGCTGCACTGGTTCACCAGCCCAATTATACCCCCAACACTGGAAAATAAGCAGGCAGGGCGGTCTACCCAACCAAAGCAGGCTTATATTTTGCCCCGTAACCGTCCTACAGGCTCTAGAACTTGAGGCTCACTGCATGTCTGCGGTAAGAGCTGTTATTGGTTCCTGACGCACACACTGGCAAAATCATCAGGGGTTGAGATGGCTTGCCTCCTTCCATGCCGGAGATCCTCGTCCTGTTCATCCAAGCATGGCATCCGGTACCGATTTGGTTCCAACAGTGGCTTGAAATAACCCCATGGAAACGAATCTCTATATCTTAAAGGTCACGTTGTCTTGCTCGTTGACATTAACAGCAATCAACCGAGGCAAAGCAGCCACGCCAGGTACGTATCCATAATTACTGATGCCATCTCGGCAGTACACAGTTATTCCTGGCTTTCACCGGGCGAAAATACTATCTGACAGTCATGTGTCTGAACTGCATTCCCCATCTTATCCTTATCAGTGTTTGGACTGTGGCCACTACAGCCGATGTATGACCGGAGGCACGAAGCTCGTGGCTTGGAAAAAGCACCGAGCCGACCACGTCCACAGCTAGTCTTGAGTCCAGAGCAAGGTGGGAAGTCAACCGCGTGATGTCCCTCATGGCTGATGACACTTATACTAAACGTTATACTTATATCATGTTAAACATTTTACGATAACCTTGGAAAGGTATAAAAAGGAGTATACGGGAACAGAACGTAAAAATACTAGGCATAGACTAAGACAAGACTAATAGAACAGTTTAGACCCGTTAACTAGATCTTTACCGAGCGATCCATCGGACTAGCGTGGGCTAGGTTGCATGGCATCCGTTTCTGGAAACTGGATTGCAGAATTGTCCAATTTCGACTTCCGCTAACCTCGAAGATAATCCCTTGGTTGGATTAGTACCCAGGTCGGTAACGACTAGGGAATCCCACTTGTTATATGTTTTGCATTTTTGGCCAACCTTCTCAATTCCGGACGCCGTGCTTTGCCACTTTTTTGCAAGCATGTTCGGCGGACTATTGCGAGCCATCTTGACAGTGATCACGAGCAGAATATTGCCATCGTAGCCCGCTTGGCATAGTGGTATTGCGTCGCACTCGTAAAGTTCACGTGCGTCATGCGAAAGTCGGCGGTTCAATTCCGCCAGCGGGCAACGTTCATTTTTGCTCTCTACAATAGAGCATGACGGGCTTATATGGATAGATAGGCAGGCAGCCATGCTTGTAAGCACTAAGAAGTGATGCAGTAACCATGCGTTTCTGAGCCATATTTGATGATTTGGTCGGCGGAGGATGCCGACATCATGGTGCCACTGCTTAGGCGCCTCCTTTTGTCCTAGACTAGTCATTTTTAGAAAAATTGTCGATTGCCCACGCTGCATTCCCCTAGACTATCACCTAACATGGGAGATCAACAGAGGATTGGAGGGCTTTATATACCGGCTGCGGCCACACTCCTGTCAGTGCAAAAATTGCCTATACGACCTGTGTCCCTGGTTCGTTAACGAAGACACCATCCTCGAGGACACATTCGAAAACATTGTGGTTGAATACAAAGCAGTCGAATGAATCCTTGCCAATTTATAACCCTCCTCTCGTCCTGATTTGATTGGTGACGGCTGTCTAGTTGATGGGATTCTAATTATAGCACGATCTACTCGAATGCGAATAGCAATTTTATTCCTGGGGAACGCACCTCGTTGACTCAGACGCCAGCTGAGTGGGCCTGGACCTTCGAGATAGAGAGTGTATGTTTGCTATATCCGGATGTGAATATCGATCTTGCAGGGCCTGACGTAAGCGTTCCCCCATTAAATGTTGCATGTTTGAACTATCCAGGAGGGAATCGATCCACGTTGGTCAGGCGAATCGTGCGCGCTACAACTACCCTGCTTTCCTACGCGCAAGAGCTATCAATGATCCACCTAACAGTTCATAGACTCACTGTCGCCAAACGTCTTGTTGACAAACTTGACTGATGCTCCGCGCTATGTCTCCGTAGTTGGCCAGCCTAACATAAAATGTAGTACCGATCTTAGAAGAAAGGAACCCGGGGTCGAAGTTGGTGTCTGAAACCACTGGCAGAAATGTCGTGGTGGTGGTGGCAGAGAAGACATGCTGTCCCATGTTAAGCTGCTGTCAGTGATGTGTCCGTAGGCGAAGTTGAGACTGAAAAGGTCGGGTTGTATCCGACGTTCTTAATAGTGTTCGAAAGTATGACTGGCCAAAGGCGGGATTATACTTATGATCTTTCGATTGATTGCTCCCTGATAGCATAGCAGGCCATTTATAAGAATCATCTCGAGAGATGAACACATTATATCTAACATAGCCGAGCGTTGGTAGACATATCAACATGGCAACGGTTATACGGCACATATCTTAAGAAGCACAAACTCTAGATGAGCAGCTGCTACGGCGCTGGCTGACCATCGCACCGCCAATATGAGCTGTTCTATTTTCTCGAGTGTGAACTAATATCGATGCTAATTACAAGCCGCCGAGTAGGTTGTGGCAGATCACTGATTGTACCTGTACCGTGAAGTCTATAGAAGCATATCCTCGATGAACCCTTCAGGCCCAGCAGTGTTTGGGGCGAATGCTTCATGGCCCATGGTCTTGCATCTTCGACGTTTCCAGTCTATTGGCCACCATCACGAGGGCGGCCCGTTTTGCAACTTCTGATGTTTGACAGACCTAGGTGGGCTTTACTGATTCGTTGTATGCGGCGCTTATAGAACCAGCGGCGGGACCATTTCAAATCGCACATGCAGAGAGATGTTTCCAGTATCTTGTTTCCTAAGTAGCCCCAGATTTCTGCAATTAAAGTCACCAGCACAGATGGAACAGGACAATTATGATACCTCCGTGTCTTTCATTACAGCTATTTAAACAGCCACCTGACTAACAGAAATGGGTATTGACAAAACGACAACGATGTCGGATAATGACAGTAGGAAATATCTAAAGCGACAGTATGAACAGCAGTCAGATGCCGTATAGCGACATGTGATGTAACAATGCAACCCTGATCATCAGGCTATTCTCGTGACGCTTCCATTGCACGCCAAAACACCAATTCATGGAATCATGACAGCGTTCACTTTCGCTCCTGATCATGTTCAAGCCAGGTTTTTCCTGTACACGCGCTTTGTTCCGCCAACCTTACCAAGCTCGCCGAACTTGCCTCCATTCTGAGTCTGCTCGAGGGCAGCCCGCTGCTCGCCACTAACGCTGCGGACTTTGTTCCTCACATCTTCAATCCATTGGCGACTCTCCTCGCTCAAGGCTCTGGCCTTCTTAGGATGCGGGCCCGCCATACCTAGGATGCTGCTGCTGTTGGGTTGTGACATGGCTCGCGAACCACGCGAGCCGACGGATGTGTCCGATGGAGGGCTCTCAGAATTGCCCAAGCCTGGAGGTCGGGTCACTGTCGGTTGCCTCGATGAGCCCTCTCCGGCCGTGCTCCTTCTAGTTTTACGGACCACAAGTGGGGTCATTGGTGCTTCGAGAGCGGAACCTGGGCGGCTCGGGGGACTCGACCCGTGGATACTAGAGCCCAGAGTAGATGAATCTCTAACTTCAACTTTGCCTTCGCCTTTGGATCGCCGGCTGTGATGTATAGCGTACTCTTTCAAGTATTCGCCTAGATCCGCCCATCCTCCGCCCACGCGGACCATGACTCGCTCGCCATTCTCACCGACGCATCGGATAAGCAACTTCATAGGCGCTTCACCGTTAGCACGCGAGAGATAGTAGGTCTTTATCTCTGCCCTCGACTGAGGCCGCGGGGTTCTGGCAGGGGCAAGCATCCATGACGGCGTACTAGCACGAGAAGACATGGTTGATCTGGTGGAAAGCGCCGAGCCGCTGCGGCGGAAAGTGTCTGGAGCTTTGGGTTTTGGCCTTGAAGGGTGTTGAAAATCGGGTGGGTTGAGGTTAATAGCCGAAGGCCTCGTCGATAATTGGATGTTATTAGGAAGGCCTTTCAACACTCGCCTGATTTGTTGGTGAAGGTCGTCGCCAGTCTCACTGATCACGCTCGCATTGCCGGGGCTGCTCATTGGAGCGCCATAACCGAAAGAACTCTCGGGGTCGAATACTTCCGGCGGCTCTAACGGGCTTCTCGGGGGAGTTACATCCTCTTCAGGCAGCTCTGAGATCTCAGGGATTTCGTTGAACGATACGGAATGGGTTCTAGCCTTATATCGTAGTGGTGGTGAACTGGGAGGGCTCAGTGCGTCACTAGAAAATGGTTGATCCGGGTCTGGCAATCGGGGCAGCTCGGGTTCGAAAGACGCTTCCCTGAAATAGACATCGTCTGAATGGCTGATAATACTAGCCGGGTCATGCAGGACGGTTGAAGCCATTGATATTTGGCTATCTCTTCTGTACTGAAAACTTGGAGGTGGGAGCTGAGGTTCATCGGCATCTTCATCGTCTTCGTCATCTTCGTAGACAGATTCCAGGAATGAAAACTCCCCGTCCATGCTCTGCACACTCCTCTTGCTGTGCAGTAGCGGACTTGGTTCCAGTGCCTCTGGCGGAGCTGTGCGAAGAACGTTGTGATTCAACTCGGAAAGTGCAGTGCTTGCCTTGAGGACTCGGAGGTTGTTAGCCGAGCCATCAAGGTCCCGCGCCTTGGTCCGCTCAGTCTGGAAACCGGCTTGAATCTTGCGCGTAGCGGCTGGTGACTCAGTAATGCCGAGGCCGACGCCTGGGCTTACATCTTCAGCGACCTTTCCTAAATCAGTGTCCTTTTGTTGCGCTTCATTTTGACCGAGATCAGGAACTTGATCAACTGTACTAGGGATGTCGCTACTTGGTCCCTTAATCAAGATTGTCAACCCATGACCTGCAGTCTCGTTCTCTTGTGGATCTCTAGTCGGACTTGGTGTTTGAACCTGGATCTTGAGCTGGGGCGTCCGAGGAGCAGCTTGCCAGGTGTCCAACTTGGAGGGTGAATAGGCGTCTCCTAGTTCTCCTTCCCGTACACGCCTCTCCGCCATAGCCACCCAGTCCGCATAATCCTTCTCCACGGCATCCATCCGCTCGAGCCATTCGTCGGGAAGCGTGTCTCTCATACCTTCGAGAACGTCCAGCATGTAGTCCAGTTCTTTGCCTGGCCGTGCCACCTTCTTACGTAGAACAGAGTTCATGACCTCGAAATCTTGCTGTGATAGCGCAGTCGAGTTGCTAACGTCGGAAGCGGTATCACCGATGGGCTTCTGGTCTTCAATGGCATTCCATCCGGACTTGAGTGCGATTTCGGCATCGGTGATCATCATGAGTACAGACGGTACTTTGCGAAGGACGACGATCCGAATACTCCAGGTACTGAGTAAGCGCGTCAATCTGGAGACGTTGGGCAGCGCCTGAACTGTGATCGCGGTGATAACAGCGGTGATATCCTCCATCTTGGTAAAAGATATGGAGCTCGCAATGGAACGCCCAGCATCTGAATATGGTGTTCCCGGCCGTGATAGAGGCATAATGTGATTGAGCAAAACATGGGACTTGATCTCCTCGAGATCAAGTTCGCCCATTCCCTTTTGGACTTGTTCAATCCTGATTTCATACCGCACGATGTCGCCTGCCGGTAAACTTCCCAGGTATTCTATTTCAGGTTCAGGAGCGCCCTGCTGGTCTTGATCGGGGTTGCGGTTCATATTTGCCCGGCGAGATTCCAGTAGCCTTCTCTTAGCAGGGGGCATCTCGAAGCCCGCATATGTGTTTTCTTTCGGCCATGGCCATTCCAATAGCTCGTCAAGCCAGTCGTGTATTTTTCTAGAGGCAATAGCAGTTTTGATTGCAAAGTGTTGTTCCGAAAGCGACGCTTCATCCAGACAAGCCTTCAAAGGGCCAGAGGGAACTCTCAGAGCTTCCACCGCGGACGCCGGCGTGAGGCGCGAAAGGAGCGCATCGCCAGGACGCTGTCGAGAGGGGGATTGTGACGTTGACTGTAAGGGGCGACGCATGGCGGTTCGATGGCCTCGTTCGGCCGCCGGGGAGCGAGCCCTCGGGTCTATCATTATGTTTTTAGCTGTATGTCAGTGGGCAGTAATCTTTCTGCTTTACTCATGGGCCTAAGCACGAGACATGCCCACCACCCAGGTGGGGAGGTTTCGGAAAAGGAAACTATGAGAAATTGCGACCACCGTGCTTGTCCATCTCTGTTGTAGGTTCGGTTGTGTGCGACGTTGATAGGTTGGCGGCTTTCATTTCCCTAATTTCTCAAAGACTGCTTCTGTTTCACTGGCTCCTGAGGGGTTGAGGAAGTGGTGACACGCGATCGGCTCTTTCCAGAATTCGTGTCGAGTATTCCGGGGATTTCTATGGTCGGCGGGAGATTATCTCGGTCGCAACGGCAAGCTGCTGGAGATACAAATGAGGCGCAAGGAATGTGGTGACGTGGGTCAGTTGGCTGCTCGAGGTGTCGTGGTTTGTTTTTTAAGGGTCTGAATGAGCGACAAGGGGGTAGAATGGCAAATATGAACAGAAGAAACGAGTGGTGGTGACAATTGCCAGGATGTGGAAGTAGATGAACGAATGATGTTTGTGAGAAACAGAGGCGTCAAAGGCTGACGGCACAGGTCAAGTTGGCAGCTGCTTTGTCTCAGTCCAATCTTAAGACATGACTGGGGGAGCTTGAAGCTTGGTGCAATATCTGATAAATCAATATGCGCTCGCTGTCCAACTTCAGGATGCAGCCCGACGAGAGAAATTGTTGCCGCAGTGCGGGTAGTGGACGAAAATGACATAGGTTATGGGCAACAGGCCCAGATCCTCTTCATGTTCGTCCAGACTACCGATTCTGTGCCAACCGTGCCAATAATGATGTGGTGAGGGAACAGAATGGAATAAAGGTGGAGGAATATTATGGAATACTGCAGCCCGTATTTGATGCACAGCCAGCACAGCCAGCACAGCACAGCGCAGAACACCATCCCAAGCCCCGAATGGAGATTGACCCATTTGTAGCCGCCATCTGAACCTATCAGCTTCGCCCAAACACTTGGCCAGCGTGGATCCATCAGCTATTTGGGGTATCGCTTTGCTCTAAAGTGGATGCAGCTTGCGTCGCGCTCAGCAACGCGTTGGTCCCCAGGTCCCCTGGAATCTTGTTTCGTCTGCAATTTCAAGGTTTTTCTTCCATGCAGTTAGACCACCGATTGACTTGAGATCGGTTCCGGGATCACAAGATCGACCGACTACCATATGGACGTCAAGGGAAACATGTTCACGTCTACGGAAACCTGTATGAAATGTGTGTCAAAGTTCAGATGCTGCAGCCACAGCCATGTAAAACCCACTTTGTCCAGTGCAATGTGTCTATTAGCGAGCTGTCACAGCGGGATATCTGTCCTTGGCTTAGCTGGCTACATTCGCGACGCTTGTCGCTATCGATCTGCGGTTCGACTAAACCCTGAGATACACAAGCTATAATAAGCGATCTCTATATGAGACCATTACATGACTAGGAGAATATAGGGTCTTGTTTCATCAGCACGCAAGGGATGAATCAATACATCACCAATTTCCCATCGCCGGCCCATAAATGCCAACGCCGAGGCCAACTGCTAGGAGCTCCCAAAACCTCATATGCCCAAACCCCTTGCGCCTTTCGTCCATCTATACAATGACAAGACTCTTCGCCGAGCCAGTTTGTACTCTTCCAGTTCGGTCGGACTAATACCACGAACGCTATACAACGTCGACCTCACGACCCTTCGAAAACTCCTCTGGAACTCTGTGCTCAAAGTGACGATGCAGACTTCGTGGGCGCGAATAATGGTTTCGCACGCGTGTGCAACACTCTGGTTCAACCCCAACAGCGGCATACGATCTGCAAACAACAACAGTATAAAACTGCCCTGCAGCAGATATATGCCGAATAGGTACGGGATGAATCCCAATTCAGGGTCGAACTCCAAAATCCTCGATACAGCTTCCGAGGCCGCAATAGCATGGGATGCGCACTTCGAGAAGTCCTGCGTTGCAATCCATCCATCGTCATTGTCGAGCATACTAATAGCATCCCACTTACTGTGTAGTAGAACCTGCAGGACGTATAGTATGTGGGTGCTATAAGCAACTACCAGCTGCGTCCTGTTTTGTGCCTCGGCTTCTGACGAGCGGATGTCCTCGTTCAACACCTTGAGGCTTTCGTGGCATTCACTGATGTGCGCCTCAATCAGCAAGCTCATTCCGTCGTTGCAAAAATCGTGCAAGCGAGGATGTTGGCGCCCATGATGAAGCTCGATGATATCCCCAAGTATAACCATCAAGGGTAGGAAGTATTCAAAGAAACCTGTACCAGTAATGCTTGTCGGTGGTCCAAGAGTGCTCATAGGATACATATTGTCCACAATCTCGTCCAAGTCCTCCCAGATCCGTTCCGGCAGTGGTGCTAAGGAGATCAGCGATGACCTGCGATGCATTGAACGGGTCCAAAAAATCCTACCTTTGACTTCCACATAGGAATCCGGTATTTGCAAAGTTCGATTGAACGACAATGCAAGATGGCGATCGAGACAGTACAATAACCAAAACACTCTTCGTCTTTCCTCCTTGGCTTCCACGAAAGATAGGTTCTGTGCGCCGGGTTGCTGCATGTGACAAGAACACAACGGCTTTGTGCAAGTAAGACCAAGTTGCAGACAAGGTTCGTCCTCGCGGTGTAACTCTAGGGACCTAGATGTTCGTGTAGCTCGATGCCACCAGTCCTCACAATCCGCCTTGAATTCGCCCCCTGACACTGCGATGCAGAGCAACAGAAAGGTCAAGACATCGTCTACAGCGCCTAGTTGTGCTTGGATGTCATCTGTTGCCATGGTTAGAGACTCACATCTCTCACCTGTGGTTGAGACACCTAATGTCTGCTCTGATAGTGACTGTGTATCTGTCCTCCACCATCGCCCAGTGGCTTTCTCGTTAATCAGAGACACCGCGAGGTTATAAAGGGTTCTAGTGGTCCGCGACCTCGCACCAGGCGCTAGTAGCGACGGCACCTCGGCGGCCTGGGCGCAACACCACAGAATTGCTGCCAGAAGAGCACATGACATTGGCCGCGGGCTCGTGGGGTGGAGCAGCGATTTTCTACGAAAGATACGAGTAAGGATATAAGGAGGTGCAAACTTGAAGAGTGAGCTTCCAGGATCGGTCAAGTATACGTCGAACAGTTCGCATGCAGTCGACACAGAGAGTATGCCGTTCAAATGTGGAAGCAATGGTTGGAGAACCGGGTAGCGACAGTGCGATGTCGCAGGCAACGACGAGGACTGCCATACTGACATTGGTGAAGACAGTGAGAGCGCTTGGCTCATGTGATCGCCGAAGCCATTGCGCCGCAAGATGCTCTCACGGCCTGAAACCTCGGTCGGCTCATCGGACTGGTCTTCTCCGCTATCAGCGCTGTCGTCCTCAATGGGATCGACCAGAAACGACAATGCAGAAGTCGTAGACGCGGATGGCATTCGTTCTGCAGCCTCCTCCTGGCTCTCGATCACTGCTGCTGTTCCAGAAGTCTTGCTGCGCGCAGCCAGGCGCGTTCGACCTCGTTTCTTGACAGGCCGATCATAGCTGCATGTGTAGCCATAGTCTGAACTCTGTATCAGCACCGCGATTCTTTTCGGGCATTACGTGCAATGCACTTCCAAGACATACCTGCACAACGTCGGCTTGGGCGCGGATGTCAGCAGTCGTGCATGCAGCTGTCCCGTTTCGCCCGCACTCACCAAGGATGGCTCCCGTCGCATCTTGCCCTCTGCGTGGAACATTTGTCGCACGCCCTCCACGTCCTCTTCCTCGGTCTGGCACGTTCGATATCTATCTCCTTGTCGTTTCCCTGCCCTTCCTGCTTGCTAGACATCGCTACCATGGCATCTTGATCACGTTCGTCAAATGGAAAGTGGTGCGAAATATCAAACCCCGAGAAGGCGGACTGGCGCGGTCTGCCCAATATCTGTCGAGGGTTTATCCTTGGCATTTCCCCAAATCTAGGCCCTTCCTTTTCTCCTGCATGCTCATTGGCCTCCCAATGTGGCTGGATGCGGAGGAACAGGGGCCTTTTGTGCGGGGAAACAGCCCTGCAGGTTTGTGAGATCTCAAGGTATTCTGTACTTCTAGGATCCTGAGGTCCGTCTATCAATGCAAGCATATATGATCCTCTTGTCCACCCAGACGATAGATTTCTTCCACTCAAGAGGAAAACTGCCTCAATGCACATCCAGTCTACTAGAAGTACTTGATAAGACACGGCCGATGTTTTGCTAACGCGAACTGCCTGACTCGGACGCATTGGTAGGCGAACACCGCTAGTCTAGACTAGAGCCAGATGCTCTTGGGTTAGCTTTTTCGAAGACTACCACAGTACTCTGGACATGGCTTGTCGTACGACAACCTGCATGCATTAAAGGGCTGGATTGTTCTTGCCCGCTAGGATCACGCGATGGTGACCATGATAGTCTAGCGATCACAACGTTGTCAGCCCTGTTTGTGGGGGAGATCACGATAGAATTGGAGGCAAGCGGCCCTCTCTCTGCGCATTCGTGTGCTTTGTAACATATGGGCTTGCTTCTCACCCAAGGATCAATTTCCTGACCTTCCTACCCATAACTCTGCGGCTTACTACTTACCATATCAGATGAAGAAAATCTCTACTGCCCGCTAGGTTGACTGCTAGGATGAGCCCGTATGATGGTGTAGCGGTTACTTGTAAATCGCGGTCCTTAGAGTCATGAATTCATGAATAAAATATCTTCAAGCTACTCATATACGAGATGCTAAGAAAGCTGGTCAACTGGGGTCGCTGGCAGCCTGGGGAGTGATTGATAGAGACAATGTAATCAAGCAAGGTCATCACATTCGGGTGAGAAAAGCAAAGGTTACCAGTGTTTTTAAAGTGTGTCATTAAAGCCTATGAAAAATTCATGGCGAAAACCAATGCTGACAGCAAACGCCAGATCATATCCGTGCCGAAAACACCTATCGCAAAGACTTCAAACCAGAAGACCAATAAAACCTACCGGCCACAAGAAAAACTAGAGAAATGCCAGGCCTGTAGCCAAGCTTAATGTGAAGTGTGGCCGAATGGAAAGGTCGATCACTTAAGCCTTACCAGCATCCATAGCATGCTCGATCTCTGCATTCACAGCAGCGTCCTGGACCTCAGAGCCTCCACCTTTGACTGCAGCATCCTTCGTAGTCTCGCCAACGCTGAGGGTCTCGGCACCCTCATCATCCGCAGCTTCCGTGTTCGGAACCTCCTTCGGGACCATGGCCGGGCACTTCTTCTTGCGGCCGCCACCAGTGGTGCGCTTCTTGGCCGACGAAGGACTAGCAGCCTCCTCCTCCTTCTCCTCCTCCTCACCAGTTTTGAGGTCGTCCTCACTGGGGGTCTTGGTCTTGCGCTTGCGAGCGCTGCTGGCAGCGGCCTTCTTGGCGGGTGTGGCCTTCTTGGCGGGGGTCTGCTTGCTGGGAGTGGCAGCTTCGTCGCTACCACCAGCGTCTGACTGCTTGGAGAGAGCGGCGAGCTTCTTCTTGATTACGGCCATGATGTTGCCACAGCTTCGGGGATTGGTGTAGCCAGTCAGACCAGCGAGCTTCTCCATGTCGATCTGGGTGTTGTATTAGCAACATCACCATGAATATTAAATTGCTAGGCATGAAGGAAAGAGTTGATGGAGAAGAGAAAAGGTGTGAATGCATGCCATACGGTCGCACTGATTTTTTTGAGGACGATGTATGTGACAGTACAAAGGGTTGGTGATAATACGAGGCACTTACTTTGGGCTCGCCGTCCATGCACTGCCAGGCAGCAGCAAGAACTTCGATCTCGCGGGCAGTGAGGTCGCCCTTCTTGGCAGGAGTGGACTTGTTATCAGACATTTCGCCGATATTGGTATGATGTCGTTTGAAAGGTGATGCGATGTTGAAGATTGTGGGTGGCGATGGAGGTTAACGATGCACCGAATACGTGTGACGACGTGTCGAAGGCGAAGTGTTGTGCAGGTTGGATGAGAAAGTGAAAACGCCTGATATGTGGGATGGAATTTGTAGAGCTCGACAAGCTTCGGCCGTTATAATGGGATGAAATGATGTGATTGTTAGTTCACTGGAAAGTTCTCAAATGGCAGCCTTACAAGTTTTTAATTCAGTGAGGCCATAAACAATAGCAGCGGACCGAAATACAAATTGCTTAGGGCAACGACGGTGCTACCAGCTATCAAGATGCGATCTTATTTTTCAGCATTCTGAATCCAATCAAACACACAACTCTGGATAGTTAGATCTTTTACAGCCATTAACATAAGATTTTGTGCGGGATTGTTGTATTCACACATCAGCTTTCACTCAAATACATAGATAGAACAATAAGACAACTTTACAACAACAGTACGATCCAATGTTCCTAGTTCACAATTATTTTTATTCATATAAATCAACCTTTAACTAGACGGGCATCGTTAGATTCTCAATCAGAAGAAAGCTTTAGTTGTAGCATGCTTAAACACATTCTCTGAAAAAAAGTTCTTGTCCACCAGCATATCACAACACATGCCACACACCATCAAGTCAGTACCGCCGCTATCAAGCAACGAAAACATATGCTATGAAGCCGCCATAAGGAAGGCAAGTGACAGTGTCTTCAAAATATACCATAGGGCCGTAACTTCTAGTAAATTGACAGCGTATTTACCAAGTCTTCATCAACAAATAACGAACAATCGACAATCTTGCCACGGTCTATGTCCGCCTAGATGACCAACGGGGTAAACTTCTTGTTGATTTGATGCAATACAACAACCATCGGCCGCTGTAGTTGGACGACATTTGGCAAACTCCCTGTGGCCAAAAGTTTCTCATATATTTTTTTAAGTATGCTACCCGTGTAGTTTCAGTGTACATCACGCACATTATATCGTTCCTGATATTTGTTCATAGGCTTCAGCCCCATTTGATCATGTTGCTTCATTCCAATGGACACACCCTGCATGCATATCGCGGTAGCATACGAGAGAGGTTCGCAATCCGATGAAGCGAGTTCAGTTAGATAAGCAACCCCGATCTCGGCTCCTGCTATGCGGCTTAGATCATCACAAGGATGCGTAGGGAGCAGCGTTTCTCCACACCCCTGCACGCTTCCGATGATGCCATCCAGGATCAGTTAGTCTATAGAGATCCACCTTGCTGCTTAGTAGGAACCGTTTCCCGTTTTATTTCCCCATACTCTGTACACTTCGGCCCCGAATCAAATTTCTTAAATTTATTTACTTCAGTGTCGTAATCTTGACTGCTCTTATACTATAACATCATATTTACTCCACAATCTATTGTAGTTATCATAATTGTCTCGGCGACTTTTGACTATTAGCCTTACATTCACGTTCTTCCAACAAGCGGCTATTCGCTTCCGGCTCGGCTAAGGCCCCCGCACTGTACGGTGGTCATGCCAAATTCTCCTGATGAAAAGAAAAGAAGTGATGAGTCTCAGGATGAGGCAGAACTGAGCAGTAGACGCTCTTCAAGTATTGAAGATGCCGGGATACATGGAGTTGAGGAAGAATCAGCCGAGAAGGCACCAAGTCTACCACCTCCGATTCATGAGAATGCGCCAAGTGAAGATGAGGACGAAGATAACGAACAGCACCGGCGTGAGGCCTCGCGTGCCTCCTCTACTAGATCGCGGGCCTTAAGTATCGTACCAAGATCGAAACGTCGTGGGCTCTTCGCCCAGGTCGCGTTCTTACCAGAGGTCAATAGACCGTACGACTACTCAAACAGAGAAAAATGGACTATCACCACGTTTGTAGCTATAGCCGCGGCAGCAGCACCAATGGGCTCAGCTATATTCTATCGTTAGTGTTTTACCATACCAAGATGATTTTCTCCTCTGGACCTCGTCGCTAATCCCCGTTGCAGCCGCCCTCCCTCAAATGTCCGCAGAATTCGGCGTCTCCTCTACAATCGTCAACTTATCAGTCGCCTTCTACATGCTGGCTATGTCCATCTTTCCGCTCTGGTGGTCTTCCTTCTCTGAGACACTCGGACGCCGTACCATATACCTCTCGTCCTTCCTTCTCAATGCCATCTTTTCGCTAGTTAGCGGCCTTAGCGTAAACATTGAAATGCTGATCGTGTTCCGGATCCTCGCCGGCGGTGCGGCGGCCTCGGTGCAGGCCGTGGGCGCAGGAACAATCGCCGACATCTGGGAGACCACCGAGCGGGGCAGGGCAATGGGGATGTTCTACCTCGGTCCGCTCATGGGGCCGTTGCTGGCACCGATCATAGGCGGTGCACTGGCAGAAGGGTTCGGCTGGAGAAGTACCATGTGGTTTCTGACCTGTTACGGCGTGGTCGTATGGCTCTTAATCCTGTTTGCCCTGCCCGAGACGCTCGCAAAGCGGAAGCCAGTTGTCCTCCCATCCGCTGCCGAAGGGGCGGGATTATCACGCGTCCCCACAACTCGCTCTGTCCAGATCCAGTCGCGCCGCGCTGCCGTTTTCCTCAAGCGCGCCTTCCTCGACCCTTTGCAGGTGGTGACATACCTCCGATTTCCCGCCGTGGCCATCGTCGTCTACTACGCAGCCATCACTTTTGGCACTCTCTACGTGCTGAACATCAGTATACAGTCGGCATTCTCAGAGCCGCCCTACGGGTTCTCGACCATCATCATTGGACTGCTGTACATCCCGAGTTCAATGGGGTACTTCATCGCCTCTTTGCTCGGCGGACCGTGGATCGATCGGATCATGGTGCGTGCGGCGGAGCGGGCAGGTCGGTACGACGAGAACGGGAAGTTGATATATCTGCCCGAGGATCGGATGCGCGAGAATGCGTGGATCTCCGCCACTCTCTACCCCGGGGCGCTGATCTGGTACGGGTGGTGCACACAGTTCGGCGTCCACTGGATTGCGTCGTGCGTTGCGAATTTCTTCTTTGGCCTTGGGTCCATGTTGGTATTCAGCGCGGCGACGACGATGCTGACCGAGTTTATGCCGCGCAAGAGTAGTAGCGGCGTGGCGTTGAATAACTTCGTGCGCAACATATTCAGTTGCACTGGGGGAATTATCGCCCAACCGCTAATCAACGTGATGGGTCATGGGTGGATGATGACTATGTTTGGCCTCATTGCTTGGATAAGTGGGAATTTGTGCATTTGGTTTTTGAGAAGAAACGCGCAGAGGTGGAGGGCTTCCATGGACAGAGAGTTAAACAAATAGAGTTGAGTGCGGCGGAAAGTGTTGTTACCTTGGAATTATATATGGTCCAAATTAGAACACGAGTTTGATATAATCAACACGTATATATGCAAACTATGACGATAACACAAAAGATCGAAGGTTGTAAACATATATATGTGGAACTGGAGAACTGTTGAGTCCATTCATACTACCAGCTCTGAAAACTGGCACGGTCATTAATGTACCCGTCCTCCGAGGTTGTATGTGTAAGCCCCTCATTTGTATATGCTGGTTTCCCTCTTCACCTGCGTGCGCATCTATACACGTCTTTTCCTACCAGTAACCCTAAGTAGATCGGCTCCCGCAAAAACAATATGGGAATCTATGGAGCCTCCCAAAGAAGCAAAAGCCCAAACGCCGACCAGTTTGTCTAAAATCTTCATCACAATCTTACTTGAGGGGATCATAGACACGGTCCTTGATCCACTTCGTCAAGGCGACATCACCCCACTCCTCCCACTCAACCCATTGGGATTCGGGCAGAGCGCTGACACCTTCCCTGCGGGCGGCCTTCATCACCTCGCGAGCAACGATGATGCTGGCGTCCCGAACCCTCTCGATACGTGGGTAGATGAGACCCTTGTGGATCTCATCGGCATTGAGGCACTCTGATAGGGAGGATGCGGAAATGTAAACCATCTCATCAGTGACCTTGGTGGCCTTGGCAAGAATTGCACCCAGACCGAGACCAGGGAAAACATAGACGTTGTTACCCTGGTTGGGGTAGTAGGTGGTTACACCTTCACTGTGCTTGACATTTACCGGTGAGAACGGGGACCCGGAAGCAAAGATAACGGTTCCATCCGTCCACTGGATGGCTTGCTCAAAGGTACATTCTGCCTTGGTCAAGGGGTTGCTAAGAGGGAAGAGAATAGGTCGGCGTCCGTGACCACCAGAGTCGACGGAGGCCTTGAGGGCGCGCACGACGGACTCCGTGAAGACACCGAATGTGGCAGTAAGACCAACAAGAGCTGAAGGACGAACATACTCGATAACCTCCTCAAGGGTCTTGAACTGATGACCATTGTTGTCTGTTCGGGCGAAGTACTTCTTGTGCTCTGCAAGTTTGTCGCCACGATCGTTGGTTACAAGACCCTTGGTGTCAACAAGCCAGAACTTGTCCTTGGCCTCCTTTTCTGTGAGGCCACGACGGGTATAATATTCGACCATCTGCTTGGCAACACCGACACCGGCCGAGCCAGCGCCCATGAATACCAGGCGCTGCTCCTCGAGAGGAACGCCCGACAAATTCACAGCACCGATGTAACCACCGAGCACAACGGCACCTGTACCTTGGATGTCATCGTTGAAGCACTTGTACTTGTTGCGGTAGCGGGCAAGGTAGTTGAAGGCCTTCTCGGTCTCAAAATCCTCAAATTGAACGAGCATGTTAGGGAAAACCTCGGCGGCAGCCGCCATGAACTCATCCACGAATTCCTGCATGACGGCAGGTTCTGGGCGCTTTGCACGGAGACCAAGGTATAGCGGGTCTCTGAGGTTGTCCTCATTTGCGGTACCGGCATCCAAAACGATTGGTAGGGTCTTTTCGGGGTGGATACCTGCGGCACCAGTGTATAGTGCGAGCTTGCCGATCTGGGGGTAGATGTCAGCCTCAAATCATTGCTCCGGGAACAGCCAAGAGTTATAGACTTACCGAAATCCCCACACCGTTAACACCTAGATCACCCAAGCCAAGAATTCGGGATCCATCCGTTACAACACAAATCTCGGGGTTGGGGTTAGGCCAGTTGCGGAGAATAGTCCTTATCGATTTTCGTTGCTTGATGGAAATGTACAGAGCCTCAGGACGAGTGTACAAAGTGGAGTACTGCAGGCAAACGTCGCCAATAGTGGGTGTGTAGACCAAAGGCATAAGATCCCTTACGTTGTCGATGAGCACACGATAGAAGAGGTCGACATTTTGGTCCTTAAGGTTGGACAAATACAAGTACTTGTCGATGCCTGTTTGCCTGGAATGGATCATCTTCATGCATCTTGCGACCTGTGTCTCAGTCGTCTCCATTGCATGGGGAAGCAGTCCAGTCAGGTTCTTGGACACCCGATCCTCGGGGCTGAAGGAAAGGCCTGAGTTTGTTGTCAGTCTTTGTCACGGATAGGATAAACCACATCGGGCTATCAACAGCTTCATACCTTTGTTCCACATTGGATTCTTCAAGACTTGGTAGCCACAAGCTGAAGATTTGGGAGTGTACTCGGTGTCGCGAGTTTGTTGAATTTCTCCGTAGTGGTTTTGTGCGTATCCTCGAAGGCCGTCAAGGCTGGCCATTTTCATCTGTGCCTCAATAGCGTCGATATTGACAGAAGACATTGGATTGAACTGAGTCAAGGACCTCCTTGAACTTATAGACATACGCTTGGAGACGGATGTGGAGGAAGAGCGGGCGGAGTTGAAGGAGAAAGACGGGCTCGATGAGCGCGGGGTGGAAATTTCTGAGCTTGCTGTACTGTAGGTCGCAGAGTTGAACGCCATTGAACGTGGAGAAGGACGATGAAGAACAGAAAAGAAAGAGGTGGGCCTCGGGCGGATGTGAGCGTCGGGGTGGGCGCTGACAACAGAGTACTCCTGACAGGGTAATGAAGGTTCTTCGGAAATAGTCGTGACGGCTGAACTAGGTGTGCAGGGTTGTGGGTGCTTGGTTGAATTAGGATTATTGTGAGTGGTAAGATGTGAACTCGCGCTGCGGTCGAACTTATGGTTGCTAATACAATCAGACGCACACCTCGACGCTATTCCCGCCGTGAGACGTGCTCGTTTTAATAAGATTCTTTTAGCTGACCCGTGGGCCCCGGTCGAGGACCCTGCGCTGGAAATCCTGGCCATGCCGATATTGCGAACCGTGACAAGGGGGAAGCACCAGTTTCGTTACAGTTTCATGCAACATAAAACAGCCAGGCAGATTGTCGATTTTACCCGGAATCCTGGAAATGATTTTGATGTCAAAATCGAAACAAGTGTGTAAGGGGAATATAGGAGGATGCCGTAAAGTCTCGTGTAACTCTGAGTAAGCCTCGCTTCGAAGCCTTAGGAGACGGCTAGATGCTCTAGAGCTCAATGGAGCCTGTTAATGAGCAGATAACTCTATGCAACACTAGATGCACAGGGCTTGCGATACAGATTAGAGAGAGTATGTGACGGTCAATTGACGGGTAGAACAGTAGGTTTCGGCGATCATGGCTGGAAACTGTGATTCATGGCACTTTCATGGCACCAGCAAGCAATAGGACCCGAGACGATGTCGCTTCCTGGGGATTGGTAATCTCCGGGTTTTCTTCTTTTCCCACGATGTATCTCGCTCTAAAACCATTTTGTTGGGTCCAACTACGGGGTTCGGGAGCTAAAATGGTTCGAATTCATCATGTTTGCTGCATGATGCCGTAGACCGGAACCCGAAAAAACAGTCACCAGCTTCGACAATGGATTTGTTGAATGTCCTAAACCTTTCTGGCAAGTGTGGGCTAGGGAGGAGATACTATGCATCGGCATTGCGATAGGGCTAAGTTGAGCCAATAGCGACATTGCCTTGCGTCGGCTTGGCACCTTAATATGCAAGCTGCTTCTGCGCCGCATGTTTGCCGTTGAAGAGCCGACACTCTGGTTGGCGCACTTTGTAGACTTCACCGACTCACCGTAAGCGTTCGGCCTGAAGTCAGCGAAAGGGTGGGGGGAAGCTGTTCGTCCGCGTTGGAGCTATTCCACGGCATCGGACACCAACGGGGGCTACCGTGGAGACATCCGCATGAAGAGTTATCGTGATGCTGGGTATACTTGCCGTATTAAGGAGATATACCCACTTGCGTGTGTGGTCTAGATTGAAGAGAAACAGATCCTGTTGCTGTCTTTGACATATCTGTTCAGCAAGCACACATCTTACGGAGTAGAGGAACCCAAATAGCCTGTCATGGTAGAGGCCTTGTCATCGGGCACCGACAGAAAAGAAAAGAAAAAGGATTCGTCGGGATATGCCCCTGTCAATGCATGTCCAAGTGGATTCCATCTGATCCATTGCGGCTGGCATCCGGCCCCTGTTAGCGATTCCCCAGGCTTGGAACTTGTGCCTGCATGACTTAAAATCCTAGCTCAGACTTGGAAGTGTCGCAAAATTCTAAAAGGTTAGTAGTCGAGGCTAGAGTCATGAAATCCCATCAGAAGACATCCTGATGTTGTCCCCCTTGAACAGCATGAATCCTCGGCTTGGTGCGAATATTACTTACTTAGCTTTCTTGCAATGGGGCGACAACAGGCCACCTGTTAAATTATACGAGATCACAAGAATGGTCCCATTTACAAGAAGGAAAAGGATTTCATCAGACGGAGTTAACATGGGACGTTTCGAGCACGCGACAAACCCCCCTCCCCTGTGAAGAAACCCATTATCGCTTCCGACTTCCCCCGAGCTTGCATGGCCCGGGCTTAGCTCCTTTTCAAAGCCACTGGCTAGTCGAACCCAATTTGGCACCCGGGCGATTCCTCCCAACCAATATCTACGAGCTTCGTTCATCTTGCTCTTTGTCGAAACATTACTTCCCGAATCCTGACACAGTGGATCTCGACTTTGTGCACATGAAAATAATCAAGACGGCATGATCATTCCGCAAGGAGAAGCCCCACCCAACTCAAACATCGGCCCAGCTTCAAGATCGTTTTCGAATCTGATACTCCGTAGCTCTGTTCTCAAGGCCGTGATCAAGCTATCACGAAGCGACTACCTTAACGACATGACACAGTGACTGAAAAACTGCTGGTGCCGCTAGCCGTTATAGAATTGAATGCAGTTCAATGGCCACCTGTGCTTCGATGCTCACTACATCCTTGCCGTCCCTTCGTGTAAGGCCTGAATCAATCAAAAGCCCTACCGAATAACAGTGGTGTAGGTAGATACGTCTTCTCACATATACTTCCAGTAATGCCGACATAAACTCGACGATTCTTGTTGCCCGCTCCTATGGGACTCGCTTCCCTTCAAAGACTATTGTTTTGAGGCGCATACACTAAGCCGCCGAATAATTTCCTTAGGGCTGACAAGATGCAGTAGTTACAATAGCCCAATAAATATGACATCAGATCAAACACCGTTACATGGCATTGCCTGCCAACAAACTCTGTCGAAGACTTGTCTTTCAAGCATATCTGGTCCAAGGGACGATGAGACATCAGATGATAGGGCCTAAAGTCCAACCGGCTGCGTTAGACGAGATAGAAGTTAAACCAGATGATAACTGGACGCATTCTGGTTCTTTGACTTGCTTATTATTTGTATTTCCGAATAACCTCCCCGTCGATGTTGAGCTTTCTCAGACCATTGGCAATTCGACCGGCACACCTGCTTGTCCAAACCTCAGCACTTCCAATGACTCCGGAATGCTCATGATGTATGCGACAAAGAAAGTAACCCTAAGCTTGATCAAGTCTGTTCGTTGCTTTATGCAAAAACTTGTATGATCGTTGTCGACCAATGCCGTTTCGAGCGCTTCTGCTATCATGTTTTTGAGTGCCCACAATGGTTGGTCTCTCAATATCTGATCCGAAGCCAGCCAGGCCCGGCGTATTGCTTCAATAGCCAAGCCGCTGAACGTTGGTGTCGTGTCTGCTGCTATACGTTCGGGCGGAGTTGACCCACCCAAAGGGATCCACACGGTCGCTCAATAGTGGTATGCAGTTGAGAAGTGATTGCATAACTCAGCATCCGGAGAACATATCAAATCCTACAACAATGTAAATATAATTACATCCATAATATATAATCAACGCGAGGATTTCCGTGAGCCCTGGAACTGGGCTAGTAGTGCGTTGTGTCAGTTTGATCAAGGCGGCTTTTCCATGATGTCAAATCGAAATTGGTTAGGAGCTCATGAGGAATTGGCTGGACTATTTACAATTTACCGCAAGTTTTGATACCGCTTGTTAGAAGAACAGACTGCTCTAGGGACTCCCACTTTCGGTGTATTGCGTGCATGTCACAGAATGCCCACCCTTGGAGAACGTCCATCCCTCCTGTGGTACAACATTTGTTGTTTCATAGACGCCTCTGGAGACAAGACAGAAAAGGGACACTCCAAGTCTTTCCACTGTGACATTATCGCTCGGTACGAGGCCACAGGTCTCGCCTTCTCTGGTCTTGATATCCAGTGCCAGGGATCCAAAAATGGGACTGAAGGTTTGCAGAGCAGACTATCAGGGTGCCTAATTTCTAGGACTGGCAAGCATGCCGTTGTTGTTGTTGTTAGAAGGTCAGAAGGCCATGTGTTTTTTTCTTCTTCTTCTTCTTCTTCTTCTTCTTGATCTCCTTCATACTTTGCCATTCTCTCCTCACAGCCCAACTGCTGACGTTTTCCCAGGGACCATCATCTTGAGATTTTACCTTAGACTCAGGGTCTTGAGCTGGACGAGCTTCCTCTGCTGCGTTGATTCCATCTGTTCCCCAGGTCATAAACTCTGGCATTCTTTCTGTCTCTACAGCACCAGATATTGGCGATAGCGCCCAGGCAGTTTTAGACAATGCTCCGACATAAATTTCGCCCAAGCAACTGCGTATGCCCTCCTTTCTGCCACGGCCCAGGCTCAGAGTGCCCCCGGACACTATTTTCGACTGCTGTTTTTCTGGAATTTAACAACTCGGCCAGATCCTGCCACATCTTCCATTGTGCCCACCACTAGGTTGCCGTAATCTCTAATCTCAAAGGTGTCAAGAAGCTGTGCGCAATGGCTCCGATATAGCAGCACATGATATGACGGTGGCTGGAAAAGCCAGAGAGTTCTCGTCGTCGTTGTCGGACGAGGTTGATGAATCCAGAGCAGCGATGAAAGTATTCTGTTGCCTGCCATCGATCTCAATTTTTTGCCTGATATCAACTCTTGTTTGAATGGTTATTAGACGGTCTGTGAAATTGACTTACCGAGCTGAACTCACAAGCTCAGCCTGCCGCCTTAACGGGCCATGTTGACGAAGCGGGATATATTATGCAGGGTTAGGCTGCTGCAGCTTTGTACCCTCGGGACAATTACTTGCTGCGACTTGCAGGCAGTACACTAGTTGCTCTATCATGAATCCATGGGCTGAGTTTAGCCAAATGGCACCAATTCATTTACATGTGGTAAAATGATTTGAATTTTATCTGGTCACTTGTGCTATTAAGCACTCCAGTCTGCTGGGTATCTTCGATATTTAACTATCATCATCGAGTAATATCCATTCATATTCAGCCTTTTTCTTCGTAAGTTATCATTCTTATCTCGTTAATCATTCATCGTGACTTCATATCTTCCGGATCTTAATCAACATACCTCGCTACTTTCTGTTCTCTGCTCTATTCGTGCCTCCTCCATTCTCCAGTGGCCCTTTCTATTTCCGCATCAACCCACTCCCGGCCCAGTACGTTGGCATCCAAGTCCCTAATCCTAGCGTAAAACTCGGCTTCCTTTCCCGCCCGCCGCTCGACCTTGTTTCGGAAGTATTCCAGGTCATCATTAACGACAGCATGTTTGAAGTACCTACGCATACGACTCGAATACAGCTGACAGGCTGCGAGGTCAAGCTTCTCAGTTCTATAAAATTCCGCCTGGATACCACCAAAGTCACGCTCAATCTGTGAGCTCATGACTTCGTTAAAACACTCCTCACATGCGGTGAAAGCAGGAACTGAGCGCATGCTGTACCACTTGCGTTCTCTTATGGGCAGGCTGCCGTAGCACTCGTCGATAAGGGACAGCTCGCGAACTTTATCGGCGAGTGCGTGCATGTCTGGCGCGCTGCTGGCCTCCAAAGCTCGGTCCGATGCTGTTTCCATCAGGTCGAAGTAGTCCACAAATCGTTTCCGCGGGTCGCTCGAGGAGACGTATTGACGCATAGAGCAGATGCCATTCCTGGCTTCTGCTGGTGAGTCCATAGGAACAAAGACTCCAGAGAGGTTGGGCAGCAACGTCTCAATGCTCTTGGCACAATACTGACATGTATTGAAGCCACGAACAGGATGCTGCGTCGCAGGGTCCTTGATTGTGTACCAAACGTGAACAGCTGGTTGTGTTCCCGAGCATGGCCGGTGAGATGCCGTGACATTATTGAGGCCTTGGAACAAACGCAAATCTGGGTGACGATACTTATGCGTCAGTAGCCAAGCGATCCGATACCACATGGTTCCACCCAGGTCGCACTTGAGTGGCCGATCACGTGGTCGGAATGGCGCTGGTACGAAGGCGTTCCGCCATTCTGTGTCCCCGAAAGCTGACTGATAACAGGCAGGGCAAATATTAAAATTGTTGCACCTGGGCAACGTAAGCCAGTCCATGTGTCCGGCCTCCTCTCTCGTCCTAGAACAATCAGGAAGATCCGGAAGATCCTCCTTCCAGCCTTCGGAATATCTTCTGTATGAAGGAAACCACCTGTCTCGCTGTACACCGTCTTTGATAGGGTCAAATTTGTGTGGCTGCCAAGAACTGCGCTTCGAAGAATTTGATGATGACGGTGTCGATGATGACGAGGACCTCGAGTCCGGGCCCGTGTCAGTGGGCACACGCGGTTTTTCTGACACTGGTATTCCAGATGACCGCCGGTCACTTGGACTCACAGAATTCTGTACGGCTACAGCGGCAGCGGCAGTAATGACAGGGATGGCAATGGGTGCAGCTGAGTTAAGTACAGATCGTGCTGTAGAAGCGCGTGAAAGTGGCCTCGAAAGTGGATCCTCTTCCCCGGGGTATTTTGTGTAGACTTTCTGGTTGTCTCGGATAATTGGGAAAGTCGCACTTCGAGGGCTCCGTGACAAATTATTTTCGTAAGACTCGGGGAGTAGCTCTCTCTGCGACACACGTGGAGATGTAAGAGGCGTGCTGGGCTTTGATCTCCTGCCATCCCGACTTGTCTCCACGGGCGTCGAGAGATGGCCATTCCGTTCTTCACGAACAAAAGACTTGCCACGTCGATGTTCAGGCCGTCGCTCATATTCTTCCTCGCTTGAATAGCGAGAATCCTCGTAGGGAGACGATCCTCGTTTACTCCTAAAACTTGATGACCGAGGTCTTAAAGACTCACGATCTGGACGTGATGTAGCAGAAGATGAGCCAGTCCGACTTGTTTTAGATGGACGCTCAGGATACGAGCGAGGTTTCTCATATCTGGAGTAATCTTTGTTGTATGCCATTGAGCCTTCTTTAGATGTCCTTCTAACATTTCGCGGCGGCTCAGGATCTTGTCGAGGATCTGGACCCGTCGAATAAGAGCGCGACATACCCTCATCGGGCCGTCGTTGAGATCGCTTGTTGTGCGGGTCTTCGGTCTGACTTGTCCTAACCCGTCCCTGGTTTGGGGTTGTTGCTCCGCTGTAGTCATAGTACATCCGATCACGTCCCTTCGTAGAGTGTTTGATGACGTCTGGGCTTAACATTGTATTCTCTTGAAGTCGTTGCGAGCTGCGACGTGGTGAAAAGTAATCGTCTGGCCCAGGTTCTACACCAGCAGCAGATCGAGACCTCCGGATGTCGTCTCGGCGGTCATGCCCACGTCCCTCGCGATCAAATTCAGTCACAATCGAGGGCAGCTCTTCCAGTCTGCTCTTGCGCCTCTGCCGGCGCTGGCCACGTTCATCTTGCTCGAGTTTGGGTTTGTTTTTGTCTTCCTCTCCGTCTGGTGCAACCAGAGTGAATTTTCGACAGGTATTTGCCTCGTATCTCTCACTGTCTTTGGTCGGGGAGGTGTTTGCGGCCCATCCATCTGTTCGCTTGCTTTTGGCAGACTTCTTGAGCTCATCGCGTGCATCGTCCGTAGCAGACGACGAGTTTGGGACGAAAACAAATCGTCGCTCTGGGTTGTACTCATGTACAACGTCAATCAGGGAATCTTGGTCGGGTTCCCCACGATGCTTTGGTTCCTCTTCGGGATGGGCTGAAACAACAGAGCCATGTTCCTTCGCGATGGATTCGACCTCGTCCTCAACAGTCGGGGCTGGCGGGTGAAACGAGGGCCGCCGAAGGTCAGTAGGATACTCGGTTGAATGCGAGGATCGGGGCACGGAAGAATCGTTGTACGAGTAAAAGGGACTATAGTAGGCGCGATGTCTCAGTCAATTGTGGTCAGAGTATCATACTGATGTTCTGGAGTAGTACCCCGCCGACGGGTTGGATCGTCGGCTGTCTAAGCGACAAGGTCGACTGGGATACATTGAATTAACAGCGGTGTTGACTTACAGCCTCGACGACCTCGACGGCCTTGGATCCGGGGTCGCCCTCGAATTTGCCCAATAGCCGTTCTGCAAGAAACTGTCTAGGTCATTGCCTTCCCGCATGATGTCGATGTCAAGGTGTGGAAGGGCTCTTAGCACATCGCAGGCTAGGGTGCCTAATGAGAGAGTGGTGGCAGGCAGATGCAGCTATCAAACCGCCCGACCGACTCCACAGCCTTACGAATCCCTTTGCTTCAGTCGGCTCTTTCACCACTTCCTCACAAGAGCAAATTCAAGGCGAACAAGGCGACAGACAATAGTGTCGTAGCAACTCTAGGTTAGTGAGGTACTTGGCCAAGTAAGAAGAAAGATTGACAATGCAAATATGTGTTTCTCAGATAAGATGTAAGCTCGGGTTTTGGGGTGAGTCGTTCTCGGCTTATTCTTGGTGGGCTATGAGAATAAGGTTGAGAGGGGCCTTGACCTTCAGCTTTTGAATACGGCAACATGAGGCGGTGCCGTTTCAACATGAATACAAAAAGAACAAAAATGCCGATAGCTCGCCCCAGTCAAACATGATAGTTCGGTGTTAGAACTGGAAGTCGCTCACAGACATGGATCAGCATTTTGGCCATCTGGGCTGCACTGCATCCACTTGGAGCGACACGAGCTCAAGCATTCTCCATGACGAAGCAACATTTGTACGCGCTCTTATGCAGTGGAAGCAGTCAGAGTTGACTAAGGTTAGTCTAGCTGCGGCTGTGCCAGGCGCTCTAAAGCCAACAACGGGTTTCTAGTCGGCGCAGCTCAGTGGGTGCTAGAAGTCAAAAGAGACCAAGGTGGAGAGACTATGGGTACATATTCGCAACCCCTCACTAGAATACGTATAGTATACCATTTTACCTTGTAACTGTGTATGTGCTCTTTTTATCGAATAATCTCATGTGTATAATCACGGATTTTCGGGTATTTCCCATACTGTAGTGTCAACCATGCGGGCTACACAGTATGATCCCTTGCTGCCCGTCTCCACTATGCTTCAGTGATCGCGGAATTTTCATGTTCCTGGCACCTGTGGATTCTATGCTGGGTATGAGTTTTGCACAAGCCATTTATGCCGCTTTCGCCAAAACACTCGCTCAAGCACCTATCAAGCTTGATTCGCGTGTCTCCCATCTGCCGTACCGCAGCTAGGCGTCCATCCGAGCCGCCAAGTAGGTCTGTCTTATGGCAGCATCTCCTTCCTAATGATTTCGCTTGTCAAGCTCACCGGGAACAAACCGGGCGTTGGAGAACATTGTGGAACAGACAACGGATACTCGCAGATTGATTGATGGCTTCAGATGCCGCCAACAACATGTCCAGGCGGCGACATCAATTTGATTCTCACTTACCATCATCCCACATCTGAGGTTCGATCGGGCGATATCAAATGGCGTTGGGCTCGTTGTGCGAGAATTTTACCATTTTGAATAGTTTGAGACATATCCGACAAGATGACATCGCAGATTGGGGCCCCCGTATAGGGACTAGGGATCCGGGACTTTTCTGCCAATCTGGTTTGCTCAGGTGTGATGCTAACGCAATTAGCATGAGTGATGATACCCACCCCTATGCATAAAAATGCCGGAGGCAGCGCCGTGCAGATGAGACTATGAAGTCATCCACAAGGAGCCGCACCTGTGATACTAAAAAGTCACTCGCATACGCTACCGTCGAATTGCATATGGTGCCTTGCCAATCGTGCGAGATTGTGTTGGACATACTACTTTCGGTATTTGTTGTGTAGTTCAGAAACGCCTCTGTGTTCCACAGGTGCTCATAATCCTGCATCAAAGGCGTGTCATACACAGCAAAACGTTTCTGCATCGCTACCCAAGTTAAATTGTACGACTTGTGTGCGACAAGTTTCCAGGCTCGGATCCGTTGCCGCGGTTGACAGTTTGATGTATCATGTATCGTTGATAGATTTCGATGGACTGGGACTGGGACTGATAGAGCTGTCATGTAGCGTAACTGCAACGCCTCCTCCACGTCAAGACTTCGCGAAGAATCTAACCTAGAATACTTTTATTCAAGCAAACCAGGATCACCACGATAACTGTATCTCCTTTTATAGGCTCATACGCCGAGAAAGCGATATGGTTATTGGCCACGGGACATATCCGAACGAGCTGTGGAAGCACCACACCAGTATAACAAGAGATGCGACGGTGGTTCGGGGAGTGAACTTACATCAGATGATCACAATTCTATCAAAGTCGAATCATGTTCGTTTACCAGCAAGGTTAATATTCTTGGACTGCCACGAACTAGTGAATGTGATATTGCCCATGCTGGGGTGATTGTGTTCCTTAAGCATGGCCGAATACTCTTGGCGTCCATGATGAGCGGGCTTCTGCATTACCGCTGTGCTTGAAGTTGTGCCAACTTATTCTCGTGGTCAACTCTGACCGTTAGAATTGAGAGCGCGATTTTGTGAATCAGATGAAATCGGGCGTCGAAAGGCAACCACGAGGCACCAAAAGGCAACTGCCTGTCGAAGTTGCAAGTCCATCCAGGCTGTTCCATTGATATTCTCTAGGGCCACAAAATGGCTGTAATTAGTCACTGCATGGGACTTGAGAACGCTGCAGTTCGACTGAACGTGAGTGCTGATCCTGCCTAGTGCAACCCTTGTCATCCCCAAGTTCGACACATCGAGCATTGGGTTCATGGGCCTCCCCCCAGCTCTCCCAATCATCCATGACTGACATGAGCAGCCTCGGTTTTGTTTGGCCACAAGCGTCCGGGGGTGTATGACGAGTATTCTCGCGATATGGAGGGATAGGAGAAGCAATCGACGCCAACACCACGATCGAGGCGGCTCAACGTAACTCAAGAATTCTGGCAACCGTATGTTAGACGCACCCCTGAACGTGGCAAATGGCAAGGTTTCTTACTTAAAGACGCGGTTTCTAGACAGGGCATAACCGCCGTTTCGATGGTTCGCATGAGAAGCCTAGCCAAGGGACGCAGAATCCAGTACCAGTAAGCACCGTTATTAGCCACATGCAAGTATGGCCAGAAAAACTGTCTCGTGACTTCATTTAAACAATGATATCGACATGACATCAAGTCACAGCAGTCACCAGAGATGACCAATGTGGCCTTTTCCCCAGACGAATTGGTTCGCTGATACAACAGGCCCGGCCTACGATCTGACAACTTCTGCAACTGGCGAATCCATATCAAGCGGCGTTAGAACGGCGACGTGGCATGCTACGCACCCCCTGTCCTTGTACACATATAACAATCCCCACGTAGGCTTCGCAAACTATGCGGAAGTAGGCTACGACGAAGCGTCACAGTCCTGTCATGCCATGGTATGTACAGTTTGGCAGATGCCGTATGGTCATCGAAAGCATGAGCAGATTCGAGAGGAATTATTCGATCCGAAGTAACATCAAGCGGCAATGACACCAGGTATGGTTAAATGTGATAGCACAAAATGTTGGTCTTGCCTATCATCGCACTGTCCAGACTATGTTTAGTGGTGCGGGAGCACAAATGTCGTAATACCCATGGCGCCTGCGGCTAATATACCTTTAACGTCAGCATAGGGCGAGGAGAGTTGGAAAAATGCAAGGCGATGATTGAGGCAGCTTTGGTGCGGTCGTGACAATGTGATATTAAATGGGCCGTGAATCTAGATCAACCAGATCACAGGTGTTTTTGATGTCTCCCCAAAAGAACCTGATTGATCATTGAATCAAATCTGCCGTGCTCCTGCTATGTGACGGGCGTACCTTTCACAGCAGCCGTGGGACGGCAAAACGAGATTTGCTTGCTGTAGAAAAACTTTACCAGCTTAAATATAAACCAACACATTTTCGCGGTTTCACCATTTATATTCTTCAAGGTTGGATGAGACAGCTATGTTACAGAATAAAGTGAACGAAATAGATGGGCTGGTAAGCCATACGACCAAGTTTAGGGACTTAAGGTGACAGTTGGAGAGATTATGATATTGAGACCTTCACCGATGTGGACATTGCGGCGGACTCATTCCTGTCAGATTTGTTTCCAGAGGGAATGGTCAGGTTAAAAACATTGGAGATGGCCACTGTCTGTGAAATGCAAGGTGTTGAGTTGATGCTCCTCCTTCTACGTCGCCTAATACTTTAGACAGGTTACCACCACTCATTATGCACCATGGTTTCCTCTCTTAGGCTGCATTTCCTATGCATGATGGCGGCGGCGAAATCGACTTGGCGTTGAGTGTTCACAACTTTTTCTTGCGAGGGCGTCGGCAATTTCAAACAATGGCGGCTTCCTACGTAGTAGGGCAAATCATAAGGACTGCCGTGAGCATCCAATTAGATGACCAATCACACGCCTAGGTCAAGTACTGCTCAATGTCTTTGTCCTCCTCGTCCTCCTGGAGCTCCTGTAGTCTCTTTTCCTCGGCATCAATAAGCTTCTTGAGCATGACCCTTTGCCTCTTGCGAGCCTTCTTTCCCCAATCCGCCGATGTAGTAGAAGCGGTCGCGTTCGGATCTGCCACCTCGTCGTCATCGCTTTCTTCTGGGATCTCGACCTGTCCTCTTAGCTGATTGGGGGATATTTCGGCTGCTGGATCCTCTTGGTGCACCTTCTCAAACTGCTTTTCCTGGTATTTTGCGCCAAGCTTGACGAAATATGGTCTCACGAGGAGGTATGTCCCGACGATCATGATGAGCCGTATCCAGTGCTTCAATGTTAAGGTCGAAAAGGAGGCAGTGAGGTTCGTCGTAAAGCGCTCAAGGACCATGCCGAGGAGGCCAAAGAGTTGTTGGACTGATTCCCCCAAATGGGCGAACAAGTCCTGAAGTTCTGTCGCCGACATGGTTCTGGGTGTATTTTGCACTGGACGTACAAGAGGGAGACGGCGGTATGTAGTAGAATAAGGATAGGCTGTAACAATTACAATCCGAACAGGGACAGAAGGAAGGTCGAGGGATAGGATGAGGCTTTATCTGAGCCGGAGAAACCGGGGGGGAGTCTTTTGAAATATATTTCGCGCGAAGCTTCGAGGTCATTTGAAACTTTCCGAGCGCGATAAAACGTCGCTGGCAAGCTTCATAGCGCGCACTAAGCAACGTTAGTGCGACTTCCAGAACCTTGCAGAGCCCTGAGCTGAGCTGAGCTGCCGAGGCGATTTTTGGTTAGAGACTGGCCCCCGCCTACCCACCCCACCTTTATTACATTACCACTTAACGCGATGGAGACGCGCCTGGAATAGGACTGAAACATCGTCACTACTTGGACCATACCGCATTGTTCCAACCCTGGCTGATTGACATACTTCATGGCAGACGAGGCCAATGACGAGGTTCGTGAGGTTAGTACTAAGTATTGCTAGAGAACTTGCAGCTTATTTCTTTGGTATTTTTTTTAATATCTCTCTGACTCATTCACTCCAACAGCGCCTCAAAGCAGCTATTTGGTTCGCTGTCGGGAAAATCGCCGACGAGGAGTCTCTCAGAAGGAACAGAAATGTCACGCCTCAATTCATCGGCGCTTTGATGGAGATGGTTTGGTTACAAATTGGTATTTACTCCACTACCCACTGTGATGTTATCCATGACTAATACCTGCCTAGAAAGCGTAGCAATGGACCTGGAGAGCTTCAGCCGCCATGCTGGCCGTTCCACCATTACCACAGATGACGTTCTGCTTCTTGCCAGACGCAACTCAGATCTGCATGGTATCATCAAAGACTTTGTGGACAAGAAAAAGGCTACCAAGGGAAAGGGCAAGGCCAAGAGGTGAAATGCCTAAACGACACGAGACTATGCGGGATTGGTCTGCGCGTGGCGGAATATTTGAGCACAATGAAAAAGTACGTGATTACAAGGATTGACACAAAGCTATCAACGTAATAACTGTGCAGTCCCATGGCAAAGATCAAACAGCTCCCAAGCACATTTGGGGAGTTGTTCTGCAAGGCGATAATACTACTGCATCAAAGCAAGGCCGGACCTTGACTGTGATATCATTTGCTGTACCAATCGGACTGTTTTATGGTCAGTACACTATACACCGTGACTTCAAAAACGCATCAGCTTGGTCCACTACCGCTTCACCACAGATGATAGGTCTGGAAATATCTGTACACAACCATGCGTGCCACTGTTTCTCATTGTCTAGACCGGCAGCTTTTCAAGCGATCAGTATGCAAACGGTGGAAACAAGACCTCCTGACCGAGCTCATCGTAAACATGCCACTGTTTCCATACGACATAATGAGACAAAGCCGTTGGAAGTATTAGGTGGTGATATGGGATTGTTGATGAAAGACCGAAGGATAACAGTATGTAATGGGTAAGTGTGGTTATACACAATGAACCATGTTAAGTAGTAACGACGACGGAAATTTCAGCAGGCGCGCAAAACCCCTTGTATCCGGTGTTTAGCATGCTACAACCACAAACGACTTGTTCACAAAGCTGCATGTGTTAAGCAGACTTAGTTGCCATGGTGAGTATCGTGCTTCTTGGCAGTCAAATGGCTGCGGAGTAGATGCAGAATTGGCGCTTTGCCCGAGTACAATTGGAGACCTCAAAGAGGGGAACCCCTGGGATATATACGTCTCTAGTTGTCTAAGGCAAGCCAAAACAAAGACACGTTGTTGTTCCCGAGTGGAATTAATTCTAGGATAGTAGTAATTTCGTTGATGTAAGATTTTATTTTATTTTAATTTTTTAAACATATATTAGAGGCAAAGCAGCGGAGATTATCTTAGCCTTGTCACACAAACGGAGAGATGCATCGCTTTTTCGGACTGGCTCTTCCCACAGTTGTCGCGGCATTCGTGAACCAGACTTTTGAAGCAAGGTGCGAGGCTTTCCAGCCCGAGCGAGCTGTTTGGAACTCGACCAGGACACAGCTACAATATGTCCCGGCTGGTACGAATTTGACTTTCCCAGACCACGACACGACATGTAACCGCAATAGCCAAGCTGTACCAGTCAACCTGTGCCGAGTTACCCTGTCGATTCCGACATCAAACAGGTCAAGTATAACTCTCGAGTTGTGGCTCCCAGAGATATGGACAGGTCGGACATTGGCCACTGGGAATGGCGGCATAGATGGATGTGAGCATTTACGTAGTCCGGACATAGATATACACGCAACTCGAGATGCTTACTCTTGTCCAAACAGGTATCAAGTATGAGGACATTGCGTATGGTGTTGCCAACGGGTTCGCGACAGTGGGGACAAACAATGGTCATAACGGCACCTACGGCGATGCATTCTACCACAACGCGGATGTGGTGACTGATTTTGCCTGGCGATCGTGAGTAGTGACATGCAACACTGCGTCCATATTTGAATAAGCGGGGTCACGGGATAACACTCTTATACAGACTGCACACATCCGCAATTGTGAGCAAGAAACTGGCGGCAGAATTCTATGACTTGCCATTGGGCAAGTCATACTACATAGGGTGTTCCTTGGGCGGCAGACAAGGCATCAAAGCTGCGGAGATGTTCCCCGAAGACTTCGACGGTATTGTCGCAGGCGCGCCAGCCGTTGACTTCAACAACTTGTACTCCTGGCGCGCGAGTTTCTTTCCTCTTACTGGTGCGAGCTCAGATTACAACTTCATCTCTGCGAGTATGTGGAACACTACGATCCACGAAGAGGTCTTGAGACAGTGTGACGAGATCGACGGTGTTAAAGACGGTATCATTGAGGATCCTACAGTATGCCACTTCGACCCCCAAGCTCTACTGTGCCAGGGCGACAGCAGCACCAATTGTCTCAATAGTACACAAGTAGAGATCGTGGGAAAGGTGTACAGTGACTACCTTTGGCCGAACGGCAGCGTGGTCTTCCCCGGTATGCAACCGGGGAGCGAGATACAAGCTGCCACAGGATTGTATTCTGGTCGTCGCTATGCTCCATCATATGACTGGTTCAGGTTCGCTGTCCTCGAGGACCCTGACTGGAACGCATCCACATACACGATCGCAGACGCTGCGATTGCGGACGAGAAGGACCCCGGCAACGTTCAAACCTGGCCATCCTCGCTTGCCACTTTTGAAGATGCAGGCGGAAAGATCGTGTCTTTCCACGGCATGCAAGATCAGCAAATCACCAGTTTCAACTCGAAGCGATTCTACGAGCATTTGAGTTCCGGCATGGCGTATAGTTCAGCGCAGATCGACAACTTCTTTCGGTACTTCCGTGTCCCGGGTATGTATCACTGTAATAGTGGACCCGGCGCCTGGGTACTTGGTCAAGGTGGTAACGCACCTTCAAAGGGCATTCCATTCGATGCCGAACACAACCTTCTAGCCGCCATAGTGGATTGGGTAGAGCTAGGAGCGGCGCCGGAAACGATGCTAGGCACCAAATTCGTGAACGACGATGTTAGCCAGGGGATTGCGTTCACTCATCGACATTGCCGGTGGCCGTTGAGAAGCACATATCTTGGAAGCGGCTACGAACCTCTTGATTATAATAGTTGGGAGTGCTCATAGTGACTGGATCTGATTATTTGGTGGTGAGCTATTCCCATGTGGGAGATTATTTTAACAACATCCACTGAGTGTCCTTCCTACGAAATGAACGGCTACTAGACCAGTCGAATTCAGAAGTCAAACAGCCGTAGTGAGAAATCTAGCTTTTGTTGGCAGAACAACTCTGAGATGAACGGACTGGACGTCCACGATAGTGAGCAAACGATAAGCATGACAGCTTGTGCGAGTGTCTGAATCTTTCTCGCAGCCACACTGAGATATTCGAGGCTCGATGGCTTGTTACCAGGTAGATGGTATATAATGCGAGGATTATTGCAGACGTGCGCTTTCAAGAATTTACGTTTCATACAGAGCGCAAGATTCTGCGTCCGTCACTTGTACGCGAGAGTTAGGCACAAGCGTTCGTGCACTCGCAATTTCACAATTAATTAAATAGCAAGAATGGTTCGCCTTCCGCACAAGGCCAAAGGCCACCTCTGAATAGCTTAAGTGTTACATTTGGCTCAGTGACTGCTTATGTTATACGCTAGCAAAACCGAGTTGGCAATCGGCTTTGGAGTCCAGACCGTGAAGAGAGCTCTTTCTGCCATATTATATATGGAAGGGGTTCAGGGGCATATGGAGATCTGCATGCACTAGCTGGGCCATGTTGCTAGCCGGCGTTGTTTACCTGGTAGAGTATCCGCTCAGCACCAATGCGGGCAAAAAGCCGGCCGACACCATTAATTTGTGCAACTCCTCCATGATGGGTTGCGAAGTCGCCCAAAAGGCGGGCGTTCGGCAAATGAAGAGCTCCGACTTCTCTCAGCTACAAGCCCGGCCGCCCCTCGGAGTCGCTCGATTTGACAGCTGCGTTTACACGTGATACGGTTTTATAGGATATCTCTCGCGATACTGAGATCCATACATACGAATGTGACGATGCTGTGCCTCCACTCTTTCTGGGCGTACGCATTTGTCCTAACCGCATTCACCGTAGGAGGTGTGCACGCCGGCGCTCAAATAGACTGCGTCTTAAAAACACCTAACGGTCGTATCGTTGGCCATCAAAGTGATACCCAGCCGGGAGTGTGTGAGTTCCTTGGCATCCCGTATGCCGCCGCTCCTGTTGGAAACTTGCGCTTTGCGCCTCCAGAAGCGAAGAATCTCACGGGAGACTTTGTCGCCAATACATGGGTGAGTTGTCGATCATTGTGAGCAACTTCTCGACAGTGTTGTTTAATCATTGTCAGGGTGCCGACTGTCCCCAAAATCCTTCATCGCTTTTCGCATACCCGAATGCTACCCCTCAGTATAGCAGTGTGTTCACCAGTTTTGTCAGCACGACGACAACCAACCACACCCAAAGTGAAGATTGTCTGAAGCTCAACATCTGGGTAAAGGCCAAATCGCTGAACATAAGCCAGCCTGTACTTGTGTGGATCCATGGAGGAAGACACAACTCTGGCACTTCTAATACACCATTCTACAACGGTGCCAACTTTGTTGCATCTGAGAATGCTGCTTTTGTTACCTTTAACTTTCGCAGTAAGTGTTTCCCAAGTCGATATTTTATCTGCTTTCTTCATATGTGGTTAGAGCATGTTCTGCCTTGCAGATATACTTGCGCCATTGAATGCATTCGTAATGCCCCGGAGAATCATCCAGGCTGTTTTGGAGGCAACTGCTAATTCTGATGGTATGTCAGTGAATATATTTGGCTTTCCCGGAGTTCCTGAAGGAACCCAGAATGTCGGCCTCCTTGACCATCGTGCCGCTGTGCAGTGGGTGCACGATAATGTCTTACCAACCAACGTAGCCCTGTTTGGACAATCCTCTGGTGCCGCAGCAGTAGCCAACTGGGCATACGCGTTCAAGGATGAACCGTTGGTAGCAGCGGTCGCTTCACACTCGGGGAATCAGTTCTCCTTCCCGACAAACACTCTTGAGCTTGCTGCGAGCAATTGGTACAATGTCTCAGGCGCACTGGGGTGCGGTACAACGGGAGCCACACTCGAGTGTATGCAATCGCCAAATATCACATTTCAACAAATTCTTTCCGCAGCGAAAAAGGTGCCCGTCGTGCCCACAAACTCGCCGACACGTTCCCAGCCTCAGTTTCAGGCGACCCAGGATAACAAGACGTGGTTCTCGACCGAGGAGTACATCTCCCGGGTCAGGTCTGGCGAGATCGCCCGCATCCCCTATCTGCAAATCCATGGTGACCACGAATCCGGATTTTACAGGATTTCCGCTTTGGCACAGGGGAACAACCTCACGGAGGAGGTATGGCAGAAGTTTGAGCGGGAAACATTCACATGTGCCGCCGCAGCTGAGGCGTTTTACCGAAGTCAGCTAGGTATTCCCAATTATCGACTTCGCAATATGGCAGATTGGGAGAATACGCGTCTGTACGACACGCCTTCTAGTGGTGCTTATCATGGCGTTGAGATACACATGATTACGGGAAATTCGGAATTGGTCAGTGGTACGGCACCGACTGCTGCCCAGGTCAACCTTACCGCAAACCTAGCAAGCTGCTGGTCAACCTATGCAGCTGATCCAGTCGACGGACTGGCGGGTTTATTTGGATGGCCACATTATCAAACAGGTGCAGAAACCCTTGGCCTTGTTGGTGCTGAAAGCACTGCCGATATCGAATTTGTCGATGCAGCTATGTACGATACCTTGTGCCCAGCTGCCGACTTGGACTACTGGGACGATGCGATTCCAGTTCGAAAAGTTCATTGGCGCACACCAAATTTCTCATGATTAACGATGTGGCTAGCCTGCACACGGAAACTACTTATGGAAACCGCGAAGTCGAGTTCCGAATTATAAAAATAAAATTCTACCTAAGAACATGTGATTGACACGTGACCTACTTTGCCTCCATTAGAATGGTCCTAGACACTTCGAACTCAGCTGAATGGAAAGGATGGGCAACTGACGGGGATCGACATAACAAGGCATATGCTGCATTAAACCTTAAATCTGCACATGTTTAGCAATCGGTTCAAAGCTGAGATAGTGTCCCTCTCATCACATGCATGAACGTGCTATCGGTGGTAGTGAATAACTAGTACCATACCATGACGGTATAGTTCACGAGAATATATCAGAAGTAAACGATGTGTCTCACACATGTAAACTTGGCAGTCATGCAGTCATCTGAAAGCTTTTGCTAGGAAATGACGGTAAAGACTATAAGCCTTGGTTCAAAAGAGTATCAGGAGAAAAAAGAACCGGGCACAACAAGATGACGCGCATTACTTCGTCCGGGGCTATCGAAAAAATCTGACGCCGCCTGGCTTGCAGATGTTGCTCCGCAGGTCAAAGAGCGCATCTACAGACCATCGCAGACCTATCATGACGAAGCTCGAGAAGCTTGCTGGCTTACTAGATCTGCATCCGTCAGAGTTCCACAAACGGCGCCGTCGCTAAGTTAAGAAACTATGTAGCAAAGAGATAACAAATTCTTGGCTACTAGATTTGAAATTACTGTGCTCCCGCCGCGTGCAGTGGTGGTGTGAATAAGCTCACCCAAAGCGTCAAGGTTATCGACCATCTGCCGACGGATCGGGTGGATCGGGACTCAGCTTCTACGGCGGGCCCATAACCCCTGGGCCTCGTTTCCTTGTGGCGTAGGTGGCAGAGACGAGAAAAAATGGGAGGCAGCCACCACAAGAGCGGATCAGATGCGGAGAGCACAACCCAATCAGCTCTGATTTTTACATGATGTCATGGTTGGCGTGGCCCGCCAAGCTTCTGACGTTTCGTCACTGGAGGGCTTGGAGGGGCAGCAGTAATGCAGGGACTTGCCCCAGAACGAATGTGTGAAGGGTTGACGAAACAGACTTCCAGGCTATCCGTCATCGCCACAGCTAGTTCATCGGCCTTCGGCAGGATTGGACGCAGACGACGGACACCAAGGCAAAGAACAAGAGTTCGCTATTCGACGTCAGCTGAGATTAGGATAGGATGATCGACCGGCACGTCACGTCCGGGGACCCAGTTCTATTATGGCTCTGATGTATTAATTCTTGCTCTTTCGCAACCAGTTTCTCACGGGGGCTTACTCTCTAGCATTCAATCACCCATCACCACTCTACTGAACTCGTTCTATTTAAGGAAAAACGCTTACAATTCTGTCATCATGGGTGCTAAAGGTGGTCTCGCCCTCAAGTCCCTTCAATGGTTCATTCGAGGTATCGAATTTGGTTGTGCTGCCGTGGCTTTGGGAATTTTTAGTTATTTCCTGGCAGCGTTAACGAACAACGGTCTTGGCATTCCCATCTGGTCTAGAGCAGTTGAGGGTCTATCCGGTTCCGCTGTGCTATACACTCTTATCGGACTACTTCTTTTGTGCTGCGTCGCTGGCCATTCAGTCTTCTCTCTCATTGCCATTGTGTTGGACGTTTGCTTCATCGGCGCCTTCATCTACATTGCTATTGAGAACAGACACGGAGCCGGCTCTTGCCAAGGAAACGTCAACACTATCTTCGGCTCGGGCAATTCAGGCAGCCAGATCACCGGTACTAGAGATGGATTCACAAGCCTACCTACCTTCCACCAGGCTTGTCAGTTGCACACTGCTGTCTTCGCCGTTTCTATCATAGCTGCTTTCTTCTTCCTCCTATCTGCACTTGTGGAATTCGCTCTTATGCGTAACCACCGCAAGGAGAAGCGTTTTGGACCCAGCCCCGACAACAACTACACTTCTGGCTCCGGTCGCAAGAGCAGGTTTGGCATGTTCGGCAAGAAGCGTGGCACCAACGCCACTACCAATGACAACGCACTTCCCACTCACACCTCTCCTGACCAGATCCGCCAAAGCTACAACACTGAAACCACCGCTGTTGGTCGTGACAGTACTGCGTTCAACAAGCACGGAGAATCCGGTTACGCTCATGATGGTATCGATACAACTACCGGAGTTGCTGGATATAATAACCATCAGTCTAGTGGTTTGGCCCACAACAACGAGACTGTTCCCCAACAAACTGGATACACTGGTCATGCCGGTGGCATTCCCGAGATCTATCACGGCAACGCCAATGGTCACAGTTATCCCGATACTACAGGCCGAACTCACGCCGCAGTTAGCCACAACCAAGATACTCCTGCTGGATACCGCTACAATGATGGCACATACACCGCTTAAGATGGTGCTCCCTTAATTAAGCGAAACATCTCTCCTGACTTGATTCGAAGATTATGGAGGCCAAAATATACATATATATGAGATACCCGGGTAGTACTAGCACTGGGTACTGACCACGCTGGCTACTGCCACATTTACGAGATACACGAAGCATGTACACTTTGTAAAATTACACATTGTGGTTTCATTAATGGTTAATAATAAGAAACTTTAACTCAACGTGTGCGCCTACATACTATGTGCAATTTTGATGCTGGTTTTCCCCTAACTTCGTACAGTTCTAATGTATTCACTATAAAGATATCTTAGTGAATCACACCACTAGAAAAGGCATGATGTTAACAAACTAGGACACTGATACCCCATAGGATTGGCGTTGTTCACCCGTGAAATTTCTACTCGAATCTCAGGGCAACCGATACATACCTCGATGTGGACATGAATATATCGAGTAATATGCAGATTGAGGAGATAGCCCTTCGGGACCAATCAAGCTTGTCTTTGAAGATACTAGATCATGGGAAATTGCGCGGGTTTTTTTTTGTTTGTATTGTGATGTATTGTTACTTCTTGCTTTTTTTACAATGTGGTCATTGCTGTACATATCGTCCAGGCTAGATCGTCAAGTTTCGCATTGGTTGCATTGAAACAACCAAGGATACAGCCTACAAGACTGTGTGACCTCTTGCTGGACCTTGACTTGCTGCCTGTGCAACTTCTAGTGTCTAGAAAGCATTTAACGCCCCAGATGTGCAGGTTTTCCGTTATTGATCCTATGGCTTGCGGCCTAAGCCCGCAAGCGCCATGGCTCCGCAGCGGTTGTGCCTGGTGGTAACTGGCCCGCTGGGCCGGGCATAGAAGACTGGGAGGAGGCAGAAGCATCACCCTAGCGAGCGTCTCGGCGGCCGAAATCCGTTTTGTACCCCTATACACTCAAGGTTCCTTTCGTGCTGGGTACCTCGCCCTCCTTGCCGGCGACCCTGCTGGTGGCCATCTTAGTGGCGACGGCAAGGGCCTTGAAGGCGCTCTCGGCTCTGTGGTGGTCGTTGAAACCCCGGAGACAGTCGACGTGTATGGTGATCCTTGCGCCCTGCGCAAAGCTCTGCAGGCAATGGGGGATCATCTCGCAGCTCAGGTCGCCGATCTTCTCTCGCTTCAGGCCGAGCTCGACGACTGCAAAGGGGCGGTTTGACAGGTCGACCACGGCGCGAGACAGAGCCTCGTCGAGCGGTGCATATGCGGAGCCGAATCGTGCGAGACCGGAGGCGGATCCGAGAGCTTGGGCAAAGGCATATCCTAGGGCGATGCAAACGTCTTCCGCCGTGTGGTGATCGTCGACTGTGGGGGCATCACGTTAGCCAGTTGAGATTTCGAGGTAGAATGAAGAGCATGTTCAGTGAGCGGAGGGCCGGGCGCGACTTACTGTGCAGGTCGCCCTGGCAGTTAATGGCCAGACTCCATCCAGCGTGTTTGGCGAGGGCATGCAGCATGTGGTCGAGAAAGCCGATTCCGGTGTTTACGGCAATGGTTTGCGACTTGCTGGACTGGCTCGCGTGGGCGTCCTCTTTGGAGAGCAGGCGAGAGTCTGTATCTGGGGGGAAGGAGCCGCCGTCAATGTTGATAGCGAGCTGGATCTTGGTTTCGTTGGTATCGCGGGCGAGGGCGGCCCAGCGGGCTTTGGGAGAGTCTGAACCCATCTTGTATGTCGGGGTATGATCGAGCGGGGATTTGTGTTTACTCAGAACAAGATGTAGAGCAGAGCACCGGTAAATATGAGTGCAATTGGTCTCTGTGGCGGACCGGTTGAAGGAACGGGCTATACAATTTTGCTGAACAGCGCCTTCCACTAATCGGCGCCCGCTGATTCGTACATTCTTGACCTTAGCAGCCAACTAACCGTAAGTTTTTTCTTCTTTTTCGTTTGGCCTCTGACGTTGGCGGGGCTTTGACGCATTCATTGATTTTATCCGTACTGTAGGTACTGTTACATACCTAAACTAAAGCAGGTACCCACCCGACCAATATACTGTACCATGCACTGCTATGATGGATGTACTGGTTGCAAGAAACTGCCCCTTCCGTGATGGAAAAGGTCCGGAGGGTTTTCATGTAAATCTGCTGGACGGGCATGAGCACGAGCACGAGTACGAGACATGCCGTAGGAATTGAGAGTTGAGAGTTGAGAGTTGACCTCGAGTTGCCTCTATTCTACCCAACCTAACCTAGCCTAACCTCAGTCTAGACCACAAGAACCACCCCCCGCCCCATTGTCCCGTCCAAGGTCCCGTATCTGTTATCGATAAGAGATCCCGCCCAAAATTTATTTCCAGTTCCTCCATCGCGACAAGGTTCCAGCGCCCGCCAATTACAGCCAAACTGCCAATTCATCACCTCCCCTCCGATTCATCATCAACAGTCGACAAGATGGGTGTTGCAAGGACCAAGACAGTCAAGAACAAGCATGCCACCAGGGGCTCCGGCATCAGTGGCAGCAAAGCATCCCAGCAGTCTGGCCCTCCCGATGGCGTCGTCAGATCAAGGAAGAAGAAGGAGACCCCAAAGGGCACCAAGCCCACCAAGGGCAAGGGCTTGGCCGCCATGCTGAGGAAGAAGAAGAAGGTCTACTCGGAGAAGGAACTGGACCTCCCCAAGCTGAACATGGTCACCCCCATCGGAGTCGAAAAGCCAAAGGGAAAGAAGAAGGGCAAGGTTTTTGTCGATGATCGCGTAAGTCCAAGTCCCGAGTCCCCAGTCCCACCGGCCTGCGAACCTGTCAGGGGCGTCCTCGCGTGCTGACTCGATCAACCCACAATGTAGGAGAGCATGACCACCATCCTGGCTTTGGTGCAGGCCGAGAAGAACGGCGAGATCGAGTCCAAGATGATCAAGGCACGACAGATGGAGGAGATCCGCGAGGCAAGGAAGGTCGAGGCCGAGAAGAAGGAGGAAGAAAAGAAGTCCAAGCTCGAAGACGTCAAGGACTCCCTGAGGAAGAAGAGGAAGCACATCAAGTCCACCTTCGACGCAGCTGACGACGCCATGGTCAACGAGGCAGTCACTTCTGGAAGCAGGGCGGCGAAGCCCAAGAAGAAGAGGGTAGCTTTTGCTTAAGAGCGATATTGTGTTTCGAAGCATTTGGGAGGAGTTCGGGCGTTATCGTTTCATTGAAGCCAGAAAAGGGGATATATATATACACGTGCTATGAGTGCGAGATGGAAAGATACCCCAAGAATAGCATCCCATATACGACAGATCCAGTCTCTCACACTTCGGGCATTCTCTTGCAGTAGTGCCGACATAAAAACAGCACTTGAGTATAGGAACATCTTGTAATGCCCCCCCACCCCGGGGAAATAACCGAGGGAGACTTCGCAACCTGTGCTGTAAACAACTCACTAGATTAACAAAATAACATTAGTCTCGCTTCGCGTGACATAGCTTCCCATGTGCGACAGATTAAATCCCACGCAAGTTGCCTACTCTTGTCTCTAAAGATATAATATTGCCAAGGTCGATAACATCAGAAGCTCTACTAAGAATGCCAACCCGGAAAGTGTCTATAGAATAAATCAGGGCGACAAGATATCATCACTCGCTTAACTTAGTCTGACATTTTGAACGTTAAAAACAAGGTTTTGGAAGGGGGGGGGGGGGGGAGGGGATGCTTAAATGGTAATAACAATTAATATATAATAAAATACAAGAAGAAACGCTCTCTGAACTTGTCCACTTATATATATTGCTTAGCAAATAATTGTAGCTACTAATAACAGAAAGAAAAATAAATAGATAAACAAAAAGAGAGAGAAAAGGCGGCAGAAATAACAAAACACCATCATGGTCAATTCACTAGGGATGGAGATGGCTTACGGTTGATATAATTCCACGCACACATGCCCAAAGGAGTCGCATATAAAGTCATATATTGAGTTATATTGATCCGCATGTCAAGCCGCATAATTCAGTGGCATATTGAATCAAATACCCGCGTCGTATATGTTAAAGTCACATGTGAGTCGCATATTCGAGTCGTATGCCAAGTTTGTATATGTTGAGTCGTGTATGTGAGTTAGACAAGAACTGGAATCGAACACTGTGACCGTGTCAGCTTTGAGTTTCACGTCGCTTCTGAATTTACTGCGATGCTGTTTCTGTTGCTGGAGTTCTGGTCCATTTGAGATAATAAGCTTTACCGGCTCAGAACCAAGGCAGAGGCGCATGTTCTTTGAGAAAGCTGCCAGCGTCGGCGGTTGCTCGGCAGCAACAATCAAACATTACTTACTCACTTAATGCTTTATTGCACATGGGAGTGGGGAAACCGTCATAAAACAAAACTCAAAGGTACTATTCAAGGCCTTGTCACTACTTAGCTAAACAAGTAGGTCGTGATATGTCGCATTGCCACAGTGTTGGTACTTAGCAGACAGCCAAGACCTTCTTCACCTACCCTACGCAGGCTGCTTTTCTAAAATATGTCTTGCCTCCTTCAAGCCGCTGCAGAAAAATGACAAGTATTTGCACGATGTCAAGGCAGAACCACCAAGTCCTGGTCATAAATAAGCAAGCAGTCAGTTCAGGCTATGATTCGAAGTACCATCCCCATTGGGAGACTCGATAATGATTGCTGAGCAGTTTTGGCTCATGGCCATGCGATGATCTATAGTTTCGACTCGTTTCAAGTTTCCTTTTTCATTTGTACATTAGCTACTCCCCAGACCCGGAATATGTACATCTTGTCCCATTGCACCATACGCTGCATTGTTACATCGGAATTAAAGAGGAAAATATGCTCAGCCACCCACAGCCGGGCATCTCCCAAACTAGCACATTTGTGTCTATCAGAAATCAAAAGTAAACGCCTCTGCCACGTCCCAGAAGTTGAGTTGCGATCAAATCAATGCCAGCATGCTTCTCGTGAATCGTGAAATGGCAACTCCACCAGCCACTCTTCCGCAATCATAAATATTTGAACCATGTCCCCTATCCCATGTTTTTAACCCGCCATTGTTACATTCCGCCTCCATGCGGCATGGCATTCCCGTTTTCAAAGTTTGGCAAGGCTCCACCAGCAAACTCTTGCCAGTCCCAGTCAATATTCATCGGTAACTGCCACATATCCTGAGGCAATAATGCGGGCATGAAGCCAGCAGCGTTTGGATTTTGCATTGGCGGTGAAGCTATCGGCTGGCCAAAGCCTGTTAAGTCATGGAAATTGTTGAAGTCCGGGGTGTCATATATCGGCCCAGTGCTTGGGTAGTCCTGCGGCCATGCATTAGGCCCATCGCGTGGCGCTGAACCGCTTCCTGAATTCGCCGTGTTCATCGGGCTATGGTAATTCGAGTTTGACTGAGGAGTCTGGCTGCGGCGCATGTGGCCTGGTGAACTCACGGGTGGCGAACTCAAGCCCTGCTGCTTGTGTTGATTGTAGTGCGGGGTCGGCGTGGTTTGTGAAGATACTGGCCGTGGCGTAGTATTTGATTGTGGTGCCGGTGTTGGGTTGGCAGGTTTTGGCGGGTCTTGCGTTCTTCTCTTACGCTTGGATCCTTCCTTCTCAGTCTTGTCTATGATCATCTTGGCGATACGCGCAAACTCGGCGCACACACCAAGCATTCGGTGGACACCGCCTGTTTCCGCTTCTTGGCCCAGTGTCGATAGGAATGTCACGACGATGTCCATCAACTTGGTATCTGATTTTGCGCGCGGGTCCAAAGGATTCTGAAGGATGTTTCCAAACAGGGTCATCAATGCAGACACAGGGAAATAGAGGGCAAGCCTGAATAAGTTAGCACAGCGGGCGACTATCGGGATATATGGGAGGGATTTACCAGACACATTGGTTGTCGCCTTGCGGAATATACTTCAGCATGGAAATGGTTGCCCGTGCCGCAGAAGCGCATAGAGCAGCCGAGGCAAAAACTCGGGGGTTCAGTGGTTTCGAGTTCAGACCTTGAATAGCGTAATTGGACAACCGACTCGTCCAATACCCTCTATGCACAGACATGCGGTGAATCGTCGTCAAGCAATTGTAGTAGGAGAAGTGCAACATGACAATGTGCAGAATCAGTGGAGTATGTGAGGCTTTGATCTCGTGTTCCGGCCTGAAGTCGATGGGAATACCATCTTTCCAATCTTCGAGGTCTTTGTCAAGCTCTCCAATGGTGTTCAACAGCTCTCCTTCGGAAAGCTTTGCAGCTTTTGTCGAGTAAAGACGCTTGTACACCTGGCCCTCAATGACAGTCAACTCACACATGACTCTGAAAAGGTTCATCTTTCCCTTCCCGTCAGCGAGAGGTATATTGCCAATATTATCCGCAGGATCGGCGTCGGGAAGTTCGACATTCATATCGTCGTCGTCCTGTGCCGGTGGTCTACCCGCGCGAAGACAGAGTTCTTTGTCGAGCATGTACGCAATCCAGAAGACCCGTTTTCTCTGCTCAGTCTCGATCGGGTTGAGGTGAAAGCCACTGCCTCTTTTATGGAGACCAATGCTGTGCGATAATCTGATGGCTGCTGCAATCAAGAGAAACCCTGGCTGAGGGTTCGGCGTTCCTTGCATGAACAGCGCCATACCAAGCAGAGCCTGGACACTGAGTAGATCGGTGTTCCGCATGGTCAATTCAGAGAATACGCCCATGGCATTTTTCATGTAAGCCCACGCTTTGCTGTCCTCTTCCTCTGGCACAAGCTTGCTCATGACCCGAAGACGATGAGCAGTCGCCAAGGCAACGTTCAAGCTGGCCCACCATCCCGACCCTTCGTAGGGCTCATTAGAATACTGTTTTTCCACAAGGTGCATGAAAGTGGGCTGGTGGAACAGCGGGAACATGCAGTTAAAGTTCTCAAAATAGTCCTTGAGCAAGGACATGGCCTCCGGCTTGGGCGGCAGAGGAATGTATACAGGGCGCCGAAAGACGTCAGCAAAGATCTCGGGCTTCCAGCGGGTCCATTTGTGGTCGTCGATCGAGACTTCGGAGATCATGTTCTGGAAAGCATTATCTCCCGTCCTTGCATTGACCCACTCGATACCTTTGGGAGAGAAGATGGAGAAACCGGACGAAGAGCCTGGGTATCACATGTTAGGGCATCATCGTAAGCACGCTGGTGGAGCATTGAGAGGCATACCAATATATCTAGTCTCTCCGTTGTGGGTAGTGACCAACGAGCACATCATGTCGGACAGCGCCTCAACATCCTCTTCGTTCCTTTCTGGCGCCACAGACGAATTGCGTCTCTTATCGTCATCCTTGTCCTTCTGATTGTCCTTCTGTGGTTCAGGCGATGTTAGTGCGCTTTGCGGGGTCGATGTCATATCGTCCTGGATAGAAGTGGCTTGCGAGGGCGATGTCGGGTTGGACGTGACATGCGACGCCTGTCTAGATCTTTGTTGGGCTTTCTCGGTCAACTTCTTCTCCAGAGTGCCCAAATCAGTTGCGCCATCCTCATCATCCAGTAGGCCTATATCATTTGTCAGCACTCGAAAGTCGAGGCATACGGCAGTGAACCCGAATTTCGACCTGGCTCGAGCCAAGCGAGCTCGCGTCTCCGCGGAATTGGGTGCTCACCGGCAAGTCTGAGAAGACTCTCCATGCGACCGAGACGGTTCTCGAGCCCCTCGATGTACTTGGCGCTACCCACAGGAGTCAATTGCTGAAGGATAGGTGGCATACTCGGCGGTGACTTACCCTTTCGGTGGACTTCGCTTCTTCTCGACCTGCGTGAAGACACAGTCCGTCTTGTAGTTGATGCAATGTGTGCATGCTGGTAGCTTGCCATCACACTTGATCTTCTTCTTCCTGCACATGTCGCAAGCCTGGAGGACTCAATCTCAGCAACCTATTTCTTCCAGCAGGTCCACTCCCGGCACTCACTCTTGCTATTCTCCTTCTCTTGGCGTCTTGGTCGTCGCCCATTAACGCCGAGGGGTCGAACATCTGGAGCTCCGGCGGCAGCATACTGAGTCCATCGGGCATGCCATAGGCGCCGAAGATCTGGGGCGGCTGGTTCGTCAATTGCGGCACGTGCATCCCAGGAATCTGGAAGCCGTTCGGGTCGACTCGTAGATGATCCATGGCCGGTCCTTTCTACTCCTGCTTAATCTCAGGTGGTGATTGCGCGCACTGCGCTGGCTGGCAGATGGATTCCGTCGCTTCCGACGCAGCTCTGAGCGTGCTGGGTGTCGTGGCCACGGCTAGGTATGGGTAGTGTGTATCGTTGGTGCAATGCAAAGGGCAGGCTGAAGCCACGGTTGACAGTCAAGCTTCGGCAGTCATGAGGGACGGCTGTTGGTTAAGAGAGTTCGCACTATAGTCAATCGTCCCACGCACTTGGGCCAGGAGATGGCAGCGCGGGAATGGAGAATTGGGAAAAGAAGTGGGCTGATCAATCACAGTGGTGTGAAGGCAGACGGCGAGGAGCCAACTAAAAACAAGATGCTACGCGCTAATTCGATTTGCTTGATCGGGGGTGTCTCCCTGAATTAAGTGGCTGAGCAAACGCTGCACCGAGCACCCGCAGCGACCCCCAGTGCGCGATGCCTACAGTAATTGTAAACTCCGAAGAGCCCGTTGACGAATTGTTACGTGGGGCAAGCAAAGGATGGCCGCAGAATGCCGGGGCCAGAAGCGATGGAGGGGAAGGGAGGGTGTCTGCGATGGTCAAGCAGGGCGCGAAGAAACTATCTTAGAGCCATTTAACCTTGGAGCGTATTCCGTTGGTTGGCGCATACAGTAGTAGCAAGTACTCCCTCCGTATGACGCTGTGTAATGTCTCGGTTATTTTCCAGGTGTCGGAAGAAAGGATCATGGGCTGATAAACTTCAGCGTTCTGCATGCCAGATGAATGGAGCGGTGCCAAGTTGCTACACAAAGCTTAGAAATACTTATCAGCCCCCGGCCTGACGGCCTGACGGTGTGCTCAGGAGCAGGAGTGATGATCACGCCCGACCGAGCAAGGTAGCGGACGCTTCATTGGTGATCAGCACTGACACTGGGGGCGACGTTCAAGCACACTCCTTCTGCTCCTTACAGTACCCCCATCTACACATGCTCACGTGGGAAGCCACTGGTCATCACGATATGGAGTTTATGGTTATATGGCCACTACTTACCAGCACAAATCGCAGCGTCATTTGTGGCAGCTGACATGCACAAGCTGAACTTCATGCAGACTATCCTGTTGTATCGTCATCAGTAGACTCGATATACTTAATGACTGGACGATCTCTGAGCCGGTTTCTCCTCTGTGTTGAATCGAGCCGCAATGCAACCCTAAGTCTTCCGTTGGAGGCCCTCGACGGTGTCTGTCGTCTGAGAATGCTGATCACTTGGCAGCACACCACTCGTGGTGCCGGGAACCGAGACTAGAGGGCCGAAATTCGCGACTTTCATCCCTTTGTCACATTATGGGCGCCTTGTCACTCAAGATTTGAGTACTGTGTTTTACAGAGGCACTATCACCGCTGGGGTCACGGGAAGATGTGAATTCCTTAAGTCCGTCGTACATGCAAAAAGAAATGCAAAAAGCAACAGCTGTGGTCCGGAGCACTAATAAAGTCTCCGAGTCGTCTGCAGTTAGTCTAAGGTTAGTCTAGTGCAAAGTAATAGTCCCTCCTGCCGTTTTCAGTATCGAAACTAGGGCAGAGCCAGTCAGATCACAGAAATGCAGCTTTACATGTTCTACACCCGAGATGGTCGAAGTACAAGTTCACACATCGTAATAGTCGTGTTGTATCGTGACTTTTCTTGGCTGATGATCTCTAGCCAGTAAGTTGTAAATTGGAGGCTCGTCAAAATCTCAAAAATGACGGGATAACAGCTCGGGCTTTAGCAGAGGTCCGAGAGTTATCAGGCTTCCCCGTTTCCTTGGCTCGACCCCATCTGGTATTCTCTCATACCTGGTAGCCGAGCCAGGTCCAATAGGAACGAAGCAAGAGCCAAGCTTCCACCAACGATACGGACCACTCAAGTTTTTGTTTGCCTGGTCGAGTCCGGTCACAATTTGTCATTGCGCGCCAAAGCGGTATTCCCAGATCAAGGTCATGCGAATCCATACACGTTTCAAAACCGTCTCATCAACTACAATGGTATGGCACACCCCACTAGCCATCCATCAGGGTGCCCATGGTCTTGACGTGGTAGATCGAAACATTGTCGCAAGGCTGTCATTCTGCAACGAAACGGTTCCCCTAATGTCTTGTCATGTGCTCGGGAGGAACCGTGGGTGTATGGCGAAATTCTTCTGGGACCAGCCTGGCTAAACTAATTCGTGGTTGGCCAAGTTCACAACTAGTCTAGAGTGCAATATTTGGTAGATTGTGCTGAACAGCCTCAGCTAGCTCTTGACTACAACCCGATACGGAACCTGCTTCACATGTGATAGGAAACCGGCGTCTAGTCGTTTGACATAATTATGCCTTTAAATTATGGATAGCCCGGGGGATTGGAATCCTCGTCCGGGAGATCTTTATACTCTACACCCAGCTGGTAACACCGGGTGACTATGTGCAATGGTAAATCGCTGCCCACATCTGGGCAGTGTAGGCTTTTTCAGCCATTGAATTCCCTCCTCATGATCTTCAGTAATTAACAAACATTAAACGCCATTCCTATGCTGTGGGCATATAAACAAAAGCCAACAGTATGCCAAGCGGTATCATCGAGGTGTGAAAAAATATACAAGCAATGTCGCACGCTGAAGATCGAGGTCATATCTCTTCCGTAAATCGGGAGCCGGAGCCCCTGGATACTCTTGAACCGTCTTGAGAAGCCAGGGAACGTCCTAGGGGATCTTTCCGAGGTGGTTCTAAGTTTGATCCGAAGTATGCTGACGCTGTGACCGGAGTTCGCCCTGGGCCAGGGTGAAAGACTGGAACTCCGCTTTCTGGACGCATTGGTGAACCAACCGCCAGTCTTGGTATATCGGGACCCGTGTAATATCCTTGAGAATCTCGATAGAACGATTGATCGGTCATCATGGTATCTCGAGGGTTTGCCGCACTTGTTGGGTCTGAATAACCATCTCCACCATGCTGCAGGACAGAAGGCAGTTTCCTGCCAGAAACTTTATGAAATCCTCTTTCTGTGCCTTCCGAAGAAGCCGTTCTTTGAGAATTTCGTTTGTACCCCGTCAAGTTCGCGAGAGCCGCGGGAACCATAAATGGAACCGAGCGACCCTCCGACATATCACCCATTCCGGGAGATCCACCGGAAGGGCCGTCACCCCCACCACCTAAAACAAGTCCACGGGTCCCAGGAAGGCCATTGGTGTCACTTAGACGGAGGCCGCGCTGTCGCTTTTTGTAACGAAGAAGCATCAACGCCGCAATGAGAATGAGGCCAATGCCAGCAACTGCACCCAGTACGCTTCCTGCGACAGTCCCTGCCGACGTTGAGCTCGAACTCGAACCGGACCCTGATCCAGAAACGTCGGTCGATGTCGAAGATGGTGAAGATGAATCGCCTGTGGCAGTGCTACCACTACCACTGCCATCCGTGCTGGTGCCGAACCCAAACCCTGTCACGGATCCATTGTCCTCGGTCCCAGTCGAGGTGGCGGTACCCGTGAAGGATGCAAATGACGAAGTGAAACCAGACGACAAGCCAATAGTTGTAGTGTAGGTATCATTGTAAAGAATTGTACCAGACGAGTGAGGAAGTGTTGATGTGGTCAGGTTAGCGGTAAATGATTTTGTTGACACAGTTTCGTTGGAAAAGAGTGACGAAGTGGGAAATGCTAGCATCATGTATTAGATAGTTAAAACCAAGGTGTCTGTGACATGGGTACAACCAACCTGTTGTTGTAGAATCAGCGTTTGTTGTGGAGCCAGTTGCTGTTGTGGAATTCGTGACGCCTGCGAAAGTGGGAAAAGCGATTGTTGAAGAATCAGACGAAAGAGCAGTAGTGATTGGAGCGAAAGATTCCACAGTTGGGTATGAAGAGGGCATGGAAGAAATTGAAGAGGACGTCGCAGTATCTACTGACGACGCGGTCTCTGAAGAAACAGATGAAGCTGCAGTACCACTAACATCGTCGTTGACTGCAGCGACTGACGATGTCGTGAAGCCTGATGAGCTTGCAGCGCCTGAGGATAACGCGACGTCTGTTGATGTTGTGGCGTCTGATGAAATTGTGACGTCCGGTTCACTTTCAATGCCGAAGGTGGCCTCGGCAGAGACTGAGTATTGTATCGTTGTAGGCTCTGACGTTTGAGTGGTTGTGCTCACGGTCGCACCAGATGCATCGATGATTTGAATGACGGAAATGGTTTGAACAACCTGAACGACTGTCTCGGAGCTCTGGTCCTGACGTTGGTGCAATCTTTCGTGATTGTGATGCGAACGAATGTGGTTGTGATGGTTGTGGTGAGAAGAATGAGAGTCCCGGGCCTGAAGGAGTGAAGACCCCGAAACTGGTTCGGTCATCGCGCGTGGCGGTGAATATGAATACGAGCCTGAATGAGTGTGTTGGATTCGCTGGATAAATCCCTTGGGTCGCTATTGAATGCTGACTCGCTAGGAGGTCGAAAGAATGTGCGCTATGTGGATGTCGATCGTACGGGTACTTCCATTATTGTCCCTGCTCTTGATGGCTTCTGCTCAAAACTTTTGCTGCCTTGGAATGTCGGACTGTGCTTCCAAGTCTCGTTCATCCGGTCGTCATTCTTGGGTTGCGCGGGAACCAGTCATCCACATCAAGACGACCTCACACACGGTCGGCAGAAAAGAGGTGTGAGAGAGAGGGAAAGGGAAGAAAGAGAAACACGAAACGTAACGGGCCACACCGGGGCCGATTTGATAATATGTAAGAGATGCCGTTTTTAATTAAAATGAGCTTCTCTGGGGCCACATTCTCGTCGACGCTCGTGTGTTTTCCCCCTGCCCACCTGCACAAATGGGCACTGTAATGAATGGGCACTATGGATAGACACTTACGCAGCGCGACCTGGTGTTCATTTCGCTTGTAGATGGGCGCTGTTCTGCTGTAGCTTTGAGCAGGGGCAGAAACAGTGGCGCCAGCCAATCATACGAACACGGCCAGGATGGCGCCAAGAGAAAGACATTGGCCAGGGCTTAGAGACATGTCCATCCATTGGTCACTAAATCAGGGATCTGAGCAATTGTGCGCAATCAAACAACGCTCGGTTTGCAGAGCCGGACATTAGAGACCTTTCGCAATGCTACGGTAGCCATGGAGCGCTCCTCTTTTTGCCCATGGGTCTGTGGAAGTCTTACAAAGAGTAGGTGGACTGGATTTGAGGCTATCGCAAGCTCCCGTGCCACATAGTACATACAGCCATGCATAACTCGAAAATTCCGATTTCGTCAATACTAGCACTATTCTAGCAGATGCAGGCACCGCAGACTTGCAGGCTTGCAGATGCTTGTGGTTGGAACAGGATGCACAACAGCAACTAGCGGCCTCGTGGCTTACGAACTAGACACTCACCTAATTCACCTGAGATCACGGTCGTTTGCTGCTAGGCCTCGTATTCATCCACTATTCTCGTGTTTTGGGGCTGCATGCGCATGTGCTGCAGGAACATTCCCTGGGTCGCACTTTGTTTCAACACACGCTCGGCGACTCATGCTTGACCTCTTGGATCGGATACCGAGCACTCAACTTTACATAACAGCGCTCCGGTTTTTTTTTTCCTTCCCACAAACAATTCCTGACGAGCCTACTAGATGAGACAGACCAGCCATGCGAGATCAATATTGATTTGTCCAAAAATGGCGCCAGCATGCATACATACATAGTACGGACGGGGAGCAGGGTTGAGTCACTAACTTAGCGGCAGGGTCCAGGAACGGGGAGTGGAGCAGGACCGTTGCTCTTCATTTGCAGTTTGCAGGCTGCAAGGCTCGCGATCCAAATGCAATCAATCGACATCTCGAATCATTCTCTCAGACGTCATGATCAGCATTTAAAGCACCAATCTTTTATGAAGAACGGCATTCGACATTCCAGAGCGATGGATCCAATATCCATTACAAAACTGAATATCCCACATCACCCCAGATCATGCCAGTTTGACGGTTCAGGTGCGGATCTGTACATACCAAAAGAAACACAGAGTTCCCTAGCTGTTCTTGGCATGTTTAATAAGCAACAAATGAGCGATGGCCCTTCTCGCAGTGAAGATTGAATTGCCATAGCTTTGGGGTTGTGCGGCAGATTGCGTTGCATGTTCAATGCTAACAATTACCTAGTCTAAAGACTAAAATCAAACCCTCCTGCCCTCGTAGGATATTGTGCTTTAGTTGCTCATCGTCCACACAAAATGAGCGAACGCTTGGGCTCGCGAAGTTTGTACCTGAACCACGCTATGCTTCGCTTTTAGCCACAACTGCTTATGAGATATTGCTCAATTGTGTGCAGAGTGCAGATGCTATGACCACTCGATCATAACAACCCGCCTGATAACGAATCAGTTATCAAATGAGGCTGGATATTGAAAATCAGTCATGGGCTAAAGCATGGAAGGTAAAGTGTTTGATTGCACTTCATCCAATCATGACGCAAGAAAGCGCATGTTAAAATGACTACGTCGTACCATAGTGGGATAATGGAGCACTACATTCATTATTTTATGGTCCACTCGTTTCCGGACTGGTATGTTATTGACAACTTGATATGCATCATCCAATCGACCGCTTGCCTTCGATACCTTTTCTCCATCTCCATTTTCCAGAAGGACTGAACGGAAAAGTGAGACCATAGAACGAATGATTCACGACCCAGCCAAAGACATTAGACATTGCCAAGCCTTGTATGCAATATGCCTAGTATAAACTAGCTGCCAATGACAGAATACCCAAGAGAAGGGCAAACAAGACGCCATTCAGGGTTGCATCCATCATATACCTATTGCCACTCCTTCGCTCTCCTTGTCTTTCAAGCCAGCCTCTGGGACATGGATTTGGAAGCTTCACGTACAGCTCAAGTAACCTGCTGCCTGGGTAATTGTTTTGACCCTCTCTTCACCTGCATGACGTACGTTGGTGAGCACGGATCTGAGCACGCCGAAATCAAAGTCCGCATCACAAATAAACGATCGTAGATTTTGCTTGGATTTGACGTCAGAGAGCGGAAACGGATTCTTTGGATTGAGTCAAGTGTATTCAGCACGAGTTGATGTGGAAGCAAGTCGTCTCAATACTTTGCTGTCAATTATCAGCAATATCCTCAAGTGTTGTGTTAATTAAATGTATGTCATTCGGGATAAGGTACCCAGTCCTAGAACACTTGACACAATATACAAAGGCGTAATCGGCATGACTGATTGGGATGATATAAAGCAAAGCTTTGCACCGCTCAATTTCGGGTTTCGGCAAGAAACTTGGATGTTATTGACTTTATCAGAGAGTCCGAGAGAGATTCCCGCTGGTAGTATATGAGGCAGGCCGGATTAATGCCGATGGACTTACTGGACCTCTATTCACGAATTGAAAGGGACTAAACTGGGCATACATGGCCACCGCTGTCATGAAACATATAATATTTGGGGGAAGTAAAGACAAGAACCTACGCCATCCGTCATTCGGAGGTGGCCTCCTCACCATTGTATATGATCAAACAACACTGGAGCGACATTGCTACCCAGCACTGCAACACAACTCGGGCAAGATGAGCCTCAGCATCCAAAAGATAAAACCATCCCAAGACTGCTGCGGAAGCTCATGAGGTCTTTAAACGTTCCGACGAACCCTCGCGCTTTATGTTTAAAGCATAGGGTTAGTTGGAAACGGTTCAGCATGCTTGAATTGTTGGTGCAGGTTGCACGCAATGCGTTACAGCCTTATCAACGTTAAAATAGCTAATAGCAAAAGCCTCTGATTCTGCACTTTTCCCATTGCTTACCGAACGAAGGCTTAGACATGCTTCCTGAGAGTGGGGGTTAGCATTTTCCAGCTCTATTGTGACATTTATAAGCGGCATGACAATCTTCCGATTTGGGGTCACATAATCCTATCTGTATAATTAGTAACCATCGCATAGCTGCTGTGTCGACGAGGGTTCTCGCAGTATCTTATCACCTCGAATCTCGGTGATATTTTCGCTGATCAGGTCATTTCAGGGCATCATGGTGTCTACACCGGCTGTAGCACACGTTCAATTAAATCACAACCACTTCTTACATGCCTTTGGGGCTATTAAGGCTCATGCGGGCATCAGAAAAACTGTGTCAGTATCACATTATTGCGCCGGGCTTACATTGCTTATGAATAGTTTGCATCTTTGATTCCTTAGCATACACCTGTTATCACGAGGGACCTACACCTTGAGTGGTTAGTATGCATCAAGCTAACACCACAAATATCTGTAACCCACTGCGCATTACTAACGCTAAAGAACGATTATTCCCGAGTTGGGGGGGGGGGGGGGGGGGGATTGAGGCCATTTTGAGAATTGTCAACCATTGTTGATACTGCTCTAACCTAGGTATATCATATTGTCCTATCAGGGTAAAATATTTCCTAATCAAACTGCTTGAATCAAATATGCGCCAGAATCGTGGACTCTAATACCAAAAGCTGAGTATAAATGCATCTACCATGAAAAGCGCTCCTTAGCGCCGCGGCTGGAATTATCCATCCTAGCCTAGGCTGTGCTCTTTTGGCGTTCTTCTCACTGTCCCGGAAAGCTGCTGAGAGGCAAGGTGGGCTGCTTGATTGTATATCGGCTCTGGAACTATTGCGTTTGTCTACATGGACATAGTTCTAACCAATTTGCGAGAGATGATTATGGTTTACTTGACTACCGACAAACATGACCTTTCTTTTTTGACTTGGCGAAGGTTGAAGAATCATCGGTCCGTATATATGGTTGAACATTGCTCAGCATGCAAAGCTCCATTGGTGGACACCTTGTTTCATGATTTCATCCTTAGTCATCGGCATTCCTTTTGTTCTGGGTCATCATCTCTTTTATAAGTCACTGGAGAACAAGTCATTATCGACAGGGGATCATAAGATCTGGGTTCTCACTACCCAGGACAGCAAAGTAAATATCGCTGCTGGCACCGCCTTCGCATTCATAACATAGGTAACGTTCGTGCTAGCAGCCTCCATCGCATGCTTTCCAGTATTTTGGAAGAAACTTAGTTTCCGGATGCTCCTGTAGAATATGTGACTTTAGAGACTGTCGTACTCTACTTCCATGGAGGAGCCTTTGTCTCAAGGTGACGGGTAGACGGCGCAACGTAGATTCATCGCGAAGTATTCTCTCGAGAATGGGAGTACCGAAGCCGTCTTCTGCAATACCGCCTTCAGGACATGGGGTCCTGGATCCTTTCTCAGCTGTAATGAGATAAGAGACCCGATATCGAAAATCAAGGGTGAAGTTGGTAGCCGTGTCTATGGCAAGCTTGGACTGATAAGTTTCGATCTTACATAGTTCTTATATAAATTTACGTAAACTAGAGTACTCATAAAGAAATAGTATTATTTACTGATTGGACCAGGCTAGGAGATTAATTGAAAGCCTTAACCGGCGGGTACTACTTCCTTGATCTTGTAGCGCTAATAGCTGCATACTATATTTCGTAGTATAGTCAGGAATGTTGTGGGTCAAATGTAATTCGTCCAATCAAACGTTAGATACGTCCGGGACTCGCCTTGTATGTGACAGCAATGATGTGAAATCTGGTACCATGAGCGCGGGACATTTCGATTCCTAGCAGACCCTCAGATTCATTCGCTAGAAGCAGAGTTCGACCTAGGTCTCTCCAACGGTGGGCATCCTCTAAGGACAAGCTTTTCAAGGGTAAGGCAAATATCCTCAATCCAGCCAATCTTTTCATTCTTTTCCATATGAATACTATTTTCGCAAATGACAGGGCGCTGTAAAGTAGTTCCTATATTTCAGCAAGCTGAATTACACATGCCGGCGCCACCTGCGAAATTGCCTTGTTGGCGTGCTAGCTATGCTGAATTATCTAATTACCATGTTCTTACGTTGGAGCAGCTTGTGGGGCTTTCTAAAAATGAATAAGACGCTCTCTCAATCACAGAGATGTCATAAATGGCACAGGCGAGGATACAAACCGCAGCGTCAACTAGAGACGCTTGAGAACACCAGCAAGCCCAGTCCTCAAACAAGAAAAGGCTGTGCCCACTGCTTCTCGTACCTACGACGCACAGTACCTTGAAGCCAATTCCTGATGCAACGCTGTGGCTCTGCTAGGCCAAAATGACCCCGGTCCCATGGGCAATGACCAGCTCCTACTACTAAGTTCCTCCATTAGGATCCAGAAAGTATGCAATATTACCTTGATCTCTCCAGCGAAGTACCAAAATCTGTTCTGGTGCGAAACATCTCTCGCTGTTTGAACTATTTTGGAGATTTGTTCGGTCTTACCTAATTATAGAGGTAAGCAGCTTCGTTACCTTCAAGTTGATCTTCACCCATCGCCCATAGGGAGGTAAATATGGGTAGGTGATGGCGAAGTACTGCCGATGCCTTGTTGGAGACCGAGGCACGCGGCCAAAATGAGGGGAGGAACATGCATACATCCTCCTGCTCTTCTCTCAGATTTCGAAGAGACACGATGCCCTGTTGTTATGCGGAAGAGATGAAGACTGCAGTCCATATCGCAGGTTGAGACCTCACAAGCGCAGCGTACCGTTTAGTATACTTGCGCGGGATGGCGCCAGTTAGTGCGCACTTGTATATTGTCTCAAACTGCTTTATGTCCTTCTTATACAGCAATTTTAACCAATTCGAACATTTTTTATTTTCATCAAGTGTTTACTAAGTCATCACCCCGGCATAATAGTTGAGACCAGAAGATGAAAAAGAAAGAGGTGTGTGTGTGTGTGTGTTGGGGTTGGGAGAAAAAGCCCAACAGTAACATAGGCTATTTCGTTATTATAGGCCTAAATTTTGTTCCTCAAAGAGCTTTGGCTACGGCACGGTAGAACTCAAAAGTGTGCTCAAAATCGCCAATGTCACCTAACCGGGCTCTCTTTTTGTGCGCAGGTGCGGAGAGTTTTCTGATCCGCTGAAATGTCCCCCGCCCTTTGCGCTCAGTTTATGAGATATTACTAAAGAAGACCATCAAAACCGCACAGTATCTACGAAACGTCAATATATTCATCCGCAGATCTTTCTCGCTCGCGAGCTACTCACCCTGCTGCCGCAGCGAAGATTTCATGGCGCTTGGCTTTGGTGAAAAGCGACAACACGCCTGAAAACAACAGCGTGAAGACGATAAGTAACCCGATACTCACTGTGTACTCCTTTTCATCGGGATGTGCCCTCAGAAGTCTGTATAATATGAATATCGGTAGAACGAGGAGGCTTAATAGCACTAGGCATAAGATTGTGGTATTCAAACAATCTTTGCGGCTTTTGCTATAGTAATACACGTCGGGATCATCTGTTTTCTCAAGATCACGCTGAGAAGCTCAAGTCAGGATCCAATATACATTTTCGGCATTGGAAATGAAATTACCTTTGTGCAGAAGATTTTCTGTGGGCAAAAGCGTTATTTATCAAACCCTGGACATTTTCAAGACCAAGTGTACTCACCTGCACCAGTGAACAATGAAAAGTCCGAAGTATATTCTCAGTGAAGGAGTCTAAGAGTGCCATTTCCTTCCCATCTCGTAGAGTTATCAGGTCTTCTTTCTGGTAAATGAAGTCATACTCCTCATCCATCAATGGTTTTTTGCTGAATAAGTGTGCTTCGACGCTCTGATAGTCCCTCTCTGCTGGTCTATTAAGGGACACCATATGTTGTGCTTTCAAAACCCATTCGTCTAAAACATTATGAGCATTTTTGATGAATTTGCGCAATAGTGTTTCATACCATATTTTCCTAGGTTTACCTCAATTTCGTCCAAGATTTGGGTTCGCGTCTGTGTTCCAGGTTCTTGCTTCACCAGCTTCTTGCAAGCGGCTTCATCTAAGTCCCTAGACATTAGAAGTTGCTTCTGCGTTTCATCGCTAGCGTCTTCGTCGTCATAATCATCCAACAAGGACTCTAGCACTCTCAACTTGTCTTGTAGCCGCAGAAGCATACGTGCGTGCAAGTACCCAAAACGGCGATAGATCATGAAATTTTCATCGCTATCAAGAAAGGTGGCCACTTTACGGTAGCTCTTCTCTTGAGAAATTACTACAAAAGAACGGGATTCATTAGGAGCCATGGTATGTCATTCTGCGAGCCTTAACTTACGCTTTCTATGCTGTGGCTTTCGTACGGGATCAAGAGTTCGCTTCTCTTTCATCCACAGATACCGATTGAAAAATCGAGTTGGTACAGAGGGAGTACTCTCGGCTTGTAAACTTGGTTGAGAAGAAGCTGCTGATCCTGTTCTGGCGAGTCGGTCCCTAGAAAGGCCCTTCTCAAGGTCGGGTTGGTCAGACATAGGGGAGTCCATTTTGGACAATTTTCATGAGGGAAACTGGACACAGAGGAAAATTAGAGCATTTTCATTCCAGTTTATAAGCCGATTTGCATACATCTGAAGTCAGACTATGGTAAAATATATGTAAGTTCTGGCTGTTGTTATACGGCGCAGCCAGCGGGTGCGAATGAGGAGCAGGAGGAGGAGGAGGAGCAATGCAGCCAAATATGCAGCCTGAACTGTACACACATCAGGCTTCCGTGAGTTTTGCTTGTGGCACCCACTTCCCTTTTTGGTACAGCACGCCATCAAGCCCCCTGACCTGATAGAAAAACTTTCCATCCTCTTTCTTCCGATTTACGATTGTGATTTCACAGGCACCTTTTTTGGGAATAATAATCCAGGCTACTTTATCCAGCTCGAACTTTGGCGTTGACTGACAATAGTTATTATTAGTGAAACAACCGTATTCCAAAATTCCAACTCACATCTACTGGGTTGGCTGATTCCCGAGCATTGGATCTTTCTTCGGGCGTTGGAGGACGCTGTGGTGCCGCCATGGTAAGCTGCAATTCGCCAATAGCGTGAGGGAATGGAATGTTACACACCTGCACATCGGGGTGCTGTTGGTCTGGCATTTTCCAGGCTGATTTCTGACCAGAATGTAGGTTCGAACGATTTGAGCCGTCAACAGAAGTTCCAGAAGAGGGGCAGCCAGGATCCAGGCATAGGGGCAAGGCAGTATTTAAAACGGTAAGGCAGTATCAAGACTACAACTATGGGCAGCAGGCTCTGAGGCTTATCCCTCATCTATGCAATGTCAGCTGTAGGAAAATTGATCTCATTGGTGACAGAGTCCACCCCCCATGCGGTACTGATTGAAGACCGCTCAATGTAACCCAATACTCCAAAGTCTTCACCGGAACGACTTGGTTCGTGTGTTGCGACCTGAAAGCCTAATGACCACTCTTTCGTGAGTCATAATTTGGTGGCTAAGCACATGAGTACTATTTCATCTATATACAATACTAGACTAGATGATCCTCGCCCACAACCGCAAGCTTTTAGAGCCATTGAGACCGGATTTAAAGTGATCGTGCCATCTACTAATGGGCAACAACCCAGATCGTATCTTCTAAAATAACTAGCAGCATGTCATCAATGCGTGGCAACCCGCCTAAAAAGGGACTTTTTCAACCTCTTGAATCCGCAACTAAAGATTACCAAGATGAAGCTGAAACACGTGACTCGAAACTCAAGGCCGTATGGGACAATCAGATGGGGGACCTAGAGAACAAATACATCCCCTACAAGAATGCATTCGTTCTTCTGTTGTCCTGGCACAAGGATATCGATGATTTGAAAACAGACAAAGAGGTGAGTTATGTCAGAATCTAATAAGCACGCATAGTAGTAGCTAAAGGTTCAAGGTCACCGCTCTGGAAGATCTTTTCAAGCAGAAGTTCATGTACAAGACGATCAGGAAGACCTTGAGGAACGACCCAAGGAGGTCGGCCCAGGCTCAAGTGAATCGACATCTCGCCGAATTTGTTGACGATCACGACGACACAAATACTCTGTTGATCGTATACTATGCTGGTCATGGCAGACCAGGCAATGTTCCAGGAGCTTTGAGATTGACTGGGTAAGTCTTCTAGTATTATGTAGCCGACATTACGGCTTACATTTGACAACAGGTCGACCTCGTTGCGGACTGAGGACGACAGTGAACTTCACGAAATTGTCTGGAGCTCAGCTGAGCACAACATAAAAAAAACGAGAGCGGATGTCCTCGTTATTTTTGATTGCTGCCACGCTGGAGAACTAGAGCGCAATGTCAGGGGGCACTACAATCGCCGTGCGTTTGAATTTCTGGCCGCGACGTCTGCAAAATCGACCACGAAAAAGCCAGGCAAAGAGTCATTCACATCAGCTCTTATATGGTCACTGACTCGTCTCGTCGAGCAAGGGAGCTTCAGCACCCAAGAGTTGCTTCGAACAATACAGAATGAAGCGCCATATTTCCCAGAAGATCAATCCCCTAGGCTGTCAGAAAGGCAACCTTCTTCTCAACGGAAGATCATGTTTGCTCCGCTGACCGATGATTATGTAAAGAAAGCAACCGAAGCCTCCAAGGCAGATGACGAAGAAGATTTTGATGACGAAATGAGACAAGATTTGCTACTCCGTTTTGTCTTTGACAAAGATATCACAGAATCAATGGTTACGGAAATTGCTAGACACATGCAGCACCTCATCCGAGACAGAGATATCAAAGCAAAGACTGTCTCTTGGGAAGGTATCAACATGCTAGCGAGTTTGCGATACAAGAACGCCATGGTTGCACAACCATGGATTCGCTATTTTTCCAACAGGCTATCTCTTATGAGAAACCGCTCAGAAGCATCATCCGCAGAGGATGCTATACCATCAAAAGCTTCAATAGTGGTCTCAGATGAAGCTGTTCAGGTATCCATGCCGTCCGGTCCATCTTCTGTGGACGAGGATTTCGTCACTACACCAAATCCAAGCAGTTCCGCCGAGCCGGAAATTAGCGAGGATCATGGAGCTTCCGCTGGGAAACCATTGTCTCTAGACACTGGTGGCTGTAGTGTTTCACGATTGCCTAGCTTCAATGATCGCGGTCACATTGCACATACACCGGGCCTTGCAATGCCAAATCTTCGCAAAAGAGGACGAGACACTAAAAATGACCATGAGTTGTCTGCTTTCGCCAAACGTGGCAAAATTGACGGTAAGGACCAATCAGTGAGGGAGGCTGGCGGTGGACTAAGAAGTGGCACTAGATATAACACGCTCTGACACGTTCTCAATGTTTCATTCCCATCGAACGTTGGATCTTGGTGCTGCTTTTCTATCTAGCGGGAGTGTATAGAAATTGACGTGATGTGTCACTATGATATACATGAGAGAATTAGAGTCAGAATCGATCAGATTAGAACGGCAATATCTGAAGCTTATATGCTGGTGATGAGGAAGAAGAAGAAGAAAGTATACTAGACATCCCATCCTCCCTCCTCGCCCACTCAATATTAACCAAGCAAAATATCTTGTAAGCTATATAACCATTGTGTATCATTCATTATATACGCGGCATAACTTGTATAACACAACATATTTAGTCAGCAACAAGTTTGGGCATTAACGCGACTAGATTTTATTTACCTGAAAGGCCTCGGCCGCAATTGTTATCGCCAAGTAAATGATCACGTTGGCAGCTCCAATTTCGTGGTAAAGCTTATCCTATAAGATGGCGGTTCGAGGCATCTGGTTGTGTTGTCCTGAAGTCTGATGAGTGCTTGACTCTTGCCTGACTATGGGATGGTAGCAAAAACAGCGCTAGACTAACCTAGACTAGACTAGACTAACCTTAGTGGGGTTTATGGATGATGAGTTGATCGGCACACCTCATCGAACCGAAACCGCAAAAGCTCGGAGGCAAAGCAGAAATCTGAAAAGGCCGCTAAATCCACAACTCCGGCGGCGCCCCAGACGAGTCACGTAATCAACGTCACCTCTTTTCGCGAAATTGTCCCCGGGACAAACCGCCGTACTTCATTGCGTCCCATGCGGTAGCACACCATCGTACGACGCCCTACTACCTTCCCTCCCCCCCCAGTATATCCCGTCTCTTCCGAATACCTCCAGAGGCGCGGTCGACACTGCCCGACATGTCAAGCTTCATCCGGCGGTCGACAGGCCTCGCGCGCATCACAAAATCCTCCCTCAATGTCTACGCAAGCTCCAGCTTGAGGGCCACCCGGTTCTCCCAGCTCCCCTCTGCCGCATGGGCTGCGCGCCACCGGCAACTCCGCTACTACTCGAGCGAGAACGACCCGAAGCAACCATCGGAGAAGAAAGATGGTGCTTCGCACTCATCCCCAGAGCTGAAGAGCTCCTCTTCGCCAGGTCCTACTGACCCCACAGATCCGAGTCGGAAAGAGCGTGCGCCACTGCCAGAGGGCTGGGTCTATCTCACCGACGCCGAACATGCAGAACTGGCAAGAGCCACGAAAGAAGGCATGAAATGGCTGCCCAAATACAAGGGCAAAGGTCCAGAAGACGTCGTCGAGGAACTGAAGGAGACAGGAGTGCCTCGGGATCTCCAGGAACTCATTCGCAAGAAGATGAATGGTACCTTCTCCCTCAAGGATGCCGGTCAGTACATCAAGTCCATCAACGCTCTCTCGACCGACATCGCCCAAAGAATGCTCGAGAAGGAGGCCGGCATTGATCCATCCAAGAAGACGTCAAGCAAGGAAGAGGGCAAAAAGCCCGAAGGCGAGCAGAAATCTACCGGCCCGAGCTTTTTCTCGCAGGATGGTGGCAAGCGCAAGGGCTCTGATGGAAAACAACCACCGGAAAATCCACTGAAGGGCAACGACTGGGTCACCACCATTGTTGGGTCTCTCATCGCGTACTGGATCTACAACTCTATCTTCACCGGCGACAGTCGCGAAATCACTTGGCAAGAGCTGCGCAAGAACTTCCTGGAAAAGGGCCTCGTCGAGAGAATGGTCGTCAGCGGCAACCAGGTCCGCGTTGACTTGAATGTTGAGGCGACCCGCACCATGTATCCTGACTCCGTTGCAACCAATCCCGGCTTCCACTACTACTTCTCCATCGGCTCAGTGGATGCCTTCGAACTACGATTGGACGAGGCTCAGAAGGAGCTCGGCATCCCTCCTTCTGAGAGGATACCTGTCAGCTACCAAGGTGCTAGCGGTGTGACCAACATTCTGATGGCATTCGGTCCTACACTGCTCCTGGTCGGACTAATCTACTGGGCATCACGCCGCGGGCCTGGAGGTAGCAGTGGTGCCGGTGGCATGTTCGGCTTTGGCAAGAGCAAGGCTAAGAAGTTCAACCATGAGTCAGCAGTCAAGGTCAAATTCTCCGACGTGGCAGGTATGGACGAGGCCAAGCAAGAAATCACCGAATTCGTCAGCTTTCTCCAGAAGCCAGACAAGTTCCAGAGGTTAGGTGCCAAGATCCCCCGTGGCGCCATCCTCTCTGGTCCTCCTGGTACCGGTAAGACACTATTGGCCAAGGCTACTGCCGGTGAATCCGGCGTTCCTTTCTTCAGTGTCAGCGGTTCTGAGTTTGTCGAAATGTTTGTTGGTGTTGGTGCCTCTCGAGTTCGAGATCTGTTTGCAACCGCGAGAAAAAGCACTCCTTGTATTATCTTCATCGATGAAATCGACGCTATCGGTAGGTCTCGTTCCGAGGGCAGTGGTCGTTTCAGTGGTGGCAACGACGAACGTGAGGCGACACTAAACCAGATCCTCACGGAGATGGATGGTTTCAATACGACAGAGCAAGTCGTCGTGCTTGCGGGTACCAACAGGCCAGACGTTCTTGACAAAGCCTTGATGAGACCCGGCCGTTTCGATCGACACATCAACATCGATAGGCCAACCATGAAGGGAAGACAAGATATCTTCAAGGTGTATCTCAAGAAGGTTGTGACAAACGAGGATATAGAGCACTTGAGTGGTAGGCTTTCAGCTTTAACTCCTGGTTTCGCTGGTGCCGACATTGCAAACTGTGTCAACGAAGCTGCGTTGGTCGGTAAGTTTGATCATGATGTTGTCCTTCCACCAATAATGTACTGACTCGACATAGCTGCCAGAGCCAATGCGCTGTCTATCACCATGCAACACTTCGAACAGGCCATCGAACGTGTCATCGGTGGCCTTGAGCGCAAGTCTCTCGTCCTCAGCCCTGAGGAGAAGCGGACAGTCGCATATCACGAGGCTGGCCACGCCATTTGTGGTTGGTTCTTCAGATGGGCGGACCCTCTACTCAAAGTCTCCATCATCCCTCGTGGCCAGGGCGCCCTCGGTTACGCCCAATATTTGCCTGGTGATGTTTATCTCATGACCGAGAGGCAACTCCTGGATCGTATGGCCATGACTCTTGGTGGTCGTATTTCCGAGGAGCTTCATTTCCCTACTGTGACCACCGGAGCCAGTGATGATTTTAAGAAGGTCACAAACATGGCAACAGCAATGGTCACGCAATGGGGCATGTCAGAGAAGATCGGCCCATTGCACTTCAAGAACGAGGACAACCAGTTCCTGAAGCCGTTTGCCGAGTCAACCGCCCAAACCATCGACTCCGAGGTACGACGTATTGTGGATGAAGCATACAAACAATGCAAGGATTTGCTTGTGGAGAGGAAAAAGGAGGTCGGCATTGTTGCCGAGGAGCTGCTGAGCAAGGAGGTTCTTACACGAGACGACATGGTCCGTCTGCTCGGACCGAGGCCATTCGAGGACCGAGAGGAATTCAACAAGTACTTTGGTGGCAAAGACCCCAATGGCCCGAATAAGCCTACGCCTGGTCAGGAGAGCATACCACCCTCCCCGCCATCTGGTGGCTTAGATACGCCCGGCGTCCCGCCACAGCCTGCGATTTTCAAGGAGTTGAAAGGTAACGAGTTTGGAAGGTAATGCGTTCCGAGCTGCATTGAAGACTACGAAGGTCTTGAGCTGGGACCAAACAAACTGCTTAGGCTGATGATCACAGCCCCAAATAGCAAAGCTCTCAACTCATCTTACACACATTGTATTGTTACTATTACCCAAATGTATAAGTGCCTTGTACAAATATTCATTAGATTAGATACTCATTGCCGGAAATGGAGTAAAGGTCTTTTGTTCAAACATGAAGTGCTCATTGAGCTGCTTTGCTCCTTCACCAGCAAACCAAACTTTATCCTGATGCCAACGTGTTATTTTTCATCGAGATCATAACCCCTCGCCGCCAACTTGGGCGTGCTGGAGAAGCCCCACAGAAATATCTGCCCAGGAGGAGGAACGGGACCCAGTCATTCTCCCCATCAGTCAACCATAGGTACATAAGTGAAGTCATCCAATTCCCCTCGATAATTTACTAACCAAACCATTGATATCCGGGTTCTGCAGGGCAGGAGGGCTCCTAATGAGATGTGAGTTCCAGTTTGAAGTCGGAAACCGCAAAATGTCGCAACGATTCTCATGCTTCGATGAGGTTGGAAGACCAACACAAGAAACTGTCATCTGGGTTTTGTGACAATCTGCATTTCCAGCGACTTCCCCACAAATTCCACGCCTTACCCACATGTCATTTGCTCTCGAGTCGCGATTGGAAAACCCAGTCAGGTTGGGGGGACGCTAGTCGGCATATGATGGCAAGGCATCTCACCCGTCGACTATTTGCAAGACCCATAGTTCAGTTGCTCTAGGTTTCTATTTAACGTTAAATCCGGTACCCATCACATCACCGTACATGCCGAGTATTCTCAATTGCTTTTTGGGCCTATAGACTCAAGTATAGCCGCATTTCAATGCTGTCAACTGGAGGCATGTCGACATCGCTCTTAGACGACTCATACTTCCAATAACATTTCAGATTCGATAATCCTCTCGGCTTCGAGGTCATAAATGGTGAATTATTACTAGTCCGCCATTTCAAATCTCATTAACCATTTGATTGCTGTCGGTAGTCTCAAATTAGACCCAGAATCAGTATTATCAAACATTGTTGACATTTCCTCATCATGGCACATCAAAGGGAAGTACCCTCATCAGCACTGCCCACGACTCGCCAATCGGGCCAAGCGAATACACAACAAAGAGGTCTCGCCAGCAGCAGGAGCCATGCCAGCCAGGGCAGCACAAGGCCCGACAGTTGGTGGAAGATTCATCTATTTCGAGGCATGATCAATGATATTCGTCGAAGAGCACCGTATTATTGGAGTGATTACAAGGATGCGTGGGATTATCGTGTTGTGCCGGCCACGATATACATGTATTTTGCCAAGTGAGTCTACCCTACGATGACACACCAGACAATCTAGAAGTGAGAAGGAAACCGAGACGCCTCATGTATCATGAACTAATGACATCGACGTGTCACTCTTGGCGTGTTCAACTGCGAGACTGAACGGCTAATGGTGTCTATAGTATCATGCCTGCCCTGGCTTTCTCACTCGATATGTTCACCAAGACAGACATGCAATACGGCGTCAACGAGGTGCTGCTTGCATCTGTCCTCGGCGCAGTGGTGTTTGCCGTTCTCGCGTGTCAGCCGCTAGTCATTGTAGGCGTAACAGGCCCCATCACCGTGTTCAACTAGTGAGTAGATGCTTCTCGACTCCGCCATTGCAACGTGAAAGACTAAGGAGATAATAGTACCGTCTACGATATCATGGCCCCAACGGGCACGAATTACCTTGCCTTCATGTGCTGGATCGGCCTCTGGTCTCTCGTGTTTCACTGGATCCTCGCCATTACCAATTCTTGCAACTGGCTGAAATACGTCACGCGCTTTCCGTGCGATATCTTCGGGTTCTACGTCGCCTTCATCTACCTGCAGAAGGGCATCCAGGTCCTCGAGCGATTTGGAAACGACGCACCGTTCTATCTCTCGGTCATGGTGGCGCTGCTCGTTTTCATGATCGCATATGCGTGCGGCGAGCTTGGTGGGAGCCCCCTGTTCTGGCACCCGGTACGGATCTTCTTAAAGGACTATGGCACGCCGCTGACGGTCATCTTCTTCACCGGCTTCGTCCACTTCGGCAGGATGGACTCGATCGAGCTCGAGAAACTGCCGACAAGCAAGAGTTTCTTCCCGACCGCCGACAGGGGTTGGTTCATTCACTTCTGGGATATCAGTGTGGGCGACGTGTTTCTGGCAATTCCTTTTGCCATCTTGCTCACCATTCTGTTCTGGTTCGACCACAATGGTACGTATTTCCCGTGAAGCGCGGGTTGTCTCACACAGAATCCAGATCTTCTGACATGGCCTCCCAGTCTCGTCATTAATCGCGCAAGGAACCGAGTTCCCCCTCCGCAAGCCCGCAGGCTTCCACTGGGACCTGTTCCTCCTGGGCCTGACCACGGGCGTAGCCGGTCTCCTCGGCCTCCCCTTCCCCAACGGCCTGATCCCCCAGGCGCCCTTCCACACCGAGTCGCTCTGCGTGACAAAGGCGGTCCTCGACACGGAGGAGGGCGGCGAGGAGAAGAAGGGCAACTACAGATACGAGCCGACGCACGTGGTGGAGCAGCGCGTCTCGAACCTAGCCCAGGGCCTCCTGACGCTGGGCACCATGTCGGGCCCCCTGCTGGTGGTGCTGCACCTGATCCCGCAGGCGGTGCTGGCCGGCCTGTTCTTCATCATGGGGTACCAGGCGCTGGAGGGCAACGGGATCACGGCCAAGATCCTGTTCCTGCTGCGCGACGGGGCGCTGACCCCAGCGGGCCACCCGCTGAGGCGGGTCCGCCGCCGCGCCGCCGTCTGGTGGTTCGTGGCGCTCGAGCTGGTCGGGTTCGGGGCCACTTTCGCCATCACGCAGACGGTCGCCGCCATCGGGTTCCCCGTCTTCATTCTGCTGCTCATTCCAGTGCGGGCGCTGTTGCTGCCCAGGCTCTTCACCGGCGAGGAGCTGGGTCTGTTGGATGCCCCGACGGCGAGCGCGCGTACCATGGAAGGCATTGGTGGCTCGTATGGGGGCCAAGATGAGGGACTTGTGGAGAACAGTGGCAGTGCGACGAGCCAAGAGCAGCCGGTGGGGGGCGACCGTGAGTTGATGGTGGGTAGAATGAGCGAGGAGGACCTGGCGGAGATGGGGCAAAGTAAAGGTGTCCTTGATGCTAACGAGAGGAGCGGCAAGGACATTGATATGGGTAGGTCTGGCACGGCGGGCAGTGGCGTAAGTCGGCGATCTCGTACCGGGCAGAGCGGGCAAGGTTCGAGGGAATCATGAGCGTATAACAGTCCTCTGCATGCAGAATGACTAAGAAAGATCAAGATGTAGAGCAAAATGGAAAGGCGGAGGGGAGCACCATAATCAGATATCATGCGGCCGATATTAGGGATATCTTGGAGCTCGCTAGGTTAGAACTGTATCAGACTATGCTTAAAACTTGGTTTCACAAAAAATTTAAGGTATGCCATAACATGGTGTTACGTTGCTGTTTTGGACGGGGAAAAAAAACAGAACGTCAGGCTATGGCGGTACTTCAAATGCATTCCGTGATCTAACTAGGATTAAATAAAACCGGAGGATCAAACTATGCGTTTCCTATCCTGAACGCCGTGCTCATTATGTTCAATGGTCAATCCAAAAATTACTCCTCATCACTGCTATCAATGATGAACCCGGCTTTTGCTCTTGGCCTTCTGCGAGCTGGTTTTGGCATCGGAATCTCCTCGTCATCCGCACCTGCCATATCTTCATCGACTTCGTTCGCTGCTTTCTCACTCCGAATCGGGGAAGGTTCCTTGGACAGTCTCCTCCTCTTCGCCTTCCCAGCAGGTGCTGAGCCGGCACGTGGGCTCGACGACAGGGGCGTGTCATCGGTATTGTCACTATCCCCCTCATCATCGTCAACTATCGTCACATCCTTGTTTCTGGTAGATGCGGACTCCTGTGTTAAAACTGGATCGTCATCACTATTTCTTTCCTCTCCTTTCCGCCTGGGACCGAGATCTTCGTCGTCGCCACTATCGTCATCGTCATCATCGTCATCATCACTTTCCAGCAACGCAGCCGCCTTGCGTTTCCCGGCGGGCAATTTCGGACTAGGAGGTAAAACCGTTATAGTAGCACCTTTTGTAGCTTTCTTTTGCTTTTCGCGAAGGAGAGCTTCCTTGGCGAAGAACTCACGGTCGCGTTCCTCGTCAGTTTCATCATCGCTGGCGCGGACATAAATATCAGACTTGTAGCGCTGTGCTTTCTCCTTCTCCTTCTCACGACGCTTACGGGCTTTCTCTGATTTTTCCTCTTCTGTAAGTTCTTTGCCAGGACGACTACGACGGCGCATCTTCTTTGGCTTGTCCGCATCACTGTGATCCGCTTTACGGATAGTTGTAATGTTTGCTGGGAATGGCATGTTTTCATCATCGTCGACGCCATCGTCATCGTCGTCGAAAACAGCCTTCTTTCGTGGCGCTCGTGGCGCTGTCTTTCTGCGAAGTTGATCCTCGGCAAGCTTGCCATCTTCAAAAGTGGGCGGGTCGAACTCAGCTCTGCTGATCAGGTCCAAGGACTCCTTGAGCTGATCTGCCGTAAGAGGGGAAGGAATAACCCAGGCTGATTCTGGTGTCTCATCCAAGCTAGGCGCGAGGCGCTCAAACCCGACTAGTTTCATCAAGAGACGAAGATGACCGTTCTTGAAAATAGCTGTCCGGCGAGCATCGTCATCCGGGCGAATAGAGATGGGATCAGGTTCTTTGCGGGACACTGCTGGTTGTTCTGCCTCCTCATTTCCGTTTGCTTCAACAGTTGGCAATGCCTTCTCAGCTGCTTCCCACGCTCTTCGCTCGTTCTCTGCGGCGCTGAGCTGACCTCTCACCCATTTGATGTGATGAGTCAAGTCCTTGTCTATCAACGCACCAACAGCAATTGCTACTTGTCGATCATGCTCGACTTCGTGGCGGAATTCCAATTCTGCAGCGGCTCTAGGCGTCGAGGTCGAAATGGTCTGCTTCTCGTATCCAAATTGCAGATAATGCGCCGTGGCGTTTGTCTTTGAGAAAAGCATTTCGATGATCAATGCAGGTCGCTCATCAATCTTGCGTAAGCATTTCTTGAGAATCTGCTTCACAAGCTCTTCCCACTCCTTGTAATTGCGACAACTTCTATCCAAGGGTTCTGAGCCTTTGATCATGCTGTAGAATAGCTGGATAATGTCGAGTCTGTACAACATCACAGCCCAATCTTGTTTAAATGCTATTCGATAAAAATAGCGGTGGGCGCGCTTCAATTGCGCATCGTTGAGGTCCTGGTAGTATTTGGTGAATTTCACGAAGGTGTCGACTACCGGCTGGGGGATGAACTTGTCTGCCCATTTGTTGAAGTTGAATTTCCGTTCCTTCGCGGTCTTTTCTGCATTTTCTTGGTCATTTTCAGAGTCGTCATCTTCCTCGACGGGGTTGTCCTCGTCATTGTCAACCCCTACAACCTTGACCGCCTTCTTCTTACTCCTGACTCGCTTCCGAGACCGCACTTGCATATCTACGTTCTGTTTAGAATATGTTTCTAGTATTCGTAGATACGTGTGTGCAAGTTCGGTACAAGCGTCGAGATATTCAAATCCTTGGTCCTTGAAGTTTCTCACCACGGTTGCCACTCGTTCATGGGTTTCCTCCTCGTAGAAGATGCGGCTCAATATGTTCTCGGCGATTTCTTCGTCTGCCTCATTGCCAGTCTCTGACATGTCCTGCACGGTCAAAAGGATCTGCGTGAAGCACCGCATCGCTGCAGTGAGTTCTGGCCAGTTTTTGTTGTCGAGCGATTCCTGCAGGCCTCGATTCAATGTGATGAACATCTCCTGATTCAAGACGGTAGCGACCAGATTGAAACTTCCAACATCCTCTTGACTTGTCTGACTCGGCTTTTTGCCCTTCTTGGCCTTTTGCCGTACTCGCTCGGCCTCGAGAAACCAGGATGTAAGATAGAAGAACTGCCTGTAGTGATATTCGAGCACGTATTCCTTGTGGTCGTCCAACTTTTTCCGCACATTCAAGAACAGGGGGTTGAAACCAGAATCCAGGAACTCCTCGACAAAACTTCGCAACTGATCTCGTGCCCTTGGGTTTAGGGATACTGGTGGGCCAAGGTCTTTTGGCTCCATTTCCTCCTTCCTTGGTCTCCTCGGTGGCCTGAACGTCTTGCTGTTGTCCATTTTCTCCTCTCTGGTAGCAGCATCCAAAAGAGCATCTTGGCCGGTGACTGTCGACATTTTGCCATCGTCCCGTTGGACCCAGATCATGGTGCCCCACCGGTTGTGCCTAGTGGGAGCTTTTCGGTTGTGCGGTCGGTGCATGGCTGCCTCCTTATTCATTAGTGAGGTCAACTCATTCGCCTTGGCCTTACTCAGTTGTTTGTCATCCATGAACAGCTTGTTGATGTCGACTCGCTTGACTAGATGAAAGATGATTTCCATAAGGACGACGCCCTCATGGTTGAAATCCTCGCCCATGTTTGAGGCAAGCGTCAAGATCACCATCAGGATATCCTGGTACGAGAAGGCATCGATCAATGCTGAGCGAGAGATTTGGGACTCATCTCCTTCGTATTTGACGCCAGGCGGAGGTGTAATCATGGCGATGTTGCGCAGAAACAAGAGAACCAGCTTGATGATGCCCTCGTCCCTTGCCGTTCGATCATTTTTGGGCAAAGCCATCGAAGGCAGAGCCACACGGACTGCGGAGTGTAGTATTTGCGCAGCATCGAAGTTGATAATTGCGCGCTTGTAGCCGACCTGGGCGAGTTGCAGCACAGGCAGATGCCGATGGTGATTTACTGTCATCTCTTCTAGGTTACGCTCCAGCGGCCATGTCAGCGGGACCATGAGCTCGTAGCATGCGAGTGCTGCTCTCGCCTTGAATTTGTTCTCGGTCGCAGCCTCGGGCCAGGAGGCTAGAATGTGCAACAAGTCGCCTTGGATTAGATTTGCTTCGGCCAAGCATCGTGCGACGTCCATTCGGTTCGTTTTCTCGTCGTAAAAGCGTATCCATTTCTTGATATCGCGGAGAACCTCCAGTGCGGAATCTCCCATGACGTATCGGCCGTCATCTTCGGTACTGGAACCACCGAGCTGCCCATTACATTAGCATTTGTTGTAGATGCATGGTTTGGTGCGTCCACTCACGGCCGACACCAGACTGTTGATGTGTGCCCGAACTTCGGGATGCACAACATCTTGGGGGCCTTCTGAGGACTCCATGACGACTATAGAGAACCCTGGCTGAGTCTCGAGGCCTTCGTATGTCAGTTGTTGGGCATTGGTGTTGTTGCAAACCTGGCGTCTCGGAATATGAATATTCGAATGGACGCGTCCGCCACAACGGAAAGCGCGACTCAACGCGTCCAACTAAAGTGGTCCCGCACTCTGCTCTGGCACTAGCACTACAATAGGACTAGTTCAGCTCATCCTAGTCCAACTAGACTAGTGTCGACTAGGTTAGCGCTGCTCACTTGCTAATGCCGACCAGCCCGCGCCTCCATTGAGACTGACGGAGCCCGAGGTTAGCCGGGCTTGTTACTACATCATATCTTAATTGGCCTATCTCGCTTTCCTGACTTACTTCACCAGAAATACAAACTACAATGGCGACTTTGCTCGGGAGAAGAGGTCTTCTGCCACTCGCTGGCCGGGCGCGGCACTTTAGCTCATCCGCCGCCAGGAATGCTGCCCAGATAAAGAGCTTGGGTGTCATTGGCGCAGGCCAGATGGTATGTTACGCCTGACATGTGATGATCGCAAGAGTGCTATGCTTACGACAGAATAGGGTCTAGGAATTGCTCTCGTTGCTGCACAAAAGGCTGGGGTTCCAGTGAGACTTATCGACTCGTCGCAGGCTTCTTTGGACAAGGGAATGGGTTTTGCTGGTTCGCGATCCCCTCCCATGGTGCTACTTGACCTCGGCTTTACTGACTGCATCACATAGAAAAGCTTTTGGCCAAAGATGTATCGAAACAAAGAATTACCCAAGATCAGGCCGACAAGGCTAGGTCACTATTGACGCCAAGCACCGCCATCGAGGATCTCTCAGAAGTCGACTTCGTGATAGAAGCTGTTCCGGAAATCCCCAAGCTAAAGTATGACATATTTGCGAAGCTTGCCGAGATCTGTCCCAAACACGCCATTCTGGCGACCAACACGTCGTCCATCTCTATCACAAAGATAGCTGCAGCGACCACCAAGGACCCCAAGGACACATCCGCCAGCTCACGTGTCGTGTCGACTCACTTCATGAACCCGGTTCCTGTGCAGAAGGGCGTTGAGATCATCGGCGGGCTGCAAACGAGCGCCGAGACGCTCGAGACGGCCGTGTCTTTCTGCAAGTCCATGGGCAAGATCACATCAGTCTCCGCCGACTCGCCTGGCTTCTTGGCCAATCGTATCTTGATGCCGTACATCAACGAGGCCGTCATCTGTTTGGAGACCGGTGTTGGTGACAGAGACTCTATTGACGCTATTATGAAGAACGGTACCAACGTGCCCATGGGCCCGCTTCAGTTGGCTGACTTCATCGGACTGGACACGTGTTTGGCCATCATGAAGGTGTTACATACGGAAACAGGCGACTCCAAGTATCGACCTAGTGTGCTCTTGGCCAAGATGGTCGATGCTGGGTGGCTCGGCAAGAAGAGTGGAAAGGGTTTCTATGACTATTAGAGAAATGTAGCATTATAAGATACCGGCGTTGGAATAACATTCTAGAATTACCTGAGGTTTGCCCTTGTCAAATAGTCTGGTTGTACGGGTGGGATGGTCTATGCTTATAACCAGATGTTTCGCCAAGTAACGCGGCTCTGTCACCTGAAGTTTGCTACTGTCGTTTTGATCTCATCCGTATTTACGCTAGTTCTGGTATATAAGGGTGTGACTGTCATGATATCGACTTATTGACAGGTGTAGCGGACTTCAACATTGACTTTTCCAGTAGACAGAATATCCTAGAAATGGGCCGCGCGCAGTAAGGGCTACTGTGATGAGCACGCATAGTATTGACATGTCTGTGGCTCCACCCTGAAGTCAACCCCCAATATATGCAAGGATATAGTCGCCAACTTGCGACACCAACACTGCCACTTTGTGGCCTTGTCGGGCAAAGCCGAAAAGCGACTATGCTATGTGATAGAGTTCGAAATCCGCTTCGAAAACAAGACTTTTCTTCTCGAAGCTGTGGCAACTAGACTAGTGAAACGTTGGCAGATGTCTCAGATATCCGACCACCAGCAACGTCGACGCTTGCGCCGTTAGTGCGCCGTCTGATCGCGACCATGTCCCGCGTCCTCTTTTTTTTAGGATTGCCGTCTGACCATTTCTGAATAAACTACCGCAGTGGCGAAGCGCTTTACGGCAGATAACGTAGTGAAGACATGTCACAAACGGGTGCCCGTATTGAGTCCGTATTGGACAAAGTGGATATGCTGGTGGTGTCCAGGAGTATAGCTTCTTCGACGCGTGGGCCATCCGATCGCCGATCACTGGTGGGATTCCGCCGCCTTGTATCATATCAGACAGCATTCCCTGTGTTGTTAAGGGTACGTCTCCCCGAGGATGCGTCTCCCCGAGGATGCGTTGCTTTGCGGCATTTGAGAACCCGAATAAGTGCTCCGGTAGTCGCGACAGCTTAGTGCCGTGGTGACGATGGAGGTAGATTGCAATTACGTGTCTGCGCCACGATATATTGATAGCGATGTTATAGTGTCATTCAGATGATGGCCTGCCATGCGCCTAATTGTTCGTATTTGGCACAAAGGAGGTGACAGCCTGACCAGAGAATGCACGTCCTCCTATACCCGGGTCATCACACGACATCGGCATACCAGGCTCAAGCTTTACATCAAGAGTCTTAAGGAGCCCCTTCTAGCAGCGAGCAAGCCCAGGAGAAAACGAGCACTAAGTTAGGAAAAAAGAAATGAAGCTTGCTAAGAACGTTGTGATTCTATGCTGCTTTCGCATGATTGATGATTGGGTAACCATCAGACCTACAGTATATAGTACCTCCAGGTGTGGCTGATTAAGCCACTCTTGAAATTATATTCTGCGGATAATCAATCATGACGAATTATTTTTTTCTTCTCATTACCAGATGCCATAGTAACTCTTAATATCTGACCTTGAGTAGATTCTGGTACCAATCAATTGGGTTTCATGTTTTTTCTCGAACTTGACTCGTGTCCACCTAGATGAAGTTGGAGATATCGATGTTTCACCAATCATTTGAACTATTCACGGGTATCAATTTGAGGATAAGCAGCTGGATTGCCCTAGTATTAGAGTAGCGGTCAGGTGAATCAGTCATATTCTATTTCGCAGAATTTGCCCATGTAGCATCCGGGTCTGGTCATATGTCCAATCACGACATCGTATCTGACTGCGCCTAGAAGGGCCTGTTTCTTGTGAACAGTTTCTTTTTTTCTGTAGTCATGCGATCTAGGCCATCACAGTCTAAAGAGGCGATCCGCGGAAGGGTACTCTTTTAGTCTAGGAAGTCCACTCCGCTCAAGCTGGTTCAAATAGTCCTAAGTGGCTGGCATAGCAGCAGACGACTTCCAGTTTGTAGTTCTCCGGCCCTATTAGCCGGCGGAATATCGCGCCTAGGCTATGCCGGTACCTGAAAATGCGGCCGACCCAAGCGGTGCGATATTGGTAATGGTTCACCATTAATAGTTGCTAAAATGGAAAACAAACGCAAGCATAAGCTCATCGATGATCAACGGTTCATTTTGATGCAGTTGTCATCCTTCTCAGTTCTGTCAGTAGCTAGTCTATCGATTCCTATGAGATCTCGCGAATCAGTCTTTCATCCTGCTTCTAAGTGCCCGTGAACGCGGTAAAATAAGGTCTTATATCTTCATAATAAATACCTTCTATAGTAATTATAACTCTATGTGATCATGGGCACAAGGGCCTTGCCTCCGCTATGTATATGTATCGAAGGACGGATTTGTGATATGAAGATTAGCTGAGTAAAGACAATGTTGACAGCAGTTGGGGCTCGTGATCCAGTAATGTGTTTATCAAGGGTTTGATGTCCGTTTTATTTATCGTCTATGGCATTTTTTGCTAATCAAGATTAATGTATTTACTTCAACTATTCACAGCGCACTACCCATCACGAATAATACCCGTGAAGCAATATATGGTCCTGTATTATCAACACGTACGCGTTAAATTATTTTATACATGTAACCCACGAGGCAGTAGAATAACATGTTAAAGCTGCTAGAATGACCATGTTTTATGATGATCACGTCGACGGGCAGTGAACATAGAATTTTTTTTTAAGGTGTATTGAAAACGTCTTCTTATCGAGATGGTGCAGTCACCATTTTCGTGGTCACAGGACCTCTGGGAGATATTGATGACTAGTAGCTAGTACGTGTGGCCATCTAGCAATGTCGAGCCCCTGTGTCACTCGTAAAAATCTCCGTTGGAGGCGAGATTGAGAAGAAGCCACTATAATCTCGCATCTCGCTCAGTGTGACGTGCCAATACGGCCTGGGTTGCGAAATTACGTTACGAGTCAAGACGCCTGCAGCGGGTCACAGATATTTACGGATACGCTTCAACTTCTCGGCCAATAACTGACTCAGGCTTTGTGGTAACAGTCATTGATTGTCGTTCGCCTCAGTTTAGTATTCGGAGTTGGGCGGCTGCTTTAAGTCTTGGTTCTGACAACCATTCACCGCATTGTCGACCGGCGTGCCGTTTCAACATCGGCATAAATAATAACACGGCATGAATGTACTATCAATTGCCGCAGAGCCTAGAATAGAAGTGCCGTCCCATCTTGATCAAGCATGAAAATCCGGAGAAGCATTAATGACGGCAAGAAAAGGGGTGCCCATATTGAAACGATGCGAGAGATCAAGAGGTAGGCTCCGTGACGTTTAGCCGCCTTCCTGCATCATGACAAGCTGGATACGGTCAATGGCCCCAAGCTGCGAGCGCCAAATCAAGTTGCCCATGGATATGTTACGACGTGAGTGAGACTTCTCCAGTCAGCCGTATTGACTAATGTAGTACGCCTAGGCTTCAGCTTCGTGTCTTCAGCCCGATTCAGGTTCGTATGACCGCAATTGCACTACATAGCGGCGTAAGCTGGTACCTACATGAGTATGCAGACATGGTATGCTTCCCACAGCAGACTTCTGGGATCTTGGTCATCAAACGCGGGAGTGAAGATCGGTTAATCCTGTCATCTGGTTTCTGGTACAAAGCAGCACACAAATTTGGAGGAATGACTTTTATCTTACCACTTATTAACCAATCCCATACATTATCTGATACGTCTCGCGATGTTTGCGTGGCCCCGCATACAGCTGGGGAATGGTGGAAATTCCGGACAGCATACCTGCGGCTACTATTACTTGAGAAGGCGATGAGAAAAAGAACAAGCATCTTCAGGTTGATCCTAGCGTGCAGAGGGATGAACAAGGGGGGAGAGATTCCGACAGGTGCGATCCCAAGCGCACACCTACCCTGGCTGTGGTCACATTGGAGATGGATCGCTAAATCGACCCTTGGAGCAACGTATTTTGCGGCGCTCTGAGGATAATCTCTAGATAGTAGACAAATTTTATGATCCATCCAGACTGCTGGGTCGGCGGCAGACACCGGGATACGACCCATGTAGCCAATTTGGTGGTTGAAGCAGATAGATAGAGGTGTCTCCACACACTCCCTAAAAATGGAAGGGTCTCAAGACTAGAGTGCCTGGAATGGCAAGGAAAGCTTGATCGTTGTGCATCTTATGATGACGACGCGATGTTCGAACCGTGGCATCTAGGCGTTTTTGAGATTTTCCCAGCACGGTGGTTAGGCGAGATGAATCTTGGCGTCAGAACATCAGACGATTTCCAATTTTCCATCAGTCCCCGCCTTTCGGGGTCGCAAATATCTCCGAAATTCGAGGTGTTTGTTGAAAAAAGGCCATCGTAACATGGCCGTATGTCGTCCAGTTGGTCTCAGAGGCACTTTGGCACTCGAAGGTGCTTCTTGCAGAGCCTGTGGAACATTGGGCCTCACCCCAGTGGCGCTGTTTTGTAAATCGCGAATTATTCACATTTTCGAGGTCTGATGTTTCTCATGTTTCTGTCACGCAGCCATACCCTTTTTAATAATTTCCCCGCCTTCCGAGCGGGATACTACATGTTCCTACGTAGAGGCGCGTGCATTGTCCATGTCTCTCTGCTTGGAGAGGCATATAGATCCTGAAGATCTTGGAGGCTAGAACGGTTCTGTCGGATGGATACAGGGTGTTATTCGCTCCCGACCGAGATTGCCCAGGTGGAAAGAACCCATGCCAGCATGGTATCCTCGCTGATGGAGGCGGTAGCGGATCGCCCCTGCGCCCCTACAGTCGTGAAGCCACCGTCATGCTTGGCGTTAGAATTGTGGGATCGCAGATTGCGTGTTCCTGCTTCAGGTATCGGACTGCCAGTCAATTCGCACCAACCAGGACATCGCAAAGCAGAGGATCCATGGTGTGTACAATTATACCGGACAACGTTCGTAACAGCTCGTCAGACCACATCGCAGGGAACTATTTTCAGACGTGAAGAGGAAGTCCAACTTAGCCAGCGGACCTGCGGGACTCGCAACCGGAACGCAGTTGATAGCGCTTCGTAATCTCTCTCAATCTGGGTGCTCCAAACAAATGAGTTCTGAGACACTGACTCTCGCCAATGCAATGCAATGCATGGCAAACCATGGTCTCATGGTAATTGAACAGCATTAATCAAACCAGCCTTACAGCAATTGGAAGCAATATCTATAGATGGAATAATAGGTCGCCGTCTCAAAAGCACTCCCCCGCAATGTGGGTCGTACGGACCTTGGGAGTCGCTATTGGTGATGGAAGGCTGGACTTTTGACGGGAAGCTGCTTGTCGCATCCATCTTGTCTTGACTTGGATGGCCTGACAGACAGATGTGGGAAAGTTGATCGACGCGTCAAGCGCTGCTGAAACCAAAAGAGAATGCCACCAATTGGGTTCCAGGGCAAGTGTCGGTAGATACGTACAGTACAGATGCTGATTGAGGCTTGATCGAAATAGCCAGTTCACAGTTGATATCCAGAGCAGAAAAGATTAAAACTAGAATCCAACTGTCAGGTCCATAGCCTCTACAGTGAATAGATATTAGGCGCGCTTCAAGTCGAAATAAGGTTGTTCTTGGGTTACGGCAGTCGTTATGAACCGTCTGCATCTTAATTTGCAGCCTATATTGTTAATATCTTTACCCGTCCGCCCTGGCATTCACTATACGGCGCAGTTCCGAGAGGCAGCGCGACGGGCACAAGCTTATTTAGGGCACCTGCACCAGTGCTCCCCAGTGCATACTACCACTACCCCCTTTACAGCTTAGAGACTTGGACTTCTCGACTTGCCCTTTCCAGTATGTTGTACTTACTTTTAGTCTATGCAACTTTAGTGCCGACGTTTAATTGTGGCTTACATTCCGTAATCCCACAGTAAACGTATACCTAGCACATGTGGCATCACTCACTAATAGTGTTGCCTATGATGTTGTAGTATCCAGGACAGCGATCTTATTAATGGCCGTGCTATAGCTACCGACTTTGGCATCCCAGATAGCGCCCAAACCTGATGAGGCTGTCGCAGCTCCCGTTTGTCGTCTTTACCAGCTATCCTTGTATCAGATCTCCAGTTGGGTAGGTCGCAATGGGGTGTGCGTGCGATCACAGCGTCTCAACCTGAGTGGGCCCGCAGACTTTGTCGGGACTTTCTCACTGGATTGGCAGGTCACCATGGAAGATCAAAGGGCAGCATGTTTTATCAGTTCAGTAAGTCGCAGGAATTGGATGCTCGATTTGAACGTGATGATGATGAATATTCCCTCGCGTACGAACAGCTTACCACCCGCCCACTACAGTCAATGCACACATGTTTTGCGAGGATGCTTCGAGACAGCTAGCCCATGTGATGAAGGTGCTGCTGTCGATGGCCTCACCACGGACCGGGGTGTGTTTGCTTGGTCTTGGCTGACCACGATGGACAACGGCACAGGGGTGTAAGCAACACAGAAAACGTCAATAGTCGGTAAGAGCTATACCTTGTACACTGATACCAAATCGATCGAAATCCGCTGTAGATTGCGCAATTCTTGTTGTCAGTCGTTGTATTGGAAACGACAGCAGCTGCAGGTGTTTCGGCGCGTGGAATGTCTTCGGCAACCATATGGATCAATTCAGAAATCAGAACCCCAATTCATGCAGCGATTTCTTTGACCACGGAATTCAATCTGGTCACTTGCAGGCTTACATTTGATCATGGCGTTCTTATGGTTGTGCCACATTAAACACCATTATTATTTCTGAGATATTCATCTGGTCCAGCAATGGGTCGTGGATTGTCGCATAAGATGACATGACTTGACAGTGCATATTTCCGGTATAGATTTTGGTCGTCTGAACATATCGTGCAGTAGCAACAACAACCATGGTCAGTTGGCAGAGTTTAGTGTTTCAGCACACAGCATGTGCTCTTCCCCATAAACGGGGACATGCTTGTTGTTACTCAAACTCAAGCTTACATTTCCCAGACCATGGGATAACATCCAGGCCCACTGGTTGAGTAAAGGATGCGTACATGTTGAGACAATATCATTTGTTGTAGTCCGTTGTTATCTTGACTATAGCATTGAGCAATCGAGAACCATGTTTTCCCGAACACGACGGATACTTGCTGATCTCCAGCTATATTCCGATAACCGAACGTAGTAGAGCTGGGGGGAGCTTTAGCAGTCACTCTAGTCTAGCTCCTATGTATGCCATCGTCGGACGTCGTGACCTGTTGCGGAAGTCCAGATAGTCCCGAAGGATAGACAGGTTGCCAGATGGCCCGCCGAGAGATCTTGTAATACATCCAGAGTCATCTTTGGGTTGGGAATGCGTGCCTGGAAAAAAAATAAGTTGGTATGTCTTGGCGATCGGCCTGGAGGTTTGATAATTTGGAGTTGAATAATTCTTTACAGCTTCTCCTCCGAGTCAGGCATCGGCCAAGAAAGAAAGCCATGGAGTACTGTCGATCTCTGTGCTTAAGGTTTGGGGCTTTTATGCGAAGTGTTTCGTGCATCGGAGGGCGGAAATTTGCACGTGCATAAACTTATTTGGACGCCTCTTGTCAGTCGTTGTCTCAACCTTCAGCTCCTATGCAGTTCGGTTGATGAATTGTTGATCTATTTGCTTTGCATGGCAAAGGACATGGACAAAAGGAATTCGAGCAGGCATTATCGGCAGTGTAAACCTTCGTGCGTTCCAGAGCAAGATTACAGCGGAAAAGTATCATCCGTCAAGGTATTGCAAGTCTTGGAACGAACAGCCACTTATGCTTAGTTCATTCATGGATAAATCGGATGGATTGTTGTCATGGAAGGGGCACAAAAGCGATTGCTCGCTTCTTCCATTGAGTTCAGCGTCTTTCATGAGAATCAATCGCAACCCGTCAGCCGTGTGGCATCTCCAGCCACATCACGCTGCAAGACATTCATCATACATGATCGTCACGTACAAGGGATTTACCCGCTGAGATCAACAACATGTGAATCCTGCGTAGTTTATACTAACGGCTTAGTGTCCCGCCACGCCGAGATGCAGGTACAAGTACTATGATGACAGGCATGTCTGTCTTCGGCTCCTCCCTCTTTTCAGATTTGACCGGGACTGGACTGGACTGAACTGGATTTAAGCGATAGGCGAAGTTTGCATCATGGACCACAAAAGTGGCTTGCTTTTTTGTTTTATTTTTCTACTGCAACGGCGCCCGATCAAAGTTTGTCATGGCGTGATGCCAATTTCTTTTCTGCCTCTCCGTCACCGTTTGGAACCTCATGGTTCTAGGGAGATTCTAGTGACCTTCGCTTTCGGTCTCTATTAAAGATACCCGAAGCTATGAGATCTTAGTGTGAGCTTACCCCGTGGGAGCCGCGCTTGCGAAATTACAGCAAGCCAAAGGACTCATGCTTTACCCACCGAACCACAATCTTGAAATTCGCATCCCGAGATTTGCTCTTCTGCCAAAATATCCCTCGCTACGTGCGTCCCGCCGCGTAGGGTGTTTTGGAGATAGCTAGGATTGCGGCAACAATAGCAAAACACATGCATGATGTGACCGATAATGGAGAAATTCTGTCCAGGAGACACCAGCACATCGCACGATTGGCGACTGATACTTAGTCCTTACCACCAGCCTTTACACGCTGGGCTTTCGTCCTGCGGCAAAGCCAACTTACGGAACACACAAAACTCCTCTTCCGACCCTGTATCCATGTCATCATCAGAACCCCTGATGAAACAAACCATGGCGTGGATCCATGCAACCAAAAAAGCAGTATCCACCAACAAGCACGGACTTTTCGATGCTCGACTCGAATGGTTGATGTGGCTTGCATTACACGTTTCTGGCATATTCCTCGCAGAGTTTATCATATCCACGAACCTGCTGCAAGCGCTCGCAGTTCGTCTGGAATTCACGTCGTCGTGACATAGTCCATGGGCAATGCCCTGCAGCGGCCACGACAGGACATTTTACCGCCTACAGCATAGAGTTGTCTGCACTGCTACCTCATTACATGGTACATATGGAACATTACCTACCTACAGCACAATTGCACTAGCCCCAGTGAGGCTATCAAAGACACCTCGACAAATCAGGCTACGGCTCATTCGGCCAACATTCCTCGGAGGCTCCCTCTAGGGTTGCTTCGAGAAGAAATGGAGACGCAGAGCCGTGTGCTAGCTGTCCCTACTTTTACCCTTTCCCCATGGCTGATGTCCCATCATCGTTCGGCATAACGGTGATGTGTTAATTTCACCAGTGTTAGCGCATGAGATGTGGAAGTCGCCTCGTTTGGGACTCTCTATCAGCCGAGGCCTACATCAAGTCTGGGCTGGAATCTTCCGGTTCCCACAACAGCTAGCTCTTTGCTTCGTTTGATCCCAGACGCAAAATAGCAAGATCCCGCGATGTCGGTGTCGGACGCCAGCGGGGCGTTGGATAATCTAAGCAAACAGAGCCGCACTTGCTGCACCGTATTTCACAGACCTCCAAGTTCTAACTAGTCACTTAATAAGAATACCTTGCAAGAAGCTCGAAATTGGTTAGAGTAGGTACACAATTGCTGACAGGGTATTTGACTTTCGGTCGGATAGCTGATCTTTCCAACATCCCCTGTTCGCATCGGCCAGGACGTGCATTAGACCTCCACATCCTTGCTTTTCTTTGCTCGACGTACTCCCACATCCAGTTGAACTTGCAGCTCTTTGTGGCAGAACGCCTACAAACACACCCTCTTCCATTAGGCGAAGGGCCGCACCAAGTGGAATCATGAAAAGACCTATTGGCTAGAAAACTAGCAGTTTTGTAACGGTCATGCGTCCATCCGCCTATTCACGCTGATTATCGTTCTGAAGGGCCAATGGAGAGTCCAAAGTTATCCGAGCCGCGATACTTCGATACCGCCCTGTCAACAAACCTGTCTGCACCGGGCTCTCGATCAAAACCAAGATCGAGACACCTGATGCCGCTAAGCTCCGTTCATGTCCTCGGTCTGTTGTTGTCGATCCAAACGGTTGGTTTCACTGTGAAATCAAGGCAAGCTGGACAAGTTTGTGACCAAAGTATTCTACGACTGCACGCTATGGCCTGTCGATAAACAAGTCTATAGCAAGATTATTATCGCTTGTACTTCATCTTACACACAATTGTCAAAATATAGCATAAGCTATTCAGCCGAGGACTCAACTGTGAATCAGCTCAATATAGAGCTGCTTCGGAGAACGATTGATTAGAGAGGGGCATGTGGCTCAGCAATCTTTCAGATGACCCCCTTCTTCCTGGCACCGTTTAGTCTTGGTTCAAGTTTTTCGAAACGGGCAAAGAGAGCTTCCACAATATTACTACCGTAACTCGTCACGTATCGTCTGAAGTTACCCCCAACATCCTGAACGGCTTGTGATCATTGATCCACTATCCGTGCGGTCCCTGTCGTTCGTTCGGATCCAGCCTGGACATTTCTCCGTCAGGGTATACCATACTCGCCGGTATTAATTCCACCTCTGCCATCCACACGAACAAGGGTGCCCTCGACGTGCTGTCTCGCTGCGACCACGGGCAATCTTCCAACCCATACATAATAAATGGGTCCGTCAGGTCCAGGCATGTTGAGGCGGATCAACTCCACTGGAGCAAGCATCGTTTAACACTGCTCAATTTATTATACATATCACATCCCCAATCTAAGGAGGCTCAAATTCATGAACGACTTCCTTCCTTTCTATCCACTACCCTTTATTGGCCCAAGTTGTCTTCAAATTCTACCTTCGTCTTTCTTAACGGCAGCTTGTATCTGTCTATCTTTCGTTTCTAGGGCTGGACTCGGTCTTATGTCAAAGTAACGACCTCAGTTGCCTATTTTCTTTTTAGTCTTGACGATTTTTCTAAGCGTTCAACTTGGAACTTGGGGTTTGAATACGTTATATCTACAGGACAGGTTGGTGGACTTGAAAAGCTGCGGGGCCAGTTGACTACCATACATCTCTTGTGGCGACTCTCCAGCATTATCCTGTCTCTCAAACGGCATCTGCTGAGCAGAACTACGTCTAGCTGCAGCTTGGCTCTGCTACTTAAGGCACTCTGAGAGGCAAACGCCAAAGGCTGATACCCTTCAACACTCTTTCCAGGACCGCGTCCTTCTTTCCTTGAATATACAGTACTTGCTACGCAAGCTGCTGCCCTATCACGATTCGAGTTCGGTAACATCAAGAAGCCAACAATACATTCTTTCCAATGCTTGTTACCAGGCAACCTGATACGGAGTCAAGCCATTGGTCCAGCAAGTACCAGACCTTACTGCACAAGCCCACAAGCCCACGAATGTCGAACTTTGAGGGCCCGCTGTCATCACAGCCCGAGTGGCAGGGCCATTACTCGTACCTCCCTCCTGGTGAGCCCAACATCTTTGGTCAACCATTCCAGCAGACTAGCAATACTGCTGCACTGCCTCGCCCATCCAGTACTACCAACACTGTGGATGAGCAAGCAGGTCGGTCTGGACCGGCTACGGCAAGCTCTCCATCGGCCCACGCTGAGTCTCAAGGTCGCCGGGCGCCGAAACTTGAATCGCCTGTCAACGACGCGACGGAAACACGAGTTGCGATAAACGGCATCAAAGCCGAGAATGTACAGGAGGAAGCATCCGTGATAGCTACTCCTATCGAGCCAACAAGTTTGAACGCTCAGAGCTCTAGTTCCTCAACGGGACACGCTCGGGACAATACCCAAGCGCAGAGTGGAAATGATGATACGATTCTAAGCAAGGACGAAGATGACGAAATCGTTGATGACGATGACATGTTGGATGTCGAAGGTGATGGTGATGGCGAGACGGGTAGGCCAATGACAGCGGCAGAGCGCACAGCCGCCAGAAGAAAGATGAAGCGTTTCCGCTTGACTCATCAGCAGACCCGCTTTCTGATGAGCGAGTTTGCAAAGCAGCCCCATCCAGATGCAGCGCATCGCGAACGGTTGTCGAGAGAGATTCCTGGACTTAGTCCGAGACAGGTGCAGGTTTGGTTCCAGAACAGACGTGCGAAGATAAAGCGTCTTACAGCTGACGACCGGGACCGCATGATCAAGATGCGCGCTGTCCCTGATGACTTTGATAACGTCCAGGCTCTTCACTCTCCCTATGGTGCAGTGCACACTATCAACACTCCTATGACCCCTCCCGTAGACTTTGGTGCACAGTCATACGCGGAGCATATGATGCGGCCATTGATGCTGGATACCATTAGAAGGAATGACGGAGACGCCAATATGTCTCCCACTGGAATGAGCTCGTCCTACGGCAGCATGGGGTATGCACCTTCTGGGGCCATGAGCACGCCGGACATGCTGTCGCCCATGTCGGCTACATCCAATGACCGTGGTTATTATTCTAGCCACTTGGCTAGCCCATTGAGCAGTGGTCCTAGGACATCGAACCCCTTTGCGCGACAGAGCAGCCTTGACACTGGTTTACACATGCAGTCAAGGCAACAAATCCGGCCGTTGCAGCCACTGCAGCTTAGGGAGACTATGTCGAGATCCAGGTCGGACAACCTTCAATCGCCTCTTCGATCAAGCATGTCCTGGAAGGGCGACAATCTTGACTATGGCTACCAAAATAACAATACAAGCCAGTCGGTTTACCATGAACAAGCTAGTTCGAGCTCATATGAGTCTGGATCTTATTCTGGTAAGTTCCCATATTGTACCTGCACAGATTCCATTTGCTAACTGATCTCAGCTGGAGCAATCCAATCTTCGCCCACACACATCAACTACTCTAGTTTGCCGGCGACCCTCCAGCACCCTCCGCAAAATTCTCGTCTTCGAGCTGCCACAGCCACGCTTCCGCTTAATCTAGATCTACGAACGCAACAATATCGATCGGTATCATCGGCCCACAACATACACGGTGCTGGACCAGCAACACCGAGGGCTACCTCGGCCGCTCCATACTCTACGGCATACACATCTAGCTTCCCTTCCGCACCATTGACGGCTCCAATTGACTTTGCGCAGCCCAGAACGCCTGGTATCAGAGGTGTTCAGGAGTACTCCATACCTCAGATGAGCGCACCGATTGCTCCGCCGCATGATTTCTCCCGTGCCCTTCACGGGCATATTGCTAGTCACAGCACGAGAACTCCCATGAGAGATTCTTTTGGTCACTCGTCTCACGGCCAAAACTCGGAGAGGTCAGACGAGTATGCTCGCGACAGCTATGGAATGCAGCGAAAGCGCAGTTTCAGTGGTGGCCCAAACCCTCAAGCTTACCCTCACACATCCTAAATGGGTGTTTTCTTTCTTCACGTTTCGAGTCTCTTTCTTTTTATCTCTATTCATGCTCGAAGCATCAGACGCACATGTGTTTTGTTCTGATTCAAAACTTCTCTTCTTTCAATACCCATTCATCTTGCGGACGGACTGTCTCGCATCATTGTCTTGTTATGTATATTTTCGATTGGTGTTTGTCAGACTCAGCTTGTGGTATATTTCCTTGGTTTGCATAGTAGAGCGTGGAGGTGCGGAATTGGACGGAGTCTGGAGTTTTCATTTGTTTTATCCATCGTTGTCAGCAGAGCGACGCACATCTGAATTTTCGAAACATCTGGCGCTATAGTAGCGGTCGAGATACCTCGCCTGTGGCGTGGTCCTGCTCGATTGGTTTGCCTTCAGCGCCGCCAACTGAGGTTAACTACCTCATGTATATAGCATATCACGGTCAGGAGAGCTTCAGCTCTCCCTTGTACAAATATTTCGCTCAAGCGCACACATAAATACTCATAACAAAGATTCTTACAATTGTATCACCTCGCCCTGTGATTCCGTGACCGAGGGGCATTTGCAGCATGGATGTGGAATGGCAACTGCCTTTGACATTCAGGGCAGAAAATGTGCGGATAACGTATCAACTAGTAGCCGATAAACTTTTATAAAGCTCTACGTCGCTTGAAGTTCTGCTACAGCAGAACTGACAAGCATCATAGATCGGCAAGTTTCCTTCTCTTCTAGCCGGGAATGAGCCCAACCACGGCTACATCAAGGTCACACTCCGGAATGCAACGCCGATGCATGGCTAATTTCAACAGACGACTCGTTAACTGAGAAATTCCCCGAGGTCGTCTTCTTGAAGTTAAGCTCGATGCCATAATGCACCATCAGACTGAACCAGACTCCAGTAGGCCTCAAACACACAAGACATGCCAGTCACGAAACCACAATAATTTACACCCGGTAGGCTCACCGCCGAGTCGTTACCTGCAAATCCCCCCGAATGTGAAGAGCAATATCAAATCATCGATGCTAGCCACTATTGTGACGCTTCGCGGCGGACAGAGAACTCCTTTCACCTGGACAAACTACACACCTCCCATCCCGTCAGACTCGAGATACTACTTCCCGGTTGGCGGGTAACAACACAGAGCGCGACGACAAGCGGGGATGACCTGGACAGGCTGTTAGTTGACATGTTGCATATCACGTTGTACGAAGGCAGGACCCCTGGTAACCTTTGCCCAACGAATCCCGCTCTTGGGATTACTGTATTACACTGCCGCAACACATTGGGATCCGGCGTTCGTGATACTTGGTCGGATGCCTGATTATCTGGAGATGGTTGCACGAAGTCTCAAACAGCAGCCACCCGCAGCACATGAATGGTTCTTGAAAGTTATTGGGCATCCTCTACAATATTCGAACTTCTTTGCCAATCCTTTACTATTTTCATGGTACATCGTTGCCTCATAAACCCATATTAAAGATTTCTTAGCTACCCTGACATCACATATGCTCTTCTGGGGGTTTTCGAGTGATTTGTCACTCGCTAAATGTCGATCGGTCTCATAAGCCAGCAATCAACGTAGATAATATGTGCTGCCGCTTACATACCTTGGATGATCAACCTCTGGTCGGGTATAAGAAATTATACTACTGCAAATTCGTGTGGTCTAGGTGTTGTATCGTGTATGGATTAGAGTTGACGACGCCATCTCAGCGCCGCCACAATTTTCACGTCACCATGGCACAATTCTGTGGCCCATAGATCAGTAGTCTAGACTGAAGCTTTGCCATGGCTCTCATGCCAATTGTGCCTTGCATAACTCCAGGGTAGCTGTTTGTCCAACCAAAATAAAATGCTAGCGGCTCAGGACCGCGAATAACTCAATATTCCCGGGTCTCTTGGTAGCTTTCAGAATCCCGTTGTCTTAACCTTCTAGCCCCATATCCTCATGTCTCTGTGCTTCCCAAGGTCCATCTCATCAGGCCATTTTGGACGTGTCAATCACATCAGAGTAGGCACCGGTTGAAACAGAGTTTGGCTCGTGTTATGCAACCGCCCGCAGGAGCCCAAAGTGGTATAGGTATAAGACGCCTATTAAGACCTTCTTCACTGGGTCTCTCCATTGAAGAGCCGGGATCCACCAGGGATAAGACTCTGCTTGCCTCTGATCTTACGTGACAGATTCAGCCTAGTCTAGTCGAATGTTTGTGCGCAGGCTACTCTTTCCTTGCCTTCACTCGAGGTTGTGGTCGCTCTAGGCTTCCGGCTGGATGTAACGCTGGACAGCCACGTCCCGGACGAAGATCCAGCACGGGACCCGTGTCTGCCCACTGACTTGTGATTCAGGTCCCCAGATCGGCCGGCACCCATCTTACTTTTTCCCTAGCGTCTGCTGTCAGAGTAATCCGGGGTACCATCGCACTGTTGCACCTGCGATCACCAAAATGGCTTAGTCGCGATGGCATTTCTATTGTGCTAAAATAATCTATTGTGCCCGTAGCGACGCTTGGCGGATTTGTAAGAGTTGTAGATCCATTTCGAGAGAAGAGAATACCACAGTGTATGTTGCACGCTACAGCCGTGTTATACACACAAAAGTTGCGTGGGATCTGATTAGATAGCAGTAATCCTGCGCCACAATGTCTCGCCTGGGGTGATGAACCACGACACTTGAATCTGCGACAATGTCCCCAACAAAAGCTTGGTTACTACCACGCACGCCATGGTGGCCTCAGCAAAAGTACGTACAGGCTAATGCACTGTTTCTAAAACCTGAGGGGTTGCGATATGCCGAAGCGTACCGGGGTCAGACGACGGCCGACCTGGGAAACAAACCATGGTTTTTCGCCCCAGGTGTGACCGTGACGACCATCCAGATCTTTCTTTGCTCGAGCTATGAACGCTCAGCCCGAGATCCACCCTCGATGCTAAAAGAGCTCCCAATACAGGAGGTTGGGTCTCCGCTGGTATATGGGGGCGGTTCGTTCTGTGTTTTTTGCCTAAAGTGGTACACTCCGAGCGGCTGCGCTTCGCGAGCTTGGCATATGCCGAAGGTAATCTTCTTCTCTAGATTAGTTCGTGATGATCAATGAGCCACTGCTAGTTCAATGGTCCCAAAACTTGAGTTAGAAAGGCCGGATCAGCTTAGCTGCGACAATGGTGCCCAAGACACAGCGCTCTATGATCAGAATATGGGACAAGGTACGGCAAAGAACAATCTAGCCGTTTGTAGTAACTTCGACTTAGTATGCAAATTCCGTTGAGTTCTATGATAATGTTGGTGTTGGATCGTACCACGACAACATGGGACATATTAGGAGCATGCAAAATATAGTCATTGCCATTATATTCATCATGACAAGCTCCTCATATGTGTTACTCATGGATGTAAGTAATGACCTGTTAGTAGTAAGTTGCTATATCTGTTTGACTGAATGTGAACTTGAACAAATTTGTCTGCATGACCTGATCTCGAGCATCCACTCTATGATCCGGGTACCAAAGGTCCAGGACATAGCTGCACTCCATCCTTCAGATCAATCCGGATCAAAGAGGACCATCAGTGATAAGATCCTTTCCTCCGGATTAGACAGAATGCAATGTGTCAGCGCGGCAGTTGCGATGCGGGTAATTTCGACGATAAGTCAAACGGAAGCGAAACGGTAGGCATCCTCAAAGCTCTACAAACCGTACGGATTTACAGTGGCCAAAATCGCGGGCGGCTGGTATGGATTGTTTGTGATGCTTGCCGAGTAGGTAGTCCTATTTTCGAGATGTCAATCAGCTCTTCCTTCTGCATCATCAAGAGACGTGTCAACTTAGAGCGGCTCTTGCAGCGTCGGTTTCGTTTTTCTCAGCTCACCAATGCCACTGACTGCGGTATTAATGTAGTGAAACAGACTCGTTAATTTAAAGGACTTCAAGAGGCTCGTTTAACCCCTTAATGTAGCGAAATTGGATTTTAGTTGTCTGCCCACGTGTTTGTGACAAGCTTGCAATATGAACAGAGTTTGAGAGACTGTAGCCAGACATTTATGAGAATAGGTGTACAATTGCAGCTTACCATGAGTACTCGCACGGGAAGCTTCTCATTCTTCAGCTGTATTCTGATTATGTTTGTTGCTCTCTAATCCTGACGAATAGATCACATCATTTCGTATTAAGTACCTTGCAAGAGTAAACAGCAAATACGGCCAAATAAACCTTCCATTCACGATATCGCATAAGCAAGATACATTCAAGACTCAGCCAAGACAATATCGTGTATAATGAAACCACTGGATTCTTGACCGATTCTTTGGATACTGCCAAACATAAGTCTTATTTCAAATTAACTCTAACAAGAACAAAAACACATTCGACACACCCTCCGAAGAGGAGTAGACACGACGAGAGTGTGGCTACCACATCTAGTAGCCTGAGCGCAACTGTCCGACGAAAACCTTGATCTCGAAAACGAACAGGGCACAACTCCAACATTAGTAACAGTTCTTGCCGGCTTTCCTCCACGATAATTTTAAGCCAAGCATACTGAGATGACTAACAGGGAACGAAGCTCCCGGGAGAACATATTGGCATGTTTGTCAAAGCCCTTCAGAACGTCACCCTTCACAACTACAGCGATCTAATCATATCGCGGAGCGAAGATTCTGAGACTATCGACACATTATATGTAATAGAATTTTCGAAGCGGATGCTCAGCAAAGCCATCAAATTCTAGATTCAATCGCTAGAAGATTAAGTGTTGGACGAAGAGTCCAATAAAGTCGCACGAACGTCTGCAAGCACTGACGACAGCGACAGCCCATTCACCCCATTTTATACTGCTAGCATCTTTGTACACGACACCCTATCGGCTTCTAGTTATTTTCGGGATATAACCATATTTTATTGACAGATATCACTCCAATCAGTTGTATCGTACGTAAGCTTTTGTGCTCCTCGTGGAATGATCTTCCTCACAACATACAATCATACAAACAGAAGCACCCAAATCTTTACTACAAAACTTGTACTTTTGGCAAATGACACTTTACAACTAAGTCTCACTAAAATCAATTCGAGCCAGACTAAAAGGCTATTTGAACGAAATACTTCCGACTCAGCAGTAGCATCGACGTAACTTGAACCATATCATTTAATCATTGGAAAACGTCGAGGTCATCGTAAGGATACAGCTGTCCTGCAATGCCCTCCAAGGCACCGCACATATTAGTACCGCTGTACTCATATGAACTTCTGAACCCTTCGTATTCATGAGGAAATGACACCTCTCTTTTCGAGGACCCTTTCAAATAAGATAGTTGTTGTAGGGATATCGTTCTCAGCGTGTCTCCGCAGCCAATGCTGATCAAGCTCCAGAGAAATACTGTCCATACTTCATCGCCGAAGCTCGCCGAGTATCGCGACCCGGAATTCCTCGGATCATCTAAGCAGACCCTTTGAAGCCGTAACGAACGAAGACTTGGCTGGATTTTACGCAGCACTAAGGTCAAAGCCGCTCTGCCGATACATAGATTTAACAGCTCTAGCTCCTCGAGGTGCTCGAACGAGATAGGCGGCGGCATGGCTCTCGGTCGGCTCGGACCTACTCCAACGCTCAGGAGCTGTCGACCCGGAATGGTTGTTTCGGGCGTTGTGCCCAGCCACTGGAAAAATGCCTCGGCCTCTGGACTCTGTCCTCCAGAGATATCGAGCTTGAGACGTCGAAGACTGGAGCCTTCGAGACATCGTAGAAAGCGTCTAAAGTTGTACGTCGAGCTGTTGGGATTCTCTGCCGGAAGACGACCCGTACCAGGTGCACGGTCTGAGAATCTAACAGGCAACGATAGTGACTCTAGGCTTGATAGTACGGACGTGATTAGTTCCTTCATGTGGTTCAGGATAATGAACGCTCCGTCTGGAAGGCTGCCGCTTGCTAGGCTGACCTCGAACCTCTTAGGTCTAGCACCACTCCTTCCAAGAGCGAAGAGGACGCCCGGCAGGGTGCTAGCCAAGGTCGTGTCAAAATTCACAGGAGGTTTTTCCTTTGATAGGTCCAGGCGCAGGTCTTCCATGACCTTGCGCCGCCCATACGTGGTCCATGGCGCCTGCGGTTCGTACTTGTAATAACTGTGTACCTCGACCGTCTCGAGTTGAAGATTGAAAAATGCCTTCTGCAGCATCTCGAGGTCTGCACCAGCCTGCACGAACCTACTCTGCTCACGGGCATAGATCTCGAGCTTGTCACTATGCCAAGACCGAATTGCGGGCAACTCCTCCATGCTGATAACCACATGCTTCAAATACGGAGATAGCCGCGACTTGGACAAGTCGACCAGGGCCTGCAGACTGAATTCCATGCGCATCACCTGCATCCTGCTTGCGTACTTCTTGCCCCAGGATTCGAGGAGTGCAGCATCTAGCCATTTGCAAGTAGCTCGGACTGCCGCATGCTCCTGGCACGTAAAGTGAATCGCAATCTGCTGCACAAGTTCCACGGGCAAGCCAGACAGGCCTTGCACTACCATATTGTGCTGGTTGACTGAAATCTTGCTGATTGTCAAGTAACAAGAATATCGGTAATTCTTTTGCAGCTCAAGTTTACCATTCATACGGTTTAGTGGAGACCAACATTAGGTGGCAGCGCGGGGTATCCCGGAATATATTATGACTCCTTTGCATCAGCCTGCACAAGATCCTGTAATAGGTTCTAGAAACTCGTTGATAGCCTCGAATCGAATTAACATGACATCGATTTTTTTATCATTATATTTATTGATTCAATGCCACACGAACTAATGAACACCGAGTGGCAGTGATATTGGAAATCTGTCATAACATTCATGAAATGTGCCGTGCTATCGACAATTGCTAACTATATCACATAGAAGGCCTACTTTCAAGGCCGGGGGGCACCATATTCAAGTCCCCACCACATCTTCAAATCCTCCCTTTCCTCTCCTTCTGGGTATCAGTTTGAACTTATTTACGCTGGCCGTAAGCCTTGGTTGCGTAGTCACCGCCGTGGACGATAAGATCCTCAGGTCTGTAGTCGTGCTTGCCAGAAAGGTAGCTCTCAAGGATAGCCTTGGTACCGTTGGCGTAGCGGATCTGGGCGTCGATGGAGGTACCGGACATGTGGGGAACCATGGCGTTGCCGCCGCCCCAGGGGTTCTGGGCGTAGCGGAGTGGGTGGTCCTTGGGGGCAGGCTGGGGGAACCAGACATCACCACCGTACCCACGAAGGTGGCCGGACTTGAGAGCCTCGGCGACGTCCTCCTTGACAACGATGGCACCGCGGGCGGTGTTGACGAGCCATGAACCCTTCTTCATCTTGGAGATGAGCTCCTTGTTGAACAAGCCGCGGGTCTTCTCGTGCAGAGGGCAGTTAATGGTGACAACATCGCACTGTGCCAACATCTCCTCGAGGTTCTCGACACGGCGGCAGCCAATCTCCTTCTCCTTCTCGGCGCTGAGGGGCTGGTAGTCGAAGTAAAGCAGCTCCTTGCAGTCGAAGGGCTTGAGGCGGCGCAGGACACGCTCGCCAATACGACCGACAGCGACGGTACCGACAACCTTGCCCTCAAGATCGTATTCGTTCTTGGCAGCGGCGGCGACATTCCAGTCGCCAGCAGCAATCTGCTCGTGGGCGGGGACGAAGTTGCGGACGAGAACCAAGATGGTCATGAGGACATGCTCGGCGACGGACACGACATTGGATCCAGTCACCTCAGCGACGGTAATACCGCCGTTGGTTGTGTTGGCAGCATCGAGATCGACGTGGTCGGAACCAATACCCGCAGTAATGGCAAGCTTGAGGTTCTTGGCCTTGGCGAGACGCTCCTTTGTGAGGTATCCAGGGTGGAAGCTTCGCTAGTGTTAACACAACTAACTGTATTCTCAGACGGATTGTGGGGTAGTCACGTACGGAGTTGTAATAATGATCTCAGCGTCCACCAGCTCCTTGTCGAAAGTGGAGTTCTCGCCCTCCTTGTCGGATGTGGTAACGAGCGTGTGGCCTTGGTCCTCGAGCCACTTGCGGATGCCCAGCTCGTTCTCGGTGGTACCGAGCAACTTGGGCTCCTGAAAGAAATATGCATGTTAGCCAGGGTGAACTGCAACTTTTCAGAACACTACATTCATGCCGAGTTTCCGGACTGGAGCTAAGCAAATGACCCCCGTCTACCCCACAATCTCCGTCATAGCCCTAGACGGCGCAATTGGCTCAGGACATTGCTGAGAATACCAAATTAAGCTCCCGAGGTCGTCTATAAGTGACGGAAATGCGGGGCAGTGCGGGCGCCAATGCCCCGACAGACACGCCAGTTGCTTGCTAATTGACGGGGCATGAAATAAGGGTCGTGTTTGCCCGATCACGTACCTGCTTGGCGTGCTCGCCTCCGTCGTAAAGAACCAGAAGAACCTTGACCTTTTCACGTTGACCTGTCAGCATACGAATCGAGGTTGGGGAGCCGAATGAGTTGAGTTTGGGGAAGGGTGCGCCGGCGGTCGACGCCAGAGCTGGTCGTGATGTCACACCAGTTCTGATTGAAGACGGACGCGGACTCTTGGAAATACAACCAGCCGTAGAAAGTGCCCTTGTAGAAATGGGACGAGTGCAACGCTGAATGGAACGAGCGAGTAATACCATTTTGAATATCTTGTAATGAACTGTTCACAAAAAGGAACTGATTTTTGTAGGTGGAGGGGTGGGATTGTCGTTGAGGTTGACTATATAAGTACTGAACCCCTGTATTAATGGTAGGATAAGAAGACGATTGCTTAGATGATGACAGTAAGATGATGCTGGGAGTGGCCGGGATCTTAAGTAGGGAACCTTTGGAAATCTGAATGAGAGGGGCTAGATCGGGAGATCAGTTGATGGTATTTATGGTTTGACCTCTTGCATACATGAGGACCTGGATAGTGTCCTGGACAACCGGATGGCATGTACATATCGTCAGGCTTGGTACTACAAGATCATGTGGAGTCAGTTAATTCTAGAGCGTATCAACACAATGTCTGTATAACAGAAACGCATAGCCGGGAGGGGATCCTGAGGTACCGCGAGAGGTGTCTCGATACAATGCGGCCCCATCTTTGGCTTTCGTGGCTACGAATTCCAGTCAGAATAATACTCTTACGCGATCAGAAACATCGCAAATCCCCGCATTTCATCCAGAGTGGCACGGGAATTCGCCAATGGGGACAGCGGCTTGAGAGCAACACGGCCTGAATCCAACTCTCACATGCACCCCGCTTCATGATGCTTGGCCATTGATTCTGTCTGCTTGCATGCTCTATGGACCATTGACTCGGAATGCTGCGGTGTTAACTCGGATTGTCCAACATGCCCCTCGCCGGCTCCACCCTTCCGAATCCAGGCGAGCTATACTCCAATATAGTATGTCAGATATTGTAGAGCATTTGTCTAGAAGCACGCACGTATCTCAACCAAACCACAGGGGGAAAACGGTTCAGATTACGAGAATTTGGCATCCTCCCGCATATTGCTCTCCTGTATACATCACTTTGCATTCATTATGGTTCTGACAATGTGTCTTATGGAAGCTGTACAGTATTAGAGACAATTGCGGGGAAGCTCGTGAAGCTTTGTACCACCATGTCATTTTTCCAATCATAATCTTGGTGGGGAAGTTAGGCTGGCGGGATCAGATCCACGCTGACTTCATACTAAATTCAGCTCTTGACGCTTTGAAGCGTGCATTAACAGCTTTGTAATTGACTTCTGTCATTTTATTTGAGCCTCACTTGCCATCAAGAGCAGCTACAGAGGCTAACTTGCCCGCATTCGATTCAATTCTGGGCGACATAGCGATGGCCCCACGAATCCGAATCTATACCGAATGAAGTTGCTCAGGATAGGCAAAAATACGAACACGGGAAATACGCCGAAGAGCCATTTTGCCAGCAATGCCGATATCGTTGGATCGATAATACCTAGCAACGAGATCTTACGACGTAGCAGAAGGTGGAGCCTCAAGAGCCATGTGTCTGGCACGGCAGCCGCTGGAGATAGCTCGGCATTCGTCAAGTCGCGAGCCGCGCGTAGGAGTCAAGAACGTGGCTTCTTTATTGCGGAAGGACAATCATCTCATGAGAGCTGATAACATGTAATTGCCAGGCATATGTATAGTAGACAATGTTGGCCCTTGAATATCCACAAGGTGTTGCGCCATCGAGTCTCCTACCACTGGGCACACGATGAAAGGAGAGCATGCGTATACAACAACGCACGCCGAGCCAGCTCCGGCGGCAAACACGACATGCGTACGCTCAACCTCTCCGTGGGATGCACACAGATGTGGGATGCCATGACGGCGCATATATCCACCTCTTGAGTTCACTGCTATCTTTTGAACGGGTTCATTGTGAAGTTACGTTGCTAATGCTCAAGATGATGTATTGATCGCCAAGCTCCCCGCCGGGGTTGCCGCACAAGCAGTGGGTTTTGACAATGTTAGTGATCCAACCTAGTAAACAACAGTATTCGGGATCTATCTGGCCGTGGACTCAAACAGTTCAGGAAGAATGAAACATGTCAGCGCCGGCCTCGAAATACTGTTTCATGCAGAGCCCAGGCTTGGGACGAGCACCATTCTGGCCACTTGCAGAAGCACGACCCAGTTGCTCGAGTCCGCACTAATGAACTCTCCGAGAATCCTTGACAGAGAGCAGCGACGAGGGCTCCCCACAATTTTCGATCCGACCGATGAATCGAAAGAGAATAGAGGAGCGTCAAATATACGGCAGTAATTGTGACTTTCTGTCGCATTTACTTGATTTGCAATATATGTTCTAAAATATGTGTCCAAATCAGCAAACAGTGTGTTCTTGGCAGTAGTACACAGTCTCAACATGTGCGACGGTTGGCCGCTGTTACACTGTATATGAAGCATCAGCATTGGCTACCTTTCACGAAATCAAGGATATCTTGCATCCTTTAACATTCGTCGATCGCTGACGAAATATGAGATTTAGCCTGCGGTTTCGAGTGGTGTTTTTGGAACAAGACGAGGCATCTCAGAGCTATCGCTAGTCGGAGGGATAGAATATGCTACGGAGGCTCAAAACACAGAACTTGAGAAAATTTTGAAAATGCAAAATGACTACCGATTAGGCTGTTGTGGTTCAGCTGAGTTGCGTGGCAGAGGCCTTTGCTTTGAAGCTCGGCACGTAGCAGATGTTTCACTCTTCAGGCCGAGTTTCGGTTGAGTGGATCATCCCCAGAGACTCAGCAGGCTGCCTGGGTGAACAAAATGATCGCCAGCCCGGCAATTCCAAGTTCTAGAGAGTCGGGGGACTTTGGAAATATCAATATCTTGAACTGCTGTCGCTTTGCTGGTCTTTGCGCTGCTGTGTTCTACCCCGCCGTTAATAATGCTATTCAAATCATTTGTCGTGTTCGCGGTGGCCTCGGTGTCGCTAGCTGCGACACCGCAAGGCTTCCAGCCCGCGACGGAGAGCCCTCTGATGGTCTCATATAATGGGATTGACGCCAGTGGTGGCAAGCAGGTCGCGAAGGAGGGTGAGTGAATGTTTGCTTATTACGCAATTTCAGGAACCGTCTAACGAAGCATGCTAGTTTCGCAAAAGCAACCTCAACTCGCGATGGCCACCCGTCTAACAGGAACATCGTATGCTGTAATGATGGTCGATCTGGACATTCCAACGACTAGCCCACCCCAGACAAGCACGTTGCTCCACTGGATGCAGACTGGGTTGATACAGAGCAGCACTGCGACCGTGATGAACACCACAGCTGGAGTTGCCAACGTTTATGTCCTTGAAATGCCTGGTGCTATCGCCGCTGCAGCATCATATATTGGACCTGCACCGCCGGCTCGCACGCCACTTTCTCATCGATACACTCAAGTTCTGATTGATACTTCTTCAGCATCGCCAGCAAGTATGTCGGTGCTCATGCAAGCAGCGCAAAGCCGCCAGGGCTTCAACGCGGAGCAGGTTCTGACACAGGCTGGTCTTCAAAGCAAGGTTGTGGCAGGAAACTTCTTCATGGTGACAAATCCGGGACCTGCCGTAGATTCGACCACTAGCACTGGAACTGGCACCAGCGCCGGCACAAACACCAACACAGGTACCAGCACAGGCGTTACCACTGGGGCGACGATTGGAAATTCGACGACAGGTACTGGTCGAGGTACCGGTACTGGTACTGCTGAAGAGGCAGCGAGGTCCTCCACAACATCGCCATTCACGACGGGATCAGCTGTTTCGAGAGAAGCGAACCTACTGTTTTTAAGCATCGCTCTTGTAGGGGCTGCTTACTTCAGCCTCTAGATAGGATTTTCAAACGCTAGACTAGTACTAGTCTTTGCAATGAAAGAGCTATAGAGTGAAACTCAATTGCAGTTCTCAAGATCCAATCCAGAACAGCTATATTTTTGCATGAGACTTCATACGTGGCTCATCCTGTCTTGAAGCAAGAGGTAGGTAATACACATGCCGAACAAAACAGACTTTTAGCAGGGTAATTGCCTTCCCACAATTTTGTGTTTAAAACACTGAAGCAGAACGAAGCTCACTGCAGAGGGTGTTCCAAATCCAAATTTTGTTGTAACAAAGAAAGCGTGGAAGAAACGGGTTGGTTATGGGTATTTGCCTACCGTAGGGAGTATGTGTCCAGCAATCTGGAACACTATCTGTCAGCAACCGCGCGGGAGGCACGGACCCGCGCCGCCAGCAACAAAGCCCCACAGATATTAGCGCCTTTGAAGGGCTATTCCAATGTGACCTTTGTTGGTAAAGCCCGCGCGGTTCCTGTCTCAGGCTGCCCTCCGCCAGTACGTCGACGGTGCACCGGGCAACAATGCCCCCCAATGCAATGATTTTCATATCATAATTGTTGGGGGTGGGAGGGAGGCTACCCAGCACTTGACTCATTTCCACCCTTAATTACGAAAGAATGTATTGGTAACACTGGCGGTTCATGAGAAATCAGCTCGGCGGCTATGACAATGGTACTAAAGGCATACATTCTTATGATTTATGGCTGTAAAATCATGCGAAGATGTCCAAAGAAGCTCTCTCTCTCTCTCTCTATCTATATATATATATATATATATATCCGTGACCGAAGGCAGATGTCAGTCTTTTATTCCTTGCAAAATAAAAATTGTTTACCAGGATATCTTGAACTTTGTACATCATAATCTTTTCTAAGCACTACTTTCATCTTCCTTTTTGACATTAGCTCTGATCTAAAGAGCTACACAGCTGGCATATTCAAAATGACCAAGACAGTAGTCATTCTGGGCGCTGGCCTTGCAGGAATACCTCTGGCACACTACCTCCTCACGAAAACCGCTGCCAATGTTCCCGACTTGCGCGTTGTCCTTGTCAACCCCAGCAATGAGTTCTACTGGAACCTAGCATCGGTGCGAGTTGTAATTCCAGGCAAGCTCACTGAGGACCAGTATATGTGGCCGATTCCGAAACTCTTTTCCAAATACCCCTCGGATAAGTTTGAGTTTGTGCTCGGCAAAGCCGAGACTCTATCCCCAGACACAAACTCCGTTGTGGTTGTCCTGAGTGATGGCTCGAGGAGGAACATCGATTACCACACTGTCGTTGTGGCCACCGGGTCAGACGCCAAGGAAGACATGCCGTGGAAACCACTCGGCAGTAGTCAGCAGACTCGTGCTGCTGTGGCGAAGCTGCAAGAAGAAATCAAGAATGCCAAGTCCATCGTCGTAGGAGGTGCCGGCACAACTGGTGTGGAATTCGCTGGTGAGCTTGGGTCGGAGTATTCCAAAACTGGCAAAAAAACCATCACGCTGATTGCGGCTGGTTCGTTGCCCCTTGAAGACCAAATCATGAAGAGTACGCGAGAGGCGGCAAAGGATCAGCTAGAGAAGCTGAAAGTCAAGGTCATCACCGACACCAAGGTCACCGATATTACTCAATCGGGAGGCAAGCAGATCCTCGAGCTGACCAAGTCGGATGGAAGCAAGACAACTATCGAGACCGATCTCTTCGTACCGACCTATGGAATGACTATCAACACCCAATTTGCGCCTGCAAACATGCTCGCCGCCAATGGTCAAGTAAACCAAGACACTTTTCTGCGATCGCCCAAATATAGCAACGTTTTCATTGTTGGTGACGCGGGAAACCTGGAATCAATGCAAGGCATACATGTCGAGTCCCAACTCCGCCATCTCACCAAACAATTTCAAACGTACTTGGAGACTGGCAAAATCGAACAGTACAAGCCTGACAATAAAGTCATGGTGGGTATATCGATTGGACCAGGTGGTGGCACTGGACAAATGGGTACAATAAAGCCCCTTAGTTTATGTAAGCAATTCTCGTTCATCTTCTGCTGCCCCCCGGCCTTTTTCTTTTTTAGCAAGTCTTCAGATCACTTGTTGTTTATCAGAGGCAACTGGGCCCTTTTCGACTATTTAAGAACACTTTCGAATACCCTTTAAACAATATTGAAGTGGCAATGGCTAACACCGAATGGTGCAGTGGTATGGTTCTTGAAGAGTCGCTACTTGGGGATACAAGTTGCTCCTGAATATGCAGCGGGGTTGAAGGGCTTCAGAGGCAAGTGGTAGGGAGCAGCTGATGTTGAAAAGCTTTATTGTTTTGTACGCGAAGTTCGCAATGCTTGTGTCGGATACCAAATTGATTTGTCTCTCTTTTTTTTTTTTAGACTTGATAGATGAGAAATTTCAAGTGACTCGAATTAATATCAAACTATTTACTCATGTGTCCCCGGAATCTTAGTATTATTTCCAAACAGTCAGTGATCATGATAATTGGCTGCTTGCCGCAAACCCGAGAGTATTTGTTTTGAGATTAAGTTTTTCTCGATGCTACTTAGCCTCATTATAGCTACTGACTATTGATTAGGAGTTTCGTATGACCTTCAGCCAGACATAAATGCATGCATGCAAGTGCATGATCATTGCTTAGCTAAACAAAAGGTCGCAAGAGTATAATTAGTTGTAATGCGAAGAAATTGTTGGGATGAACGTTCTCATCAATTTCTGGCCAAAGGTCGTAGATACGCAACTCCTGAATATAGCCCGGCACACGCAAAGACAACGATAGCGGTGCTACCTAAGGTTCGGCATCTCAAAGCTTAAAACTTGAGCCCAATCTGAACACAACCTGAAAGGTATTGCGCTGCTGGCATCGGTTTGGGAACGACTTTGCCCCTTTACAAGATATAAATAGAGTCCTTCGTCAGACTGTATAGGGTAGTCACAACTTCTTCCGGAATGACTCCACTGAGACCGAATTCGCAGTTCCTGCTTACACCCGGTCATAACCATGAGCCAATTGGGATTTCCACCCTAGGTAATTGCTCGGACACGTGCGATAGCATATATACATAATATCTTTGATCATGACAAGAAGCATCAACTCGCAACCTTCACAACGTGCAGGCCCGACGAGGGGATTGTTTCCACGGTGGTCAACCTGCTTGGTTGCACTCTCGAAAGAACATCACTATCTTGTACAACAGGCGAAGTGCTCTCTGGTGATCACAGCGCATCAACGTCTCTCATAGTTTTGTCCACTGATCCATAACGCTGTGCCGCTTTGCGCGAGACCGAAAGCCTCCACCAGCCATATGCATGATGTGATGCGATGAAAAGATGATGTGCCGGTAAAGCGTTTTCGTTGTGGTAATAACACCATGTCTGGAGTTCATCGAGGCTTGCAGCGCGAAACTAGATCTCCAGAGTTCAGCCATTATGCGTCCCGAACCTACTCGCGAAAGGGAAGTGAACTACCCAAGGCTGAACCTGCCAGACGAGCTAGTGGTAAAGTCGTTCTTACAATCAGACCTAGTTTAAGTTTCTGAGTTGCCATCACTAACATTGCCATCGTTGTTTGAGGTGGCATGCTCCGGATTGTCTCCAGCGGTAGTTTTCTTCTCTTTTTCTTTTGCTCTTCGTTTTAGCTTCTTTTCGCGATTTAAGCGCTTCTTCTTAGCCGCGAGATGCTCCTCCTTCTCCTCAAGATATTTTTTTGCAGCGTCGGCCTTTTCCTTCTCTGCTTTCTCGCGAGCTCGAAGAATGATTCTCCTCTTCTTCCCTACTCGCTTTCTCTTACCATCAACCATCTTTATGTCACCTGATGCTGACGTCAAAGCGGTCTTTCCCGACAATCTCGATGTGACCGTTATGTGCGCGACTCGCCATGGCTTCTCCAGACCCCAGCGGTTCTGCACCGCGTCTCCAAAGATGTAGTCTGAAGTGACTGCTGCGAAGCGGAACCTTTTCATGGCAGCCGAATCCGGCTTTTCAGCTACGTAATACGACATGGGTCTCTTCGGAACAACAAAAGCGCCCTCGCGTGGAGCCTTAGGGTTGTCATCATCATGTCCGATAACCACGGTGTGGCTTGGTGCTTCATCACGAAAAAGCCGAAACTCATAGGCAAGCTCCTCGGGCTCTTCAGCTGGCGCAGTATCAGTCTCATCCGTTTCCATAGGCTGCGTTTCCCGAAGCTCTGCCTCAACGGATGGGAGTCCAAAGTCAAAAAGGCCGGATAGTTGTGCATTCAACTTCGCGCGTAGCTCATCTTTGGCAGCCTCATCGAGGTCAATTTCGCCATCTGACGTCGCATCTCCATGGAGATCCTCACGCCGGACCCTGAAATAGAGTCAACTGCTGGATACCATGGGTTGAGCTCGCAAAAACGTACCACTTCGAGTCTGGCGCTTCCAGCATGGTGCTAAGAAGGAGGCTCTTTGCCGAGAGTTCTGCTAGCTGGAAATGGGCTGAGCGCCAATTTTTGGTCAATATCTCTTGGAAATTTGCGGCATGGGCAATTGACGATGTGACGCTTTTCGCAGATATCACGATATGATTGTTTGCCGTGGACGGGGGTAGAGAGAGGCGTGAAATTGATTTGAGCAAGATGATGGGAGCTCGAGCCGCAAAAAATGGGCTGGCAGCCAGCTGATAGCGGAACGATAAATCAGAAAGGGCTTATCCACCAGCTATGAGCGGCTGATATGTAGTTAGCGAGCTACATGGCCCATTCCGTTCCGTAGGGCGGAACCGGAAACAGATAATTGGGAGGATCAGCACCAGGCATTTCCTCGTGCGTAATACAAACTTGCCAATTGGAACTCGCATATCGTTTGAACCCGATCAAAGATACGGTCCAGCTTCCTGATGGCAGGGCGTCGCTGAAAGAGTTCCTCTGTCGAACGGGGCGATCTTCACCATCTTCACCATCTATTTCTCCATCTCGCGTCCCAAGGAGTATTTAGTGAGGCTATCAGGTGGGGAGTAACAAATCACTAAACTTCACCAAAGAGGAAAGAGCGGCATCATCACCATGCTCCGTCTGATGTTTCTAGTTTCAACACTATTAACATTCGCACGCGCGAACATCTCTAACGAGTTTTCTGGCTCTGAAGCAGCTGAAAAAGCCTTGTACTGGGATGTTGAATTGTTCCGCCATAAGACCCCTCGTATCGCTGCACTCACCCGTCAAGTTTCCTCGCATCTCTCCGTTTCCCTGCCAGTCATGTTACAAGATGCCGCCAACACCACCACTTGTGCATCGAGACTGGTGCCGTTCCCCGTCATAATTCAGAGTGCTTTTGAACTTTGTCTTCCAGTCGGTAACATTGCATTCTCAGCTTCTCGAAATGCTACACGGCCCTCCAAATTTTTTCCCTCCTTAAAAAAAGATTCAACTCGTGGCCGCCAGTTTCACCACGATCAACTGTGACGGACTTGACCAACACCGGCCGGCAGACAGATCATTCCAGGACAAACAAAGAAAATCACGGGAAAGCAGAACGATAACTGTCTTGACACTTTGACTTGTTCGCCCAGCTTCGGCTCAACATCAACACTACTCAAAATAAATGCCAAAGGGCTGACAGCAACATGCTATGATCGTCGTGACTATGATGGGTACCAGCAGAAAATGCGAATAAAAAAAAGCCTCCTATATCAAACTCATGTGGAACGCCGGAACCCCTGTCGCTTTGGTGTGTATTGCCCTTGCGTCGCGCTCTTGAGCTGAAGATTCAGCAAGTGTGCTGTATGCGGTACAAGCACTTGCGACTTGATACGAATATCAAGAAACCCCACCGAAAAAAAAAAAATCGATAAACATGGCCTGCTCTTGGCCTGGAAACCATAGTACCATCCCAAGGTGTTTTCCATCTCTTTCGGCCCCTTCTTCCCTTCTCCTAGCTGAGAATGCCAATCAACGTGAAGCCGGGTATTTTCCTCTCTCCTATGATATCCAATGCATTGCTTATTAATTATACAGATATGGTATTATTCCGCTGTGAGGAATTATATTTGGAGCCATTTTACTTTGGAAGATCCCAAAATCTTGGGGTTATATCGGAACATAAGTTCAATCATGTTGGGCTCCAGTTGTAGTGGCCCAAGGAACCGCCATATGATGCTTGTGTCTGAGCGTGCTCAGTCTTCAGGGGTGGCATCGCATGGCCAGTCTTGTATTGATCTGAGTATGTGTATGGCCTGCTGTCGGTGTTGTGGTACGTCTGCACTGTCGGCGTCGACTCGCTTGCCCAGGTCGTGGCCGGAGGGTAGTACTCCCTTGATGGGGGTTGCGGGTGCTGGTGGCCGGCTGCTGATCCGCTGTCCCCAGCACCGTATGACGACGATGTCATGTCGCTAGGATTGTTGTGGTTTACTCCGACATAAGAAGAACCGTACCGATACTCAGAGCCATCGTTGTTCGTCAGGGAGCTAGTGCTGTGAACGGATGGGTGGTTGCCGTGTCGCGGGCTCTTGGACGGCCGAGCATTGTTATCAACGTACCGAGGCACGTTCAAGCTGTTATCGGATCCGCTGCTCATGGCTGTCGCCGGTATAGACAGTTGGGGAGGTGCGGTTGTGTTCTGGATATAGGCATATTGCGTTCGGATGGCCGGTTGCTGTTCATTGGCTACCATGGATACTTGGACCGGTGGCATTGTAGCTTGGAGTGGCAGATCCTGCGGTTCTGTCGTGTATGTCTGGTTCCCAGAGATCGGTAGCTTCTGGTAGGATTCGGCTGAGAGGCTTGTGGGTGCGTAGGCTGCCGTGGCAGATTGAGGCATCTGCGAGACGGGATGCTGGCCGGAATGATTCCATGTAGGGTAAGAGCTGTGAGTACGTCAGCAAATGGGAGACTTGATGCACTTTTGAGGTGGTCCTCAGGGATGAGCTTACTTTGACCTCATCGTCACCGGGGTACCTGGCAATTTCGTCGCATTGAAGGTGAAGGCGGTTCGGGGGAGCTCCAGGTTTAACCCTCTTAACTTCGAGTCTTGAGGTTTCACATTTAAGGGCCCAGCGACTATACCCAGTCCTGTCTCAACAAGAGCTTGTCCTCTCGAACCAGCGCTCGATCCTAGTAGTGGAATTTCCTTCCGCGCCTGGAAATTTCTCGGGCTCCTGCCTCTAACCACGATGGGTGCAGTCGTCGCTTCTGAGAGCACAACCTTGGTGCCATCTGTCAATGTTCCCATTACTTTGAGATGCACCACAAAATGCTGTTGCAGTTCTTTTCGCCGTCCATTGTTGGCCGTCGCTCTGGTTTTATTGTCAGCACAGTTTCCGATCTCTCTCTAGGGAACGCTGGACCTACATTCTGAACTGCAGGCGCCGCCACCCAATAGGGTACACGGCGTATTCGCCATCTGTCTCACTTCCATCATCCTGGAACGGGATTAACGGCAAAGAGGGTGGCTCCTGATCAGGCCCCTGAGGCAGCTCTGGCGCGTTTGGCGGTGGCGTCTTCCATGGAATAACGATCAGTCGAACGGGATGCCCGTCAACGGATTCAATCGCCGAGACTGTCACTTCGGTGTTGCTCACCGGAACTTGCTCTCCGGTTTCTGCTCGCAGTATGGACAGCTGTCCGCGCGGAGTGATCAAAGACCCACTGATCTGGAAGAGGTTCCGGCGGTAGCAGGTTAGCTCCGGCTGCATAATTGCTCCCTCATTTGAATTCGCAGGCATTTCCGAAAGAAAGAACATTCCGTGTAGCTGTGCTGATAATTCTAGTTGTTGCATACGGCCATGCTGATCGACGATAGTGTGCTTGTCCTGTACTCTCCGAAACGAAAGCAACTTATGGTCATGGTTTACCGTCAGTTTGGATCCATCATCCCGAAGGTCCTGGACGATCTCTTGGTATGGCGGGTGTTCGCTCTCGTCGTATGACCGCTTCAGGCTTTGGTAGCTGTGATGTTGTGCCAATGAATGGTGAGGCTGTTGCTGTTGCTGTTGTCTGTGGAAGGCCTCTGTTTCTCCTTGGGAGTATCTTGGGTATGGGAATGGATGATCAACGCTGGTCCTCGTCCGCCCTGGATGGTGTTGCGAAGAGGAGTGTGAGAGGGTTGACTCCACGGGGTTAAAGCGAGTCGACAGTGGTACAGTTGACCCGGCATAACTCGACCAGAGACTCCCATGACCCGGCTCCTTCAGGTCTGCCATGGTCGCCGTTAAAGTCGCTGTGGCTGACATGGGAGCATAACCTATCCGGCCACGACGTGTAGTTCAACGTTCAATATTTTGCGATTGAGCGACGATCTCTTGGTTGCCTGAATCTACTGTCTCCCGAATAGGACAGACAACACCGTGGTAGAGGCAAGCCAGAAACCTCTCCTACTCTGTGTTGTCGATATAATCCAACAAAACCGTCAAGGTGAGTTGAGTAAATATGAGTTAGGATAGAGTAGTAGTGCAAATGCGAGGCTGCAGACGATGTGTACTTGTATGGGAATGAATGAACGAATACGCTAGATATGAATAGTCGGAGGGGGTTGTGGTCGTCTTGCGCCGCGTCTGGTGTCGATGTAGAATATCGCTAGGTCCCACGCTTGAGATGCTCGATGGCCAGGGTGGCCGAGAAGCCAGTCAAGGTCTAGGTCCTGGTCCAGTAGGAGGATCTCTGGGTCTAAAAAAACGACTACCGCGCAGTATCGCAAGCTTGACCACAGTGCATGCGACCAGACTGGGAAGGAGACGGAGGCGACAGACGATCTGGCAGGGACAATACGGCACCCGGCCTGTTTCTTGCTCGGCACCTCGATATCTCAGTACGACGCTGTTGAAGATCTCTGCGTATCGTTCCTTGAGCTGCCCGGGCAAGAAATTCAATACGAAATATGGCTGCTGTTGGCTCTAGATGTCGTGCTTGTGAAAGTTTTGTTGCACTTTGTTATTTACAATGATTGCAGTTGATCAAGTTATTATTTCTTTTATTGAGCATTGCCGTTGAGACATGGGAAGCTGATGTACATATGAGTTATCCATGGCAAACCCACCCATAATAAGTGAACCTCTTTTCCTGACTCTCTGCCGACCGACCGCGACAGGGGCCGGCCCAGCAAAGTACTGTACACAAGTAGCTTGAGTCTCACCAGGCCAGGCAGTGGAGGAGTGAGTAGAGCATAAAAAGCCCAACGAAAACTGCCTACAACCTCTAAAAACACATGTGGGTGGAGGGAAAGAGGTACATAGTAGGCAGGTAGGGGGGGTTGGATGGTACATGGATCAAATGGAGGGACGGGGCCATCGAGCGATTAAACCTGGAGTTACTCGAGATGGACCCGCAAGAGGAGCAAGGGCAATGAAGCCCCTTCTCCAATGCTCAGGCTTGATTCTTTTGCCAATACCCGGCCCTGGCCCCCAACCTAGGAGCTCTGATTAGTTAGCAGAAATGCTCCGTGTGTAGAGGTCCCGCTCATTTTCTAGAAAGCCGTTAGGCACACGCGCCGATGAAGAGCCAGAGTGGAATGGTGTGGTGAACATGGGCTGTGGTGTGGATATCAGTTCACGAGATTGCTAAAGGACCGGGGTCAGGGGCCTCTAGTGGGGACCTAGTAAGCTCGCTTCGAGAATAGAGGATGCAAGTTGTACCGAATGGCGATCATTAGGAAAGAGAGAAAGAATCCTTGTTTACTGCCTTCGATGAGTTACTTTGGTCTGGTGGACAGTGTGAAATTACTGCACTGAATGGTTTTGACTTGGCTTTATGGATAGTGTCGGTAATTAGAAACCTAAACCGGGTAGACATCACTATAGTGAACAATGCTATAAGAAATATCGACTCGTAACGAAAGCATTACCTGTAGAATGATTTAACAGAATAAGATAAAACCGAGATGAGAGACCCGTTGTAGAAAACACATCATGTCCATGAATAATACAAATTCGCATGCGCAGCTGCTGTGTGTGGATTACCTGCGAAAGTCATGTATGCAGCACGCACTGCGCAGCAGGAAGAGCGATTTACGAATGATTATGCGCCATGGTTCGCCTAGACCTGTTACCTGTGTGAACGTTGAATGTACTGAACAGGCAACTGTAGGATGTCGGCAATAGGATAAGGGCTCTGTGCTGAGCTGCAGGGCCGACATCAGAGCTACTCCCACAGTTTCTATATCACATTCCCCATTTGGGTCAAAGTGCCCAATTCCAGATCCACAAGGGATAGACCGCGCGCCACACGTCTATTGCATACAACATACCGTCTAGCCTGAGTGGGTGTATCACGAAGTCACTACTGTGTAGGTGGCTGGGCCTCTTGCTGGGTGATGGAATATACATCTTGAGACTAAAGCAGAAGCAATGACAATATCCTATATTTCTACTTGGTCATTGCTTGATGAGATGAGGTGAGATGTGGTCTGAGTTTATAGCGGCCTGTCTCTACCGGCATGTAAGCAATAGTCGAATGCTGTGCAGCCCCCATGTTTTCCAGCAAGTCATCTGTATATTGGGGCGTACCAGTAGAGGCGCCTCCAAATATTTGAATTGTAAGCAAAGCACAGGAATACAGATCTGCAATTCATGTGCCGGAATTGAATAATGAACGAACGTGTGGGTAGATAAATACAATGATTAAAATAGCAGTCGCTTTTTTTGCGGCATGATGCAAACCATATTGGATATTTTCCCAGACACCCACCTTCTGCCATTGGTTTGCATGACGTCCGTCGGGAGCCGGCTGGACCCCCGTGGCCGAGCCTCGTGGCTAATCATTCCAACCCAATTTTGTTATGCAATATCGCGTTTAGAAGACTATTATCTCGATGACGATGAGTCTTTCGCCCAATACGTGTCGGAATATTTGAGTGTCGCTCTCACCTTCGAGAAGCTCCTCCAGTTTGCGGCGTACTCCACAAGATGCGTGGGCCAAACTGGGGCTGGTCAGGGGCAATGGGTACCCGGACAATTATTATTTTTCAGTCCTGACGAAGATCTTCAAGGACCATCGTTGTGGTATGCCCTGTGGGTTCAACCGTCGACGGCAGTCGAGATCCCCCTGATCCTACGGGCTCAAGACAGGAACTCGCCTTGTGATTGGCTCGAATATCGATAGCGTCTAATGGAGCCTACGGTTTCTGCAAGTGTTCCCTGCTGATGTCAGTCTCGAATTCACAACAGGTACAGTACAGGAGGATGCGGGAAGGATTCGTCCTAGGCTGTTCTTGACAATGTGGGCTTTGAAGGCTTCGAAACAAGCAAATTGAGAAGACGTGTCGCAAAATGATTAATAATGCGACTAAGGGCCAGCTTGTAGAATTGGAGAGTTTCCTGTTGACCTGGTAAGCTCTAACAAATCCACAAGGTGTGCCAATGTTGGAGTATTGCGAGGTGCGTACGGTGAATGCTCGTTGGCATATGTGATATGTGGCCTGCGCTCGACAGGCACAAGGACCGAGGTGCAGGCCGAAATGAGAGTCGAGCTCTTCCATGACCATAGAATATCCAAATTAAGCCTATATGTGGTGGTTAATATACCTCGAGCCGAACATTGGCCCCTGCGGTAAATAAAGAACCTTGCATATCTGGCTTGCCAAGTGCTAGAAATCATTCATGTCAAGGAAAAGTTTCAAGAGGATTGCCAATTCTGTGCTTGTGCAACCACACAGAAATGTTTGGCGGAATTGTGTTAGTTGAACTGCAAGGACGAGCTCGCCCGGGATATCACAACAGTGTTACCAGCTTTCTGGATTGAATGGTCATGCCCAGTAACTAGAACTTTGAAGAGGTTCCAGCTTACAGTACCAATTTCGCGGGCATGAAACATGTGAAAGGCGCATACTAAATTGTTTTGATGACGTTGTGAGGAGGGAGAGATGACCATGGGTAAAGCCAGTCGGGCGGGCCATCATAAGATCACGGCAGATAGACGCTTTCCCAGGGGACTTTGTGTGGGTATTGACAAGGCCCGGGGGAGTCGGAAACACAGCAACGTTATGAAACGCACGACTGGGAATTTGCTTGTAACGATCAACAAGAAACAGCGCCAGGCGAATTGAGAACTAGCTAGGCCTCTGGGTGTTAGCTGATGCAGCTTGCTAGTAAACTTAGCCTTAGCCTTGCAGATGGATAGGCTTTTCCTCTCAACGAGTCGTCCTTTTGATGGTGATGGTTGCTCATCACTGACAAAGAACTCGCCTGCTGCTCAGAATCTCGTCACTGCTGTTCCACCACAGCTTATTAGACCAGGAACTTGCATAGCTCCACAACTTCTAACCTGCTCTGGGCATCGTCTCCGGCGGGTAGACTCAAATTCGTACGAAGACCCCCAATTATGCTGGATGAGTGCAGCTCAATCGAGCAATGGCTAATCTTTACCGAACCAAAATGAGCCTGGCTTCGTTGCTTAATAGTTTGTATGAGCAACGGCGTGTCAAGGGTCTCCAAGAGATGGCAATGGCGACGAATCATAGTAGAAGCCGAAACCATATCACGCTGCAAGTAGCCTGAAGACTCCTAGCATCCCCGACACACGACCCGCAGTCTGAATGTCGAGTGTTGGCCCATCACGGTTTGTGACTAGACCTTTAACCTAGGTGACCGCCTTCATAAAGCGCGCATATTCGGCATTTGAGGGATTGCATTCCATATTCACAGCCAGTCTGCCTCCAGTAAATAGATTTAGGTCGCGAGTCGTTAATCGTGGCTTTCGATATACAGGCCCTGTTCTCCGAACGCTAGGTAGGAGACCTTCCGCGACACCCCATGGGTCAGGGGCCCGGGCAAGGACCATACTATAGTACAGGGGGTGCCTTGTTGCCTCAGGTCGCGCTTGAGGCTCGGTTACAGCATAGGCCTGTAAACGAAGATGGGATCGTGGTTCAAGACGAGGTTTAAAGATTACGCTATGTGAAGCTCTACCTGAACCGAGCAGGGCGTGGCATGTCGATGGTTGTGGATCGCGCCTGTTATTCCGTAGGTATCGAAGACGTCGCGGGTATGCAGATTTCGGCGGTTTCGGTTCGCTGAGTGTTGCTGGTTGTGATGCGACAGTCCAGAAGTAGAAGCAGGATGCAGAGATACTAAATTTGTAGGATGGGGCGTGGATGGCCAGATAATCTGCAGTGAGTGGTCACACAAATAACCTGCAGCAAACTGCAGGGTAAGTACCTGCAAGCTCCAACTTTGTATTCGATCCGCCAGCGCTTTGAAAACCGGCCCTTTCCTCACCAACAAAAGACGCGAATTACGAATCTGAAGCTAAGCCCAGGATGCGCGTAACGAGTAATGACAGAGCAGCGAAGCGGGGCAACCGGCTCTATAGCTTGTAGAGCCGTGGACTGTAGGACGACAGGAGTATCCTACCAACAGTGACCTACTGTGCATAGTATGTATGTACATACAGTAGTACTATGCTGATACCATAGCAAACTGAAGTCTGAAGGGCTAGCTTTCTTTGGTTGGTTTCGTCAAGTACGTACTGGCCGGGGAATGTCGTCCAGGTATAGGTACCTCCTGCAGGCGTGTGAAGCCACTGGAGGAATGCATAGATTGGCCCTACCTGTAAGCCAGTGCTGCAAGTAATGCGCGTTATTTCATCACCTCACCACATATATACATACATAGTCACGGCTCTTGCATGGGAAGTCAAACGAGATCTTAGTGGGGAGCCACCGGCAAATGCGGGATATCTGTTGCTGAAGGATTACGGGCCTGTCAAGAGATATTGGCTGCCGATAGGATCGCACTGGAAACAGAGTTTGAGCGAAACTCTAAGAAGAAGCTGCAGATGCTTAAGCCATGAGGGCCAAGCATTACGTCCAGCGGTTCCTCAATGACGGTCGGTGTCAGAGCCCCAAGAAGGCAGTTGCAGCTGCAACGTCCACTAGCATATTCTATAAAGGATGCGGCTAGTGACCCCCCCAAGGCTCCTCCCGCATTATCTAAACGTTACTCGCATCGAGCTCGCCCAGCTTGATGCTACCATCGCGCCAGGGGTAAGCTATGGATGGGTAGCAGCTCCAACTAGGGTCGTAACTCTAAGGGCTCGATTTAAACGGGAGAGCTCCCTTAGCTACATAAAGAATATCTCCGAACACGACGCTGAGGGTTGGCCACAACGAGCTTAAACGGAATCCCTAGGAGGCTTGAACGAAATATCGTTCGCTACCCATAAAGATGATGGGTTGATTGTAGCAGCAATGTCAATGGTTGCATATCGCCCACATGCCAGCCGATGCTTAATCAACCATCAATCATGTGTCACTGGCCTTATGGCAACAACAAGGTGCTAACTAGGTTCGGAGCTTGAGGTCGCTAGTGAGAGAAAAATGTTGGTTGGTTCTTCTGCAGCGTGCTGTGCCGTCTTCGAGGTTTGAAATGATGTAAGGCCACCGCTTTCAGGGAGGAGAAATCAAGTTTCTGCATAAGACTCACAGCTCAGAGCAATACGGGTAGGGTGATTTACCCAACGATTCAACCACTATTAAGCCGGCGTTTCTCAATCAATAGTCCGAAAGCTGTAAACATTCTACTGTAAAAGTTCCACCAGACATATCGCTCCTTTGGTACCAGCCCCGCGCAAGCGAGGCTTTCTAAATCACAACTTGACGATGCCAGCTTTTACAGCACGCGAGGCGGTTCTCTTGCAAAGAGGAGTTGCAGATTGGAAAGCATGTTTCCCCCCCCCTTCGGCGGCATTACTTCCCACGTTCGAACAAGCCCTTTAAACCGGCCGGGCAGGAGTTACCTCTGCATGTCTCGTTCATGATTACCCCGCAGCATCGCATGGTTTTGCCATTCTTCAATCACATGTCCATCTGATATCTGTCGCTAGATCCTGTCGAGGCTAATCTCTCATCTCATCAGATATCGAAAGAAAAAAAAAATCAAATCTTTTCATTCCGTCTTCTCACAGGATCGGCCACTATGCTTGTCGATGATGCCAGATTCCTTGAAAACTATATTTCGTCCCATCACCAGTCAAAGCGTACTGCGTAAGGCGAGCTTGCCTAGCCGAATCCTGCCGAGGTGACCAAGGCTATATAACGGGTCAGCTATATGCACCTCAACTTTAGCCTGGAAGGGCCGATTGCTTGCACCTTTTAGCCTGGCCAATCCGAGACCAGCCAGCCACACCACAATGAAAACAAGGTGCGGCTTGCGCCGATCTGTGCTTTCCCGCGTGCACCGTTGGCTGACCCTATTACTCAACGGACATGTCCTCCACTGGAATGAAAATGGTCAGGCTGTTCAAGGACTATGCCTCTAGCACATATTGGAAGAGATATTGCAATCATGTCATGTGTTCTTTGGGTCGCTCAATCATGACGAAACATGACTTCTTCAAGCATGAAACCGACTCGTCCAGGTCAAGATCGTTCAGGCAGGCATTCTTACACGCTACAGAAAAGGTCCCGCGGACTTCAAGTGGGACCCAGTGGGACACAACGCGATGACACATGAATTATTGATTTCCACGTGCTGGATAGTAGACAATGGCAAGCATTTGTTGAATAAGTCCACTTTACTGATCCTTCGTTTGACGACTAGCAAGCTTGACAGCTTCGCGACAGGCCTCGGAAACCTCCAACGCATGGAACTGGAGACATGACATCCTCTTTGCAATTCACCGATTTCGAAACCCTCTCAACCTGACACCTCTAGCTTGTCTAGCCTCTTGTCAATTGTTTTAGAGTCCTTATTCAACGGCACAATGAACAAAAGTGTCTACAATGGCTCCAGAAGACCGAGCAAACCATGCTGCCATGTGCCTGTCAACCTTCTGTCCATGTTCTGTGTATAGTAAGGAGCCCGCTAGGGGATCATACAAACTTGCGAGTTTTCCCGATGTAGCCCTTCACGGTAGCGGTAACCGGCGGCGGAGGGGTATGTCAATAGACGTGCACAAGAAGAAGAAAAAGGAAGAAATTTAAAGGCTCCACCAATACTGAAATGCCCTTGGGGATATGACCACCAAGCAATGCAAGTGATGCTCTCTCATTATCAGAGATGGAGATGCAAGCATTAAGAAATTGCTATATCACGTACCATAAGGTGGGGACCTCTGCAGCAATGCGAAGCAGTATACTAACCTAACCTACTGCACTCACAGACCTCATAGCCAGCATCAGCGCAAATAGTGGGGCTCCAGCAAGAACTCTGGGGTCCATCAAGGAACTCGGACGACCCATGGCAGGGCGTCGCTTCTCCCTGGTGACGAACCGGACCCCATCCCAAACGGTTTCGCGTGGCCGCTGTCACGATTTTCTCTTTCACAATCTCCGACATTCCCTACAGGAGTTACGAAATATTGAATTCTCAATAAGTGAAAGTGGTTCTTCTAATCGAAAAGCGTATACCAGTAAAGTTGCAAATTCATGCGTGAGCCTTCTTGTGGCCTAGCACGACCCGATTCGGGGGCCCTACACAGCCTCCCCGGTATGGAGGCGCCAGGCCCCGGGGGTCTTCGGTGGGAAAAAAATAAAATTTAATAAATAAATAAGAAAGAGTTCTTCTCGAAGGACGTATGGAGTCCGGAATCATCGACCGGAAGCGCAACCGAGAAGGACTGAGCCCGCTCTTTTCGATCCATTTTAGGAGAACGCTGATGAATATAGTAGGGGGAAGGGGACTTCACTTAGAACACGGGAGCTTGTAATCAACAATTAATTTGCGTAGAAGGCTTCGCGAACGTCTCGTCAATGCGGTGGGGATGCTTCACCGTTTACGACAATGATGACACAGCGGTCAAGGAGCCCTTGAAAGGCCCTTCCATCACGGAGTCGACCCTAGGAGTTGTTTTTAAGTTATTAGAAGGCCTCGTAAGCTGGGCTGAGGCGGTTGTACCTGCGCATATTGCTACTTTGTTAAGATCTCAGTGGAACTATCGACCTGTACCCCATTTATGATAGATGATTTCGGTCAATTCGCCGAATCGTCATGACTCTCTCCTCCTCCTGCTCCTCCTCACCTCACCTCACCTCACCATGAACCGTGCCCCCGAGCCATGCAAGCAACTTTAGTCGAGGGAAAACCGTTAAGGGACCTTTGGCGAGGGGGCTCGAACCTCAGAGCCCCCCGAAACTAGGAGAGAGGAGGGGCGCGCGAGTCAACTGTCATATCACGCCACCTGACCTTTAGCAAGTAATAGAGAAGGGCAGAGAATCGCTCGAATTGAGAATATTCTCCGAAGCGAACCAGACTTTGAAGGTGGCAAACAGCCTGGGAATCCAGGGGGTTTTGACGCCTACAGTCTCGGTTTCCAACCCCCGTGACAGGCCTGACACTGCCGTCAAGCGGGCAGAGGCGTGGAGCCGATACTACGTTAGGAGGGGCCTATCGCAACCAAATATCACGAGGCCTTGGTTCTCTTATCGGGACTTCTCAATCAAGCTTGTTCTATCTTCACCTGTCAATTTGCTTGTGATGAATCTAGCAGTAGTTTGACATTAGAAGCAATGATTCCGGACTCCCGGGGCTAGTGACATTACTGTTTTGGGCAGTGTATCTTTAGTTATGACTAGATAGGATAAGTGATGCTATCCCTAATCGTCTTCATCGCCGCTGTCACCCTCAAGCAGATGTTCCTGGTCGTTAAGGGCTAGCTGTACGAAGTGGCGAACCCATAGCTCGTCTATCTGGTTAAGCTCAAGGGGGTTGTTCGCTTGCTGTTCCGCATTGTGACCATTGATACGACCTGCCCTGTTTCCCCTCTGGTTCTGCCCCTGCGCCCTATTATTGTTATTGTTGTTTTGCCGCGCCGCAAACGCTCCGCCTACAGGCGGCCGGCCTCTATTTCCTCTGCCGCGTCCTCGCTGAGCGCCACCGTTCACCGCTTGGGGACCACCGCGTGCAGCTGCAGGAAGGGGCGCCGGCTGCTGTCCATGCCTACCACGAACCGCCGGTGCGTTGCCTTCGATCCGCAACACCAGTGGCCCCTCTCGAGCGACGGCGACCGGTCGATCACGTTGTCCAGCCTGCGCTTGGCCCTGCGGCGGCCGATTTCGAGCCGCACCATCGTTCCTAGCTGCCACGTTCACCTCATCAATTTCGGGTTCAGATTCGTCATCTTCCGCCTCTTGCACTATCTCCAGATGTTGTCCATACTCTCCAGGCTGTATATTCGGGTTACGTATTGCATCTCCTCCCTGGTAGGCTATACCAACGTCATTCCCGTCACCACCTTCCAACTCCCAAAGTCTCATATAGCAACCATTAACGTCTCCTGAAGGTACAGTGTTGAAATGCTGGTATGGGTTTTCCGGGTTCAGCCACGCGCTGCATAGGTAACAAAAGTGTGTTTGGCACCTAAAACACCTCATATGGTTGCAACCTTGTGTCTTTTGGCACGGCGCTGCACACGTTGGACAAGGAGTCGTGTGCATCCTGAGATATTCGAGCGAGGCCTTCTCCTCTTCCGTGATACCCTCCTTGCGTTCTTTAGGCATGCAGTATTTGAATTCCCCATGCCAGGACTGGCCACATCTTGAACAGAAGGCAAAACCACAGTCCTCGCAGATAGCAAGCAACTCTTTATCGGCCGAGAACGTGGCCTTGTCCTCATTTTTTCCATCTGTTCGTTCAGACTCCTCTTCGGACTCATCATCTGAACCCTGTGCAAACTCTAGCCCCTCGGGTTTCCTGTGCTTCTTGGAGCGAGCAGCACCCTGGCACCAAGGCCGTGGACAGTAAATCGTGTTCTTGTCCGACTCAAGTTCGGACTTATGCTTTAGATCGACGTAGCGTTTTACCATGTCATGCTCTATTGGGATTTGGAGCAGCTCGCTCGGGCTGACGATGGCCTTGAATCTTCTCTTCTTACTCGTAGCGGCTCTTTGAGCAGCCTTTTCACGCTCACTAGCGCAGCCAGGTTCGAGACATTGAATTGAAGAAACATCGCCCTCTGCGATAGCGTTATTGTAAAAGTCTTGTAGGCATTGGACACAGAAGACATGCCCACAATCGAGCATACGATGGCAGACTGCGCCTTTCTTGGGATCTAAAAGAATGTTAGCTCGGTCGGACAGGCCTGGATCGGTCATGTAGTGCGTACCTAGACAGATGCCACAGTCGAAAGTGCTCTTCTGGAAGGCTTTGGTCTTCGCCTCCAAGTCGTAATCCAGTATGGCGATCTTATGCTCTGGGCCGACATCTAGGATATTATCCTTGCCGACCAAGCCAAAAACGTTGTCTACTGATTGTTGAACATCGTCCACATAAGTGAATATGACCTGGTCGCGGCCCATGTCCTCCCATAAAATCTCAGCCTTACACTCAAGCTTCTCGACTATCGTGCTAGGCAGCCATGGTGGCGAAGTCGATATTTTGACATGTGGAGGCTTGTTCTGTGGATAGCCATTGGGCAGAGTTATATGAATCTGCAATGATGGTAGATTTGATAGCTCCTGCGAGTCAACTTGGGTCCCGATTGGAATGACGGTACCATCTTGACCCGAGACAGGCAGCGATGGTTCAGTAGCAGCAGGAAACCTGACCACAAGAGGATTGGTCAGACTGACAGGAAGCTCTATCGTGAAAGAATAAGGATCCTGGTCATCGGCTTTCAGTTCCTCAGGGTATATGGCGGTGATGGTGGAAAGCTCGACCTCGCGAGCATCCTCCTCGTCCATGGTGTGTGATCCGATGCTACCGAGTCATGAGTAAGTGCTGCTTTGGCCTCGTTTCTTGAAAGCAATGTCGTGCTTGATGCTATATCTCGGTGTAACCAAATACTTTCATGAGATGGTCACTGGTCTTGGCAGGCAGGCGATGACGCAGCAGCGGGCAGTGGCTAGCAAAGTGCTGTGTGACGACGAAAATGTTCTCGTTGTCAAACGAACGGACATGTGACAGAAAAGCTATATACGAACGCGGTCCCGAAAGTCTTTCGTCGGCGTGATGACTTGGTTTTCTGAATCCCGGTGGCGGAATTGGTCATCGATAGGGCTGGAAGCTAAGATAATACCCCAGGGACGGGACCCGTTGTGGAGGGGCAGTCTAGAAGGAATCTGGCATGGCAGTGCTCTGTTCGGCGCAGCACGGAACGATGATTTGCTGTGTTGCCCTTGGATACTAGGTAACCGGTTTTCATTCAGCCAGCATGATCGACGTGCGCGATGCACTTTCGTGGTGTGCATTTGTTGGATTTCTGGGCAGCGAGCAATGGGCGGAGGTTTCATTTCCGATCTGGCGGGGCCGCCGCTGACAGCTTCAATCAAATCTCAACTTCTAACTTAGTACTAACTAAAAGAACGGAGTAGCTTCTGACTCTTCTGACTCTAGCGGCCATGTGCGTTGGTGTTATGAATGGCTAAGTACATACTGTGACGCTAAATTTCGGCCGTCTGTTCTCGACGATAGGTCTTGACAGGTCTTGACAGGTCTACTTCCAATAACATTGCCCAGCAGTTGGCGTTGGGCTTCACACGATTTAGTCACCCGTACTGCCAACAGTGCTACGCAACCTCGTTCTTTGTTCTTCGATACCTTGACATAGGTACTCCACCCGGCGCCTGTGGCCCTCGCGGACAGCCGAGCCTTTCAAAGCACGTTTCCGCTACGGCAGCTTGACAGTCGGTTGCAACCTCTGCCCGCAAACCCAACATTGTATTTCGATATCCTCTGGAAGGTGTCTGGCGTGGAAAATCGCCAAAATGTCCGACGAGACGATGCCCTTGGCATCCTTGTCCCTGACACATGTTCACTATGTAAGCACTTGCTCTTGCCGTTCATTCTGAGCCCAACTCAACTATGGGCTAATATCTGCGACCAGGACCCGAACGACCCCGTCTCCTATTTCTGCGCCTTCCTTGCTCTGGTACCACAGGGCCTCTGTGTCGTCTACGCGACCCTGATATGGTCGAGCCGCGAAATCGAGATCGCCCTTATGTTCGCCGGTCAGCTAGCCTGTGAGGCCCTCAATTTTGCTCTCAAGCGTCTGATCAAGGAGGAGCGGCCGAGACAGATGAATGGAAAGGGATATGGCATGCCGAGCAGCCATGCGCAGTTTGTCGCATACTTCTCCGTGAGCCTGACGTTGTTCTTGATCTTTCGACACAAACCGGCGTACCAAGCGAAAAAGAGAAACCATACAGCATTGACATTGTTGGAAAGGCTGTTCTGGAGCGCTGCAGGCTTGACCATGGCTGCAGCTGTAGCTTGGAGCAGGATCTATCTCAACTACCACACGCAGAAGCAGGTCCTCATTGGAAGTGCCGCAGGAACTGCCAGCGCGATAGCCTGGTTTCTTGTCACGGTGGCGGTCAGGAGGTCTGGGTGGTTGGCTTGGGGTTTGGAGCATCCGATTGCCAAGTTCCTGAGAATAAGAGATCTGGTGGTCGAAGAGGATCTTACTCAGGCTGGTTGGGAGAAATGGGACGATAAGATGACGGCATTGAAAGCGCGCGACAAGAAGGCATCTTGAGGCCAAGACATGACCTGCGAGCTACACATAGATTCAATGGAAAGATACCCGAATTATGTACACTTGCATTGGGAGTCTGTCAGGTTTCTAGCTTAGAGAACCTCACTGGCGTAAATAATAAATGTAACAGAGCCATGGGCGACAGTTTTTAGGCTGCCGATGACGCACCAAAACGGCTCGCACACGTCGCCTGGCTGCGCAGACTGCCAATATACAATCGTTCACGGCCCGTGACAAGATGACGTCCCAGACCAGAAAGATGTCAAGCGCGATGGTTTTCCGTAGGGGCAACGGTATTTGGATTGAGTTTCAGGGGCTGTCGCGTTGCTGCCGCCAGATTGCCCCGCTACCGTACACACCGTTTAAGGCAACCAAGCTATGTACTCAACTTAGCAGAGCCTAGACTAACCCAGAGCCCTGACCTAAGCACATCACCAGCACCAGCGGGTATGTAGGCGCTGGGCTGGGCAGGGCAAGTACCGTATCGATAGCTGGGTATCTCATCTCAGGTGCCCAGATACTACATAAGAGTAACTACAGAAGTAAGTACTGATTGATAACTGACTACAAACGCAACACCAAATACTGTCACACGTATGTAATTCCGTTATGATCTTATGTTCTTGGTTGAAACCACTCTAGAGTCAGAGCTGTACATATCTCCAACGTATACGTATACATAACCAACCGCCTGTTGTCCAACCTCATTCAGGGTTGATTACATGCATGCACAGCACGACGACGATGCTTTCCCCTTGACCGCGACTCGTTAGATACCCACCGAAACTCAGCTGCATGTGCTGCCGCTGCCGCCGCTCACCACCATGAACCTGTGGCCATCTCGCGAGCGCAACAGTATCGCCGCTGAGAGTGCAGCTGCGCCAGACACAAACTCTTCCGCCCCTGTAGATGTTGCCGACACAGGAGTAGCGGCAGAGGATGCTGGCGAAGCATCTTCGGCGTCGCCAGCCACAGCTGCCAACACAAATACCAACACCGGCAACCTCCTGCGACCGAATTTGCAGTCCAACACCAGCGTCCCCAGTCTGCCGCCTCCACCTGACGAGCCACCTCCGCCGCCCTCCCAGATCCAAGGTCAGGTACAGCCTAATCAACCGCCAGATTCGCTGTCCCTCGCCCAACTAAGGAGGATAGTATCCGAGTTCCCACGAACAGGCGATGAAGCTGCAGCCTACGATTTCGTTTACGAGGACACTGGCCCGCATGCTGAGGAAGTTGATGAATGGTTCGTGTACGGCCAGTTCTGGCAGTGGTTGCGCCTCAATGGCGCGCATCGCATCTTCGAGTCCGACTGGGAGCAATCGAGCGACGCCATGGAATGGGACGATGCGGATGCCGCCACCAAATCGAGATTTGTGCGAGGTGTGCTGCAGCAGATTCGCGATGGCCATGACCAGTCAAGAGCGCATGCCATCAACAAGATCATGTACTTGGTCCTGGGACGATGGGTTGATACAGCGCAGACAGGCCCCTTTGCGAATAGGAACAATGGAGCAGATGCCAAGAAAGCCAGGAGCGTAGCAACGTCAAGTCAGCTAGCTGCCATGACAGAAGGTGCGAAGCTTGTGGCATCGCTTGATGGCTTGCCCATCATATGGCAAGCTCTTCAACACGCCTTCGAAGCCTTATGGTATGTTTTATCCAACATGGCCCTCTGCCCTCGTGCGGTGCTCACCCGAATGATAGGACTTTAGACACAGCGAAACAACCTCAAGACGGCACGCAAGAGGCCCAAGAGGCCCAAGACAAACTAATGAATCTAATGACCATCATGTATATTATCATACAAGAAGTTCTGAACGACCGTCATGACATGGTTGAGGTTCAAAACAAACTTCGTACGTTTTTCTCGCGCCGTCTCAGACAGACGGACACTCGCTAATGCCTTCCATTGTAGTTGAATTAAACCCGAACATAGCTGTCTTCATGCTCACCTCAATAGCAAGAATCCGCTGGCTAGATGGTGTGCCGACATCCATGACTCAAGTACGTTGCTGAATATTGTTCACGGGGGCATGGGCTAACTTGCCGAGATCCTTCTATTATTCTGGAAGTCTATACTATTGGTTTTCGGCGGTATCAAAGATATCGACCAGACCAAGAAGGCCCTTCAGGAGACGCCTCTGGGTGACAAAGATAAAGAATTAATCACTGCATCGCCTTTAGACTATCATGCATTCCGCCAGGAAATCTCGTCAAAGTACCCAGCATATGTACCACCACAGCTGCCCTTACCTCTAGAATCTAGTGACACGTCACTCCTACCACCGTTACCAAATCATCCCACGCGGAATAACGGGTCAAATGGTATCCTGCCTGCTCCCCCGAACGCGCAAAATGGCGGTGCTTCGATTCTTCATCAACCTGTCCATATCGCAACACCAGCTCCTTCGCCTCCGCCATCTCCAGCTGTCGGTGGTAAGGGCGGAAAGAAGCAGAACTATCAGACCAACCAGAACTTTCCCTTCATGTATCCGCCATTGGATGCTACTAGCAATAGCGCGGGTGGCAAAGGTGGTGCTGGACTTCAAGAGCTTTTAGTAGGGCGTAGATGGGAAGGTAGTGATATACCCGCTTCAATCCTCGAGGCAGGCGAGCTCTTCTCTAACCGAGTGCGAATGACTCGGGCCACGCGGCAACTGTGGGAAGAACGTGAGAAATTCCTGAAGTTTGAGAGAGGATTCGATGGATCAGACGACGAGATTGACGACCTTGACCTTGAAGCTTTGTCATTAAGTGACAGCGACGACGTTGATGACGACAAGCTTCTCGCTACCATCGAGAAGAGGACAGCCAAGTCGCAAACGCCTGCAATTGATTACGGCCTAGATCCAGACAATCTAGATCCTGAGATCAAGCAGCGTCTGCAAGTGCTTGAGAATTTCTACGTAAGTTTTCTCGTTCAACAGCGATTTAATGGGCACTGATGATTGAACAGGATGTCACGCTGCCGCATCTACAATCCGTTGTTATTGTGCTTATGAGGGTCGTCCTAGCCAACGTGACTGCATTTATCACCATGCCGCAGCGGGGCCCTGACGTTCAGTCAAATAACAGTCGTCTGAACCAGAATGGTGTACCGTTGTTCCGGTCCCAGGACGGTGGTGGCATCAATGGTTCTGGTCCTCAAGATTCCTCTGAAATGTCACTTGAAGATTTGGACCAGGTTCGGGCTCGTGAGCTAGAAGGCAAAGCTATCTCTGGAGTTCTCCTGCTGCTTCTGAAATGGTTCAAGATCTCCCGTAAGTGGGACGCGTCACATTCTCTTGACCAATGACTAACCTCCTTGTTTAGATGTTCTCAAGTTTGAGTATTTAACTCAGTTGTTGCTTGATTCCAACTACATCCCGCTTATATTAAAGTTCTTTGCGCATCAGGACGTCCAACAAGTGGTTGACAGCAGGGCGGATCGTTTGGACCACAGCTTTTTCCAGTTTTGCAACCTTCGAGCACGAGGTGCGGGCGACAAGCCGGTGGACCCAACTGAAATTGATGGACTAGATGACGAAAGCGAAGACGAAGCCGCACCGCCCCCTATCAAACGAAAAAAATCACCGCCCAGATCAGGTGCTGGGTTTTTACCCAATGGAGAGCAGGCAGCAATGTCGGACTATCAAGCCCCTACCAGGCCCGAGGTTGATGAGCTGGGTTATCCAGTCAATCCCCTCCCGCAAGAGCCTATCACAGATTTCTCTCGCCGAAACTTCTTTACATTGATCAACTACCTGCGGATTCTGCAGAAGATCTGCAAGAATAAGGCTCATCGTAACCTATTGCTGGTGCAGTACAAGTCTTCTAACATCATTCGCAAGTCGCTCAAGGTCCCACAGTCTGAATTACGCCTTTACACGCTCAAACTATTTAAAAATCAAGTGCCCTACTGCGGCCGTAAATGGCGCCAGTCGAACATGCGTGTGATCACCGCAGTATACCTGCACTGTCGTCCCGAGCTTAGAGACGAATGGCTTGCCGGCAGTGATGTTGATGCTGAAGTCGAAGAGGCACTACCACTGGAACAGGCTCTCAGGAGTCTGACACATTGGTTCAATGTCAGAAGACATCCCGAACAGATGGCGCAAGAGGTTAGGGAGGCGCTGCAGGAGGAACAGGACTTTTTCAAAAGAGAATTGGAGAAGCTGGAAGTCAGCTGGGTGGACAACAATGCGCAGGTCGACGGCGCTGATGGCATGTGGGACGGCCAGGCGATGGGCGGTGGTTGGGGCTAGAATTTCCAAACCGAGACGCATGAGCCTGAGGGTATTGACGCATTGTGATCTGACAAGCCATGATGGCCACCACGTGGCAGAAAATACATAGGATATTCCCGTAGATCACGCTGCATGGCTTCAAGCATAGAGAACAGGCAATGCCTGTTTCGGCCGAGAAAGCATGGACTAAACACTGATAATTCTGGCACAGACCGGTCAAGCAACAAGCACAGGGGCTCCGTTCATCCATACGATGTACGAATAATATGCCTCGTGGAAGGCAAATTTGCAGTGAAGGAGGAACGCACCTCATGTTGGGCAAGTAATGGAGTCAAAGACGCCTGCAAATATACTTCTTCAAGCACTTTCAGCAGTATACGAGTGATGCAGCTGCGACAACTGAATTATCAAAATCGGAATCGCTCTTCCTATTGAGGATAAAACTTGCGTTGTAATAAGTAGGCAGAACCGCAACCCAAACGTGATGACTACAAATGTCTCTTTATCAACGACCTAATAGTATAAGGCGCGGCGGAGCAACGGAAAGGGGATGATCTTACACCCGATCGTGGCGTGTCTGCCATATATTATCAAGGAGAGTATTCAATTCAGTAAAGTGGGGGCAACAGGAAGACCGCCACGTCTGCAAAAAAGCCATTAAAGAAGTACAAAGCGTCCCCCGCCCCTTGATACATGCCTGGCAACTCATAGATAACCGCAGGCGCCCAGTCCGTGGATTGAGTGTTCAGAGAAGTGATATGAATCGAGATCGGCAGGTTCACTACACCGTATGGTAATTCTTATTCATCGTGATATCACCAGTGACAAGCCGTAAAAGACAGCTTAAATAATCATCTTAATATATGATATCTAGGCCTGTACATGGGGATGGACCAGCTATCATAATGTGGTCTACTAGTTTCAGTTGTTTAGGTCAAAGTTCAGCCCAACATCAGCCGAGAGAGAGGGGGCTTCAAGTCAAGACCATTGGCCGACCAGTGGTTCTCTATCCCTCACGAAAGGGAAGTAATAATATGGCGGCGAAGAAGGCGAAGCAGGGAGATGTAGTACTCTGCTGCGGGCCTTGCCATCAAGAGGTCATTCAGTCTGGGGCTTAATCTGCAGTGCCACAATACACGAAGTTATAGGTACAGAGCCATTTGACTTTGTAACAGCAGACAACACCATTATGATATAACACCCATCCATTTTACCAGACAAGTATCGAATCTGATGTGTCGCTTGCGATTTGTCTAACAGTAGGGAGCCTCAGTGAGCAGCTGGGGCGATGCATCAGGCTCGATAAGGGTCTGTCCAACGTCAACCGCACAACTTCAACTGTGCCGGAGTGGGCTGTATTTTCAGACTGTGTGGCAAGTAAGTGAATCGAGAACTGGCTCCTTGACAAGCCCGACGTCGCTTGGGCTGATGCTTATATTGTTGGTGTGTCGACTTGACAGGGGCCTATCATGTCATTCTCGATGATTTGAGGTGTACAGCTGCACGTATGAACTTACAAGAACGCGTTCTCGAAGCATTGAGTTTTGTTCTGCTGTTTGCCTTGAAGCGTAAAATAATTGATGGGCAATACGTCTTGTCAAGGGGAAATTTTTCTTGTTTTCATATATCACAGTTTAATCAACCAAATATTCTGCACTCTAGTATTTGGAGTAGGAGGTGCCCGCATGCTTATCACCAGGCAAAGTGTTATATGACGTGGTTGTGTTGCATCCAGGCCCCTCATAGCTTCTGTAATCATATTCGTTAACTAAGCTCTCGAAACTAGTACGAGAGTTTGGGGACGGAAACAAAACCTTGGTTGTTCTGTCAAGCATCTGGAACATCTTGTAGTGCACAGGAAATGTTGATGATATTAGGCAATACGTCTGGAGTGCTGCCTCGAAAGCTCGCGATCGAAGGCCTCGCCCGAGAAAAGACTCACCCACCGAAACTGTAAATCAGACTGTAGACACATGCGAAATTAAGTGGTGCTTGGCTGACCACAGAAAGCTATTTCATGGTACCAGGCAAAAGTAGTTCAGCCAATCTTTGAATTTCCACATGCCAAGCCGGAAGGAGGGCGATCCTCGAACATCAAACGAGGGTCCGCGCAGCAGGAGGTTCCCGAATGCACTCCTATCTGTCTGGGCAAGAGTCACTCTCCACTTCCCATGGGCCGCTGTTCCGTCGCTCAGAAATACAGACGCGAAAAAAGTGGAAGGTCTATTGGCAAAGAGGTTTTGGTTTTAGTTTTTGAATTCTGATTTTGAGGCTATTTGTGAGCTTCGCTATCCTGCTACTGGGTATCATTAGCATCAAGATGCTTCTTTCGCCCTCCCCCCTACCATTCCAATTAACAAAAGAGATCTGGGTTTTTCTCCTTTTTCATCTGAAGTGTCCCGGGGCGCTAGGCCGCCAACGACAAGCAATACTATACTAGGAAAGACAAATAAAATAAAAAGATAAAGAAATAATATATACAAATATCAAGAAGTGAAGTCTCCAGATCTCAATGAATATATCTATGCGGAATAATGACAGCCATGTTTATTATCAAGTCTAAAACTGGTGGTACTATGCGAGCTACCGACCAATTCCAGACCGGTGCCGTTTGCTTTGTTCTTCCGCGTCCTTTCGTTCTCCCACCCTCCTTCAGTCCACTACCACTTGCTCACTGACGAGTCCATCAAGAGCAGCCGGAGCTGCCTCGAAGAAATGATGTGGGCCCGCGGCGAAATGGTGAGCGCTGCCTACAAAGAGAGAACCATGGGACCAGCCACGATAATGGCGTCAGAGATGACACCGGTGGCCGGCGCGGCGTTGGTGAGCGTAACGTAGGTGATGCCTGCCAAGTTCTGGGGCAGCTGGCAGCCACCGGCGGCAGTAAAAGCAGAGAAGGCGGTACCACCGGGGGCGTTGGCGTTTGTGAAGCCACAGAACTGAGCACCTGCAGCGGCGGCGCTCTGGAACTGGAGAGCGGTACCAGCAGCGAGGATGGCGGGGGCGGCAGGGGCGGCAGTAGCCATAGTCAGAGTCGGGAAGGCTTGCAGAGCAAGGTTAGAGCCGGCCGGGCAGGACTGAATGAAGGGTGCGGCGAGCGAGAAGACGGCCTTGGGTCCGAGAGGCGTGTCGAACGGCTGAGGAATGGCAGTGACACCGCTGGCAGCACGGATGAATGTCTGGTGGCGAGACTCAACGGTCAAGATAGACCCAGCAGCGGCCAGGATCTTGGAGTCGGCCAGGATGGGGGCAGCGCCCAGGTAGGCGGAGACACCGATATTCTCGAGGACACCGGCGGTAGCGACCATTGACTTGGCATCAGTCAAGCCAAAGCTGTACGTGCAAGGCTGGACGGGCTGGACGCCGGCCTGGGCGATGGCGCTTTGTAGGAACTGCACGTGAGCCTGCTCCGTCTGTCCGATAGTCTTCAGATCAGTGATTTGTTGGGGCTGAAGGCCAAGAGCAGCGAACTGGTCGTCGGGGAACATGGCGAAACCCTGCTGGTAGAAGGTGGTCTCGAGCCATTCTAATGTCAGAGCGCTGGTTGTCAAGTTAGTGAATTGTTCTATATGATCGTAGAAGCCTGGCACACATACAATTGAAGGACGTCGACATCAGTGAGACCCAGTTGCTGTTCCGCGGGCGTTTGTCGCTTCATGACGTTGAATATCTTCTCTTGCATCTTGGTGAACCTGGGCTGAGCCGGAAGGGCACTAGCAATACCGGCCACGGCGGCCACAACGCCTGCGATTTTCATGATGGAAGGCATATTTTCGATATATGATTAAATGTCTTTCGTAAATCCGAAACCGGGTATAACGACAGTCGAGATATTGTAAATAAAAAAAGAGTGGTTGTTGGCGAAAGCAAGGCTAGCTTGGCTGTTCTGCAGAAAAGTCCCACCGGGATATTATAAGAATGTTAATTAATGAAGGAGAGTATAGACGAAAGTCGTTGATCCCTCGAAGCAGACCAGCGCTTTTTGGTATTCGGAGTTAGACACAGTGGAGAGGGGTGAGGAGATAGAAACTTTCTGGATGAAGAGGCGAGGGAAACGCTGGCAATAAAGACCACCTGCCAAGAAAACGAAGATGGATATTCGTGAGGATAATGCGGGTCGCGGAAAGAAGGTTGGCCGGCCAGGGAAGGGACATGGGCATGAACATGGACATGGACCCTCCATGAGCGTGCTCCGGTCCCGTCTGTTCTTCGGCTCTTACCTCATGGGACAGGAAGGTGAGCTTCCTTCGTCACAGTGATCGCCTACCCAGAAGCTTCCGAGCCCCGGTGTCCAAGGGGTTTGCCAGGAACAGATAGATCCATGGGAAGAGGATGATAGCTGCGGCAGACGCACCAATCTAGGAGCAGGTCCCTCTGGATGACCAATCAGGGATGCGCAGCAGGTCGAGAACGGAGTGGGAAACGAAACAAACTCAACAATAAGCTTCCTGCGATCCAATGAGAAGCGCTGCAGGCAAGTAAGCTTACAAGGAAAGTTGGGACGAAGACAAGTCTTGGCAGGTCCCGAGCCCCGGGCAGGGCTAAACCGGACAGGGGTTTAGTATAGGGTGCTCGGGGGGTGGGAGGGCTGCTGAGGGGCCTATTGCCTCAGATGCCGTTTCAGTAGCCTCCCCACCCGGCGCATAAGCGAGACTTCACACAACGGACGGACTGCAACCCGACTATCTGAAACCGAGACCTCACTATGCCGGCGCTCACATAATCTCAACGGCTTTCTCGTGCAGTTCGCCCTCAGCGCAACCTCAGCGCAGCCTCCTGTTGTTAGCACCGGTCGTTTCCCTCCTCGAAACGGCCAAATCACAGGAGGCCATGTTTGCAAACCCCGGCCCCGTTTCTTCATTCTGTCAAATCATGTGCCAGACCTTGGCGTACCTCCTGCGCCGCCTAGCCTTTTCAGAACCTGGCATGGCCACTCCTATGGGCGCGACTTCGTCGAATTTTGCGTGCACTCATGAATGCCTATTGGCTCCAGCAGAAGATCCTCGGAAATAGCCAGCAAGTGGGCGTGACAGCAGCGGCTTCAAGGAAACATTTCATCTTCCCCCTTCCTCCTTGGCGAATGAAATGACAGGATCGTGATCCTCTCAAGGAATATCATCTTGCCTCTCCGCGGCCTGGCAGAAACGTCCAATCTCCCGAAAGGACTCGCAGCGTGCCCGGCAATTCCAGTCTGGCCGCATCTCGCAACACTCCATCATGGGGGTTTACTAAAGAACCGTCACACACAAGCCCGCCACAGCGTTTCCGGCGTTGATGCGCAAAGTGCATGCAGTCGTGCTTGGGTTCTACGGAACGTAGCAGGCCACGCGACTTCCTGTTAGATCTAGAACGGCCGCCGTTCCGGTCCAAACGTCACACAGACACCCGCCCTCGCAGCGCTGGTTCCAAACATCACATGTGGAGAACCCGCGATGCCAACGGCCGCCGTAGGCATCCAATCGCTTTTAGCCATGATGACATATATGCTTGTGTGCCCCACCCTCTGCAAAGTATTGAGCAGTCTGTATGCCTGGACTCTTCCTTCACGGAGGTAGAGTTCAGGTACAGAGCTATACGCAAACCAGCGGCTGACAGAGTCCCCGTGAGCGCCAGCCTGTCGAGCCGTTCCCACGATCCACTTGCCGAGATCTTCTCATTCACCTACTGCATCATCACCCCAAGGTCTAACTACTTCCGTATCCGCGCATGTTCGTTGGCACATCAGATAAAGTACGCGCGAACGCTTACTAGCTAGCATGTGTATCACTGAGTTCTTTGCTTGCCGACCTTTCCATGACCCTGCCAGCTTGGTCAACTCTTTCATCCGATCTCCTCAGCTCACTTCAGCCGGGATCGACGGCAATTCAGTAAAAGTGAGAGAGCACAGGCTTGCTTATCCCGAACCCACACGTACGGGTGCTGTATTGTCCCCTTTTCCTTTTCATGCCGGGCGTTTCTCGTGTCACCCTGCCTCAATGCGTTCTCTTGGCAAAACTTTCTTCGGCAGTAACAAGACGCTCGACAGAATGGATCTTAATCACGGCTCTTTGATCTCTCATGAACAAGCATAGCTTGTATCACAATGCGTTGCGACAACTTACCCATCCAGACAAGTCTCCGCCATTTGCGACTGTCGTTCGGCTATGGTCTAAGTTGGTTAGTGATAGGCTTAACCACAAGGCCACGATAGTTTGCAGTCAGAAGCTTGACAAAACCTTGTATGGTGGTTCACTGTGATCCTTCTCAGCCACCAGCGGTCTGCTCTACGCCTCTATCGTATGTTCTGGAAGCACGTATTATCAACTCTTAACGTAAGAGATGGATGGTTCAGGGCTCTTTGGCTAATTATATGGCAATAACAATCTACTTTGCTTTTCTCATCCCTCCTCGTAATTCACTTCCGACAGACAATGCTTCTTCCCCTTAACTCAACTGCAAACATATTATCTAGCATGTCCTCACAATATATTTCTCCTTTAGAGCACTCAAAGTGCGTACGGGTTGAGTGACCGAATAGTCAAGCAGCTGTAGGCACGGTATTAGCTTGGATCATATATATCTATGGGGAGTCACTTACGGTGGGCTCTTCGAGAGGTCGGTTTTGAGAATGATAGGAACTCTCGTCATCTCGGTGACGTCCTGAATGTACTCGCCTCCTTCCTCTCTCAGCTTGAAAAGCTTGAGGTATTTCTCCTTGTTGGTCAGACGTGTCTCAGCAGCCTCGGTCATAGGAACCTTGGAGTCAGACCTAGTGCGGTGAAGGATCCCGGCAGTGGAGGTTGATCGAGTCGGCGAGCCAGGGACACTCTGTGTGGGCCTTTCGGCAAGCGATGCGCCGGCCATGGACTCTGTGACATCCGACACATTATCGTCGTCGTCGTCGAACAGAGCATCGACATCGTCCGTAGAGATAGTGCCAGTCTCGGTCTGCTTGCGAGCAGCCTCTTCGCGCTCCTTCCTTGCTCTATCCGCCTCCTCAGCTTGTCTTGCGGCCGCCATGGCGTTGGAAACTCTCTGCGACTGGTGAGCTTTGGGCCGCTCATCCTCGGGTACGTAAGCAGAACTGGGGACGCCCTTCTCCCAGTAGAGTTCGAGCACCCGCTTCTCTTTCCTGAACTCGGCCTTCTTCAACGGTAACTGATCACAGTGCACACGCTTCTCGAAGCCCCACTCTGGAATTAGAACGTCAAAGGCAGATTCGTAGACGGCAAGTACGATACCCTCGCTGACAAGATCGCCATTCACTTCCTGGCGTTTTCTGTCCATGATTCGACATGACTCAATGTGGATACTCTGCTCCTGAGCATTTTGGGCCGACTCCTTTTTAGTGTTGCAGGACTCGACAGTCTTGACCAAATTCTCAATATCCTCGCTATACTCTACCTGGCCCTCAGATAGGACAGCCTCAAGCTGCCGGTGAACAACGAGATCCGCGTACCGACGAGTAGGGGCGGTGAAATGAGTGTAGAGGGGTACATTCAGTGCGTAGTGAGGCCACAACAACTTGTTGGTCTTGCCAGCAATAAAGTACTTGGCGTGGTTCATGCTCTTGATAAGCAGGGTTTCCATACCCTTTCGGACATCATTGTCGTCAATCTTGAACAGGCTGTTTTGGACAGTGCCGCTGCTGGTGGTATCAATGTCGTAACCGATCGCCCTCATGCGCTCCATGATGGTTTGGAGACGTCGTGCATTTGGTGCGCCTTGGCGGCGGAGCAAAGCCTTTTCGGGAAGACCCTGAGCTAATCGCTGTGCGACATGAGTGTTGACCTTGTGTAGCAGCTCTTCGACAAGTTCAGTGCCAGGGGTGGAATCGAAGAGATTATGCTTGATAGGGATATTCTCATCGTCGAGCTGGTGAAGAAGTCTCAGTGGTGCGATTGGTTCGTCCTCGGAGCCAAGGCGTGCTTCTCTGAATTTTTGAGCCACAGCCTTATGAGAAATTAGTATCGTGCACCGCAATCCAACCAATAGATGGTAACTTACGTTGAGGATCTGGATGTCCTTTGCCTCCACAGTTTCGTGCTTGAAGCTCGCTTGACCGGACAAGGCCTCGTCAATCTGTTCCAGGGAGAGCTTGGCAGAGCTCTTGATGACACTTCTGCCAATCCACGTGTCGCCATCTACTACCGCACCGGTTTGCGGGTTGACACGGAATACAACACTTACGGTGAGTCTGTCTTGACCAGGGGTTAAGGTACAGACCTCGTTAGCAATCTGTGGGGGTAACAATGCGCAGGTACGGTTTACCAGGTGTACTGCGGTACCACGCTTCTTTGCTTCACGATCGACAAGGGAGTTGGCCTTGACGAAATGTGCGATATCCGGAATATGAATGCCGACTTCAAGCTTTCCATCGGACTCAGTTTTGATGTGGACAGCATTTCCCAGCTCTCCAGTACCAACCAAGTCAAGGGTGAAGGTGGTCTCGTTTCGGAAATCACGGCGCGCGGCAATCGCGGCTTCTTCTTCCTTGCTGATGGACCAGTCCTGAAGGCCAACACTTCGAAGAACAGCCTCCGAGAACTCATCAGAAGCAAAATTGTTGTCGCGCAGCAGAGCATCAGTTTCCACCTTAAGGTCGCCCATTCTGCCAAGCTGCTCGACCAGGGTTCCGAAAGGATGCAGGGAAGTGATGGGCCAACGCTTGATGCAGGCAACGAAAATACGGTCTGCATAATCTTGGTGTTTCTCAACGAAATCTCTGGGAGCTTGTTCGGTGGGAATGGCGATCAGAGGAACTCGCTTATCAGTTGGCTTGAACCAGACAATCTTGGGCTTGTCTTGGTGGCGTGTGTTCTCCTGAGGCCGACCACCATCTCTGGCGGCCCGCTCAGCCTCTTGCTTCTCTTTGGTAGCTTGACTGCTGGGCCGCAGTAAACCAAGTGTACCCGAAAACATTTGACCAGCCACACGCTCGACAACAGCAACGATGTGGCCAGCATAGAGAGGCTTGGCTTCATCGTTGATCTCCTCCTCTTCTACAAGCAGCAAGCTTTGGCCTTCAACTTCAACATCGTCGTTCTTCTTCTGAGTCGGCCGCTGACGCAAGCTACCACGTCGGCGGATACCACCTTCCCCTGTACCAGCATCATCGGCATTGCCAGAGTTGTTCCCGGCGGTCGATCCCGAGCGTGTGTCAGTGATATCCTTCCTCTTCTTCTTTTCTTCCTTCTCACGTTTCTGGCCCCAGACTTCATCAACATCCAGCAACTCGACGGCGACGAGATCACCCTCCAGAGCTCGGTTGCGGTCCTTGCTACCGCAAATGAAGATATCGGCATCAAGGAGACCGTCGCTCGTTGAGACGTAGGCATCACTGCGGTTCTTCTTGTTGACTCGCAAGATACCGGAGACCAGCTGTCCATCACCTAGCAATGCAGGCAAAGTTGCTTGCGGGAGGTAAGGGGTAAAGAGAGTCTTGCGCTGTTGCTGCTGGTTTTGCTGTCCGCCAAGTTGGGGAGCGTGCTGGCTTCCCTGAAGACCAACCAAGTGCTGGCCGTTCATCTGCGCCGCCTGAAGAGCCTGTAGCTGGTTCAACTGCATGGGGTTCAACTGTCCAGGGTACATCTGCATCATCGGCATCTGACCTGGGACTTGTACCATCTGGGGCTGTTGAGGGAATTGGAAGTTACCCATTCCAGAAATCGATTGAGCGTTCACGGAACCGCGGGAGCGGTGACCAGGCTGGAAAGATGGCTGTCCACCAGTCTGATCCTGCCCCTGGTTCTGGGCCTGGTTGCGCCAGTTACCCTCAAAGTTTCGGGAGCCTGTCCTTGCGTGACCACCACGACCTCGGGCGAAGTCGCCCCCTTGCTGGCTGCTTTCGTTGTTGATGGATATGGAGGCACCACCGCGACCGTGTCCTCGGCCACCTCCACCAACAGCCATGCTCTGGCTGCGGCCATGTCCACCTCGGCCACCTCGAGCTGAGGCTGAAGAGCCCTGGGCAATGGGGGTGTCGGCGGGGGCAGCGGCAGTAACAGTATGAGCAGGGGCAGCAACAGGTCTAGATCCCTCAGCCTGAGCGTTTTCCGCATTAGGTCCGGGGAAAGAGAATCCTGAAGTCGTGCGCTTTTGCTGAGCGAGTTCAGCAGCCTTCTTGGCATCGGCCAAAGCTAAAGAGTGTCTTCTCTGGTGTCCACCTCCTGAACCGCCACCTCGCCCTCCCGAGGCGCGTTCTCTCTGCCCTGGGGCTGGGTGTTCTCGAATTGGCCAAAAGTAGACCCAGAAGCTCCCGAAGACGGAGCTGGAGGCGGACCCAGGCCCATGTTAGGGAGTGCCGACTGATTACGGCGATGTGACATGGGCTGGCTTGGGGCGCCCAACGTTTGTTGCTGTGGAAGCTGGTTGGGAAATTGGAAGCCCTGCTGCGCCATGTTGGGCATTGCCTGTTGCATAGGGTTGAAACCGCCAGGAGCCAGCTGTCCTGGTGGCATCATACCCATGCTAATGTATTGTTGGTGCGTCGCTTGTAGCTGTTGCTGTTGCTGCTGTAACAGCTCGATCTGTTGCTGAATAGCAAGCTGCTCCACTAAAGGATGAGAGATGTATGATTAGCCCTATATCTCGTGCATTTATCGGCTGTGAAAATGACGAGGAGCTCTGATCCAATCCATGGAGGCAAGTGAGAGAGGGGTGAAGGAGTGATGATGTGTTCTACTTACTCCCAGGGTTCGCAAACATGCTCATTAAAGGCGTCAGCTCAGATGGGCTTCGACGATGAGCAATGTGTAGACGGCGACCAGTTGGGCCCGGAACACCACCGGTGGCCACTGGCTGCTGCTGCTGCTGTTGCTGCCCCTGCCCCTGCTGAGGCTGTTGCTGATTCTGTTGCTGCTGCTCCATGATGGGCGAGCAGTTTTAAAAAGGTAGTGCACGTCAGGTGCTTGTAGACGTCAAGCAAGATTTGTAGATAGCTGTAGCTAGAAGTGGTAGTCCAAAAAAAAAAAAGAGTATAGGTGGTAAGAGACCTGAAGTGGATTGATTGGAGCTGAGCTGATGTAATATCTGTGTGTCGATGGACAGACAATGTGTAGATTTGTTTGGTGATTGCGTGGACTTTTGCGACTAAACAAAAGGAGGGTGAATGAGAGGATGTGAAGGAGGTTTGGTTTGGTTTGGTTACTCAGATCCAGTGACCTTGAGATGTGTGAGAGGTAGTCCGATCCGAATGAAGGCTTCGTGGAGAAGGAATGGCACGGCGGAGGGGAAAGGAAGGAAAGTTGAGATGAGTTGGGGGAAAGAGATGGCGATGACGATGATGGGGAGGAGATGTAAGGAAGTTGTGGTCCGAGGATCTAACTTAAACGTCAACGTAGGTGATCCCAAGGTTCAAGGCAAGGTAGCTTTTCCCAGGATATACATGCCCAGAGCCAGAGCCAGAGCCAGAGCAGCAGCAGCAACAGCGACAAAGCCAGCAGCCTTTTTTTCTGGCTGGTGCGCCCGAGAGGCTTGACGACACGGGGGAGAAACGACAGTGCTCAGCACTAACTGGGGCCTGGCCTTTAGGGGCTGAGAATGCTCCAACGCCCCCATGGCCCCGCACCACGATATTGAGCCCCTCCACGGCGTCACTACTAGGCCGGCTCCAGCTTAGCTGCACCTAAAGTCAGTTGGTCACAAGCACTAGCGGCCCGTCGTAGCCCCCATGGCCAAAGCTCTCACGAGGGTGTGAGACAAGTTATGGATTATCTCTGTCTTTGGACTGAAACAAACGTGCGTTGCGAATAGCTATCTCTTCATATCCAAGAGTCTTCATAAACTCTCGTGACCCCGTAGCAGTCGTTGAAGAAAATTTCATGGTAGCTGCTGCACAGAAAACATCGTAGACATGGATATGTAGCCTGTTTCCTGTTAATTCTAGCTGGAGAGTCCATAACGATCTCCAGAGCTACCCCTGCGCATTGGGGGCTATTAGGTTAGCCACGAAAAAGGATTGTGCTCACTAATGACCCCCATATACAAAGGTCCAGAGAAGGGTCAGTACAAGAGTTTCACTAAAGAAAAACATTGAGCATCTAGTTCAGCAAGAATTTGAATCAAATACAGACACACACTCGGATTTGCATCAGTATGACAGGTGGTCATCAGTCATGCACACAAGAAGCGAATCCGGAATTGGCTTTTGGTTGTTCTCACTGTTCTGAGCTCTAAAATATAATCCTCCCCCAAAGATGGTCGGAATAGGTATGTTTGTGGTTGTAGCGGAACGCCAGTGAGCAAGCTTGCAGCGAAGCTCACCACATACATGTTTAGCACAAATATTGTATTGGTGTGGCATTCATCTCACCTGTAACTTCACAAATTCGTATCGCCAGCTCAAGAACAAACGAGTAATCGTGATGTATTCTTTTCATGGCATAGATGGAGATGCAGGCAGGACGCATTCTATGTCGTTTACGCGAGAAATACTTGGCTGGCGATCATGATTGCATTTCCAAAAGGATGGCACGGGGCTCCGAGCCTTTATGAGACCAACTGCGTCACAATTGACCAGGGGCAAACATACACGCAGCCTTGACCATTGTACCATGGTAAGGACGCTCTACGTAGAGACTTGAGCACGGAGTACACTTTGCAGCAATATAAGTTGTTAGGTCCAGTGGTCGACGATAGTTATGTACTCTAGAGCGTAAGTTTTTCTTCTCTTCTTCTCTCTCTTTCCGGCTGCACATGCACAGTTCATATCCCCATGCAGTGCTGACGTGATCTATAGAGAAACTATCAAATGTGCAGAACTGAATGTCAAAGGGCATATGACCAATAGCGAGCGACCTTTCAACTACTATCACTAGGCAGTTACAGTACTGCTTCGTATCTAAAATTCCAAGTATCAAGACATGATTTGATGCAAAATGCCTGTGCTTCAAATTGCTTGGTTGACATCAACTGAAGCAGCTATTGCAGACCTTATGCAGAACCTGGAGCTGGTAACAAGCTACCGTCATTTGATTCTGTCCGTATGTACAGTAGTATGAAATGCTGAATGGCTGAATTGCTGCGACAATGCCCATTTCAATCGCAGAGCATCTGAGCATGTTCCCTGGCGGTAAGCACAAATGCACCTACTGTTAGTCTATGCGAAGTCGCTTGAGGTTTGGCCAGCTACCCAGCTCACCGCCCAGCCAAAAAGAGCGAAACAAGTTGTCTGTGCTGCCCGAAAGGGTTAGACTCCATGCGGCAGGAAACAATGCAATCCGAGCTTTCAGCCTCCAAGCTGCAAGTTCCGTCTGAACAACGACAAGGCTAAGAAGACGTCGAGCCTTTTAACTACTTGTCAGTACGTGAATACTACGGACTTTCCCGCTGTCCCGCCCACGAGAATTGCGAGAATTTCGGCCTGCTGTTGCCACCAGAGCCCTCGAATCACCCTGCCTTGACGGGTCCTGTGTCGTACTTCGCATGACAACATGAGATAGTCGGCATCGACGAAACCAGACAATGGCCGGCTCTTCACCTGCTCGGCGAAGCTTGCAAGTCACCAGCCCGGAGAGGAACACCTACGGCACCTACCTCTCAAATGAGCGGAACAATCTAAAGAACCATGACGAAGCATTAGCCGCATCCAAGGATGAGCACGACCGTGTCAGGGATTATGCTCTAAGAGCCCTCGAGAAACATGTCTATCAGCTAGAGCAACTCCGAATACAAGACGAAGAATCTCAGATACTCGAGAAGCAGAAGAGAGAGAAAGAGCGTCTGGAACGAGAGAAGAAGCTGCGTGAGGAAGAGAAGCGACTTCGAGAACTCGAGGCTCAACAGATCCCAAAGTTACCACCGAAACCATCCGTCGAGGCCGCGCCCGCGCCCGCGCCCGCAGCGGCCAGGACGGAACCTACTGGTTCCAATGGCGCTGCAGGAGCACCTTTAGGTGCAGCATCTTCGAAAGGCCTCGATGCAGTTGCACCCTCGACCCAAAGGACGAATGGAACGAATGTCGCCAACACCACACAGCCTACTGCTCCACCGGCGCAAGAAGCATCACCACTTGTCGCAAAACAGAGTGAGAGTGCGGCCAAGCCCAATCCATTTGCAAGCTCTGGAACGCCAGCTGCTACGCCAGCCTCCAACCCGTTTGCGGCAGGCAATAAGCCAGCTGCGAGCCCCTTTGGAAGGCCTCCCGGTGCGCCAGCAGTCAACGGCTTCAATACACCCACACCTGGTGTTCCTTCGTCTACGATAGGCCGTGTAGCGGTGCCAACACCAGCCGCTCAAACTCCGGATCGATATGTGCAAATACACCAGACTCTGAAGAAACTACGAGCCTCGATTAAACAACAAATGACAACAAACATTGACCTGAAGAAAAACGCAGGCAATTATAGACGGGAAATTCGCAAGTCCATCGGTCAACTAACTGGAGAGAGAGGATCCAATAAACAACAGGTAAGCCATTCCCATCTCTGCTGCTGCTACACAAACTAAATCCGGCACAGCTGGAGAAGATACGATTAGTCCTCACTGCGGCTTTACAGGGACAGATAGGAAGTGCTCTGGTGGACCCATCCGAGTTCGTCCGCGATAAACGTGAGCCGGCACCGGATGCGGCACAGAACGGGCAACTTCCGTCGCTGTTCATCTACCTGCTGAATTGCATGGCAAAGGACATGATTAAGCAGTTTGACAGTGAATGTGGTCCTATGCCAGATAAAGCCGACCCTATCGGTGTTACGGCTGCCCAGATATTCTCTACGAAAGACTTCATGTGGCGCGGTATATCATTGATTGATATTATGATAGCCAAGTTTCGTATCGCTTGCCCAGTTCTCTTTGGTGTTAGAGGCAATGAAAAGACGGAGCAAGGAAGGTTGCGTTTGGGTTGGAGGAAACCAGAGGGACACTGGATGCCCGATCAGCAACACTATGAGCGGATGTCGGGGCTGGGCGTTGGCTATGCGTCTATCGCTCTGCGAGACTTTTCAAAAGCCAAAGCTACGAATCCCTACCCGCCTGCCAACTATTGGACGGCATTTGCCAAAATCGTCAACACACCTCCGGCAGAGATCTCAGACACACAGTGCGTGGTGTTGCGAGCCATGATCCACCTCTCCGAAGACAGGTTCATCAGCTTCTACGGCAACCAAGCGATAGCGGCACTGCGGAAAGCTTTGGTAGAACTCCCTTCGAAGGTTCCGAACAAGACGTCGGCTGTATCTGGCCTCGCCGTTTTGGCCAACTTGTACCAGAAAGATATAGGTCTAGATTTGAGGTGATACAGATCGTGGGACCCGGGAAGCGATGACGACGAATGCACTTACATGATTTATACGGCATCAGAGACCCGGCTGGGTATTCAGATCACTAGAGGCAATGGCGTTTGGGAAAGAACGATGACATCAAGCTCGAATACGAGCAGATGTGAAAGGCGAATCTATACCATGTACAATCCTCCAGGTGGGTTGCCAATTTGATGGCCTTAGCATCCTTCGGGGGGGAGACCGGGGAGGGGGTTTTTTTTTTTTTTTTTTTTTTTGGATAAAACGAGCAACTCGCTCCGTTCTCGGGTTGAGCAGCACCGCAACAACCCATTTCAACTTCGCACCATCGTACAAGTGTGATCTTGGATGCCTATATAATTCAAATCAAACGTGCTTCCCAAGCCGTGACGCCAATGCTATATCATGCCCCAGTAGTTACTCCTCTTTGAGCATGCCAGCTCAGCTCTGTGCTTAAACAGACCTCGCCAATTCTGCTTATCTTGGGTCAGCCACAAACCTACAATATTAACAACAGCACAAGCAGTATGATCAAGACCATGATCAACACAGCGATGCAACACCCACTCCACCGATCCTCGTTCTTCTGCACCACGTAGGCCATCTTGGCCATGCCCGTCTGCAGCCTGCCCTGGACCCTGTCCGCCATGGTGTCCACCACCTCGAGCATCTCTCTCTGTTCCTCGAGCTCCCGGCCCATGTCGTCCGCCTGCCGCCGTATGTTACCCACCGTCATGAGCGTCTGGTCCAGCATGTCGTCCTGGTCCCGCATCATCTGCATCTGCTGCTGCTGCTCGAACTCGGCCGCGTAGTCGTCGTCGTCGTTGCCATCCCCCTCGAGCGCGAACGCGTTCGGGTCCGGCAGGTCGCCCGACGCCGCCGCCCTCGCCGCCTGTGCCGCCGCGTTCCTACTCCCGCCTCTGCCCCTCCCCGACTTGGACAGCTCCTCGTTCATGTCCTCGACCTCGCCGCCGATCTCCTGCACCAGGCGCTGCCGCCGCGTGACCTCGGACTGCGACAGGCCATACTGTGACGGGTTGGACTCGACGGCCTGGACGGCGGCCCGCAGGTCCTCGAGGTCTTCGGTGAGGGATGAGAGGGCGGACTCGAGGTCCGAGCGCGCGGATGTGAGCTCCGGGTTCGAGGAGGGTTGCGACGACGACGCCGAGGTCTGGAGGGACCGGATGCGCACGTAGGAGGAGAATATGGGGCGGGTTTGCTGGAGCTGGGCAAGGACGTCTCTGTTCGGGGAGGTTAGATCAAGCGGTTCCCACGTGCGTCTTGATACGTATAGACAGAGGACTCAAGGGATGATGCGCATCTTTGTGGCAGATCGAATAGAGGGAACAGAATGGGCACGTACTGCTGGACCTGGAGGAAAGGATCCTCCTCGTTGGTTGAGGACATCATACCGCCTGTCGGTGCCTTGGAGCGTTTCTACGCGACTTCAATTGATCTATGTATGAAAAGAATGCGGCCCTGCTGTATAAATCATTCTCGAATGTGAGTCGGGTTGCTGAAGATGCAAAAGCAGTGCAGGATGGACAAGGCTGAAGCCTAGTTAGGGGGCTCTGGAGGGATGACGTGGTAGTTTAGGCCTCCCTAACAACTAAAGTCCGGGGAGGGCAGATCTTCGGTCGCCGTTTAAGTAAGTTACCCAATTTAGGCCGCAAATCGCAACCGTAAAATTAGTTAGTATAATTTTTTTTCTAAATACAAACAAAAATGCAATACTTTCGAGCATTATGCATTATTATCTTGTTATGCACTCACAGATCCGGGAGCGCTGACATTGACTGACCACATTCGAAAAAACAATTGCGAGGCAGAGACACCAGCGCAGTTTTTCCTCCCAGCACCACGCTGGATATCTGAATTAGACTTGTCGCTGTACAATCACTCACAAAAATGATACCCTCAAAACCTCTGCCATACCCCGACTGCTGGGGTAGCGCAGATGACTATGTTTCCCATCTACTGGAATTTGCGACCACTTCAGAAATATTTCAGACACTTTGCGGTGGAGTGCATATCCTAGATTTCTTCACCAATGAACCTGGGCTTTTTCAACAAGTCGTACCACAGGACTGGCAAGAGTATCTTCTGCGGATAGATACCATGCGACTTCTGGATATTCTCATGAGAGATGACCTGGGCTCACTTTCAGACGCCGAAAGACCACCAGAGGGGCTGCTGCAGTATGTGAAGGATATTCGGAGGTTTAGCTTAGGCAGAAATTTCGCTGCAGGCGAGGAAAAACCACCGCAGCTGACGAGGTTTGTCTCCGTGGGGATGAAGCCCAAGAAGATCCACGAAGTCAGTCATTTCGCCAGATATGTGGAAAAATTCTCCGAAGACGTGGAAGACCTTACTGGCGAGGGCATCACACACTTTGTCGATTTCGGTAGCGGCCAGAACTATCTCGGGAGAGCACTGGCTAGTGACCCTTACAACAAGCACATCGTTGCGGTAGAAGGGCGCGAGCACAATATTGCTGGTGCCAAAGAGCTCGATATGCTAGCTCGGTTCGCCGAAAAGGAGAAAGTCATGCGGAACAAGAAGCTTTGGAACCAGAAAATGATCGGCAAAAAAGCTGAAGACGAAGTGGATGAGAGAATGCTGAAGAAAATGACTCTTGCGGCCAAAGCATCAGACAAAGTAGTAGACTTCCGCCCCACGCGTGAGCTTGAAGCCATATACAAACCAGAGGATGGAAAGGGTAACATTCGATATGTCTCAGGACGACTGGAATCTGGAGATTTGTCTGACGTGGTCACTCAGCTAGAGACTGCCCCGGATAAAGCGAACGATCTTCGTCTGATGGCTATATCAATCCATTCGTGCGGCAACTTGTCACACCACGGTATCCGATCTCTTATAATGAATCCAAGAGTGCGTGCAGTCGCAATCGTTGGGTGCTGCTATAACTTGATGACCGAGAAGTTGGGCCCACCGACATACAAGCACCCTTACATGCGGCCCAGTCTTCAGGCACTCAATGGCCGCGTGGAGCGAGAGTCCGCCAAATTCGATCCAGAGGGCTTCCCTATGAGCGAACGACTGAGCACATATAATGATGACGGAGTTCGGTTCAACATCACAGCTCGAATGATGGCGTGTCAGGCACCGCAAAACTGGGGCAAGGAAGACTCTGATGGTTTCTTCACTCGACATTTCTACCGCGCGGTTCTACAAAAGATCTTCCTCGACAAAGGCGTCATCCAGAAAATTTATCATAATGAGGGGGCTGAGGAGAGCAACTCTTCCAGCCCTTTTAACGTGGCTACCAACCCCGTGGTTTTAGGATCGCTATCAAAAAAGTGCTACTCTTCGCTTCGTTCTTATATCAGGGGGGCGGTGACAAAATTAACCACACACTCGGATTATCATGAGCAATGCGATGTCATCAAGGAGAAGATGGGCGACATGACCGATGAGGAGATCGCCAAGTACGAGGTTCTCTACCTGCATCGCAAGAGGGAACTAAGCGCTATCTGGAGCCTGATGGCCTTCAGTGCTGGTGTTGTGGAATCTTTGATAGCGACTGACCGATGGCTATATCTCAAACAGCATTCCGATCTCGTCCAAGATTGTTGGGTCGAGACTGTGTTTGACTTTCGGCAGAGTCCGCGAAATCTAGTCGTTGTTGGGGTGAAGAGACGTGACCAATGACAGACTATGCTCTTTGCAATATCTGCGCGATACCACTCAAGTATCTCATCGGCATGTCTTTTTATTCGCAGTGGATATCGGCTGCAGACCTGAAGAAAGCACCAGAAGTACTGGGAATTAGAGGCTAGGGTGTTGACTCCCGATCATCATGCAGGAATGGAGTTGGGTATCAGAACTATCCACTTCCCGATAGCCATGAGCTGGGAATGTCGTTATCTGGCGCCAGTCAGGCCAATTGTCTCTGTAGTTGTTGATTCTGCCTAAACAATTGGCCACTTGGTCGCCAGGCGCGGCTGGCGAACAAGTCCGCCGTGTAGGTAGCAGACTGGACACTAGGGCAATGAGGATGTCTTGCATGAACTTGCGTCAGGGTGGGTGCATTTGGCAGCAGCGAGCCGTTCATGGCTGTTATTTTCCAAAAGTCAACCAGTCCTGAAGGATGTTGGACGCCGGCGCCATGGTGAAATGCAGCATACCGAGATGTGTCTAAACGGCTTCGGGTCTAGCCGCGAGACAGGGGCAGATCTGGTAGTTAGGCGATCATAGTCGTCCCGTCTCCTGCAAGACCGTGCTCTCCATAACGCTGTTGTTCACAAGATCGTGAGGCAGACTAATGAGCAGCTGTATCCCACCCTGTCAATTTTCAACCACAATTAGTCACGTCGGCCGAACGACAGCCCTTCTGCAGTGCGCGAGTTTTCCGTTGAAATCAAAGATGACTACATCATCATCGTGGGGTGACAAGTATAGTGATCCACGCCAAGAGAAGTTGCAGCATCATGATAGAACCCTTGATACTCTCACATCAGTGCGCCTTTGACGCTGCATCTGCCATCGCAACGGCAGTATTTGACGAGGCGTGTCATTCCTTATTACTCTAGCTGTGCCATTGGAGGAATTGCCGTCTCGTTGCCGGAACAATGCCTTCGGCTGACGTGAACAGATATTCTTCATCATAAAATTTTTTTTTTGGCAATTCAGATGACCATGTGCAATAGTCATGTCAGCATGGCGCTCTGTGATGGCTGCTGGATTCCAGATTCGTGACAGCGCTACTGAAATAGCAGAGGCTGGTGGTCAGTGGATATGGAGCGGGATGCCTCACGGCGCCGTGGAGTCCAAGAAGCATTCAGGCTAGAGACGGTTCAAGGGCTCGGCAAACAGATGATACAGAATACGGGCTGGTCAGTTCTGCATCGAAGCTGGAAAACCAATATAATGGATCTGGGTCGTTATCTTGCACACAGCACATCATAGGTTTTAGTGCAAGGGACGTGTCTGCAAGATGTGCTGTTTTAGGTCAAAATGACGCCTTCGTAGTACAAGATTCAGCAGGAGGGTTCCTGTTGCATTGCATGCAAGGGAACGATCGAAGCGGGGTCATGGTGCAACAAGGTGTCGGGTACCATACAATAGTACGAAGTATAAGCGGGCGGCTCGAGGTGGAAAAGTGCGGGCCTCAATTGAAGCTGCAGCGCTGTCCACGTCCACGTCCATGTTCATGTCCACGTCTCCCCCAGGAGAACCCAACCTTGTGCGCAAGCGGAATGCAAAGCAAGCTTCAACCAGACAGATCATCTCGCGGGGGTCATCAATGCGTCGTCACAACTCATCATTGCAATTGACAGCTCTGGAAGATTGTGGTATTGTCCGATGTTCTCAATCTCCTCTCCCAATGGCCTTCTCATGACGTGTGTCTTCTATCACGCTATTGTCGAACGTGACAGAACTCTTCACGAATCATTTACCGTAGAGTCCACCCCGCCAAATGTACACCACTGGCCACACACATCATCCTGCAGATAATACATTGCTTGCTCCCCTATTACAACGCTGCAGGCTCCCCCACGTTCTTGGGTTACGCTCTGCTGCAGCTCGGACCATAACCTGCATCAATACGCTGCAAGTCTCCCCCAAAAACCAACTTGACCGCCCATGTCTGCTACCTTCTGCCCGCGATGCCACCCACGGCGCTTATGCTGGGCATGACGGTCGTTCACACGCCAGCGGAATACCCGTCTGGGACATCGACGAGTTTGTTGTTCTGGAGCTCAGGGACCACGCCCCGGGCAACCCAGGTTCTCGTGACGCACAGGGACCGCCTTTAATGTGAGCTATCTATATCAATTGAACGTATCCTCGCCACACCCGTCGGGCACATACATACACGCTTTCCATCTTCTACTCATCTTCTTTGTGTCGAGTCGGATTCGAGCCTGATGCCTCCATTGGGCACTCTGCAGCTGCATGGAATCTCTGCCGGCATCGATTAAAGACAGCAACCGCAGGAGGCCACACTTGGTGCATACCTAGGCTACATATTCCAACCTGTGCATTCGACACAGAGAACTACATTACAGAATCATTGCAAAGTCCATACCCTGCTATCGCCCCATCTAGCTGTGAGGTTGCACGCTGATGGCGCTATTCGCTCATGTATGGATGTAACGTCCAGTTGAAGTCAAACTCTTGCCCCATAAAGCGATCTTGTGCTAGCCTAGCCTCCTCGAATTCCCCCGACTCAAGTCCTATCATCCGGGCTTACAACATAACTCGTGAGCCTCTTACTAAAGCTTTTTGTTTTTCTGCTGCGCTGCCTCGGACACCTGATCGTTGCCAAGTCGCACCTTTTCTTCTCCCGTTCTGTTCTTGCAGAGTTACACAGAGCACATCAGCCTGGAATACAAAGACGACGACCAATGAACGACAATCCTCGGTCGAAGCGCCACAAGAGCCAAAATCACTGCGCCGGTACCGCTTTCGTCCGTGCTTTTTAAGGGTCCTTCCCCCTGCCCTGCGCTCAAAGACTCACGGAAAAGAACAACGGCCATCGCTGCTTTTATTTTTTGGGGTTTTTTTTTTTTTGTTTTTATTCTTTTTATTTTATTTTTCCTAATTCTTTTAGCGATGAGGAGGTTCGTTATTCACAATGAATACACCTAGTCAAATATCGTTTCTTGTAAGTCTCTAACCCATGTTGCATATGCTATGAAGATCGTCGGGATTGACATGAATTCAAACGTCAATGTCAACCCTGCAAGCGAGCAATGACTTGACTCTCATTGTCTATTTTGCGGGGCGCTTCAGTCGTGGAAACTGTAGCTCATTGTCTAAGCCACGCGATGACTAAAAGAACAACTGCTAATGCTTCTTCCACAGGACGGTACTTTCAGTCTTATACACATACCTCTCAGTCTATATGCGACATTCCTGCAACCGATCCTGCAGGTACTTTTGCCACAAGGGGATTGCGATCCAAACAACCTTGACGAAGCCATTGAGGGTTTGAGTATAGACAACAAGCATGGATTTCTCAATATAAGCATTACCCCGATCGAATGCTCTGTAGTATGTCACAACAACTGGGCGAAAAAGGTCTTTGAGCCGATCATAAAGAGACTGCCCAAAGATGCCTCAAAAACAGTCAGCATATCGAAGGACAGCTACCTGATCCTATCGGTTGAAAGCGCCGCCATGGATGCAGGAAGTAGGGTCATGGAGTTGACATCACCGCTGGCTCTTGCAGGAATTCCCATTTTCTTCATAACGACTTACTACTCCGACTTCATCCTTGTTCCGATGAAAGACCGTCAAACCGTGCAACAAGCTCTGCTTGCACGAGGCTTCGAGTTTTCTGACGAGTCAACTTTTGTCTCGCCTTCTGTGCATTCTAGAGGTCCTAGTGTCAGCAGTCGACCTCCGTCAACACCCCCGCCCTCAAATATTGCCGAGTTGCAAACGCGGACTTTTGAACTGCTAAAGAAGCGAAATGTCGTGCCTTATATCGAGGACGACTTGAGCTTGGTCCTTGTTTCTGGAAAGGAACATTCGAAAACTACTCAGATGAGCGATTACCGACGCCCGGCTCCCAGTCGTCAGCCTACCGGCAATGGCTACAACAACCGCAGGAGCTGGCTTGACAGTGTCGATACTAAGCTGTACACTAGCTTAATATCGGTGCTTGTATTACAGCCACGGTTCCTCTCCATGACTCTAGCCTTAGAAGACCCTCCGTCGCTGTTGTTGGATAAGCAACATCTTGGAGTTTTTGGCGACTCTGTTGTTGGAGATATGAGCGGGGACCTTGTTCCAATTTTTCTCGACCTGGAAAACCTAACGCTTGAAGCCACTGGTATTGTGTCGGGCGTTGCTGGTAAGCTCGTCTCTGAAATGCGGATGACGGACACTGGCGCCGGTGAGCAGCTGTCATATCTCTCGACCGCCAGAGCTGGTGCTGTTATCTTGTCGCATGACCAGAGCTTGAAGGCTCTGGAAGTTATGGAACCCCTTCTCGTCAAGGATTGACTGGCCGACCATGACGAACTGGAGTGTCCAACTAAGCGTGTGCCTTGGCCTCGAAGGATCTGGCCTCGGAGGACGATTGCTGCATAACAGAGCATGAAAAGTTTATCGTTCTATGGGTGACGGGAATGAGGCAAAAGCACAAGAGCAAAAAAGCGGTCTTGGGGATGTGGTCCTGCATACTAGCATTAGGGAACGGAGCAGTTGGCTATTGTGTTTCTAAAACTACCTCGCATGTTCTTGGAGCTAATGTAGCTGAGGACTGGCGTTTCAAGGTTTTTACATGGCATGTAATCTATAAGTAGCATCGAGATACCCAGCTTTGGCGCATGGTTTTCATGTCTGGGTGGCTTAGGCGAACTATGTTAATCTCCCTTCCTGCTCTACGAAATAAATGCAATTGTTTCTTTGAAAATCGGATTTTGTCAACCCAGCAAACAGTTAGTGATAAAGGTATCAAGAAATTTAACCTCGAATTATTCTCGATGCCCTTCGTGGTTATTTAGTCCACTTTTCACGTACTTCCTGCTCCTGCCCCGACTCTGCAGTATTTGTACAATCACCACGGAACGACGCGTGCAACCGAACAGCTCCCTGATTCTAATGTTGTATTCGGGAACTAATTACCAGGGGAAGAGTGAGCTGGTCTTGTATACCAGTGGTCCAATTATGGATCATGTCGCAACAACGCTACACCGCTTAAGTTGAAAAACATAGAACAACAAACGCAAAACAACATGAGCGGGATGATACGCCGGAATTTCTAGACTTGGGAGAATCGATTTTGGCGTAAATATCATACGAACAGATCTATAAAGTCGACCTTCATAGCAGCCGTTGTGAGGCGTCCCCTTGAATATGCACCTCGCGTCGCCTGCCGTTGTCAAGCACAGCACTGAAGCTTACGTAGATTTCACAAGCCATAAGTCCCAAGGTTCATCGCAGAACGCGCTTGTGAAGATACATAGAGATCCGATGTGGGTAATCAGTACTTGTACCGAGTCCCTATATTTTCTCCAGCCTTCTTTTATGCGAAATCGGGATAGCACATGAGTCTACGCCTAGAAACTAAGAAACGTGTGAATATATTGATTTGTGGAAAACAACAAGACCTTAGCACAGAACTTTTCAGCCTCGAGACTTTGCTATCCCCTTCATCAGACTTGTTTACGTATGTGGCTTTATCTGTCCGCTAGACGTTGGTTGGTGTTCAGCAAAAGGAATCTTGTGATTTTGCGAATTTTGAGAGATTGTCTCAGAACACCTACGTATTTTCAATGGTTCATACTTTATCCTCCGACTTCGTTTTCGATCTCATTATCGACGATGTGGGCTTTAGTGTAATTGTGATGAAAATAGGGAAAGAGAGCAGGGCATACCAGACGTGCTACCTTGGGAGTGACGAGCTCAGATACTTGCTAAAGCTACCTATTGGCATAAATGGTTCACGTCATCCACACTTTCTACTTCCGAGAGATATGTAGTCTAGAGTGCGTAATTCTGGTACGGCTCATCAGGACAACACTGTCATATGTTTGTGTTCATGTGGTGAATCACAATAGTGAAGTTTCATCCTTCTCGGAGATAATTTGGGAGGCGAGATGGGAACTTCAGAGAGACTCACTGCTTCTATTTGAAAATCATCATGTACCCCAGATGTGGAAGGATTTTGGAAGGGAATGGGGTCGAAAAGAGTAACAGAGGTGGTGAAGTGTGAAGTCGTAATCAGTTGGGGGTAAGATGTTGACAGGAAATCTGTGCTTCTTTCAAACGAAACTAGAAAGGAGTGTTTGTTGTTAGAAGTAAACAGTTGATTGGCTGGTCCCCATATGCAGCACAGGTCGAGACGCGGGTCCAGAAAGTACTGCCCGGAGCAGTGCACTGACAGGACGCGTTCAATATCAGGTATCCACCGATTGATTCAGCTGGATAAATGATGCTCTATGACATCTGATAGAGGAAAACAGATGGCTAACACCCTGCAAGCACTGATCAATTGTGTTAGTACACATATCGTTGCAGGATTCTCAGTTTAGAGCATTCGTGTGGCAGGTCTTCTCAGGTCACCAACAACCAGGGTTTGTAAGGTCATCATTATACTCAAGTACATCAGCCTGAATTTACATCATAGAGCCGAGTATAATAAATAAGTTAATAATTAGTAACTTACATGATAGAGTCAATAGCGCATGAGTGATCGCAGTACCGGATCAACAGGACAGATATGAATGATGATCATAATGACTATCTTTAAGATGAGTCCACGAGTTACTCACCGTTTTCATAATTGAGCATGACCCCTTGATATTTCCTGGTTTGGAGTGCGACACTCAAGGAGCACTCTTCATACAAAGTCTACATCTGCGGTTGAGAGGCGGGCCACCACCAGCTCACAAATCAGCTCAATAGGTTTTGGTTCGCAGTGTAAAGAACTAGCTGGAAGACATATTCTTTTGTCTTGTCATAGACTTATCGTTTCTGCTACCACGAAGAGGCTAATTTAACTTAAAAAGTGCCACAAGATTGAGAACGGATTGCTTCGTCATGGCTTCCCAGGGATCTAGCAAGGGATGACTATATCAGTGGAGTCGAATTACTGCCACCCATGCCACCTAATCTGCTGGACAATATGTTTCGTATATCGCAGAATTCGATTAAACCAGTAAATAAAGGCACGATAACACGATGTATGACCTAGTGGCATTGATATGTCACTCCCTATACCACGAGTGGATAATGTTATGACAGCCAGTTTCTCATGCTTTGTTAATTGAACATTTCCTCATTGCCGTACAAGACAGTCTAGTAATATTTCAAGACCAACTTGTTTCTATTCCGCAAAGAATACACAAATAGAAAGAAGAAACTTGGGTAACATGTATTAGAAACTCTTAAATACAGCTTCGGGAAGGAACTGCTCTCTTCATGCTAAACCTCATCAACATAGCGATCCTGAGACGGTCCCCTGAGCAGAAAATTTGCAATCTGGCCACCGTTTCCACGAACTCCCGAATATACTCACAAACTGGTGATTTCGAATAAGTTGTTGGTCAATCCTGAGGTATTTCTATTATTCCCTTAGCTAAGATTCGTGCCATTCATGGTCAACTGGGATCGAGGACCACGAAACATCGTGGCGCTCATGACTCCTTGCAGCTCTTACAAGTTAATGTAGTTATCGATCTGTCAAGCTTCACTACACAGAGTTGATATTGGACTGTTCTTGAAATCGCTTGTTGGCCCTGGCTGTTCTGGGGCCTCCAATATGAGCTTTGTGGCCGTGAATAATGTAGACAGAGTGTGAAGCGAGTAGGTTGTTCACGGTTAGACACTTTTTGGAAAGTAATTACACCAATGCGTTGACATATGAAGCTCACGGATGTTAGTGAAAGCACGAGCTACAACCCAGGGAATTCAGCGATCAGACGGTAATTAGAATTGATTGTGCTTGGGGTTTAAGCGACTGTTCAGTTGACAGCCTCACATCGCAACAGCCCCCCCAACATATCCTACACAAACAAGCACGCTGATATCGGTCCTTCTATGGAGCTTCTGACAGCGTTACTGAGGATGTTGGTTGGCCCTCAATATGGAGCCGTTTGTTATCTCGGGTATCATGTGGTGAGCCTGGCCGCTTCCTTTCATTATCTCGGTGGCCACCTTCCTTGTCCGTCCTTGCTGCCTCTTTTGCCTGGGCTGCACGTCGTGCTTCTCTTTCCTGCCTCTCCTTCCTCTCCTTCTCCTTACGGAGCGCCTTTGATTCGAACTCATGCCAGTCGCCTTGGATATCAGCAAGCCTACGAATTGGTTAGTATACACACATATGTAGGAAATATTAATATCGTATCACTTACTCAACAGCCTGTCGAGGCGGGGGGTGCTCCGTCGTGAAGTAAGGATGTTGCAGGACCTCAGCAGCAGAAGGACGTTTGACAGGATCGTATTGAAACATGGATGCCAAGAGCTCGAAAGCAGAGGCCGGAATTTTCTCCTTGTACTTTTCTGCGAAGATGTTTGGTTTGCGATAGCTGGGCCTGAGAAGTTCGAACCATTCCATCTTGATAAGATCAGGCCATTCAACCTTATTTGGCGTGCCCAAGATAGCATAGATCTTGTCTAGCTGGTTGGTTTCCGTTCCATCGCCGGGAAAGATAGCATGTCGGGTAAAAATTTCAACCATGACACAGGCAGCGCTCCAGACGTCAACCGCAGCAGTATACTGCGTCTCTCCAAGGAGTAGTTCTGGTGACCGATACCAGATGGTGATGACGCGATTAGTGTAGTCGTTATTGTGGTGTTTTTCATAGAACCGGGCCAAGCCAAAGTCCGCCAGCTTCATTATACCATCGCTGCTCACAAGAATGTTCGCAGCTTTGATATCTCTATGAAGTACCCCGCGAGTATGTAGGTAATCCAAGCCTCCAAAAAGTTGCTTGGCCAGGTGTTTCCTCTGGGCAGCATCCAGGGTGAATGAGGGATGATTCAGCAGCCCAGTAAGATCGTGGGAAAGATATTCAAACACCATATAACAAGCATCCTGCTCAATCATGACTTCTTGCAATGCAACGATGTTGTCGTGCCGTAGTGATTGGAGTAGCTTAATTTCTCTGACCGCAGTGACGGGGAAGCCGTCCTTCTCTCCCTCCATGCGTATTTTCTTCAGGGCCACCAATCGTCCACTATAGACGTGCTCACCCTTGAAGACCTTTCCATATGTTCCGGAGCCGATCACTGATTCATTACCCGGTTTTCGGTAGAACGGTGATTCGGATAGAGCAAGATGCTCAGGAAGTGTTGGTTTGGGTTTGAGTCGCCGTTCGATTTTCTTGACCTTTCGCGTCCGTGGGGGCCTGGGAGCTTTAGGCAGTTCAGGTTGCCGCGGGCCTCTTGGAGGATCTGGCTGTCTTGGCCCTCGGGTATTATCAGGCTGTCGTGGCCCCCTCGGAGGCTCCCCGGAAGGCTCAGGTCCTCGCCGCCTACTGTGATGGTCGGGTTCGTGTCGTGCCCTAGACGACGCTGGCCCGGTAGGAACATCTTTGGGCAGGTCTCGTTCTCTGTTACTCCGATCATCGACAGGCTGCGGCGCTTCCCTTCGCGGAGGAACGGCACTAAACTTCTGCGATATCTCCGGCTTAGGGGCGGCAACAGGAGCTTTCGACGTAGCTTTGAAGGAAAAGCTAATCCTCGGGCCTGTAGGGGCTTGTGCTGCCGGACCAGTGGGGGGAGCACGAACAAGAGGCTGTAACTGGTCATCGTCCTTTTGTTCTTCATTTGCCTCATCCATTTGGGGCTCATCCTGCGATCTCAAGGCACCATGATGGTCATCATCCATGTGGGACTCTCCCTGCGATCTGAAAGTACCGTCATGATCATCCATACGGGACTCTTCCTGCGATCTGAAAGTATCATGATCATCCATGTGGGACTCTTCCTGCGATCTGAAAGTATCATGACGATCATCATCCATATGGGACTCTTCCCGTGATCTGAAAACATCCTCATGATGGTCACCATCATCAGGAGCGTCACTGCCTGTGAGCTGTACCGCATCGAAGTGATGCGACACCGAGAACGGGTTGGGAGTGTTCTCACCAGAACGGGCAGGATTGATCCTGTCAGCAGCTGGCCCAGTTGGGGGGTTGAAGCCACCGCTTCGAGGATCAGGTTTTGCTGAGCTGAAGCTGCCACCACGGAACCCACTCCGTGAAAACCCTCGACCGGCGTTGGCAGGACCTGTGGGAGCACGGGGTGGCGATTGGCCAAGTTGAGCCCGAGGTCCAGAAGGAGGTGCATTCTGAGGTGAGAATTGGTGGTGAGAGTTTCTTTCTCCTTGTCCTGCTATTCTATGTGGCGAGTCGGCGCCGGGGGATTCATGTCGTGACGAAACTCCGTGCGGAGGCGAGGGGTCATGACGAGAGTCATAGGGACGTTTCGATTGGAAAGGAGGGGAAGCTTGAGATGTAAAAGTGCTTCGGACGTCACCTCTCCTGCTAAAATTGACTTCGATACTATTGGCACCTGACGAAGGCTGGCCTCGCTTTACAGGACGAGCATCGTCACGACGCTTCTTCTTATTGCGAGACGCCGAGGGTCCTGTAGGTGGTGCCCTGTCCATGCGTGGGGACCGAGGCGGGCGGGCTGCGAAGGATGGGTCAAGAGATGGTGAAGAGCGGCGTGAGTACGAGCCAGTTTCGGAACGAGGTGGGGGATGAGAATGGGGATGGGGAGAATGACCACGAGATAGGAGCGAATGACGAGAGCCTGGTCTTGGTGAGCGGGAGCGTTCACTCAATAGGGAACCTCGTCTGGGACGTGCAAGTGGCGACTGATTCCTTTCGGAGCCAGCCTCGCGTGCAAAATGAGGGGACCGGCTGCGATCCCTTAACGGTTCAGCGTCAAACGAATCAAATCTTTCCGATCGATGCTGACTCCGGTATGGCGAAGGTGAGCGCCGATGTGGTGATGACTGGCGCCCACGGTTTCTCCTTGCACGGCGCTTTTCCCGCTCCCTCTCACGTTTGGACTTTTTGCTGCCACGATGCGGGTTCAGACCTGGGCTGGGACTTCTGCGTCTCTTACCCGGTGAAGCTGGCGAACGCGATCTATGGCGAGGCCCTTTTGGAATGTCGTCTCTGTCTCGAAAATCGTCGCGCCTTGAGTCGCGAGGGTAATCACGGTCTCTGAAGGCTTCATGTCGTCTTGGTGCAGGCGACGTAGAATGTAATCTGTCGTGTGAAGTTTGTGGCTGCATGCCAGAATCTCGGTCTCGACCTGAGCGACCTCGCTCCCCACGGTGGTTATCGTCGTCGCGATTCATGGCAACATTACGGGCGCGCTCGTCAAGTCGCCGAGGATGGCTGTGGCGGGTTCGTGGGTGGAATGAAGCTGGGTGGTCATGTGTAGGACCTCGTCGAGATTCCTGGTCTCTATCGGCGAAGCTCATACTGAAGAGCGCGCTGCAGCTTGGGCGAGCGCAGTACAATACAGCGCAGCGCAGTGCAATGCAGCACGGAGTCGGGATTTTTGGTGCTAGCGAAGACGGTAACCTAGCCGACTGACATGGGTGCGCCTCCCATGCTGGTTTCTGAATGCACTCGGTAGAATGCCCTGCGATCAAGCACGCACCGGCCTTCAGTATTTGTTGTCGGCTGAAGAATGTGAACGTCGGACGCCGAGATGTATATTGTGTGGTTTCAGTGGCTGCTCCTGTTGTCCGTTCTTTCGTGGTTTTAGTCGCTGGGGCAAGTAAGGTTCAATAGGTGACATGTCGAGCACGCGGGTGGTAGGCATGTGGTCCGTGGTCCCTTTGCTGCTAAGATAGTTCCACCACCACAGCTTCAAAGTTGCTGCTTGGCTCTGTGGTAGTCCCCTGTTGTCGACGATGGGCGACGGCAGATCGACCCTTCAGTGGCTGTCGCCCAGTATTGCGGTCGATCCAGAGAAAATACCGTCAAATCCAAGCAGAATTCAAGTCCAATCAAAGTAGAACTCAAGCATGCCCAGAGCTCTTAAGGTTGCAGGATGGATACTGCTACTGCAACAACAGCAGCAGCAACTGCAGTGGGGGACGATGGGAACCTCTTAAGGCTTTCCTAGCAACGTCCCGCAGTTGCTCGCCTTTTGGCCAGCACAGCTGCGACTCAAGCAGCAACACAAAGAGGCTATCTATGAAAATGTTTTATCGAAACTCCATGCTCGTCTAATCCCGCCCAACAATCCAGTCATCTGGCCATCCGGTCATCCCATCACCCCAGAACAGACTAGGTGCATGTATCCCGAGTGGCAGAGCCTGACATGCAATAGCTGAAGGGTTGTACTGTTACAAATCTGCGTGGACAACCACTCCAGGAATTCAGAGCCAGCCTCATGCGACCCACAACAGGGCTTTCTCTACAACGAGACAAGCCAGTTGCGTAGACATGACCATTAGGTTTGGCGCGATTCCGAGTAGATTAGCATCCCTTGCAACTCGAGAGGAGAAGTACACGTAGACGAATAATTGGCTGGCACGGCACTCAGAGAGGCAGGCTTTCATCCGGATTAACCTTGGGCGAATGCAGGACTATGGGGAGTAGCAGTATTGTAACAACCACGGCCCAGTCGTGTTGGAGAGTGTCAAATGAACGCTCCACAACCAACGCGGCAGAAGTCAAATTAGCAGAAGCAAGAGCGAATAATGCCTTAACCTCCAGAGATCGTTCCGATATCGAACAAGTACTGCTGGTTGGTCCGAATCATAAGAGTAACTTGAGGCACAAGAACACCAAAGAGCCAAGCTGCGCCTATCGCCAGCTTGGAATCGGATGGTTGCTGATCCAATGAAGAAACAGCCATTTCGTCGTCCGTGTTAGACAGTCAACTGCTTTACCGATCAACTTGTTTCCATGTGGTCAAAAGTTGCTGGGCGACCTGATGCAGATTAAGGGACACGAGAGAGACTATCACGCAGTCCAGTCCAGAAGCTCCGGCGACACCTCGTCCCCGCGTCGTAGATATTCGGTATGCAGCCATTTGTCGCCCGTGTTTGCCGTGGATGTTTGGCGGTACTGGAGTAGCTTAACTGCCTTCGTTTGCGATAGAGTCTATATTATTGTCCGAGATTGTTTCGTGATACTCAGGGTATATGTTTAGGCCATGACGTGCGGAAATGCGCAGTACAACTCGAGAAAGAAAGAGCTCCAGGCATTTGGGCGGGGTTGCGGCTGTGGATGCTGGACGCGGGAGACACCACAGTGACGCTACGGATTATTGTTTATGCAGTCGTTGTGTAGAAGAGAAGTTGATGCTATGCTATGACGGCTTGCTGAATCACCCAAAGTGTCGGTCGGTCGGCCGTGATGAAGCATGGTGGTGTGGTGATGCGGAAATCCAGGTCTGGTCACCCTTAGCACCGTGGTCTCATCCGAAGCTTGCTTGCCCATCAAGCGTACGTCGCTCTTCATGTATGACAGTAAGCTTGGGAATCGTGGCGGAACGTTTCTACGTGTCGCATCGCGTGCACTCTGACCGTGAATGCGCGTTTGAAGCAGGGACTTGTAGTAGAGATGGTGTTGATGGACATAAGTGTGGAGTTGGAGACTCTGGCTGTGAGCTGGGCCGTCAGTTTGCGAGTTACTGGAGGGAACATGACCAACGCAAATGCACGTGCACGTGCACTCGCCTGTGTTTTCTTCAGCAAACTGGGCCATTTGTTGGTGCTGTGCGCTAAAGCTGAAAATTGAAACTCAAAATGGAAAGATAAATAAATAGATATCAATTTTATTTTTATTTTTATTTTTACAAGGAGTACAACTACAGAGTATGAATACCTTGACCCTCCGACTGTTGCACCCTGACCGCCTGCTAAACCATCAAGTGAAGTCGTTAAATGCTGATTAAATCAGAGGTGTTATGATATCACAGCTTAGATCAATCGATGTCTGTCTGGGTGCTTTGCAGGGCGGTAGCCCATAAACTATGCCGCACAGCAATTAACGTAGGTGCCTAACCTAGGCATTTAGTGTGGTGTGGGTATGAATAGGCTCGACACAACCAGCCTCTACCTCTCGGTGTCGTTTGTCTTGGATTTTCATAGTTGAAGAGGGAAATCATAGTCTACGTTAGGTTCTTTGTAGTTCTTCTTCTTGTCTTTACCTCTTTCCTCCATTGGACATGCGACAAGCTCTGGTTTTGCCTGACCCTAGTTCGGACACATCCTTTGTGTCGCCCAACCTACAGTAATAGCTCATTAGACTCGATTGTGAAAGTGCATAGGCTGTTCTCCCGGGCTATTGCACTATCAGCATTAGACACAGCCTGTCATGGTGTGTGTGTCATTTGCCCCATGGTTAATGTTTGATAGGCTATTCCCACTTCGTGCTATTCATAACTTGTTATATTCACTTTGTATTACTCAATTGTGCACGATGACCCCCTGTTGTGTATGTCTTACAGGAACTCTGGTGCGGCATGCTATGCCATGGAGTAGGTCTATCTAAAAGACGTGATCTAGACATGTTACGTCTGTTTATTCGTCCTAGTATGGATATAGTCAGCAATCCGGATAATGAAGAATGCGATCATATCGCAATTCATTATTTCGCTCTTACTGCTAGTATGATCTATCACTTATACGCGAGAAGTGAAACATAGTGTTGACACATAGAGTATTAGTTTCTTTAATGTCGAATTATCGTTTAGTCGTCCCATTTTCTCATTAGCATGTCGCAATGGGCAAACCGGGCGGCGGCTAAGACGATCTAAGATAATGCAATATCGTGACTCATAGCTCGCCCTGAACTCAAGACGTATCTTATGGAATAAAAGGGTTGGTCTGGCGGGTCAACTGGCAAACGGAAAGCGGTAGAACCGAGAAACTTAAATCAACATGAAATATGTTTTCTTCTTTGGGGGAGGCAGTCGGCTACAAAACTCAGCAACGTAAAACTTCGTCCAGATCTCACATTTACTATAAAACAGCGATACTGGCCATAACAAAGTCTGAGGTTCTGCTCATCACGGATCCAGCCGTATACCGGCTCTTCAGGGCATAGGGGTTTGACCAGAAAATATAGTGTTGCATATTTTGCTATTGTAGAGTAGAAAATGTAATATTACTGACAAGCGGGAGGTAGATGCTAAAGTTGTTGCACCTATAAACCCAGCCCGCAAAAGTTCCACTATCATCAACATATAGCGGTGATAAGAAGCCCATGGGAGTAAGTGAGGATCTGCAATGATCAAGGAGAAAGTCGAGTTCGTATTTTAGGGTAAAATGTGCGATTTGGTTATGCTAATGATAGCAACGAATTCATCTCACAGGACCACTTTATCACCAATGCTTGGCTGAGTATAGGTGTGGCTAGATGTGCTATTTGTTGATAGTGCTAGTATCGTGACGTGATTCATGGAATCAAATACTTTGCTTCGGTTACGGCATGACTCCATGTGCATTTCGTGTAGTCCATTGCTAGCGATACAATAGCCAAGCTTACAAGGACTTTGATGATGGTATCAGTCAAACGTATACAAGAGTGCGCGAGTGACCAGGAAGGCTTGACTTCAGTATCGATTGTAGCGCTTTCTACGCCGTAACTTCTCCAATTACATTTGCGGTCAATGTATTTAATCGTAGATACGATCAATCCAATAATTTCGGTTTACGCGGTTATCTGGATTCGTCACATACTTGTAATGAGAACTTCCGAGCTGCCTAAATTATATCGCTGGATGTTCTGTTTCCGATGTATTTTGCTAAAGATGTCAGTTCATCCAAAATTTTCATGTAAACCTAGCCTGTGGGATGTCTATTTTCATCCATCCGATGCAGTTACAGACGTTCCTTCGAGCTGCCTCTTTCGTCACACTCTCGCGAATGCCGTTTGTGCATTCGTCTCATCAAAGTCTGAGGGCTTCTTCGGATCGTTTATTCGACATGGCAAGAATGCTGGCAGCTCGGAGACTTGAATTGGTGGTGTGCAATCAATCTGCCGCACTGCCGATGAGACCGGACGTCTTGTTTCATCCCGTGCGTTACTCACCGGTAAGAACCGAGTATATATTGGAAAGACCCACACCATGACTCGGAGCCAACTTACGGAGAATAAATTTGACAAGCAGCGTTCTAGGGCAGTTGACAGCGGCTTGATAGATTGTAAGGTTATCTGTAGTCATAATCTGTTGCCCCGAACAAACTAATAATCTGCAGTCATATTGGATGATGCAATACCCCCATCACGCAATGAAGACATGGGCTATGCATATTGGGGTTGCCTCGTCAATAAATAGTCTTAGTAGTTTAGATGATGTCTAAGCACACCAGTGTTTTCTAGAAGCATATATGGCTTGGATAGTAGACCAAATGGGATATGTTAGATGATACGTCGAAAAAGTCTTCTCACCTCGCTGTATCTAACCTAGAATATTGGCAACCGAATTTCTGAGCTTGGAGCTACTAAACTTCTGTGATAACGTCCGGGCACGACTTTGCAATAGATGTGCGTCTGGCGTCACGAACTTTCTTGTTTAAAGCATGATGAAAGTCAAAGGCGCAGTCAACCTTATCGTAACACTCGGAGAATATTGTAGTCAAAATCTCCAGCGAGAGGCTGGAAGCGATGGGCCACTTACTGAGCTGTTGGTTGACCTGTAAGATTCACCCTTCATTTCGGATCGACAAGCTTCCTACCTACTTTGCACGTAGAGACAAGCTTTGATGCCGCAGGAGCCATGCGAGGAGTGCGAAGCTGCGAACGGCAAAGGTGAGTTTGCGTCAAGGCCCAGGATCTAGCGGATCCTGGTTAACAGGCCCATGAAAAGTTGCCTCTGCACTTGCTTAGTAGGCTGTCGACATGAAGGATCACTGTGATATCACTGGTCCCAGAGCCCGGCCTCAATATCTGCAAGGCTTTGGCGGTTTGTATGGTGTGAGTGGATTCTAGAACACTCACGTACACCCTGGTTCTGTCTCATCCACCAGACCAACTAGAACAATTCCAGAGCTCAAAGTTTGAGGCCTTGAGCCGAAAGTCACCCTAAGATCTGAACGTTTGGCCCTGCAGGCCGGCGATGACCTCTCCCGAGGCCTGGAGTTTGTCGTCATTGTGACATATCGATGCATACAACCAGAATTGTTTTCGAAAATTCCAAGTAAATATGTCTTTCTTTGTAACCAGGCAGACTTAACGCTATGAATTCGGTTATAAGAACTGCTGGTGCAATTGGAATCATTCATCTGAAGAACTGAAGGTGTTCGTACCTTTGCAAGGGATCTCTGCGCCACTCTCACAATACCGTCCGAGCACTTTATGCTGTTGACACTTTTTGCGCATCAGGAGGCAACCCATTTGGAGTGGACCAGACGAACCAATACCCGACTCCCGACAGGGGGAAGGTTTCTTCCCCATCCATCGGTGCATAATTTTGTAGGACAAATGTCCGCCACCAACAGCAGATAGGGCAGTTTCTCTGACAGCTTACAGGCTTCTTCGTCTGGTATTCACGGACCATGACGACGACCGCGGTTTAGTTGCAAGCGATACGGCGAGCTAGATGATATTTCAAATAATAAAGCCAGTGGTTGGTGTTGATAGTGGCACCTCGTAGCTTCCACTGTTTCGAAGCATTTCTGTATGTGGATTTGCAACATGCGATTGGATATCGCATAGCTAGAATCAATCACACATGGCTGCATTACTCCTCAAGCGACTGGCTGTCCCATAGTGAGTTATTAATGTGCGGTTTCGTTCCTTTCTGTTGAAGGTCACATGCCGTCATTGTGTAAGGGGGCCATGGCCGTTGTGGGCTGCAGATTGAGGCTTGCTATGTATCTAGTAGTTGCATGCCACTGCACGTTGACTGTTGAAGATGTGAAAGTTAAAGTTAGTCTAAGCCCGGATACGGCACGAGAGGCGGGCATGCGGGCGCAAGATGCCCTTGCTGGACCTTGCAGATTGAACCCTGACGGCTCAGGGGTCTGTATCTCGGGACGTTTGAAGGTTGTTCGGACGCGGGGGTGCTAGGCTATAATTGGTATAGTACCGCCCCTTGGGGCTCAACTCTCAACCTTATTGTCGTAGTTGCAGCTGCACGACGAAACCACAACGTGTTCCAGCTCTGCTTCAACCCCATCGCCACACAATGCTTCAAGACGCGTTGTGCTCGGGCTAGCTATCACATCACCACCTCACTGCTGCTCTAGGCCACCAACCCAATGCCATCTCGCCAGGGTTCGCGCCATCCACACGGCAGAAGCGGGTGTACTCATGTCCCACTTAATCGCAAGTGCAAGCAAGTTTAGTTGAAGATACCTGAAATTGGCTTGCTTGCAACTGTCCATGGGTCATGGCAGACAGAATCATACCAGTTATCGCTATTTTGGGTCTCCCTGAAACCTGCATCCAATGGCTATCTAGCACTCGAGCTTGTCCATGTCTTTCTACTCCGCTTACCATACCACATAAACGCTGCACCCATGATGACCTGCAGGCCTAGCTCGATATCGAAGCCGGACCTCTTCGAGCCCGCGCGGGGGCCACCATCATAGGTGACATTTCTGCACGTCGGATCTGGAATATCATCTCTACGACCACCAGCTTTCATGCGTTCTCTTGGTTCTTCCCGCTTCCTCTGGATCAGGACTGCGGCCTGGTGCGTTGCTTTCCATCGCTAATCCCAGTACCCCAGTGGTCACTGTGTCTTTCGTTTCCGACTGTAGATTATTCTTTTCCATACTGCGGGTTCAGGGTCTGTTTCGTCTGGTCTGTGATCTGGTATCTGACGTGACCAATCTATCTTCTCTTTCCATCTCATTATCTTGACTTCCTCTTTCCCCCCATTCTCCACCATACAATATCTCAGTAATCGATTCGATCGCTACAACCAGCCATCTATGGACTAGATGATCACGACCCAAAGACAAGCATAGGCATTCGCCATTGCCTAGAGTTCACTACCAGCAGAGATGTCCGGATCTTCGAGTATTGGCAGCGGCTACTCTGCCAACAGCGCCTATGGCATGAATATGAGCATGGCGAACAGCTCTGCAGGAGTCCTACAGGCATCGAGCAGCAACTCGACTTATGCAGTGATCAACCAGCTCAAGTTTTTGGCCGCGAAATCAATACGATCGTCCGCAATCATCCTCGCTGTGTTCAACACAATCGCAGCTTTCGCCACAGCGATGGGTATCCTATATGATTGTTACCAGAGAGCCAAGAGGAACAGCCCAAGAGGTCAGAAGTGAGTTGCTCCAAGTTCTGGACTCGATACATAAAACTGACAAAGGCTACAGAGTGTCTCTACTTACTTGTGTCAAGGGTGCAGAGACATATCCATTCTTCTTGTCATTGGCCATCGTGATTCAAGGCATAATCTTCGCAGTATCTCAGTCAAGAGGACTAGACGGGCTCTTCGCTAAGGGATGCGCTCTGATCTCGCAGTTCATGCTGCCAGGTACGTTGTCTGGTCATAAAGTCTTGTGGATAACACTGCTAACTCACCGACAGCGGTCTTCATCGTACCGTTCCTCCAACTCATATTCGGCATCGAGCTTACTCTTCGTGGCTTTCGAAGGATACCGTTTCCCAGCAGGGGACATTGGACCGTGGCCATCTGTTTAGCTGTGTGGTCAACGCTCCTCGTAATTACTGGTCTGGTCACCTTTTTTATCCCATCCGCGGATTTCTGCTTTGCATCTCTGTTTTGGTTCGTTGCGAAGTGGGCAGAAGGCGGTTTTGCACTGTTCACAGTCATTTCTGTTGTCCTTGTAGGATGTGTCATCACGGTTTTCTTGAAGTTAACCAGGCATTCCACTATCGAGACAAGCACTAGAGTTGAAGCTTCGCGAATGGTCTACTTCCTTTCCGTAGCCATTGTTTCTAACGTGAGTTTTCACTCTTGAAGCGGCTATTCCTACTTGCTAATGATCTTCAGGTGTTCTTGGTGCCATTTTTTGCCTATCTCACCTTTAGCAATCCGAATGATAACGACGGAAACAATGGCCTTACACTGTCCATGATTGCCCAAGTAGTGGCAAATGTATCTGGGCTAATGAACGGTGGCCTTCACCTTTGCTTCAGAGCTAATATCATATCTACTATTGCGCCTAAAGACAAGCTTGCCGAATATGAAAGACAACAATTAAAACACAAAATTCGGAAGGCAGACCCAGGATACGACTTTTCCAGTATCGCGCTACAACCAGTCAGCTCCCCAAAGACCTTGCAAAGGGTAGACAGCGAAGAGACCCTGGTAAAACGATACGAAAAGGACGAAGAAGCATTGATCGAGTCTCCTTCCACAAAAGCATATGAATACAGCCCGACGCCTTTGAGATCGAATGGCGTATTTCCAACTATTTCAATACCACGTGCACCGGAACCTGCTGAGTTACCAAATGCCACTCCCTCAATAAGCTTTCCTAAGCGACGACCTTCCACGTCGTACTCGTTGTTTCCCAACCAAAACATCGCCAACACCCAATCGATTACAATACTGCCACCCACAACTTACTCGCCTGTTGAGAACAACAATAACAGTCTGTTTGATGATTTCAACAGTCTGAAGCCGCCGCCTTCCATCAAGAGTCGCCACCTGCGAAACTCGTCCCTTGTTTCGTCGGCTACGGTCCAGATCGGCCTCCGCTTCTCCAACGTCGCGGACATGCCGCCAATGGCAGCCTCGAACGTAAAAAATGCCGAGAGAGTGCATAATCTGGACTGCCCAAAGGCTATTCGGCCAACTCCGATGGCATCGTTCTCGCCAGCAAGTGAGCCCGTCTCGCCTTTCGAGCCCTCCAGCCCCATCAGCCAAGTCAGCTCACGGGATCCTGTCAAGAATGCAAGGATGAAGACCTTGCCACCAGTCCCACGCCAAGTCACTCTTATGCAGGAAACACCATTGGCACCGGAGGACGAAGAGGGATCCCTCACCTTGAGCTCTGCAGTATACAGACCGGAGAGCCCCACCAAGAAGGTGCCCAGTCCCAAGGGAGTTGGATTTCAGTTTCCACCCCCCAAGCGGGTGAACACCACCCCTGTTCAAAACTCGTCAAGAACCGCCCCTCCTCGGAGTCGTGGCAACTCCGATGCTGCACAGAGCAGAGGTGACTGGATCTAAAAGAGTGTTTGCTGTCATTATACCATTTCATTTCGTTTTATAAAAGCGGAGTTGTACGGGGGATCTCATGATACCTGGCAAGTCTTGCTATTTTCATTAGGTTTATATATACTCTCAATATCCAGTAGGGAGCTGGGATTGCACAGCTGCTTATTGCTGCATGACCTGGGGTGGTGTCGAAGAAGGAAGCAAAGAGTTTCCAGTACTTCCTTATGTCACTCTCGTGGGTTGTTATATACATGTGTACAGTTGGAACCTCATAAAAGGGCCGGGTGGTCATTGAGCTACATAGGGACGAGGATATGATTGAATGTCGGTGCTAGGAATGATATCTTCAAGCAGGGGATGGGGCGGGAAATCGATAGGATGACACATTGGTCTATGATGCCATCAGAACAGCTAGAAAATGAAGAAGAATCAGTCACCAGCTATTATCGCATATCTCAAGTCGTGCTATTAACACCGAGTTCTTTGATCCAAAGTCTGGAACAATTAGATGAACAAAGATATTGGTTCACTACCGTGGTATCAACTTGCAACGCGACGACCTAACCCCGACGCTGCCCACACAGATAGCTGTAAGATTTGGTTATATCTGCTCATTTTCATGTAGTTCCTGTGGTCAAACCCAGATGCTGGCCGTTCCACAATCTCGACCATACAACGCTAATCGCATCTAATTACCATCCAGAAGCTTCCACTTACCACTCAAGTTGCCCAAACCAAAGTTCGCAGCCCCGTCGACTAAATACTTCCCAGACATAAAATGACTAATAACAAGTCCAGTACTGTGTGAAAATAACAACTCATTACCGTGAGCAGTTATGGGGCAACCACTTTATGCAATAGCCTTCAGTGGAACAGAGGATAGCTCTGTTCCTCACCGTTACATCACACTTCATATCAATAGACTGCTATTGATCACCATACGTGACGTATCTATCTCCATCCAGCATTGCTACCGTTTAGTTGTGCGTATACTGTATGAGCAAAGGTGTCTGCGTCCCGGATAACTTAGGATAACCAAGCGTGTGATTCAACCCATTCTGTCCCACGCTTCTTGAACCACCCTACAACAATACAAGGGCTTTCGTCTGCGCATGATACAATTATTTACAGGGAGGTAAATCCTATGCAAGTTATAGAGCCGCAGATTGTCACCACCTTGTAACTGGCATTGCTTTAAGAGATACAGTATGGTGTACATTGAATTAATCTGAATATACGTATACTTATTGTGCACAAAGCAAGTAAGAGATATTCATGGCGCGGATAATGCAATAAAATTGATAGCACAAACAAGGCCCATTGAAGCCGCTATTTCAAGTTCAGCTCCTACTCCCGAGACTCGTCTATGTTGCCCCTTTCCTCACGTTTGTATACAAGCACCTCAAAACGGCTTACTCGTCCAGAACGGCAGCAAACTTGTCGAGCAATTCTTGTTGAATCGCCTCGTACTTCTTACACACAGCCTCCTCGCCGTCGTTAGGCTCCTCGAACTTCAATGCCCTCAACTTGGCTTGGATGTCGCTTGTGGCGTCACGGACCTTGTTCCAGTTCTGGCCCTGAGCAATAGCCTTTTGTGCCTCGTCGTGGAAGCCCATCATGAGCTTCATCATCCACTCAGTCTTCCAGATAGGGCAGAACTGATCATAGGTGGAGTAACCGTTCTGCTGCAAGAAGTCTTCCTTGAGTAGAGTGGCCAAGTCTAGAGTAATCTTGTCGGGGTCTGACAGGGCGGACTTTCCGACCAGCTGTACGACCTGGTCCAATTCTTCCGAGTCGGAAAGCAGCTGCTTGATGCGGTCACGCAGCCTGGGAAATTCGGGGTAGTCCTTCTCATACCATTTGTCTAGGACAGTGTTGTACTTGCTGTACGACAGTGAAGTGTTGATCGAAGGGAAATGCTTTCGCTGGGCTAGCTTCTTGTCGAGACCCCAGAAGACTTGCACAATACCAAGTGTCGAAGATGTGACGGGATCAGAGAAATCACCACCGGGAGGGCTGACGGCACCGACAATGCTGACACTTCCCTCACGCTCGGGGGAGCCAAGAGCTTGAACCTTTCCTGCACGCTCGTAGAAACTGGCCAGCTTAGCACCGAGATAAGCAGGGAAACCCTGATCAGCAGGCATTTCACCGAGACGACCAGAAATCTCACGGAGAGCCTCGGCCCATCGCGACGTAGAGTCAGCCATCATGGCGACGTTCATCCCCTGATCTCTGAAGTACTCGGCCACTGTGATACCAGTGTAGATAGAAGCCTCTCGGGCAGCGACGGGCATGTTGGATGTGTTGGCAATGAGGGTTGTTCGCTTCATGATAGGCTCCTTGCGGCCCTCGACCTCGATGGACAGCTCGGGGAAATCCTTCAAAACTTCAGCCATCTCGTTACCTCGCTCACCACATCCTACGTAAACAATGACATCGCTGTTGGAGAACTTGGAGACGGACTGAGAAATGACGGTCTTGCCACAACCGAAAGCACCGGGGATGGCGACGGTACCACCCTGGACACTGGGGAAGAGGGCATCCAAGACTCTTTGACCGACGATGAAGGGCTTGTCGGCCGATAGCTTCTCGGTGGTCGGCCTGGGCACACGGACGGGCCAGGTTTGCATCATGCCATACTCGGTCTTGGCGCCGTTGAACTCAACCTCGAGAATCTTCTCGTCGACGGTGTATTCGCCCTTGTTGGCAATCTTGGTGATGGTTCCCTTAGCCCTCGGGGGCAGCATGATCTTGTGGACCTTGATGAACGAGTTTTCGAAAACGGTACCCCATACGTCACCGCCAGCGATGTGGTCGCCAACCTTGGCAGTTGGGGTGAACTCCCACTTCTTCTGTCGGTCGAGGGCGGGCGCAGCGACACCGCGGGGAATGTAGATACTCTTAGACTGCTTGGAAATGCTCTCGAGGGGACGCTGGATACCATCGTAGATGTTGTGCAACAGGCCGGGGCCGAGCTCGACGGACAGAGGCTTTCCAGTTCGCTGGACAGGGTCACCGACAGTGACACCGGCTGTCTTGGGTGTCAGACGTTGTTTTTTTCTCTTCCCGTTTGCTTGTAATGTTTTTGGGCGGCTTCAGCCAGTATCGGCTAGTGACATACCTGTTTCCTCGTAGACTTGGACGGTGGCTTGGTCGCCGCTGATTCGAATGACCTCACCGACTAGCTGATCGTGTCCAACTTTGACCAACTCGTACATGGCAACACCAATCATGTCCTCGGCCACGACGACGGGACCGGAGATGGAGTAAATCTTGCCTGGTCATTGTGTGAGCTGCTTGTTTTAAGAGGATCATCTGAGTGCATCGTACCATGGTTCAAGGCATCGGCGTCGCCATTTGCTTTCTGGTGTTCGGGGCAGTCAGTACAGTGTCTGTTTCGCAGCTTCATGCCAACAGTGGGGCAGAGGCAACAGCATGGCTCTCTCGGGCTTGCGCGTTTCGACAAAGCAAAGCCGCAGTACATACCGGTGCCATCTTGACCGTCTTTGCGAAGGTGTTCGGTCTCTTCGCAGCTTCGGGTTTGGCTTCAGATAAAGAGATAGAGATCGTAGGGGTCGGGGGTAGCTCTCGAGGTGACTGGAGAGGGCTGGGTGCAGGTGCAGTTGCAGGTGCAGGTGCAGGTGAGCTATTAGATGGGTCGGAGCTCGATGCGATGCTGCTGGTGCCGGCGCTGGAGCTGGAGCTGCTATGATTATGGCTATGGCTATGGCTATGGCTATGACTGCTGAGGTCAGAAGTCGGAGAGGTTGGCAGCGGCTGGCTGAGAGCTTGGACAGCTGTCTCCTCGAGCCTGGCAAGCGGCGCGAAGAAAGAACTGGGAGTGGCACTGGCACCGGGCGCAGTGGCAGGTCTGGCTGCAGGTGTAGCTGCAGGTGACGCAAGTGGACTCCTCAAGTAGCTGGCTCTTTCAAGTAGATCCACCAGCGACGGTCTGGCTTTGAGCCTTGGTCGTAGCCCGAGCTGCATACAATTGCGTTGATCGGTATTATGCTCCAGATGTGGGCATAATGTGTGCGAGAGAGAGAGAGAGAGAGAGAGAGAGAGAGTGCAATCAGTGGTCACGGAGCGCGGGGTGTTGGGTTTGTTTCGCCTTCTCGACGCATGTATGTATGTATGTATGTATGTATGTATGTGTGTATGTTTGTTTATGCACGTACGAAAGTCAAGAAAAGAGTGCATTTGGTTCTTGTTATGTTTGGAACGGACTGATCACCCATGGCCACCGTTGTAATCACACTTGCTTACGCTTCTACCGCTTGGTTTTGGTCCGCCCAGCTGGGTTGATGCGGGTTACGGGTTACGACACAGTTGCTTGTCGCTTTGCATTTAGCGGCCGTGGCAACGCTTCATCCGCCGCTGCGCCCCCCCTTGACATAGCATACCATATTGGTAGGAAAGTAAACAGCCCAACCAACACGTACTGTCCATGCTCCCAATGAATCCTTGGAGCCAATCATCGACTTTTCTATGCCATGCAAGGTAGGGATTGCTTGCTCTAAACTCATAGTATGATGTGGGCATCTACATATAAGCCATCCACGTTAATCGTGCTTTGGTCACGTTCAGCCAGGCAATTTGGATATCCCATTTATGACAGTAACAACGCAAACGATCCTAATTCGTTTCACACTATCATCTATCGTAAGTCATTATCATTATATATAATAATCCAGCCCCACGCTTCCATCAGCCCGAGTCCTACTGTCCTTTAAGGCGTGCAACCAAAGTCCACAATTCTTGCTCCGTATTCTAGAGTCTACACTTTCTCATCCAAGTTCATAGAGCTCCCACCGCAGCAGGGGCGACTCCATGCATATGATGCGCATGAAACGTCAGTGAGCCTTGTCCTTAATGCTCTCCCAGCTGGGCTCGAACGTGCTCGAATCGGCTGGGGGCGACAAACTCCTTTCCCATTCCTTAATGAAGTCTGATGAGAACCTCTTGATATTGCTAGGCGTGAGGCTGTTTAGCAGCGCAGACGGGATCTCGCCAAGCTTGCCAGGTGTCTGCGGTGAGGGGGATCGTAAATCGCTGCTCGATCGCTTTTTTCTTCTAGTGAAACTGTCAGTTTCTTGTTCTTGGGGAGACGGTATATGCGAATACCGTCCGGCCTGCACCTCTGCTAGTAGTTGACTTACAAAGTAGCCTCGTTTTCAACAACTTTCTCGGGAACAGCGGGAATGATATCCCCGTTCACAGTGCTCCCACTCCATCGCGAGGTCTTTATAGATGGCGAGTCCCAATTCGACCAGTCGTCGTCGCCCAAATCGTCAAATGTCAGGGGCGTCCAGGAGAAATGTTTCCTAGCTTTGTAGTCCGGCTTAGACTGCGTTCTTTGATTCTGACTTGCGCGGTCTTGGAAACTGCCCGGCGAAGCCTTTCTCGGAATCTCCATCTGACTCTCGGAATCCGTGGCGAAAGGAATACGGCCTCTGTTGGCATTAGAAGGACGAATAGTATCTTGATCCGAATTGGCTCTGTTTGGCTTTGCTGGGAATTCACTGGTCCTGTTCGATGTTGCCGAGATTCCCTCGTCGCCTACAGTGGCCTGCCTAAGGTCTTCCACAAACGTCCACAAGCCTTGTCTGAAGTCCTGGGCTATCTGTTTCACTCCATTTGGCGGCGACGATTGTCGTGGTGCCCACGTAGCACGCTTGGTCAGATGTACCGGCGGGAAATCTGGAGAAGATCTTAGGGCATCTGGGGATCGTAATGTATCAACGTCATTATGAATAGAAATATCGTGCTCGGATTTTGTTGGTGAGAGCAGAGATAATGTCCGCGTATGCCCGCCACGCATGACTCTCCTCTTAAATTCTCTCGGTGTTCCGTTAGCCAAGAGCAGGGCCTTTTTGCGCTCAATGTCAAGGCTGCGGCGATTGGTGGGACTGTCACTCGCACCAAGAGCGTCCGCTCCAGTAGGCACGGGCCGTACAGGCTCTCGTTTCCGGATTGTAGTTCTGATCTTATGCGCTTCTGAAGAATTCCACCTCGTCTTCAGTGTTTTGAGCTCGGCCTCTGCTCTGCTGAGTTCTTCTCGGAGCTCCAGGACGCGACGTTCTTGCGCAGCGATTGCTACTATGAAATCGTTGGGATCCACGGGCGACGCCATAGTCGAACCAATGGTTTCTGTAGGCGTTGGGGGAATCGAGGTCGGTGTTGGTCTTGATGGCATGCTGTTCGCAGGAGCAACAGGCAGCGTCAGAGAGAGACGATTGGCATTCCGAGAGGCTGTTGAGCTGGATCGCGTCGAGCGCGTTTCGAATGTTTCACTTGCGGAGGAGACGGGAGGTGCTGAGCTCCTCCACGGCTGAAGCGTGAAATCCGACTGGCTATCTTTAGAAGAACTGTCGCTTCTTCCGACACGCGGCGGTGGCATAGAAGCAATGTCTGAATGTTGGTCATCGCAAACGATGGTGCTGCCTCCCGCATTGGAGCTCGTCTCAGCTAACATAGCATCGATAGATGTGGTTTTGATGGATGCGCCACGGCGCCGAACCTCGCTAGAAGCCATGAGAGCTGCAGTGAATGGCCTGGGAAATGAATGGAGTGCTCGACGAGCAGAAACAGCTACTAGCTGATTTGCTGCTGGACCTCGAGGTCTTCGTCGCCGCTTGAAAGGAGTGGATGGGACGCTACAGGCACGCCGATGCCTCGGTCTCCAAAGGTTGTATCGCCTGGCACTGACAGTCCTGGCTAGGCCGTTGAGATGTCTATAATCATTCAAGAGAGTGTTGGAAATAGAAGTAATCAAACAAATTTGCATATGCTGCCCTGAGCTCATGGAAAGGAGGAGTTGGACAAGGAGCGCCGCCACATAACCACCCACCGGCAACAAGGCAGATGGTGGTGATCCTGGGGCGGGAAGTCCTTTCGGGAAATTGAACTGGGTGCTGTAGAATGGAATTTCGGGCGGTCAGAGCCTTGGAACCTCTTACGGATCCGTACCCTGGGAGTGGTCGTCGTCAAAGTGGGCCTGCACGAATCCCCAATGGACGAGCACAGCTTGCTCAGCATGGAGTGAATCAATGCAATTGGAAGGACGAGTCGAGCTGACGAGGGCCAATGGAACCAATGGAGCCCATTTCCGGGCCTGGCCAAGGCAAGCAGCAAGCAAGACGGGACTCGGGGACTCTTCGTGGGCGCGGGTGTTGAGATGTGGGAACCGAACGAAATGGATCACGACTTTTGTTTGGGTGAGAAGACTGAAGGTACGATAGTCATCAGGGACGTGAGCTCCTGGTCGCTTTAAAAACAACTGATGAGCATCATTTCCCTCTCTACGGATCCGTACTGTTGTTTCTTTCGAATCCCATGTCAACATGGAAACGGGTCCACCAAAATCCACAAAAGCAAACGAGCCGTCAGGGGCAAAGCTGGTTGGTGTCTTTCTTCGGTGTGCTTGGTCTGCAGGAACTGGCGTTTCTCTGCAGCTTCGATTTGTGTGGAGGGTACGGCTGCAAGGGGAAATTTGGCGGCATCGCAGCTGTGAGGAACCGCTAATTAAGACATGGGGCCCCTGGCATTATGACCTAACCTTCCTCCAATCATTATAGGGGTCTATCCGTCTCGTCCGTTCGTAGGCCATGAGAGATCTCTCTTGGGATATGTGCTTGCAGGACGAATAACTGTGTCAGTATCAGCTCTGATGTAATTATCAGGATATTGCAGTTGCAGAAAGCTCAAACAATGTCACAAGCATGTGCATGTCTTTTTGAGTTCCGCATGGTGAGACACTATTTCCAAACTGCTCAATTATTTGAGAGACAATTACTTGTCGGTGAGTAGAACATGGATATGTCAACAATACAAAGACTCCAATGATGTAGTATATCCTATAAATGCATGAGAGCATACTAAGCGTATATTTGCACACTATAGTCTAGGAATGTACACAGATTACTTTCAAAAGACTCTAGCTCCCAGATGACCTTTAATGTAAAGTTGAGCAGTTCCAAATTAAGCCCTGTTCCTTTGAGCATCGAATAGATACATGGGAAATGCCAGAGAGCTGGGAAAGCTGTTGTTCCACGATTTTGAGAAAGCTGTTGCTGTAATGCTGTTCGTTGAGAAATTGCCCAAGCAGGTTTCTGTCGTTGAGCTTATGCCGCTATACCCATTATCATGGACCATTCGATATTGCTTGTAGCTGAGATGCGCGTTGCTGCGGATACGGTACATGATCTAGACCGCACCTGCAAAATGGACGCTGACGCTGATGCTTTTAGCGTGCCCCAGCTTAAATAGCCCTGTACTTTCAATGTCATGAACTTCAACAACGGTCAAGCAGATCAAGATGTCAAAATATCTTTTGTTGGCTGCTGTTGGTTCTGTCACTGAAGTGTTTGAACTTTAGAGACCCGGGTTTGCTTGAGCAACAGTTCTATCTCGGCAGGTAACTCCACGTTATTTTGACATAGCATCACCTGCCGAGAATTTTGGAAGTCACCAAGATCAGAAGAAGTACGTAGTAGATTCTGCATGGCGGTCAAGCACAACTCCAACATGCCCCTTCACAAAATGCACCCTACTATGGATTAAAGTTGCACAACTCGGGTATGGCTTCGAATTGAGAGAATACCGTCAAGCTTTAACATATCATATTGCCTCTTCCATTATTACAGCAGAGTTGCAATCACGACTCAGATGACCAGAGGAAGGACGTTACACATTAACTGTTGTGCGGTCAACTGGCATCAGCTGCCCTGCCCCTGCCTAAAGCAATCCCCCACAATACCGACCCCTCTGCTTTGATGCCTGTATAATAGTATGAACAAAGGCGTATGGTATCACGAACAACCGAGGTTTTCTTTGCCCCACCGACGATGCTTTCGCTGCCTGGAAGAATGACCAAAGATTTGAGCTTCTTTGGCCGCTTTCTGCCTTTGCACACTGGTTTGACGTCTCAAGACATTCAATCAATTTACACATAGAGAGACGCGACGCGTTATGAACTCGCAATTTCAAGATGCCCTTTCCGTTCAGACTTATATGCGACTTGCTACAGAAACTTGACGATGAGATCCACTCAAAAAAGAAACAAAAGACTTCAAGCAAAAGCATTATCGAGGAATGGTTTCGAGAATACCGCGAACTATTAGACGCTCCGGAAACAGACGCAGCTGCGATTCTGTCTACACTAATTCCTGAAAAGAGAACAGACCGCGTCTATGGTATCCAGGCCAACAGACTTGAAAGTATCGTTGGCCGGGCTCTTTGCTTAGGCACAGCCCGCTTGAAGCAACTCCGCGAGTGGGAAATACACGGCCTTAACAAGGACCTGGCAGATTGTGTTGAAGAACAATTGACAAAAGCAGTAAGTAAGATTGCGGCCGATGAGAGAAATTTTCCGATAGTCAGGATTTGCTTTGTTTTCTAGATGCGCCATCTTATGCTGACTATTTCAGCCTAATCCCAGACAGAGAGAAGAGATTACTGTAGAGCATATTGACGAGACTCTTCATCATATTGCAGCTTCGTGTCGTTTCAGCTCCGCAGCAGTTCAGTCGTCCCGTGCTGCAGGGACACAGAAGGCAACTAGCAGCGAGCTGGACCATTTTTATGCCCGTCTTTCAGCGCGTGATGCGAAATGGTTCACAAGGTTGATCCTTAAGAACTTTGCCTCGGCAGTAGTGGACGAATACGTTGTGTGTAAGGCATATAACCCACGTTTGCCTCAGGCATTAGCCGTACGAGATGACTTCGCTGCAGCCATTACCCTTCTGAAAGATGGAAACCAAGCATCAGGACTCGAAGAGTTGATCAAAGTTGGTGTCAAAGTTGGCAGACAACCTTGGCTCAAAGCAAGGAGCATCAACCATTGCGCAGAGATGATTGGCAGGCGTCAGATTAGCTGCGAGCAAAAGATCGACGGGGAATACTGTCAGATACATATTGATTTGGGTAAACCAAAACTATGCGAGGTTCAGATTTTCTCCAAAAGTGGAAAAGATAGCACAAAGGATCGCGAAAATCTCCATCGGTAATTTCTCTGATATCCAATCATACTATTCACTTACGTTGATATATACTTAGTGCAATCCGAGAGTCACTGAGACTTGGACAAAACGGTTGCCTTATCACGAAGGGTTGTATCTTAGAAGGCGAATTGGTGGTGTACAGTGACAAAGTAAGTTGTAATATATATCTGGCCATGGCCACTTTCCTGACAAGCTTGCAGCATAAAAAAATCATGCCATTCCACAAAATTCGTAAACATGTTTCACGGTCCGGGGCTTTTATTGGAACCCATAGAGACTCGCAGTAAGAATATTCTCAAATCCCAATACCAGGTCCCACTATCAACGCTGATACGGAAACAGACGCCACTTTTATGAACATCTTATGATTATTTACTACGACGTACTTATGATTGACGACGTGTCACTGCTGGGAATGATACATTCCGAGCGCATCAAACGGCTGAGTGGTCTTGTAACCACACGTAAAGGACACGCCGAATTGGTACAACGGCAAACCATCGATTTCCACAAAAGAGATGCTTGCAAACGCCTTAGGGAAGCCTTTGCGAAGTGCGTTATCGCACGCGGGGAGGGTCTAGTGCTAAAACCAGATGATCCGTACTTCGACTTCAACCGCTTGTCCAAACGTTACGTCTCGTGTGCTATCAAGCTCAAGAAAGAGTATCTTCAAAATTTCGGTGATGTGGGAGATTTCGCTGTCATCGGCGCTTCTTACGACGCAGCAACAGCAAAAAGATCCAAGGTCGAAAACATCAAATACACACACTTCTTTGTGGCCTGTCTGGAAAATCTAAAAGAAGTACAAGCAAGGACAGAACAGCCCAAGTACATCGTGACGAACGTGGTCACCCTAAATGATACACAATTGAAGTATTTTAGGATGTACTGCAATCCAGCTGCGGTACCACTGAGCGAGAATACGTATGCAGAACTGAGATTTCAGGGTCTTGGAAGTTTGGAAAGACCAACATATGTTTTTCCTGATCCGCCCGTATTTGACGTTTACTGCTTCTCGTTTGAAAAATCGCAGAACTCGAGGATGTGGACGATGAGATTTCCACAAGTCAGCAAGATCCACTTCGACCGATCCCTTTTAGATGTGTTGTCGTTCGAGAAACTACAGGAAGCGGCACGAGCGGCTACCGAGGTACCGGAAATGGAGGATAGCCAGGAGATGTGCCTTTGGCTCACTAAGATTGAGAAAGCTGATCCCAAAAGCAAACCCTTGGACTATGATAGTCAAGCTACGGTCTCAACTATTTCTGCAGCTTCAACTGTCTCTGCAGTACCTAGTTTTTCAGCAGTATCCACAGCTGCCCCCAAGTCATCGACAGGCAATGACATGCATCAATACGCCAAGACACAGGCTATCTTCAAAGATACACCCGCACCCTTAAATCCACAACGTGGCCTGGTTACGCCGCCGAGGTCTTCGGCCAATACAGCTGGCCTTACTGAAAATGATTCTGCCACAACAGTTCACAACACCCGATCTAATGGTAGAAAGCGTGTAAGTCCAGTGGCAGGAGAAATGTCTCCTTCTAAAAAATCGAAGACGTCTTCGCAAGGCACGAAAACAGCCAGAAAGAACCGACAACCTTTGGACAACAGAAGCGCGAATGACTCACAGAGAAAGACCAGATCTAGTACCAGTGCATCACCACCGCCAGGTATCAGCGAGCTGGACACAAGGCCCCCAGTAGAAGTCAATTTCACCTCGTCAGTGAATGGATTTTTACACACCGCAAATAGGCCACCTTCGTCGCCATCCGGTCGAACTCCGCGCAAAAAGAATAGCGATAAAGAGCCAGTTTCGACAGACTTGACTGGGGATGAAATGTCTCCAGCATTGGTCAGCTGTGGCCATATCAAAAAGAGTTCTAAGTGTGCTTTCGAGAACTGTATTATCCTTCTAGCTCCCTGCATTAGCAACTACGCCTGGATACAAGATCTCCTTAAAGGACATGGAATCCTCGGATTCGCAACAGACCCTGGTGCCTGGGCACCACAGGCCTTACCAGCGTCACCGTCGGCTGCTGGTACTCCAAGATTTGGTAGTCCTGCAGTCGGATCCTCTGACAATGTCACGGTGTCCCGACTCAGAAAGGTCTGCTTAGTCGAGATGAGACGCCCAGGTGCAACGAATGAATTTATGAGAAGCATTGAGGCAGCGGGCCTCACACGCAGAAATGGGCAAAGAGATTGGGTTTCAGTTTACGACTGGCGCATACTCGAGGACATAACGAAGATAGAATCAGGAGCTCCAGACAAGGGGCCAGATCCGTGGCGGTCTCGTTATGTTGGTCTTGCATAAATTAAACAACGCATTACATTAAAGAAGTTCCGAAGGCGGCATAAGGATACCCTTTTTACATAATTTGTCTCAGCACGCGTTCTCAGGGGCGTGTTAGGTCGAACATCAAATCCCAAAACTCATGTACAACATCGCTGTGAATATCACGATCTCATGATCTCTTGAAGTGTTCCATCTCTAATACTTAGACGATATATTACTCCTTCTGCTCCTCTGTCTTATATAAATCAGCATAACTAGCCTGCAGCCTCATCTGCAAATGCTCAGTCGCTGTCAGCACCTTGCGTTCCGCATACGGGTTTCCTTCCTTTGCGTCCGCCGTGCTCCCCACAAACTCCTCAACCCTCTTACTCGGCACGGGCGCCAACTTGGTCTTATCTGCCGGATGGCAGAAAAATGCAATGCTGTACCGCGCCTCGGAGTTAGTCTCTCCGTTCACGCCTTTCGCGTCAAATGTCACACGATGCACTGTGGACCTCAGGAGCCCGTTCGTCCAGTAGCTGAGCAGATCGCCGATGTTCACCAGGATCGGCGGCGAGGGGTCGTTCTCCGTGCCGGCCGGCACGACGGGGACGGGCGCCCAGACGTTGAAGGGCGTCGTCAGCACCTCGAGGCCCGCCTGGCCCTGCAGCCGGAACAGGAGCGTGATGGAGCCGTAGTCCGAGTGCGCGCCGGCGCGGACGTCGGACACCTGCGCCGAGGACGTGGTCGCGCTGTTTGGCGGCGGGTAGTACAGGAGCCGCAGGATGGTGCCGGAGGGCTGCGAGGAGGTGTGCGCCGACGTGAAGAAATCCGGGGGGTCGACGCCTAGCCCGATCCCGAAAAGGAAGAGGATCTTGCGGCAGAGACCGTGGCAGGACTCCCGGAAGGCAGCGAGGTCGGCCTGGTGCGGCTCCATTGTCGACGGGATGGGCTGTTCTGGAGTGTTGCCGTTGAAAGGGCCGAAGTTGAATGCTCTGTGGCCTGGGTTCAGTGTGTGTAAGGCAGAAGAATAAGGGGGGCACATGGGCAATACTCTTTGAAGTCGCCCACACGCTGCGTCTTGGGATCTAGGGTCTCGCTGTGCATGCCTGACCAGCCGCGGTTGTTCTTCTGGATAGTACATTTTTGCTTTTCTTCCACGCTGGTTTCCAGAAACAGCTTTCGAGACTATGAACTGGTTAGTACAGCAGACATCAAAGATCGGAACGCCATGCTTCGAGCTACACAATAGTGTGATCTGCGGTTCAAGGATATTTTGTAATCGTAAAAAAACAAAAATAAAACGGCGGTGGGTGGACTTACAATATCGAAGGCACCTTGGACCTGTTGTGCTGAAATGTCCTTTCCGGCGTTTTTGATATAGACGAAGCCATATTCGGCCGCAGCATCGACCAATTTCTTGGCTACTTCGAGCTCGTCTGCCCCCTCTGCAGATATGTCGATAATGGGAATCTGGGCTGCCTCCGGCATGATTGCGTCTTAATGTGATAACAGTACTCTGTTCTCGAATCGAACTTGCACGAGCAAAGTAAAAGTAGCCTAGGTTATACTTGACCTTCTCCAGATTGATCTTCTCCGGGGCCTGCCGACACGTGTGGGCTCTGGGGTTATCTAGCTCGGGCGAGTCCGCAGTCACGGATCTCAAGTCACTCTTTTCCCGAACGAATCTTGTCGTATCCTGTCGTATCAAGAACAAACAGGAGATAGTCACTATCTTTATGCGCAGTTTTGAGATTAGATGATTTTCAAACTTCCACAGGACAAACTATGCTGGGAACTTCAGATTGGAGTTGTTTAGATCGGTTGGTCTCATTTCAGTGCCCCTCATCAGAGGTCAACTCTCTTGATATGGAAAGCTATTTTGATTAAATGATATTTACATCCAACCAACCAAATGGGTTTTGTATCCAAGCACGATACAGTCCTCTCACAACTGAGTCCCTTCGTACCAAGCCTTACGACACTTGAGTGCTCATGCGTGGGTTTGGCAATGTTCGTGGAGGTACCAGGTTAGCTTCTTCTATCGTGCTGCTTGAATTGAAGTTCAACTGAAGTCTTGGCATAGCCCCACCAAGCATCAGAATTCGAACTTGCAAACCCTTGGTGTGGTCATTTCAAGGATGAGTACCTTGTTGCGCCACCAGATTTCAACAACCAATCAGAGGTCCGATGGTGTAGTTGGTTATCACGTCAGTCTAACACACTGAAGGTCGGCGGATCGAGCCCGCCTCGGATCATGGTTTACTTTTTGCAGGTTGTTTTGCCGGTGATCGCATGTTTTGATATGATATTAATCTCAAGTTAGTTTGCATTGGTAGTTGCTGTTACTCCGTCTAGTTTGGTTTCTTAATTTCTTTTTATAAATATGTGGAGATAGCTATCAACATTGCAAGATCAAGACTCGGCTTATGAGATAGTATATCTATACAGAGGAAATTGACGTGTTTAGAATATTGTAGATAGTTGTGCTCATATTGGACGGTCCTGAGGGTCGACTTTAATGGCTTGGGGACTTCAACGCAGGTCAATCAACCTTGGCTGCAAGGATGATCGGTTTATTGTGTCTGAATAGTTGATTGTCCAGTAATTGTTTAGTTCTGGTACTGTATCAGACCTGATAGTGTTTCCCAGTCACATTATTGTCTCGAGGCCTGTCTTGCTTTTATGTCGTGAACAGCGAATTGGACTAACTCGAGAATTACTGGCGATGGGAACTGGCCGAACTACTTGTGCATACCTAGTCAGAAAGCCCCTTGACTACGGCCAGAGGGTCCTAAAGCATACACCTGAATCGCGATGCTGTGTTTAAGTTGGTGGTCCGCCAGGCACAGGAACGAACGGGGGGGTAATGCGGGTGGCTTGGCGTAATGGTGGAAGCTCCAGGGCCAGGACCAGGTTTAGCTCCAGCTCCAGCTCAAGCTCAAGCTGCAGCTCTGGCTCCAGCCCCAGCTCCGGCTTTTCTAGGTTAATGGACCAACATTGCTTCCTGCTGTAAATTCCCCAAGGGTCCACGGTTCGCGGTCCCGTGCTGTAGGAAGTTTAGTTTGTGATCGCCATTGACCTCGACCCAGACTAGCCCCAAACTGCAGCTACCGCAACTTGGTCACTTCAAGTTTAAGTTAATTGAGGCACGACTGCCGGCCACGAAAGTCCGCCTGCGACCACAACTACAACTCCCCAACTTTCCATCCTGGGAAATCAAACGTCTATACTGCCCTGTACCGTACCGTACTGTTTTTTTACTTTGTTTTACCTACCCTACCTTCCCCGTACCGCTCGCTGCTCAGCCTGGGACTTCAGGCGGGCAGGCATCCCAGGTCCAAGTCCAAGTCCAACTTCAACTCGCCCTTCCCCTCCACCAAACGTCTTCCACTTCCGAACCTCAACAACTTTGAATTCTAGTCAGCCAAGGCTACCAAGAACACACCTGCCAACCCAATTCTTGATCCTATCGAAGCAGGGTTCAATTGACCTTGCGCGCAATTGCAAAACCAGCCCAACATGCCTCGTAAGTTGCCACATAGTTCCCCGAACCACAAATTATCTACACAAAGCTGCCCACGTCCTGGTCGTGCGGGACATCTTCTGCCCTCACCCCCAAATCGCTGCATTTGCCATGGTGACGAAGCAATTCAAAACGACCGGCGGATGGAAACACTCCGCCCAACCTGCATTCAGGCTACCTCATGTACCGCGACGTGTGATATGGGACCCGGAACAGGGGGCGTGGAGAGGTACTCTCGAGCATACAATATGTTTCTGGCCCATGACATGGCCATGATATGTCTCTGAGCAAGTCGGTGAAGTCATGCTAACTCTTGGTCCTCACCCAGCTCTCATTGAAGACATGTGGATCAACGATGCTGCCCTGTAAGTAATCATGCCACCACAGAAGTCCTTCCAGGTAAACTTGACCCAGCTGACGCATGGCCCATCACTCCAGGAACTCTACGGCCGCACAGCTTGAGGATACGTCCATCGCCGTTGATGCCTCCTACTATCTCCAGCAATTCCTCGACCTTGCACCAACCCACGAACCCTTGTTGCCTGCTCTTGGTGGGTTGACCGGCATTGAGACACATATCGAGGCCGACCTCGACAGCTGGAAAGAGAACAATACGACGCCCTTCTTTATCTTCGATGGGCAGCCCGTCGAAGGCCAGGATGCCATCTCTGTCAAGCGTGGCAAGACCGCCACTGCCAAGACAGACGAGGCCTGGAACCTCTACTTCAGAGGAGAAGCGAACCAGGCTGTAAGCACCTTCGGTCAGGACAGAAGGGCATACCCCATCTCGAACCTGTTCCCCCTGCTACAAGGCATCTTGAAGAAGCGCAACCTACACTTCCTCGTGCCACCCTTCAATGCCTCAGCCCAGGTAAGCAAATGAGAGCGCGAGATGCACTGTGCCGAAGACGTCGCTAACAGAGCACAATAGCTCGCTTACTTTGATATGATCGAGTCAGATCAATGCTCTGGTATCATGGGATCACAGGAGTTGTTGCTATATCCTATCAAGGACTACATCATCAAGTCTATCGATTGGGAGAACAGCTCAGTCAAGCTCACCTCCAAGAAGTTGTTACTTCACAAACTGAGCTGCAGCGAATCCATGTTCGTCGATGCATTATTAATGATCGGGACCTCATTCCTTCCTCCATTCCCCGCCCTCCTGGATCCCACGGTAATTCACAACCAACCTTTCACCATTAACGATGCCGCCAATCAGCTGCGCAGCGCTGAAAAGTCCGTGACTAGCCTTTGCGGAATGATGGATGACATCCTGAAGAAGACCGACCCCGAGTGGCGGGAGAAGTATCGCAAAGCACGCATGATGGTTGAGCACTTCATCTACGTCGAGGAGACCGGTCTCGTCAAGGTTCACAACTTTGACACGCTTACGCAGGACAACTACGAATACTTGGGTTACCAGCTGCCTGCTGAGTTGTTCCACTACCTGAACACTGGCTTGATTAGCGGGCGTCTGCCGGGCTATATTAGCAACGGACAGGTAATCATTCTTCCAACCCTTGATGGTGTCAAATCCGAGGAGTACAAGAAATTGGTCACCACTCAGCTCAACCCCGTACGAGAGCAGGCCTTGAGGCTTGTGATCCCACGCCTCAATAGAGGAATACAGTACAAGCCCATCTTTGTGAAGGCTTGGTACGACGACAAGTACTCTTACACGATCGAGCCCCGCGGAGCAAGCAACCGTGCATTGGAACAAGCTCAAACCTGGAACGTCAAAGACACCACCGTCAGCCAGCACTTTTCTGATGTGAAACATGGGTCCATACAATTCGAGCTTACTGCTTTAAAAAATATCGACTTCGCGAAGGCGACCCTGGTCAAGGAGAAGGTCAGAGGTATCGATTCGACAGGATTGGTCACATCATTGGCCATCTGGCGTTTCCTGCATCTACGGGGATATGTGGACGAGAACCATCATTTGACAGTCTGGGGAGATGCTTTGGCAGCATCATTAGACGCCATATCACCCACAGTTGAGGAGAATCCCAATGACAGTCTCTCAGACGCTGTCCTTCTCGCATTCGAGCTGCTTAGATATGACTTGCTCAACACTCGCAACCAACATCCGGAGCTTAATGGCCTACCGATGAACGGAAGCGAGGAAGACAAGGCAAGTCTTCTATTAATCAGTCGATGCGCTATCTTGTTAAAACTGCACCATGAGGCAAATGGTTATACCGGTCCACTGAGCAAAAACTTCTTGCATTTCCGTTCCTTGAGCTCTTCTATCAGAGAGGCCAACCGTGACCTTCTTGAGGGCATTGTGGCATCTTCGCTGATGTTTGCTGAGAGCAAGAAGGAACGGGAAGATTATCTTGACATCAGTCAGCGGTAAGTTCTCTATCCTTGTTGAAACGGCACCATCTAACCTTGTATGTAGTCTACCTTTCCTTATGGACACCGATGTTGGTCTGGGCATCGCTGTCAAGACATTGCTGGACGACATCCACCCCACGGACTCGGCAGAGGTCAAGCAGAAGAAGCTGGAAGAATTTCCTTCTAAATACGTTCCTTTCGCCACTGATTTCACAAAGGACTTGAAGGTGGCTCATGCATTCTTCGATGCTCTTCACACTGGCGTCAAGACGCTCGGTGACGGTCAGGTTTCCTCAGCTGATCGTAAGATTTGGGAACGCGCGGCAGAGTATCTAACAGCCCGAATTTGAGGCTGTTAAATACACGCAAAAGACAAATTTCATCACCCCATTACCACGGCCATGTTAAGATGAACGTACATTAACCATACAAATGGGTTTCTATGAAGCATTTGACCATACATAAGTCGAATGCCACGATGCGCTTCAAGAAGATGCCAGGCGCAGGCCGCACACGGATATGGAGAGAAACTTGAAGACAAGTGCAGTTGGCGACGCATATTAAACGCAGTGGTCTACGATTCGTGAGTTTGGGTGCCGTTTTCATCCTGCGTAAACGTTCGAAGGCGACTCCCCCAGAGTCTTACAATAGATCGTGACATCAATCGGCAAGGCGAAGTCCAGACTTATTCTATCACGGAAAGGCGTTGAAAACTCTGGAAGATAAAAGTCAAAGTGAAATGGCTCTAGCGCTTTAACAAAATGCTCCCTGGGATGATGATAATAGACTTGACGTAAGCGAAGAGAGCGGGTGTCTACGATTTCGGTCACTATCAGCTATATACCTACCCTAGTGTTAGACATCGAGAGTATGGCAGCAGCGACAGCAGCAGCAGCAGCACCCCGCGAATGAAAAGAATATGTACTCAAGCCGGCCCCCTGCCATTGTCTCCGAAGAGCCACTGATGTAGATCACAGACTTTTGGGAAGTTCGAGGCGTTCATCCCCTGATTGGTAAATTGGAGGGCGTTTATACTGACGTTTCTGGCGGACCGCATGTATCCGGACTTTGGACGAAAAGCATCGTTTCGAGCTGGTCATAATACTACTAATTATCGCAAATTGTCACTGGGTAGGAGGGCGATATTAATGATCGAAGAAGTAGAAACAGCTCGAGGTTTGCCCAGCCGACGGTTCTCCGAAAGTGGGAACAAGGGACAAAGCAGAGGGTCACTGAGGATTTCACAAAACGTATAATTAGACCTCACAGTCTTCATTTCTTATAGCACACAAAAATTGGTCGGCCCCCATTCTACAATAAGCTCATCGCACGCCCGGCCCACCAACCTTGAATCATAATCAGCCCCCCGCCCCCTCGGTAGGGTTGTGAAAGAACCAGAGACTTTTTCTTTCTTTCTAGAAACGCCCAGCCTGTGCTCGCGACCGGCCCATGCATTAAAGAAATACAAATTTAAAAATAATCAAAATGTAAAAAAAAAAAAAACATCGCTTTCATATCCTACTACTTGGAGTCGCCGTCCTTCTTCTCGGCTTCGGTGCCGTTCGGCTTCTCCTCCGCTTTAACATCATCGCCGGCCTTTGCCTCGGGCCTGTTCTTCTCTGGGACGGCGGGCGGCGACGAGTCCACCTTCTTCGAGTTGACGATGCTGAGGAGATAATCGCCCGTATCTCCGAATCCGTCAATTTTGGAGAGCTTATTGTTCAGATGGTTGATGTCGGATTGCATGCTGGGGTTCACTCAAGTTAGTGTCTCGTGATTTTGTTTCTCCGGCTAGATTATTTTGATTTTGGATTGTCGCTTACCGTTTGACGCTGATGCCCGTCTTGACATCAAGCCCCTGAAGTGCTTTGCCCAGCTGGGTTTTATAGCTATCGAACACTGGCAACATGATCAAGCGCACGGTGCCCTCCGGTAGGTACTTGGTCAGAACCCGATGAAGCTTGACCGTTTCTTTGGCCAGCGTCTCCATATAGACGTTCGCCCCGATCTCGCCGTCCTTTTCAGATGGTGGCCTGTCCCACTCGATCTGCTTCATACTCTTGGTATGTGCTGCAGCGCGGCCGCTCATAATCTCGACAAGCTTGTCGTATATGCTGTTTTGGTGCTCTTGGAATAGTCGTTTCACCTTGTCAAACTCACCCATCAAGGAAGACACCGATGCGTTGTTGACATTGGGGCCAGTGCCGGCATGCCGCCTGACGAACTCCCGAACATGTGGTATCAGGGTAGAAATAAAAGCTAGTGCTTGCGCCGCTAGAGCAAGATGCCCGGTAGTGATATTCCTCAACCCTGCAGAACGAGTAGCACCAGCACCGAGGATGAGTTGGGTACATCGGCTGTTGAACAGTTGCAAGTACGCGATGAGTGATGAAGAGATATCCGAGGCCATCGAAGGGATGCCGGCTATGAGGTGCAGGAAGTGAGTCATGCCCTCTAGACAGAGAATGGCGGAATTCGGAAGAATGAAGGATTCGCCTTCTATCAAGGCAGTTCGGGTCTTCTCTTTTGGAGCTGTGCCGTTGGATTCAGCGCGCGGCCGCCCATTTGGTGCAGACTCTTCCTGTGACAAGGGGGTCCAGATCTGCTTTCCCTCCGACCAAGCTTCTGCATCTTTCGTGCTTGACTCTAGGATACGATCGAGAAGAGCAGTGTCCTTTTCAGCAAAGTCTTTTGCACTCCACTGGTCAGATTCCATGCTCTGAGCAAGTTTTTGTTTTTCTTGGTCCCCGTGATATTGGATGAAGTCCTTGATATGCGTGTTCACAACGTTTTTCAAGGCAGTACCACTGCGGCCGCATATTGACTCGCACTCGTTCGCAAAGTACAAATTCAGGGTAAAGTATCGTAGGAACCAAACGAGTGGAAGATGCGAGCTCTGTTCTGATCTTACCCGTAACACCTTGACGATCTTATCTTGCGAGATGTCTACAGCCTGTCCAAGCAGGTTTGCCATGTCCATGGTCAGATGGATGTCCTCTTGCAGGTCCCGATTCGCACTATTAAGTGGGGGCGATTTTAGTGATGTAGGCGAGCGTGCGCCGGAAGTTGGGTCTGGAGTTTCACCCATGGAGCTAGCCACGTCGAAGAGGACTTTCACTTGGGTTGTCAACCTCCGCAGTGTCTCGGTAACACTGATGTAAATCTTTTGGAATAGCTCTTCGGCATCCTGGGGATCCAGCGCCCTTAGATTGCGCGCAAGTATTGATGATTTCTCCTGCTGGGATAGCCTGTTCACGCTTGTGGTAGATGTAGAGTTAATTGTCATGTTGTCATCGTCATTCGAGCTTGGAAGCGGCCGTCTGATCAGAACCCGAATCTCTCGCAGCACGACCTCGCGATATGACGCTATAGCTATAGTGACATGTTTCGACTGGTGTAGCCCGGCGACCACAGGCAGGAGGTCCGATCGCAACTTTTCAGTCGCGGCCAAATAAGCCGGAAAAGCCGAGGGATCTCTGCTGAGCCGAACTCGCGTGGCCGAAGCACTCCATCTGAGCAGAACTTCTGGGTTGGAAACGGTATCAACGTGACGCCGCATATCTCCAAGTAGTATGTCAATGAACTTGGATTCGAAGGCTTTGCCAATACGGAACCGTAAACTTGATATGTCGGTAGTGACACCTTGGAGAGCAGTTGCTTCTCTCAGATCCAATAAAGGCGGCCCAGCGTCTTGCTTCGCACCAGGAGCAGCTGGCCTCTTTCGTCCAGCAATCAGATCCTCTAAGCCTTGGATGCTTTGCAGAGCATTCTCCACCTCTCCGGAGTCGACTTGGGACTCGCACTTTGCAACAGCTTCCACGACTTCACGAAGTTGCTGCACAGCACTGTTCAATTGCTGCAAGTTCTCTCTCCGCCTACGCTTTTGAACAATATCCAGGCCAGTCGTGGCAATCTCGTGGTCCAATGCCTCTAGTTCAGTGCGCAGCGTCTTGATCCTATCCACGGATTCGGCGGCTTCGGAATGGAGCTCTCTCAAAGATCCCAGAGCTGTGAAAAACGTGGTCGATGCTGTGGATATCGAGTTGATCAAGTGCATCTCGATGGTGTCCATGTACCAGGAGAGCTTTTCTTGCAATATAGCATTCGTAGCGAGAGCTTTCCGCGGAGCAACGGCACTGCCATTTGCGGCATTTCTGTCCTCTACTGATCCTGGGGCAGGCCGGACAACTTCGGACCTCTCACTCACCACATCAAAGGTGCGGGGGTTTTCCAGATGGAACTCTTCGTCGAAGTAGACATTTGGGATGGTGTTCAGTGGAGGGGGTCCCTGAGCTACCCTCCGACCGTAGCCCGAACTCGACCTCCTGCGTAGTTGGGGGGGCTCGATAGGAGACATGGAGACCAAGGAGGCATTTGAGCCTTTACGGGAGCCCATGGGTCGGCCGCGACCGGTTCCCGGGGTAAGATGGCCGTCCTCTGCCAGATCTGGGAGCTCCGACTTTCTTCTGAAGACCTGATCCGCAGCATCTTCGTCACTCTCTCTGACGCGGCGTAGTTGTTCATAGAGAGCGCCAACCTGTGACAGGTAGGGCTTAAATTCGGCAGGATCAACACGGGGTATGTTGGTCAAAGTCACGGGGGGGATGTCTCTCGTAGTCGGTTGCTTGTGAGCGATCGAGGCAGGGGCGGAAGTGTGTGGCAGCAAGCCGGTTCGCACGATGGGAGGCTGTAACAAAGTCGAGATGGCATTTTGCCCAGTTTCCGAGACTTTTCCCCAGTTGCTTGCAGTATCCAAGTGTCCTCCGATTGAATGTACGGAACTAGCATTCGAACCTCGTCTGTTGGCGGAGTAGGACGACACGGAGGCCTGTCGATGGAAGGGGAACTCGTTGCGATTCGGTGATAAGGGCGACGTCAGGCTGTCCATGGACATACGGGCTTCCCGATTGGAGAACATGGCTCAGATCCGGCCAGCGTCCCAGACTGCCGGGCCGTCTAGGTGACGGGGGTGGGCTACAGCGTATTGCTCAGGAGGACCGGATTACCTGGAGATCATAGCGATAGCTATGGTGGTAGTGGTAGTTGTAGTTGCGGTGATAGTTACAGCTTATGCGGAATGCGGAATGCGGAATGCGCCCGGGCTCTGTCAGCGCAGGGGCTGTAAGCGGGCAAGGCGACAAGCACACTCTGGAGTTGCTAGATGAGACGAGCGTACGGTGAGAGGGCTGCGGCCAACTGGTTAGAATGTCGGTTCTCGTCAAAGCGGTTTGGTGGTCGAATGGCATGGCCGGATAACACCGTTGGTTCGGGTCGCCTTTTGAAGCTACATGTACACAACGAGGTAACCACGACCCGGGTACGGAGGTTCAAACGGGTCTACCTACAGTAGGTCTAGTGCACAGCCCCCTGCTCCGAGACCTGTGCGTTACTCGGTAACTTGTGTTAGTCTAAAGCAAGTGGCTCAACTCCAGGGTACTTAGTGACATACTTAACCTTAGCTGCTTTGGGAGACACTTTACACGGTCCCCACCGCGTCAGGAGGAGGACGCGTGCTCAACGCGATTTTTAGCAGTACCGAGTAGAAGTACTAAAGTAGGTTAATTGATTCGGGCCCCTCTTCGGGTTGGCGCAGTAACTCTCGATAATTGATCCCCAGATCCTCAGATCCTCAGATCCTCAAATCCCCCATCAGAACACTACATACATCTCTTGTCTCTGCCGCTTTGACCGCATTCACCAAGCCGTCGCCGCCTCGTACAAGGTAGACTGTCAGTCGCCATGGACCGCCAATCCGCATACTCCGTCTCTGTCTTCAGCTCTGCATCCCAGAATGCGGGCGAAGACACGAGGTCGCAAATCCAGGAGCAGCTAGTCAACTTCATCCTGACCTTCAGATTAGACAACAAATTTGTTTACAGGTGAGCCCTGCCCGTCCCACCCCGAAAACAGGGCATCTCAACAGGACATTGGGTCGCTAACGGTGCTGCGTCAGAGATCAACTGAAAGACAACGCCCTTCTAAAAAAGTTCTACTGCGATGTGGACATCGGCGACCTCATCAAATACAACGATGAGCTCGCCCACCGCATGGTCTCTGAGCCAGCCGAGATCATACCTTTGGTAAGCCGCCATCATCCCATCCCATCCCGTCCGTCCGTCCCATAGGCACCGCTCCCCAGCTCCAGTCCATCTGACACCAACATGAACAGTTCGAAGCAGCATTAAGGAAATGCACACACCGAATCCTCTTTCCTCATGACCCGAAGGCCCTCATCCCCGAACACCAACTTCTCATCCACTCGACTGCCGAAGATGTGTCCATACGAAACCTCGACTCTATGACTATCGCCAGACTGGTTAGAGTCCCTGGTATAGTCATCGGCGCTTCCGTCATGTCCTCCAAAGCCACCGAGTTACACATCCAATGCCGAAACTGCATGCACAACTCGGTCGTCCCCATTCTTGGAGGGTTTACTGGAGCCACACTGCCGAGACAATGTGGCCGCCAGAGAGCCGCTGGCGATCCCGCAGAAAAGTGTCCTCTGGACCCTTATTTTGTCGTACACGAAAAGTCTCAATTCGTCGACCAGCAGGTCATCAAGCTTCAAGAAGCACCGGACCAGGTCCCGGTCGGAGAGCTTCCGCGTCACGTACTGATCTCGGCAGATCGCTACCTCACCAACAGAGTCGTCCCTGGCTCCAGGTGTACAGTCATGGGCATCTTCTCCATCTACCAGAACAAGGCGTCCAAGAGCTCTGGCGGTAACGCGGTCGCCATCAGAACTCCGTACCTCCGCGCTGTCGGCATTCAGACCGACGTAGACTCTACCGCCAAGGGTTTGTCTATTTTCAGTGAAGAGGAAGAGCAAGAATTCTTGGAGATGAGCAGACGCCCCGACCTGCAAAACGTCATGGCTGATTCCATCGCGCCATCCATCTACGGCAATCGCAACATCAAAAAGGCGATCCTGTGTCTGCTCCTCGGCGGCTCAAAGAAGATTCTGCCAGATGGAATGAAGCTCAGAGGAGACATCAATGTGCTTCTTCTGGGTGACCCGGGTACCGCCAAGTCCCAATTGCTCAAGTTTGTGGAACGGGCAGCCCCCATCTCCATCTACACGTCAGGAAAGGGCTCGTCAGCTGCTGGTTTGACCGCATCTGTCCAGAGAGACCACTCAACTCGAGAGTTCTACCTGGAAGGAGGTGCCATGGTTCTCGCCGACGGTGGAGTCGTCTGTATCGACGAGTTCGATAAGATGCGTGACGAGGATCGTGTTGCCATCCACGAAGCTATGGAGCAGCAGACCATCTCCATCGCCAAGGCCGGTATCACAACAATTCTCAACGCCCGTACCTCGGTGCTGGCTGCTGCCAATCCCATCTTTGGTCGCTACGATGATATGAAGACCCCTGGAGAGAACATTGACTTCCAAACGACCATCTTGTCCCGTTTCGACATGATCTTCATTGTCAAGGATGAACATACACGAGAAAAGGATGAGCGCATTGCCAAGCACGTCATGGGCATCCATATGGGTGGCCGAGGTCTTGAAGAGCCGGTCGAGGGTGAGATCTCAGTCGATAAGATGAAGCGTTACCTCTCATACTGCAAATCGTAAGTCCAATCAGAGAATGTCTCCTGTGCGAAGACAAAGCTAACGTAGACAACAGCCGATGCGCACCACGTCTTTCCCCCGAAGCAGCAGAAAAGCTCTCTTCGCATTTCGTGTCCATCCGAAAGCAGGTGCACGCTTCCGAGATGGAGGCCAACACCCGCTCGAGCATCCCCATCACGGTCCGTCAGCTCGAGGCCATCGTGCGTATCACGGAGTCGCTCGCCAAGCTCACCTTGTCCCCCATCGCGACCGAGCAGCACGTCGACGAGGCCATCCGTCTCTTCTTGTGCTCCACCATGGACGCTGTCAACCAGGGCAGCAACCAGGGCAGCCGGGAGCTGAACGAGGAGGTCAACCGCCTCGAGACCGAGCTCAAGAGACGTCTGCCCATCGGCTGGAGCACAAGCCTGGCGACGCTCAGGAGGGAGATGGTTGAGGGCAAGGGTTTCACGGAGCAGGCTCTGAACCGGGCCCTGATGATTCTCCAGAGGAGAGACACGATCATGTTCCGGAATCAAGGTGCACAGGTGTATAGGAACGGTGCGTGATTTGGCTAGCATGTAGGCACTTTGTGAGGGATTTGTTTTAGTTGTTTCCGAAATGATGCGCGTTCAACGTCTGGAGTTCCGGGGTCGGGGGAGGCAATCATCCTGGGGACTTGGCTTTATAAGGGATGAGAGTTGGCAGTTATACTCTTGTCAGGACGTCTGTCGTGGTAATACAATCTTCATGATACCAATTGCAATAAAATGTTATACAGTCTTATTCCACACCCAACGCCATCGCCGTACTTGGGAGAAGAAGGAGAAGAAGGAGAAGAAGATGAAGAAGAAGAAAGGGGGGGAGGGGGATTCAAGGGGTCTTTAAAGCAGCTTTAATATTCGCATATCTTGTTGGCTTTTCAAATTTTATTTTCATTTCCCCGTTCCCAGCCTAGAATATCGGGGGGTTCTTCTTTTCTTTTCTAGTTCCAATCATGCCTTCTTGGCCTCCTTGACCTTGACGGCGGGCAGGCTAAACGCCTTGCTCAGCCCGCCCTTGACGGCCTTCCAGAGGCCGTAGTCGCGGTCCTGGCTCCACGTCAGGGCGCCCACCCACGGCTGCACGTTGTAGTGGACCTTGAGGACGACGTCGGCGGTCTCGGCGATCCTACCGCCGGGGTGGGTGATCTGGTACTTGGGGCGCTGGTTGCGGAGGCTGAGGACGCCGCGGGCCGGGTCGACGGCCTTGCCGGCGGCGCTGCGCTTGAGCTTCTTGAGCGTCGCCGGCCCCACGTTGGCCAGGTGGTCCGACGACGGCGCCGTGATGATGCTGTCCCAGATGACGGCGCTGTTGGTCTGGTTCGCGCCGGCGGGCGACGCCCACTCGGCCGTCACATACACGAAGAGCTGCTTCGTGTTCCAGGTGAACAGCGACGACAGGTCCGCGTCCAGCGAGAATTTGATGATGGCGTACTCCTCCTTGCGCGTCGAGTAGTAGTGCGGGCGGCCCTTGACTCTGTGGATGCGTGCGGTGTCAGTGGCGGAGGGTTTTTGCTTCCTTTCTTTCTTTCTTCCTTTTTTCTTCTTCCCCAAAAGGAGAGAGGTGGAAAGAGGAGAGGGACTTACACCTGCACGTTGGTGGTCTTGATGCTCGCGCTCGGTGTGCGCGGGGCGGCAAAGTCGGAGGCGGCGATGAAGGCGGCTACCACGAATGCGACGGTGGTGAAGAAGCCGAAGACATTCTGGATGCGGGTGAGGGAGTTGTGCATGTTCGGTATTTGGCTTCTTGGAGCTGGTTTATTGCTCCTCTGCCTCGCCGCGCAGTGTGTTGGGATCTTTTTTTATGATGGGGGGTTTTCCTAGACCGAGACTGCGCGCATCGGTTTGTTTCATTCGTCGTGGGGTGATGGTAATTTTATGTCAAAAGCTCACGGGAAAGGAGCGTGTAAGCGAAGTGGTAGGTGAAGTAAGGCCACCTTTGGCGTTTGGGGCAGTCATGGTTCAGTACAAGGTAGCTTGTTACTCACAGCCTTGCAGCTCGCAAGCCTGTACATTCAGCCTGCAGCCTGTAGCCCCACTAGAGCTTCAGAAGGTTACATGGTACTTCCAGTACTAGTAGAGGAGCACGCAGTAGAGCGTGTAAACAGACGTTCGTCAGTCGCTGTACTCCGTGTACGTTTTGGCTGCAACGAAGAAATAAAATGCACACATGCATGTTGTGAGCTGCACCCAATGGGCCAGCTCCATTTTGTTCATTATTGGATTCATTTCTCAGAGATCTACATCTACATCTACATAGCCCCTAGAAGCTCATTGTGTCTTGGCCATTGCAAGACCAATCAGCAGGCAGTGTACGATAAATCTAGACTAAGTTGCTGCAGAAGCGTGTGCATGTCGCTGAGCGAGCACCTTCGATGGCTCTGCTCGCCCACATCGACTATAACGTTGACGCTGCCATCCGTCCTCTCCATGCATGTCAACGCAGGTTCACAGCCATGAATCCCTTGCTCAGTTAGCCCATGCACTGCCCGAGCTCCTTCTACCTCTTTCATACAACCACTTGTTGTTCAGTGCCACGCTGCTCCTCTTTCCATTAGCAGGACTGGGGCTCGGGCTGTCAATCCCGGGGCCAAAGATAGATGTGCTTGCACCGAAGCTCTTGCCCAAGGGACTCGGCGACCCTATCGATCCAAAAGACGACCTGCGTGCTCCGTTCATGGCCTTCTGGATAAGTGGACTCCCTGCCGCTGAGAAGATCGACCCGTTCCCCGAGAAACTTCCGTTGAACCCCTCTGGAGGACTGCGGTAAGCCGAAGGGCTTTGTGAAGCCGAGAAACTCCTCTTTCCAGTCGAGCCAGACAGTGACGGCGTCCGAGAATATCTTGGCGGCGTACTATAGACCGAGCCCGGCGTGGGCGGTGCAGAAGAGGGCCCGAGACCTAGTAGCTTCCGTTGCCCAGGAGTAAGAGGGATATCGGACAGATCGTCTTTCGGTCTCACGAGGGGCAACAGGGCAACACCGATATTGAACAGGGGAGCGCATAGGAACAGCTTGTATGCCCAGCTGACAAAGTACGCGAAAGATCCATTTGGTCTGCCACGCGGTAATCAGCATTGGGTATTATTTGGTCGCTGGCTCCGTGAAAGGGCGAAAGCAGGGCGAAAGCAGGGCGAGAGCAGGCCACAAGCAAGGCAGGGCAGGGCAGGGGGGAAACGTACGAAAAGACAATGTATTTGTACACCATCGTAATCAGCGCCGTGGCCGCGGCAATGGCTGCAATGTTCCATGCAATCTTTCTGACGTTCTTGTCGCTGAATGTACTAGCATTCTGCCGCCTGGTGATTTCTTGGAGACGAGGATGTCTCCAGTTGCCGGGTGTCTCTGCAGCAGGGGAAGATGCTGGTTTGCTCGGTGTCGACACCGTCTTCTGCAGAGTCGCAGACATACTTTTTCTGGCTGCTTGGAGCAAGCTAGGCCGACGTGACCGCCAGGCAAGCGAGGTGTAGAAAACCACAAGCAGAAAGGAAGCAGAACTAATCAGTTGCTCCGAGGCAGGAATTCCGCGTCGCACAGTCGACCGGGCGCTTGTCGAGTCGAGTCGAGTCAAATGCGACTTTGTATTGATTATTTGCTGTAGGTTAGTAATCGCTGCGGTCTGGTTAGTAGAGGCGATGCCACAAGGGCAAGGCAACTTGCTGTCGTCGTGGTTTCGTTGTCGGGTTGTCTGCAATGTTGTTTTCTTTCCGAGTTGAGAGGTGGTCGCGAAAACAAGCAAAGAACCTAGCCTAGAATCAATCCATCACTTAACTACTATTGAGACCAACTGCAGTGAGTTAACGTTCGGCCCAAAGTTAACGTTAGCAGGCCAGGTCATGAGCACAGACCCGTCAACCTGAGCCATGCACATAACAAACTGCAGTGGGGTCGGCCTCGGGACCCCCCCCCCCCCCCCCCCCCCCCCTGCAGCCCTGGCGGTCGTCCATCAATTTGGGCAGCGAAGCCCATACATAGTACACACATAAGCCACCCCACTTGGAGCCCGCGTCTCCGGAGGCCAACTACTACTTGCTACCGCTCACTACTGCTTAACTTTCCGATCATAACTCTTCGCTTTCCGAAACCATCTTCACCTATAGTCAGCACTTGGCCGACGCAGACTCGGCCACTCGATCGTGCTGCTTTCATCCATCAATCGCCTTTTCCCCCCCACCATTTCGCCCGTTTCCACACTCGCGTATCTCATCTCATCTCATCCCCCCTCATCATGGGTGTCGGAAGTGTCCTGGGCCAGCTCGATGCTGCTCTCAGCGACCTAGTCGGACAGTGGAACGGCTATTCTACCGGCTTGGCCACCGCCCTCGTCCTCATCATCACATATTCTATCATGACCAGAGTAGACCCGGACATTCATCCAATGCTCCTTGCTCGTCAAGCTCAAGGTTCACCCGTCAGACAAGAAGGCGAGTCTCCCATCTATCGTGGGAACTCGGCTCCTCATGGAATGCCTCTCAACAGCGGCTTGAACGTAAAGCCCCCCGGCGCCTCCAAGTGGTCCATGGGCAAAGACGGTGATCTGAGAGATGTTTGGAGACGGGCCATCTCCGGCACGGAGGACGGTTCCGCCAAAGGTCGCATCTTGACCGTCCAGGGACGCGAGAAAGTAATTGAACACAAGCTCGGTATGATTCTCGCCCATTCGTGCCGCCCTTGATATTTGTTGGTGTCTAATGGCTTCTCAGGGGACATCACCCGCGCTATCAGGTTGGTTGGCCAGCACATCTCCGAACAGGGAGGTAGCAAAGTCGCCATCTATTTGCCTAATTCTGTCGAGTTGCTGGCAGCCCTCTTTGCCTGTAGCTTTTTCAACCTGACTGCCATCGTCGTACCATTCGACGAGTCTCCGGAGTCAATTGTCTCTATGCTCCGGCAATCAAACGCTGATACTGTCGTTACCCTCTCTGGAGCATTCCCTCTGGATGTGGTTGTGAAGAGCTACCCATCCTTGAAGCAGCTCGTATGGGTGGTTGAGCAAGGCAGTAGCCACCTCGACTGGAGCGAGGTTCCTGAAGGGTTTGGTGGCAAGGTCAATGTTTCCACATGGCAAGACATCCTGCAAGATAACCCGGTCACGACTAGTCTCGACCTCCCTGCCGATGAAAAAACACCTGCTGACGTTGTCTTCTTCTGGAAGTCAAAGTCTGCTTCCCAAGAGCAGTTGGTCCAGTTCACCCAGAAGAATCTGGTCGCAGCAATCTCTGCTCAGCTGACTGCCATACCAACTACGCAGCGCCTTTCGCCTTCGGACCTCTTCCTCTCGGCAGCCCCCTTGTCCACCACGTTTCCACTCGTGCTTACTCTCGCAGCTCTTTACTCCAATGCTTCGGTCGCTTTCAACTCCGTTGCTGGGTCCGTTGCAGATATTGTTCTAGCTACCGGAGGCGTTGCACCTACTGTCATTGTGGCTACTCCACAAACCCTTCAAACGACTCACACAGAGTCATCGGGGCAGGTCGCATCCGGAATCGCATCCGCTGCTCATTGGGTCCAGACGCGGAGCCTGGTTCAGAACGGTGCGATGCCAGTCGCCTCTTTACTCAGCTCGTATAATGACAAGATCAGGCCTGCCGTCGGTACCACTCCTGGTAAACTTAGGCTGGTTTATGTGGCAGACTCGGCTGGCACTGGCACTCCTGTCCTGAGCGAGCGCACCATCTCCGACCTGCGGATCTTCTTTGGAGCCAGGATTATCTATGCCCTTGCAGCAGCTCAAGTTGCTGGTTCTGTGGCTCAGACTCAATTCAATGACTACCGTGTCCATGGTAATGGATCTGGATCCCACTTCGGTCCGCCAGTTAGCAGTGTCGAGGTCATCCTCAAAGACACTGGCAGCCACAAGACGTCTGAGGATGGCCAGACTGTTGAGGGAGAGATCAACGTCCGTGGACCAGCGGTCGTTGGTGGAGCCACATCGCTCGGCATTGTTGGCAAGATTCGGGAGGATAATACTTTGGCTTATCTTTGAATACCAGGTACATATGTGGACTAGTCGAATTGACGCAGTCTTTGTGATTGATTGGGTTCATTGTTTATGTAGCAAGAGATATCATGTGCTGTGGAAGTATAAATGAAAGAGCGACATATTCAAGATATAGGTGCATGAGTGACACGCCACAAATACAGCCTTACATTGTGACATTCATCCCCACGTCCGGCACATCCCTCAACATTTCTTTCCTTGCTCTGCTACCTGATTTCTATCCAGATATGTACTGTGCCATTTGTTGCTTCTGTCCTTGGTACCAAATTCCGTCGCTATTCAAAGAGACACAACATTGTTGTAGTGTTATCTTATCATATTAGTTTGCGCTTGCAAACCATCATCAGTGGTGTCCAACCAATCCCCGATGGAATATCGTACAATCTTGTGAGCATCAGAAAGGAAATATTTCTCTTACATCGTGAATGCTTGCTCTATTCGCTACAGACACTTAGACTGAGTTGTGCATGTCATCCAATAGAGTGAATCGTGCTTGCGGTTCTTCAGCCTGTGAATCAGGCCCAAAAAGATCCAAATTATTTGCACAGAATGGACCAATAAGCCAGGGTTGTGCCATGGTTAGGCAGGAGAGGCACAGCTGGGGATATCACAGTGAAGCTACAGTGTTTGGCACTGAAAAAGCAGTTAGAGCTTTAAGGCAAACACCATGGCACCCCGCAGTCTCGTGTCACATTGCTACCAATAAATATCTACCCGAGCTTCTCCCCACGAAACCTGGCCGTCTCTATCTAACAGCCATGGATCTTTGAATACTTGATTGATTCACCCTGCCGACAAGCCAAACCAAGTGCAAGTATGATGGCTTCCATACAGAGTCTTCCGTATGAGCTTGTCTGCATCATCAATAGTAGTCTCCCAGATAAGTCAAGCTCCAATTTTGGTCGATCATGTCGCTTCATCTATGCGACAGTCAATCCTGCACTCTATCGACGTGCCAAGGCCATGATAGGCGTCCTATTCTGGGCCGTGGAAAAGGAAAATATTGGCACGATTGAGAAACTCATTGCCGCGGGCGCTGATACTAATTGCGTCTGGGAAGAAGAGATTTGGCATGATCAACGGGAACCTTTATCAATAAATTACCTGTCACAACCGTTCGGCCCGAGCTATAGAGGCTCTCTTGCGACGAACGTCACTTCTAATGGTCCTGATACATCACCACATACATTAGCCTCCTACGAGGCGCAGTTGATGCAACTTAACAATTCGAGATCACGTAGAGCTAGGCTTGGACGCAACATGACCGCCATCGAGATTCGTCACACACCTATCCATCTTGCCGTCAGATCTGGAAATGGCCCGATTACTGAGCTGCTATTGAGCCATGGAGCGGATGTCAACAGCATTTCCAAGAGAATGTGCGATTGCCGGCCACTGTACCGGACTTACCTTGCGATTGACCCTGAATACGAATGGACACCGCTCCACATTGCCATGTGTGGCAATCGACTGTCAACGATGAAGCTGCTTATGGCTCGAGGCGCGTCCTTCAACGTTGGTTGTCAAGGAAATGAAGAGGTATCCCTTGGAGTTACAGCACTTCATTCTGCAAGTATATTGGGGAATTTATCAGTGCTTGTCGCTGTTTTGCAGCATTACGCCCCCGATATCAACACGCCAGATACTACCGGGCTCACACCATTGCTCTGGGCGTATCTCTCGGAATATTTGGGCAAGACATTATGGAAGGTGATAGAGTTCCTCCTCGAACAAGGTGCAAACATCAACGCTGTTGATGAGCATGGAGACTCGTTGCTCCTGATCGCCTGCAACATCGGCCGTTTTGATGATGCTGTCTGGCTGATCGAACATGGTGCCGATGTCCGTCTGACGGCTCGAAGAAGTGGAACGACAGCCTTACACACTATCTGCAAAGTTACTTACAATGACGCAACCTCCGGGCGCAGTGCATCCCAAAGGAACGCTGTCAGGTTTCCGAATTCCAAAAGATTGGTCCTTGCTCGAACCCTTCTAGAAGCTGGAGCTGACGTCGATGCGATGGATGCTGAAGGAGACGTCGCTCTTGTATCCGCCGCAAGATGCTGCCATCTTGGGTTGATTGAGTTGCTACTCGATCATGGAGCTAATCCCAATGTTCGAGCCAAACGCGATGAAACTGCACTACTAGCCGCATGTAGCACACCTGCGTCAGTTCCAGCATACGTTTTGAAGGATACAGTCGAGCTACTCCTAGAACGAGGTGCTTCGATCCATGCGCAGACCGACATTGGTAAAACCGTCCTAGACGTTCTCTGCGTGTTGAGATCGAATAGTAGCATGTACACGAACAGCGACAGGGAGGTAATTGCAAGCATGGTTCGGACTTTTTTACGGTCAGGGATCCGGCCCATTGGCGCGCCCGGAAGTGAACAGAGCCTTGTGTTGCAGTATTTCATGGGAGGCTACCTTGCGTGTAGCAAACTGTTGATCGAGTATGGCGCCATGCACCCAACCCCTAATGGCCTCAAGAAGATGATTGCACATGCCATCAAATGCGATGACATTGAAGCCATACAATTTGTGCTTTCTTTCGAGGGTGCCAAGAAGTTGATGGCAACCCCAAGTAGACTTGCCGCATCTTTGAAAACGGCAACGGATGGTGTTGTTGAGTTGTTGATGGACAATGGTGCACCCTACAAATACATCACGAAGGACGGGACGAGTTGTCTACATTATGCTTGTGCCAGGCCGCTCCTTAAAATTGACTTCTTTAGAAAGCTTCTCGAAGGCGGCGCGAATCTGAACGCGTCAACGAAGAAAGGCTTGACTCCGCTCAAGGCAGCAATCAAGATCCGTAGGCTGGAGCTCGTGGAATTGTTACTAGAATATGGCGCGGACCCAGATTATACGGGCTCTGCAGAAGTGGCTATCTCGGGCGAATCCTCGCCCTTGGTGATGGCGAGTCAGTCCGGGCGCATGGATATTCTAGCAGCCCTCCTCCGGCGAAGCAAAGATGCCCATAATCCTCTCTGGCAACAAATCTCCAGTGCTGACCCGACCGGACCCGGCAACGCCTTAAATAACGGCGGCCAACAGCTTGCACAAAGACCTGGGGTATCCTGGACTATTGTGGATTTAAAATGAATATAAATCCATGGTTTCGAGGTCTCTGTTGCCCATTGCGCCGGAAATGAGCGACCTTGCGAGCGATTCTCATTCCCCGTAATGCAGGCCGAGACCTCCGCAGCTGAGGGCACAGAGTTTATCAGATTACAGTCTCTTGAAAGGCAGACTCTTGTGCTCTGATTTCCTGAAAGGCTTTTTATAGAACTGGAATGCTTTCTTGCTCAGATACTCGATGATTTCTTTTTATTTGAAATGGTCAGCTTGAGGCGATTTGCGAGTGTGAGAACTAAACAGCTTTCCATTGAGTGTAGTTGTAAGTGGCTCATGTTGTTTATGCAGCCGTCTCTGAAGCCTATCGCTATGAATAGATCATCGTGCATGACTCCCGAATAATCGAACCCTAAATATAGATACGAGTAGGAATTACGAATGTTCCTCGTGCTTCTTGGGCTCGTTTCTTTTTCTTTGGTGGCGGCAGGGTGGCACTCCGCGTATAGGCCAGCGGGAACTTATAACAGCTGACGAATAATTATAGAAAAGATACACCATCTTCCGGACGACAGGGGCCGAACAGCAGCGACACTCAGTGCATCTTCGTGTCCCCGGGACCCCCTCGAACCGGGAAGCGTGTCTGGAAAAATGGGGGGGGGGAAGGAAGCTCATGCCAAACCGCCCATCGCAATCTCCCCCACACAACGTGGTGCTTGCACTCGCTGCAATCGTCGTACATCATCCGTCTTGGCACTCCAGAGGGGAGGGGGGAGAAAATGTTGCTCATTCTTAATTCGACCTCACCTCGCACACGGTATGTATTCCCTCAGCACTTTAGAGGGGGGGGGGGGGGGGGGGGGATGGATGATGATCCCGAGACATTTGATTCCCCACCTACCCCAGCTTTTTTTTGCTTTTGTTTTAATACATGCACATCTTGATTCTGCATCATGAGTCTTCGATAAGGTTGTTTCGCGTTGAGACCCTGTTCCCCCCTTCCTGCGTTGGATGTATAAACACGTTCATGCGCGCGGGCGACGGGAATGGTTATAAGCAAAACTCACCATGGACCAAAATAAAAAGTCTTGGCGAAACGTGGGAGGAACCCGGGGGGAAAAAAAAAAAAAAAAAAAAGTCGGACGGACGGACAGGGCGCATCCTTGTTCTCCGTCGTTCTTTGTTTCGACGTCGATGAATATTGCGAAAGTGAAAAACAAAACACCCCCCCAAAAACAAAAAAAGAAATGTTTTCCATCGGGCTTGTCTTTGTGAAAATCACTGCTATGCTGCTCGCTTTTGGACGAATAGAGAGAGCTCCTGCGTACAAACACATATGCTCCCGAGCCCTTCCAGGTGTGGCTTATAGTCTATTACCGTGGCGCATTACCGACATGCCGATTCGACGGCCGGTTCCTGTACAACACGAAGGCTGACAGATGTGTTAGAGATCAGCAGCTAGAGAAAGGTTAGGGCGTTCCGAATGAATACAACCACTACGATTGAGGAAAGTCTCAGGCAAATGTTCATTGAGCGCAGAAGATTGATGGACAAAGTGGTGCAAGATCATTGAGGGACAGGAGATGGAAGTGGTGAGAACGATTGACTTTTCTAATGTAATCTATAAGCCTTTGTGCGGCAAGACTGGTAAGCCCAAAAGGAGAGCGCAGAATGTTCTAAGTATATACATGAAGTCTAAAAATCCCTAGTTCCCAATAAAAGAGTGTAAAGAAGTGGGTATGCAATATTACCCAGTGATCGGTGGCTTGCGCGACCGAAACATGAATGTTGATCCGATCCCAAGCTCGGATGCGTGGAGGTGGGAAACCTGCACGCCTTGAACGCCAAAAGTCCCCGGGACTCTGTCGATACAGTGTTGCTTCGCTTCAGACACCTGTACCTCCCATGTCTATAGTCTTTTTGTTGTTCCGTAAACCTAACAGTGGTATTGTAACCTTGCTCAACGCACTAGGCGGGGCCGAGAAAGTAGGGAAACGGGGTATCTTCGCATAGAAAAATCCATAAAATCATCATGATCGTCATCGTTTGCAGCGCTCAGCGCGCTCAACGCCAAAAAAATAGCCAGGACGGAGCTTGATGACATATGATTTAGAGCTTGCCAAGGACGAAGTTGCGACCGACAAGAGGTGTGTCACGCTTCTCGGTTGAGCTGGTCTGCGTGCCGAGAGTGCAGTATAACGCGGTCTCGGTGGTGGTAACAGTCTGAACATCGTCCGCCAGGTAGTAGGCAGTGTTGCAAGGGAAGACCTCGCAGCCGGACATTTTGGACTTGGTGGAAGCAGAGTTCTCGCTGGCGGGCCACATCATGTGGACACCATTGTGGTCGCTGGAATCAACGATGGCGGAGACATCGAAGTAGGTGATGTCATTCCAGCCCTGGAAGGTGACCTCACCCAGCATGCCCAGGGTGTTGGAGGAACCATCACACTGAGCGAACCAGTTGCCGATCCACCCAGTAGGGAACTCAACGGTCTCGGTAGCCTGACCGCCAACAGTGATGGAGTTGATTTCCTCATGGCCAATGCTGGGAGTGAAGATAATCTTGCGACTGGTGCTGTCTTGGCTGACGAAGGTGACAGTGTTGGTGGCGTTGACGACCGCGGCAGCGGCGGCGGCGAAAGTGGCGAGCTTAGTGAAGAACTGCATTTTGACTTGAGTTTGTTTTTTGTCTAGAGATCGACAAGAAAGTTTGTATGTAAAAGATTTGGATTTTGGCCGAATTGGTTGGCTTGTTGGTGTGTTGCTGCGATAGCTTGTTGGCACCGGGCTATTGAGAGTATAGAGTACTCTTGAGTTGTCAAATGACTGTATGAAGCACGTGGCTAGATTGAACAAGGAGTGAATCACTAGTCAAAGGAAGGAGACTATAGTGAGAGTGAATGAAAGTATTGATACTGATCAACAATAAACATTCCACACTTGTAGAGTGGGCAACCCCTTCGCTTTATACAAAACAAGAACACGGGGCCTAGTCAGGCACAGGATCCATCCTGTCAGTCTGGACCCTCCATGTCGTGGGCGAACAGTGGGCCACGACCATGGACCTACCGGTACCAAGCTGGCCACTCGACCCATCCAGTACAAGACAACCAAGAACCACACGGCCGGTGCTTCGATGCAGTCCAGGTCCCAGCATTAGCCGGTAGTGTGCTGGCTGACACTCGTCTCGAGCAACGGACGCTTCTGGCTTCCCCAATTGAAGTGAGGGGCAGTAGTCCATGAATCAAGGCTGAATCCACCCAGGAAGCCTGCTCGCTGCATACCTTACCTTCCCTTCGCATACGGTCATGAATAGAAATCAATGATACTAATTAGATGAGAACATGAGAGAGAGAATGTGCAAAAGTTTGTCGATTCTGTCCAAGCCGGGGTGATGCCAAGTCTGATGCTTTCTCATGCTTGCTAAAACCTTGTTGGAGCAAAGTGGTGCTGGATGCGGAACCTCATCTGGTAAGGGAGGCTGTGATGCGATGTGATTGATTTGTGATGGAAGCCAAGTCTCCAGAACCGCGGCCCCGTTGAATGCAGCGGGACCAAAGCCGCGAGCCCACAATGTAACTACACAGCAGCCCTGTTGGTGCGCAGAACAGAGACAAAGGAACAGCGGGATCCACCGACCCTAAAAAGGTGGTTCTGATGTGGTTCTTGAGCTAATGTAACAAAGAATTTCTAGTTGCATCAGAGCACATGCGTGGCATCATTGGATAATTGATCCAATTCGTCAGAAGTGCGAAGAACTTGTTCCTGGCATGCAGGGTGGCGCCGGGTACCTGACAAGAATCCCGCGAGCACCATCAGCCGGTAAAGTGGTTGCATCCAATGACACACTTATTACAACCATCAGGCATGCCGCCGCTTTTTTCTCCAAACGCGCGTTCGAAATGAGGTGCTGACGCTGTGTCTACCCGCTCTCGCCTGAGTCCCGACTTCCGACACGTGTAAAGATCACATACGTCTGCTGGCACCAGGGGCTTTGTTGCGTGGTGGTTTGGGCATAAGAAGGCCCTTGTTGGCCTCGACTGGCTACTTAGTTCTCGAGCGACTGTTTCTCACTCAACGCTGAAATTGATTCTGCGGTGTGAGACCTGACAGCCTGGCCGCCAATGGCGATAGGCTCGCGTCCGGCTCACGTCAGGACAGTTGTAACCCCGCTAGTTATCCCGGGTTTCATTCCGAGTCAAAACTTGGTTTTGCTTTTTCACCTTTTTTTCACCAAAGCTCTCTCTCTAGCAGCGATGGGCACCAAGATAGCATGGCGATTGGTGAACCGCTAGTCGGTTTTCGGCAAGTCCTTGACACTCGTTTGAGGGTTGGTACCAGGATGGAGACGTGGGACTGAATGCCGTAAAGAAAACTCAACAATAGTGGTCCTAAGCTCGTGTACGGTTGACGTAGAATTTACATGTCGCGCAGCCCGTTTCAAAGAGGGGAAATGTTTGCAAAAGTTTTGCAACGAGTGGGCGCCGAGAAGACCAATAATCCTGGAAGGTTCAGCCGGATCCGCGCCAATGCGGGTCTTGGATCGGCTCTAGAACCTCGCTGAGGGCTTGGAAGCCCAAAGCCCAGGTCATAGCCAGCGGATCGGCAGGCACAAAGCGTGGCATTCGCAGGGAGTTTCCACGCTTACCCTTGCCAGCACAAGAACACTCAATGGTTGCCGCTTGGCAACCCGCACGACCATGCACAATGAGGCCACGATTCAAGCATAACCACTTGTGCAGATCCAAGTCATTGCATGCATTAGCCACTTAGAGAGTGACAGAAGTCCTTGACCGAGTCCTTGACCGCCATGACAGAACACCACGAGGCACGCGTGCGGCCAGTGGCGCGATGCGTCAAGGCAATACTAGAAACAGTTTCCTCGGCCGTTGATTTGCGGGATTACCCTTCGTCATAGCGTTCTATGGTGATTTTTGCCGTGGTTCTGGTTCACCTTGTCCAATTCTTGCGGCTCGACGTAAGAGTTCGCCCTCGACAACGTCCTGCGCATTGTCCTTCGATCCGATGACTATAATCGCAGCAGCTCGCATAACAAAGTGACCGGAATATTCCTTGCAACATGCAATCGGTCCCTCTATAGTAGGTTGACCCAGTATAGTCTATAGGGTGGAACAGTGACTGTATGTCAGATGGTACCCCGGGGCCCGGTGAGTGATTTTTAGTAGCGTTATCTCTATCCAGTCAACCGAGACTGCAGGAATTTGAAAAATTTTCGGGCGGTTTATATCATCCGTATGAAGTCACATTTCTTGTCAGCCAATCGGACTACAGTCCACGCTCTGAATCCTCGGAGTTGTAGGATCAGCGCGGCAAAAAGTCCATCCTTGAGAGCAAACAGCCTGGTCCATTTCAATATTGAGCAAAATCTTCGATACCTCGAAGATCTAGCCAACATTCGAGATTTCACATGCATTTGCCGATCCTCAATGCCGACCCGCGGAAGGTTGCTGGTTGGTTAAGACACCTTTCGCAACTCTCAGTTGCGAGGTTGCAAACAGAGACATCAACTTGGACGAAGTTTGCGAAGTTCCTTGGGTCACAAGGGACTACAACGGTTGTGAGGTCCCTAGAAGTTTGTTAGTTTTTGACCGATACATAGAATGCGTGTCTAGATTATCCTACTGAGGAGGGACTTTGCCACTGATTTGTCGTTGAATATGCCGAGCATACACAGCTTGGCCGATTTACCTCCGAGCTGGCAGTCGCCTTTGCGCAACCAGGCATCAGCGATGAAGTGTGTCCACCTGCTGTCATACTTGACTTTATCCTGGTCTCGGGGTAAAGGTCGTTTACTTGGCTTTCCTTCCTGTTACTTACAGTTCCATAGGGAAGCGAGGTGAGGATGTCTATTGTTTCTTGATCTCATCTCAGAATTGGGAGTGACTTCACAAAGCAAAAAGAAGATTAATTAGCTCTCAGAGCTCTAATACGAAAATGTAGCCGTGTTTGCTCGCATTATCGCATGTGTCCTTCACGATACTGGACAGCAAGATTCAATTAAACCGATGTAGAGCATCAGCTGCTACCCCTCTACTCACATCTACTCCGCAGGAAGGCCGAGTTAGGTTTGGTCTGTGTCGTCACGGCTGGGACCTGTGGGACAACCTGGGTCCTCAATAAACAGATCTCTTGAAATAATATGCTTTATCATTTAACAGAAAGTTATCTTCGAATTGAATCAAATACAGAAACTAATTTGAATTTAAATTTAAATTTAAAAATGAATAAAAAACAATTATTGAATAGATGTTTTGTTATAAGGAAGTCTGCTCGCCCTAATGCGTCTATCGATACCAGATTGCGTGCAGAGAGGAACATCTGTAATAAGGTTTCCAGAGTGTATACGGCCAATTAATCAATGCCTGTTTGTGACTACGGATAGATCACTGGGGCCAAACCGTCTGTTCCGGGATAAGTGCAACTTCGTGAATTCTGCAGAGAAATCGAATGTCACTCGAGCGAACCAACAAAATCGACATGGTTACGGGAGTGAATTTATCGGGCGCGGAGTAGGTCATCTAGCTTCCCAAGAGTCGGGTTTGTTTATCTCCACGTATACACGCTTATACACCTCGAGACTTTACCCTCCTGGTAGCGATCGTTACTTGTGTAAGTAATTTGTCGATTTTGAGGAGAAACGTCCTCATGGTTGTTCCCATTGAGTCCTTGTGCACAATCACCTCTTTGTCATTAGGCCTATATTCGACACTGTCAACGCCTGGTTGGAGGCTTAGCCAGGTCGCCCAAAGCATTCTCTCTAACACCAAAGTTCTTGACCATAGAGGTCCGGATTCGGGTGATGGCGCGGTAATTCCAAGGACGACTATGAGGTGAACGACGACGAGTTATTTAGTTCATCTCGGCTCCTATAATGTTCTGCCATGTTATAGGATCCCCGCCTGAAACTCGCGGAATATCTTATTTCTAATGAAATATATTCATGCTTCTACCCATGCTTGAATTTCTCGTTTGCGCAAGCATGTAACGAATCGTAAGATAGTGTCTGCGGGTCGTTCTAGGGCTTGATATATACACGCCCTTCTCGTCGACTTCAACTCCGTGGTTGTCGTTAGGCACCATGTTTCTCATGTCAGACTGGCCTGTATATGTGACAAGTTGTGTGATTACGAGAAGTGAGGTGCTTTCAGACATCTAAAAGTTGACGCACTGTGATGTGAAGGAGATATTGATTTATAGGTAGACCCATATGAACCAAGTTAGTCCCAAAGGTATTGCAACGAATGGGCACTGGCTAATAATATTTATTCTTTAAAGCTCCTGTAAGTTACCAATTCTATCAATTCTTTTTATACGTATTATTCACCTAGGTTAGAACATAGCAATTATTATTATTACACTGGCGGTCCCACATACTGATCATTCCACTGTTCTTTCCCCCTTCATCGATCGTGTAGGTGGACGACCATGGGCATTCGCCACACCACTGCACATCTACCAGTGAGAATAAGTTGCTTAGTACTGACAAAGACAGAGTTCCTAGAAGGCTGGGCTGCTCAAGAATTTCATTGTAGTTTCTCTACGAGTTTAAGAATTCCACCACACTCCAAAATGCTAAATTTGCGATGGAGAAAGTTCCTGATCTCCTTAAAACTCCGCTGTTGGGTGGTTTCGCAACCGCAAATCATAACTCTCCACTATCAGGCAATAGAGCCAGGGCTAATAGGGATCTTTATCGACATATCTGTCTAGCTATAACCGGTGTAGAGATCGAGGATGACGGTAAATCCTACAGCGACGGCAACGAGGACAGGCTGATATGTCGCAACCTTGGAGGTGTTTGGTAGAGAATACCAATCCAATGCGGACCTGGGTCAGGCACATGATAGAAAATACAGGGGATCCCAAGTTGGACGGCCTGAGGACAATGGTCGGGTCGGTATGAACTCTGGTGAACGTGGGTTATTAATAATGGCACTCCGGCTCACAATTTTATTACAAAATCGAACACAAGAAGCCGACGGCATGGAATCGAGAAACAATGGACAACAGTTAGAGGAACCTCTTATTATAAGCCTGCGTCAAGGTGTAACGTACGTGACTATCGAGACTATATTGGTTCGATTACATGGCAACCTTGAACAAGTACCTCAACTTCAAATGCTGTACATTGTACGATATGTACTCATTATACTGTAGATAACCTCCCTTATGGTTGGGATTATCCTCAGGTTTCCCATCAGGCTGTGATGAATGTGTCAGTCACCAAATTGCAAGCCCACAAACCCCCAGTTTGTTGGAAGAAACTCACCATTCTAACTCCCTTCAGTGCAGAGTTCACGCAGCTAGCATCCTTCCATTTCGAGTAACCAAGCTTGCCCACGCCCTTGGTAGCAATGCAGTTGTGCTTCTCGGCCTGTTCCGCCGCATCAAAGCTTCCAGAGTCGATCTCATACATGGGGTTGCTCAACTCCGCCTCGACGAGCAGCAAGAGCCCAACACCGCCGCTCAGGGAAGCCGTACAATAGTTGGCAGATTTGGACGAGAGATCGGCAAGGTAGACACCCTTACCAAAGGCATAACCATTAGCGGGCGCCTCGGGCGGCGCAATGCGCAGCCCTTGCGAGAGAATGCCACCAAAGTTAGTGGTTCGTGATCCATGCCAGAGAAGCAGGCGGTTGGAATCCTTCAGGATTTTGGTGCTCTTCTCGAACCTGTCGTGCTCGCCAGGTCGCTCGATACGGAATATATCCTGCAGTCTGTATCTCAAGCCATGGCCAGCGGCACTCGAGTTAACGAGGTAGTCTGAGAGCTGCTTGTACTCCTTCGACTTGTGGTCCAGAGCAGCGAATTCCTTCAATCCTAACTCCTTGAACCGCGAGTCCAGCAGATTAACGGAGGCACCGTCCTTCGCTTTATCGTTGGCCCGCATGATGGTGTTGGCCACCTCCATATCTGTGAGCGTGTCGAGCATAGCAACCTCCTTGCGCAGAATATTATCGTTGTCGATCATAGGTGGACGGGTCCGCCCAAAAGCATGAGGAATGGTCGAGTAGTACTTGTTAGTCCATTCCTCGATTACCTCGTCGCGGTCTCTGCTGTACTTGTTCCGGGCAAGGCTCGGGTGTTTGATCAGGCTGGCAAGTTCTTTGAGCTCCTCGAACCCCTTTTTGAGGGTGGCCTTGCCAAGCTTGCCCAAGGGCAGCTTATCGGCATTGTAGCCGATTTCTTCGAGAACAGAATTGAAGTGGTTTTCGCTGTATTGATGTTAGATACGGTTTCAGTCTAGGCGAGCACAGTTTGCACTTGAATATGAGCTCCATGAGCCTCTGTGTGGGCATGTCGAGCTCGCTCTTGGTCCGCTTGGCATCGCCGTCCGAAGCGGCCGCATTGTCCCCGTCAACCCCGTCATCGTCGTAGGCCCTTTCGACAAAAGTGTACTTGCTTGCTTTAGGTTCATTCATGCGATCCTCCCAGGCAAGACCGGTCTTGCTTTTGAAGCGTTTCTCATACTCTGTTTCGGCTTCATCCAAGTCTGAGAAATCCACTGTCTTGACTTGACCGGTTTCGCCTACCCTGGAGCAACGGGTCAACTCAATTGTCTTCTCTGACGTAGTGTCAATAGCGTTGCCAAGGGTGCATACCTTCCCCATCGCGCATGGGTATAGTAGGTATCATTCTTGTCGTCTACAAGCAGTTGTAGCATATAGAATTTGTTATTGTTACCCGAAACATTGCTCAGGTTCAAGGAGGCGTCCCAAGCGGTTCCGTCATCGTCAATGTAAACACGAACGTCGCCTTTTCAGTTCTCAGCAATGTTTATCACTTGCTTTGTATTCAACTTACCGGCTTCCTCGAAGCCTTCGTCAATTGGAATCTGAGGCTGTGTGGCCTTGGCACCCTTTGTTGTTTTCTGCTTCTTGGTTGCGGTGGCTTTTCCGCTTGTCTTGACTCCTCTCTTCCGAGTTTGGGCCATCCTGTACTCAAGAAATATGTCAACCACACCGTGGAAACGTGTGTATAGTAGGGATGAGGGCAGTGAATCAAAACTTTTGCCAAAATAGTTGACGGGGGATTATGGACTATGTTGCATGCTTTATACAGCTCCCACTTCACAGATATTGAACATTATACCAAGGCAACAATTGCCCCAGCAAAAGCTACCTTCCCGGCCGCATAATTTGATTGCATCATAAGTCTCCCTCGACTAGCCGTATCGCTGCAGCGGAACACCACGAAACTGCGGGCTGACGTCGCATATGGCTTGAGCTTGATCATGTTCTGCTTCTAAATCTCTCCAAATCCTGGCTTCTGCCTGTTTTATGCAAAGCTATAGGGCTGAGGATTTTTGACCAATGTGCAAACACAGTAGTGATCGACTTATGCCTACCGTAAGTCACAATTTGACGATTGGCTGCGCAATGCGGAGATGGTGAGCCAAAAGTCGAGGCAAGGCAGAAGTCCGTTGGGGTCCAAAAGTTCATGTGCTTTCGCCGTTCTTTCGCCAAAAATGGTAGGATTGCCCTTCCTGAACAAAAAGACACAACTACGTCATGATTGAGGACTCAAAGCTTGTTAATGTTGTTACTTGTAACGTCACTCAATCTGTCTGCAGGAGGCTCCTGTCGCGCACAAAACAAAGCGCTGGCCTGGCTGGTGGCAGACTCATAACCGTTATGGGCTGTACACCTAGACTAGGGAGATTTTCCTGACATGGGGAGTCCACCATACAGGTACACTACTTGAGCGACGAGTAACACGGACGGTGCCTCGACGAAGGCGAGGTCTGTTCTTACGAACGCTATATACGGTGATACACCCCCCCTCAACTACGCACGTTGGACAGGTGAAGCGAAATGTAGATCTCAAAATGAAACGACATCGACACGGTGTAAAATCGATGCCGAGATTAACGACGGATCCATCTTCCCAGATATTTTACTCTTCAAGCTACTTCCGTAATACACGACGCAAGGCGCAACACCCATCGAAGGGGGTGCTGCATGGTCTGGAAGGCTCGTTCTATCTGGGGAAGAAAGGAGGAAAAGAAAGGTATGAAAATGTTAGACAGGAAATTTCGTATTTGAAGGTAGCTGGATGGATTGACGCACAGACCATCCGCATCTTACCCAGGTTAGCTCTCTTTGAGTCGAGACTTTGCCTTGAGCATTGCTGTGGCTGTAGCTGTGGCTATGGCTGTAGCTGTGGCTGTGGCTGTGGCTGTGGCTGTGGCTGGAGGGATACAATTGGAGATGGAGAGGCTGACTTTCCAGATGGTCTTGATTGGCCAAGGCATTTACCGAGGAGCCGACTGGTTCCGTCTTAGAGACTCGAGGACATCGTCGAGAGCTTCAATTCATTGACGGCAGCTTCACTAACATACCGAATTGACGAACCACTCTGTGAGGTACGGGAAGTTTGTCAAAATGATTGGCTCAAGAGTTGGTGTTTCGGCCATGCGCCAGGGTAAGTCGGTCACCAGCTACCACTGGACACTCTGAGCTGCATCATGCCTGGAGATATTGTCGTCTCTGCTGGACAGCCTGCAGGCCACACACGGGGCGAGCCTTGGCCGGACTGGAGACAGAATCCCGTCATGAGCTGCACAAGATCGCTCGAGGACTTGTATCAGATGCTAACACCCTCGTAGTCGCAAGGACCCCCAATGCCGCCTTCTTCTCCCAGAACCTGCCTCGCCTGGCATTGGGCATGCAGGCCAGGTGAGTACATCTCAAACAAGACACACACGATGAACAAGAGCAGCCGACTGACGTTGCCTGGGCCCTTGCCAGAACCGTGAGCACCTCGAAACTTTCCGAGGCCGACGCTCAAGCACTCCTCGCCACCCAGCGCCAAAGCCGACCCGTCGCTCCCCATCTGCAGATCTACGACAAGTCCCAAACGTGGTTCGGCGGCTCCATCTGGACACGTATCACCGGCTCCATCTTCTCGGGCGGTCTCTACACCTTCAGCGCCGCCTACCTCGTCGCCCCCCTCTTCGGCTGGCACCTCGAGTCCGCCTCCATCGCCGCTGCTTTCGGTTCCCTGCCTTACGCCGTCAAGGGCGGACTCAAGTTCTTGGTCGCCTGGCCTTTCGTCTTCCACGGCATCAACGGCATGCGTCACTTGACTTGGGATTTCGCCAAGGGCTTCAGCAAGCCTGCCATCAAGACCTGGGGTACCGCCATCTGGGGAGTGAGCATTGTTTCTGGATTGTACCTGGGTTTCTTCTTCTAGAGGGCGAGGCAGAACGATATAAGGGAAGGATGGACTAGCGAAAGACGAGATAGACGTACATGGCTGAGCACGTTCTTCCGTGACGAAACTCGCTGTTATGCAATCAATGCGCCTGAAAGATAACGACCACATCGACTGCGTCGGGTTGGGCAGAGAAACAGGTGGGGGAGATTCTGTATATGTTGTAGAATTACATGATTCCGATGAAATGCAGAGGGAACTGAGAGTTATACCGCGATCGACCTTGGCTACATGTATACCTACCATGGTAGATGCCGCACAAATTGTACTATGTTTGTTTACCGTGATTTGCAAACTATCGTAAGGATTCCATGATACATATCTATAGTTAGCCTGAGATCAGGTGAATGTTTCTGTGATGACAGCAAAATACAAGCACGTGTCAGGTCGGGTCTATTATTCAAGATAGCATGGAAGATGTACCTCGTCATGCAAATCTTGTATTTGATGTGCATATAAAAGATCAAAGTCTAGCACATATGATGCCTAAGTTTGGTCCAGACTACGGAGACTAACTCAGGGCGACTAAAATACAAACCCTCAGCCTGTTTCCTCAGACCCCTAATGATGTCTGCTCTCATGTCGAACGCCATTCGCCTAAGCCGATGCAATTTGGTGCCTTGGGGTATAAAAGAAGGAGAATACCACAGCGTGAAAGACAAGCGCCTCCCTCTAACCCAAATGCCATATTTTCCTGAGGGTGTCCTCTCCTCCAATTTTTGGCCATAGTGATGCCACATGTCGTGCTTTTTAATTCAGAAGCTACGAATCAAAGGACCATGGGTTATAGTCTGGTGGATGAATGCGCAATTGCTAGTGCGCATTGAAGGCTCGGGCATCTAGGACAGTCTGGACAAGTCTGTGATCTCCCAACCTTGCCACTTTTTCTCCTATCAAGTCTCCCAGGAAGTCCTTCAAGTCCGAGGACTCACGGTCGCTTACGCCGTTGACACCGTTAGCTAGGAACAGATCCTGGTCCGGGAGCATTGTCCTGATAGCTTTGATGATGGCTCCGAGAATGGCTTCCAGCTCGATCTGGTTGTTGTCTGAGCTGCTATCCTTCAGCTTCTGCAGCATGCCGTCGGAAAAGTTCTTGAAGTTTTGCACAGCAAGAACCCTGATTGCTTCAGGCCCACCAGCGGCGGAGAGGCCGAGTATTGCACCGTACCAAACGGACGCAGGCATGTTGATGTCGAGGAAGTGCTTGAGACATGTGCGGGTTATCTTTGGGCGGAGCATCTTGTTAGATGCTGCGTACTTTTGGCAGATCCGACCAATGAGACTTGCACTGAACTCGCGCAACTGATAGACTTCGTTCAGCCAGTCCGAGCCATTCTCGTTGCCCAACTTGCGGCCAAGCAGACAGGTGAGAACAGGGGCTGATATGGGACTAGCATATGGGTCTAGGTAGATCTCCGGGTTCTCGACTAGAGCATCCGTCAACTCCATCATCCGGCGCAACACGAACAAGTCGTCCATATGGTGTGTGACTTCATTGGAGATGAAGTTGACAAAGTAAGGCACGAGCTGATGGATACCAGGATCCGACTTGACCGACTCCAGAGCTGCTGCGCGTAGCTCCTGGGCCACAGCTTCAGGATTGTCATCCAGCAGTGCGGATTGGACCTTTTCGAAGTAGAGGGTGAGCTCTGTGCTGATGATATGTTTGACAGCAGGCCGAAAGCTGGCTCCCTGGTTGCCGGCAAGAGCTGGCAGAGCAGAATTAGCACCAGGTCCTTTGGGGAGGAGCTCTGTTGATCGCGACTCGTTGCTGCTGGGGTTCTGAGGAATGGTGGGCTGGACACCTTCGATGGCAAGCCAGTGACCTGTGGGTAGGCAATCAGTTAGTAAAAGCAAAAGACAGCGGAGATTGTCTTGGTCAGGGCCAAACATACCAGTGAAGTTGCTATCCCTAGGTACTTTTGGGAGGGGATTGTTGATCAACTTCTCAAAATCTACCTCCTCGTCCTCAATGTAGAAAAGCGGCTGACCGGGACCGAGACTTGCTTCTCCATATCTGACAGGCCTGGTGCTATCATACCCGTAAAGAGGTTCGACATCGAGAGACTTCAAGGCTGATCCAATGTCTTGTGTTGTGAGTGTGGAGCGCTTTGCTGACTTCATGAAGCGGAGTGCCTCAATGATGACCTGGCCGATACGGTACTCGACGTCCTGAGCCAATGTGCGTAGAGCCTCCTCGTTGAGGCTGCCGATACCCAGTGACTCGGCGACATCCTTCACGTTGTCGGGGTTCCAGAGCAGAGCTTGGTCCTTCTCTTTCGTCTTGGCTCCAGCTTCCTGGGACACGGACGGGCGAGCGGCGCTGTTGGATGCCATTCTCGGTGTTGAGGGTCACAACTGGTCCGGAAACGAGGCAGTGGCAGGTAGCGATACGCTGAAATGATATTGTATGGTTGGTCTAAACTAGAAGGACCGTCGCAGCAGCTCTCGTCCACGTGACCGTTCAATGAGAACCGTGAAACTGGGCACGCAGAAGGCTTTACACGGCGGTGGTCACTCGCACACGCCGTTGATTCAGATTGCGCAAGAGCTCGACGAAAGGGAGTGTTGAGGTCGTGACAGAAGTCGGTCAAGGCGGGGTGACTTTGATTCAACTGCGCATTGGACTCGACGGGACTGGACTAGATGGACATCGCCAATGGTAACTCTTGGTCAATCGCAGTGGTGCGGAATCGCCCTGTGGTGTCGATAGTCACAATGATGATGTTGAGGATATTATTACTGTCACCGGCTCGTCGATGTGATGATACCTGGGCAGAGTGCTCGCAGCAAGACGAGGCTGATGAACGAAGCTCGAGGTTGGTGTTGTTTCCTATTCAGCCTCCGCAGAGCTCGGCGGCCACTGAAAACACCGCTAGCAGCAGCCTGCCAGCGACTTCCAGCTGCCGCCTGCGCCCCTGCAGCATAGCGTGAACTCACATATTCATTCTATTCCTGCCGCTAAACAAGAACCAAAGTTCACTGCTCTTAGTGTGGCTTAGTGCTTGAACGAGCATCCGTCAACCACGAAGGATTATAGGGCTCCCTTTTAACACATAGTCTCAAGTGGTCGTCTGTCGTTTTGAAAACCCGCGTCTTTCTGCTGCTCCTTTGCAATCCTCCGATTCGTTCTCGTCCGGCAACATGCTGGCATGAACGGCGACCAGCTTCCTGTGCTGAGCAGAAATTGGCTCGTAGAAGGGCGGAGAGGATAAAGAAGCAAAGTGTATACTCGAGTTAATTGTGCCGGTCGAGGCCACTAGTTGAGAAATCAAGGCATGGGAGCGTGCATGATGCATTTCTCAGCCGACAGGTTGGATTGCTTGTCCTGGGTTTGGTGCATGATTGCCGTCAATATCATGTCATGAGAGATTACTTCCCTAGGTTAGGTGGTTCCGAGTTTTCCTTGAGCCAAGCTTTTCACAGAGCTGTTTACATTGGAGAAACTTGGCATTATGATCCGTTCCTCTGCCTTCGACTATTATTTACCCAGTCGCACCGAAAGCCGCCTACCTACCATGCGAAACGACGCTGCTTCTCAAGCTATACCTACTGAAAAGCTGCCCAAAGGAGTATGAAACATTCGGAATGGAGCTTGTAAATATAGTTGACCTCTCAAACCTGAGAGTTTGGTGGTTAACCTCTAGACTATCCCAGCACTTTTGAGAAGATAACCATAGCTGATAGCTACGCCACGCAGCCGAAATCTCCCCTCATACGACGGGCGTCTAACTTTCCTATAGTTCCTCTTGCGTGGACCCTTGACACTCTTGTCAGAGCTCAGCTAGTACTCGCAGAGTGAACAGGAAGGGTTGATGCCTGCGGCTACTGCAAGATGCTACCACCTTGAACGGTGTCCTTTGAACACGAGCTTGGCAAGCTGAGGAATGACATTATCGAGGACCTTTGCCTGATGTGCACAGATAATGGCAACTACAAGCAACGATAGGGAAATACACTTGTGTACCGCAGGCGTGACAGGCCTCCAAGATTTGAATAGGAGACGAGCCATGGCATTAGAAACATCCCCACACACCGTATACCCATTATAGTGTTGCAATAGTAAATAATTTTTCTTTTATTGTATTAGAGTCATACGAAAAATTATGGTTATAAGAGTACTGCAAGGATAAAACCTCTCGTTTGCACGTTTGTCACTCTACCCTGAATCCTTCACAATTTCGGAAATGGATTAGCAAGCCCGTCTATTACGTTCCTTGGTGTATGATTTCGACCCTTCTATCCTTATTTTCATTCTTTATAGGCGAACAGATCTTTGTGCGTCGTAGCCGCCTCCAATCGTTCTCTCGCGACCGTAGGTAGGAGTGGGCGTGGGCTTGTTATCCAGAATCTTTTCAATCTCCTCCAAAACCTCGGGTGTGAGCTTCTCGGACAACTTGAGCGATTTGAGGTTGTCTTCAATCTGCTCAACCTTGGTCGCTCCCAAGATGACGGTGCTGACGTTGGGGTTCTTCAGGGCCCAAGCCAGAGAAAGCTGTGCGACGTTTCCACCGAGCCTCTCGGCAATGGCTGTCAACTTCTTCACCTTCTCAATCTTGGCCTTGCCTTCCTCTGTTTGGAGCGACTTGACGCTGTTCTCGAAGAACGACTTGTTGGTGGCAAAGCGAGAGTCCTCGGGGATGCCATCATTGTACTTGCCGGTCAGCAGGCCGGAGGCCAGAGGCGACCAGATGGTCGTGCCGTACTGGAACTGCTGGAAGAGGGGAGCGTACTCGACCTCAAAGCGCTGGCGGTGGAAGGCGTTGTACTGGGGCTGCTCAACAACGGGAGCAATGAGGTTGTACCTCTCGGCGATCTGGATGGCCTCCTGAATTTGAACAGCGGACCACTCAGAAGTTCCCCAGTAGTAGGCCAGGTTGAGGTTGCGGATGGTCTGCGTAAAGCCCTCGACGATCTCCTTCATGGGAGTGGCAGGGTCGGGACGGTGAGCGAACACTATATCCACATAGGGTTGTTGCAGACGCTCAAGCGAGCTCTTCAGTCCCTCGACAATGTGCTTCCAGCTCAGACCACGGGTGTTGGGCTCCTTGCGGCCGGTACCGAAAAAGACCTTGGTGGTGAGGACGTACTCGTCTCTCGGCCAGTCGAGCTCCTTGAGTGCCTGACCCATCTCGACTTCCGACTCACCGGAGGCATATGTCTCGGCAGTATCGAAAGTGTTGACACCATGGTCCCAGGCAGTCTGAAGACACTTCTTGACAATCTCACCCTTCTGAGTACCTCCGTAGGTGAGCCAGCCACCAAGCGAGAACACGCTCACCTTGAGACCAGTAGGTCCAAGGTGGCGGAACTGCATGTCCTTGGGGTCATATGCTGATCGTACGGCCGGCATTTTGTCAGATGAATAGTGTCTTGTGAGTGCGGTGAATGTACGAGTGTTGAAAAGTCTTGTTACACGAGTATACATGACAGTTTGGAGCGGGGGGAGGGGCCGAGTGACTTAAGTATTTCCGATTATGGAAGGCCGCTTCACCGCGTTTATTAATATTTAAGTCATTCCTAAAGCAAACAAGCCATCTGCTATGACGGGCTCTTAGCTGAGATTGGCTTAGGACAAACCTATTTTCCCCATTATTTTAATATGGCGATTCTAAGTGCGCTTGTGATAAGCACTGTTTGGGGGGGTGTGAAGAGGTGTGTAAACGGCTAGTGTATCATGGCTTTTCTCAAGGACCCTGAAAGCTATCTATCTTAGCTTAACCATTACTTAGAACTGTGGTGGGCCACGGCCTTCTCATGTCCCTTAACCTCATGAGCTTTCCGTGTTAATATGAACACGTCTATATCAAGAGATGCCATGCCTACATCCTTATTACCTAAGGTATACCGTGGTAAATCTGTGCATTATTTGTTAGGTAAGCACATTCGGTCAGTAGCCACAAAAGTGGGTTTTTTGCTTTCCCAATCTCAAGTACCAACATAAACAACCGTCGTATTCTGCAAGGCAAAGAACGAATGGTGACGTAACTGTGAACCCCGCGCTTCTCTCAAGGGATAATCAGGGGGCGTAAAATTATCGCCGATCATTAGTAAGCGATAGTTAGATGCCATTCTTGAGGACCTTAATGGTATCCGAAAGTGTTTATTTCCTTTTCAAGGATGTTGATTCTGTTGGTTGGACAGATCTGATACCACAGATATCCACTATTGCGGAATAGGATGAGAGGAAGATATACTCGTCGGCTGACACATATTGGTCCAGCTGCTAATATAGTCCGCATCCACTATATCCCCACCAGTTGTGCCACCCTGACGTTCTTCTCGTTACACGATATGATTACCAGATTCCTGGGAATCGTTCTATTCTTATATGGAAAACTTGGACGTTCTCGTATCTTATCGTCCTGCGAGACTCGCAGACTCACAGAGCATCCCAACAACTCCATGCCAACATTCTCAAATGCGATGCGCATGCGCCCATGTAAAATGCACGGCCATCGAGGTAGACAGTCAATCTATAAGTGACATTTCACTAATAAACCAGCATCTTTCATTAGTCATTAGATGCCCCAAAAACCAGAATACTTGACCAGATCCGGATCGTTTTCGAGATTCGACTGAAATCATGCTTTTCAAACGGGATGAGAAATCTGACCCTTCGTTCGTGTTGGCCACCCAACGGCCACAGCAAGTGCACGGGCATGATGTTCTCAGTAATGTACCCAGGAGTCATTAGGGGCCGAAAACACGCAGGTTTCCCGAAAACGAAATCAGCCGTGCGATCGGGGCGTGTGCGGCACTGGGTGATGGCAGAGCTCAGCGGCGGGAGCGAGTCGATACGAGATGATAGAGACAGCTTGTTGCGCACAGCGGCGATAGAGTCTTGTCAGCTTAGAAAATCCACTGGGATGCATGTTGTCCGCAGGCTTGATAGCCCTATGTCGAGCCAATTGCTTTGAAACCTTCCTGGCAGTCTGGGGCGAGCCGCTACCGCATCCTTATTGCTCTATTAACAGTGGCTGGCGCCGACACGGCAGTCTGGTCCCGATGGGGGCGGGTTCGATGTTCTGGAGGCACTCTGAGGGCCACAAACCGCGAATTTATCTATCTACCAGTGGATCGTCCTCATCTGGTAGTGGTGTGCCACCTGCAACAAGTTAAATTTGTAGCACTTTTTTTTACTGGTTACGTTAATATATTGTAGCTCTGACCCCAAGCATGAAAGATTCTCATCGTATGGTCTCTCATCTTTCGAAGAGCTTCAAGCGGCCAATATCGCAATCGTGGTAATTATTTTCGATAGCATTGGCTTGTTTTGGTCTCTCCCGCTGACATCAGTCGACGCAAGGGTCACAAGCAAACGGTATACATCGGTGCTCTAGATGCGCTCTGCAAGCAGGAGTTGACGAGTACATAGACCAACTAACCAACCCTAGTTCGAGCATGTTGACCCTCACACAGTTGATCCCACCCTCCTGCAAAAAAAGAAATTTCTCACGTTGGCACGAAGCCAGATATTGACAGAAGTGGGATTTGAACCCACGCCTCATCGAGACTGCAAATCACTCTATGTTTCACTATAGAGAAGTACGAATACTTGAGTGCAGCGCCTTAGACCGCTCGGCCATTCTGCCCTGAGTTGATAAAGTAATTAAGGCTCTGCGATGGCTTGAATTCTCTGCACATGTGCAAACAATGTAAGCAAAAGTAGCGCAGGAGCATTTTGGCAGATAGTTGTGTATGTAAAGTGGGTCGTGGATGGGTGGATATAATATTTTGTCTAAAGGGGTCCAGTGATGAAAACAACAAAAGATGTCAGACCTTTGCAAAAAGGAACGAGCACGTGGATGTGCTTGATGTTGTCCGACCGACGCAGGGCTCGAACCTGCAATCTTCAGAGTATGGGATTTCAGTGAACCGAAATCTGACGCGATACCATTTCGCCAGCCGGCCAGTTGTTGCTATTACTTGATAGAAAATTTACGACTCTATTACGTACTGGCTAGACACGAATTTGTTTTAAATATTATGTGGAACTGTACATGTTTTGGAGATCAACGACGGCCATTTTAAATGTCTCTATCAATGAGCTTCGTGAAACAGATCGTTGAACTGTCACAAACCATGGGCAAGATCAAACAGTTATGCGAATTTTGCTACGGGAGAATGATGAGTTTCAATTGGTTCTGTGAATTACTGTAATTGTAGCTATGTCGAGATCTAGCCGTACTTGGTTCTAACGAATGTCTATGCATGTAACTTTTTTTTTTCCCCTTTCTTATTTCTTCTTCCAAATTGAACTCTAGGAGCTGTTTTGGCTAAACACTTCTGTTGAAAATTGACAATATTTGTAAAATGATCCAAAAAAAAAATCGTCTTGCTGTTCGAGTGTCATGGTTTCCTCTAATTGGCGAACCAATTATTACATTCCCATCAGGGCTCTAGCACCAGGCTCGCTGCAGACGTATATGACGTCGTGAGCATCAGAGAAGCCGTTGAACTTGGTGGCAGAGCACTTGGTGTAAGCACCCATATCCTCAAAATAGAACCAGTCGCCAACATCAAGTTCTTGGTCGAAACGGATGCTATCGGTGATACGATCGATTCCGTCACAAGTAGGGCCCCAAATGGAGTACTCGATGCCTCCATTGGTGCCTGCGGGACAAGCCTCTGCAAAAGGCGTGTTGTACAAAGTCTGGCCTCCGGTACGTAGGACCTTGGCAACTGGATGCTGGTGATCGAACATAATGCTGCTGAAGTTGCCGTATAAGCCGTCATTGACGTAAGCCATGTAGCTAGCCTCACCAGTGGTGGGATCCTCAATGGTACGACGGGCAATAATGTTGCAGGCAATGGTGAAGGCTGTCGCAACATAGTATCGACCGGGCTCAGCGATAATATCGATGGTGGGCGGGAAGTACTGGTCCAGAGCCTCACGAAGGACATGAGCCATGGCCTCAAAGGACTCGCCACAGAAACCGCCTCCAACATCAAGCGTCTTCAAGTCGTACCCGTAAGCGGCAGCTTGCTTGAAGACATGGGCAGCGTCTTGGACAGCCTTGAGGAAGGCTAGAGGGTCCGAAGCACCAGAGCCGACGTGGAAACTGACTCCAACCACATTGAGGCCCAAATCACGTGCAAGTGCCAGTAGCTCATCTGTAGAGTCGAGGGAGGCACCAAATTTCAAACTCAAGCGGCACAGACTGGAGGAGTCATCGGTCAAGATGCGCAGGAAGAGTTCGGCGCCAGGATAAAGCTTAGCGATCTTGCGCAGTTCATCAGCATTGTCGAATGTCATCTGTTTGACGCCCTGGTTGGCGACATAGCGCACATAGGAGTTGGTCTTGCATGGCTGCGCATAAATAATGCGCGAGGGATCGACGCCCATGTTCAAGACTTGTTCGATTTCAGCCTTGGAAGCACAATCAAAGCCAGTGCCTAAACCCGCGAGAAGCTTTATGACCTGAGGGTCAGGGTTGCACTTGACGGCTGCACACAGGATTAGTAATCGTTTCCACCGTAGAGAGAGAGAGAGAGAGATAGAGAGAGGGAGGGAGAGGGAGACAAAAACCGTGTGGGGAAAACGTACCATAGAAGGGCTTCACACGTGGGAGGTTCTTCTTCCATCGCATATGCTGGCGATAGACCTCGCCGAGATCGCCCACGAAGAACGTATCTTCATCTCCTGGATCACAAGATTCATGATCGATACTCTCCACACGTCGGCGGAGGGCATCGCCAATCATGAGTTTGGCAAACAAAGCGCCATTCTGCTGTGGGTCAAAGAAGGAACTCTTCCTGACGTGAGCAAAATTATTGTGGTTATTATTAAATATAACCGGTGCGATATGCTCGACAGCGACTGTTGCCATAACCATATCCCTCGTTTGTAACTGAAGGGAGTTGGGAAAGGTGGGTGAGATGACCGTTCGATTCGGGGAATATCAGAGGTGAACTCTGGTGGTATTAATATTCAAGGCTAGCTCTATGAATAGAAGCCTAGTGTATAGTGAGATGATGGGTACCAGAATTCAGATTCTGATGTTAAGGGGGTCGAAAACGGTAGCTTCCTGATCCCGAAGCGATCTGACGAGGTCTCCTCGACTCCCCCTCGGCAAGAGGAAGAGGCTTCGAAGTCGTCCTATGCGGCAGCTGGTGATCTGGGGAGATCTTGGGGTTTTGGTCCGAAGTATGGTCGGGCGTGAGGGGAACTTGTTGCCGCTTAGAGAACTTCAGCAGCAGGTGGAGGTCGGGAGTTGATGATGTGGAAAGTCTTTCGAAGCGAGAAATCTTGGTCAGAGACGAAGTTGACGGCCGTGGAAGCCGTAGTAACAAGGGGGCCTTTGAGCGACCAAAGGCGAGTCGCGCGGACAAATTTGGTACGAACTTGTGAGTTCGTGATAGCGCTATGAGCGGAGTGAGATGAAATGCCGCATGGGCTGTAGCAGAGATGAAGATGGTTCGCGGTGGCCCGAAAGTAGTTCTCGAGAGAATTTAGGAGAAGAGAAACTTGGGTTTGGGGGGAGTCACAGCCGAGTGTGTGTAAAAACCAAAATTCGTAGTGGTGGGGCCAAAAAATCTGGGGCATGTGAATTGGTGTTGAGCGCGGTCAATGTAATGACGTACCGAAAATAGACGACCAGGGATACGCAGAACTATACAGGTAGAATGCGGTCCCGGCTTTTTGCGGCAGTTTGATTTTTTCGTTACGATGGCAAGAGGCGCAGCCTTTCGGATATCAGCGTGATGGAGCTGAGGAGGCCTCAAGGCAAATGCTGAGTGATTTTCTATCTGGACAATGTGGACGGTACGTGAACAATATTGGAGATGGGGATTATTGAAGGGGATGGGAACAATCCATGGTGTTTGCCAGACTTGGCTCGACTTCGGGCGCGAAAAAGCCCATAGCGGGGGTGCGAACTACTTTGGCCCTGACAACCCTGACCACTGGGACGCATCGAGATGTCTGACTAGCTGGACGCAGGCCCCAGGCGCACCGCGCTTGGGTGACATTGATCAACAAGGGGAAAATTCTGCTTGCATGCCTCTGCCACTATTTCCATGTGTAATGGCTTTTACCTATCGGCTTGATGTGCAAGGAACCGCAAAGCTCTAACTTAATTACTTGATGGCACATTTCCTAATGGCTGCAGTCCGCCGATTGCTACTATTGGATAAAGTGGGCTTTTGACCCTTGCAAATGCAAAGCCAACTGTGCTGCATAACCAGACCGTCGCTGGACGTTGCAGCCAGCCAGCTTGTACAACAGTTTTGTTATTACGTGCTTGGGCAAGCAGCGATTTACCGCTCCAACCAACGACCGGAAGCGGGCATCAGGAAACCAGACCCCGTAACTTGTTCATTTGTCCTAGACCGCAATGCTGCACTGTCTTGCATGGAAGTCTAGCCATCCCCTCTCCTCTTCGGAAGAACTCGTTTCAAGTTCCTTTTCGTCGATAGAGTGTCTCGCTCGTTATGTGTATACTTCATGTCTCAGTGTCCATGCCTCACAAGCCAGTCTCAACTGATAGTATACCGAGGCCTCCTTTTACCCATAGGACATTTTTGTACTTTTTACCACCATGGTGCAGGTTTCAGAAAATCGCGCAACCGTTGCTACTGGCCCACCATAACCTGTGGTGGAATGTCTTCTTAATTCGCAAAACTGCATAGGCCCCCTAGTCTAGTGTTCGCCAATTCTCCTTCCAAAGCGGTGTACGTCCGAATTCACCAAGGACAGCTGGTCACCACGTAAGCATGTACTCTGCCCTATAGTCCGGACTTCCAATGCTCAAGGAATCCGAGTCTGAAAGGACGAGCCAGATGTAGAGCCTATCAAGTCGACGACGGGTCTGTGTTTCCACTAACCCAAAAGTTTGCTCGACGGTTTTCATGATCTGATTCTTGCTCTTGCGTCGCTCTTGTGACCTCAATGCTACTGTGAAAAAGCAGTGAGGCGTATCGGTATCTGAACGCTGTTTAAGGCATATATGTCAAAGGTTGTACGCCACTTGGCATACTATTCAAGTCATCCTGAAAGCGTGAAGTAGCTCTGGTAGCTGAGCTAGCCAAGCCCAAGTAGTGTACATGTCTATTAGAGGTGGGTATATGCACAATTATTGTACAGTCTGCGCCGATATATACAAATATCACAAGGCGCCGCCGTTCTACTCGACATCATCCGCGGCATCGGCACTGCCACTTACATTCATTTCCCGTAGGCTCCAAGAGTCATCAACCCAGTCCTTCTTCTCACCGAGGAAGGCGACTCTTTCCTTGCCCTTGGCAAGGGCTTCGACAATATATTTCTGGGCGACTTCCCGGATCTGGTCTTTTGTGACGTCGAGCATTTGTTGTCGACGGTTTTGCTTCATCTCGTCGGTAAGGCCGTACCTGAAGCGATCCATGCCTTCAGTATTGATGGACTTGGGCGCGTCAATACCCTTGAACAGCGAGATCTTGGCCTCTTCCAAGTCTTGATCTCTGAACTGCTTATCTACTGCCCACTGGCCAGCTCCACGCATGATGCTGAGTGTGTTTTGAGGGTTCGGGTCACGGTAGGAGTAAAACCCGAACAGACCGTCAAGACCTTTCATGTAAGCGCCGCCACCATATGCGCCTCCCTTCTCACGGATCTCGTGATGCAAGTGCTTATGCGTCAAAAGCTGAGAAAGAACCTGCAGAGGTGCGCCGTCTTGGTGTGTATAGGACACGGTTGGAATGGCAAGTCCGCCATAGTAAACTTGGTACGGGAGAGGGTAGAAGGCCTTGATGTCACGAGGTAAACTTTGTCGTTGCGAGTCGGGGAAGGTTACTGCCTCCGTGGGGCGCGCGGACATAAACTTGGCCAGAGCGCTAGAATTTGCAGACACACTGTCTGCGCCGCAAGTAAGAGCCACGCGCATGTTCGAGCCGCCGATTGCAAAGTTTTGAATTTGTTTGAGTTTGTCAATAACATCATCGTATTTGTCCGTTTCTGGACGCCCAGCTAGCGACGCGGTTAATTTGACCTGAGTAAGACCAGAAACTTGCTCGCCCAACCAAGCATCCCGCGTGAGGCCGGCTTCTGCAGCTCTCCAGGCGTAGGAGTGCCCAGAGGAGGCAATGGCACTGACAACGCCGTCCGACGATGCCTCAAGCAATTGTCTGATCTGTTTGGAGGCTTCCGGACTGTCAAAATTGGTTTCGAGTATCAGCTTTTGTAGTAAATCGAACATGTCGGGAACGTTGCGATCAAGTGCCATTCCAGACAAACTAATGCCTTCGGACGCTTGTCGGAAATCAGTCGGCGAGGCTGAGCTGTGGTAGCCAACAGAAATCCCACCGGTCTTGAGCTTGATCAAATCCTCGATTTGCTCCATCGTCAGATTCTTCGTACCAAGTCTCATGATCGAGTCTGTGAATAAAGGGATCAAGGCACGAAGTTCGTCGGGAAGGTCTTCCAACGTGTTGATGGCGCGGAAGTAGGTCAGTCCGTTGGTGGGAGCTTCGCGCCATTGGATCTTGCTCCCATGTGCAGCTTCGTCCCTGACTGAAATAAGTTCCTTCTCCCTTGGAATGTCCCGCACATGTACAGTAGGAAGACAACTCAGATCCTCGGTATTAGTCTTGCTTTGCTCAGCCAATAACTCAAGCTCGCGTTCTTCGAAGAATTTACGGGCTTCTGATTCGCCTCCAGCTTCTTGTGTGGCTTGCATGATCTTGGCGGCCAGTCGCTCATCTTCTTCCCTGGTGACATCCGCGCCATAAGTCGAGGAGGGAGCCATTGTGAAGGTCATGGTATGGTCGTTGAGCAAATACTTGTCCATGAGGCCTTCGAGGTAGCCCCCTTTGGCCATATTTGCCTCGAATGCATCAATGACCTCATTCCAAGCCAAGGTGTCCAAAGGATCCGTGCCACGGAACCAGGGCGACTTGACCCGGTGAACGAGGCCCATGCCAAAGCCGGCCGTCTTGTGCTTCAAAGAGAGCTCCAACTGATGCATGTATCCATCAATCTTGGATCGGTCGAATCCTTTTTGGCGCACCTCTCTGAATATTTTCTGAATCTCTGGCTTGACCTTCTCTACGTCTCCTTCTTGTACTCCAGTCAAACCGACGGAGAATATTCCAGTGGCGGTATGACTGTCATAACCGGTGTTAGGACTGTAATCCGTGCCCAGACCCGATTCAATCAAGCCCCTATACAGAGGTGACCCGTAGCCATCGGTGAGTAAGCTTGACAGTATCGAGACACCAAAAGACTCAACGATATCGCTTGTCTCTCCAGTGATCCACGAGACAGATGTTTTGTATTGCTTATCTGGGTCCGCCAGGGGATCGACAGGGCCAAAGACGGTGACATTCCGAGGACCATCACTGAGGTCGATAGGTCTCTTGGTATCCACGTCTGCCTCGATCTTCTCAAAGGCAGCAAGCTGAGCATCTACTTCTCTGAGATGATCAGCCAGCGGCATGTCTCCGTAGGTCAACAACTTGGCGTTGCTCGGATGGTAGTGGTCTGCGTGGTACTTCTTGAGTTGTTCATAGGTCAAGTCGGTAATCTTCTCCGGGTCGCCTCCTGAGTTGTTGATGGCTGGGAAAATGTGGTCTTGAAAACGGATATAAAACAAGTAACCGGCGTCGGACATCTGACCCTTCATTTCGTTGTAGACGACGCCCTTGAAGACCAACTTGCTGTCTTCGGGTGTGGCATCCCCATCCTTCTCGGCAACGCGCGGGTTCTCGGGCCCTATCCGCCATCCCTCTTGGGTGAAGTCGGTCTTCTTCAGGAGAGGATGCAAGGTAGCGTCGAGATATACAGACATGAGGTTCTGGAAGTCCTGTTCGTTGGTTGTCGCAAAGGGGTAGAAGGTGTGATCGGTGGAAGTGAGGGCGTTCATGTAGTTGGACAAGGTTCGCGGCAACATCTTGAAGAAGGGGTCTCGAATGGGGTACTTTTCACTGCCGCAGAGGGTAGTGTGCTCGAGGATATGGGGGACACCGGTGTCGTCTGGAGGATTCGTCTTGAAGCCGATGGAGAACACATTGTTGCTGTCGTCGCGGGCAATATGTAGATAGTCCGCACCCGTCTTGTCATGCTTGAGGTGCAAAGCAGTCAACTCCAGCTCGGGTACATGTTTCGTCCTCAGCAAGGTGAAGCCATGGACCTTCTCGCCAGGTTTGGGATACTGGGAAAGCTCTGTGACAGCTTTCTTGGCCGCACCTTTGACAGCATTTGTAGCATTCCGAAGCATTTTGTGTCGGAACAGCAGACGAAACAGTAATTAAAGGCAGATAGATGCTAAAGTACAAGTAACAGAAAATTGGGGAATACGAAAAGAATGCGTGGTTTGGAGTTGTCAAAGATGAATCGCAACCACGACTGCCGATGGGCCCTCGAAAATTTCCGAGGCAAGTACGACCCGACCGACCCCATTGGAGCTGTCGCGCTGGATGACGCACCGCACCGCCCGATAGCTTATCACCGGCTCGGTTTAGTGAATATATCGAATGGACGGACGAGCCTTACAAATCAAGAGCAGTTCCCAGTTATTGTTCATCGGACTAGTCTAGTTAGGTTGCAGTATCGACGTGGAAGACATTCCGAAACAGTGCTGATGAACGTAGGCTGCAGACAGTCGAGGAACGAAAAAACACAGCCTTTAGCCTCAGCTGATGTACATATCCATTCGGATTATCAGATGTTGAACCTTTGGGTAGGTAGGAGGTGGATGGCCATGGAAGCTGAGATCAACCCCTGTAACGGCTTGACCCCGATATAGCCACGTTCTGCTTGTCCGACAGCGCCATTCCTTTGCGGGCTGATCCACTGCGCCGGGTCTTCACCTCGGGGGGGTCACGCAGCACCTGGGGGGCAGTTTAGGGACGCTCTTGGTGCAGGGTGATTTGGGGTCTTGTTGGTTTAATGCACATCCCGAGTGGATGAGATGCATTGACCAAGCAATCTTGTAGGCGCTAGCGACATTCACGACCTGGCCTAACCCAGTGGACGTCAAAGTCTGCTTGCCATCATTGATCGAGTGGTTGTATGCAAGACAGCCAGTTTGACTACAGTACTGGAGAAATAACCCATCTCTGGACTGCCTGAGACAGACCCCGTCGCTCGGCCAATCCTTCGACCTCACCACCTAGACCCGGACTCTGCATAAGTGTTAGACCAACCATTTGTTCTTCAGCAGCGTCCTCATCTAACGCCACTTATGAATGCGCTCTTGTATGTGCATGCCCATACTCATCATACCCATACCCGTGCCCATAGCCATGCCCATGCCCATGCCCATGCCCACCACAAGAGACACCTCTCTGGGCATCCCGCCCTGAACTGCTTCTTCCCCCGTCGCCGCCTGCCCTTGCTTACCCAACCTCCCGACACACAGCTACGGGCATAGGAAAGTCATCCGACGGCTCTAGCGATGATGGCGACAGCGAACCACTCCGGTAATGCAGCCACCCCGGCTCCTCTCGCCTCGAATCCCATCACCAACGGAGCCGACCACTATCACCATCACGACCACCGCCCAGCACCAACGCCCGCATCCGCCGCCAATGCTAACAACAAGAAGGCCAAGAGCAAGAAGGCCATGGATTCCTCCGAGGCATCCAAGCTGGTCGCTGCCAGGATATCACAGTTGGAGGTAGACAATGCCGCCGAGAAGGAACAGCAGGAAGAGATTGGTACGTCATGCCTGCTACTGTCACGCGACTGCTTCGCCGGATCACGGAGGGGGGCGGGGGCGGGGGCGGAGGGACGAGGTGGTGGAGGCAATCAGACCATGATCGCGACCACTCGACCTGCTCGCCAACCGTTTGCCCCTAGGGTTGATGTTGTTCCAGGTAGAAGATACATGTGCTGGACTTGTACTGACGCCTCCTGCTGCTCTAGATCGCGAGGTGAAAAAGCACAACCGGGAATTGCTCTCTGCAACAAATAAAATGGGCGATCTGGACAAGATCGACCATCTGACCAAGAAGTGCAACGAGCTATTCACGTCTATGAAACGGTTAGAACGCGACAGTGCAAGGAACAAGAAGCGGGCCGACCAGGTCCAGAAAGAGAAGGACGCTAGCCGCAACGAAGCTACCAAGCAGACCGGGCTCAAGGAGAAGCTTGAGAAGCTTTGTAGGGAACTCCAAAAGGACAACAATAAACTGAAGAATGACCACCGATCCCTGCAAGACACATACGCCAAACTTAAGAAGGATGGCGATCGGAGGACGGAAGAGATCTTGAAGACCCTTGAGGGGTACCAGGAAGAGAAGGACAACCCGAGGAAACCGGCTCTGAACGGTAAAGTCGAGGATCTGTACGTTGAGCATGGTTCAAGGTTTCCCTGGCTCTGGTCTGTTGTGCAAATATTGATATGTGGCATATTCTTAGGATCAAGGCGCGCTTCAAGTCCCTCATCGATCAATACGAGCTTCGCGATCTTCATTTCCACTCGCAAATGCGCACCAAAGAGATCGAAGTGCAATATCACATGGCTCGATACGACCAGCAGAAGAAGGCCGCCGAGAACGAGGCCCGAAAGTCCAGTCAGCTCAACTCCCAAGTCAACACGTTTCACAAGACGGAGATGGAACTCCGCAACCAACTCAACGTCTATGTCGAGAAGTTCCGCCAGGTAAGCTTTTTAGCAGCCCTCTATCCGTGCCAGTGGGCAAAGTGTTGACTTGTGCTTCCTACCGGAAGGTTGAGGACACGCTTAACAATAGTAACGACCTGTTTCTAACGTTTCGAAAGGAGATGGAGGACATGAGCAAGAAGACCAAGACGCTGGAGAAGGAGAATGAGAGGCTCAAGAAGAAGAAGGAGGTCCTGGAGGCCAATATTGCCAAGATGGCCCACGACGCCGATCAGTGCACGAAGGAAATCGACGCCAGCAACAAGATGAACAACAAGCTCAAAAACATCATCAAGCAGATGCAAGAGCAGGGCCGTGGTATCCCGCAGGGCATGCAAGGCGAACAGGACCTGGGCGACGAGGTTGATCTGGAAGAGGAAAGCGAGTACGAGGACGAGTACGAAGAGGGCGACGAGGAAGGCAGCGAGGGCGAGTTCGACGACGACACGGAAGAGGAGATCCACGAACCGTCAGCCCCTGTTCCTCGATCAACTCCTTACGGGCCACAACCACCCCCTGTGCGAGTTCCGACGAATGGTCATGTTTAGGTCGGGGGGGCGACTATACCGGAGGAAATAGGTTAAAGCGTATGCTCACTAGTGGCGAGTTGATTCGAGGATAGTACCCGCTACTGAGATTATTCGCACACACAAGGTCGGGTCATTGCCCGGCGCAGAACTCGTATTACTCAACTATCAGAGCCGTACGTAGTTGCTGCGAGACGACCTGACGTGACGGCCCGTGTGCACTCCTTTTTAGGGCGTATATTGTGGGTTCAAATAGTCCTTCAAAGCAAGTGCGCTTGCTTGCATTAGGTGACTGGCCCACACTATACTGACATGCCTGCAATACATATATACGTACAGTAGTGTGTATTATCCGCATACCAAGTCACCACCCCAAAAAAACCTTCAACTCGATTCATTGCTTTCATTGATTTGCATACCGAATCAGTTGGTTGATTTGGTCCAAGGGTATCTTACTCCGACGACTCTAAACTAAGTTTCGTTTCTCCCTTTGCACCGCCGGCCTGCTTTACCGTGCACGACCGCCGCCAGCCTTGGTAGATTTGCTCTTGCCTTTTATCCGTGCGGGACCCAGCTCCTGTCTGATCTCGTCGAGCTGTTGTATGCCGTTCGTCCAATCCTTGCGGACGTATTTCTTGTTGAATTGCGCGTAGCCACCGAGAAATTCGTCCAGCACGCTGTCGAAGTCGCCTCTCACGGGTCCATCCACTGTCGATGTGGTGGAGATGGCCGAGACTGAGCCCATGTCGTCAAAGTCTGGCTGGTACTGCTCCTCGATCTTGTCGAAGCGCGCATCCAGGATGCCGAGTTGTTCTGTCCGCACAAGGGACGACGAGGTCATGGAGTAGGACGAGTTATCCGTGAGAGCACCCTTGCGCTTTTTCCTCCGGCCACCGTTGGTGGTTGTGGTCATGATGGATGATTGGAGGTCTGATTGTGAAGGGGGTGCCCCGAGTTTCCGCGAACTGGTGGCCTTCTGGTCCTTTTTGAAGGCATTGAAGTCCTCCATCCAGTTCACCTTGTCGGCGGCCTCTGCTGCTTCCTCCTCGTTCATGATAACTGGTACCAGTTCTGGCGCTTCGTCGCCTGCTGCTGCTGCTGCTGCTGCTGCTGTTGATGATGTGCCGGCTTTGTATTCGCTGGCTGGCTTTGCCGTGTCGTCCGTCTCCCAACCGGCGTCGTCCATATCATCAAAGTCATACTCGTCAACTTCGTTGCCTTCTTTTGTGAGCTCGCCGAAGAAGTCATCCTCCTCGTCATTGTTCACATAGGCGTCATCCTCGAGGGCCTCGAGGGCTTCCCTGATTCTGGGGTCCATGTCCGGCTGGAAGCCACCAATAGCATCTGGGACGTCTTGCATGTCCTGGTACGTCTTTCTGGTCAAGTTCTTGCTCGGCAGGAAATCTTCGTCAAAGAGGTCCTTCTTCTTCCCGTCTCCGGCCTGGATATCCAGCTGCTTCAGTGCAGAGTCGAGGGTTTGCTGCTTGCCCTTGCCCTTTGCCTTGTTCCGGTTGCTGCCGTCGTCGGTGGCCTCGACGAAGGTGACACTGCCGCCCTGATTGCCATCGCCCAGGTCGCGCAGATGCTGCATATAGTCGTACTCGGTGTCGTCGTAGTAGACGCCATACTCGGCGGCCTCGCCCTCGTTGGCTCGAATCCTCTCGGCATCAACACCGAGCTCGGAGGCGAGGTCGTCGAGGTGCCTGGAAGACGGCTTCGCCTTGGAGGATGAGGCAGCGGCGGCGGGCGCATTCGTGGGGTTCAGGACCATGGACGGGGCGGACTCGTCGTGAATGAGGGGATCATTTTGAGGACGGTGGACCAGCGTGAAGTGCTGGGCCGTCTTTTTGTTGATCCAGGACTTTTTGGGCATATTGGCGATGGCTGGGTTCTCAGCAACAATTTCAAAATCCCCCAACAGGCGACAGAGGACTTCTATGAGTGGGAAGCGTTGGAATAAACCAGGAGAGAAGCGAAGAAAGAAAGAAGAAGAAAAAGAAGAAAGAGTAGTCGATTCTTCCTCCCACACTGTTGGGCGCTGAAGTGGGACAGGGTCTCAAGGGTCTCAAGGGTCTCAAGGGTCTCAAGGGTCTGGAGGGTCCTCTGAACTTTTTTTTCTCGTGGCAGCAGGTCCTGGCAGGAGGAGAGGGACACAGAGAGTGCCGTACATGGTAGAAATTCTTGGTGGGGTTATTTTTAGTCGCGGCCTGCTTATCGTTATCATGGGGCATTAGTGACGCAGCGTGGGGCCTAAACGTTGCTTGCAAGTCTCAGTCTCAGTCTCAGTCTCTGTGCAGAAGAAAAGAAAAAGTTCAAGAATTTGCCCCGCGGCAGCCCCGCCATTATTCAGCATAGAGAGGGCATAATTAATAAGGCAACTAGGCAGTATTGTGGCAGAGGGAAACAACGAAAGACACGATATTATATTATTATTACTCGTTCCTCCATCCACAATTCTAAGTCATCCCGCTCCAGGAAATTCTTTGGGCGATATTTTTCTTCCTCCCACCACTCGTCCAATAAGTTGAACTCCTTCAGCCCATTTTTCACTGAGTGCACGATAAACCATCGCCCATCATGCCGCTCGCAAAGTCGAAGCAGACCGTCGGGCTCGGCAACTCCCTGATGAACGATCGCTTCGGAAAGGGCAAGGGAGCAGATCGCAAAAAGGCAACCGGAAGCGTCGTACGAACACAAAAGGACACCGGCGAGTCATATGTCACCAACGAGAGGAAGGAGGCATCATGGGTCAAGATGCGCTCCGTCACACAGCAGTCCGCCATGGACGAGTTCCTCGCCACCGCCGAGCTGGCTGGCACCGATTTCACCGCCGAGAAGATGAACAATGTCAAGATCATCCATACCGACCAGCGCAACCCCTACCTGCTGTCTGCCACCGAAGAGAGCAGGGTCAGGGGAAAGCATGACAAGCACAGGAAAGCATTGAACGTTCCGAGGAGGCCCAAGTGGGATGAACACACCACACCGGAGGAACTCGATCTCGCAGAGCGCGAGAGCTTCTTGAGCTGGAGGCGAGGTCTTGCTGAGCTCGCAGAGAACAACGACCTCTTGATGACTCCCTTTGAGCGCAACCTCGAGATCTGGAGACAGCTCTGGCGTGTCATCGAGCGCAGTCACTTGGTTGTCCAAATCGTCGATGCCAGGAACCCTCTCATGTTCCGATCTGAAGATTTGGAGCACTACGTCAAGGATGTTGACCAGAAGAAGGAAAATTTGTTGCTGGTCAACAAGGCCGACATGATGACTGTCAAGCAGAGGAAAGAGTGGGCAAAGTACTTCAAGGCCAACAAGATCGCATACCGCTTCTTCTCGGCCCACCTCGCTAAAGAGCTCATTGACGCCCAAAACGCCGAGGACGAGTCCGACGAAGATGTTCAGACTGGCCACAGCTCAACCTCTGCTCAGCGTCCGGCGCCTAAGCAAACCGCCGATGAAACGTCATCCGACGAGGATAGTGAAGAGGGTAGCGAAGGAGAGGCTGATGCTTCCGCCGGCGCTAGCCTAGAGCAAGACCTTGACGACGAAGACATCAGAATTTTGACCGTCGAGGAGTTGGAAGATATTTTCTTGGCCCATGCGCCAGAACCCAATCCTGACAGTAAGTCTGGTTATTATATTGATTAGGAGCTTGGCGCTAACATAGACACACAGATCCGGACGAAAAATTGCAAATTGGTCTTGTTGGTTACCCCAACGTCGGAAAGTCCTCGACCATCAATGCTCTCATCGGTGCTAAGAAAGTGTCCGTGTCATCTACACCCGGAAAGACAAAGCATTTCCAGACAATCCACCTCAGCGACAATGTTATCTTGTGCGATTGCCCAGGTCTAGTCTTCCCCAACTTCGCTTCAACAAACGCCGACTTAGTCTGTAATGGTGTGCTACCCATTGATCAGCTGAGAGAATACACTGGCCCAGCAACTCTGGTTACCCACAGAATCCCCCAACTTTTCCTTGAGGCTATTTATGGTATCAAAATCAAGACACGACCATTCGAAGAAGGAGGCACTGGCGTGCCCTCATCCAGCGAACTATTGTCCGCCTACGCCAAGGCACGTGGTTTCCAAACTCAAGGACATGGTCAGCCTGACGAGTCGCGTGCGGCTAGAACAGTCCTCAAGGACTACGTTAATGGCAAACTCCTCTACTGCGAGCCGCCACCAGGATACCCTGATGCAGCTGAGTTCAATCGTGAGTTGTACGACTCGGCCCATCTCCCTGAGAAGCGTCGTGCCCAGCTCCAAGCGGCCATGGAGGCTTTGGAGCTACCAGACGATTCGTCTGTCGCGGACAGCGACGTTATCCCTCTCCCGAAGGCTGGTCCCAAGTCACAAAGACTTGACAAGAATTTCTTTGCCAGAAATGGAGGCAATGCTGGGCACATGAGCAGGCCTTTTAGCTACAAATATACGGAACAGGGCCAAGCTGCATCAGCAGCTGTACAAGGAAAGCCACTTAGTGGCCGAAAGGCGAAAGCTATGGTTGCATTAGAGACTGGCATGGACCCCAAAGATGTGCAAATAGGGAGCTCAAAGAAGCATTTCAAGGGTGGCGCAAAAGGCAAGAAGAAGAAGGCAGAGGATGATGATTAGTTGATTTAGATTTATCAGCATGAGGATGTGTGAACTAAATACCCAAAAAGTTGAAAATGCAGCACCTGTCTATATCGTGTTCTTTTTCTTCGGTTTTGGACTTGTGTAGTATGGCACTCTACACTCAGCACAGTAGGGATTGCTGGTAATGGGGATTTGCCTGCTGCAGCCTCCAGTACATTCCTGCGTCTTTTCAGGCTGAGGCTTTCTAGCCTTACTCTTTTCAGACTCAATCTTTTCAAACCTACTCTGTTCAGACTCATTCTGTTCAGATTTAGCCTTGTCAGACATTCTATTGACTCGATTATCTCTGGAATTATGTATGCCAGTTGGTTTGGCTCTTTTCTTATTGCTATTGCCGCTGGATATTCGAAAATACTGATAGGTATCTACGGAGAACTTCACCTTTATATACATCTCAACCATATTTGATACAATGACAAGACGTATTATGTATTATTGTCTTTGTGGATTCCCTTGGACTTTATGTCTTCATTTTGTTTGTGATACTTCTCGTTGTTCCGACCGCCTTGTCGTGAAACGACAAATCATTGTCCTCTTTCCATGATGGAGGAGAGCAAACACAGCGATGCAACCCACCACTACCTTTTCGATTTCTTTTCTTTCCTTTCTTTTTTTATTTCTTTCTTCTTACCTGACTATCGTAGCCAATCGGCTACATTGAACACGTTCTCGACTCTTTGCCAAGGTTCAGCAGCTCATAAAGGAACAGACAAAACATTTTCGATCTACAACAAGCCTGAAAGAGTCGATAGACGCCCCCTCCCTTTGACACTGTCCCAAATAGCTTCCCGTACCACCGTCCGCCAGATCTTTCTGGAGTGCCCAGCAAGCCCTTGGTCCAAGTACATACTGGAAATGTACTGCATTGAAGACGATATGCCACTATTGAAAGCTTTTCAGATTTGAGGGCACGACAGATGTGTCGGCTCTTCCATATCAAATAGGCATTCACAGAGACATGAAGCCAGATGGTAAGCACGGTAGGCCTGGTCTCTCCGACGACTCTGATCCCACCCCCCTGGGACTTCTTCCCGGGGCAGCGGCAAAGGTGGAAACTGCGGATTTACTCGACAGATGGAGGGAAAGGCATGGTCCGAAAGACACCACATAGAGCGCGTTTTTTTTTTTCGGAACAAGCAACGGGAGTTGAAAAACGTTGGTTACCCGTATTATCTTGGCGTGTGTGACTGGGGCCGTAAATGAGTGTCTCGCCGTCGGTCTCGTCGATGTTGGACCGGCTGTCCCGGCCCAGCGGATTGCTACGCACTATGGTTGCGATGTGTATAGATGGATTCCAATGTCTGTATACTGGAAAGTAACTATATGACCGTTGGATTGCTTGTGGCATGTTCGGGACGATGAAGTATATTGAGGCGACCAACAGATTTCTCCTAGATGGATGTCAAAATTTATGGAAGCCTACGTACTCCACAGGTTCTGCGCCAAGGTGAGGTAGAAGGGGAATGTTCGGGATCACCTATTGGCCATCGGCTTGTACATTGATGGGGAGGGCGTGGCTTACAATTACACCTCCGACATTTGTTGAGATGTTATGGATTAGTCTATATTAGAGGTCTTTGGTGAAACCCTGAAATATATGTTGGACTACCGGTGTACCATTTCAGACCTTGTGGCAAACAATCTAGATATCGACCTGATCCATTATCTTCTAGGCAAGGGATCTAACATCGGAGGAGCCACAGCTGTGAGAAATAAGCTCATTTTGCAAAGTAATGCGGTCGAATGAACAGAACAACGCCGCTCCATTGACTCTTAAACCACACGGTTGGAGGGCCGTCGCACGTCTTACGAGGAAACACAGATTGAAAAACAAAAATTGGCCGAGATAGTACGAAGTAAAGGATTTAGAGTCCAGTATTATAATGGTCACAAGACATCAAGCAGTTAGAACGCAGCGCCCGGCAGATACACGCACGAGATTTTGCGCAGTCACATAGACTCTAGCCACTACTTGAAAGGCTATATAACTGGCTTTCTGTATCATTCAAGTCAGAGTAATGAATGTTGAAGACGAGCGAGGCCTTGTCTACCGACTAGCAGAGCAATAATAAGCACAAGAGCCTAAACCTTTGTGCAATCGACGGACTTTTTGTGAATATTTATATCGAATATTTATATTAGAGACCCGCGAGTGGGCCTGCCTACATCGTCTATCGAACGCCTGTGATGAAACACCAGCATCACAATCTGCCCCTTTGGCTATGGCCGGCCAAGACCGCTCGAGCACGAGTGGCATTACGTTGTCTTGACTGACAAAATGTTCCTCTTGTAGGGCTCATGCAAATTCGCATTCATGTTAGCATTGAGAATCCCCAAGTTACAATTTTGGTTCCAGTAGCAGTCAAGAAAACCGTTGCATACAGTGATCGTCCACATCGCGCAGTCATACTCGGCTCTATGCTGAATCACAGCCGCACCCATATTCGAAGACATATTAATCAGAGGATGGTCTGATTATGTCAGGCCGATTAACAAATTTTTTCTTCATTGCCGTAATAAACTTACAGTCATCGAAGGAATCGAACGGTTCTAAGCAATCGTCCTTGTGGTCAAAAGCGTTGAACGACCTAGCGTCGTTTGAGTTGCAATGCTTGTTGCTTGGGTGTGGATCATCAACCGTCTCCTGGGGAACTGCATCGTCAGCGAAGAAGATGGAAAATCGAAGGATTTAAATAGATGGGTGTTAATGTAATATCTTTTGCGGCCACGTCGGTTTCTTGTGTTCAGCCTCTCAGTTCCTATGACCCTCTACAGTCATATCTGTCGCAGAGCTGGGCCTAGCCATACCTTTGCCGTCACAGAAGTTCCGAGTCGAGGCTTGCTCGGAGCCTGCGTTAAATTGTAGGCTTCAAAAGATTCTTAGAGGTAGCATCGACATTCATCTGGACTAGGCTCTTTAATAATATATCTGTATGTTCCGTAATCAGCCCACAAAGTACTTTCTTTTATCTGTGTCTTCGGTTAGCCAGTATGAAATAAATCATATCGAGACATTCGTTATATTGCTATCGTTTTTGATAGTCTTTAGTATGGCCACCTACTTTATCAGCACATACATAGCTTGAACAGCGATAAGGACAGTGTGAACGACTTAGACTGTCCGTCAGCGATGAGCTCATACGCAGTTTGGCAGGTGAAGTGGCACGGGATTGATTCGATTTTTTTCGGATGGTTCGTATCATAAAATGAAACGGCAGGTTTTGCCATTACCCGGTGGATAGAGGCCAGGATCTTTATCGTCAGCATCAGATGAGGTCTATGTTCTTTCGAATACATTTCTGGCCCCCATCTTGAGAGAAAGCGTTGCAAATGTACAGTATAAAACGCGTCCAGAACTGGCTTGAACGTGACTAGGACTCGATGTATCGCACTGGGTCTCTCGTATATCAGGGTCCAGTTTTGTCCACGGAAGCGAGTGCAGATTTGAAAGATCATAGTCTGTTGTAATGTTATAGTCGATGTGGCCAGCTGAGTAGGCACTGCCATGCTCTCTGGGGTCGCACGCGTTCATCCTTCATAGCAGATTTTGCGTCAGCGGATCGATTTCATTGAAAGTGTAATTGAAGACAACACAGGAGCTCCAACTTTTTGAGTAGTGGAAGGATATGACTTACGCATAGTCCAGGACGTGAATGAACTCGTGCTCCGTCATGATTACTTCCTGTGAGAACTCCCATCAGTCCGGCGATTCAGTCCTAAAACTGGTAGCGCCATAATGCGGCGGTGGTGTTCACAGGATGGATCTGATAGGTAGGTCTCCAAACCGAGTGGGCCAGACATATTCGGTTTTAGAGCACCGTTTGGTTGTAGGTTTGGCAGAAAGCCACAATGTTATTCTCGACGTTAGGCAGTCGCATTGGCTTTGAAGTAGTGACGTGAGAGCCTCGATAGATAGGGACGGCCGAACTAATATACCAATCATCCTTTCAAAGTGCTAAGTGATCCAGGACGTAAGTTGGAGACCAAGCGTATTCCGGTAGGCGTCGGTCGACTCGTACGGAGAACAGTAACAACCCTTAAAGCGTCCTTCCTCGCCCTTATTTTTGTTCTGATTCCAGTTAGAATGTACCAATAATAACCTACTTTTATTACGTACACTAGAAAAAAAAAACTCTATTGGTCTCCCTGGTCATTATAGTTGCGGTAATGCAACGTGTACTCTTCTTCGGGACACTGCTCGATGTATTACCAAGGACCTTGATCGAAAGCCTCATTGGTGCATTTACCTATAAGTTTTCAGTATGAGAATTGCCCAAGGTGTATGTAGAATTGGCACTTGCCGTTTTAGACCATTGCAATTATTGCAGACAGGTTCGTCCTTCTTTGGATAAGGCTCAGGTTCGCAGGGTCATCCTTCAACCAGGGGGTTGTGCAAATTCAGACATCAAGGTCGATTTTCGGGCTGCGGCAGGAATCTTCACTGTGGCACATCTGAGATTTCCACAAGCTGGTTCATACTCGGGGCATTTTTTTGCCGTTGTGGTCATAACCGCCGTCGCAGCCGCCGCCGCCACCTCTGTCTCTACCTCCACCTTCTCCAAGAGAAAGAGATATGTACAACAAGTAGACTCGTCGACTATGATGATGATGAGTAAAAGAGCTTAATTAATGGACATGTAAAAGAACATTCCAATAACTAGTAATGAAAATAATAGAATTGATTGAGCAAACTTACAAAGATCTCGCCTGCTGGAAATAAGATTTGAGTGGTGGTTGCAGTCTCGACAATGGCTTGATCACCGACGTAACCGTGACAGAGCCCTGGGCAGTTATAGTAACCTCATGACTAAGGCTAGCGAGTTTTTGTGAGACCAGTTCGCGCGAAAGACATGGTATATGTCCCACCGTTTGTGGTGTAGGTGCTAACAGCAGCTTGAGTTACTGTCAGGGTACTCTATGGATGATAGTGGCATTTGTTTTGGTAGAGTTAACCTTGATATCCGTGTTCATCAATGCCTAGCATTCTGTTAGCAGTTGAAAACTAGTGTGCTCTCCGTATGCCTTAGAGTACATGGACAATCTCTCATATTTATTATTACACACATCTGATCTGAGCTGAAGCCCTGACGCCATGAGTCAGAGCATCGATAATGAAAGTATCACCAGTCAGCCAAACAGAAGGGCTCGTGAGTTTGTCTCAATTAGACCATCACTGCCTAGAATCGGAGCAGCAGAGTGCAGAGTAGAAGGCCTTCAAGGTCCCCACATAATAGTTGAGAATGAAACCGGCATGGAAGAAGATTATCTTCGATGATTGAGTTACCATTTCTTAAAGCAAGTGTGGTGGGAATGAACAGCACAATAATTGCTGTTCAATTCGTTAGTAGCGACTAGCCTTGCTTCGTAACGTGAAAAGCATTTGTATCGCTATTCTCCGAATTTTCCAATCTGACTAGCTGCAAAAAGAAGTATCGAATTGTAACAATATCGGATGCTTGTGTGTCAGTCTATGGTTAGTGGTTCGTGTAAGTAGCATGAATAGTTACCTTTGATTACAATCGTGACAATTCAGAATATCAAGCCACTGATGAAGGGGAGTGTAGCAGTCGTCGTACTTTCCAAATTCCAAGAACAATTGGATTAATTAGGAACAGTCCTCTTGCCTTTTATCAACTTCAAACTTTCCAGCTTATGCGGATCGTCCTTTTTAATCTTCATCGACCCATCGGAATACTCCTCATATCTAGCACTCATTATGGGTGGTATTGCCTTTTCACTCAAAGACCCTCGCGGCCTCAATACGCCCCGCATGCCACCGAATGTATATCGTCAAGTTCGTGATCATTGCCATTCGGCGTTGAGAAAACGATTCATGGCGGTTGCCTCACCGATTGAAGCGCCAGCCAAGAAAGACTATGGCGATGTGGATGTTTTCGTGGCATGGGACAAGACGCAAACTCCGCTGGGCAACTTTGAGGATATTGGACAACTACTGGGCGCGCCGTACGCCAGAGTCGATGATCTGGTAAATTGCGAAGCGCAATTCGCCGTTCCTGTATGTACGGAATCCCAAATACATGAGCATCGTGACGAATATATCTATGAAGCGACCACTTGCTTTGACTTAGCTAACGTGACTATCGTAGTGGCCAGAAGGCCTGGACGAGCCAGACGGCTCGGTATACGAGTTGAATCTTCGTTATTGCCAGATTGATTTGCATATCTGCCAGAGTATTAACGAACTCCATTGGATGCTTTGGTACTACGCTCACGGAGATCTCAAGCCGATGATTCAAAACATGATACGGCCTTTCAATATCACCATTAGCACTAAAGGACTATTCTTGCGCATTCCCGAGATCAGGAATGGCTCAAAACGCATATTGATAACCAACGAGCCCAGCGAAGCACTCCGACTACTCGATTACGATCCGTTCGATCCAGCATGGGAACACGAGTTTACGAGCATAGAGCAACTATTCAAATTCACGACAAAATGTCGTTTCTTTGGCGGATTTCATCACACCGAGCTTACAGGAGAGGATGGCAGGATCATGGCTGGTGAGTTTGATTCGTTCTTGCATTCAAGATATACTTAGTAATCCCTTGCGCCTAGTTCGTGATGTATTTAAATCATGGGTAGCAGACTTCATCCCGACCTGTGTAGACAGCCACACGGAAGCGTACATGACGAGTGATCAAGTTCGTGCTATTATCTTCGATCTGTTCCCCAAGACAAAGGCCGAGTACAAATTAGCACTCCTAAAGGCAAAAAAGCGCAAGCGGAGCGATCTTATAAATCACACTATCAAGCCCTGCATTCCACTTATTGAAGGCATGACTACAAAGTGGCATAACGTCGCAAGCACAGCGTTAGTGGAAATCATCATGGATTTAAACTATAGTCTAGGCTTCGCACCGACAAGGTTGCTTCGTGACGTCAATGGGAACTACAACGAACAGGAAGTAAGAGTTTTTGTGAAAGAGGCTTGGAAGTTGGTTGGGGATGCGGCTTGGGATCGACAGTATGGACCGATGTGCAAGTATGGCCAGTGCCTGGAAAAGAAGGCTAGTGAGGCAGAATATGAGGGTGAGAATCGTTCAGACGAAGAACCGCAAACGGAAGATGACGATGAAGGGATCAAGTTTCCATCTCGACCTGAAGGCTTTCGTCAGACATGGTATGAAAGCGATATGAATGATATTTAAGGGTTCGTGGACCGATAATCTTACATATCCTCAATTAGTAGATAATAAGGAATTTTGAAAGGCTCTACATTATAACCAAGACCGTCTGATGTTATTGACGGAAGTAATGTCATCAAATCAGGACGTTACACTCGTGAGGGTGACGAGGACAGTGCTTTCGAGACCATATATTGCGAAGACAGCGATGAAGAGACAGGAGGTCTTTTCAAGAAGCCTGATTATCGTGACCATGACTATTCGAAGCACAGCAGATTGGACAATTTGTTACCGAAGAATATTGACCGATGGATGGATTGTGTAAAGCAGAAGAAGGGGAATACCATCGATCCAGACTTGTTAGAAGGCTTGAACATGTGGGCTTAAGGGGTAGTTGCGCTAGTAACACAATGTAGCGATATACAGAGATGGGACAAATTGTCTTCAAGAATATGTCGCTGACGTGGTTGGCATTGATAGCACGTCCTTATAGGCTTCAATGTTCCCGAACCCTCAGAGAAGGTGCTGTGATATTGCGGAGATGAGGGCAGGTTGAATAAACTTTTTTAGCACTAATATGATAACATCACCCGGATTATGAGAAATCGGTTGGTGTAATCTGTCAGCTACATATTCCATAAGCTGTTTTGTTTGGATTATAGTCGGCCTAGCTGGCCCCACCGGCGTCCTCCGGGACCCTATACTGCACGGAACGGAGCCGAACACGTTATCCGCAACATCGGCCGGGATGCGATAATGATGACCCCGCCGCCTTATCGCAATGGCACTGGCCTCCACAACTAACCGTGATCGCTGAAATTTTCTTGCTTCGATATCGACACGTGTGTGTATTTGTTTCTCTGGGCAATCTAGATTCTAATGAAGCTTGGTAGGCTACTGGGAATCACCAACAAAGAATGGCGGAAAACATCAGCTCGGCAATAAATTAAGTAAAGATACTCATTTTCATCCTTGACGACCCCGGCAAAGTCTGGATAAGCATGACAAGCTTCGGGAAGTAGTCTAGGACGGGCTGACGATTTTCTATTGGCTCCGCACTCCCTCTAGCAGACCTACTATCAAAACAGCGCCCTGTGCAATTGACCTCAGATGGAGCTGATAAATGCGCCCATGATACGTATTTAAACAGCGACGTGGTTTTCTGCAACACAAGCGCAAAGACACCCCAAGTTGAATGAGCCAGCATTGGCAATCAACACCATTTTCAAGGCATGAAGGGAAAATGAAGCAGTACTTTGGGAGCTACCATATTCGTTGCGGAAGGATAATAGCCTTTGCGTCTCCATGACCGGCGATCCGAATGGCTTCATACCTGCCAAGTAGCTACCACAAATCCTCGCGAGATGACGTCAGTCATTTCTCTCAAAATCTGGACATCCTGGTCACAAGTTGGCCTCATACTGAATCGTCTCGCGGTATAATGCCACAATAGCAGTTCGGAATAACGAGCAAGAAAAAGACCATTCTTGTCGATACCGCGCGTGGTGATCACATCGATCAACCTGCGCTAGCAAGGGGGTCGATTTGAGGTGCAGCGGTTGATGTCACTGATCCAGAGCCTTTACCCAGTAATGATCTCTTTGCGGAAAACACGAAATCTTCTGATATATCCGTGTCTCCCTCCAGCTGACCTGGTTGATGCCGCAGAAATACATCTCAATGCAACGACCAACCCACGAGCACAGGCATGTCAGCTGGTTGAATATCCATTACTGGGACCGGATCCTCAACATCCTAGAGACCAACCTGGGGAAGCTGAGTCGCACTGAGGCACTAATGAATGTTGTGAACCGAGAACATCGCTACTGAGATAACCATGGTACTAGAGGTATTATTGTAGGGAGCATGGAGATGGGTCGCTCCCGGGGCGTGTAACAATAAAGTCATGTCGAGTCACGATATTAGGGTTTACGCTAGAGTCCCTCCGCTCAATGGTGTTGGTATCAAATAAACAGTGGCACATTTTGGTGGTTCATAACCCGCGCAAAAAGCTGTTAGGGACCATGGGGACTTGAGGTATTTCTGCTGTCATAGCTTTCTTATAGGCTATGTAACTCCTATGATATATGCTTTGAGATTTAGGGATTATGACTGGAATGAGAACATGACAAGTGATCAACGTTGGGGAAAGAAAAAGAAAATGGAGCCTGAGCCATTTGGGTGTACATAGTTACAGCGGAGCGTCCCCGCCAGCCCGCGTGCTCGTTTCAAGGCCTAAAATTTAAGTAGGTACACTAATAGTCGCTGAAGAGTTTCAGAACTAAGCCCTCAAAGCCGACAAGGCAAGTGCTTAAAAGGCAAAATGTTGCTCAAGGTTCCCGGAAGCCCGCCACCCCCCACAACGTCAAAGGCGCAGCACGAGAACTGAGAAGGGTTTCAATATGAAACTCTTTCGAATGTAAATGAAAGCTTCCAGTTAGCTATGGAATCTAAGGTTTTGGGTCTTCGTGTACCACAGTACTCAAGCGTCACAACCAATTCATGATCTGATAGTCGCAATTCGCAGCAGCCAAGTACGGAGCACGATTTCGTAGTCCATGACCGGCTTACGCACTTCTACCCGAGCCAAGCGCTGCAGTTCCTTCGGCCTTCTTGCCCTCTAGTACCCTCTCAGACTGGTCAGCTCTTCAAACGCCGAACGCGACTGTGATCCTTGAAATGTCCAATTGCAGAGTCTATCTTCGGGATTATGGTGGTCTACTTAAGAAAAGGCCCTCGGTCCGATTGGTGTAATCCAGCGGCGGACGTACATATACTAACTACAAGCGTAGTTTTGGTGCCTGTGCATTGCCAAGGGTGAAGAAAAAATACGCCAACTGCCGATCCGTAAACTCTACCTGGGGAAGGCCTTGCCATTTGAGGAAACGACGTCACCCAGGATCTTGGAGAAGGTATGAAAGGCTGACGGGTTTGGGCAAAGAGCTGACTCGCGGTCAACTCCAATACCCCGATCTCTAGTCTTTTTATTATTTCCAGGCCAGAACAGACCGAATTTTCAACCGTCGCAGTAGCTTGCAGGTATTAGCGCTGCACGTTCACCGACTCACTACTATGATAAATGCTTGAAAAGCGTGCGATTTCCATGGCGCTGCCACTGGGAAGTGTTCCCGGGGTGGAATCCTCAGGTTCAACATCGAACAGATTCTCATGACTACGCAAATGACTCTTGACCGAAGCAACCACATGGCCAAACACATCTACACACTGAGCTAAACACAACAACCCGGGCTTACACGCGCTCAACTACTGTCATACCCGTTTCGGTCGAGCGCTGTACGCAACTAGCAATAGAGTATCGACTGCGCTGTCGATTGGTTGTTTGGGATCTGGGGAAGAATCGTTCGCACAGCCATTAGTTCCTGCAGGGGCCAGCGAGTCACCAATATCGCATCGACGACATCATCGAGGGGTTCGAGAAGGAACCAGAGGCAGCGCGGCAGTCCGAGACTCGGACTGCTCTCTAGATGGGGAACGATGCCAATGGATTTCTGCTACCATCCTGGTATACCGCTGAGCAACCAAGTGATCTGGACCTCAACATTGCCAGTATTATCTGGGGCTTCTCGTTAGCATTAGCAGTTTTCACACTCAACAAAGGAATAAGACAGAGTTGGAAGGCTCACAAGAGAGGCAAGCTATGGAACAACACCTATATCATTATGGTATGGGCTGAGTGGTTTGTCTGCGTGGCCATTTCTATCATCTCATGGCTATATTTGAGCCCCAGTCTAAGTATTCTGCCCGGCTTCTGGATCTTTTTTGGATTATGTAAGTTTCCTTCTAACTACATCTTGCATCTAAACTAATGTGATCATCAGTGTGTCTATGGGTTATCCAAATCCAGTGCATCCTTCAAATCATAATCAATCGAGTCCGGCTCCTGATGGTTGATCAGCGCAAAGCTGATTACTTAAAATGGAGCGTAGCTATCTTCGTGGGCCTCATCAACATCAGTGTTTTCATCATATGGATACCAGCCCGTCTTGAGATTTCTCAAAGATGGATCGACATCAACAACTGGTGGGATCGTGCAGAGAAAATTCTTTTTGGTCTATGCGACATCGGTTTGAATCTCTACTTCATTTATCTTGTGCGGTCAAAACTTGTCGCGAACGGCCTGAAAAAGTATGAGAGGCTTCTTCGGTTCAACATGATGATGATTTTCCTCTCTATGTCTATGGATGTAAGTTGCTAGGCTTGGTGTATTCAATCTAACCTAAGTGCTAATATATTCATCCAGGTGGTCCTTATTGGGATGATGTCCCTGCCTAACACTGCAATCTACATTCAATTCCACCCATTGGTGTACCTCGTTAAGCTGCACATTGAGATGAATGTTGCGGAGCTCATTGCAAAGATAGTAAAGGCCTCGAATGATCTCAACGAGTACAGAAACAACAACCAGAGCATCCAAATTACGAATTCGAACGGCAACACTCCCAATTCCCATGAAGTGACGCGAAGCGGTGGACGGTCAAATCTGAGACAGAAACCTGCATTTCAAACGGCTTTGGGAAACTCTGGCCTTGATACCGCCATCAGCGGCAAGTCCGCCGCAACAGATGGCTCTTTTGACAAAGGTCCCGACCTTGAGCTCGGATGGTATGTAGGAGAAGTTTGGGCCGATACAACTACCAATGACGAAGCTGCCATCGTATGTGAATCCTCAACGAGCAGGGGAACGACCGCGGTTGGAGAAGACGATCTCGATGGAGGATTGGAGAACGAATCGGCGAGTAAACCGACAACTACACATGCCGGGACGTAGGGGAACAGTGATAGGCTTTTTCATGATTTTCTTGATGAGACTTAGCGTAGCGTGCAGCAACATAGTACATGACCTCAATGAATTTATACGATATCTTGTTAACGTATCCGCGCCAACACCAGAAATATCTACAAGACTCTTATGTTCTCCAAGACAGGAGCTTTGACAAAGCTCTGGCTGCAAGTTCTTGGGTGACGTCCAGGGGTTCGGACTTTCTAATTAGAACAAATACACTTTACGGAATTGCGCCGTTGAAACCTATGGCCTCTTTTCTCGTTGTTTTCCCTGCTGTCATGTCTCGGAGGGCTGTAAGCTGATTATCTAGGCTTGTGGAAGCTCGCCAGATTAAAAGAAAACAGAATCAGGACGATCTCACCGAACGAAATTTATCGGAATATCAAGTTACATGATTGACTGTACTGGGTACTATGGTTGTATTATGTAATAAAGCAATTCTAAATTGTCGTGTTGCTTTACAGACTGGAGACCTACCGTTACATTAGCCATCGGTCTCCGGGCCGTAGCCTTCTATGCCTTCAAGCGCGTCGTCAGTATCCTGCAAAACTTGAACCACCCAATCCACAAATCGGAAGTCCTGTGGGACCTCGATGCCGAGGAAAAGCTTTGCAGCCAGCAAGGTAGGCGACACTCTCGACCAGGATTCGTACCTCTCTGCGTGCTCGACCAGCTCTGTCGGCAACGACCCGTTGAGCTCGCCATTCCCATAGACGCAATAACAAGCGCAGGACGGGCCGTGTTTGAAGACGCTCCCGGGGGCGGGCTGTCCATCAGAGACGTGGCGTCGGATCCTCGCCAGCGCCAGTGCCTCGCGAGCATCGACTTCCCTGCTTCCTGCAAAGAGATCACGGCATGCTCCACCGCCGTCGCTGCGGTTGCCGCTTCTGCGCAACCCGCCGGCCGCGTAGTGCGACCAGTCCAGCTCGGGATGGACGTCCCACACGGCGGCAGTGCCGCCGGCCGTCAGATGTGCGCCGCTGGCGAGGAAGCCCATGCAGCCACTGGCATGGTTGACTATTTTGTGCCCGCGCTGGCCCACGCGACCACTGCGCCGAGTCACTATGCGGACAGCATGACTCCTGTCCTGGTATAGATCGGCGATGAGCTGGGAGGAACTCGACCGGGACACCATGGTTGCAATGATGTAATAATCCGTAGAACAATCGGGAGAAGCACATTCAGCAATGGAAAAGAGGTTTTATACCTTGGCATGTAGCAAGGTCTACGTAAAAGGAAAGGGCTGGATTGGGAAGGTATCTGGTATGAACTTGAGCTTTGTTTTCTGACAAAGACGGCTAGCAAACAGGAACATTGTCCAGTTTGCACCCTTGTTCTCACTGATACGATAGGTATCTAAAATGTCAAGGACAAATGATCATTTGATCAAGGTAACGCAGGATCCAAGAAGCAGTTGAAAAAAGAAGAGTTGCTCGGTAAAAATAAAAATAAAAAGCCACGTAGCAAAGCTCGCTCTTGGATCGGCCGGAAAACCGCTCATCGAAGAAGAGTCAAGACATAGGTCCTACACCAAGACCCTTCTGGAGCCTCGTTTCGACCAGGAGGTAAATGAGTTTACGGTTTCCCTCAGGGGTTTTTTACCATATACATCATACTCCTGTTTCCCACAAACATATGGCATGCGTAGACAATCTGATTCAAGTATAGCGGGACGCGATTAAGTGACTGTCCCAAGAGTCCTTTTGGAAGCTATACACGGACTGCTTGGTTTGCTCGACGCCAATACAATTTTGGCTAGTTGAACAAGATGTTGTGCTTGTTCCATGAGATGAAGTCTCCTAAGTGGCGGGCACAAGATTTTCGATCAGTCGCGCGAGTCCCACCACTCTCGTCACCAGTTTACTGAATCAGAGGAGCCAAGCCATTTGCTTTTCTGCCATAACATGCGATATGGGCTACACCTTTCGCATCCATGTCATTCAGCTTGCATTATACTGTGCCTAGAGTATATTCCAACTTGTATCGTTACTGAGCCACTGGCATAACGTGGGTTATATACGAACCTTAGTATTAGCCACTTGCCTCTTTCTTGGCTGCTTCCTTCTCTGCTGCCTTCGCAGCTTTTTGGGCTGCGATCTGCTTTTGTTTCTCCAGCTTCTTGAGCTGATTTTTCGTCATCGTTCCGTCGCCTGCACCATCGGCACCGTCAGATGCACCACCCTTTGCCACAGGAACCACTTTCTCTGCAGCAGGCTTGTTCTTCCAATTGAGAGGCTTCCTTGCCATGAAGTGGTCGACGATCTCGTCACTAACCAACGCTCTTCGCTCTTGAAAGCTGGCAACATATGCCTGGAGTTGCTTGATACAGATCGCTTTAAGCTCTCCTGTAAGTAGCTCTCCCTTTCGGTACTGCTCACCCAGTTTCTTCAGCTCCTCATCATCTTCAAAGAAGAAGCCGAGCCACTGATAGGCGACATCTACGTCCGGATTGCCACCCAGACGTCTGTGCTCCTCGACAGTTTCCTGGCCGCCAGAAAAGGCATACTTGTTGATCTTGTTCTTGATTTGGTTCGGTGTATCTTTCAAGAAAATTGCCGATGACTCAATGCTGGCTGACATCTTGGATCCAGGCCCTTGGAGGGCATCCAAGAAGCGGGCATGGATGAGAGATGGCTTGGCAAACTTGAGGCGTGCGGCAACGTCCCGTGTCACACGGAAGTAAGGATCTTGGTCGATGGCACAGGGGATCAAGCACGGAATCTTTTGAGTTCGGGACTCATCTGTGCCGAAAATGTGCGGGAATGATGATGCGAAGGATGTGGCGCCTTGGATACTGCCGAAGTGGATCTTGCCAATGTTGGTGCTGTCATTGAAGCCAAACACAGCTTTGGCGGTGTTGTATGTGACACACTTGGAGAAGCGCGTGATGTTTCTGTAGAATGCACCACCAATGTAGTCGTAATCGGAGAAGATGAAGGTCTTGTCGGGGTCGAAACCAATGGCGATGATGTCCTTGGCATTCGTTTTCGTGTAACTCATGACTTCCTCCACAGTCTTGTTCTCGGAAAACAAGAACTTCTCGTCTGATTACTGGTTAGAGAATCTCTTGAAACGGCCTTGGGCGGTTGGCTTACCGTCCGTAAGCATGATGATCATGGGGACATCGAAAACCTCCTGCAACCACTTGCAAAAGTCGAAGATCTGAGTGTGGCCCACGTGCATGCTGTCACTACTGGGACCACGGCCAGTGTACAAGAACCAAGGCTCACCCTACTCGGCAATTAGAAGCTGTCCTGAGCTCAGCCTTGCATATGTTGCAATTTTGCAGCTGCATACCTTCTCATGACGATCGAGAATGAGGCTCAGGTCTCTTTCACTGAAGAAGATCTTACGTCGCATGAAGCGATGCGGCTTGTGGCCGGTGACCTTCTCGAATCGGTCAAGCAACGCCTGATCGATGAGCTTCGTGCCAAAGTCCTCCACCAATTTATTGTAGTCGATTGCCTTGACCTTGCCATCTTCGCCGACTTCTCCGGCAACGTTCCAAGGGTCGACAAGCTGTTTCTTTGATCCAGCGTCAGGGTCCGTGGCCGCGGCGGGGGGCAGGTCGGTCGGGGCCTCAGGTTCGGCAGCCATTGTGGAGGCGAGGCAGTGGTTTCGGGGAACGAAAGTGCAGGATCAGAAACAAAGCCGGCCGTTGTAAGGAACTCTAGCCTCCAGATTTGCGACAATATAGCAAATTATGACAGTGTATTGACTTATGATGTGAGTCAAGCTGTGAGTCAAGCGCAACTTGGTGTGCCCCCCTGGAATAATTTCGATGGAGGGGCAACTTCCGTCTGGTTGATGGTGGGGTTACTGCAGGCAAAGCGATAACTACCTTATAGTAACCTTAGACATCTAGGAACGGTTCCAGCGGCGTGCGTAGTGTCCGAAATAGCAAATAGCGGAATGATGCTGTCCACCAACGTGAGGAATAATCCCGTCTTCTCATTTGATGATCATCTGCCCTTATAGACAGTTGTTGTGACCCCCTTCTGTATGAATTTGAATTGAATGGAAAGCTCAGTTTTTATGTCATAGTCAGCCAGCCACGAGTGTTTGCGCTTCGATACATGAAAGATCAAACACGTACCAGCAGACATGCATTGTGGCTCTACACGGGATCACTATAGTCACCGCGAGTTCGGACACCACGTGTAGTGCACCGGTGCCAGGACTACCAGGGTGCCAAAGGGTGCAACACAATAAGAGTACACTAAAGCGGGAGGAGATGCCAATCCAGGGCCCCATCTCGATAGGACACTTAGTAAGGATCTGGGCCAAGGTGAGCGCTAAAAACAGTTTTCGGTGAGTCGGCCTTACCACGGAAAATCCTTTGGCCTGTGTGTGGCCTGGGGAGAACGGAGAACGGAGAACGAGAGCTCCCATTGCTCAATGCGCATTCAGCCTCCTAGTGAAGCTGCCTGCATTTTACGCGGAACTGTAGACCAGCACCCAGCCATATTCTCAGCTCTAGGAGTCGCGTCGCAACCCCGAATCCAACGAACAACCGGTTTTCCCCCTAACTTCGAGCCACCGCCAAAATGACTTCGACCATCGGAATACCCATCAAGCTCCTCAACGAGGCGCAAGGGCACGTTGTGACCCTCGAGATCACCTCCGGCCAGACATACCGCGGCAAGCTCCTGGAAGGTATGATATGATGTGGACCCGTATACTCTTTTGAACTGCCCGACGCGGCGCTGACATGGCTTTGTAGCTGAGGACAACATGAACATTCAGCTCAAGGACATCACTGTCACAGCACGCGACGGACGAGTCAGCCATCTCGACCAGGTCTACATTCGCGGCAGTCACGTGCGATTCTTTATTGTGCCCGACATGTTGAAGAATGCGCCCATGTTCCGAAGCCGAAATGCGAGGGGCCGTGGTGTTGGTTTGGCCAGAGGAAGGGCGACAGTCAGCAGAGCCAGAGCAAGCGGACGTGGTGGAAGATAAGCCGGCACTGACATCATCGGCGATTCACGATTTTGACCTTGGCTTGGCGTTTAGGACACGGTTTGGTCTCGAAAATACTGGAAATGTTCTAGAAAGGGTTACACCATGTTTCGTCCTCGTGTGAAGATGGGCCACAGTAATACGGGGCTGGAGATGGACCTCAAAAGTCCCAAGAAACCTGTGTGCGCACCCTTACTGCAATACTTCTTGTCATGTGCTGATTAGGGGGGGGACCTCTCAGAATGGATTGCTCCATGATCGTCCTAGCTTTTGTAGCCCTCTATCCGGACAAAAGGCCGTTAAAGGGCGCCGGAGCATATCATATGCAGTCAAATGGCATAGAAGAACGGTTTGACTGGACTTAAACAATAAGACGATCATCAGACACCAAGCTTCACACTATTAGCCTTTACCTTGAAAACATAAGAATACTCGGTGATAGCGGTGAAGTCACCTCGCAATCCCGTATTCTTCCAGAAACCGCTCTGGAGCCGATCGGCATCTCTTGCGGTGTGATACGAATTAATTGCAATACCTACGCTTTGAACCATAGAATATAGTATGTCAGCCTCGATCAAGCATTTTGATCGATACCAACCATTGATAATATTTTTTTGCGATTGCTGAAGTGTTCAAACAGGGTCGCCGCTCGAAAGAAAAGATGGGGCATATCGATGCTTGTGCAGTTTCGTTTGCAAAAAGGCATCTTACCACAATAGAATCAAGGTTATCGATTGAACACCCAGAAGGCCCAGACCTAGTCTAAGCTAGGCGTAAATACAAGCAACATTTGCCTCGCACACGACACTGGTAAGGCTGAGTGTTTTACCATATTCATCTCAGGTATAATGTAGTAATGAAGCAGAGAAAAGTCTAGGTTTCAGCAATTTTCAGGGTCCTCCCTAACCACCTTCCTGATGTTCTGTGATGTGCCTCCAAACTGAGCCTCGGTCCACAATCACATCATTGTCCCAGTCTGCAAGAGCGATCCTGGGCTATCTAAAAACTCAAGTTTAATATGATTTCAACCGTTGTAACGGGCTTGGTCCGAAAACCAAGTTGATCTATTAAATACGGAGTAAGTAATCCGTAGCCGTGATTCGGAGATGCAGCTTGTTAGCCAGGGGGTTCAACACCGAGTTCCGCTCGAGACAAGGCAGCAGTATTCCGACTTTCGCATCAACGTGTGGAATGTTTTGAATTCAACTTCGGTCTGTTGTTGAACTCTCCAAGTATTCAAGGCATTCATGTCAGAATGGAACAAGCAAACATCTTCGTTTGTGGCGATGATTCGTTTGGCCCAAGCGTAAAGTCTGTGGACTGTCGCGGTGGTTTTGATTTCACAGGCAGGTCTCAGCATGCAAACCGCCGTTCGAGCAGCAGCTAATTAAATACCTATGTAGTCCTTTTCGAAGAAACCATACTGGCTATCCTGCCAGCGGCTTGTTTCCTCCTTCTGGTGCCATTTCGCGCGCTTCGGCTACTTCGTCGTAGGATCAGGGTCAAGAGAAATGCTTTGTATGTGTGCAAGCTGGTATGTAATTTGGTTCCCTAACTGAGCTTCCGTTGCTGATGCCCGAAGACCACCATCGGAGCATACATTGGACTGCAATTAGCCCTTCTGGTATTGTCGACTCAGCGCGTGGTGCGCACGCAGGTCTCCATCGCTTCGGCGTCGCTATCGCTGGTCTCCGGCTTGAGCCTTGCGTTGCTGTCGCATTTGGAGCATGCAAAAACAATCCGACCCTCGTTCCTAATCAATTTTTACCTGCTGACAACCGTGTTGTTCGACGCCACAAGGGTTCGAACGCAATGGCTGGCGGGGCAAGACAGTGGTGCTGCGGGCGCTTTGAGTGCTTCGCTCTTCATGAAATGCATCATGCTGGCGTTGGAGGCTGTGGAAAAGCGATCTCTCCTCCTTGGTCTTGATCGCCATTTCTCGAGAGAGAGTACCAGTGGAATGATAAGTCGCAGTGCATTCTGGTGGCTGAACTCTTTGATGTTCTCCGGCAGCAAGACCGTTTTGTCAATTGACAGCTTGCCGGCTATCCATGAAAAGTTGAATTCCGAGGATCTGGCTCGTGACGTTCAACCAGTCTGGGACCAATGTGAGTCTGACTTGTGATTTCAGAATATACATACTCACAAAGTATCAGGCAACCAGGAGCGCAAGCATGCTTTGGCTTTTGCATGCACGTGGGCGCTTCGCTGGGAGGTTTTAATGATTTTGATCCCCAAATTTGCTTATGTCGCACTGAGTCTATCTCAGACATACCTGATTCAAGCCGCCGTGCGGTATGTCGCAGAGGCTGGCTCTGATGAGTGGAGTAGCGGCTATGGCTTGATTGCTGCTTTCGGACTTGTATATATCGGCCTTGCTGTGAGTAACCTACCTATAACGTATCAGAGAATACATTCTAAACTGTTTCCAGGTAATGATGGGATGGTCCTCTCACCTAACTTACAGACTTATGACCATGATGCGAGGGCAATTGACTTCCCTCATATATAGCAAAGCACTGATGCTACCCATAACAGGGGCCAACGAATCTGCTGCAATGACATTGATGGGAGCTGACGTTCAGTCAATTGCTGCTTCGTATCATTTTCTTTTACTCGATCTAGTTCCCAGTGTGGTTCAACTCGCTATTGCCATATATCTTCTCTATACGCAACTCGGCGCGGTTTGTGTGGCGCCAGTATTAGTAGCTCTGAGTAAGTCTTCAGAAGCGATCTTGGTGTGCGGTTATTTTAACACGGAACAGTCTCTACTGGTATATCAACAGTGCTAGCCGGCCACGTTACCTCACGGCAAAAGCATTGGTACGGGGCGATCCAGGAGAGGATTAATTACACTTCTGAAATTTTAGGGTCGATGCGCAACGTGAAGATGCTTGGACTCTCCCAGAAGATGACTGAGAATATCCAGAGTATGCGAGAAGATGAAATGAACATCTCAAGACGTTTTCGAAAAGTCCAAAGCCTTAATGTTTCTCTTGGTAAGGCCTGTTTTGGTATACTCCTGGGGTACCACGCTGATTTGAATTGCTAGCTAACGCTCCTTACATATTCAACAATTTCTTGGTATTTGCAGTCTACGCCATCGTAGCCAAACTTCATGGAGGCGATTCATTCTCCGTGTCCCAGGCTGTTACGGCACTGGCAGCAGTCACACTTTTATCGACACCCCTTGGTCGCCTCTTAAATGCCATTCCCACTGGATGGGCATCCCTAGGCTGCTTCACGCGTATTCAGGAGTTCCTGCTACAAGAAGTCCAAATAGAGCAGCGCACTATCCCAGCATCAAGACCAAGCCGGGGATCTGTCGGTCACACTGACGATATTGAGCTTCAGTATCTTGGAAGAATCAGCGCTAGAAGCGGTCTGCGTATTGAGAAATCCAGCTTTGGTTGGTCCAGCTCCTCAAACATTGTCAAAGATGTATCAACAGACATTGGCCAAGACATCCATCTTACTATTGTGGTTGGACCGGTTGGATGTGGAAAATCGACGCTCCTCAAAGGTCTCTTGGGGGAAACACCTAGGATAAGTGGCGATGTTTTTGTTCCATCATCAAAGATCGCTTTTTGTGATCAGACACCATGGATAATCAATGGTTTCATCAAAGATAACGTTGTTGCTGCTTCTGAACTCGACGAAGCCTGGTACCATTCCGTTATCAATGCTTGCGCTCTCGAGGTCGATATGAGGAAAATGCCCGATGGTGATCAGACTATCGTTGGGAGCAAGGGTGTGAAACTCAGTGGGGGGCAAAAACAACGATTGGTAAGACACGTACGCATCTACCGAAGCGCAAAGTTTAACTACAGCGTAGTCTATTGCTCGGGCTGTTTACGCCCGAAAGTCTTTAGCGATCTTTGACGATGTACTGAGTGGATTGGACTCGGTAACAGAAGAGATCATCTTCCAGCGTGTCTTTGGCCCGGCTGGTTTACTCCGAAAGACAGGGACTCAAGCTGTTTTAGCAACCCACTCAGGTATGGTCTCTCAGTTCACATGGACCTGTTAGCGTTGTTAAGTCTGAGCAGTGAAACGCTTACCAAAGGCGGATCTAATTCTCGCCCTGGATACAACCGGCAGGATCGCCGAAGAAGGGACATTCCAAGAATTGAATAAACCAGGGAGCTATATCCACAGTCTACGGGTCGAACTCGCGAAAGAGCAAGTGCTCGACGAACAGAGTGGGTGCCAAGAACAGCCTATCCAGGCAACTGCCACAGGATTTACCGAAGCTGGTGACAGCATGGCTCGAAAGACGGGCGATTGGGCAACGTATAGGTATTATACTCGTGCTTTGGGTCACTGGCCTCTCTCAATATTCGTTGCTCTTGTGATACTTAATGAATGCTCCAATGGGATGGGTAGTAAGTGCACCTATCATCATTCTCAAAATCAAAGGCTAAATACTTCCAGCGGTCTGGCTCAAGTGGTGGGCTTCCGGTAACGAGAGTGAAATCGGTCAACCTCTAGGATATTGGTTAGGTATATATGCTCTTTTCAATTTGCTTGAAGGCATCGGACTGTGCAGCGCCGTAGCGTAAGTAACCCGTGACACAGATGGAGAGCTTCACGAACTAATTCAACAAAAGCTGGCTCTGGATATACATCATACCCAAATCTGGAAACAACTTACACCGTATCATGCTGGATGCAGCAACTAAGTAAGTAGCTTGTTAATTCTAATTACGCTGGATTTCGAGACACAGGTACCTACTAACTCGACCACAGAGCACCATTATCATTTTTCGCTGCAACAGAAACTGGCGTCTTAGTAAATCGGTATGTGTTATTTGTAGAAGATTTCGCGTGAAGAAAACTCTTATTGATAAGCTATTAGGTTCAGCCAAGATCTTCGCCTTGCTGATATTGCGCTTCCCGGTTCGATTATCAATGTCGCATTCCGTGAGTAACATTCGTTGTCTATCCTGGGTGCTCTTCTGACTTTGTTGATAGAAATTGGGTCTTGTCTTGTGATTATGGCCATCAATGTCACAGCCGTACAATACTTCGTCGCCGTCCTTCCCCCGGTCTGCTTTGTTCTGTATTTTATCCAAAGATTCTACTTGAAGACATCTCGCCAGCTTAGATTGCTTGAGTATGTGTTGATCTCAAAATACCAGGGAGACAAACTAACGTTTTCCAGGATCGAAGCTAATGCACCCTTGTTCTCCCATCTCATCGAAACTCAAAGCGGCTTGGCGACTATCCGATCATTTGGCTGGACTCGAGACTACACTTTGAAGAATAGACTGCGGCTAGATGAATCTCAGAAACCGTACTATCGTGAGTAGCGCCTGTCCAGAGAGAATGCCACGTTTTGGCCCCTAATGAACTTGGAACTTACTGTGGAACTAGTTCTTTTGTGCATACAAAGATGGCTTGTGCTAGTCCTCGATCTCGTCGTTGCCGGCCTGACAGCCGTGCTGGTAGGCATGGCCGTTGCGCTCAGAACCAAGCTTGACGCCGGTTTCTTAGGTCTGGCCTTGGTAGGCATGATGAATCTTTCGCATTCCTTGACGGACCTTGTTCAGCATTATACTATGCTTGAGACGACTCTCGGTGCGATCGCACGAATTAAGGACTTCGCCGAGAATACGCCAGCTGAAAGAAGACCTGGGGAGGATGATAGCCCCGATGTAAGTTGGCCAAGCCAAGGAGCAATTGAGTTCAAGAATGTCTTTGCAAGCTACAGGTAAGCTAGACATACTTACAGACCATCACGAAATTCCGAACTGATATGATCTTGGTTACAGTGTGGGAGCATCGCCAGTCCTCAAAGATGTGACCTTCTCTATCGAGGGAGGAGAGAAGCTAGGAATAGTAGGGAGAACCGGAAGGTTTGTCTTACTTTTCGTATATGGTTCACAAACGCTGACTTAGAGTACAGCGGCAAAAGCTCCTCGACCCTAGCAATCATGCGCATGATAGATCTTGTGGGTGGTAAGATTATCCTGGACGGGATTGATCTCTCCACCTTGACAGGTGCAGCTGTACGAGAAAGACTCAATTGTCTCACGCAGGATCCGTTCCTGTACCCTGCCTCGATACGCGCCAATGTCGACCCACTAGATACTTCATCCAATGAAGCCATCGTCGCAGCTTTGAACAAGGTTGGCCTGTGGAGCGTGCTCAAGAAAAAGACAGCCGATGAGGATGGCGACGTGGCCGCGATTCTGGACACACCCATGGACCAAGATTTCCTGTCGCATGGTCAACGCCAACTCTTTTGCTTGGCCAGGGCATTACTCAAACCCGGAAAGGTGCTTGTCCTCGACGAGCCCACAAGCAGGTAAGTTCACTTTCGACCCTTAGAACAGAATGGGAGGAACAAAAGAAAAGGGGAGTTCCTGAACTAACACCCTTTCTCGTAGTGTTGATACCCGCACAGACGCGCAGATGCAGGAAATCATTCGTTCGGAGTTCAAGAGCCACACTATCATCATGATTGCTCATCGGCTGTCGAGCCTTATGGATTTTGATAAGGTGGCTGTACTCGATGGTGGGCGGCTGATTGAATTTGGAAAGCCCGCTGATCTAGTCAAGGATAGGTCGAGTGCGTTCACAAAATTGTATCAAGGCTCTGCCGTGTCACACTAGACTAAGGTGATTTTTAATAGAGTCATAGAAGAGCCGTTGCTTTCCCGGATCATAGCTTCGCACAAGTGTAATGGTGAAGATAGAAATCCTTATTATTGCGACCTATGGTGTGCCATTTATCATGTTGCATATTTTCCACTCGGGCTGTCAGTGCTGGGGTTCCTGTGTGCTAGTGATAGAACTGGACATATGAAAAGAGTAGCGCAATCTGACAGCCTTGCGAGCCAGAAGCGTAGTCGTAAGAAGCCGAGCTGCATCAGACGCACGTATACGAATGGGTTACAATGCAGCAAAGTGTGACACAGACCTGCTGTCACATAAGCATTGTCCTCTCTCGGGCCTCATGCGCAGGTTTATGCGTACGCAAAAGACTTGGACGGGCCTCACGGAACATGCAATTTCATGTAGGGGTGTGTATCTAAGAGGCACATTCTTTCCGGATAAGACGATTCTTTGGTTTAACGCCGTCCTCCTCGGTGGCTTGGCCTCAAACCGGCACAATGTTCAGCAATTTGTTGGGGGCTGTAAATGATCTGACAGGCTTTTTGATGGCACGGATACTAGTCTGGGCATTTCGGACGTCATATAAATCGGCGCAGTCCTTGCTGTGCCAAGCTCTTGACGGTTTGGCAAGGTCTCCATATTACAAAACCTTGAATTCGAACAATTATCTCGATCCAACAAAAAGAACGAAGCGAAGCAGGCCTCTTTGATTCGTGCCGTTGATATGCTACCTGCGGCAATCCAAACGGGGACAATTTGAATTTCCCACCATAATAACAACGCTTGTCCGCATGGGCAAGACATGCCTGATATGGCGCACAAACGTCGTCCACATGCGCGCCGACATCATGGCAGTGATGGCGTGAGACATGGCGATAAAGGAGAGCCCAGTGCAAACGAACACACGGGATTCGGTTCCAACGAATCGGAATATCAGACACCTGACGCCGTATGGTCTGCCCCGATCATGGACCCTTCGGGAAACTTCATATACCGGACCGTGACCCTGGCAAACGGTACGCAAAATCAACAGCTGTCATGATGAGTATGCTAAAACTGTACAGGCGCGTTTCATTATCAAATAGACGGGCCGCAGGCGTACGATGGGGCCATATCAGGGACCTGGTCCGAGACTTGGCGTCATGCCATGTATCACCCTACGGTCGGGGGATCTGACCTCAATCCTCTCCCCGCGCCTGGAAAACTGGAAGCACAGAAGTCAAGTACCAAAAAGAGGCAGAAGAAGAAAAAGAAGAAGAATGATTCGTTAACAAAACAGATTTTTGTTGAAAGATATTCCAACGGAGACATTAACATTGTCACTCCCAAGGACTTTGACAGAAGCAAAGTTCGTGAGATAATTGTTGTTTTAAAAACGACTTCAGACGTTGATTTGTATCCCGTTCGTCGCTGTTCTGCAGGCCATAGGGCACATAAGAAGGTCAAAGGAGCAACTCATGACATGAAAGGCGCATAAGTTGAGAGCTTCGGAAAATTCAAATATTGTATATTGCCAGTAATCGTGCCAACTTTCGATATGAAATGCAATCAGAGAACAGCGCAAAAGGGAGCACAAGCCTAGTCAAAGGTATCCAAGTGGCTTTTTCCAAGGCTCCAACGATTTCAACAGATAATCATTCAGGAAAGCCGCGGCTTTGAAATGTCATTACGTACTGTATGATCAGTTCAATAGTGTAAATAGCTACCCGGTCTCAATAGCGTTCGTCTAAGCTTCTGATTATCTCACTGATGTATTAAAGTTTCATTCCCAAGAATAGCCACGATCTATAATATTAATGAGTTCTTACGCCACGATCATGTCCCCTCCACCTGAAATACCGTGAGATTCGAAGACCTAAAACTCCTGGTAACGCCAATCTGTGCCTGTAGATGTCATCGGTAATCTACCGAGATATGACATTAACGATATAGGCCTGTGGGGTATCAAAACAAAGCTTGCCGCCAGCAACTCCCATAACCATGACAGAAATTTACCCGATAATTATATCTTTGGGCTTCCCTGTCGCCCGTTCCACAACCAGTTTATAACGGTTAGTCAGGCCGATGGATTCCGGCTCCCTGTCGACTGCTACGGCAAACTCCAGCCGATTCAACGGTCGACATTTGCCTTCACCTAGCTTCCATTCTTCAAACTTCTTGCGTAGCTGGGTCTCGTGATTGTTCTCTTCGATCCGAAGAAGCGCCTTTTCCGTCGTTTGGTCCCCCTTGACGGCTGTCCTCAGCAAATAGAGAGTCTCGATATTGGGGAAGGCAATGCTGATCGAGTTCCAACCAGGCGTGGCAGTAGGCAACAGATATGGAGAGTCTGTTTGTACGGCCATGAACCGCACAGCCTTCCTGTCCTCGACTGAGAACTGGTGGCGAGTGCACCAATAACCACGACATCCATTACAACATGGTTCTAAGACGATGATATCCCTGTCGGGATGGACTAGTTGACTGGCATCAAACATCTTCCTGTAATTCCGTTTGGCAACATCAATACTGATATGATCAGCTGTAAACCAGGAGGGCTGGGTGTTCTGGACCTTGAGGCTAAAATTTGACGCAGATCTATTACGAATGTAAACAGCGCGGCCGGCGCTTGCCTCCTCCCAGATCATCAAGAGAATCTCTGTTGGAAGATCATCGTATTTGTAAAACTCAGTCAGAGGCTTGGCAAGGCGAGCTGAACGTCGTGGGAACCGAACTGGCGTACGAGTTGCTTTGGTGACTTTTGACTTCTTGACAGCTTTCTTTCCACCAGCAACCAGAGTGTCTTGAACTTGAGTGTGTGATTTGATTCTACTTGAGCGCCGAAGACCGCGGATATTCCCAGCTTCAAGATACTGGCTCGATACCCTCTGTACGCTCGGGGTCTTGGAGCGCCCAGTCGCATCCTGAAGCTTTTGGAGGGCCTGTGACGATGGTGTCGCATTGGAGCTAGATGGATAGTCCGAAGACCCGGGTTTCGATGGTGGCAACCCCCCTGAAACAGCAGTGGTACCAAGGTCAGAGTTTCGGTGGTGCCGGGTCGCCAAAACTGGGGTGTCAAGCATAACAGTGTCGAGAGTATCGATTGTATCCTGCGTTGAGAGCTCCATCAGCTCGTCAAGCATGATGACAGCTTGAGTCAAACCGGCTGGTGTTGACGAATGGCCGTGACCAGACGTTCCGTATGATGAGTCTGTATCTTTATCAGTATTCATGTTCATCGGCAGAAACGAAAAATCAGGTTTATATCACAGAACACTAAATTATTCTAGTGGCCGTGGACTGTGTTTTGATGTTGGCTTAAATGCGATGATAAGCGCATGATTGACGGCTTGCATGAGCTCATGGGCTGGGGCGGCTGATAATGCGACGCAAGACCAAAGACTGATCTGTTCGGAGTTTGACGCATGAGGGAGTCGCAAGATGGAGAATAAGGACGCAAATAATGTTAAGAGACAATACTCAAGCCACATTCAGCTGCCATGGCACAAATGGTTGATCACTTACGCTGGTATTTGGGTGTAATTGCTGACAAGGCTGGATGTAAGCGATAATGGCCACTACTGACAGTGATCTTGGGGACAGATATCTTGTCAAATAATTTCCGAAGAGCGGAACTGTGTACTGGAATGAAGTAGCTTTTGATTCCTGGCTGGCGAAGCTGTGAAGGTATCCGAAAGAGTAGAGTCAATGTGATACCGAGAAGGGACGCAAGCAACAACCCCCGAAGCCCGTTGGCGCCGCCGCACTGCAGTATTGCTGCCCAGGTGCGTTAGTTAAAGATAAAACACCATTTAAACATGCTCAGATTCTCAAAACTTGAGCTACCTGATGAATCGACAGAACTTCCCATCATACAGATGTCCTGTCTACGTACCTCGTATGGTGTTGCAGTACAGCTGTTCCAGTCGTTGACTGTAGTAACATGAAAGACCTTGGTGACTGCAGGTGTGATGCGGGGCAACAGCCTCAAGTTGAAGTTGCTGTAAATGATGCAAGCCCACAGTGGGGTTACTTTTTGGGTTGCAGCTGATTATGGCAGTTAATGCAGTGATTATGCGCCCTAGCAGGCACCTAAACCGGTCATCTGCGGCCCAGTTAGCTGTTATTCAGGCTAGAAGTCTGGTTCTTGCTCGCTGATCTGGATCACCAGATCCAATATCCACAATTCAAGACAGACCACGTGAGATTGGGTTTCTGTCTCACTCATGAACATCCCGTTTCTACTTGCGAAGATGGCTTTGAATTCAATTCTTGTGCAGCATGTCATTTTTGCAAGTGCCTGGAATTATTCAGTCAGGTTTTCAAGCATCTCTCAGGTGTAAAACGATCTTGTTCACATTCAAGCTCCGTCCCTTTCTCTTCCTTCCCAGTATCAAACTACCGTAACGATTACTTGCTTTGCACTTTGATCACCTCCTTTGGCGGAACAGCGGGATTCGTGCGTGGGGATGCAGATAACATGGAAACTGGCACGACTACATCATTTTCAGAAGTTAGTTCGCCTCGCTGTCTAGACTACACCAGCTTGCTCAACACAAAATTCGTGGACCTGCATCAAAGAATGACCATCCTTCGAGGACTGTGCCCAAACTGACATAAAAGGGCAAACAAGTTATATCGAAGCAAGTCGTGGCTTAAAACCCCGATCGAGTCATGTCTAAGTAGGGCTATTGCTGTACAGGACGATAAGCAACTCAATTGCACATGACCACTATACCTAGAGTAAGCACTCAAGAGTGGCATATTTGGTGCCTATGTTTGTTAACAGGTTGCCTTCCTGCAATCGCCTTTAGCAGTCAAGGCAGGTCGCATTCCCGCTCCACATAAGGTTACCGCCATAGGCTTATTGCAACCCCCTGCGCAACATCGAAACCACTCCAAGAAGGTTGCCAATTTATTTGAGAGGTTTATTCGACGTGTCTTCTCCTTGATATCTATGGAAATTGATAGTCATGAAATAGTGTTCAAAGCGACGAAATTTGATGTATAGCCAGCTTCGTCTGCAAATCGCCCGATCTGCATATCGATCGAGTGGCGGTCATGTCGAGGATAGGTACTCGAGCTTTAATTGAATATCATGGCTCGAAGTTGGGGGGACTGCCCTAGAATCCAGCGAATTTGTCGTCCATCAAGCCCAAGGCAACTCACTTTGCTCGACAGCATGACGGCCACGAAGCAGTGATAATGACAATAGTCCACATTCTTCCGTCCCAGATTCTGGATGTCCATGCAAGAAGCACTGGTCTGGAAAGAGCTATTCTACACTTCCAATACCGCCCGGCTTTATAATCGCTTCAGTACGATGTTCACATTACGGAAAGCTGTCGCATCTGACGATCTGCACAGTATGCCGGCAATAGTTCCTGCAGCTGCAAAATATGGTATGCATCTGGCACATGATGACTCTCGCGAAACCCTCGTCTGTTATAAATCGTACTGTAGGTAGCTAATCTAGTAAGTTAAGTTACAAGAAGGACGAGGAGTGGGTTCGGATTCTTCCGTGGGTGGGGATGGGTAGATAACGGAACTCGGATGAAGTGGAGAAGGCGATAAAACCGGCAGGCAAAGCAAGGATAGAGCGAGTGCCAAGTGCCGTTGGGCTGCTGTGTGTGTGGAGTTTGTTGCTTTCTACGCGTTGCTTATCTTGTTTGAGAACAGATCTGGGTTGCAGGATTTGTTAGATTGCCTGCGATCTTCGCAACGAGGCCGGTCACAGGGAAGAAAATCCTAGAGCTTAGATATCAGTGTACCTGCATTATAGAGACGGGCCCAGTGCCACACAAAACGTTTAAGCTTATTTTAAATTGCTGTCTTGGTGGGCCCACAGTCTTTGTGACTGGCAGCAATGTATTGGCCTGCCAACTCTAAATACGCTCGGGATTTGAGAGCTTTCGCTTTAGTGACGACTTGACCAGTGTCTTTTTCCACCATGCTTCCTCTTCCTCGTGAGACTTAAGTCGATTGGCACCACCTCGAAATCCATGTCCTTCGCCAGGAAATCTGACCAATTTCACATCCCGCCCACGCTTCGTCATGTCATTATACATTGTGTATGCCTGTGAGATCGGCACGACCTTATCCTCTTCGCCGTGCAGAATAAGCAAAGGTGCCGTAATATTGCCCGCGTGATACACGGGCGAACGATCCTTCATTACTCTCTGTCTGTCGTCATCAGTCATTTCATCCGTAAACATTAACATGTCCACGTAACGCGACTCCATTTTGTGTGTCTCCGCCAAAAGTAGTTTCACTTCGCTAATTCCGAACAAGCAGACTCCTCCAGCGAAGATGTCTGGATATGTGCATAGAGCTTGGAGTACGCTGTACCCGCCAGCGCTGCCTCCACGGATACCAACACGCGAGCCATCAACGCGGCCCGAATCAACAAGATGTTGTACGCATTCGGCCACGTCATCCACGTCAATGACGCCCCATCTTCCGTTGAGCAGCTCTCGGTACGACTTGCCGTATCCTGTGGACCCGGTGTAGTTAATAGCGAACGTGGCATATCCTCGAGCGTTCCAATATTGCAGCTCCAGTGTCAAAGCTGGAGGCGTGTGTCCTGTCGGACCTCCATGCGACTGGATTATCAGCGGTGGTTTCTCACCGACAGGCCCCTCGAAATTAGGATTGTGAGGTGGCCAGAAGAAGCCGTATACGTCGCGTTCGGGGCCCTTCTTCGCGCTAAAAGAGATAGATTCGGGGACGGAAAAGGTGGTGGGTGGATATTTGACATCGGTAGATGTGCGGAGGGTGATGAAGTCAGCACCATCTTTAGTCAGCTTGACTTCACAGACCACGTTCGGGCTGGTGTGGCTGTTGGCAATGAGCAGTAAAGACTCGTCTGTGCGCCTTTCGACGCCATCATATACGACGCTTGCGAAAGGCAAGTCAAGAATCTTATAAGTCAGAGCGTCTAGGTCAACCGAAACAATCTTGTCCGTACCGTCCTGCGTCACCGAAGCAACAAGTACTTTCTCTGACAAGATCGCGTATGTATGACTGGATTTAGTTAGGATCTTTGTACAGATGCTTCAGAGATACGACGCTTACCTTCCGCAGGCCATCTTAGCACTGCCGAATTCCACCTTTTCCAAACCCGGCAGATTGAGTGGTGTAGATTCAGTTCCCCCAGGCTTACGCCGGAACAACTGGTAGTAGTTGCTCTGCTCTTCAGCATAATAGAGATACCCGTCCAAGCCCCATCGTGGCTCTGTCACGGTAGATGTGTCGCTGCCAGCAATCTGCTCGATTGTATCTGACTTGATACCTTGCTCCGACCAATCAGCCCAGTGTAGGCTAACACCAGCCCAGGGCATACCCGGGAAGTTCCATTGTTCCCATGAAATCTTGTTGCCATCGGGGCTGAAGCTGGGAAACATGTAAAAGTCTGCGCCCTCTACTATTCTCTTGACTTCGCCTGTGCTCGTATTAATGGCGACAACATAATTCTTGACTTTTTCGGGGATGTCGATCTCGTGATCTTCCTGAACAGCCAGTACCCAGGGCTCATCTCCTGGATGAGCATCGAAATCTGCATATCGAAGAGTGTCACTCTCCAATAACCGCTCGACCGTTCCTTCGTCCACGTCCAGGATATTCACCGAACTGTCCTTGAAATTGGAGAAGATGATCCGTGACCCAGGCAATATTGAATATGGAGCACCACCATACTCGTAGACCTTGCTTTTCACGCTGAAGCCATCTGGTAAGACATCGACACAATCAGCGCCGTTGACTTCCAAAAGATGGTTGTTGCCATCGGAGCGCTGTTCGCAGAAGAATGCCCGCCCCGTGAGTCGCTAAGATGAGGTTAGCCTGGGATGCCTTCAACAGTCACCGGAGTCTCGTACGTCAGCCCTGGGCGATTGCAGGACTCTGCTGCTACTAAATACCGCATCCTTGGTAATGTCGCTCTCCCATGTCCCGTATGGTGCTGTCTTCTTAACCTTATTACCTTGCTCCTCAACTCTAATGGCGTTGTGAGACATGGCTCGCGTGGATTCCAAGCCCATCTCAAACCCCATTTTTCGAATCAGGTCGCCAGCCTCGCTCAATCGGTGTGCGACTTTCAGAGCTCACTGGTAAGAAGAAAGTGCGACAACCTCGGAATAAAAACAAAAAAATAAAATAAAGTGAAACACGTACATTCGGACGGCCAACATTTCTATTGTAAGCCAGCAGCCCTGAAGGGTAATGGGCGGGTATGGGCAGTGGGGCCAGGGATGGTGCCACGGACCCGCCTGCCAATGCGTAATAAAAGCTGCCCGCACCAATGAATGCCTACGCAAAGTACGGTACTTCTGCCCACAAGAAACCGCGGAAGCATTTTGCACCTGCATGACCCCAACGTACTTTACATGAGGATCCTATACCCAAAGAAAATTCTCCGACAAATCAAAATTTCTCATTTTGTACCTATGTTTGGCGAGTCGATGGCACCCTTCCAGAAGCGTTCCAGAAATGGATTTGTCCACAATCGAACTTTTGGGGCTTCTTGTTTCGACTTCTAGCCTCTGCCCGTCAGGACCGGAAACTTACAGTACACTACGGGAACTTCACCGGTATCATTTGGTTAGCACCTTTTTGGAAGGTGCCTGGGTGCTACACGTTTTCGTGATGCCACTAGACTAGTTAGAACAGATCATCGATGTTCCCCCTGGAGATAGCCCGGATAGTGTTAACCAGATACGCGATCCGCACGCGTAATCTGGACCGGGACAATACAACAAGTCTCACAAATTCGCAATCAGACAATATTCTATAATTCGAATTAATCTTAGGCACAGACCAATTCTTACCGTATTAGGAACAAGGAAACTTTTAGGACCAATCAGCTCTGTGAACGTTTAATTAACTGGTTCATTTCTGCCCTATCATCGTAACGTAAAACTAAAATTCATCTCATTCTGGTCACTGAGAGCATTAGACCTGTGGTGGTTTGACTATAAACACCTCTGACCAGGACCTTGAGAGTCCTCCCGGCGCTAGACTTGCCAATGCCAATGTCCAAAATCTCGGAGATCCGGCTCTGCACATCCTAGTTCGAAAAGTCTGTCTCGACATCGCTTGGCCTGCCTCGCCACATTTTAAACGACCTTGGCTCGGCAGTAAACGTAGTATCGTGCAATGATAGAATTGGCCCCAAACAAAAACTAAGCATTTTGATAGCCTGTGCCTAACTGGGTAATGAGGACCCCTACGCGAGCGGGCTGGTCCACTTCCACCCGACCTCGCATATTTCCATGACCGCCAATCCAATTCTGTGATGGACCAACATCGTATCGATACCACATCTTGCCCATTGAGACTGATCCATCACCGCTTATTCACCACCGTGGGCACCACACCATCCTTGTCATGATAGTCCCCGTTGTTTATCTATTTTCAGCAAGCGAAATCTGTATCTCTGCATTGACCCTACCCCACTTTGTCTTTGCCATACTTTTTAGATCGTAACCGTCGATTGCATTACTTGCCAACCACTTTCTCATCGGGATCTGGGAGATGAAGTCGCCATGCCATCGGTGATCACATCATTCCCGCAGTTTAGCCAGCTGCCGCTGGAGCTGCGGCGGCAGATCTGGGAGGCTGCTCTAGAGGATGAGTCAGTCGGGCTTTGCATCATATCCAATGCTAGCACCACCAGTGCCAACCGGTCCCCACCGTTGGCGGATGTGGATCTACACACGCTGATGCATGTGTGTCACGAGAGCCGGTGCATGGCACAATCTCACTTTGGGTATACCATGCGCCGGGATCTGAACCAGACGTTTCTCGGCGCCTGCCGTGGGTTTCATGCAGGCCTGGACGTCCTGTACATCCCCACAGACCGCTATGATGGGTTCTTCGACTGGCGTTTCCTGGACAGCTGGCCTGCGGACAGACAGCCTCATCACATAGCTCTGGACGGCCACGAGGCACAATTGTCCCGTGGCGGTGTGGGCACGCAGGTCGCTGCACTCGTGGCATCTGGCCGGCTACCAAACCTGTCCAGCGTCTCATTGGTGTTTTCTGCAGAGCCCGCACCTGTGCCCGTGTACCACCCTGACAAGAACTACAAGCTCGTAGAGCTGGACGAAGCTGATATGGTATGGTGTGCTCTACCCGGTGGCTGCAAGTATGAGGATACGGACCCGCGACGAATTGCAGAGTGGTGGAAAGACTCGGTAATGAAGGCTGCCGTAGGACTAGCCCTAAGGCCTTTCGAAGTCATACCGAGGAGGATCTCGGTGAGACGATACGCAGATGCCGGCCCCAAGGGCTGGCTGTCTTCTACGCTTGGTGTGACGACTTCACGCTTGCGGCAGCTACTGATTTGAACTCCAAGATTACCTCGGGTGAACCTTCGTTGATTCACTAGTACGACTTTGCTAATGAAGTTGGTCCTGTCTGTACAATCCAACCTCTAGTATTTTCTCATTGTTGAAATTTATCATAACTATCCCTGGATCGTAGTATATGGCGTATGATTGTGTAGACCTGGCTTTGGGGATTTGGTCCGCATGGGTTGCCGGGAGTCGTGATATCATGGTGGGAGAACAATTCTCCGTTGTCGAGAAGATCACCGTGCGAGAGAGAGGTGTTTGCATTGCCCAAGTTCCCTAGCCGGCGGCGGCCGTGGCAGAGTGTAACTACCGGTTATAGCTGTGGTTTCCGGGCGCTGGCATGTCACCCTGGCAGATGCTGCCATGAGTTCGATATATGCCAAGGTCTCAACCATTCGAGAGTGCGTTTTGTGGGAGCTTGACGACGCAATTCTTCCATTCGTGAGGACTCTCCTGGTGCACTGTGCCGTCGCTTTCTTCTTTCTCTCATATCGTGCAGGAAGCAGGGGTGAACGTGCATGAACTGGTGGGAGCCAGTACATTCTTCGAGGAATCATTCGCTAGGGACTGCTCACCTCATGAAGTATCATAAGTGAATTCAGATACCGGAACGTCCTTGCTGTAACCGTCTGTATGTCCCCGTTGGTGCCCTTGAATGCCTGCCAGTCTTTCCGGGGGTCAAGTCGCTTTAGTTTTGACAGCCTTATTGTAGAGCGTTATGCCATTTCAATCCAGATTCTCAAAGTTGCGAAACTTTGCCTTCATATGCACAAACGCCTTCGGTTTCATCGTTTGTCTCTGACCGTTGACGATATATTCGTAGGGACTGCAGTCGCTGAAGTCAGTCATCCCATTTTTCATGCCTGCAACTCTGCCGTGGGCATCCTCATGAGACGCGGTCCTGCCGTTCTGCACGTTGCAAGCTAAAGATGTGATATAATTTGTAATTATTTATCAGTATTGGCTACATCATTATCGCTATATACGTAGATGAGTCGGGACGATCTGGCCTGGAGAAGGTTGATTCCCACTTGAAATCTGTGACCAGTTGTCGCACATATCTGTCGTGATATCTGTAACCTTCTTAGTCCGTTATGATCAGATATCAAAAGTGGAAAGAGGGTAAAACCAAAGACCATAACCTTGGCGGTCTTCTCAGATGTATCACGGAATCGCTGGTGGTAATTCTGCGGCATAGCGGATTTCTGCTCATTCTCCACATCGGTTTTTACGAAGCTGTAAAATATCTACGCGAAATCAAGATGGACAGGGTTCCATGCAAGGGACTTCTTGGCCGAACATGCCATGGCGATAGCGTCTTGGAGGATGGCATCCTATATCTTGACACCACTTTTGTCAACACGATCCGTGCAAGTCTTGTCAACCCAGAAAGACTTCTTATTGTACTGCCCAGACATCACAGATAAGACGGAGGTTTTGTTGAGCATGAGAGATAGGCAGCTGAATTGTCGCAGGAGTAGTAGTAGGAAAGTGCCGATTCGTGACTCCATGGTGGGCATCGGTGCGAAGTTTTCCGTGTATGTATATGGTTTCCTACACCTTTGTTCTTGACGCGAGTCCGGCGGCAAATACTACAAGGAAGTTGATGAAGAAATAGAAAATACAATTTGGATAATTGCCCACTATGATCTAGTCTTACGTGAGTAGTATATGGTTTGTGTAGCTAGTGAAAGATTTTATAGCAGGCGGCCAAAGCTTCGTGATGAACAAGAAGCTTCAAGTAAAATGAACTGGCTGTATCAACCAAGTGAGCCATGTCCACATATAATATTCAACGCTGAGGCAGGTACCTCATTGTCATAGCAAGGAAGTCACTCCTGAAAGGATCATGTTTGTAGCCTTCTGACAAACCAACAACGCCGCAAGAACAGTAGCATTCAGCCTCACACCCTGCCCTCTGGCCATTGATTTGTAGAGTCAAGCAACGTTGTCGATTTCCAGCTAGTGTAATCGCCGTAGTTGCTTGTCTGAGGTCCAGGGATTGTACCCAGCATCATCACTAGTAGCAGGTGTTGGTGTCGTGGTGTTGGGTCGGTGGCAATTGAGCTTCTACTGCTCAAAACTGAGGTCTCACGTCAATAGTCATTGACTGTTGCATTCGGAGTTGGTGCTGACTCAAGATTGGAATTTTACTGTCTTGATAACTGCCACCGGCAAGTTTGGCTTCAAGAGTGTGGAAGTCAGTAGAACAAGCCCATGAAAACACTGGACAATGGACTTGTTGAAACCAAGTTTCGCAGACAAAACTGCTCTATTTATTTAGCGCACTAAATCAAAGCGCCCATATCGCTTCGATTACTTTCCTCGACCTATAGTCTACGCCTTAGCACCCCCGAATTTGGTAAGCCATTCGCCATACGCCTTCTTTTGTCGGTCCTGGTCCTTCTTGAGCTTCTTCAATTGGCTCTTGGGAACCTCACTGCCGTCCTTCAACTTGGTAGGCATGCCTTCATCATCCCACTCGCTGTACTTCTCTGCCGCTTCGCCAGTCTTGTACATATCCTCCGGCTTCACCTTAGCCTTCTCCCATTTTTCTGCGTCTGCCTTTTCGCGTGCTAGTCGTGCATCCTCCTTTTGCTTTGCCTTTGCGGCTGCTTGGGCTTCCTTCTCTTGGCGTGCCGCAATCAGTTCAGATGTAGGGATAAACTTAACCAGAGAGGGCTCGTCCGGACGATCATCCAAGTAGACACCTACGTTAGTAAGATCGAAATCCCGGACGCGGTCACTGAGAGCAAGGATGGCCTTCTTGGTTTCCGGTGCTGCACTTGGTGCAATGCGACGCAGCTCGTCACGCAGCCTTGAGACGCCACGTAGATAGGGGTAGCCGAGTTGCTCGGGGTCCCTGTTACCGGAGCTGACTAGAGAGTCAAATTCTGAATCAGGTTTTTGCGAAAGAAGGTTTGTAATCGTGTCTGAAGATGGTAGGTTGAGTGATTGGACATCTTGTGCCACAGCCTCGTAGACAGCTTTATAAGGAGCGACTGCCGCTGTGGGCTCTTGGTTGGCAGCAGCAGCAGCTGATACCCAGCCAAGCCCGTCATAGGGGGCCTTAGCATTAGCATCAAGACCGAGTATGCCTATTATCTTGGTGACCCATCTTGCGATAGCTTCGAGTGATTTCAAATCCAAGTCAGACTTTTGTTCGCTAATGTGGATATTTGACTTTCGGATGACTTCGCCAATAGCGCGCATGACAGCAGGGGTATCAAAAGAGTTAGTGAGGGCCTTCTCTGTCTCTTTTTCGGCTTGCTTCAGGTCAGCAGCTATGCCTTCTGCCAGTGCATCGGTAATAGCGACATTCTTCATTTGCGAGCTAATTTCCGAGGCCGATCCTTTGGCCTCGTAGATCAGCGCCTTGGTGTTGACAAAAAAGTTCTGCAACTGTTAGATTAAATCCGAATGTGTCAAAGAGGTAAACTCACGTTTACTGTGCTTTCCCAATTGTCGGCAGCAGTTCTCATATCAGGCGAGATTTCCACTCCATCGTTCCAGCGGCCCATGAGGAAGACAATCCTCATGTTTCGGGCTGTGTATGTCGATTTCAATGCCTCTTTGATAGTTTGAAAGTTCTTCAACGATTTCGACATCTTAGAGCCGCTGATAGACAGATGGCCCATGTGCAAAAAGTTATTCACCCAATGATGTTCATGACCTCCCTGGCAATAGTAGGCCTCACTCTGAGCAAGTTCGTTGTCGTGATGTGGGAACGCAAGATCGACACCACCCGAATGGATATCCATTTGAGCGCCCAAAACATCTGAAGCCATGACTGAGCACTCAATATGCCAGCCTGGTCTGCCGTTGCCCCACGGGCTCGGCCAGTATGGTTCGCCAGCCTTGCTCCTCTTCCACAGAGCAAAATCGCCAGAACCCTTCTTGCCGCCGAGGTTCTTCGACAGTGAGCCCTCACCGTCTTCTTGCAGGGCCTTGTCGTTCCTGCTCTCTGGTCTGAGTCGGGCATAAGGGTTGCCTGCCTTTTCAAATGCCGAGATGTCGAAATACACACTTCCTTCAGCCTCATACGCGAAACCCTTCTGGACCAGTCGATCTACGAAGTCGGCAATTTGCGGCACATACTCGGTGACTCTTGTGATGACATCGGGTCTCAGGACGTTCAAGTTGTCCATGTCATCGGTAAATTCCTTCTCCATATATTGTGTAAGATCTGTGAACATGGTCTGGTCGCTCGTGTCAATGGTATCCTTGTGCAAAGAGTCCAAGTATGGCAAGAGGATTTCGTCGGCGGGGCCAAAGACGCTGTTGGCACTCATGCCAATGACTGCCTGCGTCATGTTGCTAATGTGCATCTTCAACTTGGCCTCGTCATCGCCAGGTTTGCCCTCCCCAGTGAGCGTGCCTCCGGCCAGGACATTTCCGTAGGCGGCATCCCGTCTCTGAATGTAGTTGCTGAGGTCCAACTCCGGCCCGTCGGAACCGGCGAGGAGCGGGAGGTTGCTCTTGGCGTAGGCCTGGAAAGCGGCTTTCCCTAGTCCTTTGACCTGTTCTTCGGAAAGCGCCTTCTTCCTCTCCAGCTCCAGCAGACGCTGCCTTCTAGCCCTGATGATGATCTTGTCGTCGATGTCGGTGATGTTCATTACAAACTTGACGTCGAAGCCAAAGTAGTCCCTGAGAATGCGGCGAATGATGTCGGTGGAGACATAGTTCCTGGCGTGGCCCAAGTGGGACTGGTCGTAGACAGTTGGACCGCAAGCATACCACTTGATCTTGCCTGGCTCGATGGGCTCGAAGGGGACGGTTGCGCCCGGCTTGAGGGAGTTGTGCAGCTTGATCGAGTCCATGGCGGGGATGTGGGCGATGCCTCTTTTTACGACGAGTTGGGGTCCAGGAGTGAAGATCTGACGCTTGACGAACCGCGAAAGAAAATTCATCAAGTAAATGAATGACGAGAATGGGACCTCGAAACGAGAGTGAGGATGCGAAAGGAGGCGTGTCACATATGAGAAAAGAAAGCCAACCGGGGACAGTGACGAGTATTCCTTATTCCTTTGAGTCACCACGACTGGGGTCACACTGCATCCCCCTACGGATTCTTGTGCAGCGCCCTGCAGCAAGGAAGGGGACCGCAATATCACAGTACGCTAAACTTATCATTCGTGTCTCTCATTGCCCGGTGGCTGCGCGGACCCGCCGAAGCCTCGTAGATCTTGGAGCCCACAGGGGTCCGTTGTCCTGCAGCCATTCGCTAAGTGAAGCCGCTAGAGGCGGGACAGCTGCCACTAGACTCACCCCGCGTTCACGGCACTCTCAGCCTCGTCTGAAATTTTTGGGGCTCGCGTCCACTAAGTCGACTGAGACTGAAGCAGCCAAGTGCGACGAAGTATTTTACCGGTCCATCTGCTGCAACGCTGGATATCGGTTGCGCCGTCGCTTCTCAACTCTGAACATCGGGGCAGGCTCGCGGAGGACGCTGAGATGGAAGAGGTATCGCCTTTTCTGAATGCCGGTCCTCGGACCAAGGCGGGTTCCTTGTCAATTGTGCATCTGTCGCGCGACAACCTGGTGCCAGCGGTCCTTAACGGCATTGCCGGCGAGGTGGACGGCTACGCAGAGGGCACTGTCATCAATACGAGATTCGGCTCATTCCCACATTCGACCCTTATCAACCAGCCGTGGGGTTCTCAAGTACGAGCCTCCATCGTCGACACGGGCTCCAGGGGCAGAAAACGCAAAGTCAGAGAGGAGACCGACGAGCCTAGTAACGACACCGAAGAAGCTGCGACTTCCGCCGCCCTCAAGAAGCCCACGACTGCCGCAAGTGGTTTCGTCCATGTGCTACCTCCGACACCAGAGCTGTGGACCATGGGTCTGCCGCATCGAACGCAAGTAGTCTACACGCCCGACTACAGCTACATCCTACACCGGATACGAGCAAGACCGGGCATGAGGATAATCGAGGCCGGTGCGGGCAGCGGCAGTTTCACTCATGCATCGGTGAGAGCTGTCTACAACGGCTATTCCAAGGACCCTGCCCAACGAAAGGGCAAGGTCTTCAGCTACGAGTTTAACGAGGCCCGTTTTCACGTCATGGAAAAAGAAATTGCGGCCCACGGCCTCAAGGATCTTGTGCAGATGACACATCGAGACGCTTATACTGGCGGCTTCTTGGTTGATGGAGAAAGCCCAGAAGCCGAATGTGTGTTTCTGGATCTCCCTGCCCCATGGAAAGCCTTGCCACACCTGTCGCGTAACCGGCCTGCTACCACACCTGCGAACGGCGAGGACAAGCCTTGGGTCTCTCCTTTGCGGGCAGACTGTGCAGTGCACCTGTGTACGTTCTCGCCCTGTATTGAGCAAGTGACAAAGACGGTTGATGCCATGCGGCGGCTAGGCTGGATGGAGATCGAGATGGTTGAGGTCCAACATAAGCGGATTGGTGTCCTGCGCGAACGGATTGGTTTGGATAACCCGAGCGACCGAGCCACGAACCAAACGCCCGGCGATGTGTCGGATGCGGTAAAACGTCTGCGACAAGTTGAGGGGAGATTCAAGGCGTTCCATGGCCGGGGACAAAAGGCCTCCAAAGCCGATGCCGATGGAGATGTTGATATGAACGACAACGACAACGATGACGACAACGCCAACCCCAACACTGCGACACCTACAACGAATGGGCCAAAACAAAAACCTGCAAAGGAGCAAAAAGCCGAAACCACAGTACCATCGCATATGCTCGGCCGCCTAGTACACCGTACAGAGTCTGAGATCAAGACACATACATCCTACCTTGTCTTCGCCGTGTTGCCTCAAGAGTGGTCAGAAGAACAGGAAACAGAAGCATACTCCCGATGGCCGTGCGGGCAAGAAAAGAAGGTCATAGGAAGCGTGGACAAGGAAACGCGCAAGCAAGAGAAGCGCGAACTGCTTAAGGGCAAGAGCGAGAAGAAGAAGCGGAAGACTGAGGCCAAAGCCGGTCGAGCATAACGAGAAGTCGCATGGACGACAGTGTGCATAGATATGGCGCCCGGTGATTCCTTGCATTTGATACCCCGAATTAGAGATAGTAACCGAGGCCTGTACGCACGTGATCCGGAAGCCGGGCTCAAGTATCTGGCCTGCAGTCAAAGGAGCCTCGCCGTCTACGGTCTCAATGTACCCAATAGTCAGGTCCGTGCAGTATGTACATGTTAGAAGAAACATCGTCTAGCCGAGCACAACGGAAACATGTTGCTCACTTGATAGAACTGTGGAATTAAAATATCTAGGGTTCGCAATCGAAGACCTCGTATCCCAGATAGCCCTCCGTTACCCAATTCTCACAAGAAAATGCGTGAAGCATTTCCCGAGAAATCGTCGCTGTCATGTACAGAACTGTGAAAAGAAAAGGGAAACCACCACCCCAGGGAACAAATCCTGGCAGCAATACATGCTACGGTTTCGTATCTGTCTAAATCCAAACATGTTGAGGGCGATTGCAAGATTTTTCCAATCCGAACTACAGATTTCGCGGAACACAATGAAGCTCCGCATGGGCGATATACAGTTCTGTCCTCTCCATGTGCGTGTTTGAATTTCGGTCGCACGCTTATTTGTAGCAATGATATATCGACGACATGTCACAAGTGGGGGCTGGGATGGGACCAAGTTTCATATGTAGTGTTTAACTGATTTGTTTATTCTTATTTATCTACTATACGACAAGGCCGTCAGATAGACATTTACCAGCGACCCTGGAGAGACTCGTGAGGCTGCTGCTGGTTACTACGTTCCTGGTTAGCTATAGTTCCGGTATACATCATATTGACGTGTGTACTTACGGGTCGTACTGGTCGTACTGGCCATAGTGGTCGTTGTAGAGGGACTCGGCCTGCTGCTTAGCGTGGCGCTTGGCCTTCTCGCGATCGAGGAAGTCAAGACCCTTGGTCTCGAACAGCTTGTCGACCTCAGCGCCAGCGATACCAGCGACAATCTCCTTGGCGAACTGGTGGTTGACGGGCTCGCCTGTATAACGTCTTAGCATTTGTGTGGTCTCATGGTGAAGGGCTGTGCTTCATGGCAGCATCGGGTTGTTCGTACCGTTCTTGCGCTGGCGGTCCTCGAAGAGCTTCATGGCCTCGAATGCAGCACCACCGGCAACAGCCTCGTGGGTGAACTTGGACTGATGCTCGCGGGGCTCGCCCTCGAAGTCGTAGACCTCGTCACGCTTGTCCTTGGCTTCGCCTTGATGAGTGTTAGCCTCAAGTCATAACTAATAGGGGCGTTTTTGCAGTGAATCTACGAACCGAATCCGAACATCTTGGAATATGTGGTGGGTTGTGTTGTTGAAGAAGGGTTGGTTGTTCGTTTTTGAGATTGTAATGATAGAAAAAAGGTTAAACCTCAGAGCCGGAGAAAGTTTGATCTTAAATATTACTCTTCCCCCTCCTCAAACCCCGCCAGCTCAGGCGGGTGGCCTCATTGTGTTTGCTTAACATAGATGGCCCAGGGACAATAGCGTCATGCAGCTATTGATCTCACATGTTTAGCTTCAGCTAGACAACCAATCGATCATGATCTACACCCATGTGGGCTGTACGTGTATCAGATCCAGGTTGATCAAGCTTGAGCTCCACGAGCTTCTGGCCACTTGAAGGGTGCCAGCAAGGCAATAGGTAAGTTGGCTGCCTCACGACTGACGAAAGACCCCTCATTGCATGATGAATTACGGTCTGTTACCGATGCTTCAGCCCCAATACGTAATGTGGGCGTGAGTTACAGGAGAGAGATGCCGGCTATGCGGCATTGGTGGGTCACTCCGATGCTTGTAAAGCTTGTTTTGCTCCACCACAATGGTATACCCCCTGAGATCTCATGAATATTTGTCCCACTCATCCCATTGTGTAGAAGTCAGGGGAATGTTCCTGAATTAGTCTCTTGTTGAGCTTAGCTCGCCAGAAGCAGTGTGCAGTATAGTTCAAGAATGAGTCGAGCGATATCTTTGTTGAAGAACGAGGTGATAAGATGCACCTTGGTGACTTGGATGAAGTCAAGCTCGATTTGCCAGGTCTATACCCGAAGCACGCAAGCGCTCACTAGTCATGGCATAGCTAACCCCACCTCAAGCTGGCAGTTTCGCTGCCTGTGCGATGTGACCGGCCCTGCCCGGCTGAAGCTCCTACATACGTAAGAACGAAAAGTTTGGACCCTGATGTCCAGTATTGCCGCTTGATGAGCGCAACGTCAAGGGTTAGAGCGAGACGTTCCACCAAGGCGGGTATTATCAGGGTCCATGTGCAGCCGCTGCCCTCATTTTCATGCTGAAGTAGCCGAGCTTCGTCATCCAGCTTCACTTGACATCAGACTAGACTGCCATGATTGAAATAGAGCTCGGATCCCACAGCGAGAACCGGGTCTCAACAATTAGTTGCTCACCCTGACGCCCCAATTTCATGCGTAAAAGCCCGTCTAACGTCCAGATCATTCGAGGCGGTGTAAGAAATGATGAACAAATTGTGCTGGGTAAATTGCATGACCAATATCGTCGCGCCTATCACTTAAATGCGTATCATGTATTCTCCAACCCCAGGGCGGGAACTGGAGTTGTTATCTCAGTTGCATGTTACACTGTTGATAAAACTGGTGAACAAGTATCTAATCGATATATGAGGTCATGCCCTAAACTAGGAGGAGGGCGGTCCGGATGCCACGTATTTTCTGGTCCAGAATCTGTTGAAGTTGTTGCTCCTCAGGTGGTGCGAAACTGTTATTCGAGGTCTGTATGATCGACCGATGTTCTGGTGGTGCATGCCAAGAAGCTGATACCCGTGGCTTGGCAATGCTTGTCTTCCTTTTCAGATGCACCTCATCTTGGCGCGGGGCTCTTCAGTCGGTCAGCTTCGTTCGTGGGGCCGTCAAACACCCGAAACCTCGTTTCTTTAAGAACAATACTCGAAAACAATGACTGATTCCAGATCTTTGGAGCACACTGAAAACACCCCATGGTAATTGAAGGCTCAGGCATCAAGAAAATAGCCTGAGAATTTGCTATGGAATCTAGAGGACACGCTGTGATTATGGAACCTCCGAAGCCGCCGGCGAATTCTGGATATGCAAGGTGGAGACATCTGAAGCCTCACTTTACCAAATGTTTAGGGTTAAATGCATAGACACATATCCCAACCTGTATCCCTACATATCACTGCTTCAGAGCATATAGCTATTCATGGCAGACGTTTCAATATTTGGGAGCTTTCCTAGAACCTGAAATGAGACCTGGGAGGGGACCGCAGTATCGACACCCCAGCTCCAGAGACATTCCAATATAAGAGTATTTTTCACGTTGAGGTCAACAGTTTTCGTTACTTACCGCCTCACACTGATTTCGGTGTGATTGATGAGTGAGTGACCTTCAATGTACGAAAAGACGCAACTACCTATGATAGAATGTGAACATCCTTGCATAAGAGCATAACGCCTATGCAGATGGTCATTTTGAGTAAGCATGGTCAATTGCATTGATATCCTTGACAGAGTGCGCTGAAATGCTGGCCGACTGGGGCTGTGTTCGTCGCAGCGTTCACTATAGGCCAGGCTGCAAGAACTCTTGATACTGTAGGCCTTCTGAATCCATTTCCACAACCGTCCAGTCTTAAAATGCTCCATCCATAAGGATATGGGCACCGGATTAGGTGAGATACGAATTTCACAGTCAACTCAGAGCTTATAAGCTCAGCGCGAGGTAGAGCTATTTACCAACCAGCCAACAGATACAGTGCGCGTATATGTGGGATTTCGGATCGTCAGTAGGAGTTGCATACTAGTCAACCAGCCATTATCCAATTATACGCTGAAGTGCATGCTTCTGTATGTACATTTTGATCAAGCCAATCCTTGCACGAAATGCTGGTAGCCTAGGCGCCACAATCGACTATACTGAATGCAGGCATTGTATAATGTATCATACAGATGATACCGATGTGGATCTTAAAAAAATGATTATTGCCTTCTATTCTTGATGAGTGTATCATCGGCTAGTTCTATTATGCACTCCCCGTGAACCCCAAATCCCAACGCCTGGTATCGATGTTTGGGCCGTTTCACATAAAATGGCTTTTACGTCATCCGTAGTTTCCTAAAACGCAAGAACGCCAGTCAACGCAATGGTACGATCCAGCATGACTTTGTAATCAAGCTCAAGTTGATGCAGAAACCACCGTCTTGACGGCCTCGCCTTCAGACATCTGCGGCTCAATCTCACCAGCCATCTCGGGCTCCTGGGTCTCGACATCGGTCTTGTTGGTGACGCCGAAGTCGCCAAGCTTGTCGCCCAAGCCGACGATGTCAATCCAACTCCAGGCCTCGACTCCGCTGTTGCCGTTGCGGTCAAATATGGCCTTGTCGTCGTGTGTGCCGTCGTTCTGGCCCTTGTTCTCGGCAGCCGAAAGCTTACCCTCCGGCGAGCCGTCGATCAGATCCCCAACCCATGTCCTTCCAATCGGCACATTGTTGATTCTTAATGCCTGAAGCATTGCTCGAAGATTAAGCCGCAAGACACGTTCTGGCTCGGCTGAGCCAAAGACCTTCTTCGTCAACCAGGGAAACAGAACACCGAAATCGGATTGGTTCAAGTGGGCCGAGTTGTGTACATAAAAGAAGTTGGGCTCCGACAGCTTAATACCGCTTGGGCGCTCGAACGCCTTGGTCTCCACCACCGCAGCAGATGGGTCAGGAGACAGTATCCGTGCTGTAGCATGTAGGTGTTCTTTCCATTTGTAAAAAGCATCAGACTCGATTGCCACCAGTCCATTGCCGCCAGGCGCAGAGGCATCGTCTGCATAGACTGGCAGCGGCAAGTCGAACAGGGTCTTTGTGCACTTCGCCAGAAGTGGAAAGCACCACATATCAAGCAGCATCGTAACGTTCTCCGGTGTCACCTGTCTACATATCGATGAGTCAGGCGACGGCTTGTATAGAGGCCGTGTCATATTGGCAACTTCTGGTAGTCGGGCGTAGTACACTGATTTCAGGAATTGCACCGCTGTGGTAGCGCCGAAACTGTGTCCGGCAAATATGATGCTTCCGGGCTGGTGTACATTCATGCGGCCGGCGAATTGATCCAACGAGGGCGTGCTTGTGTTCAGATTTATCTTCTTCAGACCCTGATCGATAGCGAGAACGGCATCGTGTATCAAACCCATCTCCCATAGTCTGATGCGTAACTGTGCGTTTCTTGCGTCGTGCACCTCGTCCGTGGCATCATGTGGTATCCGCTTGTATAAGATCTGGCGTTGCCTATCTTTCATGAAGTATCGGTTTTGTTCTGATGGTATCCGCACAAACGATGCTACGGCGCTCCCGTCTCTGTGCTCTGGACATATAACGACGACTCCGTGAGATGCTAGCGCACCAGTCACTTGCGAGTATGCATTGCGGTTGCCTCCGAGGCCGTGCGAAAAGATCGCCGTTGGCCATCGTTTGTTCGGTGTGTTCGGTTCGAGTAATGGCGCATTCTTGATAGCGGGTATCGTCGTGTAATGAAGATGTCTCGGTAGAAAGCTTGAGCATGATACAGACTGTCAGCGATAGCACAATAGTTAGCCAGTACTGCGGGTGCGAGTATTGACGTACGAGACTGCTTCAGCTAGCAAAGGTCCGGCTCCGAGAAACTGTACGTAAGCCGACAAGGTATGCCGTTGAGGTGCCGGCAGCCATGTAATTTTCTTTCCTTTCGATTCAGGATGGGCAGGATAGAAGATGCGGAAATGGACAGTTTCAATATTGGTTCCTTCGGGCGCCGGCGCAGGAGAATCCAATTCATCGACCGGGATCTCTACGTCCACCGTACCAACCTTGTACGGACCTGTGTACTCGGCGAAGGCCGGCACGGGGTTCAACTTGGACAGGTACGAAGCCGCCATGACTTTGTGGCTGCCAATTGATCGGCCACAAATATTCTATTCTCTGAGTTGTCGTCGCGTCGTGTCGCAATGCACGGCAGGGGCGAGCTGATGTTCGTCACGAAAGATGCGCACAGTCCACTTCTGGGCGGGACTGATATAATGCACGTGAAAGTAAGTCTATTGGGTATCGTGTGTCTATATATAAGAAAAGAAGGACGTGTAGTAGGCGTGGGTGAAAGGGAAAAAATGCAGGCGGATCAAAAATAGAGGCGACGAAAAAAGAATGGTCTTGTTGGCAAGCCTCGGTCGGAGTTGGCGGCCAAAAACGATCGAGTTGGCGAGTTGGCGAGTTGGTCTTGTGTCTGATTACTTCACTTGGACTAACGTCATGATGTTCTAAAAATGTTCGGTATCTAATGTGGTGTAGGCTGCAGGATAATTTTCAACGACCAACACCTCGAAGCACCTCGAAGCACAGCCCCTCCCCCCAACACAGCCAGAAGCACAATTCAAAATCCAATAAAATGCATACATAAACAACAGCATGTGTACGTGTGTATTTAAAGAAACAAATCATGCACACGCTGTTACGTCGAACGACCAACATCAGCGTCTCGTTTGGGGGCTGAAGAAAAATGATTGATCATACAGGTAGACCTCGGGTCGTGCCGAGGCATTGGATTCTAACTTAGACTAGTTGTTGCATCATTTGACATTAGCGCCCCCCCATACATGTCAGGAACGGGGCATGCCGCAAAGTGATTGCGGACTCGGACGACCGCCAGATTCTAGGTGCCACGATAGAACTCGAACATAGTACTTGATCATTCGGCCTATTTATGTATAATATATGTTGAGAGTCGAGGATACACTTCGCTTGGATTGGTGGAATATCACCTCTGTTCACTCCAGACGGTCTAGCATATGCTGCTTCTAAACTCCCTCTCTAAGTGCGTAAACGCTCAAACAAGTTGGAACCATCAATCAGCACTTAATGCTCATTGCAGTCGAGTGCCGTCTACTGGGTCCACTCGCCATCAACCTTTTCGAAATGATCCAAGAAACCCTTGAAGAACTTGGCCCCCAAGCCGGGGTCCAAAGCACCTGTGGTCGCGCGGATTGAGTGCATGCTTAATTGCGGCATGCCAGCATCAGCTGATCTCACACCCATCGTGCTGCTCAAACTAGGGCCGATGGTGCCGCCACTTCGGGAGTCGTTGCGAATCATGAATACTTGCGGCGTGCAGTCAGATAACTCGCACACTCGTGTTAGAATAGCCGTGGAAACAGCGTCTGTCGTCATGTGACCGTTGCTGTCGGCGCAAATGGTGATGCCCACGTTCAACCGCGGAGCATGATCGTTCAGGTACTTCTCGGCGAAATTGGGGTTAATGGCGTGTGTGACGTCTGCCGACACCAGGAAGGAGTTCGCATAAGTCCGACCAATGACGCCGCGGCCAAATGACTTGCCTGCCTCCTCTGACAAAGCCTCCACTGACCGCTCGATCACCAATGGCAAGAAGTCACCCTTGGCACCCTGACGGAGCAGAGAGCCAATTTCTTCGTCGTCGAAGAGAGCGACCAATTTGATGGTTCCCTCGTCATCGTTCAAGGTGGATGCCAGGAGACCCTCGAATGCTCCCCAGCTGCAAAGCTTGTCATCAATACGCCCTCCAGTGATAAGCTCCCTGTCTAAGCCTGCAACTGTAGCCGGCTGAAGGTCGAATAGCTCAAGTTCCCAGTTCACGATCTGAGAGTAGTCTGTGATGCCCAATTGTTTCGAGATCACTTTAACCAATTTGGGTGGCTGAGTGGCAACGAATGACCCGACAGGGCCAAGAGGCTTTGCAGACGATGAGTCAGCAGTGGGATAGAGATCCGAGTTGTCGAGTCCAATGATAGGAACTACTTGGGTCTCCTTGTTGTTCTGTCCCAGCATGCCCACGCCGAAATGAGGCGCGAGGGTCGGGATCTTGGCGATAGGCCAGTCAAGCTTAACGAGCTTGGTCGAGGTTTTGCCAGATTCCTCGCGAACGATGACTCGGCCGCCGATGCTCAAGTCGCGGTCCCACCATGTCTCGTTCAGAGCGCCGGCGTATGGGGCAACACCGAGCTGAAGGTATCCCTGCTTGTTGGGCTTCGAGCTGACGGGCTTGAGCTTCGCAGTGAGAGCATCGATGTGGCCGCCAACCATGGCGACGCCATTTCCGGGCTTGTAAGATTTCCCTATGGTCCATGCGATGATGGTGCTACCATTGCGAGTCGAGAAGTACTTGCCACCTGGTACTAATTTGCCAGACCAATCCTCACGCGCAGATAGCTGTATCCCAGAGTATTAGTCAACACGTGTCCACGCCCTCCTAGTGTGTGTTCTGACCTCGGTGTAGCCATGCTTCAATGCCTTCGACTTGAAGTAGTCCACGGCGTGGAAGACAGTAGGGTTTTCCTGTAAGAAGTCGCAGAACGGCTTTGTGTAGTCCTCGGGCTTGATTTCTCTGGCCGCTACGCTTCTCGGGTTCTCGTGCATGACAGATCGTGCTTGAGGCGGCGTCGTGGCCGGTGCGCTCGAGACGTTTGCGGCGGCGGCCATGCGCAGTGACATGTTGGAGCTGCGCTGTCGCAAGAATTCAGGCGTATGCGCTGTCATTTCTTATACGGGGATAATGCAAGTAGCTGGATTCACAAGAGAACTGTCGACTGAGATTCACAAGCGACACGGTGGAAAGACGATGAGAGAATGTGGAAGAAGTGTCTGAGATGTTGTCCACGAGGCATTGCGACCGACACCGACACCGCGGGCCAGCTGATGGATAAGGCGAGGTGAGGTCAGTCCTTATCGCCGACGGGCCCTGGAGCGAAACCCGTTGCTGGGGCATTTTAGCGCATTCTTCGTCATACAAGGCACTGAGCTGCCTATCTCGGCTTGGTCGTTTGGACAGACACGGTCACTCAATTCAATAACGAAATCAGCTCTCTTCTTCGACGCTGGCATATAGTTACCTAACAGTCATGCCTGATTCGTCATTGTTGAATGGCCAACGTGTTTTCTACCTTCAAACATTCGTACGGTTTATAGGACAGTCCCCAACTCCCCTCACATAATTCATGGCACTTGTCGCGCAAGGGAGTGCCATCACTCACTCGTGCCTCATCTCATCTATGGCCCCCTCCGCCATGCAAGGAATTGCATGCAATAGGGCGAATCACATACACTTCACCAGATTGTACCCCTCGAGTTACAACCTTGCTTCCATATATATACATATATTTCTTTCTTGTAATTCTCCTACAGCACAATGTCCATTTCTTGGAGGGTTATCACAGAATTTCTACACAAATCACAAAAGTTTCCAGACAGTGCATTGCAAATCAGTGCATTCACAACTATGATATATGTATACAAGACCCGAAGTATGAATTGGGGCGGAATCATGTAAAGGTACACCCAAATCGTCAGAGTGTTATATGAATGTCCTGCCTATCACATTGGCAGAGCTTCTGCGAGGGTCCCACCCCATCTCCTCGACGCAATAACCGCATAATCTAGGCGAGTCCCTCGCATCACTTAGTTCAATACTATGCCTCGAACTCGAATTACTGGTAAGTCGTTGGTTAGCAAAATATGACTGCCCACCCATTACTCAATCGGATTGGACGTAATTGCTGCGGCTTCTGCATCTGCATTACCATCGTCAAATTGCATCCCATTTGCCCACCACCGCAGGGACTAGATGCAGTCGCGCTACCTACGTAAACATTATACAAAAGTAGCAGCCACCCGTTCGTCGGTACCATTCATCACCAGCAAATCGTAGAAAATTTGGTCCATATTCACTCTAGTCATGGATCTTGCGATTTGTGCCGCAGTGATACTGCTTTCAGTTATGGCTATTTTAGATCAACGACATGGAATGGCCGTATCTCGTGGGAAAAGGCTGTCGCTCCTTGCTTGTTACAGTATCTTCCAGTCAAAACCTACAGAATCATAATATCTCTAAGATACGTTTCACCATTAAAGCACTTGCCAGATCCAAAGGTCTATTGTCTAATTCGCATCATTTTCTCTTCGGAAGCTTACTCAAACACACAAGAGCTCTTTTTTATTATTGTTATTTTTTAATTCTTTTTGCGAATTGATTCACATATACAATAGGTCTTCTCTTTTCGAGAAGCAGTTCGAGTAGTCAAAAGCATGGCCGAACGCAGACTTTATTCGACTCCTGTCCATTGCTGGCCAAGAACCTCTTAGTAAGCGATCCTTTTTCGACTCATTTGTTACTCTTTCTAGCACGTCTATGGTGGATATATCCAGCTTGAGGCTTGATGGTACGATTTGAGCGGGCTTAGTTATTGTTCCTGCGGGTGAGTTGGTCATAATTATCTAATGTTCTTGTGCAAACGAAAATAGTGAGTACTACAGGTCATATTCATGTCAAAAAGTCGATGTCTAGAAGACAGCAAGACATAATTCTTAACAATTCATTTTGTATCCATCGAAATCACCTTAGAAGATTAGTGAAGCATCACATTTGGTTCAATTCTGACACGAGACATCAATACGTGAGACTAAATCGGATGGAAGTGTGTGGCTAGAAGGACTTTTACGCTTAGTAACATATGCGACGTAATTGCTCTTTAATCTTTTTACCAAAATACAACGTACCTACTTCAACTGTATCAACTCGAAACTTATCCAAGCGTATACTGCTCTTAATTTTCACTCTCAAGATTCTACTTTGTTTGTTGCAATAAAGAATTCCTATAACTATTTATCGAAGAATGAGCCTCCTTTTACTTTGAATTACTAAGGATCAATCATAGCCTTTTAGCGCTTCATATGTAGTACAACATACTCCATAAAGTCCTGACCATCAGAAAGATTGCAAAGCCTCACCTATCTCGGGAAAGTCCAGTTCCTTGACAGTCTCGTCCCAAAGACGATCCATGAATATGTCGCCCGCTTCGGTATATTGGAAAGGATGAAACCTAGAACCAGTTAGCGCGCTGAAGCTTCTGTGCAGTCAACAAGGGAACGCGGCGAGGAGAGACGGGACATACGGATGGATTTCCCAGTCACTAACAAAGCTTCCGTGGCTTTCAGGCCCCCGAGCCACAGCGGCATCCACGTATCTCCATGCTGCATTGTTCACGGAGGTGCCCAACAGCGTCGCAAGCGGCCAGGCAAGCAACCTCATAACGACCGGAAGATCGTGGAAAAAGCCGGTGCCGGGTGTGAACGTCGGGTCCACGACATTGATGATTGTGTCTTCCGCCTTTATCATCTTGCTCAGCTGAAGCGTAAGCATCAGTACCAGTCCTTTGGTAGTATCGTATCTTTTCTTGGCAGTAGACGAGCCCCAGCTTCCGTGATCGTCGAAGGCAGGAAGTAGCGGCACCGCGTTTCGTTCGGAAAACTCGGCGATTAGCGCTGCGCCCGATGCCACCAGTGTAAGTCGGCCTGGGGTGCCGGTTGGGGTTTTTTTGAGCATCGGGAGGAGAAGCAAAGCGAGTAGTGCTGTGGACAGGTAGTTTACTTGGAACATTTCCTCGTGGCCGGTAGAAGTGTTGACTTCAAGCTTGATGTTCATAATCCCGGCATTGAGTATAGCTATATCCAGCCGAGGGAGTGTTGCGCACTTCCGGGCAAATGTGCGTATCGATTCGTAAGAGTTCATGTCAAGGTGCCACACATCAATCCTGGTGTTTGGGTGAAGCTTTCGCAGAGGGGCTGCGGATTCTTCTCCTTTTTGGGGCGTTCGTACAGCAAGAATCAGATGAGAAAGTTGAAGTGATAGCAAGAGTCGCCCGCATTCTAAACCGATCCCGGCGTTGCCACCTGTTATGATAGCAGTTTTTTGAGCAGTCGAGATCGCATGAAATGTGGGTTTGGGATTTGGTCGTATCTGGTGTTTAATGAATATTTTAGGAAACGTGTAATCCTCTGGTGCCAGGGAAAGCGAACCACTGGAAGCTGCCATGGTATGCTGGGATTTGAACTACTGGTTCGAGTGCAACCACTTGGAGAGGATAAATGGATCTAATAAAGACATATTGTGAGAAACATTTCACATGAAGCGTTGAGACATTACGCTTTATATAATTCTCTATAGGATGTTGATTTGTAATATCTTGTTTGGTTGTTCAGAAGCAATATTGATATTGCTGGAAGTCTAGATGCGAGGTCAACAGTTGATGTCTGGGGTGCGCCATAGGTCAATGAGCCTACCATCCAATCAGAGCAAGACGATGCCGAATGGGTGCTGCTCGAGTCCCGATGTGGAAACCAATGTGGTCGTCCCACTTATTTTGCTGTGCCGGAAATCTAATCTCACTTCCAAAGGCATCCACTGACTACGTATATCTAAAATATGTGTACATCATATGGAGACCACCTCTCACTAGCTCAGTACACCAACCAGACCATATTGATCTCCCAAAGTAGAGCGCTGTGATGCCACAGCAATTTGCCTTTGTAGCGACCGATGATTTTGCTAGGATTCGGTCCGCCGAGCGCCAGCTCATAAGACGCCATTGCATGCGGCAGAAGAACAAACAACCAGACTCTCGGCGTTCTAAGCGGGAGGCTGCTCGAGCGTCTGCGAAGTCTCCACGCAATCACTTGAACCAGGATGAAAGAAGTAGTCTCAGGCCAGAGCCGATTCCCATTGAAGCCCTAGTTGTATCTCACTCAGAGGAGTGCACGATGAGGGGGCAAAAGCAGGTCTCAAATCACGATCAAATTGCACCGCCGTTACCATCAGACTGGGCGCTCTTTGAGTTCCCAGAAAAATTGGATGTTGTGTCTCAAAAGTTGATGCATCAATGTACGTACTACCGTTAGAAGTGTAATGGTTAGGCTATTAACATGCTTTTGCTCCAAGACTATCTACGAAACCCGATCCGAGATATACTATATCCTTTCAATTACTTCGGCATCCTGATTGATTTTCACATGGATACATCATGGTGCTTTCGGACACTCTGCTCTGAACAGTTATATCTTCGCGCCATCTTACTACTAAGTTCTGCTTCTAACGACTTGGTACTACAACAACCACTATCGACCACTACATACACATTTCTTCGGTACACCATACCTGTTTTGAACAACCGGCTTTCCGATAAGGATGAGTTCAAACATGACCTGGTACTCTATGTTGTCAGTATCTTGGCGTCGATCGCCATCCTATTCGGCGACTTCAATGCTGCAAAATTGCACGCGACGGGTTTGTCGGAAGTAATTCGTCTACGTGGCGGCTTTGGAGAGGTTGACTATAATCCCTTGATACAGTTTTCGGTAGATCGGTACGGCTCTGTGGACTAGAATTGGTCAGTATCCTACTAATAGGTTATAGTCTGAACTTTTCGAGTTTGCTTGCCACTAAACTCTGGACACCACTCTATAATGCCTCCATCTGGAAAGTACCCATTTTTACTGCTGAGGTTGCGAACAGTCACCGTCTAGAAGGCATGTTGTGCGTCGATGGGCTCGTTGAAGCCGACGTGGCGCATGTGTTTCGTAACCTGCAGTATACTACGATACTCTTCAACAAGCATTACTATGAGAAAACACCGATGGAAGGGAGGTTCATTCGACAGTGCCTAGGCAACATTCATTCTACTATCGTAGAGCTTGAGGGCCGGCTCACAACCGAAATTTCCAAATGCCTTCGGCTGGGAATGATGGCATTCTTAGCAACAACGTTTCGGCTGCCGGGTTTGTGCGAGCAGCGCTACTGCAAATCTCTGGCAAATGAACTTCAAGTTTCGTATGCTGCGTGTATTGCTTCTATTCCAGACGTGGATAAGAGGATAGAAATATGGTTGCTTTTGATGCTCTTGCTTTCCGTAAGCGATACAGACAAGCCACAGATCTGGGCAAGTTGGAAGGCTACATCGGTAAATAAGCCGTCCTGGATTGAGATACGCAACTCCTTGAAGCAAGTTATGTGGATTGATTCTTTTCATGACGACCTTGGAAGGAAGGCCGTTGAGGCATTAAAGGCCAACTCATATTCAGGCCTCAAAAATGCAATTTTTTAAACACCAACCTCGAACGTGTTATCAAATGAAAGCAACTGTTGTCGCATCTGGGTATACCAAGTTTCTCTTATCGCAACAAGATGAAATGCAGACAAGGCGTTCGTCAGCGCATTGTATTTTACATCTAAAATAGAGCACATGAACGGAAAAGAACATCGTCAGCATGAAAAAGTGCATCAAATGGTCATGATTAGTCGTGTTTCTACGTAACCACTATAAGTCCAAAGATTACTCCACCCACCTAACAGCCCTTGTCTCCACTCTATCATGTGCGATTTACTTTTGTTCTCACATATTTCGCCCATCTATACCATGATGCCAGATCGTAACGAAGCATTTTACTAAACCTCGATATACTTACTGCTCATCGACTTCGCCACAACTTAATTTGTTCATACTGGAGGTTTTCTTTTGGTGTGAATGCCCATTATGAGCTTGGACCACATTCACAACACAATGAGCGTCTCGTGACGTCACCGTGATTTTTCAACTATTACATTTTGCATGAAGAAGCTGCAATTTTATATCCTTTAGGCTAATTGCCAAAATCATATACAATTTCCTCCCTTGGGGCACTGTATAAATGGCAGATATATCGAATTCCAGATCATCCCATCCCTCCTCATCAGCACCAAGCACAGACGCTCATGCAGATGCTGCCTCAAAATCAGCCCTGACAAAGGCAAAGCACAATCTTACTTATCTTTTCAATCCCAAAGACACAGCTCATGCACCAGCCAGGCTACGCACCCGGGCCCTCCTGCGGTCACTTCGCTATATCAGCACGTTCATATTCTGGCGCATAGTGCGCTATGGCAAGTACGTCGTTGTGGGCTCCGTTGTCGCCGCATTATCAGCTACGGCTGTCGGAAGCTTTGCGACGGGCGTGGGGTGGTTAGTCGCGCCTCCCACAATCGCTGGCACCATTGGGATAGGCGCACTTTGGACAATCGGGAAATGGGGATTCTCGAAAACCAAGGTTGGAAAGAGGATGGAGGCTCAGCTTGCGAGCAACAAGCAGGATGGGATGACGGAGTCGACTCCAGCCTCGATCGCCTCGACTACAAGGGAGGATGGACAATGGAGAGACATTCAGGGACCTCGCGCCGTTCCTTGGTGATACGGACGGCGCGTGGAGTCTTGTTGGTCACGAATTGGAGACATGTCCCCCTGACTGTTTCTGTCCCCGTTTTGTAAGACTCACTGTGGTTTATCACAAAAGGGATCTTTCAATTATCATCCGAATACACCATTGCTGCCGAAAAGTGTATCCCTCCAACTCGGGCTGGTAAAAGCTACAACTCGATTAATATTATCAACACGTTACTTCCCGGTGATTCAGTTCGTCGGTATTAAATACCGCATGAGGAATGAAGGTGCTACGGCTTGGCAGATCCATCAAAAACATTACCTGAATGAGGACAGCACACAGTCGAGGACTTTCAATCTTAAATGAATACTAGAATGGGGTAATGCTCCGGGATCAAGAATCTCTCAGCATTTGGCACCAACAATAGTTGTTTCCCGATGAATCGGATCGATTTCCGGAAGGAGAAAAACGTCCTACTTGGACAAAAGAGTGACTGTAAACTCATGTCGATATTCAACATGCGACCTCGCTTCAACGCTGCAGAGTTCACATAAGAGGCGAACCAGAGCCATGAGCCCTGTATGTATGTAGCCAGGCCGTGATCTATTATGTTGCGAGAATTTGAATTACTTCGCCGTCATAATCTTTGCTTCCCTGTCTGGTTTCACTGCTGTCCAGTTCTGATTTCTCCGGCCATCTATTTATGCAGTCTTTTACAATCAACTCTCAACTAATGTGAGGCCTATTGAAAAACAGTGCTGGAACTGGCTTGCCCATGCCCATGATATCTAAGAGGTCACCGTATTTAACAGGTGTGAGTGGCGATGGCGACTATTCTGATTACAGCAGTAGTCTAAGTAACGCCAATATGATTCAATTTAACGGTAGCTGCTATGTTCCAGTTGCCATTCACGAAATATGTCTCTATTGCTAAGTCTCAGAGTTGCTAACATAATCGATGGGCTAATGGCCAATCTGGCGCCCAATTCTATCCGCCATGCAGATCATGACGCTAACAGTTGTAGACTTTACAGTATACAACCCGCGGTGCCTACGAAGGGAATCGAGTACCTACGTTACGAAACCATGGTTCACAACCGCGAGCTTTCCCAATGTGACTGTTGTTGAAGCCTCGCGGACACACTATAGTTATTGGAAAGAATTTCAGGGTCGCCACCCTGATGGCTTTCTCGAGAAGACTGCTGGTACTTTGACCTTGTCCAGATGCCGACCTACGAAGAATGCTACAATATACAAGTCGGTAGATTTCGGGTCAATGGAGAGACAATACCACTCGACGAGCTATTTGATGCTCTTTGGGACACACCGTCGAGTTGAGATTATGCATGATACTACGTCAGTGTATACGATGGAAACGTAACTGAATGGGCCCACAACTTATATTAGACTGTGCCTCATAGGGCAAGGATTCGGTGCTCTTGGTTTAGTTGGTATAAAATGGTAATAGCCCTCGGAGGAGCCCTTGAGGGGTCCCCGAGGAACTCTACAGTTGGTCAGGTATGCGCAATGTCATTCCTGCTGCTAACCCTCTATATCCGTCCCTTTCTTGTGTCTAACTCTCACTGCAGCAATAAGCACCATCACCAATGGTCACCCCAGCTACCTCCAGAATAATCCGCCGCATGTGCTCTTGGACTAGCCTCAGGGACTCGGCTATGGTGCGACACTGTCTTGGTCTCCTTGTGTGGCTGAGAACTTGGCCATGTGTTTTTTTCCTGGGGTGAGCGTTGCGTAATAGACGGCCCTTGAACAGACGAGAATTCTTGGAAGACATAGAGCCCAGGACCACTCAATGATGGTCTGTGAACATGTTGAGACGGCAGTTGATCGGGAACAGTGTTCGCCTTGTGTAGCATCGGCCGAGGCTCTTGAGCATCGGGATTCGACGCGGTAGTGATGTACCGGAAGGCAGGAGGCTTGGGGATAGCCGCTGCAGGTACCCGCCTACCCTCAGGCTCCGTAGGCTTCAGGATATGACCCGGCGGCACCGACTGCTCACCGCGCTGATAAGCTGCCAGACTTGTCTGGTGCTCGGAGGGAAGGGATTGAGGACGCTGAGTTTTCTGGCCATGCACATAAGGAATCATGCTATGGCGAGGATCAGCCAGTGCTGGAATAGTCGAAACATGGACTGTTCCTTGAGCTGACTCGTCAGTTCTCGAAATATCGATCAAGCCCGAAGATAGACGTTCATGTCTTGCGTTTGAGCCTGCTATGCGAGCTTGTGCAGATTGAGACACTTTATCTTCAGCGACTGGATGCAATGGCATTTTTGCTGGTTGCAGGACCGAGGGGATAGGTGAAAGTGGCACACGTTGTGGCGATGATTCAACCTCCAGTCTTCTTGGGACTTTGGGACCTGCCGAAGGTGTCAAGATGGTCGGATGCCGCTGGATGATATTTGGCGCGGATGATGAGTTAGCAGTGGTATCTCGATATGAGTGAGACGTTCCAAGTTTCAATTCCTGAGACTGGACGGCTGATATATTCGATGTAGCATACGATGATCGTTGGGAGTGGTTCGTCTCCGGACTCGGATATTGACTTGTAGACCGAGTTGACTGCGAGATGCCATGATGATTATTTGCTACCGATACGCCGGTCTGATTTTTTTTATCTTTACCATGAACTCCAGTCGTGGAGATCGTTTGAGGTACATGAGCTGCCGCAGATGTTCCTCCTCCCCTCAAGGGAGGAAATGAGAAGGAGGCGGACACAATAGGATACGAGTCTACGGCTTCCACGTGCTGTGCTTCTGGCGGAGAGTTCGGTTGTAACCTTGGAGATATGCTCCTTTCTGTTGGAAGCTCAACTGGACCATTTGTTTGCGTGCTTCCAGGGCCAATACCTGCTTGATTTAACGATGCGTCCAACTCAACTGGGGCCAATTCGTCTGCGCATTTGACTGTGTCATTACTGGCAAGCTCTGATATCTCTCCAATAGGAGTCCACCGTGCATGTGTTGTCGAAGCTGATCCGACATCCTGAAGCTCTGCATATATTGGTTGCCCATCGAGCATTGGTATCCCGCGTTCATCAAACTGGGAATCGTCCGGAGCGGTAGCACAACTGGCAAGAGAATCGCCGGTCGTCTGGATAGAAATGACAGGTTCGCTGGAGGGCGGGTTATTGATAACAAGCGTCGCAGGCTGGCCTGTATTTGGCGTTGCGGTAAGTGATGAAACCGCGGAATCTAATTGCGCCACCACACTGGTCTTTTGTTCACTATGTGTATCTGCATTTGCGACTGGACTGGAATCGTTGTTGGTCTCTTGACCAAAATACATGAAGCTGGCAGGGTCGAAATAGCCTGTAGCACTCATCTCATCAATTTCGTCCAACGGCTCGTGTCTCTTGCGGCTCCCGATCGGGATCGGTTCATTTTGCGCACCATCTAAGGCACTGCGTCTCTTGACTTGCTGGTCGCTTGCCAACCGTTCTTCCGGAGCAAGATCGAAAGTCTCGCCGCTTATGCCTACATGCTCGGGAAACTCATCGCCAATCTTCGGAAACGTGAATTGTGTCAGCCCTGTAGGCTTGTATCGGTAGAACCATCGCGAACCATCATAATCAGCCTCCCATCCTGTTGGAATGCCCGACATTGCCGGAAATGCCAATTCAGAGCTCTATTGTGTTTTGGGGAGCCCAACGTTGATTCTCCTGCAGATTTCGAGGATACACTCCAAAGGGCTGTCCGAGTAAGATTGCCAGCGCATCAAATGCAGTGCTACGAGGCTACAAGCCGCGGCTGATGAATGATGAACCAAGCAGATTTCTGATGAGACAACCACGACTCGCCTGTTAGAAATTGTCGTCTGCCCAGTAGTTGCTATGGAAAGTCGTGATACGCAGCGATCACCAGGCTTGCAACTAGCGACGTGCCCAAACGACCAAGACGTGTCAACACAGAGAGGGTGTATCGACGGCTTCGTGATCCCGACTCACATGGCTAGTTTGCGGCTGAGGATCCATCTTCATTTGAGGGTTTAAAACCGCTAACCTGGCCAGTGGCTGATCAGTACGCCAATTCATACCGGACCATAGAGGATAGTCAAGACAGGATGGCGTGCAGGAGCTGAAGCAGGGATCCAATTCGGCACGCATTGGCACCCACCTCGCAATCAAGAATATAGTACTGAGCCATTACCATACGAACGTCGGAATTTAAGGACTTGTTGAATTATGTATAAGAAGCCGCTATTTTGCAAATAATTTGTCGATGATACGACAAGAGGGCGGTTTTATGATCAAAAACTGCGACAATTCGTGATGGCTAGCCATACTGATCAGGTGGCTTGCGACGACCCTAGCGTGCATGTCCTAAATGCACTGTTTCTTGATGGGGTCCCGCTGTTGGTCAAGAGTCTTCACCCACCCATGCTGGCTCATAGGTGAGGCCGGTTTGTTCATACCAACGAACACATTTCACAATGGTAATTGGACAAACAACATTTAAAACTACCACAATAGTATTCAATTACACCCAGTATTTCAGTCCATTCCACTGAAGTATTTCGTATTGTTTCGAACAAAATCACTGTTGGTCACCTGCCTAGGGGATCTGGACCTACAGAGCATATGCGTCAACGTTTGTATTGAGCGCGTACTACTTCTGGCAAGCTGGTAACGATATCGTCCATGAACGATGCGTTTTGAAATACACTGTACCTACTCCGAATATCTTTTGTCATCGCCGATGAGCAGATACTGGAAGAAACAACTCAGCCCACCGTAGCAGTTGCAGCAGAAGATATTCAAACCGATTGGTACTCCAGCAGAGAGATGATACGGGTAAACTATATTTATTGTAGTTGGCTTTCTTGCTGCGTGTTCGCTATCTCCGCTAATGATTCGGGCTATCCGGTTTGTTTCATTGCATACACTTGTCAGGTGCTAGCAGTACGCATATCACTGGCAGTTGGCCATGTGTTTCCGCAGGAAAACTGCAGTGATAGGAATACCTCGAGGTTAGCATGAATACATTTGATCGAATCGAAGTCTGAACAAACATATACATTGTTTTCAGGATGATGTTTGCTCGGCGTCGCACAATAAAAGGAAAACCGTCAAAATGGCGAAAAGCCCACATGCAAAAAAACTCTTGCCCATCTCGAACTTGCAACCTGCAAAAAGAAGAGCGGCGGAGGGAGGACGGCTCCGCCAGGAGATAATGATAATGTTCTTAGGTTTGCGCGGATAACCACTACACCACTGTGACCTGTGGTTTCATGGACGGTTAGTTTGAGTTGTGTTTTTTAATCTTATATAGCTTCTGGTCGAGTACGAACAAGTGGCAGCGTCCCTGAGAGGGTGCATAGATGGAGATAATATGGTTTGCCGTAGCCGTGGTGTTGAACAGGTTTGAGAGTTTACTCAGATCGTGGGGGAAGACAAACTTAAATCCGGCGGCCACAAGCAACAGGATATTGCAAGCTCCCAGAACGTTCCAACTCATTTGATCATTTCACTTCCTCGGTTGTATGCTGAGAAAAAGAACGAGAGCCAAAGTGTGTGTGTCTTGGGAGGGTTGGTGTGCGAGGAGAGCTTCCCCTTCCCGGGAGCACCGTGCCCCTTTTAGCTCCTTGGAGCGCTATTTACACGCCTCGCTCTTTCTTGTTGCAGAATAGGGGCTTGTGTGGTATTATACATTTATGCATTACTCATACAGGTGGCGGTGAAACCCATTATTTCAACCTGTTCAGTGCCTCAGTAGCCTTTTCGACCAATTGCCTAGCTTTGGTAAGCTGTTCGTTCTCTGCAACGGTACTGCTGGTGATGATATCAGACTGCTTGAGCACTTTCTCAACAGAGGCCTCGACTCCACGAACGGCCTTTCTACCTTCCTCCCTGACCTCACCCTCCCAAAAGTCACGGGCAGCCTCCCATCGCTTTTGCATGTGGCGCAAACTCCAAACAATGCCGAGTGCTGCAACTGTGCCTGCCTCGTAAATCCCAGTAGTGATTGTTCCGAAATAGGCCAGCGCCCCCAGAGAGGTGGTAAGACCAGAGGTGCTCAATGCTTGGGAGACGAGTTTCTGGGCTAATGCTTGTAAAGCCGGTATCGTTTCATTCTGAAGATACGCTCGAGCCGCAGGAATATTTGTGGGCCAGAGGCTGGGCTTTAACGTGACAGCATTGGCCTCCGTGGCAATGTGGGCGTTGTACAGAACGGGTACACTGCTCGGCGCAATCGCTTCCTCTATGCGACCAGCCAGATAAATGGCGCTCTTTTCCGAAGCGGGCAGAAACCTTTGGTTGAGAATGTCGCTTGTGAGCATATGCACATCGTCGACTCGCCAGAATAGTTTCCACCACCCCAGTTTACGCCACCTACGACTAGAGAAGGCCAGGTCCAGTTGTTCTTGCAGTTCCGTGTGCGCGCTCTCCGCCCACGCAGCCAAGCTTGGTCCAAGGTGCGAAGGTGTTCTAGTTGCCGTGGACTCCAATGAAGAAGACAGTGTTCGTGCTTCTTCCAGACGGATTGCATTTGTGGCGCTCTGTAGTAACGATGCAATCAATCGTCGAACAGGAGGTTTCGTAGTACCAGTGGCTGTAGTGATAACATCTGCTTTCACCCAATCGGCTAGTTTCGGGACGTTACTTTGGAACCACATATGCTCGTACTCCATAGCTTTACTGACGCTCTTACGAATCAAACCCAGACCGACCGCAGCAGCCTCTACGTCAACAGGCGTGAACGGTAGAGGTTCGCTGTCCATAGCTTTATATCCAGGCATGTTCACAGCCGCCGCAATAACATCTGCGCTTTCCGATAGCGGCATCGACGTCATTGCCGCAGCTCCCATGATTCCATCAGTTACAAGCAAGGCCTTGTGCACTGGTGTCGTCACTGGCGTGTATCGTCCGGTGCTGGAGGTCGGGATGTCCACTGTTGGCACCAGAATCGAGTCTTCCAGACCTTCCACGCCGTCATCAGGAGACAAGGTGTAAGGATTTGACTCCATGAGTAGCAACTCCAGACTGTGGCCATTCAGAGTTGGGGCGGATACATGAACCTCATGTAAGAGGCTTCCCCTCGTTGCTGAGATTGGCCCCGGTTGTTTCTCTTGTTCGACTCCACCAACCCGAACAATCATCGGCTGTGCCAGGTCATGTTTGTCCACCTCCTGTTCCCATTCCTCTTGGTCCTTCAGCGGATCTGCCAGAAGCAGCCTCAACACCTGCTTGGCAGAGTTTCCAGAGGTTCGGCCATTGGTAAGGCCCAGGATAGCTACCCTTATCGACTCGCTGCCAGGCCGCTGTCGCAAACCATTGATGGCCAGTTGTAGTCTTGACAGGTTGACATAGTTGGCCGCATGCTTTTGGAGTTGTACAAGTGCGTCTTCCAGTTCTTTCCTTGCATCAGGCTCGGCAGGGGAGGAAGCGGTGGTTGTTGAGGTGGACTGTAGTCTTCGCGAATTGGCGGCCTTTCTTCTGGAACGCCGCGTCGAGGGTTGCGTCGGAGCGTTCGCAAGGGAACAAAAGAAACACACAGCACGACTTTCGCCATTACTGGCGGGTCTCAAGAGGCTGCTGCCGGCCTTTGAGGCACTCAATGGCAGTCGTGGCGGCATAGTATGGTGGCATTCGAGAATGACGCCAGAGTCAACTTCCAAACTTGGAGAGCTTCATTATCATGTCGGGTCCCGCCAGCTCTTGGCCGGTACCTCGAAAGGTGGAGACAGACCAGCGGCGGTTAAAGCCCGGACCAGCTCCTTGCCTACATAGCTTAACTACAGACTCTCCTTGTACATATGCCAATACCCTGCTGGCCTCTTTGCTTGTTTTTATTTTAACATATCTTACCATTTGGAATGCTATTTGTCAAGGCCTCGTCGAATTACTCAGTGCTGTCACTGAACTTATCGCGATTTCTACAATTGCTTTTTTGGCGTGAATTACCATGCTAGGTGCTATGTCACTTAATTAGCATGCTCCGAAAGCCCATCGGAGCTCTTCTACTGCCAGTCAGAGCCACTACAGCGTGCTATGAGCATACTAACCTTACAGTTCTGCATGTCAAACAGGAGATGGTTGTTCCATGTTCGTTTTGGCAAGTCCCCCGCTTGAAATTATCTATGCTGAGGTGTATAGTATACCCTAGATTGCTAAACTTTGCGGAAGCAGGCCCTCGGCCATCATATCCTCCAGCTGTTCCAATGCCCACTGCGGTCCATTCGAGCTTGCACTCACTATAGCTCCTATGTCCAGAGCAGTTCCTTGCGATATCTGCTGTTGCAAGTGTTGAGCGACGACCGATCGTAGACTCGCGGTTGCCTTCTCCTCTCGAGTTCCTGATAGCTTGCTTGCATTGCGGTAAAACACTTCAGAATTCTTTGTCAGTTGACCAGCGTTCGTAATCGCCGCCTGATGCGATGCCGGTGGAAGTGCCAGAGCGTATAGGAAAAGATTGGCGTCTCCACGGAGCAAGTGAGTTGTGGCCAATTCGGACTGGTCGGTGCCTTGCACCTTGGCGGCGGCAGTGAGCTGCTGAACGGCCTCAGTAAGAGCGTTCCACCGCACAGCTGACTCGCTCGAATACGCATCTGCAAGTGCCGAGTTGAAAGATATCAGCGAGCGAGCGTTAGCAAGAAGCGTCTCTGCCGTGCCATTTGTCGACAATTCCGGCACTGTGAAGGCCGTGTCGCGCTCTCGTTTATACGTTGTAGCATCGATCTTGCCCGATTTGAAGCCAGCTTCGAGGAGGACGGAGATGAAATTCGCTTTGGACAGAGATATTTCCTGCAATCTCTCTGGCTTGTCTTGAGAGATCCCCGGAATTCTCTGCACAAGATTTGACGAGTATTCTTCGATCATCGGCAAGGTCGCTGGGGGAGCAATCTCAGGGGCATCGGTCAAAATGCTACACAATGTGGTGAGAGTGTTGAACTGTGCAACCAAGGTATCGATCAGACTGTCGCGGGTCACCGGCTCGACAACTGCGAACCACTGATCATCCTCGTCGTTTGATCCCTGGTCGGGCTGCTGTTCATCTGTCGCTGTCGTTTCTGTTTCATCCTCCAACTCGGCGGCTTGCTCGTTGGCTTGACGTTCTTGCTCCATGCTCTCCTCAAGCTTAAGCTCTTGAATCGAATAACATTTTGACTGTAGCTCTAGAGCTTCCTGGAGTAGTTTGAGCGCCTCCTTGTCGGGAATGTCATCGTTGTTAGCGATCTCCTCCGCGATACTGGTCAGCACTTGTGCAGTGTTGAAGAGAGCGTCTGCATTTTCCGGGTCAAGCTTCAAAGCGTACTGGTGAGCATCTAGAGCAAACTTTAGTGCGTCTAAAAGAGGAGCTTTTAGTTGCGCAACCAGAATAGGGTGTGTCGCAACCTCGACTAAAACTCGTGCCCTGGCAAGAAAATCAGCGTGCCGTTTGGAGCAAAGAACATGGATACCAACTTGTTGTAAGCGAGGTCCAAACTCGATGGGAATGCTTTCAAGCCTTGATCGTATGCCTCGATGGCACGCTGGAAGAATCTCATTGACTTGGCGGCATCCCCCGCTCGCCACTTTCCTGCAGCTTCTTCATGCTCCACGCCAGCTTTCCATCAGTCAGAAAGACGCGCACACTCATGCCATGTCTCTCAGACTTACCTGCAAGATAGTCGTCTGCAGTATTGAATGTCTAATCAGGTCAGTTTCGCGAACCTTGCACTGGGTCATACCTTCTTACCTGCTCCTTCTTTTGCTTAGGCTTTGCCGCTTGTTTTAGCAACTGTTTTGGCTTCGCCATAATGATTCGATGGGTTGGATTTGCACCTCTGATGAACAAGAGCACCGCAAAATTGTCTTTTCGTTAGATGGTTATGTTTACAGTGTAGAGCTTGATGACGAACCTGGTGCAGACCAGAAATTTTGGGTGCACGTTATCAAGACTGGTCCGTGCGCTGCTTGAGTTTAGAAGGGGTTGTTTTATACTCCTTTCCTTGCCATCTTGATGTCATTGAATTTTTTTACGTATGAACGATCACTTAACGAAGTACTGTATACACTGCAATGCATTACTCACCTAAACTGCTCAAAATTTGTTTCTGATCGTACTTTAATGCATCTTCTGTGTAGAAGCAACAGCGTCCGATTTGATGATGTCGTTCTATGAACAGTCTCCGGTCTTTGAGCTTCGTGTGCTTCAAACCATTGAATTATATCTATGAGATAGTCACATTGAGTCTTTGTTTTGTAACTCTCTTGTTTGAGTGGTGACTGGTGCCTAGTTTGAAGGATTGGATATGAAAGTCCGACCCCCACAGGATGACGTTACCCACGTAAACCACCAAAACTCGACCAATTTCTAGACGGGGTTGGCATGGTCAATACTACTCAGAAACAAAACTAATGTTCACTGTAGTACCGCAAGTTTGAGCAGAAATGATGGATCTAGTATCAATTCGAGGTCGTTATTTCTGGAAAGGAGATGAGCGAGTAAGTCGTGTATCAATGCCTTTGCTTATACATCTGACGCCCTCTTCCTAGTTCCTCTTGAAAGGCGTCGTTTACCAGCTTAGCGGCCGAGATCCCCTCGAGGATGATAGTGTCAACCAACTTCGACGCAGCATACCGTATTTGAAACAACTTGGATTGAACACCATATTTGTCTGTAAGGAAACCCCATGTCTCTCACTGAAAAACAACACAACTAACTTAGGCAGATTTTATAGATAATACCAAAAACCATGATATAGCCATGGATCTATTGGCTGAATGCGGTATTCATGTACTCTTTGTGAGCTGAGCACTTCTCGGCGGCATGTCCGCCATACTGACCAAAGGTAGTGTCTATCGACGCCCCGATCATGCATCAATAGGCAAGCGTCGTTGGAATCATACAAGAAAGATCTACTCCAGGGGTATTTTTCTACCATTGATTGTGTTGCGGCATACCCAAACACACTCGGGGTCATTGTAGCCAATGAAGTCATCAATTCCGGAGCCAGCACCCACGCTGCATCTGTTATCAGGGCCGTCACGCGAGACGTGAAAAAGTACATGGCGCTCGCGGCTGATATTTGCCAACAAAGAGTACTGCCTGTGGGAGTGAACTCATCAAAAATAATGAATGTATTCAAATCCGAGTTTGACTACCTCACTAGCGGTAACGAGTCTGACGCCCTTGACTTCTTTTGTGTGAGTATACCGCTTCATGGTATTTGGCAAGCACTGACAAGCCAAGTTCAACAACTACTCATGGTGTGGCAAATCCTCTATGCAGACTTCAGGTTACGATAGGCTCGTGAGTAGTCAAAGAATCATGCACTAAAAACTGTGTGTCTTTGCTGACAGTCATGTCTAGGTTACAATATTTGCCAACGCACATGTACCCGTCTTCTTTTCAGAGTATGGCTGTAACATCCCGTCACCTCGCCTATTCCTTGAAACTCATGCGATATACTCTTCGGAGATGACCGGTGTTTTCTCGGGTGGTATTGTTTATGAATTCTTCGAACTTGTTAATCGCTATGGCCTAGTGAAATTGGCTGAAACCGGTGAGTTGGAGACACTCCAGGACTTCCATAATTTGAAAAACAGCTTCGAACAATGCCTCGACGTGCGACCAAATACACTGGCGGTGTGGTCGGACAGCCAGTTCACATCAACAAAAGCACCCACAATGCCAGCAAAGAGCTCTTATTGGCAGGCATCGACAGAACTACCGGGTTGCCCAGTGGATTGGGACGAAGCGCGCTCAGAGCTCGAAGACGGTCAGTGGGTTGATGTAGAGCGTGAGATTCGCGAGTTTGAGGTGGACGACTTGGCGGATTCAATGTGGCAGAGATTCCGCATTAGTGGCACCGGTCCACGCTGGACTTGAGTGGCTTCTGTCATCATTGGCTAGAGCTCGAAGAAGTCATTGTGCTGCTTGCTCGGGCACGCTGATCGCATTTCTGGGCGAAGCTTTAATATGTATACGTTGATTGGCACTGGCACTAGCACTGGGTGGCTGATTACCTACCTCGGTTATCAATACCTCATTCTTTCGAGGAATTTGTCTTCAGCACACTTCATCCGAGGTCAAAACAAGTGCAGCTTCACCCCACAACTTTCCCAGTCTTGGTTCTAAAACAAGGTGTAAACGCCCAGAATAAAGGAAGCCTAGTCCTTCGATGTGTGAACTCGCCCGAAGGCGCGCAGTCGATTGCCCGTGGAAAGGCATGTCAAGGGAAAAACATGATATTGTTCCGTGAAGACACAAAAACAACCATCACTATACTCCGTTCTAGACATGTTTTGACAACGCTAATTGTTACTTCCACACCATTGCTCTGACCGAACTCTACCTTTTCCAAGCCCAAACTATATTAAGTATTAATGCTAGCTCTGTTGTATAAGAGGTAAATTGCCCTTTTACTTACCTAAGCCAAGCTGACCTAGCTTACCAGATCCTGGCATCTGCCCTTCGTTGGAATTTCTTGGCAACGTCCGTATCTGGAGTGGGACCGAAGAGGTTGGTACAGAATCGGATAACTGCGAATACGCGGCAAACGAGTATCTGTGGCTCAATGGCTTGCACCCGACTTAGCCAATACATCAACTTCTCGCCAAAGAAATGACGGCTTCATCCGGGTAGTTACGCGACATTGTGGTTGTTGTTGTTCTACTGCAGGTCATCGATACATTTCGCGAAGCCATAGTATTTGTCTAACATGGCTCGAAATGTGCCTCGGAGCACAAGTTGATGGGTGTCTTCAAAGGTTGCCACTTTGTGCAATTCCTGGCTACTAAAGGAATGGATAGGGTTCTTTTCCGGTTGAGTGAAACTTGGGATATTAGCAGCATGCTAGAGTGGGAGAAATGACTTGTTTGATGCTGATAGATCAGAGTTCACAATCCTGGACAGGTATATTGAGAAATGGAGAGGAGCAATAAGGGCAGGGACAGCTGAAAGCTACATATATTAGAATACTGATACTCGTTAACTTAGTCCAGTCTAACCTTCGTCGAGTATGTAATCATATCGACACTGTCATGCACTGGCCACATGTGATGATTGCGGGGGGAGGGGGGTTAGTGGGGGTTGCCACTGCTGGACGACCTCAGGCTCCATCATGCTAACCTGACTAACCTACTTACTGTACGGAACTGGCGATAGCGTGAATGCCATTCCGATGTCACCGTGAATCGGCTTTCTATCCCAGTGATTCGCATACCTCCTAGATTAACCCGAGTGCTTCCACATTCCCTTTGAGCTACTTCAGTCTCTCACTTCTCCGGCTCCAATTCCGCAGACCAAATCAGACAATGGCGCAATCCACCGCCCACCGCCGGCTTCTCCAGGAGTACCGCGCCCTCACCAATAACCCGCCGGACGGCATCACCGCCGGCCCAGTATCCGAAGATGATCTCCTACACTGGGAAGCACTGATTCAAGGGCCCGAAGGCACGCCCTTCGAGGGTGGTGTGTTCCCCGCTGAGCTCAAGTTCCCCAAGGACTACCCGCTTGCGCCGCCGAGCATGAAGTTCCTGGGAGAGATCTTCCACCCCAATGGTATGTTTACCGCCCCTTACCCCTTCTCTTCCGATGCCCCTTCAGACACCTTTTGCGGAAGCAAAGCAAGTGCACGCCTGCTGATCAGCCTTCGGGCACCGTAGTATATCCCAGCGGCCTGGTATGCATTTCCATCCTGCACCCACCTGGCGACGACCCCAACCACTACGAGCATGCCTCCGAGCGCTGGAGCCCCATCCAGAGCGTCGAGAAGATCCTGATATCCGTCATGAGCATGCTGGCAGAGCCCAACGATGAGAGTCCCGCCAACGTCGAGGCTGCCAAGATGTGGCGGAACCACAGGGCCGAGTACGAGAAGAAGGTCCGCGACGGCGTGAGGAGGATGCTCGGCCTGTGATATGTGAAGATTCCAAGATTTGCCGTTTGAACTACAATATAAAGATTCAATCATGCGGCGCCGAAACGAAACAATGCGGTTACTGGCAGCCATGGGACATCATCTTCTTCGTTTGTGTGGAAGCGCATATTGCCAACGCTCGTGTACGGCACTGGTCGGCAGCGAGGTCATAGCAATATTGGGTGGCTTATGGCAAACTGATCGAGGAAGAATCGAAAAGGGGGTATCTATTCATGGTTTCAACAAATGCATAGCACGGCGTTACTTTCTTTGGTCCTATAGGCCATCTCCTCTTACTCGATTATATGTAAACTTTGACACTTGAAGTGACCAACGCCTTCCATGTCATTGTCTTCCACGCTGCACCTCTGTATTGATACCGGCCATCACGCTGCAGTACCACGAAGCACACCACCACCACGTCCAGTCTCGGCATCGCTCGAGGAAGCGCCGCGATGAGGGTCCTCCTCGTGCCCAAAGTGCGCCTTGTGCTCCTCCGTCTCCTTGTAGTCGATCAGCAACTCGCCGTTCTTGCCGTAACGTCTGGGCTCCTCGCGCGCCACCTTGACGACACCGATCCAGCCCTTGGCGCCGGGCGCCTTGTGGAAGATGGCGTCCATCTCCTCCAGGGAGCGGTATGCCGTCTCCGGGTAGAAGAAGTACACGCAGGGGACTATGAAGGCGTTGATGACGGCGAAGATGGTGTAGGTGTGGTGCGCGATGGAGCTGAAGGCGACGGGGGTGATCATGACGACCAGGAAGTTGAAAATCCAGTTCCCCGAGGTCGACAGGGCGTTGGCGGGCGCCCTGATCCTCAGGGGCACGATCTCGGCCGGGTACAGCCAGGTCATGCCCAGCCAGCCGATGGCGAAGAAGGTGTTGAAGACGAACAGGAAGATGATGGCCGCGATGTTGCAGCCCTTGTTGTCCGGCTGCGAGTTCACCCCCGCCAGGATCGCCATGGATGCCGCCTGCCCCACGGCCCCGAAGAGCATGAGCTTGCGCCGGCCTACGCGCTCGACCAGGAACACGGCCGGCCACGACGCAAGGAAGTATTCGGTACCGTTGAGGGCGGCTAGGAGCCTGGACAGGAAGGAGGACATTCCCAGGCTGGAGTAGATGACAGGCGCATAGTAAGTGATGAGGTTGATGCCACTGATCTGCTGGAACATCTGGTTCGTGTATCCGAGGACAGTTCGGTGGAAGTTTCTGTCCTTGCCCATGGTGAACAAGTCGGCGAAGGACCCCTTGCTCATCTCCAGCACGGTATCCTTGATGGCAACGAATTCGTTCTGCACCTCCTTGTCGTGGACTTCCTTGTCGGCAAGCGCAGCGAGCACCTCCTGCGCCTCGTCCTCTCTGCCCTTGAGGATAAGCCAGCGGGGCGATTCCGGCAAGCCCCAGACGAATGCCAGGATGAAAATGCAGAAGACGATCTGGAACGCAAGCGGCGTCCTCCACGAAGCACTACTGTCGATGAAGCTGAAACCGAGGTCGATCCAGTACGAAATCATGATACCGCAGGTGATGAGCGCTCCCTCGATCATGACAAGTTTACCTCGCTTGTGAGATCGCGACGTCTCACTCTGCCACGTCGGAATGGTTGACGTGTTACCGCCGTTGCCGAGACCCGTGATGATTCTGCCGACGATCAGATGGGGAAGCGTCGTGGCAGAAGCTTGCAGTATGGCACCGATCACCATTATGCTCGTACCGAGCACGATCATGCGCTTGCGGCCGAGGGGGTTAGAGATGAAGATCGTAATGATGGCGCCCAGAAAACAGCCCAGATTGTAGGCAGCCACCGATATACCCTGATTCGTCGACCGAGTGCGCGACAGAGCGTCTGAGATACCCTCCGCGTCTGGGTTGATGTCGGGGAACTCTGTGAGGAACTGACTCATCGTCAGGATGCCTCCCATCACACCTTGGTCTATGCGCCTTGAAGTTAGAATGATGTATACGTGGGTGTGACGCTTCAAGGTGCCACTTACCGTACCCAAAGAGCAGGAAATCGCATCCTGCGATAATACCCACCGCATAGTTGAGGGCCTTGCCCCTCAGTCCAAAGAACGGTTTCATGATTGCGGCTTGGTCAGAGGTGGAATGTGTAGTTCATACCAGATCGGCCATCAATGTCCGCAGAAGACTACTATACCGTAAGCCGCGCCGTGGGAAAGTCAGTGTAATGAAGATCATCTCAACGAGCACGTGCGGTGCGGTCATGCAGCGTATTTGTACCTGACTTTCCGTTTCTGGTTGTTCAACGCCAAGCCCTCGACCGTTCATTTAGTACTGCTAAGATAGCATGACGTTGTGCGTGAAATGGTAACTCAAAGTGTCGATCCCATAAGCGGAGCGCTGCTTTGCGCCGCTGTTTGCTTTACACCATTCAGATCCACATCTAGAGATTCCTTGCTTTACTGTAGTCTACATAGATGGGGATATCTCACATCTAGTCGGCAGGCTCGCCGACAAGTAAGCGATTCTCGTTAGACCGCCGGAGAAAGCTCGATAGGAAAGACAAGGCGGCTGGTATTACAAGGGCTTTTTTCTATTTTATTTTTTTCCTTCACTTGAAGCGCAAGAAAGTGGCCGCATGCGTACAAACGAGATCGCGAAGACTGCGGCCTTCTCAGTCTCTGTTCTAAAAGGATCCTTGAATTCTGTTAATACGATCAAGATCATACCAGCCGCCATCAAGCCATCTCCCGTCTCCATTCCCCAGGTCGCAAACCTGTGGACAGAGTGGAGTCTAGTTGCTCCTCGGATTGCCCAAAGAGGAAGTCCGTTTGCACGGAGGAAATCGCGCAGACCCAGATGTGACGTCACAGTATCTCGAGATCCCAAAGATCTTTCTATTCCTTGTTATCAAACAAGACGATTTGATCAGTCACGGGGGATCGACCGCGGGGAGGCAGCTGGGAGGGTTCTGGAGAAGACATGCGGGGATCGGGTTCGGTGTCTTCTCGGCAGCTCTTATCCCGCATTTTTTCTTTTTAAATACATCGCGGGCCACAAAACGCGACTGCTGGAGCGGAGGCGGATACCTTCGGTTGTCGAGGTCAGCGGAAGGGGAAGTGATTGTCGGCATAAGCTTACATGAGGAGGAACACAAGGCCGGCAATTGGAATGCTGGAGGCTCCCAACATTTATTCGGGTGCGTCCGGATGGGATGCCACAGATGTTGTGCGGTAAAATGATCTTATGTCGAGTTCTCCTATGGACATTACATATTTGTAGTTTGGCGATTCTACCAATAAAACAATGGTCTACTGGAAACCAGCGCGCAAAAGACGAACAGTGAGCACTTTAACTATCCCAGAAAATCTTCATGAATACAACTAAAAAGCCTCGGGATGTCAGCTTTGAGATGATGAAGACGTAGAAGACGATCATGGTTGAATCAATAATCCTAGCAAATCTGTTGAGCGCTATCTATCAGGGCCTTTTTAACCATGTATTCATATCTTCATATCTGAACGACTTGTAGTTAACCTCAAAGCCCGTTCTCGGCTTTGAACTTATCCCAGCTCTCATTAAGCGTTGCGAAAACCGTGGCAGCAATTAACTTGACCTCTGTGCTGGCATCCTGAGGCAACTACTCCGCTGTTAGTACGTCGAGGTGTAAACGAGAGAACAATAACAAAACGTACCTTATCGGGATGTGTCTTTGCGATGGCCTTCATGTAGTGTATCTTGACACGATTCGCCATGACCAATTCATGAAGCCCAACTTTCTTCCATCCGCTATTCTCCCAGAGGACTTGATCTAAGCTGCCTATCAAGGCACGCAGGTTGTCTCTCTTTCCATCTCGCCAAGCTGAGATGCGGGCATCAACTTTTTCACTAAGGGCGAATTTCTCGTCCTCTGCCGCCTCGGCAGCCTTGTTGGCTTCTCTCAACCTCTGGACCCTCTCAGAGTCCTTCTGGGGCGCCATACTGGCAGAGGGCTTCGGCCGGGGTTTCACGGCTTGGACAGGCTTTGGCTTGGGAGCGAGAGCCTTTTGACATCTTTGGCGCCCAGCAATAGCAGTCGCACCACTGACACCTGCTTCTACGCATTGTTGCCATACACTGCCAGCGTCTGCCCATTTTTCCATTTGCTCCAGGGCTTCTGCCTTTCGGCTCAGAGCCTTGCCGTAGAGATCTTTCATGTCACGATGCTCTCCGTCACCAAGAGCAACCTTCTCACCTTCACCGCGAGATGGACCAATGATCTTGATGGCCGCATCCGCATCATCTACAGCCTGTTTGGGGCTACCAGTCTTCAGCGAAGTAAGAGACCGGTTCGTGAGAAGCACGATGCAAAGCGGATGCGTCTGCGGGATGCCATTCAACGAGTTGGAATACGCGGTATGTGCAGCATCATAGTCACCACGCTTGAAATGAGCGGTGCCATCGAGCCGATGTTTTGTAGATGCTTGCAAAACTGCCGGGGCAAGACTGGGGATTTGTCTGGTTGGTGCCGCAGGTCTGGGCGTAATTGCTCGGGAGGCTGGTTGACTAAATTGGTTCGTGGCAGCGGAAGACGGTTGGCTCGACCGTTGAGGCTGAGGCTTAGATGCAACCGGAGCAGTGGTGCTAAACAAGTCCACTTCCGGCTCAGTGGAGGCTGCTTGTGGTTGTGGTGTTGCCTTCTTCCTCCTTGCCGGGCTGACATATGCTTGTGCACTTTGCTCCTCTACCAACTGTTTATTTAGACGAGCCTTGGGATCAGCCCCAGGCTGGGACTGCTGCCATCTGGGCACTGAAGATGCTTGCGCTGCAGGTCTTGTGGGCAGATCTTGCGGACGATCGCGAGAATGTGCATCCCTGAAGGACCCGGACTGCTGTGGTTCTCTTGATGGCCGAGGAGATGGCTTTTCTGGACGTCTACCAGCGTCAAGCATCATGGCTTCGTCTGTTGCCGATACTGCTTGCTTTTCTCGGGGATGCGGCCTCTCCTGCTGGGCAGACCGCATCCATTTGGGCTGACTTGGGTCGCCATCTTCCTGGTTGAAGTCCGCCACTGCCTTCTGCACTTGCTTTTGGCCTTGTTTCCACAGAGAGTTTGCAGTCTTGAAGAAGCTTGTACCCACTGCCGCCGCCTTTTGGGACAAGTCGCCTCCCGCAACTGGTGATCTGTTATCTCTTCGTGGTGGCAGGCCGGGGTTCTCTTCCCTCATCCAGGCAGGACTTGCGTTGTTTCGTGATCGACCGGCGTCCTCGCGGTTCCTTGCCCGATCAGCAGGAGAATCTCTAGATGACTGCTTTTCTTTTCTTGCTGTCTTATGTGCATCATCCAAAAGCCATCCGACAGCAGCTTGGATGTTAAGACCACCGCCACTTTCCGTCAGACCACGCCTAGCGTTTTCGGGGGTAAATCCCATGTCAACCAACTCCGCAACTGCCTTATCGAAGGGATCGTCAGCAGTTGATCTCTGGGGTGCTTCTGGCTCAGAATCAGACTCGGAGTCTTCGATGGGCTTTCCGGGCTCCGCTGTTCGTTGTGTGACTTGTGTCTTTCGTCGTACTTCCTCTACCGGCCTTCCAAGGTCGCCCAAGAAGTCATCGTCATCAGCTTGTTCCCGAACCGGTGTTGGTTGCTGAGAGGTTTTAGCTTTGAACGTGTTGAGTCCGAAAGGATCATCGTCATCTCCAAAGTCGCCGCTGCTGGACGTAGTTGGAACGTTCCAAGCGCTTGCACTACCTAGATCCAGTTTTGCTGCATTTGCCGGGGTGCTCTTGCCAGATGATGGCTGTATTGGCGGCGGATAGTGACTCGAGTTGTCAACCTTTGTATTCTTGTTGAAAGCAGCAAATAGATCATCGTCGTCTCGTTGTTGTTTTTGTTGCTGCTGTTGTCCGTTCTGAGCCCCTATTCCACTGCCGACTGAGGGGACCGCGGGCGAGGCCGTTCGCGATGCGCTGGCCGAACCAAGATTGTCCCAGAACTGACCGCCTCCATACTGAGCTTGCATCTGTCTCTTCTGCTCCTCTGATTTCCTCCTCTTCTCGGCCTCCAGCTGCTCCTGCCGCTCGCGTAGACTGAGGTTCGCATTGCCCTTGGCCCCACCAAAGCTACCAAGATTGCTGAACGGGTCGGTCACAGGTTTGGTCGATGCGGTTCTCGAGGCATTGAAACCAGAGCCCTGGGCGGAGAGCGGGGTGTTGCGGCCAGATACTTGGGGCGAAGGTGTCGGCTGCAGCGTTGGGTAGAAGCTATTCTGGCTCATGGGCATAGGGGTTGTCGTCTTGGAACCAGGCTGGGCCTGGTTGGCCGATCCCGACAAATCGAGGCCCAACAGATCATCCATGGTGAGGCGTATTTCAGGAAAACTGTATCATCGTAACAATTGAGTCTTTGGTTGCAAAAGCACACCTTTTGGGCAGCCGATTTACTTTATTAGGCGCAAACGAGACAACACGCGACAAGACGATGCCGTTACATATCCAATCCAATGGCGTGGCTGAAAGTTGGGGTATTGTGGCTTCAGTTTACGTAAGCGCTCACTCTGCAGCAAAAGGTAGCCATGTTCTGTTAATTAATTATATTTGCACACGATCGCACTCTTCGTGATAGTTGTGATGCAGCTGTCTTGAGAAGTAGAAAAGTTAAAATGTATATACAAATAAATAATTGTCCGAACGATGCAGTGGTTCAGTACTGCCTTTTTTGATAGAACTCTGGTCCAATGGCTCAAACTGTGCTGTTCGCCGGGCTACTGATACATCCAGTGCTTTGCAGCCACACCTGGACACCTGCACCAGCCGCATGTGGGAGGGTCGGGGTGCTGTCTGGGACAACTCGCACGCCCTGAGCTTCCTACTCATACATTAACTTGGCTATGCTAATATGAAGCCTACAAGCCATTGCCAGTGATTTGAACACAGGACACCATTTCAAAGGATGAAGGTACTCGGCAGCTGCTCGGTATGCACAGTGGTGCTGCTGTTTTCAACCAAGCTTCCCTACATGTAGTAAGAGGTGCAGACGAAGTACTGAAGATCATACAGGAACCGTTTGAGAACATATAAAGTTTCACACGCTATGGTGTCACTCCCCAGACGATTCGTCCGAGGATAGCTTGTCGCATGAGCCTGTCATCTTAAATCGACACCAAAACGAGAAAAGAAGCATATTTTGGAAACACGTTTGGTTTGTCTTGTCCGAGCTTCTTCGGTGGATGTCAGGTGGGAGGGCTTGAGTCTCAACGGTGACTACACAGAACCTTGAGAGGAACCCAACAAACGAATACCTATGCCAAGAGCTCTGCGACTATCAAACATGGTCACTCCTGGGACGGCGTCATGCCGTGTCTAATTTGTGTGTACGACACAGAGTGATGAGGTGTACCATTTGCTATACGCAAACATGGCGGCTTATTGCTTCGGCCAATTAGGATAAATGCCCTGCACTTCACACCCAGAGGTTAGATCAGTAATTGCCAGGCGGCCACAAACAACTCTCTCTACATATGTGCCTAGGTGGCTTCGAGATAGAGCAATGCTTGACAAATGGCCGAGGTGATTGACCTGCACTATTACAATACACAGCAAAATGGCGTTGTGCGCTGTTCCACCTCGTACGACAAATGGGGGCCGATTTCATTTTTTGTTTCCGTAAACCTTGGTTTTGGTGAGTTCGGCGCCAAGGGAGCTGAGGATTTGGAAATAACATCAAAAATGGCTCAATATAGAACAGGCATTCTGGGCGCCAGCATAAAAATGCATGTGAGAGCGGTGGGAAGCGCCCTTTTCCATCTGCTCGAAACCAGGATGTAATTGAGACCAGGGCTCCTGTCAAATCCAGTGGTCCGCTGCAAAAATGGGGGATCGCCATGCAGGGACGTAGATAGCCAGCCCAAAGAGGCGTTCAGGCAGTCGCGGGAACAGCTTTGATTGGTTCAGCCAAGGATACTGAAACAACAGTTCCCTGTCGTATAGTAGATCTAAACCCCGCTACTGGGTAAGGGCGACGTTGCGATTGCCCCTCGTACCCCTTTCCCCCCCTTCCACTTTCGGGGATGAATTGGCTTCAGTCCGCTGCTTCGAACAAAATGATGTTAGTACTCTGGTGTCTCCGGCCATTGGGATGTAACTGCCACTGGGCCTTCGCAAATCGACCTTGTTATTATCACCGTTAATACGAATTTCGGTCGTCGTAGTACGGAATGATTCGTGTAAAATGGAAATGTGGTGTTTGGGGAGGCATCCGATAAACAGTTCGAATGCGCTGTCATGTGTATAAGTTGTGCTCGGTCAAGCTGAACTTCTGAATTCGTGAGGCAGCTTATCTGCATCAACGATAGAAGGGGAGCATGATCGATCCGGCGCACGTAAATGCTTGCACCCGCAGAGGACAGCCAGCGCCTTGGCCGCAATAGATCTCAAGAAGCGAGAACCGTAGCACCATCGGGTTATGGATGAAAAGGAAACAATACCGCATTTAGAGAACTGCCTGAATGTGCTATTATCCTGTGCTGTGGTGGTGTATTGCAATTTCTTGGAAATGATAACGTGGGCAGACTTTCATTTGCGTCTTGACATTGGCCACAGCCAATCATACTGATTTCTCCATGACTCAACTAATTACATATTGGGCGCTACGTGGTGGTTTTCCTTGGTCTCTCTAGGCGTACATCCTTTGGTTGGGGGATAAGCTGAAGGAGACTCAATGTGCCTACAGAAAGTACTCCAACGGCTTGAAGCACAAACAATCACCTAACGCCAACTCAGATCATGCCAAATTCTCAATGACATAATTGCAAGTATTTGAACGGCGAACAATTTGACGCCAATTTGGACTTCACCTGGCACATGCGCGGGCCGTTTGTAGTGCAATGCGCCATGTAATAATATGGAGTACAAGGTGGGACATCAGTGGACCTGCCCCCTTTGATAGAATACCGACGTGCGCGTTTCAATATCGATCAAATGCGCTTGCGCCAATTTAGGCAATCTTTCATATGAGCCTACTATTACAGGCCCGCAGAATCCAAGATTGATTCGGGAAGATGCGTTTGCTGTTGGAGACAAGAAAGATTTATAACTGTACCATAGAGTTGGTAAGTTTGTGTCTGCAGATGATGCGTTGGCAACGAATGCAATCGTCCACGTTGAGGTGGCCAACTTATAGTGTAAGGCTCGGGACGTGGCAGCCAACAGAGTTGTGTGCATGACACTAAGTTAGTAACGCTCGAGCTGTCCTAAGCTCGATCTGAGTGCGGCGTCAGTGGCTTCGGGAACCTCAGCCCAGTAGATCGGTTAAAAAATATTTATACATAGTTGCAGATGCCCCTAACTTCCCCCAGAATACGGCGCAGTGTCATGTTGCAGCGTTGCAATCTACCCGGAGCCTCCTCCACTAGACTTGTCGGGTATCGCAAATGCGCGCACCAGCGACACGTCAAACATGGACGCTGGTGCAAGGGCTTGGTTCAATTTCCGATGTCAAGCGTACTAAGAATGAGGATCTCCAGAGATTTGCTGTGTGGTGGCTCGTTTTGTGGTCAGTGCCAATTGGGCACCCCATAAACATGACTGCTGGCAGATTGCGACAGACAGGCAAATCGCAGTGATGCTGTGGGACCGGACCCAATCACCACGAAAGGCAACTCTTGTACCGCAGGGTAAAGGATTGTATGGAAATAGATAGGCTCAGGTACCGGGTGGATCTAATAGGTTGGCAAGCGATTCGAGGAAACCAGATGGTCGTTGGATGTGATGAACCCCTCGGAAGGGGGTTGAGTCGTTGACCCATGTCATGTCTTTCGCTTGTGCAACAGGCCTCATGCTGGGATCCTGCGGCTTGACCCTGTACCCTGTCACAAATCATCCACACCACAAGATCCGCATCTATTCCAATCGAACCAATTCCCGATATCCCACCACACCAGCCTTCTTTGTGCACTCCCTTCTTTACACTACACCTCCCTTCACATTCATTCACTCATTTGCCTTTGGTTTCCTAACCACGACACATTTCGTTTATTCCGACTTGTGTCTCAACACTCATTTTCTTGACACTTCGACCGCACTGCCAGTTCATCTGATCGAGACCTGTAGTCTAGATCGTTGGCTTGTACATTCTTTCACCGGTCTGTGATCGCACTCATTCGTTGAAAATCCATCTAAGCGTTAGAAGCCATCTGGTATCTGCTGTGAGGTTGGTTACTTTGGAAGAACGACGTGAAAATCAAAGTTAAAAAAAAAGAAGAAGAAGAAAAACCACAATACCAGGACACCCTCCCACATCTCATACACGTCATTGCAACGCAGTGATCATCATCAACACGGAAGCGAGAAACAGGAAAGGTACTACCAGCAAACAAAAAACCGTGCTCCAAGTAGAAGAGAATCGGTTCCCCGGAATAACTCACGTGGTTGTTGTTTCGGTTCTTGAATTTGGGCCAAAACTTGTCATCAGGTGATCTATTGTGGTCGAAGAAAGGAAGGCGCGAACAACATCGTCCTCTCGGCTATACCGATTTTCGTGTCTGCAAACAACGTCACTTCGACAGGAAATCACTTTTGGCCTTGCAGTTCAAAGCTGGTCTACCCGCTTTTGTTCGCCACAGTTACCTGGTACCGATTCATTGAAGTACCATCACAACACATTCACTTCACCACAGACGGACTTCGCGATAATCTCAACAAGACACTCGTTGATAATTGGTTGCACTGACTTCCTTGGTACTTATTTCGGCGAAATAACCACTGTGATTATTTTTCACAAAACCGGCAACCTTGACCCATTTCTCAATAAACGGAAGATTGGAAACAGTATCAAAGCATCCCACAACCTCAATCCGTCAAAATGGCACCAAAACTCTGGACTTCCCTTGTCGTGCTTAATGCGCTGAACGGCGCATCTGCTTTCTGGCGCATGGAGTGCCGTGGGCGCGTTGCACTGGCAAGAATAGATCCCATCATGTCATTAGGCTCAACAGCGGAGCATGCTCACACTATCCATGGTTCGAGTGGTGAGTCTTTTATTTTGTGATGAGACGACTAGCTTTGAGTGCTCACTCTGGGTTGTGGCTGATATATTACAGCATTCTCTGAATCTGCCGATACCGATGAGCTCTTAGCTGGCAACTGCACATCCTGTGCTGTCACCCAGGATCTCTCAGCCTACTGGACTCCCGCGTTGTACTTCGAGTTTTCGAATGGTACTTTCGAGCTTGTTCAACAAGACGGCGGCATGCTTGCGTAAGCCTCCCTTTCATTATTTACCCGAATTGACGTGGCGGCCTGCTAATACTTCTGTGAAGGTACTATCTGTTGCGCGACCCCAATGACAATGTGAAGGCTTTCCCTGAGGGTTTCAGAATGATCGCAGGTGACAATCTACGACGTAACTACACTGTGGGCGATGTTTCCCAACCCGACCCACCTCAGTCAAACTGGGCTGCTCTTGGCCAAACAGGCCAGTCTGACCTAGAGCAACGTGCACTGGGTTTCAACTGCCTCGACTATTCAAAGACCGCTGAAGCCGCTCTCTACCGCCACTTCATGCCAGAGAAGTCATACCTGGATGCCAACTGCCCTGATGGGCTTCGCTTCGAGCTGGCCTTCCCGTCTTGCTGGAATGGCAAGGACCTCGACTCCGATAACCACAAGAGCCACATGGCTTATCCCGACTTGGTTCAGGATGGCAACTGCCCTGACGGCTTTGAGACTCGTCTTGTGACTCTGTTCTACGAGACTATCTGGGCAACCTACAAGTACGACGGTATTGATGGTCAATTCGTTATCGCTAACGGAGATCCTACTGGTCAGTCGATTTCGCTCTGCTTTTATTTCCACATGAACTAATTCTCCTTTAGGCTTCGGTTACCATGGTGATTTCATGATGGGCTGGGAAGAAGACTTCTTGCAATCGGCCGTTGATCAATGCACAAACTTGTCCGGCTTAATCGAGGATTGTGAGCTCTTTACCATTCAGAGCGAAGAGGACCAGACTCAGTGTCACATCGAAACAATGCCCTCTATCCTTAAGGTCGAGAACGTTCTTGGTGGCGCTGCTGACGTGTTGACATCACTTCCTGGCAACCTCGCTATCCAATACGGCCCAGAGCGGGCTACTATTGGCTCGGGTAGTGGTGCTTCCTCCAGTGCTTCACTGACCACCACTTACAGCGCACCAGCCCTCACTTACGCGCCCGCGAGCTCTTCCACCCTAGGTGCCCTTTTCTACGAGGCGTCTTCTGCATCTTCTGCTTCTGCGGCTTCCTCAGCCGGCAAGGCTACCATCCAGGATATCCCCAAGGCGTCAACATCCTCAGCTACTGCTCCTGCTACCACCTCTGCTCCTACGAGTGCCTCGGGTGTGCAGTACGAGACAGTCAGCACAGGCTACTTCACTAACGGTCGCGTTGTTTCGGAAATTGTCTACGAGGAGGCTGTTGTTTACGTTACCGAAGACGTTGTCACCACTGTGACGATTAACCCAACTGCCACCGCCAAGGCAGAAAGCAAGCGATCACAGCGTGACCACCTCCTGCGACACCGCCATGTGCACGCTGGCCACCACTAGGCATGTCCTCTGGTTTCTATTCATGAAGATAGTTATCATACATTCTGCTGGTGCGATGGATATTGCATCGTGTTTTCGGGCTTCACGCTACTTGCCTGGGCATACTCCACCATATTTTTATCCACTTTTGAACTGAGATCACACTATGGTTGTCAATAAAGAGGACCGAGAGGCTCGAGAGGAGTGGCCGGTATTTCATGTGGACGGTGTGAAAAGTTGGTGTTGACTTTGTGTTATTGCATATGGGAACTGGCTTCTGGCGTTATGAGGCAATGGGGTTACGCAAGCTCTTGTGAAATCTTGCAGATGGATTGATGATACATTTGGACGGACATCTCTTCTGGCAAGGGATGAAATCTCACAAAATTCTTGGCATTGACTTAACACATGATCAAGAGCAATCTCAAGCATTAAAAACATTCTTCTCTTCTTGTCAACATCAAAACAATTGGCCCTAAATCCCCCCCCCCCCCCCCCCCCCCGTGTTTCTGTGATAGCCGTTTCGACTCCCAAGAATGATATTTGCTGCTAAAGGATCGGTGAACTATCCAGAACTAGCTTCAATGTCTTAGCAGTTATTTTTGACACATTTATCAGACGCTTGGTTTGTGAGTCTTTGACAGAGCAGTGCTCAAATCCTCCACAGTTGCACTGGTTTTGGATTGTGGACAAGCATTCCATATATAAACTCATCACAGTGGAGTAGAATATCTACTTACCCTGAGTGCCTCGATGGTTGTTTGTGAACCTCGCATCTTAATCAACATAAGCAGCTGGAATGCGTGACGCCGCCAATCGACACATTCCAGTCGCAATGAGATCGCATTCAAGAGTGGTTTGCTTGCAACCCCATTTCCCACTACCTATCTAGCGACATGTAGGTAGGTATGCTCTGCAGCTTCTTACTCTAGTTACCCGAGCCTGTTACATAGGCATCATAGTGCATCGTCCTTTCAGTGCAACTGACATCCTAGACTATTGCGTACGCGCATGTGAGTTTCGTTGTTCTAGGAACGCTATTGCCTGATGTTTCTGAAGCCACTAGATCGCCATGCCCCGTGTGAAACTTATGGTTCGCCGTCAACATGGCTCCTCAAGCACAGTACTCTCCCGCCCCGCCTTAATAGGCATCGCGCTTGGCGGAAGCGTGATACTTTTCTTGGCCCTATCTCACCTCTTCATTGTCCTGGGACGACGACGGGATCGCAAGCGTCTCACTCTCCTCCAAACAGCTGCACGTTCAGAGCTGTCGATTCTCTATGAAACACCATTGTTTTCACACGAGCTAGTTGTCCCGCCAAAAAATGGCCGCCTAAGGAAGAAGAGCCTCGGTATCAGCACCCAGAATCTCGTGGTACTCGATGGAGAAGTGCGTATCATGAATAAGGAAGACATCGGAACGACGAGTCAGACCGTTCTTCCGCCTGTCCTTCCGCCTGTCTTTTCTAGGAAACAGAGCTATGATCTGAATATGTTCCTGCCGAACAGGACTGAGGACGGCGGAAGTACAACGCCCACTAAGATTCAAGACTGTGAGATGTTAACAGGAGAAATTCATGGACCAAGCAAGCAGGGTAGCGCGGAAGCATCCCGTATGAGGAAAAAGAGCCTGTGGATTGACGAGGATGCATTGCATGGGCCGAGAGTTTGTCCAGCAAGTCATAGTGATAAGAGTAAGAATGGGAGATTGTCGTGGATCACAGGCTGGAGCCTAGGAAATAAATTGGGCTTGAGCCAACATTTTAGCGACTCGTCCGTCTTCAAAAGTCCGACTATACCGCAGATGGAGCATGAAGGCAGTGGGTATTGTGGGCGTGGGAGGCTAAGGGAACGAACTTCTATGAAACACAAGGAAGACGAAACGGTAGCCACGCCTTCTCGCACTGTTCTGCAGGGTAATCCGTTGGGAAAAGGACAGTATGGTCCATCGCGGACAATGACTACCAGCGCATCAACAGCGGCGCCGACAGCACGCGTACCTGAAGCGCCATCCGAGACAATCAACAATCCAAGACTCAGGGAAAACGTTGCTCATGAGGCGGCACAGGAGCTTGCTGGAAGCGCCCGCGTTCCGATTCCGCAGAGGCCACAGGCACCAAAGCACAGCGCTACCGATACGGAACTGACTGAAATTCTGAGAATGACGACCGAAAGGCTTCGTGACAGTGAAAGAAGCTCGAGGAGACGGCTTATATTCATTCAAGCAAAGAATGGCGGTTTCATCCCCTTGAGCACAGAACCAGCCACCGCGAACAACAGACCAAGTCCGGTCAAGAGTCAGAAGAGCGCCCCAGCAGTGATGTATACTGAGCTAGAGGCTATTGATGCGATCCTGGATGAAGGTTTACCAGGATCACATGTTTCACGACACAGTAGACAAGTCTCCCAGATGTCTTGGATCTCCGAGCCGGACAGCTTGGTTACACCAAGACGAGTTTCGCAGCCGGAACATACCACTCCTCTGTCAAGTCCCAGTCGAAATATCCAAACCACAGAGCCAAGAAGTCAAGAAGATAGCTTACAGCCAATACACCCCTTGCGGCCTGCTTCAGTTGCAAGTTCGCACTCCTCAGCGCTTTCGACACTGTATAGCGAGGATGAGGACCATGGGGGTGAAAGTTCAACCCAGTTAACATATGCAGGACTAGCATGTCTTCCTACCGCTAGTAAGAGTACAACAACAGCACGGCCCATAACTCCTGGAGTCCCCTTCGAGGAAGGAAAAGTCCCATATCTTGGGCCTTTCGACGTGAGAAGGACCACACTTGGACAATTATCAATACCACGATCTCTTCCAGAGGTCCCAACTGTCGAGAACGCAAAATTGGTCAAGGCTTGGCTCCCACAAGAGACGTCACTGCAATTCAACATATATACCTTGGATGTGCCCTGTGAAGACGACCCCTTCATAGCAGTAACACCACCATCGCAGGATCCTGTCCGACTATCACAGGTCTTCACATCCATCCCATTAAGCATGAACTATGCTGGCGATGATCCGAGATCCAAGGATGATATCGTGAATGGCCCCTTCCCGGTAGTGAGGTCAACGAAATTAAATGACAGCCCAACTCCGTCCCCGAAGAGCCATCGACATGTGCCGCCTCCTCAGGCTCTACGTCCCATGATGAGTTCACCAACACTGGGTAATTCGCCGCGTCGGCCCAGCCCGGTGCTGTCAGAAGGCGGACTGTCGTCCGTCTACGAGCATTATGCGTTCAGCAGCGGCGCGAGCGCAACGCTCGACCACAGCACGGCGACTCTGAGCGCCATCCGCATGGACGACAGCCTACCCCCACCAAGTACCGGCGACACCCTAGGCCCTGAAAGGCCGAAGAGTAATCGGACTCGGCCTGGGGCTCTGGGGAGCGCGGTCGTGGGTGCTGCACAGTCAAGGAAGCGTGCCGAAAGCCCCAGAGCGGCAGAACCCGCGCTCTTTAGAGATCACCACCGTCGAGGCGAAGATGCGGGCGGCGAGGACGCGCGAGAGCTTGCCGACGACGACAATGATGATGACATCGTGCCCCCTCTCCGGAACCCAGCGCGTCCGACTTCCAAGGTCGTGAATACCATCGCCGAGTTGAGGCGGATGAACAGCGCTGTCAGCGCCATCAGCTCCGTGAGCGGTTGTGGTTCCGTTGCGGCGGAACGCAGTCCCACGCTGCTGGCCGCGCGTGGCGGAGGGTTCAGCCCGGGTCTGAAGAATGGGGGAACGAGGAATTATCTCGCCATGGGCGGCCCGGGTAGTGCGTCTGGAACTAGGAAGAGCGGCGGTTCGAGCAGCTTGGTGACTGGCGACAGGGAGATGGGGACCTCTGCTCTGACAAGGACGGGCACGCGGTCGCGGAGAGGGACGGTGGTTGATGGCGGTAACAGGAGGGGTGGTGAACTAGACGGCAAGCTACGGGAACTGACCCCGAAGGGCATCTTGAGAGAAGGAAGTGGTGGTAATGTTGTGCCGGCAGCTAACGGAAGGGACGGAAACGATAAGGGGGACAAGCCGTGATAGCCTGGGACTGGACGAGAGAGGACTATTGGAAAGCTCGCCCAGGCGGAGAAATTAATGGATAATTGGACATGCTGACAGATTGTTTTTGTTGCGGGAGAATGCCACACGACTCGTCGCCTATTTCACCAGTCCGGTAGCAATGGTTACATACGACCGAATGAGAATATGAGTGTTCAGATTGTAGGAATAGCTAAACTGCAAACCTTCGCTGTTGAACTTCACTCTTCGCAGATAACCATCTTAAGAAAAGGAGGATTCAATTGGGATTATGCCACAATTCGAGTATGCTCGCTAAATCCTCAACTCAAGTGGTTGCCTTGTGCCATCGACCCAAGCCCTGTTTTTTTTTGGAAAATGTAAACCCCAAAGTACAAATATACAAAGTCTGAACGCCTATTTCTATGCAATATGGTATTCCTAGGAATGTTGTAACCGAAAAGAAGTGAACGCTTCGCCATCATTATAACATACAACATTTAGTCCACTTCATCGTCATGATGTGCCGATTGGCTTGTGGGTGATAAGCGCGAGTTTGTGGGTTTTCGTAACAGACCGCTAGCACCGCTCCGTGCCCACGCGCCGTTTGTAACAACGTTCATAGCACGTTGCTCCTTTGCCGCATCCTCATCGCTGCTAGTGTCATAGTCGTCCTCGACCTCAGCGCCATAAGGGCTGAGCTTTCTCATAGGAAGTGAAGTGGGAGGTTCGTCCGCGTACAGGTTGGGATCCCTCCCGAGTACACGGTCGGCCTTGGATGGTGTTCGTCGTCCAGCGGAAAGTGCCGGAGACGGCGCAAGATATTGCCTAGTGACACCAAGATCGTCCGGGGTATACGTAGTGTTTTGCACGAATACAGGTGTTTCGGTGCCCCATCCAGCAGCTTGCTCCCTCTGCCTCTGCTCATCACGCTCTTGCGAGAGCCTTTCGCGCGCCTGGATCCACTTTGGACTTGCTTCCCACGACCAGCCGTCTCCTGTCGTGTTGATGATGGGTAGTGGCCAGAGGAGAGGCGAGTGGCCAAAAAGATGTAAAAGATTTCGTTTCGCACCAAGGTCAAAAGCATTTGGCAGCTTGTCCGAATCTTGTTCGTCCAGGTACTCCTCGTACCGCTCGCGCGCCCGTTGCCTCTCCATGTCCTCGTACGTCATGTTTGAAGGTTGGCGGTTGTCGCGGCCGTCTACACTGACGCTGATCTCTCCCTCCTCTGGTCTCGTGACTCCGGGAATAGCATTTTGATGGATATCGAGTAGTTGCTGTCCATACTTGGGGAGTTGCACACCCTCTCCATTGTGTTGCGCATTGTAGGTTTGGTGCATTTGTTTGCGAAGAGGCGACAAGTATCGGGTCTTTTCGAGACATTCAATAGTCGTCTGCCCCCTGCTCGCCAACAGTACATGCCAACCACAAAATGCGCCGACTACCAGACCAATAATGCCCGAGATGACAGCTAGCATGATGTAATTGACGGGCATAAACGTCTGGACGTACTGCGTCTCGGCCACCAGCTCCGAATAGACCCATGATCCCGAGACGGCAAAGCTGTAGAAACAGAAGAGGGTTGTGTATATGAGGAACAAGAGGAAAGCCTTGTGGTTGCGCAGACCAATGCACGTGGCAAGCCATGGACAATGGTGATCCATCTTCAGGACACACCTTCGGCATGTGCTGCAGTGATGAGCACGATCCGGCTTCCTCGCCTGACATTTCTTGCAGAAGCGCAACTCGCCATTAGACTTGACTGTGAAGGAGGTGGCTCTTGGTGGGGCGCTCGTGGGCAGGGTCGAGTAGCCGTAGGCGTTTGTCGTGCTGCCGGGCTCGGTGAAGACGGCTGTCGTGTAGGCCCAGTTGAGCATGCCGTAGAGCAAGACAGCTCCAATAGACGATTGCGTGCCTGGGTAGACGCCCATCATGTCAGCCCGAGCAGCGCACGAGGCGATTGTGCTTCGCGATGGAAAGACAGGACAGTTGAAACTCACCTATCCAACGGACTTTGGATCGAGTGCTGCCAACGCATATATCAACCCATACGGCCCACGTTGTCAAGCCATACACGAAAGCGAGAGGAAAGTACGTGAGGCAGGAGCAGCAGTAACGCTCGATCTTGCGAACCCATCGGCGGGCCATGATGATGGGGGGAGAAGAGGGCGAAGAATGTCGAGGCGAGTCCTCATCCATGAAAGCACACTCGAGTTCGGGGGCGGAAGGCGAAAGGCCAAAGGCTACAAGGAGTGAGTGAAAGGTTGTTCTAGCCTTACATCAAATGCTACCTCATGATGGATAGAGCAGCACAATGTCACAAGTGTCCCGTCCTGCCAGATTAAAAACGAGCTGAAACACAAAAGCAAGGAAGCTGACCAACAAAAATGACTTGCCCTCCCGTGCTGTGAACTTCCCGCTGTCAGTTGTTTGGATAGGGGAGGGGCTCAGCACGTGGCGGTGCAACGCAACGGAAAACGCAACGCAGCGCAACGCAGCGAGACGAGACGCAACGGATACGACGGCGCGGCGTCAGCAAACGCGACGGACCCTTGAATTCCGCGCCAGACCCTTGGGACCTTTGGTAACATTGCGATTATTTATTAGCCGGACCCAATGTAACTTTGAGGTATGCAACCTATGAAAACAAAACAAAACAGTACAATACAAAAATGTGCAACATTCTAAACAGGGATCAAAACAAAACTTATTGACGCCTATACCGATTTTTCTGAACGCTTTATGACTGTGGAGCCCATTTTCAAATGCTCTCCTCCACATGTGTTTTACTATCCAAGTGTTAATGCCAGCATTATCTCTTGCTCACAAAGTTGTAGGTGGACTCTCGAGCTGAGCCCCTGTCCTGTTAGGAATGCACTTGATTCATACCATTTCAAGGTCCAACGGTTCTCTGGCCAGTTTCCCCAGTCCTGCTCTCAAGACATGCGCACGCTTACATGGGAATCAACTCGCCGCAGCCTTTAACCAATCAATATCATAATGTAACCCTGAACTGGACAATCGGAAAGTTTGGAAAGGTAGTCTGAACAATAACGAGCTTCTGACCCCCTCTTCCTTGATTTTGAAAGGAGAAATGAGCAAAACAGAAATAGATATGACCTTGCCATTATGTGACTGGCACGGAACAGTGCCTGGCCACCGAGTCATGGCCGCTCACGAACTTGACGGGTCAATATACGTCTTTTGTTGTAATTCAGAGCACAGGAAATCGCCCACTGTCTGCGTATCCCACTCTTCACAACAGCGAACCCCACTCTGCCACTATACATTCTGGAGGAGTTATACTGTAGAATAGCACATCCCCCACTTCTGACCAATCAGCATAATATTGATATTTAACCTCATCGTCTGAGTGAATGGCAGCTGTGAACTGTGTGAGTACGTTTCGGTTTCATTCTTATACCCCTCTGAGGACCCTGATTGCTCCAAAATTGCAGCCTCAACAACAAGTACGAATGAATACCTCTGTAGAAACGCCATAACAAAGCTAACACGGTATTCAGTGACCTCGCAAGCAGTACAAGAGATAACCGCAACCTTGCATGCCTACGGATCGGCGCTGAAGTCACGGGACGTTGGAAAGGCCATCTCCTTATACACAAGCGACGGCGTGATCCTCGCTCCACATTTCACCGCCAGCGTCGGCACTCAAGCCCTGCGAGACTCTTACACGCGGATCTTTTCCAGTGTGGCATTGGAGATCGAGTTCACCATCGAGGAAGTTGTGATTGCTGGGCCGGAATGGGGCTTCGCGCGCACAACGGCGGAGGGGACCAAGACGATGCTTGCCACGTCGGAGTCAGAGCCGCATTTGAATCAGGAGTTGTTCATCATGAGGAAGGAGGATGGGCAGTGGAAGATTGCGAGATATGCGTTCTCGAGTATGAAGCCACTGATACAAAACGGGGTGAGGAGAAGTTGATGTGGGATGATATCGGAATATGATTGATATCCAGTCGTAACATGAAAGCACTCTGGTAGTTCAAAGATAATTCAAGGGATAAATGAGCTTCGCATTGACGCCACGCGATTCTCTTTTAAGACGCAACACCCAGATTCCAAACATATGGTCATCACAATTATTGGACTCGAGTACGATCGTCGAGTTCAGGAGAGGAGAGCAGCAGCTCAGTCCGATGTCCTTTCTTGCAAATACGCCTTTAAGACTTCCTTACTAACGAGTGCCCTTGGGGGTTGTCTGGCTGCCCTTCCGCAACAAAACGGGCCGTGGAGCCTACAACTATTTGCAGCCTCCCGACCGTTGGTATTTCCATGAGCCGGGGGCCCATTTGATCACGTGCCATCGCAATATACATTATACGTATTTCGAGGTTTCCCGGATCTTGATATGATATTGCATCATGTCGTAACAGGAAGGGAAACTGATGTGATGGTTACGCCGTCGTGCGGGTTCCGACTGCGAATACTGTACTAACTAGATGCTGTAATAGGAAAGAACCCGCCCGTTGCCGTGGCAGGCGATTCCAGCTGGTAGCTTGTGGTTTGTACTATAAGGGTCTCAATACCCGATTACAAGTTATATTCCTTCTTTTTGAAAGAGCCGCTCTTCTTTCGAAAAGGGGGCTGCTGAGGGATGCTGCCGAACAAAGAAAAAAGCGGAGTGGGATCTAGGACTAATCCAAAGTAGGCCTAGCCGGCACCTGGTTGCACGTCGCCGATTCGTCGAGCGTTACAGAGATGCATGGGAAAGGTGCCTCGATCCTCGCTTCTCGATTCTCGATTCTCGAAGCTTGAAAAGGACCTGAAGGGGCTGCTAGGCCTGCTAAGCCTGCACGTTGTGCATGGGACCGCGAACACCATGCTCCGTATACTCCACTATGTCAGGTTGGGTTAGTGCTAACCAGGAGGTGCTCATGTCGTGTGTCCATCCTGAATCTGACAAGTTGCAACATCATCGCCCTTTTGCATACCGTGGCACCTTTACTCGCACTGCTTTTGGGCGACGCCAAAGAGGCATGGACCTTTCTCTGTAATGATACTTGGTTTTTCCCGCGGTTCTTGTATAAGTACGTATTGTCTCTCGTCGCTCTGGCCTTGGGCAATGCTCTCTGCCCTCCCCCTACCCGTACCCGTCACCAAAGCTCCTTGACTCCTGGACCTAAGCTGCGCGCGCATTCACCCCAGCGGCTGGTCCGCGGTTTCCATCCAGCCTGCGCGCGCCCCCGTGCTGTGTAGTGATGAAGGAAGGGAAAAGCCGCGCATGATCGAGCGGCGTTTGAGGACGCGAGACATGCATTTATATTTGATGCTAACAATGATGCTTCCTAGTACTTTCGACCTTCGGCCTTGAATTTCCATCTTTTCTTTAATACTCGCCCTCATGGCCTCCAACACAGATACCCCCAGTGCATCGTGGCATCCTGCATTCATGCCGAACTCGGATGCAAAGTCGGATTGGAATTCCGCAAAACCTCAACAATTAGACTCAGAGCCAACTATAGACCAACCGCCACCGCAAGAGGCCGAGGAAGCTTCACCTCAGGAAATCCCCTCGGAAGCCACCACGATAGGCCCTGCGACCACCCACGATGGCGCCTTTCTCGACCAATTCGGACATGATGATGATCCTGAAGCGGGAGGCTGGGATCTCGAGAACCCTGGCCCCAGTCCGACATCAGCTTCGCCGGAACAAGACAAGGACGCGCAGGACCCTGATACTGCCGGCCCTGTCGATGAATCTCCATCGTATTCCTCGGAATCCCGCGCCCAAACCAAAGCGGCAAAGCACTCGAGTACCGTCTCCTTTGCACGAACAGTACCACATGAGATGAATTGGAACGACGATGACGATGCCGAGTGGAACCTGCAACGATCAGACACCGACCCATTCAAGTTCATGCCTCCGAACGAGCGGACCAACTCGTTTCCAGCTGTACCACCGCCCGAGCTGAGCTACGCAGATCTGGAGCAGCCTACATCACCTCCTGCAGCAACTCAAGCCCAGGAAATCATGCAGGAGCTGGAGCAACAAGCCCAACCGGATCTGACTCCTCAGCCCGATTTTCTGAAGACTTTCGATCATGTCGATGCAGAAGACCAACAAGAGTTGTTCCCAGTTGGTGGTGATATGATCGGTGCTGAAGAGGATGCTTCTGATGCTCGCTTCGAGGAGGGATTGCCGCTCATTCCTCAGGATGAACCACAGCTGAATGGAGAGGATGCAAAAGCTCCCTCCGACGGATTCGATGCCTCTTTTGCGGACGAGGCCGCAGGAGGTGATGACTTCTTTAGTCACTTACAAGACGGACAAAACCCGGAGGCCGAATTACTTGGTTCAAACCCAGCACTGCAACGGAAGGATACAAGTATGTTCACCAATATCGTAACCAGTGTCAGCAACAGCGACCCAGTGGGCCACCCATCCGATGATTTTGACGCATCCGAGTTGGGCACTCAAATCGACCCGGAGAGCGAAGAGCAGATCAGATCATCTCACGGGGACTCTAATGGAGATTTGAACAAGGAAGCGACTGCTACGGTAGCGGGAGAGTCGACAGACGTGGATGCAAAGTGGGCGGCCGCATTTGGGGACGACGAGGATTTCCTGCTGGAAGACTCAGAGACTAAGGAGCTAGATCCTGCAGCGTTTTTTGGTAGTGATGATGAGGGTTTCCTTGAAGACGAGGACGAAGAAGTTCCCACCGCCTCTGCTCCAGCGCAGGAGACTACTGGGGTCAATGGGAGATACACCCCAGCTGCTGTGCCAGCACAGACACAGCCAGTTTTGAATACATTCAACTCGGCCTCGAATGTCCCCCAAACACAACAGGCTTTCCCACCTCAATACGCTCCTATGGGCCCCAACCCACCGGCTACGATTCCGTATGGGGCACCACTACCGAAGCCAGAAGCGTCGAGAGCACAAAGTTTTGCGGACAAATCGAAGGGCGGCTATTCTTCACCGTACGACCTACCGATGGATGTTGTTCGTGTTCAGCCGAGACAGCGTAGCAGTATGCAGCAAGTCCCGCGTGCCAACGCGCCTTTGGCACCCCCTGCTGGTCCTGTTCGGTCTACAAGTCTGCATTCTCAGCCGCCACCGGCTTCCGCTGTCCCAGTATCTATGCCATCACCACCGTCGTCTAGTGGCTCGAATCTGCCCCTATCTGGTCTCAAACCAGCGCCTAAGCTGACCTCCAAGTCAAGCTTCTTCGAGGATCTGCCCATGAGCTCAAAGCCTCGGACTGCTACACGTCAGAACAGCCTACCTTCGCCGCAGCATCCCCCTTATGGCCAGCCTCCACAAGTCTCTCATCAAGGTCCTCAGCACGGTCTTCCTCAAACGTTATCAATGTCTCCGCCGGTGCAGCCTCAGGTCGGCATTGCCGGTCTGGTCGCCCCAGAGCGAAGCAGCCCATATGATGCAATGCATAATGGTCAAGCGCGCCCGAGTGCGCCCGCAACGACCCGTTATTCGCCTGCTCCAGCTCAAATGTCTACAGCCGCTGGCATGACCCCACCAGTGGCTGCCATAAGTCGCTATTCCCCTGCTCCTCCAAGCCGCTCGAACAGTGGTGCATATCCAGTCGTTTCACCCCCTGTTCTTGCTCACCAACCCAGAACGTCAAGTCCTCTGGCCCATTTCGAAGTCTCGCGAGAGAAGACATTTGCTGGTAGTGGCCAAGTGCCATCACTGACTCGGAGCGCCTCCTCTCAATATGAGCAACGTCTCACTAGGGTACCATCTTTGCCACCTACTCGAGAAGTTGAAGAGGATGGAACCAATGCATTGATGCAATCACCACCCCCCATGCAGCAATCTTCACGCTATAGCCCACAACAGGCTAGAAGAACGCCCCCACCGGTCACCTCACCTGCAACTACACTTTCTCCTCAGAAACATACCATCTCGAACTACGCACCTGTCTCACAGCCGGCTGTGCCTACACGGGAAGTCAGCTTTGTTCCTCCGCCTAGATCGCAGACACAATCTCCCGGTGCGCTCCATGGTCGTGCCCCTGTAAAAGTTATGCAGGCTTCCCCTCGGCCATCTTCAGCACATGGACCACTTTCCCCTCGACAAACCTCAGCAACGCAGTCTAGTCGCCCCGCTGTTACTCGTGCTCGAGGTATGTCGCAGGTTTTGAACTTGGTCCCGCCGACGGATGGCCGCGAACTTGATCCTTTACAAAGATGGAGAGGTGCTCCTTCCGTGTCCTGGGGTATCGGAGGTACTATGGTGACTTCCTTCCCCAAAGACATTCCCCGTTATGGCATGAACCAAGCACTTCCCATGATCCTTCGAAGCCCTGGGGAGGTCAAGCTCCAGCACATTAAGGACGTGCAGCCAATTGAGGACCGCCTTGCAAGATTCCCTGGGCCATTAAAAGGCAAGTCCAAGAAGAAGGAGACCGTTACTTGGCTGTCACAGGGGATTGAAAGCTTGGAGAAAGACTTGCCAAACGCTGCCTTTCAACAGTATATCTCACATGAGGACAAAAGATCCACTGAAAGAGTATTGCTATGGAAGATCCTTCGCGTTCTTATCGAGAACGACGGTACCCTTGAGGGTAATCCTACCGTAGAGAAGGCGGTGCGGACCGTGCTTTCTCCCGAACTCGATACCGGCGGTGACGAGTCAGAGGCCCCCACCGCGACTATGGCGGAGCTACAAGGAGCCCCATCTGGCATTGGCAACTTACAAACCGACGCGGTTGATTCATCGGCGCTTGAGCAGATTCGGAAGCATCTTCTTATCGGCGATCGTGAGAAAGGTGCTTGGGTTGCTGTTGATAAACGTCTTTGGGGCCATGCCATGCTCATTGCTAGCACTGTCCCGGGTGACTTGTATAAGCAGGTTAGTCAAGAGTTCATCAAAAAGGAAGTAAACCAGTCTGGTGGCGCCAATGAGTCACTTGCTGCGCTTTATGGCGTCCTTTCTGGAAACCACGAAGAATCGGTCGATGCACTTGTGCCAAGTCATGCCAGGGCAGGTCTACAATTGATGTCTACCTCCACGACTTCGGCCCAATCAACAGATGCGCTAGCTGGTCTGGACAAATGGCGTGAGACCTTGGGCTTAATCCTTAGTAACAGGAGTAACAACGATATTGTGGCCATCACATCGCTGGGCAATTTACTGTCTAGCTATGGCAGAGCCGAAGCCGCACATATTTGCTTCATGTTCGCTCGAAAGCATGCCGTTTTTGGTGGTTTGGACGATCCGAATGTCAACTTCGTTCTGGTTGGTGCCGACCATCGAAGTCAAGCCGACCAATTTGCCAAGGAACCCGAAGCTTTGCTACTGAGTGAAGTCTACGAGTTCGGCCTTGCGTTGGCTGGCTCCAACGCACAACAGAGCTGTCCCCATCTTGCTGCTTACAAGTTACAACATGCTATTACACTATCCGAGTACGGTGTTAGGGAGAAAGCTCTGGCTTACTGCGAGACGATAATGAACGCCATCGGAGCACAGACGAAGAGGTCACCCTACTACCATCCTATTTTGGAGTCGGCAGTAGCCGACCTTATGGGAAGACTGAAGCTGACGCCAAAGGAAGGGGGCTCTTCGTGGATACCAAAACCTAGCACTAGCTCTATGTGGGACAAGTTTAATAAGTTTGTTTCCGGTGATGACGTTCAGGCCTCCGGCCAAGCATCTCCCGGGGAGCCCGGAGCAGAGTCAGGACCATTTGCCCGTATCGCCGGCGGAACACCGACAATCAGCCGTTCCCCATCTGTCAACAATTTTGAGACATTCAGCGGTCCTTCGCCTGCCATTCCGGCTAACAGCACTTCATCACGATATGCCCCTATGGGTGGCCAGCGAGCAGTCTCTTATGATCCAAGCTCCAGTTATGCTTCAAGGACATCCATGGAACGATCTTCGGGCGAGTATCAACGTGGCTCTCTGGAGCTTCCTCGACCCGCTCAGGAGAGCCTGCCTCCAATATATGGTGGCTCATCTGTAGAGAGCCTCTCCACGGCTACTTTTGGTTACCAGCCTGCACCTACGGCACGGGCCAGCTCTGTGGCATCTTCCCAGCCCGTGTCAAACTATTCTCCCTACCAACCCACTGCTGCTCAGGAAGCGCCAGGCCACTCCCACATCCCCTATCAACCAGAGACACATGTGCCTGAGGCTCAACCAGAAATTGCCGTCAATAATGTTCCTGCCAATATTGGTTACGGTGGATACGAGCCTCCAGTGCTCAACACATTTGATAACTCGGCAGCGCAGGGAGAAGCTATGGACGAGAAAACGCCTACAGCGCCTTCCACAGGCAACAGTTGGGAACCCCCAAGCTTCCAGCCATACTCATACGAGCCGCCTACGTCGTACGAGCCTGATCCTGAGGGTGGGGAATCGGATACAGACAAACCGAAACCCAAGAAGAGCTTCATGGACGACGACGATGATTTCCCATCAATCAAGTCCGCTGCTCCTGCCACTTCCGAGGAGAAGTCAAAGGCCGAAAAGGACCGTGAGAACCAGGAGATGTTCCGGAAGGTAGCTGAGGAGGAGGGTAAGTCGTCATCTCTAAGTTTTATCCGGATCCACACTAACATGAATAACAGCCAAACGCGCTGCAGAAGGCAAGAGTCAGAAGAAAGGATGGCTTGGTGGCTGGTTTGGCGGTGCTAAAAAAGAGGCTGACATGTCCGCTCCTACTAACAAGCCCATCCGCGCAAAGCTCGGCGAGACTAGCAGCTTTATCTACGATCCTGATCAAAAACGCTGGGTGAACAAGAAGGCAGGCGCAGATGACACTCCCGCCAAAACGGCAACACCACCACCTCCACGCGCGAGTGGTACCCCTCCGCCAGGATCTAGTAGCAGTGCTCCGCCAATGAGTGCCCGTACGCCTCCACCTCCGGGTGGTCCTCCCATGGGAATGCCACGCAGTGTGAGCAACCTCAGCAAGATGGCATCAATGGATAACCTCAGGCCGGGACCTGCAATGGGGGGCACACCACCAATGGCGCGCAGTGTCAGCAATATTAGCAACATTAGTAACGGATCTGCCGACAGCAATGGTCCTCCCACTCTTGCCCCACCTGTCCCCAGTGGCCCTCCAAGCCGCCCGACTACTAGCCTTAGTAACGCCAGCAGTATCGACGATCTTTTAGGAGCTGCTGGACCAAGAACAAAGGGAGCCAAGAAGCCTCGAAAGAGCGGCCGGTATGTTGATGTTATGGCCAAATAAGCAGTAGAATTACTGCGAGTCATGGAGCAGTGTGATGAAATGGAGAACGCAGTGGTACAACACGGGACTGACTTCACTCAAGCAATTGAAAGAAGTGGAGAAGTTTAGTGGCGTATTTTGGCATGGTCAAGCTCTAGCTTCTGGAAGTACTGGCGCACTCCTTGAGTGACGTATCATGCAGCTTGTCGATCTCATAATGTGTCTTCTGGATGAAAGCATGATTGAATATGGATTAATATGGGAAACGATACAATAAACAAGATGGCATCGGTATAGGCATTTTAATTCCATCACCTGGAGTAGGGGAAGGAGCGTTGTATCATAGACTTACAATTTGTAATATGCACAAGCAGCGAACGGTCATCTAGCTGCCCTCTCTGTCTGATTGATATTTTCACAACTTGCTTCACGATGAACCTAGTGAATCCAATATTATCATATATCGTCATGCTATGTCTGTTTTTAACCACTCGTAATGCTACTGGAAATAAATGATCTAGCGATGTCGATCGATTTTGGTCATCGAAGCATGCACGAGAACGTTGAATCATGTAATACCTGTCCTGCCACTACAACTCAGTTCTTTGAGCAGTATGAGAGTAAAAATGATCACATAGATCATCGATAATATCCGTCATTGCGGCTCTCCTGCTTAATCTCTGTGATCCAGCGGTGGCCTGTCATCATCTCGGCCAGCAAACACAGTTGGCTGCAGAGATTGATCTTGCACCCACGGCCTGTCAATTCTTGCCAACGTTGATCCGCATCGCCTGGGACAGCAGCACCAGCATAGCGGATGCGCATTATGGTATACTTTTCTCTTTTGACGTACGTATAACTCATGTTTGTAAAAGACTGCAGCAAGTCATCACGAGTACTGCGGCTGATCTTGTCAAGGTCGCCAGTGTAATATGCAAGTCTCAGGACAGCCTTGAAACATTCCTTCTGAGGCAGCAAGGCTGTTGTGATGGCATCCGTGGCTAGACAGACAGCCCACTCGAACGCCGTTATGCTATCTTCGCTATTATATCGAGTATCGGGCTCCAGGACTCTGCTCGAGTCGGGAAGTTTGTGCATGTAGAAGTCGATGAAGTCCAGGTGCTGCTGCTCGATTGCGTCCTGCCAATGCGTGAACTTGGGTGTACATCCTGACTGTACGAGATAACGACAAGTCCGTGATGCCCCACCGTGGATGGCCTCCGTTAATAGCCCATCGTGAATTTGCTCTTCCTCATCGTCCAGCTCGTTGGTAGAGCTGGCCGGGACAAGTTCATCCAGCGAACGATTTGCAAAGTCGGGGTAGAAGGTTTGCGTGAAGATAAGGGTTTTATCGTCAGTGACAGCCTGGCGCGTGTTGTCGATAAGAAGCTTTGGAGATAGTGTGTCTTTTCTTTTGTGATACTGGAGAGTAGAGAGGCTATTTCGTGGAAGGCCCTGTCGAAGAGATTGCAAGATGATATCTTGATTCTGTAGATCGACTAGCTCCTTGATCACATTTGGTTGTAAAGTGCTGATGAGTTCAATGATGTCAGACATTAGATGATGTTTTTCAATCTTTTCCGATGCGATGGCGTCGTATAGTACCCTCCTCAAGCTCTTGCCGGATCTTCGATGGTACGTCCGTATCAGAAATGATATTAGTTTCATGTCTCCATACCTGAAAGAGATGGCAATCTGAGTACAACCGACCAGCAGTCCATTTTCTTGTTTTGCGAGGAACATAGCCGTATCAGTCATGCCATACAAGATGGAACGATCCAGTGCCCACGGAAGAGGGTGTGAGAACCAGTCGTCTCCTTTCTTGACGAAATCCCAGTTTGCTCCCCTTGTCCCGCGGAAGCGGACTTCATCGGATTGAGCTATTTGGGCAACCAACAACTCAACTACATCCCTCCGACCCAGACAGACCGCATGTAGCAATGGATTGTGTTCATAAAAACCCCAGTGGCCAACGAGGGCTTGCAGGTGGCTGCGCCTATATTCCTGTGCGGCCCACTTAAGCATGTCCAAATTGTCACAGGCTTCAATGCATCGTATAAAGAGAGGCTTCGGTCTAGGCTTAAGCCTCCATTCTTTTATATTCCCGTCAGATTCCAGATGTCAAGAAAAATACCGAGTTATGTCTCTTGCGTAGTTCATGTTCGGATTTTTTTAGTACGTTTGGTACATTTGATACTGCCTGTACTCTATTTCTCTCTCTTTCCACCGCCAACAGAGCGTTGCGTCAGCTTCGAATATATACCTAGTCCAGAGAGTCGTTCTTAGCGTCCTGCATACTGTCGCCAAATTGACAATGTCTCCTGTCATCTCCACTTGCTTATGAATAAGGAGCAGGATTTCTGTGGGCAGTTCGACGAGTTTCAGCATTTTATTAAGGGTGTCTTTGTATAGGTGAAGCCGTTATAATTCCAATTCTCGTACTTCTTGTGATAGAAGTAATGCTATCTTCGCCAGACTATTAATCTAGAGGAACGACTGTTTTATCAACGATATACTATGCCGTTCGAAGAAAGTGCTACTACGCCAGTACAAAGTATTTCTATCCGGATCACGTAATGAACGCTTTATTCTTAATCAGTCATGATCCTCGTTGTTATATGTCCTGTACCGGTCCTGTGAGTTGGGGTATTTTAAATGGGCGATGACTCTCACGACTATCGTGGGTAAAAGTGAGCCGGGGTTTGACAAAGAATTTTTTTTCAAGATTTCGTCACAAGGCTTACGATACTCAAAAATAAATTTAAATTGCTGTAAATGAAACAAGAACAATGTGGCCTAGCTCTCTGGAAAATGAGCTGCGGTTAGCGTTCCAGTCGTCAAGCTAGACCTGTTGATGAACAAACGGATTTGGAATGTCTGCGACCACGGGAGGGTTTTAGGTTATTCTAGCTTCTTTATAGAAACGCTTCAACATCTACGCCAAATATAACACCTTCCAGTAAACTCAGCAGGCACAATCACCTAGAAGACACTAGAGAAGTCATCAAGGAAAGAAGCACTTAGCACACTCAGAGTGTTAGCTTTTAAAGTGATTCAACAAATTCAAAAGAAGCATCCGGAGAATTACGTAGCTGATGAAGCTCCACCTAGTAAGAAGAGTCGACTGTATTAAGTTGTTCCGTAAGATCACTACGGAAGAGTGGGCGAAATAAGAGATACAATGCAATCTTATAAGCCTCAAGAAAGAGCCTTCAGTCAATGGTAACGGGAAACATGAGATTGATACAGCTTAGAACGAAGACAGCGTCGCGCATGGCCTTTCAGCAGGGCCACAAGCTAATTCAAGTAACGGACTATGTCAAAAGACGCAGTGAACAAGACGAATGCGAGGCTTTGCATCTGACCGATAAATTTATATACTAGCTTTCAAAGGCTCGAGAGGTTGTTTCAGATTGGCCTGTCACGAATGCTGGCTGACTCGATGAATGATGACAGTATAGACCCGGAAGCTTATCAGGGCGTGAACGTAAACTGGATCAAAAGACATACATGGGATGGCAACTGGGGGTTTCTGCCTGTTTGACAAGGAGCCACGGAAACTCTCAGAAGGACTATCTGCCATCGAAAGAAGCTCTAGCTTATCTCTAGCTTCTTACACCAGTTAATGTGGAATGGGACACAGATGATGAATTTGAAGTTAGATTTACACTCCGTAAGAGAAAGGCAAAAGTCTCAAGAGGTCGGTAGTAAGGCGACAACAGCGCAGGAAGATAACCCCACCAGGGTTGTAAACTCAACCAGCAGGCGGTATATTGGAAGGCAAGCCATCTTTCACTGATTCCTTCATGAAAATAACGAAACTATGACTAGTAACTAGCGAAGACGAGCAGAACTCAGAGTCACAAATTTGCCAATGATACAGCCTAAGAAGTCATAGGGATGTCCTTTTCATACACTGAAGCCAGCCATAAATGGAATCATGTACCCCGAGAACCTAATTGAAGACGTCTGGGATGTAGAGTCGTAGCCGAAACATAGGACCTGGCGAGCCAATTCCTGAGTGGTACCTTATCTGATGGAGGGGCTTCGTACTTTTAACCCTACTTTAACAGACGGATAAATAGAAGAGGGTGTGAGGCATACAAGAGAAGTGGCTGAGGAGACCAGAACATTCAGAAAACGACACTTGAAGGATTAGCTGCTTTGAAAGAAACAAAGGAAGCGAAGGTGATGGGCTGCGTAAGAGTCCATGAAGTTGTAAACACAGACTACTTTCTCAGGAAGGGCTAATTTACCTGGAAATTTGTGGCTCCGGTCGTAGGAGATTATCTAATTCTAGAGGGGGATATAAAGCAAAACTTGCACTTTAGTATCTACATTTTCGTTCGAATTGTCTAGAACTAACTGCAATCATTACTTGTGTATCATCCATTGGTTCTGAATTGCCTGATTTGCCTGGTATGCCGAAACTTGTGCTACCATTTACCGATGTCTACAGCGAACGACCAGACCAGTACTACGGCGCAATGGTTTGGAGTTTTAGGAGAATCAATTCTCCCTATTTGACTGAATGGAAATTGTTGAATACTACCTTTGGAGGATTTTACTTACATAGTAATCCACGCTCGATGAAGGTTCAAACTGCGGGTAGACATGGCCTGACGCCAATGCAATGCTTTATGTTCCAGTTTTCATGTCAAAGACGATGTTGCCGGCCCGTCACTGAGATAAATACTCCGTATTGCCCTGCACAAATGCCGATCATAATGTACTTAGTGGGTCTCGCCACAGGGGATTGGAAATTGTTAATGCCAAGCCACGCCGTTAGACACAACACTTCAGGGTTTCCTTTTGATTGGCTTCAATAATATATCTCAAACCACTATTTATCTCTATCATCTTACCTCTATCAGCATCTTTCAAACACTAGCTTCAATAAGGAGTTTGTGAGTGATATATATCAAGTCCCTCTCTCAATACTCCTTCCCTATATCGTACTAATTGTTTATTATATTTACTTTTTTTTACACTGTTAGCGACAGCGCCTTATCTGACCATATTCGCTCATTTGCAACCCAACAATATGCGTGTCGCAAGCAGAACTGCCCTTCTTTCAGCCGCCACTATGGCCAGAGCGGCTGATTGGTCGGGTTCTTATAAATTCGGCAACATGTTCTATACCGGCCCCACCGCCTCAGGCGTGCATATTGTCAAAGCTACATACTCTTTGATCCCACCTTCGACGCCATGTGGTTATGCCACTAGCGGTGGCAACGAGGAGCTCGCGCTGTGGATTGGCGTGCAAGACGACCCAACGAACCAGGACGTGATGCAAGAAAATTTCGTGCAAGTATACGCTATGATTATAGTCTAAATACATGTGCACACCTTTGAAGATGTAGCCGCTACATACAACGTCCCGCTCGAAGAGCTACCACTCCCACAAAGATTTAGTTAGACCAATGGCTAACACAACTTACTCATTTAGACAGCCCCTGCTAAACTGGGCGCCGAGCCAAAAGCAAACAGGCTGCGACACATCTGATAATACGGAGTGGTGTGTTGCAGCAAGCACGTACACGCCCGAGGGACAGAACGGGCAGACCTACGAACCGATTGCCGCGGGCGCGCAGCTCGACTTCGAGATCACGGTCGACGGCTCGGTCACCCAGAGCGTCTATGCCGACGGCAAGTTGATCTCGACGCAGACTGACAGCGAGGGCATGGTACCTGCCGTCTTCTATGGTGCCAACGAGTGCTATCTGCAGTCGTGCGGCACGCTCGACTCGTACTCGTGGACAAACATCACCGTCCAGCTTTCCGCTGCGGACAAGAACTACGGCAGTACCTTGTCTCTTACGAATGCGGTCAGTGACGGGTTTGCCACAGCCGATGGTGGTATCACCTGGACGAACGCTGCGATCACTCTGGAGAAGGACTATCTTTACACGGATAATGCAGAGCATGAGTGCACGAGTTCGTAGAAGCAGCCAGCCACTAGATATTGTACTGAGTTCACTACTATAAATAGTACCAAAATGCCCGCAAGCCACGTCATATGTTGTTCTGGGCTGTTCTACCTATATGAATATCGGCTACTCCCGTCTTGTGGAGAAGCATCATCGAGCTAATAAGACCTAATAACTATACTTGTATTTGAAACACATACAGCCTCTGCCCCCTTTACTTTACGAAATCAGAACACTCTGAAGTCAGGAGCTCTTGACAATGAGTATCCATACCAAGATTGCATGAGATGAATGCTGTTCTGCAGTGCTCGTCAATCGGCAAAGAAACAGCGGCAGTGGTATCAAGTGGGTACCTGCATTATTCCCATGTTCATGGACAACGAACGGCATTTCTAGCCGGTGCTATGAGGAGCCTCAACGAACGGCATCAAATAACAGTACACAGGAATGAGGCGCACAAATCGACTCATTGCGCGGCAGATTGCATTGCCCTTATATAACGCCCCGGTCTTTCTGATGAGGAGACCCCATACTTTGCTGCGGGGCGACGTGCGCGGGCCGCTGTCACACCCAAGCCCAGGTCTGGAATCAATCTAGATCAGGCATTGTGGAGATGAACCGATCCGTGGAATATAATAAGCTTTGTTTGACATTTATTTTCCGATCCGCTAGGCAGTGTCCGTCGCTCCGCGGTGTTTCGTCAGCCAGGGGGAAATGCATATGGGACGTATGGCATATAAGAATGAAGGAAAAGTCGTCTTGGTCGAATTGAGAATAGTCTCGGTAGTTATTCCAACAACAATAACATCATCAATAACAACAACAAGTTTCCAAAGTCAAAGCCACCATGAAGTCCACCACAGTCCTCGGTCTCGCGGCCGCAATCCTGCCTACCCTTACAGCGGCGTGGTCGCCTATGTCGCTCTTCCAGAGAGAGACTGCTGCTGCTGCTGCTGTTCCGGCCGTTCAGAAGCGAACTCTCGACCCTGCAACATCAAACACAAACAACACCTGTCCGGGAACCTACAACTGCTCAGGTGAATCCTACTTTGCCGCGCCTATCAGAACCGCAACTGCTAATGCTCTCAACACAGCCTCCAAGATCTCCAAGGCCATCCAGGCCGCTGAGTGCTCGCACAACACGCGTACCTCCTCGCAGACCTTTGCCGTTTTCGTGACTGACCACCAGTACGACTCGTCCCACGGCGCCCCTTACGGTACCTGCAGCGCGTACAGCTGCACGGTCCCGACCAGCGCCGAGATGACGGACTCGGACTCAGACTGCTGGACGTTCTTTTGGGACGACAGCGGCGCAGAGTCGGGCTTCGGCACCAACTGCATCCAGGACCCTTCGACGGGCGAGTGCGGCTGCGAGAACTCGGACGGAACTTTCGTAGCCGGCAGCGACAGCTGCACGTAGAGCGGTGCTGGACGAAAAAGGTCTGCTCTAGGCGCATGGGTTATTCGAGTAGAGATAGGGGGCCTGGCCCAGATCATTGTTAAAATTGTAGAAAACAAGACAAAAAATGTTAAAACATCCCATTGGACTTTGTTAGCTCGGTGGCGTATCAATGACTATATCGTTGTAACTGATGGGTGTCCTGGGAGGTCACATGAGGAAACCATCTTTGAATCAGCCAGCAGTGGAGATTTCTTATCGAGCCCACAAGTCACAGAACGAGGGCTATTGACCGAATATAGTAGGCATTTATTCCAAATATAACGGTTTGCTCTGAGCCAATTCGCGTATCTGGATCGGAACTAGAATACGATTAGCTGAAGGAGACGATAATCTACAACATCGAACTCGTACCGACGATGAACTGGAAATGATGGACAACCAGGATCCTTCACTAGCAAGTTGGTATCCGGGGATTTAAATAACACTTTATACTGCAATAATGCTGTCTACAATTATTCCCTATTCGTTAAGCGTGGCAAACAGGCGTCCAGTACACTTCATAAACCGTTGGACCTTCTTCAAAAACACATCGCGAAAATCAGACTTCGGGGGGGTTAGGGGAATGAGCTTTTCCACTTGCAATTCGGGACTTGGGGGTGGTGCTGGGGGCACTTTGTATTGCTTACGCCGAGGTTCTGCAAGTTTCGCCATTTCTGCCGCTGAACGATCGTTCATCTGAGGTGCCTAGATCAGATACCCCTGCTTCTGCAAAGCGGAGCCTATGGTTCGTGTCTGAACTTCGAGCTGAACATGATTTTTGTGCTTTTCGGAAGCCGCAGTGGCACTCTTAACAATTTTATGGGCAGACAACTGTAAATGTGTCCGAGCGTGTTCCGTCCAAGCTTCGGTCGGTACGTTGGCCTGTCCTTCATTTGGCAACGTTGCAGAGACGGCTCTTACCCAGGGGTGAATGGCATACTGGATAGTGAAGACCCGTCTGTCATTGCTGTACTTAGTATTACTGTCTTCATTCGCACGCATTTCGAATCCTGGTTCGTTGTAGTAAGGGTTTTCGCAAAAGATCATTGATTGGATAGACACAACCAGTTGCAAAATCGTAGATTTGTCCGGTTGCCAGGGCTCTCCTTGCCAGGTGCCCAGCAGAGAGAGACAGACTGTATACGTGTCAGAGATATTCAAGTCGCAATGGCTCCAACTGACCTTTACCATCCTCATACAAGTTGGGATTGAAGCGAATCTTTCCACCACCTGTGGTCTTGAAATGCATCATCGGTGCCACTATGGGGTACTGAAGCGGACAAAACAAGTCGAACTCAAATAAACCATACTCGTAAGGTGTGCCTTCCGGGCCAATGATGAGAACCTTCATGACGTCCAGACGCGAGCTCCCATGATGGATGAAGATGCCCTCGGGTAGCGAGGTCTTAAGCGTAGATATCTCACGAATAAGGCGTTTCATTCTACCCTTGGGCGGCGGTTTGCCTTGTACGGCCATGGCCTGGTTGGCGAAGTAATGATTACGCAAAATATGCTCATCATCAAGTTCCTGCACAGCATGATCCTGGTGAAACTTGAACCAATCAGTAATCATTGGATTCTTTCCTTTCCCTTCGTCGATGTCCATAACATCAGTGCCATGCTGAAGCTGTCGAGAGTTAATATCATGAAGCGCAGATATCTGGACTGCCTTCTCGACCCATGATAGTTCTTCCTTCTCCGATTGGCTCTCAAATTCTTGTGGGTTCTGCCGAGCATGCTGAAGCATCGTGCGGCCTTGTTTTGCGAGACGTGAAAGTATTTCGGTCATAGGCTTGCCAGTATCCTTGGCCGTGGTTTTCTTTCCTGCTCGCCCAGCAATATCGAAAGAGACAGAGATCGTGGTGCCCCATTTTGTAAACAAATGCCGTTCCTCATACACAAGACCCGAAGTTGCGTAGTGGTTACCAAGAACATTGACGAAATTTAAAACAGCATCGTACACGCTTCTTTGCTTCGATATTTCCTCAATGGAGTCATTGCTCAACAATGTCGCAGCTTTGGCCATTAATGGACTGCGGGCCAGCATGGTATGGAGATGAATGGGTGGCGTTGAGTCCATCATGCCCGGCTCCGGAGATTCAAGTGTTGGCAATAATGCTGTCATTAATCGAAAATACGCCTCTTGGGTTACCTCTTCCCTAGAATCTGCCGGCTTTCGATTGGTAGGTTTTGAGATTTTGTGTCTAGCGAACGGAATATAGTGGCCACTTCCGTAGCCGGTACCTTTAGCAGTGGCTGAAGCTCTGTGGGTACGGGGCCGATTGGCCGCGTCTTTAAGTGCATCTTGAACAGCGCGGGGATCTGGGACCAAGGGGCGGCGTGGTCTGAGCTTGTTTGTCACGGTTTCGCGTAACGATATTTGTGCGGGTTGATCCCATCCACACGCCAGAGCCCAGACAGCGAACTCTCTTCCAGCTTCGCAGCAAATATTCAGAGAAAAGCTCATACCTCCTATCGTGCTTACGATTTCCCATGGATTGGCTGTTCGAATCGCCGACCTACAACCCGGGCAGGTCACCGTCGTGCAGTAGCTACTACCAGGACACGGGAGACCACATAATATCCGATTTGTAGGAGCGGCTACCCACTTGCGAGTCATCTTCGGTATCTCATCTGGACGCAGCGAGTGTTTCTTACCACAGCCGGCGCATGGAATGGATAGGGACGTCGTGTATTGCCTCAGTTGCTCTAGGTTCATCTTTTCATCAGCTGGGATGTTAGCCACGTCCCCTTCGTCCTCGTTAGAAACGTAGGTGGCCGAGGTGGTTGAGTGATCGAGGTCCATTCCATTCGAGCGGTTCGTTGAATCGTGAAAGCTAGCGGATGGCGAGTGGATCTGATTGGAAGCTGTTGGGAAAAGGTCATTGCTGTTAGCCGGAAGGCCCAGGTATTCACTGGTAAGCTCAGGCGCTTGCGCGGCCTCATGGTCGAACTGTTGCTGAAGCTGTTTGGCGAATTCGGCATCCTCTTCCGCTTGGCGTGCAGTTTCGTAGATGTAGTCCTCAATAAAGGCTTCATCTATCTCGAAATCGATCGCGGGGTCATATTCACATGCATTCGGTAAATTCGTGGAGTAGAAAGGCACAGACAAAGTTCCGGTTTCTTCTGTTGACGGAGGTGAGAACGACGAGGAGAGGGATGGGTATGGAGTGTCTGTGTTGCCCATATTGACAGTATCAGACCAGTTTGTCAAGGATGTTGGTTTCATGTGATGGGATGGCGGTGTGGGGTTTAAAATCGCTCCTGACGGCTTCTGTTTTGATGGTGTAGGTGCCATTATGCCGTAGGTGTTGTAGGCGGCAGCAGCACTCGAAGCTGCTGGTACGAAGGGCGGAAGGCAACTTTGAGTTTGTGGCGAGGGGAGAGGTGACCCAAATGTGAAAGGTGCAAGAATACTTATGTGGGTATTGCCGGTGTTGTTCGATACGTTGGTGGTATCGATATCCTCGCGTTGTCTGTGTGGTGTGGTGCCAACACCGAGCGGTTGCCCGCAAGGCTTATATGAATGCATGTCAAGGCAAAACGACGAAATACTCAGGCATGCGTCAGTATTTTCCCCTCGGTCGAGAATACACCATGCGTTGGTGGAAACTGAGAGACACGTCAGTCGAGTCTTTTGATGATTGTCTTGTGTATTTGCTTCTTTTTCAAAGGTTGAACAATTGCACAAAATAATCAGTTGGAGAAAACAAAATCTAGTGTCAGGACTGGAATCCATATGGAATAAGGTGGTGGGATGAATGAGAGAGCATGGAATAACCAAACTCGGCATCAAGAATATTGATCATGTGCCTAGTTGGTTTGAGACTGATAATGATAGTGTTTCGAAATCGAGTCGGGTCAAGAGGTGAGAAGGAGAATGTTTCATAGGTACCTTGAGCGAAAGTAGAAGTAAAAAGTGTGGTTAAAGTATCGCCGGTAACTCTCAATAGTTGAGGAGTTTATCCACTTGATGTGAACAGAATCCGTGGCCAGGCAAGCATAGACTCGACGAAGGTTGTCAGCCTTCTGCGTTCGTTTCCACGTAATTGCAATCGCAGTACTCCGACTTTTGAGGAAGAGGTCACAGTAGTCTAGAATGGAGCTAGAACAGGCACCTAACCTAAACCTTGATGTGCGAATCGCAGTTGTTAAGGTTGTTTTGTTTGTGTGAGAAATACTGTAGTGTTTCAACCAATGTGAAATATGGGCAATCTTTTTGTACTCGTGTAACTTTTGACGGGCTGTAACCAACAGATTCCAAATGCCCAGCCGCAAGAAATGCCGAATCCTAGGTGAATACCGAGACCAGATTACGAGCAATGATTCCCTTCAATCGACTGGATCACGATTGTCCTTAGCCTGAGAGCCTGAGGCATATATTGAGTGCCAACTCGTCTGGCTAGGAGGCAAGATACACGATTGTTGGCCCGCTTAACCTCAGCACGGCTTGCCTAAAGCATGGCTGATAATACCAAAGATCTGAGCGATAGGAATGATAAGAGATAGAAAATAGTAAGATTTTGTAACCCCGCTGGAAAGTATGGGTGAGCCCAGGTATTTCATGAATGAGCAGCCCAACTTCCAATTGGAATGTGTCTTGCTACCATGGGCGGACAACCAACGGTGGTGGTTAGCCTAAGGTATTCACGTGGTAAGTCCGAACTCTTGCGACCTCACAACAGCAGGGCGTGCACTTGTTAAATGTGATCCCCGAGCCACGCGACTGTCGTACCACTGGAAAGTCGCTGGGATTGGGTAGAAGATGGCTACATGACACCCAGGCAGCTCAGCAGCATTTACATGAGTCAGGTGGGGTTGTTTTGGTTGTCCTACCATTCATGCCAACTATTAGACCTTGGTCAGTGTGGTTGAAAGCTACAGGTGCTTGTGCACTCGTGACGATTTGCTCTTGAAACTTGATCGGATTAGAAATACGATGTGAAAGTAAAGACTGGTACTGTATCCTACGATGTTATATGTACAGTGAATGATGGACAGGTTACTTCTCCTAAAACCGGTGCTGTGCAGCTCTTGGTTTTTAACCAGACTTGCAGCTTCGGTCCTCGTGCGAAGCGGGGTACGCTCACAGCGGGTGATATGCTGAACGGAGTGCCACCAGAAACGCGGGCCATGCCAGAAAAGTAATATATTGAGGAGAATACGAACGAGACGACAAGTGGATTGAATTCGGCTTGATGACACCGACTAAAGAAACATGCACTTGAAGCCCAATGTAGAGACAGAGATGAATACTCACTCTACATACCCACTCAGCAAATGCTCTACATATTTTGGGAAATCCAAATTTTGCTTTCACTTCTCGTCTGATGTCGTGCCACGCACTGTTGGTCATTGGCAGATTTAGCTAAGAGGGACTTCTCTTCCAGTCTTGTTGCTTTCCCTGACAGCCTCGATGATCTTCAGGACCTCGCTTGCCTGAGCTGCGGGGACAGGAACATCCTCCTCCTTGCCACTAGCTATCGACGCCGCCAGAAGTCTATAGAACTCTTTGTAGGTAGGTGGCTTTACTGTCGGGTAGCTCTGCTCCTTTGTCTTTCCATCCTCGCCGAGCGTTGTAAGCTTGCCTGCCCAGTCGGCCGGCTCGACGCCAAAGTTTTCGTCCAGGGGCGAGCGGCTATTTGGTTTTCCTGCATTGAAATCCTTCAATTCAGGCTCCTGAGTGTCCAAATTAAACTTATGGTAGCTTCCCTTGGTTCCCCGAATCCAAAATCGTGGCTGTTGCGATTCAACACTCAGGACACCGATGCGCACGAGCACCACTAGGCCGTTGTTGTAAAATAGCTGTACTGTCGCACTATCGGTCTCGTCCTCCGGTGCCTTAATAACTCCATCTCTTGTGTTTACAAACTTGGCAAAAACACTGGCAGGCTTGCCAAAGAGGGCATACACCTGGTCAATCAAGTGTGTGCCAAGATCATACAGCATACCACCGCCCTCACTCATCTTGGTAGTAGCCTTCCAGTTGGTCGGCTTCTCAGCCCTATATCTGTCGAAGTGGGTCTCAAACTCTACAATTCTTCCCAGAGTCCCATCCTGAATCAACTTCTTAACAGTTGCGTAGTCAGCGTCCCAGCGACGGTTCTGGTAGACGCATAGCACGCGTTTGTTGTCTCTTGCAATAGCAACTAACTTGTCTGCCTCAGCTGCAGTCGGCACGAAGGGCTTTTCGCAAAGAACATGCTTGCCAGCTTTGAGGGCCTTACTGGCAAGCTCGAAATGCGTGGGGGGTGTGGTGGACAAGACGACTAGATCGAGCTCGGGATCCGCCAGAAAGCTATCGTAGGTAGTGTGATGCTTGAGATCTGGGTAATCTGAAGGCGCTGAATCGGTGGGTTTGGGCGATCGTTGAAGAATGGAGTGAAGCTTCAACAAAGGTGTCACCTTCACGAAGGGAATATGAAAGACCTTGGCGGACATTCTGCGCTCCAAAGTCAGCTTTCATGTCGGTAGGTAAAGCTATTCACGGTACTTACCCATATCCCACAACTCCGACATTGAACGTTTTACTAGCCATATTGGTTGTGTGAAGAGTGGCAATGGACAGGCAAGTTGGTCAATGTGCAGACAACCCTTCGCAAATATCAATCTTCGCTTCAAGTTTGATTGAGCACCGTGAATTATATAGCACGTGATGTACAGTTGTATAGCTATTATTTATAAGCATAAATGACTCTCTCGCCGAAGCTAATAAGTACTCCGCACCGGCGCTTCAGCGGGCACATCGTGAGGTCTGCGGGGCATTGGGGTTGGTCAAACAACCCCACCATGACGAGCTCCAGGGAAGGTCCTCCCGAAGCTGAAGTGCTTGATTTCGTAACGCGATTTACTGATAAGGTTGTCTACTGGCAGTAAAGTTCGGCGAGATCTTACCTTCTTGGCTTACGGCTCGGGAAACAGTCGAGCTCAAGCAGAGATGTGAAAAGGGGGTCCTTGGAAAACAGGGCCGTTGAAGGCGAGAACGACCCAGGTGGAAAGTTTGCTCTGCTCAGGTGGCATGATGTCATTTTCCGTGGTCCAATCTCCAGGGCAGCTGTGTGATTGAGGACAACCCCATGGCAATTTTTTGGAATGCCTGCAGAGGTCATCGCCTACTGCAAACCAGTGACTGCAGACCAGATGAGTGTACGGTGCGCTCTGGCACACACAGACGTGGGTGAGTCTGAGCGATGTGGTATGTCGACAATCAAGTATGATAAAGCTCAGAAGCTTTGACGACAGCTCAGCCGCAGATCTGGAGGAATTGCAATGGATTTGATTGGTTGTTCATCATGTAGCGTGGGCCCCCTGACACCCATGGTTATGTTATCGGGACTTTTTTTTCCATCTGTTCGCTGATTACTGCATCACGATCTCAACTCCTCTCGCAAAGCATCTTTACGCAATGCACTGAAACCCTTGGCCACAATATGGGCCGGTCACGAACTCATCAAAAAGCAGTTTGAAATTGAAGAACGAAGGCCGCGACGCATATCGTATCGTGTGCGCGAATAGTTCGCGACACCACCATGCGGTATTGCTTGCACCACACGCTTAGCTATCTTTCAGCATAATGGCTGCGATTCGCTCCAAGCTAGGATATGGACTTGTTCCAGGTCTGATTCGTCATTTCTCCGCGACAGCGCGACGTCTCGAGCTTCGCGATGTTTCGGACCTACCCAACCGTATCTTACCGAGATTCAATAACTCTCCGACTTCATCGTTGCTTGCCTTGGAATGGCCAGAGCCCCCTCGCAATGTCTTGATTGTGCCGAAGCTACATGCGCCAAACGTCATAACCTCAGTCATCGAGTTCGTGAGGCACATCAACGCGGAATACCCGAAAATCAACTTCATATTTGAGCACCGCATAGCTTCGACAATTCACGGGTCACTGCCGTTCCCAATTTATACTTCCCACCCAACATATTTTCCGCCCAAGATAGACATGGTCGCAACCCTCGGAGGTGATGGAACCATCCTGCGAGCTGCGAGCCTGTTCAGTCTGCACACTAGTGTGCCTCCAATCTTGTCCTTCAGTATGGGCACTTTGGGATTCCTGGGCGAATGGAAATTCGAAGAGTATAAACGTGCGTGGAGGGAGGTCTATATGAGTGGAAGTCGTGTAGCAGTGAGCGATCTGCAAGGGCCTCATACTCAGGTTGCGAACGGGCGGCAAGTCGAGCTCGAGGAGATCCAGAACGATGCGTGGGCAAGCATGAAAGGCAAAAACATGGGTGCCACACGAACAAGCAAGATCCTGCTCCGGCATCGCCTCAAAGTTGGAGTTTACGACGCTAACGGCGTCAATATCAATGAGCATCTGATGCCCACATCGACCGCCACTCTGGACCAACCTTTGCCCCCTGTCCCTCCGGCAACGAAAGAGCTATCGAAATCAGGGGAACCAGTCACTCCTGACGTGCATGCCATCAATGAACTGGTCATCCATCGTGGTCCAAATCCCCATCTCGCCATCGTTGATGTGTACGTCGGGAATCGGTATTTCACCGAGGCCGTTGCCGATGGATTCCTCATCAGTACGCCGACAGGATCAACGGCATACTCGCTCTCGGCCGGCGGAACCATCATCCATCCCCTGACCAAGTCGATGCTTCTGACCCCTATTTGCGCGCGAACTTTGAGCTTCCGTCATATATGCTTACCATTGAACAAGAAGGTCGTACTGAAGGTGAGCAAGAAGAATCGTGGTCGCGAGCTCGAGGTCAGCATTGACGGCAAGAGGAGAGCTGGTGTCACTATTGGTATGGAGATCCGTGTCACCGGTGAGCTTGTTGCACCGGACTTTTCAAGTGGGACCTGGGTTGGGGGAGTACCATGCGTGGTTAGAAGCAGCGGCCAGGGTGATGAAGGAGATGATGACGATGGCTGGGTAGGAGGGCTCAATGAAAGGCTCAAATTCAATTACCCCGTGGGTTGAGGGGATTAGCAACGAATACGGAATTGTGTATATAAGCTGGGAGGGTCTTGGATGGACAACGTGGAATTGGGTAGTTTGTTTCCCTACAAGCATTATACGGTGTTGGGTCATTCAAATATGTTTCATAGTACTAAAGATACCCACTTGTGTAACTTCTCACAATCAGTTTCATCTAAGAGTTGCTTAGAAGTCTTTGAGCTCTGCATGTCATGTTTCAGTTGATTCTGGTCGAGGTTAGGTTCCGACTTAGGAGTAGCATTGATTAAAAGCATCAAGCAGCCATAAAAGATACACATTTCCATGTACTGGCGAAGTAAAAGAGCAAATAGCAAACGTGGTTTGCACATGAACGGAGCCATCCTATCTTGAAAAGCTCATATCTGAGCAGGCTCTTAAATCGTACGAAGACCCTTCACTTTTTTTCTTTCTTCTTTTTTCCTCTCTGTTGTTGTAGCTGTGGCCTGGGGCTCAGTGCTTGGGATTCATGAAACTTGCTTTGTTGCAGCTCCATCCTTTGTTGGGAATGATGGACAGTAACTCGGAAATGAACACAGCCCAGAAACTACGAGTGCGGAATTTACGAACATAGGGTTTTTATTTTCTGATTCCGCCTTTTTGAGAGTGTTTTGCACCTTGAGTCATCACCTAGATTTTCTTGGACCACATCCCAAAGGGACCTGGGCGGAGGGCTACGGCATCGTGCTTCTCCCCTCAAATTTGCCTTCCGATTCTATGTCTTTGTTCCACGAGTTTCACTGGATACTGTATACATGCGGGATCATCCAATACCTTCAGTTGGCGGCCCCGCAAAATATGACACTTAATGCTAATCACCATGATCCCTTAAACCTCGGGCGGAGTTTGACGAGGGGGGCATCCACTCTGGAGCTCACAAACTTTGTGAATTTCTCTGCTGGGTTTACCAGAGTTACAGCCGGATGGCGAAAATTGTTCTGCAGCTATAACACAAGGGCTGGGGTATCAACATCCAGGAGAAGAAGTGGAAGTCGGCCCTGTGGAGTTTTAACAAGGCCCTCAGGCCATCGTTACACTCGCTTGAGGCGCTCAAACTCGGTATGCACACCGAAGATGTTTATAGTCACTCGATTTGTATGTTCAGTTCGAGTCTGGCGAGTAAGAGGCGGCCTACGAATCACTGCCGGCGATCAAACAACCTCACGGAACATACTAGCGCGGGAGGGTTCCCGGAAACTCGGGTCGATCATGATTGTCGCTATGGACAGCAGCAATGTACCAGACTTTAGAGATGATAACAACAAGGAATATGTCCCAGTCAAATAACCGAACATTGCAATATGATACCGTCGACACTATTAAAGCACGAGGACGGAGTTCTCGGAGAAGGCTCTGATATAAGCCCCGAAATGCTTGCATTGACTAGCAGACGATGCCAAACTGGTGGTCTCTCTTGAACTCATCGCCATTACCAGGAGAAGTATAGTCGAATGAGACAACTTAAAAAAGACCGAACCCCGATTGTATTGTTGGAGGATACGCGGGCCATCAGATGGCAATACAATTTTAGTCATGTGCACAGGAAACTTTGTTGTAGCTAAGGCCGTGAATCGAATTCGCTCAGCAATATTGGCTGAGCAGAGTAATGAACGTGAAAGACACCCGTCAGTATTCACAACGTGCTAATTCATCAATTGTTTTGAGTCCATGGTACAAAAATCACTACTAAAATTTTCTCAACAAGAGTCTTAGTAGACGACGAAGAACCAATTACAGTCAGCCCAAGGAATGTGCCTTGTTGAAACTCTCACGCATTCGAATGTGTATGGCTCCCACTCATGACTGTGGAGCTGGGTCTTCTGGCAAATGACTTCAATGACTGTTGCTGGTAGAACGTCTAAACAAGTGGGTGCAACGGGAGGCATTCAGGTGGAAGCATGAGTCATTTCAGCGTGACTTGATATTTACAAACAGCATGTCGTAGCACCGCAAAACTGATATAGAATATTTATACATGCAACGCATAATTCAGCATTCTAGGGCGCCCGCAGGCTCAAGAAGTAGAAGCCCCGGCGAATGCAAAAAGGTTGGCCTGCTCAGAAACATTCCATAGTTGGCAGTGAGGGTTCATTTCAAGGCATGCATAACGTAATCTGTGATAGAATTCTCAAAACACCTAAGCTAAGCCTGTTCAGTAAACAATTCTTGAATGGAGCATCCCTCTAGAACCGAACGCCGCTGCCATGTAAACATAACCTCGTGGTATCATTCGTCTTCCAAGTGCCCCTCTCCATTTACCGTGCTGGGACCTCTGGCTCCAGCACCTTCCTCCGATGACCTGTTGGCTTCACCGCCCCTAGGATGCTCGTTAGAAGCACAACCCAAATACCTTGACTTCACCTAAAAGCCACGAATGTGGTACAGCGTCTGTAAAATGATTCTGAAAATGAGACCGAATGCGCCAAGTGCGACAAAGATCTTGAGAAACTCCCACCAATACTTCGTTCGCACTTGGGTCTCAATATGACCCTTGATACCGGCACCGTTGGCGGGGAAGCGACCTGTAGAGATGTACTGCTCCATGAGCTCATCCTTCTCATACCAACGATCCTGCAACCAATTCCCGAACGCCTTTTCATCGTCGAGGGGCATCTCTGCCAGGGCAAAACGGCGCCAGTAGAAATTTACAGACTTTGGAGGCCGTCCGCGGAAGAAAGTGCTACCTAGGGTGAAGTACTCTTCGCCGTATCCGCCGCGGCTGGCAGTTCGTTAATGCAAATATCCTGCAATGGCAAAGGTCAAAACTTACGGAACGCCTTCATAGGCCACAGTGCAGTCGTAGACATAGTCGACAGTTCCTTTGAGCTCATTCAAACAGAAGAAAGTGCCGGTACTACGAGGTAACAAGACGTGTTTCGCATCCTTGACACCAGTCTTCTCGGCCCATTTGGCTGACTTGACTCTGCCGTTGTCGGAAAGGTTGGTGCCCTCTGGGAAAAGGAGTAGCCACATGGGAAGTAAGTGCTTTTTGCCATCTAGGCCTGTGATCTTCTTCTTGAGCTTTCCCAATCGGTGGGCTAGACGTGGTTGATCTGTGGCCATTTTCCGTGACATGAAGATGAATCCGAAGAACATGCATCCTGGCCCTATTATGGGAATCCACTTCAGAGACTCTTTCAATATGATATATAGGTGGCCGTGCATAGCGGGGACGTTGGTGTAGCCAACCCACCAAAGATACAACCAATCCGTGTATATCTGGTTATTTCGCCATTAGTCTCACTGCGTTTGGTCCTGTCATGGCAAGTGCTTCATACCTGGTGGTTAGCGATCATGACCATGCGCTCCGGGAAAGCACACTCTATCCTGCCATCTGGGGTCAAGCTGAGCTGACCGGCCACGGAGGTATCGCCGCTGACTCTTATCAGAGTCGGTGCCCACCAGTGGGTCATGGTGGTGGCGAGAAGACCGAAGGACTGTTTCGTCAGTGCCATGTAGGCGTAGTACAGGTCGCGATTTATCCAATATAACGGCGCAGCGATAAACTGCGTGATGTGTATGCTGGTGTAACTATCAGTCATTAATGTCACCTCTTTTTCAAACGTGGAATTCTTACACTACACATGCGCTCGTGAAATAAACGGCGAATGTGAGTGCCCGCAATGCTGAGTAGATAGGACCGTGTTTGGCCTTGCCAGAGGGATGTTCTTGCACCGGTATGTCATCTTTGGGCCCGGTTATACCAGCTGCCAGACTCGGGGCCGGCACGTCCTTTGCGGCCGGTCTTTGACGGAGCTCGCTTGTCGCCATGGCTGCGGAGTGCTCAGATGATCGGTCGCCGCTCGAGACGGGTCGTGTCGGTCGCAAGACTTGGACAGCAAAACAGCTAGCTCTTAGGGGCAGCAGGCACGCTGGTCGGGACTGGAAGATATCAAGGTCGAACGATGAAGGGTGATGAGGAGGGGTCGATCTAGAATAAGTCAGGTTATCTGTCTATGGTCTTTTGTCTCATGGTCGACTTCAAGCACATGGTCAGCAAGGCAGACCAGACCGTATGCGCCTGTCGCGTGCTTCGCCCTGACACTTGCCAAGGAGTACACCATCAAGCTGCATGCGGGACGCGGGATGTGATAAGAGAGGGCTGCTACGGAGGGGCTTGGACGAACCGTTGAAAGTGTCAATACATATTAATGCAGCATCGTGAGATATGTATCCCCTCGAACATGGACGGAGTCACTAATAGAAAGGATCAGGCAGGTGTGAGAGACTCATGAGGAGAATGGCGGACAGCTTGACTAGCGACTGGCTTCTTCGCAGGATGGGATTTCCAGGTTCTTCTGTACGTTGCGCAATATCCATTGATGATGCATGTGGTCATCAGGCGCCATGGTTGCATGGCGCTGGCCCCACGTTGACCGCGCTAACCTTCTGAACTCGACCTGAACCCCACCGCTGTTCCAATGGAGAGGGTCCAGCACCCAGCACATGCGCGCCGGGGCTCAAGCTTTGCTGGAATGGAGATTCCCTGGCGTGGCTTTCCACTGCAGCCTCGGCCGAAAAGCTGCCACTGCGCATCCGCGGACTTGAAGACACCTCCTCAAGCCCGACCAGACCCCGACGGAGTATACAACGTTGTAGAGAGCAGAGAGCCAAGTCCCGGTTATGGTTGCGATATAGTGACGGTCAGTCATATTGGGACTCCTTTTTTCCCCCTTTCTTTTCTTTTTCCCTGGGCGCAATGCCCGTCCATTCACTTTCATATCCGGCATCAGCCGGCAACCACGATTCGTCAGCTCGCGATGTCTTGATATTCTTTATCTCCGGAAACCCCGGCTTGATTGACTATTATGGACCTTTCTTCGAGAGCCTGAGAGCCCTCATTGATTCCTCTACCGCTCTTGGGGCCACCCGCTTTCACATATACGGCCAGGACTTGGCAGGATTTAGTGATGATGATCACGAACCCTTCGACACCAAGCACCCCCCACGAAATGTGGGCTTCCAGGTGCAGAACTCATTTGAGGCCCTATCGAGTCTGAGAGTAGGAAGCGGGCCCAAGAAGGGCAAGGCTTTTGACGAAGTGCTTCTTGCCGGCCACTCTGTCGGAACGTACATCGGTCTTCAGTTGTTTCACAAGCTCCTGGAGAACCCATCCTCTGCGCCTCACCTCCACCTGAAGGCAGGCATCCTGCTCTTCCCTACAATCGAGCATATAAGCCATTCACCTCAAGGCGTCAAACTCAATCTTCTCCGACGCACACCCTTAATAGGTCCTAACGCCCACTCCATCGCCCAGGGCTTCTTGCGTCTCTGGCCCTACAAGGCCCTCTACTGGTTTGTCAGCAAGGTGCTCGGCTTCCCGCCGCACGCGGCGACCGTGACGACCAAATTCCTTAAAAGCCGTGATGGTGTCTGGCAGGCTTTACATATGGGCATGGACGAGATGCAAGTTATTGCTGAGGACAAATGGGACGAGGAACTTTGGGAGATTACACATGAAGCTGAGCAGCATAATGTGCAGCCGATACCAAAATTCTTCTTTTTCTTTGGCAAGAACGATCATTGGGTTGCTAGCCATTTGAGGGATGCCTTCATCGAGAGAAGACAGAAGCAAGCCGAAAGGACGTGCTTGTTGGTTGACGAAGGCAATCTGCCTCACGCCTTCTGTATCCGTAAGTTGGAAATTGGAGCTCTCCAACACTGTTGACTAACTGTACGACAGACCACAGCGAGACGGTAGCTGAGAAGGTACTGGTTTGGATCAAGGAGATCTATGGGTTATAAGTCGCCGTCCTGTCAACTATAGAACCTATGTAAACTACTCAGCGCCGCGCGTTGCTTCCGATTGCAGAACCATGAGATAGAAAATAGAGTAAACACAACAGGATGGCACGTTAAGTAGTATAACAAATTAATCAACGATGAAATGACGGGTCATGACAACCCGTTCATTTTCACAAACCTCAATGGCATATAGCACCAAAATCGTTCCTTAATTCGTATCTTATAAAATTTGCCCTGGATTACACCATGAAAGCGGGTTAGGAACGTGACATATCAAAGGATTGAGCATTGATCTTCATGTCATTCGCACCTATGGAGCGTTTCAAGGTCTTCAGGGCAGCACACAGAAAGAGCCTCAAGGCGAGGTTATATTGATACTCGTGATAAACTAACTCAACAAACCAGTTACGCACGCTTTGCTAAATGCGCACACCAACACACTGTAGAAGTCTAAGATCAAACGCTCAATTCCTGGCCAAAATCCCAGGCACGACTCCAAGTCTTCTGAGCAGACCAGTCATCCTTGAACATCTGAGAAACAAAGTGCATATCCCTTTCCCAGATCAACGGACTCGGCTGCGTGCGGTCAAAATAAAGGCCCTCCCACCCTTTCTTTTCCGCATCCGTCACCTCGACTATTCACTGGTCAGCAACACTGTTGTGGAGGAAACATTACTGGGAGCCGACCTCTGTTATCCCTCGACGCCTCGGCCAGCGCTCTCATGGCGGATTTTTCGCTCTCCTGGATGTCGACGCACAAATTGTCTTTCTCATCCTTCTCATCTTTCTCATCATTCTCATGGACCTTCTCCCATTCTGCATCAAGTGGGTTGAAGTTGCGGTACTTGCGTCTGAAGTAATGCCAGCATTTGAGTAAGCTGTTGGCGCCCTCCTGGAGCTCTTCCATGAACAGCTCCATGTCATACCGCAGACGAACCTGTTCTTTCTTCATTCTGGCATGCCAGTAGCGGTCTTTCGAAGCGTATGATATCTCGTGCAGGAGAATGAAGACAACCAAGTACACGGTGTAGAAGACCTTGGGGTCTATCTTACCACACATGAGCTTCCACAAGTTGTTCAGAACTCTTGTTCGCCAAGGCCTGAGCATGATGTTGTAGTTGATGGCATCGAATTGCTGGGCAATCAGACGCGGAAGACTGATCTTTCCAGGGAAGGGATAGCCTTCCCTCTGATCGAGCCTCATCCCTAATGTCGCCTCAGTCTCGGGCTCTCCCAGCAGCCATGCTGAACCGAGTGTGTTTCCTGTTGGCATTCAGTAGAGATCAGCAGAAATAGAAGATCCTTTCTCATGCTTACTGGTTGCATACCACAGCCTGAAGAGATCCTGCATCAAGAGTCGTGCGTTAACGTTGTCGGGCGATACCCACTTGCATAGTGTTAATTTATGAACAAAGAGCTTCCCTGCGTGCATGCGTAGACTCACCTCAACAGTTTTCATGTGATGCCATCTGTGAAGAGATTATCAGTACTTATTAAATCGACAGTCCATCTTCAAACTCGGTGTAGACTTACGCGGCTTTGTAAGTCTCACTGACGAGGGGATGAGGATGAACGCGCGAGCCCCCCTCGACAAATAGCTTTACGGCATCGTACGCATGAGCTTCTATATGCTGTTCGAGCACCTTGCTCGCATTTTGGATATTATCCAGGGCATATGCTGCGATGTGTGTTTCATACTGTGCGCCATTGTGCGTCCAGAAACGACTGAGCTGATCCCCTTTGATTGGCTTAAATCTCCGAGCTCTTAACGTGATGGGTTTATCGCAAAGGCCGAGGGTCACGTGTATGGTGTGTATCTCATCCGATGCCCAGTCCTGAGGTCCAAGATCTTTCATGGCAGCTCCCTCCCAGCCCGGCCTCTCTGTAAATTTCAATCCACCAGAGCGGAACAAGACAATAGCGGTCGGTTTTAGCCGTTCACAAGGGCAGTACCCATGGATCACTTTCTTTGACTCCGATTCCTTCATTTTGATGCAAGTTAGACAGGGGCCTTCTGGTGCTGCGGGGTTTGGTTCACACTAAATAAATAAAAAACTTGAGCTTAAATCGACGATGGTGTGGCAGGGAGCTTACACTATAACGTTGAAATTTGCAATGAAGACATGCTCCTATTTTGCGTGTAAGACTTGCCTGTTCGCGCTGGGATTCGGTCAAATGCCCTTTACGCTTACCCGTCCTCTTCTGCACCCCAGTTCGCGGAGATCGAGAGCTTGGACGTGCAGATCTCGAAGATATGGTACTGTCATCTGATTTATCAAGATGTATAGCTAGATGCAGAGACGAGTTGTCCTGAGGACCGTATTCGGTTGTATAAGCTGGACTAGAGTCCGGACTGACCAGCTCGAAGGAGCCGATTTGGCCTGTGCCGTCACTTGACGACTCATATTCACATACATACCAAGAGTCGGTAAGATCGTCCATGCTCGGCGCAAGGAAGCCATGGAATGGGTTGGCAGAGCAAGGATAAGGCACAAAGTGCGGCGAGATGTCGGAGACCGTGGATGCGTGACAAGATAGAGGATGAGGGACAGCAGCGAAAGCGTCGTATTGGTGGCCGGTTTCTTCTGTTGCCACAGGATACTGTTGTTGATCCCGCTGAGATTCTTGGGCCGGTATGCCCTGGTTGTACATGGGGTCGGTAGGGTAGATTGGATAATGCAATGGAACAGAGAAATCGAACACCGACCAAGGGTTAAGAAGAAAGCCTGTCTGGTGGATCGTGGTGGTATAGTCGGGAACAAAAGCCGGAGTAAAACTTGAACTCGGAGGGATGAAGGTGTAATCAGCAGGTTGCAGACCCATATTGGGCATGGCCCTGATGACCTCCCCACCAAGCATGTTTGGCTGATTTGTGACAACACTATTCGGTACATATAGGTTCTCATGTCCGATAAACATCCCAGTCTCCTGCTCTGCAGATGCTGGGGCGACGGAACTCAAATTGACGGCATTTTCTGAAACCGGTGACATGATTGTGGTTGACTGCCAATAAGAGAAATTGTCGTACCCTGTGATACCAGCCGGTAGTGCGGCCAAGGTTTTACCTCTCTTCGCAGAGTCGCCATTATATTTTGGTAGGTTGGTGTAAGATGGGGAGGACACGGGCCGAACCCTCTTTCTTCCCTTCTGCCAAAGCTAGTCAACGTCCTCAGATCTTAGTGGTCACAACAGAAAGGGAAAATGAGGTTCTTTACAGGAGGATGAGTAGAATGCAAGGTTGCAGCGGGATTGTCCATGATCAGGACCTCGCAGCGGGTTGGCAAAGTCTCAGCGCTCAATGGTCGTGTTACCAGAAATTCAAGACGCCAGCGAGTAAGAGGAAGCTATCAGTGTGGAGTAGGTGAAACCGGTGAAGCAGTCGGTTAACCGACGTGGGTAGTACGAGACCGACTTGCAATCGTGGTTTGCCTTTAGCGACGTGACGACGCCAGGGATGCAAGCCCAAATCGTGGCAGAAGAACGCAGATTGAAAATAGAGCGTATTCGGATGACTATTCTGGGATTGCCCTTGACGGCAAAAGAGCGGTCGCAGTGAGGTCCTGCAGTGAACTGCAGCATTGATCTCTCAACCTGGAGATTGAGAGTTCATGTGAGAAGCAGTCCACCAACGTCTCGCTGAAATCTGACAACGAGAGCCGTTGCTTTTTTCCCCTTTTTTTTTTTTCTCTCTTCTGAAAGACTCGGTCTTCTCTCAGCTGGGGTCGATATTGGCTCCACGCGCTTGGTCATTGCAAGGCCTCGGCAGATGCATTTTGTTTCTCATACATTGGACGCCTTTTGAGAAAGAAAAGACAAGGCAACGTTCTCGGACTCATCAAGGTAGCTGCTGATCAATAGCGAGAAATTTCCAAGTAAAAAGCAACGAGCCACGAATCCAGCCACCTCACTCCCCGGCACTCTAGATTTAGCGACAAGAGGAAGAGCGAAACCCCCACGGTTCCGCTAACGTCAAAGAAGAGTGGCCGATTTCGAGAAGGTGTTGACTTCCTAGATTTCCAATCGCTTCTGGGGGGAAAGGCGGGGGGCCCCCGATTCCTCCAATCTCAATTCAAGCGTGCCTCATTCAAATGCGGTTAGCCGAGCCTGACATTCGTCTTGGAATTTCTCCATCTGAGGCTGAACTATGAACTATGAACATGAACATGCATATGCATACCCACTCAAGCCAGTTGAACTTTTTGACATTCGTCCGACACCGACAATTCTTTCCTTTCACAACATCCTCCTTAGTTTTTGGCTCAATCGATCCGACAAAAAATACATCCTTGTATGCCAGGTTTAGCATTGCGGTATGGCCCGCAAGGCATATGCATGCAATACAAATCTCCCTTTGAATGCGACTACTCTTTACACCGACTGACGAGACCGGTGAAGGTATCTTGTAAACCTGCAAAACCGACGTTCGCACTGCACGGGATCGAGTGGTTCTTGTCTTGCTTTTCTCACTACCCGGTCTCTGGGTCTATAGCGCACCTCGTGTGCCAAGCCCTTTTCAGATGTTGCCACGACTTTTCTGGCCTAGCAGGTTGCCGCAACCGGATGCGTTGAATATTCAACAATATCATATAGCAAGATGTACTCTAAAATCTGGTCTGGATCTGTGTGTATCTGGAGCCACGTCATTTATCAACACCCATTTCCCAATCCCGAGGCCAATATAGCCCAATTTGCTTAGGCGGTGGAGCACAGAAAACCAATTACAAAAGTAATTACATGGTCATATGCACTTTGATGTCGTGGTTCCCATTGCTTCTGATAGTCTTGAAGACTCCAGGTCACATAACTCCCTCCATCATTGCTACCCATGCCTTTCGTATCTGATGCGGTCGCCTCCCATGCTTTTCGCCGCCGCTGCATTCAACTCGAGACGAGGCATCGTCTTCAGTTAGGCAACTGAGAGGTCATGTCACTTCGGAGTGTGACAACACATCTACCAGAAGATCAATTTTAATGGGGTCATATTTAGTACCGAGAAGCTCATCCGACTGTACCCCTAGAGTACTTCATCGTGAAAACCACATATTCTGTGCGGTGTCAAAATACTACCTATGGTGCTTGGCTCTAAAGACTTGGCACGTTTATGAGCGAAACTCTACTTGTTTCGTTTTTTGCTACCCTTTATTTTTGTTGCACGTACCTGCTATTGTTTTTGGGAGACTCTCACTATTGGATATCTACCAGACCAACATAGTAACGTGGCCATCATGCTTCTGGTGACCCCATGCATGCGAAGTATCTTGTTGTAGATTAATCTTGGGAAATCACTCCTCTGCTATGATTGAGACACTTGACCATGTTCTTAAATAGGAGCTCTTCGTCCGGTGTCCGATGCCATGTTCTGGCGTCAAGCATCCATTGAAATTTTATGGCAAGATGACGGCTCATATATACAATAATTTACACGGCTCTTCTGGTGTGTGGTCAAGCCCATACGGTGGATTATCACTAGAGGAACTGGCCCAAAGCACCGGATCGTGCCCACCACCGTCAGGGTTCCCAGCTGTCATATGTCATTCAAATGGAGAGCTGTATAAGTTTTTCCAAAAGAATACCATACAGCTAACCACCCATCACGTTTCTGAAATAGAAGCAGCAAATGCAAATTTCAAGCGTAAGTTTCGGTCTCAATACACAGAAAACCATGCTAATATTTGTAGTTTATGAACTTGATGGGGACGAAGTGGAACGAGAGAAATTCCCCCTGCCCACATTGGGGCCGCTCCTCGAACGCTGTGGCCAGGAGATTCACGAGGGCCACGGCATTGTGATCATAAGGGGCCTTGATCCAGAAAAGTACTCCATCGAAGATAGTACGACGATATATCTTGGTATATCGTCATACATAGGTGACCAGCGTGGAGTTCAGTCATCAAAAGGAGCCATGCTTAGTAAGTCTCTATGACATCAAGTGCAATATCATAACTAACCATTTCCCGCACTAGCACACGTGGTGGAGAAGAAGGAATGGAAATCAGTATGTAAGGACCACAGGCATGGTATACACACGACGGACCATCTAGTAAGTTGACCGCAGTCACACTATATTGTCGAAGGTAGACTTATATCTGCAGCCATTCCACAACGACATGGGAACTGAGATACTCGCGTTGCAAGTGCGCGAGACTGCAGAAATTGGTGGGCGAACTTGTGTTGCCCCCATCCGCGTAATCTACAACCATCTAAGGGAGCACAACCCATTGGTCCTGCATACCTTAGCCAAACATGATTGGCCTGTGCGGGTTGGCACTAAAGCCTACAAACTATGCCCGCTCCTAGTGTATCATCGTGGCAACCTCATGATTACAGCGGACCCGGCAAGGATTGGCCCATATCCTGGTAACAGAGCTCCTAAACTTACTTTAGAGCAAGAGATGGCATTTGCGGTGCTGCAGGATACGGCTCGTAAGTACCAGCTGAAGCTCGAGCACCAACCTGGTGACCTTGTTTATCTCAACAACTGGACGTAAGTAGGCGATTGTGTTTTAACCGTACCGTATACATGGTTCTAGTCAAACACGAGCAAAAGGAAATGCTAATGTGTTTATATCTTTAGGCTACTGCATGCGAGGGAAGCGTACCGGGATGGTCAGACGTCTTCACGGCACCTAGTCAGACTCTGGCTCCGCAACTCGGTGCTGGGATGGCAGGTCCCAGAATCGGTATCATTCCCATGGGATTGTGCCTTTGGCGAACGCTCTAAGCTCGTGCCTAATCTGAGCTACCCCTTGGTACCATTGCCTGTGTATATGTATAGCAAGTACAATTCAGGAACGGCAGCCTTCGTGCCTACAGATGATGAGGATGAGGATGATGTCAATGCGACCACCAGGGGTATTCACGATAGAGATCATGTGGATCAGGGAGACACGATTCCAGTGTTGAGCCAATCAGGGCCATGACGGTAGCCACTATTTCCAGTTAGAACGTTTCCCTTTCAATAAAGGCATGAGTTTCTTTCCAAGAGTTGTCTGTGGTAGATCTGGTCAGGTTGAGACTGGCGGTCAGACAGAAAGATCGTCGTGTAATAACATGACGTCGGGGTATTTCGTTTGCTGTGCATTAGTTTGTTCTAGATGTCTCCAGCGTATTTTTGAATTCCGTCAGCTGTCCTTCAATCAAGGAAAAGCAATGTGGGATAGTTTTCGGCTCCTGGGTATTACCATTGTGAATATCATGCAGATATAGCATGATGATTAGTCTGAACCGAACAATTTTGTCCACAAGGAAGGGGCTAGACACGTTCCATGCCTGATCAACGAGCCATTGCAGGTTTCCACATTCACAGACGTCAATCTACAGCATCGGTTAACAATGTAGCCGGGGTAGTTTCTAGCGTCTTACGTAGATAGTTGCTTGAAAGGCGCGCTTGGCGGAAGCGAAAACGCCAACTATGCAAGAAACTCTCGGCAACTACGCGCCGAGACTCCCGGACCCGAGACATGAACTCATTAGGCAGCGTATGTAAGATGACCCACATTGCTCATGATGGGGTTCATTCCTCATGAAAATGGACAACAAAGGAGAAGATGTCGAATTTACAGCACCGAAAAGAGAACGTAGAATTTAAATAAGAAAAAATAAAAGAAGAAAAAATCCTATACAAATATAACGTGAAAAGTTTCTACCCCCCATTCGAATAAATGAAAATCCTGACTGCATAATAACTTGTGCTTACGCTCCCAGTATTCGATTTAATGCAAATTGCGACATGGAGTACTTAGTAGAGCTGCTATTAAATTCGTAATAGCTCATCAATCCTAATTGCAGGCGATTGTCTAACTCTTTTCGCGCTATCGGTAAAATCAGTCCACTGTGATTGGAGTCTCGGTACTTGTCTGAAGCTATGAGATTTTCGGCATTTCAGGACGGCTGGTGCTGCTTTGAAGATGAACAATCTATCGTGAGTTTGACATATCTCCTCGATTTGTCAAGGCGCATGCAACCACTATGGCTTTTTATGCTGAGAGGATGGCAGAAGCGTTTCGAAATACCATATCCATTGAACTGATGGAATCACCATCGCACCCTGAAAAAAGGTTCATCAAAACATGGCAAGCGATGGCTTGTATTATAGATCAAGAACTGCGAGCGTTAAATATTACTGTGCCATTTTCGGTGATCTGCTATTGCAATTGGTAATTGAATTGCTACCTTTGAAACTGAAATGCTGTGCGATATCATAGGGATACCTTTTCCAACTTCTATTTAATCTCGTGAAAGTGGTCGGAAAACATCGTAAAGTGGTACAGATAAGGTAAAGGGACGTGCCGCGCCGCTGCTGACATAGTACTCTGTTGTGGGTAGGACAAGACTGTCTTAAGACGACGCAGATATCAGGCCGAAGATCACCGATTGCACATGTCGGTCGATTGAGAGAGCTTGATATTGTGAAATCGCGGTACATTGCAACTGACAACATATCTGCACTTTGCTTTATCTCGTTTGCGTATACTGGTTACCGTGCAGATTCGCTTTTTTTTAAATCACCTGAGATGATAGAGCCTCCCAGAAGATGCGATGCCTGAACCTTGCTAAGATATGCAGGGAGCGTAGTGGCCAATCACTCGCCTCAATGATGTGGTATTGTACAAAAACCATCAAGGGATGTACACGGCTTGTAACTTCAAATTATGTTGTGAGTACCTCACACGCCTGCCTCGATTTCCAGGTGACCGGTGCAAAGACTTAATCGTACTTGCGGGCCATAATCGAGATCCTACCTGCCCATTGTCAGAAACCATCACAGTCGCATGTATCTGTTTAGTTGTGGAGAAACAATATTATTTTGCATCAACAGGATGGGATGTGCAGCTTCACCGATAACCAGCATGTTTCTGCCCGGAAAAGCCAACTGTTTGATTGGTCAGGCATTAACACATGTAACGTGATCAATGATACAGAAACATCGAGGGGAGAAAAGGGAAGAAAGGCATTAACCTCCGTAGCAAAATATTGTACGTCGTGTGTAAGTCAATTCTGAGGGTATGTGCAACCAAATCGCTGATATCCATTTTTATAGTAAGATAATAGTACAAGTTCACATCAATGGACTGCTCGATGTTTGAGCACTCAGATTTGCAATAGAATCATCCTTAAACTCACTGGCATAATTAGGTCTACATCGACTAGTAACAGGAGGCTTTTTGACACAATGCATTGCGGGTGAATATGGTACGAAGTCAATAAGAATCTATGGACTACATTTCAACTTTGGTGAAAGCTACAGTATTATTGAACCAGAGGAGTCGTAGTAGCAGGCATCTTCCAATAATAGCTGCACTATTGAGTTGCTTTGATTGAACCTGGCTCCCTTTCGTGTTCGAGATGGAGCCAGAAGCTCCTATCTTCGACGCTTACCTGTGTTAGAAATTGCGTGGAGCATTGACAGTAACTATGGCTCGCAGTCACTGGACGAGGCAGGCCCGATGTTCTACTCACGCTGGTTGACGTAATAATAGACTATGCATCACAAGTTTTGATGCCAGCCCAGAAGTTGCTAACTCAAGCTTCTCGGCGCTTTGTGGGCCGTCACGTTCTTTTGCGGATAAAACAATCTCTTATTGCCACATTTTGGATGTAAGTTTTGCAACGTAGCCTCGCGTCGAAATAATGCAACGACTCACGAGCGTGGATATATGGCAAATAAATATGCATATCGTAGGTCACCGTAAGGCTAGCCTTTCAACTTTAGAGAAGGGGATATCTGTCTAGTTGAAGTCTACTTGCTGTGAATTAGATGATTTGGGGAAATTTGAAAGAGGAAGGGGACGATAGTGTGTTAGTTAGTGAATAGCAAAACATTTCTGTAACAGCCAACATATGGAAACTGCGCTATCGACGAAAACGGGAGGACTTTCTATTGAGATTCAACCAGTACTTTGTAGTGCCAGACGTTCGTTCCATTCCCTCGAATTCCATGGGAATGGCTAATGCTTCAGGTCAATCCACAGGTGACAGACTTCCGACGCAATCGCGGCTAGCAAATATCATGACGCAAGGCATCAATGACGTTTGCAGGCGGTAGTTCCGTATTGCCGAAGACTTATAGCCAGCGGACCAACACCGAATGTAGTACGCCAATCAATATTCTAATACTTCATAGGGGCAGGGGGTCGACTAGTAACACAGCTGTCCATGATCTTATCATGTCTGGAGGATTTTGCGACAGATGCTTGGGAACGTGACCATCGACGTTGCTGCAGCGTAAGGTCATGTGGCTTGTCGTCATGTTTAATATCTCGTATGGGAGAGTTCTTATCCCATATTTAGAATAATATCGCTCGATCGGGTGTGTGTTGTTTCTTATCTCTTAATTGCTTGTTTTATGAGCCTTTTTGTATACAACGGCAATGTGGGACACGTATGTGGTCGTCCGTAGTTGGCGAAGGTCTGGATGGTAGTATTTCTGAGAGACACAGTGCATGAACGTTAATGTTACAGCCCAAAGATCTTGGAACTTCACCTCTAAAATAACCTCTCGTTGTGTTGTTATGGAGGATGTTTTCGTACTGGTGGAGGTAGCAAAGGGCTGGCAGTGACGGAGAACCGGTTCTCATGCTGTCCAAAATGCCTGATAGAGTGTTTGTTATGACGGAGAAGACCTTGAGCATCAATCGTGCGATGGGCATGGGTTACGTGCCGATCGTGAAGTACCAGAGGAAATGATGAACATGGGATACATTGATTAATAACGATCGTAATAACGAAGTGTTTGAGTACCGCGGAGAGTTCCTCGCTCTAAAACTTTTAACGGTCTCAACAACTTCATTTCCACATTGAGCTGGTCAAAACTCTAAAGGCTAGATCGACAGGGTGTACATACAGGAGATGAGTTGCATGGTACCCTTCTCAAATGGTTCAAGGTGGACCTCGGTACCCATCCGGCCGAGGGTACTATGTTCGAATTGGAAAAGCCACTTTTCCAAAGAATTGAACGCAAGGGTTTTCTGAGAAGCTGCATCATGACGAGTTCTGGGTTGTTGACGGGATGCTGGCTTGAGGAATACCGAGCCGCATGAACATCATTACAGACTGAGCGTAATGCTACTTGGCCGTGTTGCAGTACCCGTCAATCAAAAGTGTTTCGTTTTGTCAATATTTCCAAAGGCAAGTTGTCAACTTTTCGTCACACTCGGACAGGCGGTAGACATAAGAATTGGCGCGACGACCACTATATCTCGCCTGCCAGTGCACCAATTCTTGTGTATACCACCTGCCGACTCGATCAATGACACTTTAAAAGTTAGCTTGGTGGACATCAGTTCTTACTCAGCAGTGCCATGCTCCCTTTTTTTTCATGCCACCTTCTTTAAATTCTCGTTGCCAATATCGGTACCACCACTATGGTAATCTTCAAGCCGCGTACATAGCAACCAACTTAGGTGGATGACACTGGGACATAATTTCTCAGTTCCTTCTGAGATACTCTTAGTTTCATGTTGTTCGTAGGATGCGATTTTCCCTTCTCTCTGTCACACACCCCTGAACTGCGTTAACCGAAAGGCCTAAAAGTTCCCGTGCCTGTATCACAACGTGGCTCATGCTATCATATTTCGGTCTTATCGCTATAGGAGCTCTTCAGTATGGGCTCAACATACCACATCATATAGCGAACCATGCGGCAAATAGTAACAATGTTTCTGCAGCTGAGGCAGTCACCATTAGCCTAGATAACCCGACAGCGACTCAGATCACCCCTGCGCATGTTCATCGCAGTGTCGAGTATTCTTTCCTGAATGTTAACCATCAGGCTGTAATATTCATCATCAGTGGCACGCAGCAAAACCATGGCTGGCGGCAGATGGGAACGCGCACGCAATGTTCCCTCTTTGCTCGTCCGTCTATTGTGCAAAGGATTCAGGTGGATAACCCACATTTTCGTATTTGCAATGTCACGATATTCACAACGAACCATCCCGATTTTGGCAATCTCACGGTATGAAAAATTTGTTGCTCGTCATCGGCGTTGAACTGGTGTACCCTAATCAACGTGGGTCTTAACTGTGTAGCTGGCCGTTTCATTTCGTTCATATGCCAGTTGGGTCTTCTACCACCTCAATTGGCTTTCAATTGCCTTTTTTTGGTAACATTTGTCCGCAGTGTGCAAGGTATATAATCGACGCTTAGACGTCAGCGATTAGAGATATTGGATGTTTTTGAATAGATGTAAAGGACTGGCGTTTTTCTTAAAAAACCATCTGCCACCCTGAATCAAGTACTGCGCATCTACATCATCAGAGGATATTATTACGGATGTTAAAGATGTTGTTTAGAAGATTTGCGCGTGCTGCCTTTGTGTCCGTGCATGCTCTTGACGAATTCTGGCACTTATATACGTGTTCCCAACGTGTCAAGCCTGGAGAAATAAAACACTCAACAGAGTCTAGGAATGTAATATTCAATATTCAGTATCAATCACTCCACTATTGAATTGCAATAGCTCGAATGACTCTAGATAACTCTATTTTACATAGCAACGATATAAGACACCAATGTCTAAGTATGTTAAGAATGTGAGTATGTTTCGTGAGATATGTATATAACCATACTAAAACCTAAACAAAGTGATAATTATAAGCAATGATCCCTTCTAATGTATATATATTTATTATTTAACATGTGTCTCAATTGGATGAAAAGTATAGAATAACGTCTGAGCTTTTATAACATGATCTATAATTATTTATATTGAGGACGCGCCAAACTCAGTTGGATATAGTAGTTGACTCATACTAGTATAAAAACTCCGCTTGGCAACCTTCCTAACACGCTGGGAAATTTTGACTCTACCGGTCGCCTGTTTAGTGAAGCTCATCGTTTACAGAGTATGGCCACGCGTGTCATTCATTCTCTCATGTCGATGACTCACGGATACTGATTACCCGTCCTAATTGAAGAGGAATTTATAGAGACCCCAGACACTTGGTGTGGAGTAGGCCGCAGTGTGTTAATCGTCGGAACTAAGTGTAATATTGCACATTACATTCCTGCACCTCCCGCCAGTGCCTCACTTGTACTTGAAGCGGCCCATGCTAAGGACTTGCTCAAAGCACATTAGATCATCATCTGCCATGTCGCTGGCTATTCATGTACACAGTCAGGAAATTTCTCTAAATAAAAGTTGCATCCATGAAACCTCCAACAGCTAGCTAAATTTAAAAGGTCTTGGATCGAGGGTTTCATAACAGGTGGAATAGGATGTTTTGAGAAGCTGAACGTGGCATTTACGATAGACTATCTACAAGCGATTTACATATGTCAAGGGCTATTCTTCAGATGAGAGAGGCCTAACAGAAAAGCCCAGACTTTCTCTTAGATAAGATCAGGCACTAATCACTGCTTACATTTGGCGAAAATGCGATGCAACTGCTGCTTTCCCAAGACTAAGTTGGAGGGGCGTCTGCAGGCTGTTCAAAAGATGTAACCGGTCTGATGGAAAAAGAATTGAAAAAGAAAAACCCAATTCTCCAATGGTTTAAAGACATGGTATGTTCTGCGGAACTGAGATGATATCCAGGCTCGATCGCCGTTACCGCCTGTATGTATTTACTTTGATAGGTAGACGAGTTTGAGTATTTTCATCTCTGAAATCCATGACGTGTTTGAAACTGGAGATATCGTTCGTGAGGTTGACGCCACCAGATGTACTTTGACCAAACATTTACATATCATGGGCTGCAAATTTATATAAAGCCTCCGCACTGCAATGGACGATGCATGGGATTTTGAAGATGACATGCAGCTGCGGCCGTAGGCCTACTACCCTGACAACCTTCTGTCAGCTTGACCACGTTACTGGAGCGCACTACTTTACGATTGTCGATCATGCTGTACGCCCCGATAATAATCACATCCACGACGAGACGTCCAATGAGGAGACGCTTTTGTTCTCATCTCTGATTAAGAGGGTATGCCAGCTCATATTCAAGTTTCTGACAGGGCGTACGAACACAGACATATGGAGTAATAGATTCATGTCACGCAAGCCAAAGAAGCATGTTTGACGGGTACCCTACCCATCGCCCTAGATCGATTATATCATGCTGCATCTGGTTACTTGACAGGGTCAAAAGTGAACATCAGCTCTCTCGGCGGCGATGGAACAGCACGACCTAGGATTGCGTTCCAAAAGTCCCACTCTTGGCTCCTTTGGACAGGTGAATGTATGTGTACATAGTTGCCGCAGAAGAAAGCAACATATGCTAGGGAGCGAATGAGGAATTCACTAGGACGACTTAGGTTGAGAACAGCCCTGTCCCTGTTTGACACACATTGCCAACGTGGAAGGAGATTCGCTACGAAGGGCCGGTCGAACATGAGTAGGGCTTGTTCTAGACTAGGACGATGAACACATTAAGCCGAACGCCTCTGCGGGGATCGCTCTCGCGAAGATATATGTAACAATAGCATAAGCCTATGGCTGCAGATCTGGTGGTGAACCATCTTTTCGTACTGAGATCTGGCCTCCATAGATCACCGCATCCCAACCGCACGATTACTGATCAAAGGCCTCCCTAGATTCCTCTATATATATAGCAATCAGAAAAAGCAACAAGAGAGAACCACGGCAGTGGTTGTTTTGGTGCCTAATGACGGTGGAGTGAGTTCCTCCGTCGCGTCGTGATGTGGATTGGGGACAGTGTAAATAACGCATGGTATACAACTTGTTATACTTGAGTCTTGATCGAGTGACGCTCAGTTGTGGCTGCTCATCTTTGATCTGTGGCTGACGCTGTACGGAGGACGGTATCCTACCTAACCTTAGGCATCTTCCACCAAAATGCGTAGCGTAAAATACGCATGCAAAGTAGTTCAATTACGGCTTAATTGCTAGCCTTGCCACTAGACTCTAGACTAAAGCCGTAAGCTAGTTGTGATTACGATAAGCCTCGTCTTATCTCATCTACGTGGCAGCAAAAGTTACTGTTGGTGACCCTCCACTCCAAGCTCAAGCTGGCCTTTCCGGCGTGTTCCCATCCCATTACAACCCGCCCGACGACATTGCACCTCCCACTTCCCGAGAGACACACTGTAGTATTGCGTTTTGTTGCGTAGCCTACCACTCAATCTCCTGGCAGAGAACCGACAGGCCACTTGAAGGCACAGCGAACTACTTTACGGCCAGCTCGGGAGGAAACGCTTCGAACTACGGAGTACATACGGCCTGCCTCTCGCTTGCTTCACCTTGAAGCCATCACACGACGACCCACCCGTCTCTTGCCCACACATATAACCACGGCCCGCCATGAACGCACAACAGCGCCCAGCAGCGCCTCCCGCGCTGCCTGATGTGGACGAGATCATCGAGATTCTCCCACTCGAAATCGATTCCCAGACCAAGTCCATCTCTGCCACGTCCCTCGGCTCGAACAAAGCACTCCAGAATGAGCTCGCCGCTCTCAACGCATTGCACCGCTCGCTGCTGTCCCTCGAGACGCCTTCACAGATCCCCCCTCCGCCGATCCCTGTGAACCCCAAGCGCAGCGCACAGATCACCAAGCTGCGCGACTCCGGAAACGACTGCTACCGCAAGCAGAAGTATGTCGAGGCCATTAAATTCTACGGCCTGGGGCTCGATATGGCCCTGAAGCGCCCGCTCTGGGAGCCGCAGCAGCTGGTCCGCGAAGAGGTTGCTTCACTGTACTCAAACCGCGCCCAAGCGTACATGGGATTGCAGAGCTGGGCCGAGGGTGCTGTGGACGCCGAGGCCAGCGTCGAGGCCAAGCGGGTAGGCAACGCAAAGGCCTGGTGGAGGAGAGGCAGGTGCCTGTACGAAATGGGCAGGCTGGAGGAGGCCAAAGAGTGGGTGTCGAGGGGCCTCGAGATGGAGGGCGAGGAGGCCGAGCTGAAGACGTTGCTGGGCGAGGTCAACACCAAGCTTGAGTCCAGGAGCTCGTAAAGATCTGAGTAGAGACTTCTGTCTTGGAGAAAGCATGCAACTAGTGATTAGGGACCAGCGACCACAATTGTGACCCATGGCATCTCTCTAGTACCAACGAAGCTGGGGATTGAGCATTTTTGCGCCGGAAGATTCAGCTTAGGAAGTGGACTGAACAATACTAGTCAAGACAGCTGTTGACAGGGAGGCATTTAGCTTACGCTGGTATGAAATTTGGCATTTTCGTTCATGGCGTTTTGGAAGTTCATTAGGGGGATACTTAATACACAAAACCGACCGTTCTGCAAATCTGCTCTAGCCTAGTGAAAGACTTCACGATCCACGCTTGATATTCAACATGTTAAACTCTATTTGTACGAGTCTGGAGCTGACCCGGGCGACCCTCTGTGACATGAGGCGAGAAATGACCAAGACCGGCCTATCAATTGACTAAAATTCATCGCGGTACCAAAAAACTCCTATACATGACATAATTCGCAAGACGATGCGCTCCGGCTCTACATCACGGTCGCTCCCGAGAGTTCAGATTGGTTGTTCTGACTCACTCTCTGTAACCTGCCCCCGCTCGAAATCATGCAGCTTGGCGTTCCTAACGTGCCGTATGAGGCAGGCCTCCGCCAGAGGCCTCTCTTGTATACTGTATGACAAAAGAAAATGTCTTTCGTAACCATACTTTCACCCAATCCATCTGACGTCTAATCAAGTACATAGACTATGAGCCTCAGGTGTTCCTTGGCTCCTCCGCTTCTCTGATTCGTATTATGGGGTTTCTCCTCCTCCTGGCCACTGGGGTGAGCGCCTGTCTGCCGATGCCCTCACGATCGCCGTTTGTGTGCAACACTCGTTTTCAGATTATGCTTGGCCGGGTGCTTCAGGTCTTGATGCATCATGTCTGGATGCCGGTCTTCTCATTCAGCACACTGTCCTTCCTCGGCCTCATGACGGCGTCCTGGCTTGTCATACGGCGATCAAGGGCGCGCTCGAGCTTAGCTCCGAGGGCAAGCTTGCTCATGTGAGCCGACTTGGTTTCCGACAGCTCGACGCGCTGCTTGGTCAACGCCTTGTTCTCCATGCGCTCAAGTCCCGTCTCGATGTTGCGGATTTCGGCGTGTGCGCTGTCCGTCGTCGCGACCGACGGTGCTTGCATGCTGTACTGGCTGTAGCGGACGGAGGTGCGGGCCTGTGGATGGGGGGAAAGTATAATTAGCTTTGATGTTTTGTCTCGAGTTTGTGTTTTAGGTTTACACAAGGTGTGCCGAACGCTGGATCCATCGTCGATAGTTCCGGACTCGAGAAGTAAGGCAATTGACTGGGATGCAAGTGATGGTCTGGGGATTGAGAACATCCAAGACCGGACAAAGACAACGTACCGAGGGAGCCATGATGGGGCGAGAAGAGTCCAACGAAGTAGGCATTCTGAGTGATGTTCTGCCGGCTGAAACGAAAACGGGTTGGCAGACAAAGGCTTGCTGTTCTGTGATGCTAAAATTGAGGTGGAATGCAGCTGTTTGCAATCCTGCAATTCCCAGTTGAGAGGCTCGTTTCCTTGCTCGGGCTCAGAAGTTGAAAGGATGTGTGTTGGCGGTGCTGAAGATGCCTCACGTGGTGGGTGGTGCGATGGCTGTATGATGATCCGTCTCTGCTGCAGCCGATGATCCCCTTTCAAACGAAAGGTGCTTGGCTCCTGATATTCCAAAGGTCGAATGACAAGCAAAGGCCGGAAGGGAACAACACGGGGTAAAAAGTTTGGAAAGAGAGAATGTCACAGCTGAGAGGAGGTGCTTCGATGAGTGGGCTTAGCCGCTGGGAGAGATGTGACTGGAGTAGAGAAGGGTCACAGCGGAGAAGCACGGCCAAAGCATGGTTGCGATGAACTTTGTCCCGCAACGCCCTCTTTTTTTTCTGGGTTGTTTTGTTTTTGTTTAAATTTTTAATTTCTCTCCCTTCCCCCAGCATGCAGTTGTGTAATAGCAGGAGGCTTGAACTTACGATATAGGAAACCTAGATAACCTCCTCAACTCTGTTCCTCTTGTTCTGTGAGAGGCTTTTCACAGCCCATAACAGCGCCGAGAAACCCTTGCACGATGCGAAGCCCAGCTGTCCACCGCTACCTGCTTCCCTGCATCTCCAGAGGATCGACAACAATTGGGTCATAGGTATCCCTTTACGGCCCCCTGCCCCCTATTTTGCACTCCATCTGCATCCTCATGACAACACATGATTACGAGCCTGCCGGCTGTCGAAGGTTTCCGAGGTCTTATTTTCCCTGTGCTCATTCAACGTTTAATCTAGACTAGACTAGATGACATTCTGTTTACTTTGCAGATAGTTTATGCTTGATGTTTCGATTGTTCCAACAGAGTTTGGCCATGTTCTGATCCAGCCTGAGCAGCTCCCAAAAAGGTGCTGTCAACCAGCAGACCTGCTTGCACTAGAGGCCACTAGAAGCGAGCCACGCTTTAGCACCCGGCGGTGGATTCCACTAACCTTGGGCGGCATCTCTTGCCACATGGCTCTGCCCTGCAGCTTATCGAATGCCACGCGACGTGCGACCCTCCAAGTTTAATCAACACCGGCTAATTCTAGACCCCGTGGCACGCGTCGCTCAGACATGTATCTCTCGCCTCTACATCTAGGTCTTTATCCATGTTGAAAAAAACCGTGAGCCACGGCGCGCACTTAGTCATCTGACGGTGGAAAGGAAAGGTCCTAATCTAGCAAGGAGACCCAGGGAGTGCGGAATCATCCATTTTGTTTTTATTCATTTTTTGGAGACCGGGTAGGCAAGCAAAGTAAAGGTTGGCTGGCCTCTTTCTCAGGGACTGCTAATAAAGCGTCCTAGCACGCACTCCCAACGCTAAAACTCCCCCATTAACGGTCGTGCTAATTGGACTGAGACTGAAACGTACTACGGATCCGTCCTCCCAGTCAGGTCAGCTTGTCAGTGGAGATTTCGATGGACAATAACCATCCATGTCTCCAGATATTTTCAGTCAAGATCAACAGAGTTTCCCTTACGTCAATGGTGCTGACCCGCAGATACCGCGTACACGTGTATCCAAATGAAGCCCGGCCGGTACTGTACTGTTCAACCAGCATTCCTTCTTCATCCACGGCGCAGAACCGAGAGTGTCGCGGCCGGCGCGCCGATGCAGTCGGAGTCAGCCTCAATCTATGCCAGACGACATGGCGTCAAAGCTGAAGGCAACAAATGCACGCGGAGCCTAAAGTCTTGTCCAATGCACATGTCGCTCGGGCATTCAAGGCACAATTGCCAACGAAGATCCCCACCACCTCTGACAACGGCCCTCCCTTCTTTCCCTCATAAAGCTGATGCACATCATTCAATTAAAAAAGTACTTTTCAGTTCAAGCTAATGCAATCCCGATCAATAGTGCATTTTATTATTTCCATACAACGGCACGGCATCAAGTGGTAGAAAACACTGATCTGATAAGTCTACCCACTGAACGCCCAGCATCAAACCATTGTCATGTGCCAGGATGACCGCAGCATTTGCGGTTGCTTGTTGGTTGTACCCCTGTCCAGTGTATCACAGCAGGGTCTGGCACGTGGCGGAAATCAGACGGGAAGACCCAAGGGGCAGCACCTGATCTAGATCTGCATAGTACGAAACAGATCGCTCCCGCGTATACTGTGCTGCCGAAGATAGGGTTTACACAGATCGTTGTCGCATATACTGTGCCGCCGATGATAGGGCTACACAGCTCGTGTATATTTAGCAGAAGCTCATGGGGTTTCCAGACACTTCGCTGCCCGGAAGGCAGCCTGTACCTGGAGATCGTTGACGAATATATTGGGTACAAATGGCAAGTGCGTATTAAGGCTAGGTCATCAAAGCATTAGCAACTGGACACTTCCTGCACCTTGTTTTCCGATATATGCAAGGTACAGCACCCTCGGACGATTGCAGACGTCGAGCGACCGCTCGGTGATCTCTGGTGACACGGGGCTTGCACGTTTAAGCACGATCTTCGGCCTCTAGCAGTCGTTATCGAGCGTCAATGATCCGGCCGTGTTCGGAGCCGTGCCATGCATTACGACATTACACGCTCCACGAACCCTTTCCTCGGGCCTTGATGTACAACCAACTCAGTCATTGGATGCGCAGCACTGATGCTAAACGGTATACAGTTCTACATGTCGCCCCTTGGGAGCTAAGTTCATGGAAGGTAGTTCTCCTAATGCATGTCGCCTCAAACTCGGCCTCGTGTCACAGGTACAAAGTCTGTCTTGACCTCACGGCATACATGAACTGCATACACATTAATGGCCCGAAATCAGTCACATGTTTTCATGAGTATTCATCGTCATTGTTTAGCAATCGGTGCATACTGACCAAATTCTGGGTTACTCATTTACATTACAGTTACTCAGAGACGTTGTCTTATTAGCCCACCAGCTCTGCCATGTATCCGTCGGCAGAATCCCTGATCCTGTCAATGTCTACATGTGTGAAATTGCCAGTCATCAGTGCCCCAACCAATGTCTAACGGCTCCTAATGGTGATGACTCCGTCGTTGCGTTTTCATCTTCCCACTTGAAGATTTCGACTTCTTAGAATAGGCGACATCCACAACATACTCAGAGCCACCTGATGATGACGAAGATGATGAACCTTGATGCATGGATGGGACCGGGACGAATTCAAAGTTGTGCCCTCGCCTGCTTCGGTGTTTACCTTTCCGACCATCCGAGAAGACTAGTTCGGGACTCGAACTACTGGAAGAATCTATACTACTGTGATGAGTGCAACGTCCTTTGCATATCTTGATGCAGAAGAATGGCTTACTGTTTCTCATGCATTTACTACAGCAGCCATGGCCACAAGTCTGCCACCCTGTAGACTCACCGCCTACTGGGGAATAAGGCTGTCCAAGGCGAGGATCCTTGCCATTGCACCAGCCTTGGGAATTTGTGTTGTATCCGCACTGACAACAAGTCCAGCTGCCTCTCAAGGCTTTATAGTGGCAATTTTGAAGGGGGCAGTCCGCGTTCGATGGTTGCGGCGTCGAGTATATTGGGTTTGAGCATGGCGACTCATATCCAGTTTCAGGGTCAAAGGCTCCTTCTGGGCAATAAAGCCACTTCACAGAGGTGTGTTGACACTTATGAGAATGAGGATGTCCGTGGCACATTCTGTATGATGGCTAAAGAGAATTTGCGATTAAATCTAGTCAATATAGACTTCTTGAGAATGAGTTGGTCTGGAGAGGGCGATTCTGACCTGGGATCTCAGCCACTTTATATACCAGAGATCGAATAGAGAAAACTGCAGCCTTTTGTTTTGACCCTTTCTAGATTCTCCAAAGATTTTCTTCTTCATCTTGTTACACCTCGATAGACCCTGCCAGTCCGTGTTCATACGTTACAGGTACTTCAAGGAACATACGCCCCGACGACCAACAATGTCTCTTGGAACTACAGCCTCGGCCGCGCCTCCTTGGATCACACAAAAAAACGCGGCCTACGTGTCGTCTTCAACTAGCCCGGTCTGAGTTACTCCCGCTGCCATCATGTGCAACTACAGATGTCCCGACCCATCCAGTCTACTTACCATCAGCCACACCAGTAACACACCCCGTCGGATCCTATCCAATGGCCGCTAGTGACCGTCATCTAATAGTTACGTACCCTTGTCGAGGCGAACCATATATCCCTTTGCATGCACGAGACCGATTGGATCTCTTTTTGATCGCATAGCCGCAGCACTTCTAAGATCGACCAATAAAATATATGGTATCATTTAGAGTACATCACTGCAGCTTGCAACTTACCGGGTAATCGGTAATGGCTTCCTGCAAGCACAAAGCAGCCTCAAATCTTCAGCGATTGGAGTGGGGCGACCGTCATACCCACGTCCATAAGAGCGGACCGCCCAGGGGTTTTTGCTTTTTTTCTCTTTCTTTTTTTCTTCTTCTTTCTTCTTCCTCCCCACCGGGCACGTATCTCTGCTCCGAGTCCTTGTCATTACTCTCACTGCTTTTTTTTTTTGTCGCTTGACTCCAACCGACATTAGCTACAACATCCGGTTCGCCCCGTGCCTAGTTCCGGAGAGTGTACGAGTGCACTAGTCAATAACAGCTCTCATATGCTTGAAAAACTCTTGGTCTTGCTCACGCCGTCTCTTATTGGGGAACCTCGACGTTTAAACCCCTTGCTTCGACAAGTCATTGCTACACACCACTAACAGTTGAGCGACTTAGCGACGTGAGATCGAGCCTACACGCAATTCTGGCGCTGGATCCTTGACAAGACCCAGTCCTTTCATAGCACTTTGTAGCACCCCGTCCGCAGCTCGTACTTCTACATGAATCCGGTCTTTGTAGGCGATAATTCATACAAGACTGTATCAATATACCATAAGAAATCCTTGCTATTGCCATTGCCAAGAGACATGGCCCTTTTCCCGGCTCTTAACACACATTGTTTCTTTCGAGTACGACCGTGGAATAATACCACACAACAAAATACACGGTTCGGTGACACCAGGCTCGCAGGGCTTGATCGCATTTTTGTTAAAATCCCAGAGCGGGCTTACGCCACGCACCCGCTACTCGTTCACCGCCCACACTCGTGCTCTTCTCTCACATCTCGACAGCGGCTTCGCATGTATCGCAACACAGGTGCTCACACCGGTATTGCTGCCTATCGATGATCATGACACAACAGCACCTCCCCGTGTCATTCCATTCTTTCCCGCACCAGCAGCAGTTCCAGTAACCATCCTTCTTCTCAAAGGGACAAGATTCCACGGGGCACTTGGCTTCTTTGCCAAACTCGGGCGGTGGCGGATGATTCACTGCGATTCGCTCAACCTTCTTGCAAGGCTTTCGTTGTTTGCGAGTGGACGACTTGGACGACGACGGTGCATCAGAGCAGTATGACGACAAGGTATTGACGTGCTCGCATCGTAAGGTATAGGTTGTTTCCGTACACATGATTCCGACGACTTTGCCGTGATAGTTTAGTTCTTTGACATGTGTTTTTGTTCAACAATCGTTGGGACGTTTTGCTCAAAAATGAGCACAATAGACTTGTTTGACAATTTGTAGCTTGTATGCCCGTCTTATTATAACAGTGGACCATCGTCCACCACCCTCTATATCTACCCAGTCGATACGGAGAGCCGTTTTCTAGGCAGCCTCGTAACCAAAAGAGCTTTGGACCCATCATCGGCAACTCTACGAGCAATATCTCAAGATTATTGAAAAGGGCTGCCACGTTGTCTACCAGGTTGTTATCGGATGAAGTCTGCAGTGTACCTATTATGGACTGTCAGTGGGTGTCCTATCCTGTCACCAGTGCGTCTTCTGATGAATGCTTTGCAGGATTATCGCAACGGGATCTACGGCCTGGTCAATATGTGTTGGAGCCGAAGAAAGCAAAAGCCTTACCGCCAGGCGCGAACCACTAGTAGTGAATCGTCAGGTCCTACGATCTCAACTGACGATGATCTGCATCTACCCGCCTTACATTACAGATCTAAGATCTCTCGTCTTCTGTCCCGAATCCCTAAAAGAAGAAAAGATCGACGCCAAGGAGTGGATGTTATTGGAATTGTTCAGCCATAGCCAGGAACATGTACAACGTTGACCACGTGGTGAGGTCGGCGATCTCGCAACCTTTCGAGTGTGGACCCAATCAAGTCAATTTGTAAGAGTCAAAAACTAAGGAAATTGAAGGTTTAGAAGAGATAAAAGTCTCAACAAAAAAATTCCCGTCGTGGAAAAGAAGCACTCGAATTCCTTAAAGTCAAACTTCGATAAATCGTACGAGAATAACGCCTCGTGGCTACACGTGTATTCAGCCGTTTCGCATAACTCCACAAACAAAAGAAACTCCTGTGTGACTCAAAATATGCGGACAATAGTCCGCAACTTAATGTATCCCTTGGCGACACTTTTATCTTCGTTCTGCGCAAGCCTCCTGGAACACAGAAGCAAAGACTGGCCCCATCATATACACAGCCCATCCTCAACGTCACCACCGTCCAACTTCGGAAGCGGGCTGTCCCAGTCCCTCGGATCAGGGACGACCCGACACTTCGGGCCCACCGCCACTAGCCTATGTCGCGCCGGCCGCCCTAGGTTAGTCGGTTACGAGACCCCATCCCTGGCTGAAGCCGTGGCATTCAGCCCCGAGCCTAGACTGTCGCCTCACATCATCCAGATACGCCTCACGAACTCCTCGCAGCGAAGCGAGGAACTTATTTAGTGAAGCTCAGCCATCAGCCCAGCAGCCCTCGCATACCGTATGGTAGCACATTGTGTCGGGGACCTTCTTCATCGGGTGGGCGCACCAGCGGAACGCATTCCCGCCTCTCAGGCAGCAGCAGCAGACCCAGCGCCCGCCCAGGTCCTCGAGGCGGCACTGGCCTGAGGTGCACCCGGAGCTGAGGAGGCAGCCGCCGGTCGCGCACGGGTTGCTGTAGTCTATCATCTCGGCGGGCGTGTTGTACTCGGAGGCGTGCGTTAGCGAGGCGCACGGCTGCTGGATGTAGTCTATGACTGGCGTCCGGGGTCGGTGCGCTGTTGTCGAAGGGGCCGAGGTGGTGGTGGTGGAGGAGGGGGAGAAGGGGGCTGCAGCCCGGTTTTGGTTGCTGCCGATGTTCGCATTTCTAGCTGTGCTTGATGGCGAGGGGACTGAGCGCACTATGGTTGAGTTCTCGCAGAAGTCATACTGCAAGCTGTAGTCGATGTCTCGAGCGCATGGTGCGATGTGGTGGTAGTGCAGGTAGTAGTAGGTGCACATGGCTGCCACGTGGTAGGCCGACCCGACACGGAGGGTGGCTATGCGGGAGGGTATGCGTGTACCTGGGCCACGGTGACACCGTTGGCCACGTGGAGATGAACAGTATCACTTCGTGGATCGGACTTGGAAGGCTGCTGATGACTCGACAGGTTGGGCTCTGCGAGATGACGATGTCTTGAGAACCGTGTATGGGAGATTGGAGGCAGCCTTTGAAACACGAGGTGAGAATACAGGGTCCCGGAGATGCTCGTCTCGATTCAAGTTTTTGGTCCGTGGGTATGAAAACTGGCTTGGTCTGTGTCAGTACAGAGTTGAGATATCTCATGATATCAAACGAGAAGCTGGGGTTCCGCCAGTTTTGAGTGAATGGTTCATCGAAGCATTCACGATATCGTGCCACTTGAGGGCCTAGAGCTTCGTTCTTGGTATAGTGTACAGTACGATCTGAAGATGGGAGGCGTTGGCGATGCCTTCTCAGCAGTTCAGACTGACTTGTTGCTGTACGAGGTTCTAGGAAAACTGTATTTACTTTCCTACCATGTGACAATGTTGAAAAGGAATGCGGAGTACATTGTAGGTCCACGGGAACCACCCCTGTTGTGGTTATGCATTCCCTTTATATAGAGTCAAGGCACATGTCTCCCTCGTAGGTGTCTAGATCTTGCGTGCCAACGGCTCACTTGTTCATCGACTGCTACCACCATATCACATCTTGACGGACAGTCCTTTTGTCAAAGTTTGGTTCGTGTCTCCTTCATGCTTCCATACCCAGCGCCTGGATCACCGAAAGAGATTACGCCGCAAGCTCTGGATGACACCAGAGAGGTTTCTAGTCTCTGGTTCCGTCCTTGATCCGTACGCCGGTTCAACCATAACCAGGTTGACATCCATGACAGGACAGAAATGGTTGTTTCCTGAAGAAGAAAGGAGGGTAGAGGAACGAAACGAAATGCTCCAATACCATTCGGAGCTCATGATACACATTCATACGATAATTTCCTCGTGTGATTCTTCAAAGCCCAGACGCCCAAACTGGAGCTGATATTCAATAGTTGAGAAGCCATTCAGTCCTTCCAACATACATTGATCGGTCAAACTTGCCTAGACACGAAATTATTGAGTGCGCATCGCATGTTTTGCACGTGGCACCCGTTGCAAGCGTGGTTGAGGTCCGCGTGGTGTGGCTGCAGACATCTCCCGGTGGAGACACCTCTAAGACAAGGGTTAAGACATTGAGCAGAGAGAATAGGGAAGGTATCTCGTCTTCTTTTGGGATTTTCATGCTTAGAATAACACCATACGCAAGGTGCAAGGCTGATCGTTTGAATGATAGAATTGCTATCCAGGATATGTCAAGGTAGTTCGGCGATGCTGTGGAGACAGTTCGAGTCGCAAAATGGCCGGTGGCTGGTCGATAGCATTGATATAGGCGCATAAACGACTGAAGCGCTGAGGATGTGACGAGGCTGAACAGATTTCTGATTGAGCGCCTTGGAGGCAATTTCATAATGACGTCTGAGTACCTCGTGACTAACGCGAGATGCTAGTTTCCGGATGTTTAAGCGGTAATTACCAAAGCGTCCTTCATCAAACGAGAGGGCCAAGGACGAGTAATCGAGGATCGATGGCGCAATAGAATATCCACTATCATGAACATTACATGGACAAGTGTGATGTGTTATGCTATCAACTTGAAGCCCACAGTGTTGCAGGTCAGATCACATGGCCCCGAATACCAAAGTTTATTAGAAACGGTTTCGGTCGCCGTTACATCTCGGATGTAGCGTCACCGAAGCTTGTATACTTGGAACGTGCCTGTCATCAAAATTTTACATTTCGTTGACGTTTGTGCGTCCAGATGCTGACGTTTGTTTAAGCATAGTAGTCTACAGAAAGAATTAATTATTAGCGAACCATTTTCACATAATACCATCAGAGAAAATTTCAGTTCCCAAGTATCCTATGATATTTGGCTCATTCATGCTGATGACCGGCAACTGCCAATCTACAACAGAAGCCATCGAGTGAGACAATGGGCCGGCTAGCCAGGAATACATATGAAAGTCACACTGAGCGGTCATTAGGTAGGGGGACAAGGCTTAGAAGGCTGTACAGTACGAGCTACTCTCCTGGCGTACATTCACCAATCACGAAAAAGTGCCTCTTGTGGGCGCCAAACCTCAGTCAGAGCCAGAAGGGGATATGCTCGACATCCCACCTTGGCGTCTGCTCGGTTTCTCCAAGCATTGATCATCGGGGACTCTCCTAATATTATGTGATCAATGATCATCTGATTATTCAAGACTGCGATCGTCCGACTCACTATGCTTAATCAGTACAGAACATGCATCAAAGTATCTAACCTAGCTGCATCTGATCTCGGTTGCCATTCATGCATACGACGGTGAGAATGGAACCGTTATTAGGAAGCCAATTGCAAGGATTTGATGCTAGCCGAACAGTTCACAGACCTCAGGGTCTGTCTTGATGATGCCGGCTCTACTATTTCTTGGGTTCCACAAGAACGCCATGATGCGATTCCGAGTAATATTGTTGACCACTCCTCGCAGCCACCAAGCCTCGGGGGCTTGACGCCGCATACTACCATATGCAGTGAAATGCATTCATCACAGCGCTTCATGCACATGTCGTACTTTGCATGTTTCGACTCAATGTGCTTTCTGGGACCACAGTCAGTGTCATCGGATAGAGACATTTTGATCCTTGCAACTGCTGGCAGGTCAAGCAATTGCGGAGCGGTAATGCCTGTAGCCTCGCTCAGAAAAGGTCTGCTATTCGTCGATGAGCAAGCCAACGGTTGCCTGCAGACCGATAGCTCCGGGTTGGTTCCCGATAGAAGCTGCAGGTATACTGCCGGACGAAGAGGTGTGGTTTCGGGCTGAGACCTGCATGAGTTTAGCAATAGGCGCCTCTTACCGAAACTATTCGTTCCGCTTATATGTCCACCTTATGAGAATTAGCGGGTCGTCGGATGGTGCTGAGACCGAAAATTAGATATACGAATATGATATGTAGTATGCAGAAGCGGGAACGAATTCTTGTTTGAGTGTATATCACAGTGGTCTCAACTTCCCCTCGCTCAGATCAGTCACAGAAACCTATTGTATTTTGGAAAATACTTTCATTTAACTCCCTCATGTTCGACTAGCAAGCATTCCGTGCCGCAAAGACTGAAGCAGGATTTTGGGAATCTCCGTAAAGAATTTGGGTTTGCCCTGAAGGGAGTACGGCGCCCTCAGCAACAGTGCCATAGTTCAGCACTGACCCAGTGAAACTAACAATCGATAAAGTTACATCAGCAGTCGAGAATCTCTGATGTCATCATAGTTGACCGCTTAGGCATGACAGAAAAGCAAGTATCGGGCGTTTCGACAGCCGCACAGGAATTCAATTTGTAAATTTTGCAGAAACTAGCGTGTAAAAAAATCACGAATTTAGAGAATTTTATGCCCGATCCAAGCCGAAGTGCAATCTTCACATGTGCAAGCTTGGTTACCACCATACACTGAAGTATATTAGCTAGTATGGTATTAGGTGAGTTACAGGTTGTAGGGAAATATTATACAATACTTTACGAAGGCAAGCTTAAAATAAGGCGCTGCTAGATTTTTACTGGAGATCATGCAGCCTTCGTCATGATGGCATCTAATTTGTTGTTCCAACTGTCCAACTTAACATTGTTGCTTGAATGATTATTGTTAGTCTTGAGGTCTTCATTACCGGGAGCGGATAAACAGCTGTCATGACTGAAGCCACATCGACTATTCTTAGCTTGGCCATGTTCCCTAGGGCACAGCCAAGATCATAGAATGAATCAGCTTGTTTTAACTTCAGTACAAGTATATTGTGCTTGGGGCATCCAAAGAGGTAAAGGTTTCCCATTTTCTTCAACAAAACGCTTCACCGCGACATTGAGAAATATCGTCTGAGGTCAATACAATGTTTTCAATACCATGATCAAATCTATCTTCAGGTACTTGTCAGCCAACTTGAAGGATCGATCGGACTCATCAAATGCTAAGGGTTCGAGATGTATCGAGCGACAGCTGCTGAACAGCGACGCGACCACTTCAAATGAAGGAATTGCACGAGAGATTGTGTTCCCAGAGATATGAGATCGGGACTTCGTGGGTTGGTACGGTAATCAAAGGCTGCAAATGCATCCAAATAGCTGACAATCCCACGGCCGGCATCGTGTAGAATGTCATGTGATTCGATGCGCAATAGTGTGACTGTTCTGCCCTAAAGTCGTCATAGGTATGATCACCATTTTTTACGCATGGTTCGCCGATCAACAAACACACTTTTATCGCGCACTCTAGCAGCCTAGGTGCTGCACAAACCATACCCAATGATCCTGTGAATGGCATTACAGCCCCGTCTCTGTGGCCGAAGATAGCAAAAAGACTTCTCGGCGAGCTCGGCATTGAAAACGGATTATCTGGTTGGCCATCATAGATGCACTGCCGACTGTGCCTTGCGGTTACAGCACCGGCGACCTTGGCGCGGGCCGGTGGTGGAGGGCATTGCCTCAAAATGACGGTCGTGATTGAACAGGCGGACATGACAGCCTCGCAGCCAAGGAAGTCATTTGATGTATCACAGTGCAAGTGTATACACATATATATACCATGAGCTTTGACCAGACTAGTTCGAGGCCTTTGTTCGGCAAAAGGATCGAAGTCTGAAGAACTGCCATTTCCATCGATCATACAATACCTAGCAGAACATCAACCCACTGTGAAATCCCGATACCAACTTCTTCTGTCCAATCTGTTACCAACCTGCCAACGTCACCCAGCACCATGCCACGCAACGCGGCCTCGCAAATATTGCGGGAAGTTTATGAATTATGGGATGCACTCCTTTATGGAGTTGGTTCGCTTTACTATAAATTCAGAAAACCACGGGGCCATAAGTGAACTTCCTTCTCCAGAGTATTAAAACAGACGATTAGATCCTTCCACTACGCATTCCGGCCGACCATTAGCGATGACGTCGGTGTTGGATGTGCAAGAAAAAGATCGACGAGCGGCTCCATTAATCTGATACACGACCGCTTGAAACAGTGGACAGGAGATCAAGCCGATCACTGTTTGAAGAAGCAAGAAGGAAGAAGGATGGACATTGGACACAAGACCGAGGCGAACGAGGCTGTGTACCAAATCGTTGTAGCCGGAATGCGAAGAAATCTTCGCTTCTCGTAGTCCGGAGCGCTTCTCACTTTTTTCGTCTGCGAATTGCTGCCAATGTTGGCCAATACGAGTTGTGGCAAGTTGAAAAGGGACGCGCAAGTGTGCCAAAATAGTGCAAATTTAAGGTCTTGGCATAGAGTTTTGGTAAAGTTTGGGGCCTAGACAAAGCGCCCTAAGGGGCCGGAGTCTGCTTGATGGAGTACGGTGGACCAAGACGACAAGCTTAACAACAACGGGCTCACGCTTTGTGATGTCGACGATAACAGAGGGCAAGTGGTGGTGGCCAAGCAAATGTTGTCTCAAGTCTCGTCGTATGAAGTAACAGATTATGAGTTGCCGATGTATGCAATTACGAACCGCTGATCATGCCAAGTCTGTAATCAGGATGGCCGGCCTTGGAAGATCCGTATTATTGGTTCAGCAATACGTAACGGAGATTCTGCCCAGGGAATTCCAAGAATGCCAAACAATACCATTTACATTTGAATTCAGCGGAGTGCTTGACCGTGCATCCTAATTGTCACGGCGAATTTCCCCCAGACATGGCGCTTCATCAAGACGTTACAACGACCGCCTAACTTTGACTATCGACGGTAAACCAGCTTGCTATCAAGCGTCTTGGGGAACAGGACAATCGTATTTGGCACGCATTGTGATTGGGATTATTCCTGCAAGCGCGTCTGGGTGTGGATCTCCATCTAAAAAGTCGAAATGATTGTGGAGATGTTCATCCCGGCGTGGTTCGAGCCATTTTGACAGCCAACCTCAACTGATTGAAGCCAACGCTCATTTCGGAGGTACCACTGTTAGTGTAGCATCTACCGTGGCTGCGCCTCAGCTCACAGGAACCGCTAGGAACCGCGACGGCAGGCTGGTCGATCATCGCATCGTCGCAATTTATGCCAGCAGGACAAGAGCAGCAAGTTCGAGATGGGTCTTTGAATGCCGCGCCATCGCCATTCCTCCATGTGATTGGCCTAACACGGTCTCCAGTTGCATGGAGAATGTGGTGCGCTAGTCTCAATCTCAGCGATTATCATGGGCCCCTGCTTCCCCTATCCTGACGTGGGGCCCTGTATACGACTAGGATTAGGATAGTCTCATTGAAACAGCCTTTTCTACCGAGCCTCCCTCTGCCAGTCTGGATTCAACCTTTACCTTGGTCATTCAACGTCGATTCTCTTTTCGTGAACCTTTTGTAATCGATAGGTAACGGTTGAGGACTAGGGATTTATTTGCCCTTCTTTCATACACTCATTAAAACATCATTATTTGTTCTTGCGCTCATTGTAACCATCTTTTTGTGTGGCTCCATCTTCAACTAGCTACCGACCATTCCAACACTAGACTATCCAGAATTCCACAGGGAAATCAACATCAGGGAACATCTTGAGGAGTCAATCGCTACTTCCATTCGCATCTTCTCGCCTAAAAGATACATTTTTGCATCCGGATAATCAATAACAGATCCCGGCGATCCAACACAGACATTCACCATGGGTTTACTCAAGACGGTATTGGCATCTTCGATGCTCCTTGCGAGCAATGTTGCTGCTCTTGACGCGGTTGTTATGAAGGGTACCAAGTTCTTCTATGAGAACGGCACACAGTTCTACATCAAGGGTGTAGCTTACCAGCAAGACACCGCTGCCGGTGGCGAGACATCCTCCGAGACCACCACCTACAGCGATCCCCTCGCTGACGAGGACGCCTGCAAGCGTGATGTGCCCCTTCTGGAAGCCCTCGGCACCAACACTATCCGAACCTACGCCATTGATCCCACCAAGGACCACTCTGCTTGCATGAAGCTGTTGTCCGCCGCTGGTATCTACGTCATCTCGGATTTGAGTGAGCCTTCGCTCTCTATCAACAGAGACAGCCCCGCCTGGAACGTCGATTTGTACGATCGTTACAAGAACGTTGTTAATGAGCTCGCCCAGTACGATAACGTCATTGGCTTCTTTGCTGGCAATGAGGTTTCGAACAATGCTTCTAACACCGAGGCTTCTGCCTACGTCAAGGCCGCCGTTCGTGACACAAAGAACCATATTGCCTCTCTGCAAGCCGCCGGTGGTCGCTGGCTGGGTGTTGGTTATGCTGCCAACGATGACGCCAACATCCGTCACAATCTGGCTGATTACTTCAACTGCGGTAACCAGAGTGAAGCCATTGACTTCTTCGGCTACAACATCTACTCCTGGTGTGGTTCGAGCTCTTTCACCGAGTCCGGCTACAACACCCAGGTTGACTTCTTCTCCAACTACTCTGTTCCCGTCTTCTTCGCTGAGTATGGTTGCAACACTGTCAACGGTGCTGAGGGCCGCGAGTGGGACGACACTACAGCTCTCTACTCTGACGAAATGACAGGTGTCTTCTCCGGCGGTATTGTCTACATGTACTTTGAGGAGGACAACGACTATGGTCTTGTTAAGCTCGACGGTGATGATGCTTCCACCATGAGCAACTACGAGGTTCTGTCCAGCAAGATCGCCAAGGCTACCCCGTCGTCTGTCTCCATGAGTGCTTACGAGGCCACCAACACTGCTCAGGCCTGCCCTGCCGTCGGTGATTCTTGGCAAGCTGCCGAGGCCCTGCCTCCCACACCCAACCGTGACCTCTGCGAGTGCATGTACAAGTCTCTGACTTGCCAGCCTGCCTCCAGCTTGGACTCGGAAGACTACGGTGACATTTTCAACTACATCTGCGGCAATGACGCCGATGCTTGCGCCAGCATCAAGCACGATGAGTCCACTGGTGTATACGGACCTTACGTCGGCTGCAACTCCACCCAGCAGCTCGGTGCCGTTCTCCAGGCATACTACGAGAACCAAAACTCTGCCTCCACTTCATGTGACTTCGACGGTTCCGCCACCATTAACAGCAAGCCCGCTTCCAACGGCACTTGCGACACCTTGATGGAGGCTGCTAGCTCTTCCGCCTCTACCGTCGCTACCGCCACTGGCGGCAGCTCCTCCTCCACTTCCACCGCCAACTTCGCTGCTGGCCCTATTCGCATGGACACACTGATGACCGTAGGCGACTACGCCATTGGGATCTACCTGGTAGCTGCGGGTGCCGTGGGCGCCGCCATGGTTGCTCTGTAGGCAGACGAATAGGCCTAGTCTTATGTGGAGTTGGATTTGAGAATTCTAAATAATGCATGCATAGCAATCGAGTACCCCACCTCGTCATGGTTTCTTCATTGTGTCATCCCCTTCGTTGGATTGTCAAAGCCCTATAAAAGGTAGTTAGATCGCGACTGTGGAATCTTGTACTTAAGTTTTTTTGTAACTCGTCGGTACTTTGTAGAGGAATGCACTACTGGTATCAAAACCTTTCTAATGATTTCTGAAGTTCTGTCTTTCGTGCCGTGAGATGGACTGCACGCCTGCATGCTTTCCGCCGAATCCTGGGCTTGCCGCCCGCGAACGTGAGATTGTTGAGCCTCTCTACATAGCCAACACGGGCGATGACGGCAAAGAGGCCCTGGTGTCAGCAAGTTGCCAATTTGGGTGACTGGAAGTACGATTCTCTCGCTTACGTGTAGCGGTCCGAACGGACTAGGATGAACATATCGATGGTACCTCTGAAGATTAGGCCGACCGGGAAAGAAGAGAAAGAATCCAGGCAGGTTTTACCGGAGGTAATTATTATGTCCCTTCCCAATTTGTTAGGAGTTCAGCTGTTTGGGGACTTCGAGAAAAACCTGAGATGGAATATACACAATGATGACCCGACGCCTGACACTCTTAACATCCAGTAGCACACAGAATTAGTTAATGCAGCCAGTAACCTACAAAAAATTTTTTTTTTGTGTATGCAAAGCTAGGCCCTATACTGGAAATTTGGATCATGGTCTTTGTCATGACCTACATTGCTTTGTACGTAGTCTAGGACAGTCGAAAGAGTTGACAGTGTTCTCGCGATCCTGGACAACTTTCTCGGAAACACGATGATGAGGACAATAGGTTGGCAGGAACCTGGTGCTGATCAGTCGGAGCAGCTCTATTAGAGGGCCTAGCAAATTTGACAAGAATATCTGAACTGTGGTTAAGCCTTTGACCTCAGGAAAAAAAAGAAAAAAGTATTACTAGCAAAATCCCCTTGTGGCAAGAAGAATGGGACGCGTGTCGTTTTCAGAGGCTTCTTGAGGTGAATTCCCATTGTACGTTAACTTGAATGGGTGGGTTCCCCAGTAGCTGCCGCGGCGCTGTCAACCCGTTAAGTGACTTCGGTAGTTCTGAATCATGAACTGTTAGATCTATTTAACGTCTTCTTGAATCGAAACGCATGTCGTATTTGCTCCGCTTTCTTTTTACACCATACAGATATTCAGGGGTTAGATGGTGAGAAACTACTCTTACTTAGCCCTGCTCTCTCTGATCTTTCCTGTTGCTCATACGGTGCCATCAATTGGTTTCCCTCCACCCCATTGGGGAACTCCTCCTCGCCGAGGTGCGTTGTATGCGCCCACGGTTTCAACCCATTCTCCTCGCGAATCGTCTTGGCAAAACACCCGCTCCATCCCAGCCTTGGGAATTTAGCCACAACTTCGTCCCTTGTCTTCTGGCCCACCAGTTCCGGCCGGCCGCCCATGTTGTCGAATATAGTCGCAAGCTGGATCAGTTGTCCGAGGAAGGTGATCTTGCCGACAGTCCCGATATCCTGATGTCTGATGATGGCCTCAGCAACGGCTTCGCGCTGGGGTTGCGATGCGCCATGTGATTTCAGGAGGTCAAGGGCAAGGATGCCGCCGAACCACTCGAATGAGAGGAGGGTTGAGCGCAAGTTGTCCGGCGTGGTGCCGATGTCATGCAGCAAGCATGACAGTGCCCATGTCGAGGTTGACAAGACGGAAGCCTGGCCCGGGAACTGGTGCTTCAGAATGCAATAACCTGTCCATACGTGAGTTCCAAAAACCTATTTTTGAGGCGCGCAAAGGGGGTATCATTACCGAAGTGATACACTCGCATTGAGTGATTGTAGGTAGGTTCTGGTAGATGGGCTCTGGCGTATGTGTGTACTTTGGCGACGATGGGATCGTTGTATGGAAAGGGAAGATCACTGATGGAATCAGGCGGAGGCTTGTGTTGATATGACCGGTCGCCGAATATCTCCTTCGGGTCAACCGGCACGGCCGTCCAGCCATGCTTGGCAATATCCTTCGCAGATGCCACTGGTGCTGTAGAAGACATGATAAATGTCACTGTAATGCTTGTAGATGCCTAGATCAAAGAGTTATAGATTTGAAAATTAAGGTATCTCAATTGATTGAATATTTGTTCTCATTATGTACTCCATCGGCATTTGATCGTTAATGCATGACGACACTCGATGGTTGACGCTATTAGCTTTAGACCTGCGTGAGGTATCACAAAGCCCAAACCCCGGAATCTTATCCCCACATCGTATCTTCTCGACTTCAACGTGAAGCCTGGTAGGCATGCCGAAATGCAGCAGTAAGCAACATGCGCCGGAACAGGCTGGGATTGTGCATTTCCGAACGGCTTATATATGACCGCGGGATTTGAGTCATGCGTCGCTGACTAATGCTATAAAGCATCCCGAAACGTCCCCGGCAGGGCGCATTGAAGTTGTCCATTGCTATGCCGGGTGAACTTTCGCTCGTCTGACGGCAGATATCTCAGAGTTTAATGTATCCACTTAGCTTGAAGACACAAGTCAATGAGATCGTAGTCTCGAGCTCCAACTCTCAACCACTCGATAGGAATGGTACTTAAGTGGCCAATGCAAAGTAGCGCTCAGAAACTGCTGTCGTTAGTAAAGCTATCAAGATCGTGAGAAGGGTGTGCTTACCGGATTTCATACGACCCTGCCCTCGTCATGTACCGTACCCATTTTACGCTTGAATAATTGCTCTTCTCGAAGACCTTGAGATATCTAACAAGAAGACCTGAGCTCGTGAACATCAGGAGGCTGAAGTTCATACTGAGAGGAGGACGCGACCATGCCTTTTGATTGGTCATGCTGGTAAGCTCGGCCTCGGCGCTGAGCACGAATTCGCTCTGTCCACTGAAACGACCAATCTTCCAGACGATGTTGTTCTCACTCGGCTCGTACTTGGCCTTTCCTTGTGTGCACCTCTCGGTTATGCGCGCCGTGTTGAGCGGCGTCGGGATTTTCACGACAACATTAGTCGCAAAAAGCTTGCTCCCGAAGTTGGCCTTGACACCAATACTGTATTCCACCTTGGTCTTGCCTACTTCATTAACGATGGCGTGTACCTTGAAAGGTAGGTTGACGTTTTCGGTCGCTCGGTAACGCATCAACTCGAATTCACCATCTGGAGGAACGAAAGAGATGATGCGATCAGAATCGAATTTGCCCAGCTTGACGCACTGGTGGAACTGACAATCTTCCAAGGTAACACTTCCGGCGGCTGCTTTTGTCGCCTTGCTTCCTAACCTATTGCCGCTGGGTAGTGATTGTAGACCGTCATGGTCGAGTAAGAGCCTGTCGTTGAGTCCAAATTTGCACTCCGGAGTACCGGAGAGATACGCGCGCATGATGATTTGACCTGTGACATCGGCGCGAAGCACAGTACCTGTCGCAGACATAAGCAGGTTGACATCTTCGATAACGTCAACAAAGGCCTCGTTCTTTCGATATTTGACATCAGCCTTGCGCCATGACAGTGCACCAGTGGCCTGCATGGTGATCTTGGCCGAGTCCTCTGCTGCTCTCTCGGACTTGACGCCCTCGGTTGTGATGTACATCTTCAGGGTATCGGTCTCGGTGTTTTGAGGGTATCCGAAGTCGATAATCTCGTCCAGAAGCTCGTAAACAAGCACGAAGTTGTTCTTGACGGCCTCCTCATCGAACTTTCCGAAGTAGCCCCTGCCCAGCTGGATGAGCCGGTACAGGAACTCGAAGACCAGGGCAGCGTTGGCATTGCTTTTGGTGATGGCCACCAGATATATGTTTTCGTGCTTGACATGGCTGAATGTGGTACTTCCCAGCGTCAAGATGGGCGAGCGCACCTGGGGGTTCGAAATAACCTGGATACGAAAGACGTCGGCAAGGCGCGGGCGACAGTCATTGCGGAATGCGCGGAAGATGAGGTTCTCACCCTTCTGATTGAAGATCAGAATACCGGAGAGCATCTTGCCGGCCGACGGACGCTGTCCTGTCGAGCTTTTGGGTTTGGTAATTGAGTGGTTGTCGCGACGAGCTGGATGATATCCGTGGTTCGATGCCAGTCGGAATGCCAGCACTTCAGCGCAGCACAAGCTCCTATCCCAGTTTAGGTCGGGTTGCTTGAGAATACTACGGGGCGGATACCTTCAGGGCCATTTACAATTAGGGGGCATTCCCCTGTCACTGTCAGCGCCCAGACGAAAGACGAAAGCCCAGACGAAAGCCCCGCCAATGGACCACCGGAGTTTACTTCTGGCGGCTCCGCTCCGCTAGCTTCCCCGCCATAGTCATGGTCATGATCGAGCTGCGCTGCAGTCGGCATTTCTCTCCAGCGATGCTATTCAACGCTGTACTGCAACGGAGGTGTAGGTTTAGAGACTTCTTCTTCTTCTTCTTCTTTCAGGTCCCAGCCGGAGCCACCCGAATGTGCACGGTACAATGAACAGGGACACGGAGAATCTGACCGATTGTTCAGACTTTCTGTTCTACAGTTGCATTCTGGTCCGCACTCATCCGCCCTCCACCGGGCTCCCTGCCTTTCTGCTAAGCTTCACCAGTTCCGCACAGTGACAAGTGACCGCTACCATGACATTTGAAGAAATGATCGTCGCGAGATGAGCCTGTCGGCCTTGGCGCTTCACGCAATACACTTAAGGTTCTATTTATGCTCATCTGTCAAGCAGTTCATCTATCTGCCTTGGCATTAGCCGCTTCATCTATCATCATCCGGGAACCGATCCGAGTGCCTGGCTCGTATTCAAAGCAATCTATTGCAATGAACGAGCGGTATCGATGCAGGACTGCTGCCGTTGAACATCCCGCACTCGGCTTCAACCACTGTAAAACCTGGAGATCATAGTTACACTTTACCCGAAACTCTGCCCTTCTTGCTTTTGTTTGGCCTACATGAATTGTAATGTCGCACGTGTTGCGCCTGGCTTAGATTCCGAAGCCGTCACTCTAGATTTCGACGTTACCACAACAGCAACCCATGCAGGCAATACGATGGTTTTTAAGACTGATTGGAACTCATATTGCTTTAATGGACTCCCCACTAACTTGCTGTATGCAGCGGTGAAGAGAGCGACGTCCCTTTGTGGCAGTCTAAAGCATCATCCGAGCACACCGTGAGGGATTGTTCGTAGATGTCCAACCACACTATTGTGTCACTCTTCCACTATGCCATGTTGAGTCGCGGACCCGTGCTTATTCTGTTTGCCACAGCAAGATAATAACGACTAGACTCAACCTCCACTGTCGACAAGCCTCAGCTTGCTTTGTCGGCAGCATCTCGTAATTGTTCCGTGTCGTCTTCTCCAACGTGCAGTTTAAGCAGTCCTCTAATTTCCCCACCTCACGGCGCCAACACCCATTCCGTATCTTATGGAAGATGGCCTCCGAGATTACGACCACGCATCCATGGATCCTCTTCGCCCACTCCAGCCCTAGGTCAACTGGGGAGCCGCAAAGGCCTCGAATTGCTTGGCTGGTGGATTTCCTGCAATCGCGCGAGGTCGTACTGAAGCACTTGGGTCATGTCACTACCACAAGCTCTTGTCACATGGTAACAACATGGCTTAAAAGTCACGATCATTGATGGCCAGGGTCGGTCCGCGTTCCGGACTTCAGCTCCATCGCCTGGATGCATGCAGATAGCATCTGTTCTTTTGTAGATGGAAGGCAAATACTCGCCCTGCTTTCCGTTGGACAAAAAGATCCCGTCTTTCCGGACAGCAGGCAGAATCCAGGATATAAAAGTCCTGGGAATCCTGTTTGTTTATACCTGTCGATCCTTGCTGCAAGCGGTTCATTTAACCAACAAAGAGTCTTGGCATATGATTGTACTATCTTTCACCATGGTCACCAAGGCATTGCTCATTGCTGCGCTCAGCAGCATAGTGTTGGCTGCACCCCTTGAGGGATCTGTCGAGGGGCGTCAGTCTTGCGCTTCTCTTTAGTAAGCTCAATGCCATTTCATATACAATCCTAGTTAACACATATTAGTGGGCAATGTGGCGGCATAGGTTGGTCTGGCGCGACCTGCTGTTCCAGTGGTGTGTGTACTATAGGCAATGATTATTATTCCCAATGCTTGCCTGGCAGTGCCACGACCACTTCAGCAGGAACTTCGGCTGGTACTACCTCCCGCACATCGACATCGACCGCCGTTTCGTCTACCTCGACAAAGGTCTCCTCCACTTCAACCAAAGCCTCGACGACGACCACGGCGCCTGTCGGAAGTGGAACAGCTACTTGGAGTGGCAATCCTTTTTCTGGAGTCCAGCAATGGGCAAACAGCTACTATGCCTCCGAGGTAACTGCCTATGCCGTTCCTACACTCGGCGCAAAGGCAGCGGCTGTTGCTAAAGTACCCAGCTTTATGTGGCTGTGAGTAAAGCCCTCTGCACCGTTTGTATGCTTGACTGACCCCTGCCTCATAGGGATACCCTCTCCAAGACTACTTTAATGGACAGCACATTGGCCGACATCCGTGCGGCGAACCTGGCTGGTGCCAGCCCGCAGAACGCTGCTATATTCGTCGTTTACGATCTTCCGGATCGTGACTGTGCTGCAGCAGCATCCAACGGCGAGTACTCAATTGCCAATAACGGTATTGCCAATTACAAGAACTATATCGACACCATTGTTGCCATCGTGAAGAAGTACTCTGACATTCGCATTTTGCTAGTCGTTGGTAGGTTTCCGACAATCTCTGCTCCAATCCACTTATGCTAATTACATTACATAGAACCCGATAGCTTGGCTAACTTGGTAACTAACCTGAGCGTGGCAAAGTGCTCCAACGCTCAGGCGGCATACCTCGAATGTGTCAACTATGCCGTGACCAAACTGAACCTTCCCAACGTCGCAATGTATCTTGATGCTGGCCACGCAGGTTGGCTCGGCTGGCCCGCTAACCTGTCCCCTGCTGCCACGCTCTTTGCCAAAGTGTATACGGACGCTGGCTCGCCTGCTGCTCTTCGTGGCCTTGCTACCAACGTTGCAAACTACAATGCTTGGAGCGTCAGCTCGGCTCCGTCATATACTCAGGGCAACGCCAACTACGACGAGTCGCACTATGTCGCCGCCATCGCTCCTCTCCTGACAGCAGCGGGTTGGAATGCTCACTTTATCACCGATACCGGTCGCAGCGGCAAGCAGCCTACTGGACAGCTTGCTTGGGGTGACTGGTGCAATGTCATTGGCACTGGATTTGGCACTCGCCCGACTGCTGTCACTCCTAGCACGTTGCTCGACGCTTTCGTCTGGATCAAGCCAGGTGGTGAGTGCGATGGTACAAGCAACACTACCGCTACTCGCTATGACTACCACTGCGGCCTTGCCGACGCCCTGCAGCCTGCGCCCGAGGCTGGTTCGTGGTTTGAGGCATACTTTGAGCAGCTGTTTAACAACGCCAACCCTTCTTTCTCTTAGATGAGTTATGAAAACCTGCCACTGGCAAATGTGGTGGAACGGGACACGAGGAGATGACAAAGCACTTTTCGTTCTTATACATACTTGATTCGTATATACGTTATGCACATAAATAGACGCATGATTACTCACATCACATCGTATCATTTCTGCCCAGCTCGCATAATGGCAAGCAATGTCAGGCACTTAAGCTTTGAGGCCCGCCAATCCCGATGCCCGGCCGCAAAACGGGCTTCGTAAAGTGACGTTTGAAGCCTGCTTGCGTGTCACACTAATGAACTTCCAATGTGTCATATGGTGGTCACTTAGTAACGCTCTTCTGTGTAGACCTGCGCCCAATTGACTACGCCATTACATCATGATGGATCTCTTGGCTGTTTCCTGCATTAGCGTCCGAGGCTCTCAAGCCCCGCACTGGGGCGGCGACATTGCTATAAGTTGTCCCGCCCTTGGGGGATTTCCTTGGCATTTCCATTTCGCCAAGAATCAATTGTCGAAAAGTGTTCGATATCGACTATTACGTTGTAAATATTGATTGAAAAATAATTCAAGATGGTTCACCAGCACGGAGAAGAGCACAACGTCCCCAAGGAGCACTACAGACATTCGTAGGCCGTCCTCTACCAAGACTGCTGGCGTAGCTGTAACATAATCTAACTTCTAGCTATTCGCAGGCATGGTTCATGGCTACCTGCTGACCACAGGACGCAACATGAGTGGCTGAGTAGACAAATCAAGCATGTTGATGAGAAGCACAAGGCCGGGCACAGGAAGGAGTTGACCCCGGCCTTGAAGGAGTTCAAAGAGCTGGTTAGTTCTATCTACTCAGGCTCAAATATACGCTAGTAACTGACATCAAGCACAGATTGAGACAAACCCTCGTATATACATGTACTTCACAGCCATGTGGGACGAGGTTCCCCGAAGGGCTCCTTATCTGGAAGACCCTACAGGCAAGAAGCAGATCAGAGACTACAAGCATATGCTGGATATCCTAAACCACATCCTGGGCAAGGCTCCCGAGTGGACAGATGCCGCTTTTGGTGCTGGTATGGTCGGTGTGCCTATGTGCGGTATCTTTGATTACCCCATGGCCACGCCAAGTGGACATGCAGCTTTCTTGGATCCTGATGTCAATGCCTCTTTGAAGAAGGTCTTGAACGAATGGGGCAAGTACTTGTTGGTAGGTCAACAACCACGAGAGCCAATACACACACAGGACAGTACTAATGATTTTAGACTGAGGATTCGGCACACGTGCTAGGCAACGACAAGGAGGGTTGGTTCGGTGAGCACGCCACTAAGGATGTCATGGAGGTAGCCAACGCTCCTCTGAAGACCGACCACAAGTTCGAGAATATGTTCATCTGTGATCCCAGCGCAAAGTACTACGGCTACAAGTCGTGGGACGACTTCTTCACTCGCAAGCTGCGCGAGGAAGCCCGCCCCGTTGCATCCCCAGATGACGACAGCGTTATTGCCAACTGCTGTGAGTCCAAGGTGTACAACATCTCTCATGACTGCAAGCTGCGCAGCAAATTCTGGATCAAGGGCCAACCGTACTCCATTCTTGACATGCTCGGCCACGACGAGCTGGCTCATCAGTTCCAGGGGGCCACCATATACCAAGCATTTCTGTCAGCTCTGTCATACCACCGCTGGCACGCACCCGTCAGTGGGACCGTTGTTAAGAAGTTCGTCCTTGATGGCACTTACTTCTCTGAGCCGCTGTTTGAGGGTCAGGGTGAGAACGGTCAGGTTGATATCGACAAGCGCGGCATCAGTGTAGCTCAGGGTTACCTGACTGCTTTGGCTACAAGAGCAGTCATTTTCATTGAGGCTGACAACAAGGATATTGGTCTGATGGCCTTTATTGGAGTTGGCATGGATGAAGTCAGTACGTGCGATATTACCGTCAAGGAGGGTCAGCATATCAAGAAGGGCGACGAGACCGGTATGTTCCATTTCGGTGGTTCTAGTCACGTTCTTCTGTTCAGAAATGGTGTCAAGCTCGAGGGCTTCCCGGAGGTGGGTAGAGCGGCCAACATCCCTGTCAGAAGCCAGGTCGCCAAGGTTGTTAAGAGCTAAGCTCTTTAGTATTGTATATTTTTTTTTATCACATCAACAAAAAATAGGTAGGTGTAGATAGGTATTAGGTAAAGTGCTTGCACTTGTCCTCAATTCATAATGTAACACAAGCCAGATGTATGCATTTTTGTTGACAACAGTCACTGAAAGTTCGGGATCGACTCATCAGATGTACTAAAGCTTGTGTGAAAGCTAGAGAAGGATCTTTCTGTAAATGTGATGAGATCCTTGGCGTGATTCGGTCTGGGCAGGTGACAAAGAAGCATGACTTGGTACCAACAACTAGCAATATCCTTTTTACGTTAGCCAACACGTAGTTTGCATTCCACAAGAAATGGATACACCTCGAAATATCTAAAATCAAGTGCCAAACTTGCTTGATAAAATAGCAGACAACTCAGCTGATCAAGAGTCATGTAAGTGTTGACTACATGCGAACCACAATGCCGTACTTTACATTTGTAAGACTATGAAATCTGCATTAGATAAAAGATTTGGAGCAGCTTCTTCTCTTATGACTGGTGTATACTGGCTTATCTCTCGACTAATACACACATCAGTAGATCATGTTTTTCACAATGCCCTCGCTGGGTGACCGGTTCACTCGGATTTTCCTGCTGATTGCAGTCGCCGAAGCTCATATGAGATTGCTGCAACCCATGCGTTTCGGTGGCCTGGGACTGCCCGAGTCTGGGTCAACAACAGGTGTTGCTGAGGCAGCCTTGACTCCAGATAGATTCCCGTGCGGTAAGCCGGCAGGGCTTGACGCGGTGAAATTCTATGATCGTTCGAACTCTACTGTCTTGTCGCAAGGCGAAGAGTCACCCTTACGATTCCAATGCGACCCCTTGAACGGATGCGCAGTCCATGGCGGTAGGTTGCACCATGCAGAAGTCCTATTCACAATAATAGTGTTTTTACGATGCTGACGAAAGAGTAGGTGGTTCTTGCCAGTTATCCTTGACGGAAGATAGTGTCCCAACGAAAGACTCCAAATTCATCGTATTTCAGTCGTGGGAAGGCGGCTGTCTCACAAGAAACGGTGCTGCGATCACCGATTATCACGACCCGGCAAGCGTGCCTGGAGAGTACACCTTCAAAGTACCAGACGATTTCCTACCGGGTAATTATACCATGGCTTGGAGTTGGATACCGAAATGGTCAGGGCCGAATGAATTCTACATGAACTGCGCGCCCATCACGTTAAAAGCCTGCGGCAGCGCCAAACGATCGTCGCCAAAACATGTGAAAAGAGTCACGCGGCCAAACATGTTCGTTTCCAATGTAGATGTCCCTTCCGCCCAAGGCTGCCTCACCAAGACGAGCATCAATGTCTTATATCCGGATCCCGACCCTGACGTTATTCGTAATGGTACTGATGGCGATGGATGCAACACACCGACCCTTTTCGCTTATGGGGAGCGGCCATGTCCACAGCCTGCAGCTCCGTTCTCTTGGTGCTCCGAGACTGGTAGAAGTAGTGCAAGCATGTCTGCCACGACAAGCATGAATACTTCTTCTGAAGCCGCCCAGCCAACTACCAGCGATGCAGCCTCTGGCACTGGTTCGGTTTCGCCAACGTCAATGGTGGTGGTTAATGCTACCATTTCTGTCAATGCCGGCAACTCTGCATTGACTGCTAGCTCACCATCATCAGTCAGCGTTTCTACCTCGTCTGCAGCGGTGTTGGCCTCGTCATCGTCTACATCGGACAGTTGCTTAGCAGCCCGAAATAGATTTAGAATCGTATAGATACGAAAGAACACATGGGTTGCGGGGATGGGGAATGAACAGCTGCGCAGCAAATGGCAGCGGGCACGACGTGTAAAGTTGGGGTTGCCAATACTCTAATGATGTGGCAACCACAAATCACCTTTGAGGTGAGAGACAATACCCAGTCCATACGGCTGAAGGAAATTGGGGTGGTATTTACTCTCTCTATTTCTTTTCTTTTCCGTTTTTCTTCTGCAGAGAAAACGCAACAAACTCTAATGAACTTCATTGAACTCATGGCTGTATTGGCGGTTTAATTTGTTAACACAATGCTCTTGCAAGTGGAAGAGGAAGACCCGCCAGAGCGTAGCGCTCGCGATTGTGGATCAAATGGCGCAATCATTATCGGTAGAGATCCGACCGATTAAAACCGATGTGCTCCTCCATAAATAACCCAACCTTGCGCTTTCATGGCATATTTTACTGATATCACCTATAATCATATACAAGATGGCGCACCAGGACGACGTAGAACGTGCTTCGGCAAAGACCACTGAGCGGACGCCACTGTTGCAGGAGGTTCGCCCTATCCCGATTGATGACGACCAGGCGTCGGAGTCGACACTACGCGATGACCGACAATCTCCGCACAACGAGCACGAGGAGGCCGCGTTGCTTGAACCGCAACCGCGTAAGGAACGCACGAAACGGTGGTACATCTGGAGAGCATTTTGGGTTGTCCTGGGTGCTTTGGTGCTCGCTTTGTTTATTAAAGGCTGGGTAGATGCGGGCGACACCAATGTAAGATCTCAACTCCCCGGTTGGTTGTATTTGTAATCAACTGACCTCACGATAGTTTGACCTTGGCGGTGCACTGAAGCGTGCCTTGGGAGGTGGCTTGAGTGGTGCTGCGGCCATGGTATTGCAAGTCCTTCTGCTGATGGTAAATATACCTAAATATGCTCTATTTCGTCCTTTTGCAATTCGCTAAATTGGTCATCAGCCACTGCGCACCATCATGAACTACCAATACCGTCATGGATCGTCATTCCCAGTAGCTACCAAGACACTATATCATGAAGGAGGAGTGAAAAGATACTACTCGGGTCTTATTGCTGCACTTTTCCAAGGTAATTCTTCTTGAGGCGCACATCACGAACAAGGCTAATTACCTGTAGGCCCTATAGCACGGTTTGGTGACACAGCAGCAAATGCTGGAATCTTGGCTTTACTGCATTCTAACCCGTATCTTAACCGTATGCCTACGCTTGTCCAAACTATTTTTGCTTCGCTTTGGTAGGTCTGAACTCCTACAATAGTCAGGCTGAACGCATTTTGACTCATTCTATCTTAGCGCGGCCGCTTTTCGGATGATTCTTACTCCCATTGATACACTCAAGACCACTCTGCAGGCACAAGGTGCTCGTGGTACCGCATTGCTTCGTCAGCGTGTCAAGACCAATGGCATCGGCAGTCTTTGGTGGGGTGCCTTTGCGACTGCCGCTGCGACATTCGTTGGACATTACCCTTGGTTCGCGACGGTAAGTCCCCGAGCACATAGTCATAATGAAATCGCTTCTAACCAATTGCCTGCGTAGTATAACTTCTTGACCGAGTTTATCAATGACCCGGGCAAGCAACAGCTAGGTCTGTACCTGTTGCGCTTGGCTTTTATCGGCTTCTGTGCATCGGTCATATCGGACTCAATCTCCAACTCGCTCAGAGTCGTGAAGACGTACCGACAGGTCAACGACACGAAAGTATCCTATTGTGAGTTGTGAGCGGTGTTGAGTCTGAGTGGTCATCGCTAATGACATATAGCGGAAGCTGCAAGGTTGGTCGTGTTGCAAGACGGGATTTCCGGGCTCTTCGGGCGCGGTCTACCCACTCGCATTCTTGCAAACGGCTTGCAAGGCATCATCTTCTCTATTCTCTGGAAGTTGTTTCTAGATCTGTAAGTTCTATTGATGAAACGTCCGCGTGATATTTGTAGCTTATTTGTTATACAGCTGGGACAAGCATACTGGTTAGTGCATAGAGCTATAAGCTGGTGGGAAATCTAGCGGCTGTTGTAGTATGAGCTGTCAGTTTCTGGAGATTAAAGTCGCATCCGATTTTGCCGTGTCTAAATAGGATATTATGCGTAGAAGACGAAGAGAATTTAGAAACTAAATCTCCAATTGACTCCTGCCTTTTTCGCCCTGCATGTATTGCTTTTTTAGCACAGAATATTCTTTTGACCTGAAAGCACTCCAGTTCCGTGACAGCTGGGAGCGGCTGCCACTGTCTTATTAAATTGATGTGTACTTGCACTAAAATTCTTTTTTGGAGCCGGGGCGGGGAGTTCCCGCAGCTGCGGTAGTGTTACTATGTAGATGCAACAAAGTATTTGTTTTGATAAATCCCCCATCAACTTGACCTACGTATGCCGTAGCTCATAGTCCTATATAAGGACCCAATCAACTCCAATCGAGGCTGCCGGGAGTGCCCCATAGCTATCATCTTCTCGGCACGATGGCCCCTTCGATTTCGACTCTACCGCCAGAGCTACTGATCCGGATCTGCGATTTTATGCAGAGCAAGAGAGATATTGCCAATTTCTTCCGGTCTTCCCGTCAATTCTATGCGGTAGCTTCACCACACCTCTACCGTCATGTAGATTTGCTCTCATTACCTCGATTCATCTTTGGCTACCAAACTCGTGATGTCGCCCAAGACATTGATGCACTTATCGCGGCAGTTGTCCGAGATCCTCATCTGGCGGGGCTCGTAAAGCATCTCAATGTTAGGCTGACAGACATACGGCACGACAGATCTCAAAATGGAAGGTCGTTGAGCCCAGAGCAACAGGAACTTGTTAAAGCCCTGCTACCTGATATTCCTGGAAGTCAAGCTCGTAGGTTCTCAGGGACACCACCCCCATGTCACGTCAACGACGACGGTAGTGGGAGCGAATGGGAATCGGCTGATGACAGCGCCGATGAAGATGAGCTCGAGGCCTATGATCCGGACAAGGCAATTCCAGTCTTCGAAACAGAAGCCGATCGGTGGATATGGCTTGCACAGAGGAGTGCGGCAATTCGGAGGAACGTCATTCTAACAATCCTGCTATCGCGCCTCCCTAATTTGGAACGTTTGGATCTCGAAATGCCTGCTCTCGGGTGGAGGACTGGGTTCCTCGATCGTGTTATACAAAGGTCGAAGACCGGCAATCCAGAATCTCCCGACTCGTCACCTTTTTTGGCGAATCTTCGCAGGATGTGTTTTGGGTACACGGCCCCTGATCAGCGCGGCGAATGCTGGATTGGAGCTTTTGTGCACCCCAAACTCGACAGTGTCTACTTGCATCGGCTATCCGGACTTGGTCCCAGTTTGTCATATCTGGCACCTCGCATGCTCAACATCACACACTTAGAGCTTCGCGATTGTAGGATAGCACCCCCGTCTCTTCTCCGCCTTCTTTCAAGTCCCAAGGCGCTCAAGACATTCATCTACGTTGTAGGCGAGGTGCAAACCCGTGCCGAGCATTACATGCCCATCAGCTACAAATCGATCCGTGCTGCACTGGAGAAACAGAAAGATAGTCTGGAGAAGATATGGCTTGACTATCCACACGACTATCAATGGGATGAGGCCTCGAACCAGCACACGTCGCCAATGAGCAGTTTCTCTACTTTCAATAAACTCAAATATTTGCGTATCGCCGGCACATACATATTTGGCTTTGTTTGGACGAATGAAGTTGACGAGGGTCGTCTTCTCCGAGCGCTACCAGAGCAGCTTGAGACACTACATATGACTCATGCCGATGAGGACGAAGAAACGCTCGAGGGAATCTCTTTTGTGCTTGATGCCAAGAAGCGCGGGCGACTACAGCAGCTCACGGAACTCAAGTTTGAAGCTGCGTCTACTTGGTACATGGGAAATCGTCGCGAACTGGTTCGGTTGTTTGACCTGGCGAAAAGCGTTGGCCTAAGCATTACGCTCTTGGACAATCATAGTGATCGACGGATTGAACATCCGTGGCAACGCAGGCAAGCCGCCTTGAATTTCACACAATCAGCAGCTTATCCTCGGCGGGAAAGTGGCTGGGGATTCTTTGGGGAGACTACTTGGCCCCGACGAGTTAGTGGGTGCATGCAGATACCAATCTACGACGATATATCAGATATGTGGACGGGAGCTCGCCAATCCAGCTGAACGATTCCTTATAGATTGGTACCAGTAGAATACTTGTGGGGTTACTTAGCCTCAACACTTTGCAACTAGACTCATCCCAACTTCCCGTCAGAAAAGGGGAAAAAAAAACACTATTCCTGTAATACTCCCACACATACCTTGTCGCCTCATTTCACGTCTGCAAAAATTTTGCAGCTACTCTCGCATCATTCCTTGTGGGGTAGGCTATTTGGTATATTTTACAAAAAAGCTAAGTGTTATGCTCAGCCAAGTTAGACATGAATACTATGATCATTGATTCTTATCTACTTGATGTAGTGAAAATGTTCCCCATAATATACCTAGCGCGGGAGGCGTGGATTGATCCAAGCTTCACCTATTACGCTTTCCGACATTCGAAGGAGTCTCGAACAGTGTTTTTTGGCCATTGACTGGCATCCCGCAACGATCAGCTCCTCCCAAAGAATTTTCTCCACATCATAACCGAAATCTTCAATCAGTGCTTCTGGCTCGCCCCAGATCCGCTGCATGTGCCCTGTCCGATTTGTCTCAAGCAAGGTGCTATCTGGCTGCACGAGTCGTTCAGCGTCTAGTTTGGCAATGTTATTGTGAATGAAGAACGGAGCCGCTGCCTTCCCTCTATCCTTTCCCGCTCTATTATCAGTGGGTTTGTTACTCATTTCCAATACCCCCTTTTCGTTATACCGGGCTTTCAAGTCCTTGGACTCAGCTCCTATTTTATGGAAAAGCTCCCAATCCTCCCGCGGATCCGCCTGCATCATACCTGCCGAATGCCATGTCCCATCCAGCCATTTCCCCATTATCCTCACTGGGCTCTTGACATCGTAAAATGGTGCATCCATCACCAGAGCAGCTTGCAGGAATGTTTCTTTATCGCCTTCACCTTCGGCACCTTGACTCATCAAAGGGTAGTAGAAATCTGGCCCGAAGAAATTGTAGAATAGCGCGAGCAGCATGTCTCGAGCATGTCGTGATTTATCGTAAAGCATAATCCCTGACTCGGAACTCTTACGTGCTGCCAGGGTTGGTACAGTAATTCTCGTGATATCGTAGAATAAGGAACTGGCGGTACTGGTCCAGAAATCCGGCCACGTAACGAGTCCAGTAGACTTGTAAGGTTCGGCAGTAAACAGCGCGTCAGGATTCTGCGCGGGAAATGCATCGGCGTCCAAAAAGAGCATCTCTTGAAATGGGGCAAACAGCATGGCGAAGACTTTATATTGACATTTGTCTTGGGGAATGGAAGGTGTCGCTACGTCGAATAGATTAGATAGTACCACACATTCCGCAACCAGAGCCGGGAAGAGCTCGTCGCAGACGTATTCATCGTAATCATCCGGCGTGTCGAGAAAAACAACAACTGGCAGGCGAGATCCTGTCCGTCGCAGCATCCGTAAGGAGACAATCACGATATTGAAGTACCCCCCACCAGCAGTCATGACGATCCCTCTAGTTCCTGAACGATATGGCAGAGCAGGTGCTAAACTGATGGTGAGGTTGACGAACGAGTCGTGGCTACGCTGAAGAGCCTCAAAAGTTCGATCCGGAAGCTTGATGAGATCTAGCCGCGGATGCTCTGGATTCGCTACAGCGTCGGCCTCCTGGTCTTCTTTTGTTGCGTGCGCGTCCATCTTTATCGGATCCGCATCAGGCGTCAAGTCGCGCAGGTGGTCACGTAGGACGTGCCAATACTGCTGGACATGCGGAGCGCTTATGTGCTGCTTTCCCGATACTTTCTGAGCGCCCAGCGCTATCCTGATTTCAAACCGGTCGCACCACAGCCGATTCGAGAGCTGCAGCAGAAGCACCAGAGACGTTGCTATGGCGAGGGCCCCAACCATCCGCCATGCTCGAGGCCTGCTCGACCGACGGATCCAAGACATTATCGCCTCCACGACAGTCAAGAATTTACGAGATGTGTCTTCTCTCAAAACGCACAACCATGCGATACTCAGCTGGATGACAAGGTACTCTCTTTTTTTTTTGTACTGAAAGAAACGTCAGGAGTAAGTGGGTGAAACGAAAAGGTATGCGCGTCGCGGTCACAAACCCCAGCAATGTGAGCGGGCATCATGTCGTATATACGAGCCGTATTCGCAGTCAAAGTCCCATATCTGGCATTTAAGAAATACAGCCCAATATGAGTCAATCGTGACCGTGCCAGAGACATTTTGAGAATTGTTAAACATAGGGAACAGTGAGTGTCTTGTGTCAAGGCATCAGTTAGATCTGGCCGTGGGCAGTTTTCAGAAATAATTATCTCTGTAGAATAGTTGAGACCGTATCATATACAATCAAATTATTTGTCGAATTATTGCTTTCTTTTTTTAATAATAAAGAAGAAGCTGGAACTCTTCCTCATCGTTCCAAGTGGGATGACAATGATGGTTGCCGGTAAGGTGTTGCAAGACCTGTCTGTCTTAGTATCATCAATATGTCTTACAACGGTAATTTGGATGGGCTCGCACCATAACTTTGATGCGCAATGTAATAAGTTCCGGCTAAGAAAAGAAGGAGAGTTTGACTAAAGACTTCTGGTTAGTAAGTTGATCACACGAATCAATTGTTGACTAAAAGACACCATAACTAGGCCAGTCACGAGCATCAACTCGACTATAGCAAGGGCAACAGATGTTGTTGTGCTAGTGGCCAAGCTTGAATTATATTAATTTATAAGGCTTCGACAATGATGTTTTTTACATTTTGACATGCCAATATTACATCCACGTGAACAGCACATTCACCCACAACCTCATGCACAATACAGATTCCGACCCAGCTATACCCAAACCGTTATATCGTAACAGCTCCCTTGACTCAAAGTAAAGAAAAGAGGTTGGTATGAGCGAATAGTGCAAACTATTACAAAGCAGCAAGAGCACCGAGAATGAGCATACCGATGGAGCCAGCGGTAGCGAGGGCAGCACCGGCAGTAACGACGCTAGTGGGGGTAGAGGTGGCCGACGCGGTGCCGTTGGAAGCCTTAGAGGTAATAGTCGACGCGATTGTCGTGGGCTTGTAGGTGGTGCTCGAGACGACGGTGGTCGTGCCCTCGGGGATTGAAACAGAGTAACCCTCTGAGGATGTTGCGCTGGAGGTCGCGGTCACGGTCGCGGTCGTCTCAGCCACAGAGGTGGTCGCGACGGTCTTGGTGCTGGCGGCGGTGCTGGTAGTTACAGCTACGCTGGTGGCAGAGGTGGTCGCAGCGGCCGAGCTGGATGAGCTTGAACCACCGGCCTCGACAGCCTCGCAAAAGGCCTGGACGGCGGGAAGAACCTTGCCTTGGATGGTCGTTAGATAATTCCCTTGATATGAATAGAGGACTAATAGGGGTTCACATACTGACGGCAACATCGGCACCGCAAGAAGTGATGACGCAGGTAGTAGCATCGCCCTGGATCTTGGTGATGTTGTCGCACAGGCACTTGTAGTCAGTTTCTGTGCAGGAGGTGACCTTGGATCTCGAGGCATCAACGCAGGGGACTGCACATGATGGGATAGTGGAGATGTCTTGAGCCGAGACAACGGCGGCGAAGGCAGCGGCGGCGAATGCGTACTTCATTTTGCTTGGAGATCTATGGTTGCTTGTTGCAAGAAATTGAGCTGGGGTAGTGTTATACAGGGTCAACGAGCATTGATAGTCGACTTAGATGGCAAACGAGTGTCTGAACAAGAAAGAAGAAAAAGAAATCACGTTGCAATGAAGAAACGTTGGACCTTTTATGTCTTCATGCGTGTATCCCAGATCCCAAGTATACGAGGACACCGTCACAGGTTGTTAGCGCAGACGAGTAGTCTCAGAGTCACAGACAAGCCTATTAAACAAAGCTGTCGGGCCGTCCAATAGAGCATCCTGTTTAGTGTGGTCAGGTTGGCAGGGGTGGAGTCGCCATTTGTTATTCTGCTTTCGTAATAGTATTACCGTATGGTGACTTGCCGACAGGCAATATATATTGAACTTGCCAAATATGGATATAGCACCGTTATGATTCCCAATGATGATAACTGATTGGCTCGCCTCGAGTCTGGGGTATCAAGGGTCTTGTTTATGCTTCTCGGCCGGTTTGCCCCATGATCAGCGGTAGTCGGTTCATGCCTTCACCTGTGTGATTCGTAGACTGTGCATTAGTGCTAACAGTGCAGTCGATCAGATCACCAAAAACCCATGTGAAAGTCCGAAGAAGAGTTTAGTGTCGTTGATAACGCGAGCAAATACGCCGTTGTTCTATTACTTCAAAATTCAACAAAATCGAAATAAACAGCCTCTCTGAAGTCCCATCTATCATTCTTACAAGAAAAATAGAATTTGTGATGCTGCTTAGCAGCCAGAAAACAAATCGGTTTCTTCAATAGTCGGATCGGTTGATCTGGGAGGTAGCATTTCTGCAGGAACAAAACAAGAGCCGAGAGCTCGCTATGCCGCAGGGTGGTGTTCTTGCTTGAGTGCTACTGACTTTCTGTTCCATGGCCGGGACGTTGCATTCATCACGTAAATTTGGAAGCCATCATCTCGTTCCCCAGTTTCACACCTCATTCATCGGACAAGGTCGACCAACCAGGCGCGATGAAGCATTGAGCAGCCAAAAGCTTGTCGGGAACGACTGCAACATGTGGTCTAGTGGCCCTCTGCTATTAGCGCCCGGGGTCCACTGGCAAAATCCGGGGGTGGGGATGCTAGGGGCTTGGTGAGCCAGGGGAATTCTGCCCTGGCGCATGATACTAAACCTGTTGTGTACAACTATGACGGGGGGGATCTGGACCTCCTTTGGGCTCCTTCCCATTCATGCCGAGGTGTAGGCATTTCGGCAAGGACTTTATGAGAAGCAGCTGATGGCCAAAGTCAATTCTTCTCGGAGGCATATGATTTTTGCTGACCGCTCGGACGAAATAAGGCGAAGCTGGGCCCTCACGATAACCTGCTGCGAGATGAGCTCCTTACGGCTATCAATAATATGGCTATTGCCTTGACTAAAGATTTTCCTCTCGCAGATTTTCTAAAATGTAGTATAATTTAGCTCTAATTTTGATTTCCTCTGTCGAACAGTTCTACTTTGAGCATCTTCGATGTACCCCAGGAATTATACCCCATTCATTGCCACAAATTTCGTTCCTTCACACCCCGGGATCATCCATGGATTCAACTCAAGCTGCTTTTCTTTGTATGGGGCCCCGGGCCGGGTACTCAAAGCTTACTGGGAGCCCACTTACTTCATGTAGAATGTCATTTCCACCATAGCTGAAATTTGTGCTCTAGAACAAGAGGGAAATTCTGTAGCTTGAATGGAAGTGCGGGCGGTTCTAGTCCAGATATGGCCAAGAGAAGGAATCAGCTAGTTGCATGGAACCTGCACCTAGCCCAGAGTGAAAATCTGGTAATTTCGCTACTAGATTGCTTGCCCAATCGACACAGATCCGAATGCAGGATGTGTAGGTGTATCAATGGGAAATCTCCCGTACTACTCGGCTCGAAAACCTAGTGGCTCAGTTTGCTCTACACAGCTTGACCTCTCTGTCCACATGTGAATGTTCGCGTAGATAGCCAGGGAGTAATCTGAGTACGCAAACGACGACTCGGAAATTGCGTTCGTAACCATCGCCTAGACGTACGTATTTAACAGGCACAATGATGTTGTCCTTGTGAACCTGGCCAGACACGGCCACGGTGACGGTGGTGGAGATTGAGGCCGCATTGCATTGAATCCTAGGATCTCAATGAGATGTATGAGCATGAGAATTCGAGAAACCCGGCCGCCTCTATTCTTTGGAATCAGGTATTGGGTTGCACCGTGGTGGCCGCCTCCGTTAGATGTCTATTCTCAAGAGTAGATCTAAGAGTAGGTTTGTAAGATCACTACCTTTCTCCAATTTCTCAGTATAACAATTAGAATTTTGTACATTTTCGCTATCGGGGCACAGGAGACCAACGACCCTTCAAAGAACATTGCATCTCATTCATCTTGATGCTAGCGTAAGATCTTTAGTAAACAGTAGAGTTGCAATAACTCAAGCTCCTGAGTCGTGAGATCGAGACTCAGGCTCGTCAGGCTCTCAGAATGTGTTCCTCCTTTTCTCCATCGAGCAACCAGCTGCTACAAAGACGCATCTGATTTCACAGACTTCACGCTTGTATATTGCCGAGCTAAGAAAACTTCTGGCCCGATAGGATCACTGAACCCAAGATTATTCAGCCAGTTTGTGGCCGCTGCATCAAGGATCACCAACGTAAACGTTATCATAATGGGCAATGTTCACCTACTGGCTTGGAACTACTTGATTCGAAATTTATCAGCACCAGCGATCGCGTTTATCATGCTGTTCTCTTGTTCTGCGATCCCCACAAAGCACATGAAGTTTGGACTAGTCTAGTTCGACAAGGTGACGCTCGTCTGGAAAGATCTGGCACATTAGTCTTTAACACCTTGAATAAACTGGTCACCATTGTCCGGTGATGCTGGGGCGTACCCAATCATCAGGCATAGTCCAATAATAGAACACACTGATATGGCTTTGCGAATTCGAGGAGAGCTTGCTTCACATTCTGAAGCTGGTGTTTCGGCCCGGCGGAGTGACTGACGCGTCCCGCTTGTCGGCCTCTGCGCTGTTTGACCAGAGTCACAAAGCCGGCATGGCGATACCTTTTGGCTTGAGAGAGCCTCAAAATAAGTAAGATATAACTACGGCTAACATCGAGATGTGCACATTGACGTCTACTCACCTTTCAGCATCATTGACATCGATCAGGCTTGACGGAGTGGATGGATTTCAAGACGGAGGACATCTTTGAAATATCAGAATAAGCGGGACTTTCAACTATTGGGATATGAGAACTACCCCGCCAAGGACCCCTCCAACAACCCCCCACCATTTACGCAGCGCATCTGAATCGCGACGGAAGCGGCCTTTCGCGACTTGTAAAAAGATCTCTGGCCTCCAAGTCTACGAATCACATTTCACGTTCGCTGCTCGCATCCGAAACCATGGATCTGGATACTAAGACACGTAAGATTGCTCTTTTGACTCATGGAAAACAAGTATGAGCTAACAAGGTTCGGATTGTAGCACTATATTTGACCAGCGACAAGACGTCGTTTGCGTTCATATCTGCCAGAGACCGCTGGCCAGTGATAATTGTCAGCAATCATAGCATCACTTGAACAAGCACTTCAGACTGACTTCAAAGATAGACGCAAGCCATTGACGATGTCTACCGAACAATCACACAGATCGATGACAAGCCCAAGCAAGACGAGGGCAAGAAGATCGTCGAAGAGCTCGGCAAGCTAAAGTACGAATTGCAACATGACCGCCACCTCACGCCGATACGAGATGACGGAAAGCCTGACATAGCCTTGTACAATCAAGAGTTGGAGAAATTGGGTACCCCGACTTGGTTCAATGTGCCCTGGCTCTACAGCGAGTGTTATTTATACAGGTGTGAAGCAAACGGCAGAATAATGGTCCGAGCATAACTGATCATAGTTAGGCGCATCAACACATCGTTCAGTCTGTCGCAACACTGGAAGTCATATGACATTTTCTCTAGACAGAAGATGAGTACGTTCCGATCCTCTCGGCCGGCTGTGCTGGAACTTGCTGGTCGGTACCGGGATCTTGTTATTCAAATCCAAAACGACAAGAGCAAGACTGGACCGGAGGCGGAAGAAGCACAAGAGATCTTGTTCAGGGAGATGATGGAGATCTGCCTGTGGGGCAATGCCACCGATTTGTCGTTACTAACGAGCTTGACATATGAGGATATCCAGAAGCTCCAAGGTTCTGAAGCTCGCAAGGCCAGCGAGAAGAACATACTGATCAACGACCTCGACACCGCATTCGATGTTTTGAGAAAGGCCCGCGACGAGGGCAAGAAGGAGCGCCGCGTCGATATTGTCCTCGACAATGCTGGTTTTGAGCTGTATGTGGACCTCATCTTGGCCGGCTATCTGCTCTCTGCTGGGCTTGCAACCCATGTTGTGTTGCATCCCAAAAGTATTCCATGGTTTGTGTCAGATGTGTTACCTGGAGACTTTGCAGCACTTCTCGGTGCCTTGGCAAGCCCCAAACCCTTCTATGAGACACCGTCGGACGATGAGAAGCTCCAGGACAAGACCCCGGCGCCTTTGACGGACAGCGAGGTGGACGAACTCACCTTTTTGTTTCAGAACTGGGCCGGTTTCCATGCTGAGGGTCAACTTACAATCCGACCGAATGCTTTCTGGACGCATGGAGGAAGCTTCTGGAGGTTGCCCGCCGAGAAGGACTTGCACGAGGACCTCAAGACCAGTGAGCTGGTCATTTTCAAGGGCGACTTGAATTATAGGAAATTGACCGGAGATGTGAGTACCAATCCAGGTTCAACAATGACATATACTGACTTCTCCACCAAGGCTATATGGGATCCGACAACTCCATTCACAGAAGCGATCGGCCCGCTTGGCCCCGGCTCCGGCGTTAATGTTCTAGCTCTTCGTACGTGCAAAGCAGACGTGGTCGTTGGGCTGAAACCTGGCCAGGATGAACAGATTCGTGCCACCGAAGGCGGCGGCGGTGACAGTGGAGCTAGAAAATGGGCTTGGAGCGGCAAATGGGCTGTTGTGTCGTTCTCGGGCGGAAAGTGATGTGTTTTGGTCAGGAAACTTGCAAAATTAGAACCTAGATATAATAGAGCCAGGCGCACAATAGACGGCCAGACCTATTACCACTCACAAATGCTGGTTTATCGGCCCCTCGAAATGAAAGTTATGATAGCACGGCCACTCGCTCTTACCACTCAGCGGCAGTGTCTCCATTGTTTCGGCGGCTTATGGCAGCCGGCTTTGCGGATTTGGTACCGGGTCTAGGTAGTTTGATACGCTATCTTGGCAGTCGAGAATTCATCTTCTCTAACTAATTGAACTTTTGATATTCATTTTGGACGCCTTTCCTATATATCACGATTTATGAACAGAAATGCTCTCTAGCCAGAAATTTCACAATCTTAGCTTAGTTGAACACCACAGTCTTGTGGCCATTGAGGAAGACCTTGTTCTCACTCCACCACTTGACAGCCGCGGCTAGCACCTGGCTCTCCACGTTGCTGCCTTCCTCAACGAGCTCTTTGGGGCTCATAGCGTGGTCGACACGGGCGACCCTCTGCTCAATAATCGGACCCTCGTCAAGATCGGCCGTGACGAAGTGAGCTGTGGCACCAATAATCTTGACACCACGCTCAAAGGCCTGATGGTAGGGCTTCGCGCCCTTGAACGACGGCAAGAAGCTGTGGTGGATGTTTATGATCTTGCCGCTCATGGCTGAGCACAAGCCGGGTGACAGGACCTGCATGTACCGAGCCAGAACGACGAGCTCGATGTCGTGCTTCTTGATCAAGTCCAGGATCTGCTTCTCCTGCTCAAGCTTCGTGTCTTTGGTAACAGGCAGGTGGTGAAATTCGATGCCGTACCCCTCGGCCAGCTGTTTGTAGTCTGGGTGGTTGGACACGATGAGCGGCACCTCGATGCCCAGCTGCTTGTTCTGGGTACGGAACAACAAGTCGTTCAAACAATGTCCGATCTTGGACACCATGATCAGAACCTTGGGCTTCTGGGCGGTGGCCCGCACCTCGTAGTGGTCAAATGACAACTCCTGAGACAGAGCCTTTAAAGGCTCATCGATACTGGCCGTGGAGTCAGCATGACCGAAATGCACACGCATAAAGAATTTCTCCGAGGTGCGGTCAGAGAACTGCTGCAGGTCCAGGATGTTCAGTTTCTGGGCCGCGAGCATGCCGGTCACAGCGTGCACGATACCGGGCTTGTCCGGGCAGGACAGCGTGAGGTAGTAGTCCTTTCCAGCAGACATCTTGCGGTCGATCTTGGTGAGCTCGCTCGCCTTCTTCTTAGTGGTGCTGTAGGACCGGTTTTGGGACTGCCAGCTGTTGAAGCTAGCTTTGGAAGCGGTGATGATCGGTGCGGCTTGTCTTGTGGTCACTACGACAGGACGTTCTACTGTGGCTGTAATACAAGCTGTTGTGCAATAGCGCCGGCCAATGGTTGTCAGCCTGACGGTACGACAGCTGAACCCGGCGATCATCTAGCTAGCCCGTATCCCCGAGTAATTGGTCTTGGAGAGTTTGGATTTGGCACATCTTCGACTCGTCACGTCCCGCGTGTTGAAGGTTAGAATTTGCAGGCGTGACACATTAGCCGGCCCCACTGCTGAAAGATCTCCGCTTTCGGCTGTATCAAGTACAGTAGACACGAACCACGTCAAATGCAGTGTGAAGCGGTAACCCATACACACATACATAACGCGAAAGTGTATGACCTGCCTGTATATTGAAGGTGGAGATGTTCCATTAAGTTCCACCAGTAAGATTTATCTTATTGACAATTAGCATATTTGCCCGAGCCATTTAATCGTGTTGTGGATGATAACGCACCTGCCGACATCTATTCAGCACTTCATGATTCCATGCTACACATATTCATGGGTCGACTATTAACATTTGCGAGAAAGAGATCATCAATTCCAACAGGTCAATCTTACATCGACATAGTTATCAACCAGGTCTAACAAACGTCGTGAGTTGTCCCATGAAGTCTCGCAACCTACACTGGCATTCCATCTAACGACTGTTGAGAATATACGCGTATGCGTTGTGGCTTGCTTCTAAAACTTCCTTCTTCTTTTACTTACACTGAAATTGATAAATTTACATCATTCCTTCTAGATCTTGAGCAGCCCGAACACAACATGTCGAATGTGGCCGATTGGACGTGATGAAGCTATTGACATTGCTACCTATTGCTCTATAATTAGTGCGGTTGATTGGTTCTCAACATGTTGCTGCTAATCGATGATATATATTACTGTCTCTTCAAGATGCTTGTCATTACCGGAAAACCATTCGCAATCTCCTAGCATGCTCACAAACATGTAAGACCGTGCACAGAGCCTTGGAGCTTATGATCGGACCTCATGGATGGAAGTTGTAATTCAACTGTGAACCCGTATCATGCGTTTGCTAGATGATTCAAGATCCACAACTTGCTGGGAGAAACCTATATCGCCATAATCACATAAAACTGGATGGAGCTCGGCCCTCGAACAAGACCAAAAAGGGCACTATCCAATTCGGTACACGAATGGAAATTTGACCGAAAATTGTTTGGAATAGACTTTCGGGAAGTCACTGGCTGCGAGGATTATCAGGCAAAATCGTCCCGAAGCATCTATCTAGATTCTACTTTTTCGCCTCCCAATCATTATCAAATTGTGTATACACAGCAAACTTGTAAACACATCACATGATTAAAGGTGCATTGCCAGTTCTTGAGTAGACTAGATCGGACTGAGACCAGTCCAAAACGGCCCAAAACGGCCCAAAACAAGGCTGACCGAGTACAAAGACGGAGATTTGGTTCTAGACAACATCGCAAGCCTTCTTCATGTTTTCAACAGTTTAAGAAGATTTACATGGATGGTTGTTTTATAAGAGTAAAAATTTTCGAAATGGGGTTCTGCCCCCTCCAGCAGGTCTCTGGAGCGCAATATTGCGTATCAGAGTCGATTGGGCTTTTTGATACTCTTGAACCCCCTTAAAAATCGAAAGCTGTAGTTTAGTATCTGCTATAATTTTACTCGTTTTTTATCGCTGGCGTTCGTGGGGAGCCTATAAGAGAGAAAATATTCAGGGCATATTGTAAGAATGCAAGAATTACTGGCTTGAAGAGTTACTTGAAGTGCTTGAATTGACACTGGAGATCATATGCTTTGACAGCAGGGAGCTGGAGGGGTATTCGTCAGCCGGTTTAGTTTCTTGTTGGCTGAAAGCCATTATTGTGAGAGGAATAGACTCTGGGCTTATGTCGAATATCTCGTTTTTATACAGGCCAAGAAAAAAAGTCAAACTAGGCAGTCTCTCAAAGACACAACCCAATAGTTTATTTTCATTGAAAAACAAATAACCAATCCAAGACGCAAAACGTCTCCCCCCACTCCTCTTTACATATGTTTCTCGACCCATCAAAACGTGGAAATAGCAAGAACTTCAATGGACTGAGAGTTTTAAGAAAGCACAACTCAGTTCGATGCATAGAACAAGATCGAGAATATTTAGAGCACCCAGCCAGCAACCTAATAAAGTGAAATGGGACGGCACATTTTTCCATAAGAACGGAATGATTTGAAGCTATGTATACTGCTGTTGCTTACTTGAAATTATCTAGTCTAGCTGCGGTTTTCCGCTTGTGGGTGAACAGGTATTCCCTACCTGAGACGGTATAGACTATAGTGCAGCCTACCGTGAAGAATTCTGGTTTGTATCAATTGATACATACTTCCTTCAAGAGAAAACATATTAAGTCACAAACAACGCTTAATGCGGCGATGCAGGTGAAAACGTCAATAAAAGGTCTTCAAATTTGAACACATATTAACAAGATTTTATGTGAATGTGAATAATTGGGTTTGTGATCTGTCTAAAGAATGTACTAAATCCAAACTTCGTTTAGCAAACTTCTATACTCCCGTCGCTTGAGTCGGAGCCGAATTATTTAGCCCTTGCATGATACCTGGTCGACACTTCCGTTGTGGGAGAGTTTTGTTCCTGCTCTGCTTTCTCACAACGACAACGATCGGCGCACTAACCTATGCAATAAAACCTCTCATCATGATAGGTCAGCAATCAAAAAAGAGCATCATACGTTAGAAGCACAAACCTTTCTGAAGAATTGCCACATAGCCTCATTCTCATATGAGTACATCACCCTGAAGCATACGTCTATCCTCTTTCAACTATGAACCTACCTCAGGCCACAGACTGACGTTTTTCGTACTTGCCCAGATTTTTGACAGAATTTCGTTCTTCATCTGATCTTCTCTCTCACAGACCTCAAAGACCTCTCACATATTATCCGAGCCATAATTTCTGTGATTACCTTCTGCCTAGCCCAATGGCAAGCGACCCTCCATCGTCCTTGAAACCCAATCAGCCCGCTGCTAAAAGATCCTGTTCTAAGCACATTTTAGAATGTCTTGCAAGCAGATCAGTCCCATTCATCGTAAAGAATGATCCAGATTGGAAGATTCATGCAAGCACATTCAATACGCGCCTATCGTATGAACCCCTTGTTATTATTACTCCGAAGACATTCCAGCACATTTCGGAGGCTATCATCTGCGCCTCTAATCATGGCATACACGTTCAGGCCAAATGTGGCGGACATAGTTACGCCAGCTTCAGCAATGGTGGCATTGATGGCATGATGATTGTTCATCTACAGAATTTTCGGGACGTAGAGATAGACCAAAAGACTGGAATTGCCAAGGTTGGAGGTGGAACTAGGCTAGGCCCTTTGGGTCTTGCTATCTGGAATCAAGGTAAGCGCGCTCTTGCTCATGGCACCTGTTCAGCTGTGGGTATTGGCGGCCATTATACTCACGGTGGCTATGGCCACTTCTCGCGTGCTTGGGGTCTAGCTCTAGACCAGATTGTTGGCCTAGATGTCATACTCGCCGACGGAAGCTTGATTCATGCCAATCAAGACCAACACTCCACTATCTTCTACGTAAGTCTATTTGCTATACCAAGCGCCAATCAACCACTATAGTAAACTGTTTCATACACTAAGAAACCCATGTAATAGGCCATGAGAGGAGCCGCAGACATGATCGGGATTGCAGTCAACTTCTACCTTCAAACCCATCCTGCTCCCAAACAGGTAGTGAAGTGGGACATTGATCTCTCACCCTCTGCACCCATAGAGGATATCGAGGCTGCTGCAGATACGTTTTTGCATCTGCAAGCTGTGTCGAACGATGCTTCCGTTATGAACCGGAATATTTCATTTGGTGTCGTCCTTGGTCCTGGAACATGGTTCAACGTTGGCGGGACATTTCTAGGGTCGCTCGAAAGCTTCAAGAGCACCATAGCGCCTGCACTCCTCCAGGATGTGGCCAAACCCAAGTCTTTCACTATGAAAGAATTAAGTTGGATTGATGCTCTTAAATGTCTTGCCGGAGATGATTTAACTGTTGCCGATACATGTAAGGGACGGGGCAACTTTTATGCCAAAAGTGTCACAATACCTCAGCCAGGCGCCTCACGAGAGTCGGTAATCAGCTATATGCGATTCATTGCTTCCACGGGACAAAAACAGAGCTTCGGATGGTACGCAATCTTGGATCTCTATGGCGGTGCAGGAAGTCAGATCAATAGAAAGGATCAAAATTTCGCGGCATATGGAGCTCGCGACACTATGTGGGTTGCACAACACCAAGCATCTGTGGACACCGACAAAATATTTCCCCGGGAAGGGTAAGTCCATTCATTCTTGCCAATCGCCATTAAAACCATGCTAATTCAAGGGCGTAGTATCAACTTTCTTGATGCTCTCAACAAGTCCTTGACGAATCATATTGACCGATACGGAGCCTACCTTCCCTACGTAGATTCTGAGTACGATAAGGACACTGCAAGTCGTATGTACTACGGCGATGTATTGTATAAGCGACTGAAGGCGGTCAAGCGACAAGTCGACCCTCAGAACGTCTTCGCCAATCCCCAGTCTATTGACCCCGAAGTCTGAGCACTTGATTAAGTGACGAAAGTGGACACGCAGCATCAAAGTTCCCGATAGCCACAACTATGTACGGGCGAACTCTTGATGCAATATTTAATTGCCTCAAGAATCGTTCAACGTTGGTTGTCATCACTAGTGAAACATAACAGTGCAATCTGGAATTGAATGGGTGGCCACATCTTTGCCAGCAGAAGTTCCAGCTTTGTGATTTGGAGGACTTCCATATGCATGATTTGATAGCACCGTCGACGACTCGTCAGCGCTTGCCTCAGCATAGTAGACGCTCAAAATTCATGGAGCAGACGACATGGAATAGCCCTAGCTAGCGAGGCTAAAGTGATTTGACAGGTGTATTTATGCGAAAGGACTTCATTAGCCACAACTTGCTATCATGATTTGTCGTGAGTAATCGTCCCGTAAGGGGATGCACGTGGTTTGAATCGGGCCAAGATTAGTCAAGAAGACAATGCCACTCACCTTACTACATGGCTGAGTGGCTCGATTCAACGCAGAGTATGATTTCTATTATAGGTGTAAATAATGCGCTGTGGAGACCTATATTTGATTGTGGTTCAAGAATAACAACAACGAACGAAATAGTGCTTGATGCTGGCAGGATTCAAGTCAAAAGACAGGGTGCAACCTCTATCAACTTCCTCTGTTGCTTTGTTAACACTGCAAGTAGCTCGTGGTAAGCAGCGCATGTTGCAACATTATGGTTAATGGGTCCATTAATTTAGACAACACCAGAGCCAGGATAGAGATCCGATTACGAGACCTTTTTGTATATTTGAGGTCTTTTGGTGTTTTTGATATATTTGAAACTAGATTCGGGAGCAAATTCGGTTGTATGACGATAAACTCTACAACCTGGCTCACCACCGGGAGGAAAGCCTAAAATCACGAGAGGACATTACAAGAAGAGCTGGCTTGTGAAAAACAAACTTTGGGCAACGCAATTGAGTGAAACTCGGGAGAGAAGATCAGAAATGACACGACACAACTGGAAGTCACCGGAGCAGGTCAACAGGCATGGGCCAAAGTGCGATACTGGTTCTAGTGGACTTTGTTCATGCCACATTCGACCACCCACAGACGATTCACCAACTTGTAGTACTGTGCAAGAAACCAATAGAATGGTGCACTTATCCGGTCTATTGAATGACCATTTCTCAGTATGATGACAAAAATTGACCGAGTAGATGTCTAGCCGCAACGCATTGTCATCGCGTACCGTCTAAACCCCAAACGAAGCAGAAGCTATATTTAAGCATGACTCGAGAGTACGATCTTTTATTCATCGTCTAATATGCGACAGTGTGGTTTGCGCCGGAGAATATAGACAACTCAGGCCAAGTTCCACCCCTAGTCAGAAATATCTCTCGTTACAATCTGGTTATTAATGCATTTGTGAGATGGAAAGTGCAGATGAAGCATGAATACGCATTAAATTTACAAGGAGGTGGTGGTGACATAAACGACCCAGACATGAATTGGCAACCAACGATAACTTTTTTTGAAGTTAGCTGAGATTGTTTCCTAAACACGGTGATGCGATTCGTCCACATCAAGCAAAACCAAGCAGGAGAGGCTGTTAGTAGCATGTTTCCCCCGTCTAAACCATGCGTATTAAACGAAATTAGGACAACCAATGTCCCAGCAACCTTTGGGATCAGTCTCGCGGCTGCAGGAATCACCTCAATTGGTCTTCCCAACAATGCCGCTCGTGCCGACCCGCCTAATACAATTCGGAATCTCCAAGGCAACGAAGATTGATATCAAATCGAAGAAGTCCTAAAAACTGCCTAGACCCAGATAGATAAGTAGTTTTGTGCACAGAACTAGGCGAACAAAGGTGGCGTGGATGAATTGCGGCGCGAATACTGAGAGATGCTGCACCACCGTCATTGCATGAAGGCCCCTTTTACACTAAGATCAGTAGGCCTAGGAGGTATGAAATCACCTCACCAAGAAGACGATGCGGCGGTGCCTCTGACGGAGCAGCCACCATGCGGAGAAGAAGACGTAGCGACAATTCCGCCCTAGTACGTAGGGAACTGAATTGGCGAGACGGCACTGCTTGATCTAGTGCCTTTAGGAGTGTGGTCAGTATTGAGCTTAAGGTGTTATGAGACGTGGATTGAGTAGACTTGTACATAGAAAGCTCAAGCGCTTTCAACTGAGCTCGATTTGCATTCGAAAGGCGAAGTGGGAGGCTCTTTAGACATCCTGTTTGCTCTAAACCTTGTTGATTCATCATCTACTTACTATGAAATTGACGAAAATGCTCGTGGAACATACTTTATTCTTTGGTTCGAGTCAGTCTATGGTGGAGGCTACTTCTGTTGTTTCCGATGGCGAATTCTCGCAAGACGAATGCGACGAGCATGCGGATGAGCGTGATACTAGCCGAGGTGAGAGCGAATCTCCCAAATCCGAATTCCGGGAAATAATTGAGCGAGATAATGATGAAACAATTGTCTTGGGCAAGAGGGGAATGAACACCGAAATGTCGCCGTGGCTGCCGAAGAAGCGAATGCGGCTCTAGACTAAGGCAAATCTTCTTGTTTAGATCTATCACTTTGCTTTAATCGTTCTATTAAAACTAGTATTGAACTATTTCTTACGGAAAAGTACCGCAACGTCGCTTAGACAAGCTACTTGGAAGTGTTCGGTGTGATGATGGTATAATCCCTCCAACCCCCTGTCTTCTCTGCGTTGTTAAAGGCTTCATGATGATCGTCAAGGTTATACACAGCCACCTTCGCTCCACCATTTCTTCCGATTCTCAAGACTCCCTGGGTGATCAACGTGATAACATGTTGAAGCGTCTGTGGGCTACTCATCCACTTTCCACTGACGGTCAAGTTCTTGTGTACCATATATGCATAAGGGATCTGACCATTTTGTGATGCACCTCCACTGAGGACAGCTGTTCCACCGGTCTTCAGAGAGCGCAGACCCGCTTGAAGGTAGGGTGGCTCGGCCATATTGCCCGGAGTCCAGTCGTTGTAGACTTCCGCGCCCGCTCTATTGGGTGTTCGTTCAAGAATGGCTGCAGTGTCCTTCTCCGAGTCACCCGACATTACGACGTAGTCGAACTGTGGTGGGCTGCCCAAAGCACGTTTCATCTCTTCGAGCTTGCTCTCATTGCGCCCCAAGGCAATCACGTTCGCACCAATGGCCAATGCCAACTCCACGGCCGCACCACCAAAACTGCCACCGGAAGGTCCGATGATAACGGTCTCTGCGGCTTGGATTGTCTTTGCTTCAAGTATAGCACCAGCAGCGACCTGGTAGAGCGGGATAGCTGCAAGATCAGCCGCGTCGTAGTTAAGCTTTCCAAACAGGCGTTGTTCGTCTAGTGAGTAACAGTTCTCTAGAGGCACCTTCTGGTACCGCTGCAAAGAACCGTCGCGCCATTCTCCTTGCATCAATCGGGCTCCCTGTTTACCTTCTCCACCATGGTGACCCTGCATTATTACCACATTGGGATCATCTCGTGCGCGGACAGTTGCATCAACAAAGACCAGGTCGCCTTTCGTCAAGCGGATGGTGTCCGGTCCCACTGAATAAACCCGGGCGATAGATGTGGGATGTGGCACCAAAGGGAGATGAAGATTCAGTAGGGGAAGTTTGCCGGCATGGATGGCATTTGTATAAGGAACAATAAATGTTGCTAGAATCTCAACCACCACCGAGCCTGGAGTAGCTGTTGGGGTGGGTAGATCAATGATCCTTGCAGGCTCCTCAAAAGAGGCAAGCCACAAGCCTCGGTTTCCGTTGGTATTTGTCATGTTGAAACTGTGTTTTGAAAACAGGGAGAAATAAAGAGCGAGAATCTGACAGAAAATCTTTGAGATGCGGTCGTGTATTCAGTATCTCTGAGACTCGTGGGAATTGGATTCTTTCTTATACCACCACTTGTGACGGCCGTTGGCCTAATATGCGGACCCGCAACATTAGCATGGCACTAAATGACGGCGCTGAAATCAGCCCATATCCCGCGCTTGACCCGTTAATACCGGCGTACAGACAAGTCGATTCTTACCATATACCGCCCTGGCCCCGCGAATTTTGCATTTGATTCTTCCTCTGCTTCTTACACGTTCAAAAATGCCTATTTCTATGTATAATCTCTCATTCTTTGCATGACGTGGCACAGTTCGAACAGTTTGAAGTACTTTCTTAGCATTAAATTCTTGCAGAGATTGTGTGGTAAACCTTGATACATCGGGCTTATGTCAAGCACTATCACTTACCATTAGTAACATGATTTTACATATCACGCAAACTTTGTTCTGCAAGGCAATATGTATAGCTTGTGCAAGATCCGAAACTCACGACTATTGATCTGTTTTTTCTATCGTACCACTAGACGGCACTTTCATGACGTATGGAGTCGATTACGAGAACTCTTCCCTACTGTAGTGCATTGAATATGACAAGGTCTCTCGGGTGGATCCAAGGCAGATCAGCGACAATGTGCTATAATCCCGCTGAGTAAGCGGTTGTTCTCATAAATCAAACTAAATTGCAAGCAGGGTGTATGGTAGAATGGAACGTCAGGACTTGGTCGCCGATATTTTGTAGAATTACAAACCCTGAATGTGCTTAATCCGTGGAGGGTGCAGTACCGGCATGATTTGGGCTAAACACGATGTTTTCCTGCCCATGTGATCGAAGTAATCAAAGTTCAGGGCTACAACCTGTTGTTCCTGATCTCACTGTTTGGACATTGTTACGTGTAAATTGTGAGGTATATTCACTAACATGCTATCATGAGAGTTTAAGTTTCAATCGGCCCTCTTGCAGTTCGCCTAGGTGCTTCGACCTGCTTTGAGCGCAATTGAAGTTGATCTGCCACTAGCACAATGCGCTGATGGGCTTGACCGTTCCAATATGATTGCCTATTACCAGAATATTCTTCAGCTCGAAGCTTAACTATTAGTCTTCTCAGGAAGCTACGGACACCATATACTGAATCAGTCATAGATGACCTTCCCCTACTTAGGACGGGCCAAGCCCGAATACTCAAGAAGAACATATCACTCATGAGGAAATGCGGCCAAGAAGCGCACCAAGTAGGTCGTTGGAAGAGATGTCCAGTCAAGATGGCGAGTAAAGCCTATCACTGGAACAAACGCAACATATAATGTACATAAACTTCAAGACTGAACAGCAAACCGAAATCAGAACAAAGTGAGTACATGAGGAGATATGCAGCCAATTATCGTAATCGATGAAGCAACAGGTAAAAACAGTATCAGTTGTAAACAATCCTATACGACTTAGTTGCTTGGCATATATTCGGCCACTGCTAATTCGACGTGAGTGAGTCTCGAGTAATGCTTTTCATATAGATACACAGATAGCGTAGGCCATATAAAACTCGAGGCGGATGCGCCAGCATTTGCAAGTTGACGACTGTCTTGTAGTCTACCTCATCGTTGGCGTCCCACTCGGAGTACAGAACAAATGACCACCATCGATACATGCCTTCTTATAAGTTAAATGCATGTCGCAGTACCGATGAAGCATTTCCTTGGAACGACACCTAGGTAGAGCTCGCAGTAACAACCTGGCGACTCTTGAGAGTCCTAACAATGGTCATAAGCTGGCTTCTCGGAAAGCAGTCGGATGTCAAGTGGTTTTCCAGAGGAGTTCAAAATTGGAGTTTTGCATGGTTTTGGCCGCGTCAATTGACTACTAATTCCACAGAGGCTATCTAGCAGGGCTTTACTAACTCGACAAAATGCTCTTGGTAAGGAATCACTGGGGTCAACATTCGCTACACAGGCTAAAAAACAAACATGATATGATTCCCTGAATTTCGGCACAATCAGCGGTCTATGCCTTGAAGTTGATGTACGAAACAAGCATGCAAAGTCGTCTGGTGGCGCGGCCATTGATTTTTTCCCGTAGTGTGATACAATGCACCACCCAATGGTCAGGTATCATGGCTAAGATCTCCGGCAAATCTTCTGTATTGGCCTCTTGTCTGGATCATGATACACGCCCTGTGCATCATGGGTTTGCCGTGGTTAAATTTTGCTAGGGATTAAAAACACTATGAACAATGGTTATTGTACAACTCTAGGACTTCTAACAACAATAGCATGCACCTTAAAATGACGAGTTCCAGCGATACTCGCTAAAAAGCCCCATTTAAAGTCTCACAGACCACCTCGAAAGTCTCCGAATCCAGGCCCTTAAGATTAGCAACTGAGAATCCTACGGCTGAGCACTAGGCATTGGATTTAAATTGCACAGAAATTACAAATGGAACAACAGGTTGAACAGTAGAGTAAGGCACTCTAATTGCTTTTGACAACTCTCTGCGAGATTGAAGTGAACAGGATCCTTCCTGAAAATTTGCCGATCATCAAGAACCTACCTTAATTTCACCCTACACATAACCAAGATGACATCTTGTCAGAAGAGTCAGCGCTCCGTTGCGGCTTCCAAATCAGCTTTTTCTCCCTTGTCATTTATTAGGAGCCTCAGTACGCGCAGCGATCAGAGCGACGGCATTATACAAGATCCTCAAGTGGATAGCCGGGGGAGAAGTTTTAAAACAACTGGGAAGCGTGCCAGCAGGCCGAAAGTCCGGACAGGTTAGCCAACAACCTGCTTACTCGCAACCACGCATCATCTCAATGTTAACGACCCAGGTTGTACATCTTGCAAGCGAAGACACGTGAAATGCGATGAACGAAAACCTGCCTGCTCTCGTTGCGAGAATCTCGGTTTCCCCTGCGAGGGATATGTTCCGTCTAAAAGCGCAAAGCAGATTTCGCATGCTGATGGGCTGCTTTTACCAAAGCCGCGCCTAGCACCGTTGGCTCCAGTAGATGGTGCCCCTCTGCAACAGACCAGCTCTCGAGCTCCCCTTCTGGTCTCTCCGCGAAACGGATTTGACTTTGGTGAAGATGGAAACTGGTATTTCTCTCTTTACCGCAGTAAAGTTGCACGAGACTTATCGCCCTGTCATGGTGACAATTTTTGGTCACGGTTACCTCTCCGAGATAGCCTGACCAGAAAATCGATAAGATACTCGATATTGAGTATTGGAGCATACGCTAGAGCCCTCATGGAGTTGAGCGTTGAGCGTTCATCACTACACGCTGCCAATGACCCGTGGTGGCCGATTTCAGTTTCGAACAAGCATCGAGAAGCTGCGCTGAGTTATCATGCCCGAGCGCTGAGGTGCCTGCAACAAGAGATCCATGAAATTGGCGTTGAAAATCGAGGTACTATGGTAGCAACACTCCTTTTCATTGTGTTGGAAAACATGATGGGCAATTATCATTCTTCAAGAAATCTAGTACGTTCTGGGATCAGAATTCTCAACAACATGGGACGTGCCCAGTCAAGGAAATTCAAATGGAAAACACACTGCGACTCTTTTGGACCGCCAGAAGAAATAGATGAAATGGCACACATATTCTCACGGCACTCGATCTCGTCTGTGCTGCTTCCTTTCCCTCGTGGCAAGCCGGCGTCTCACGCACTTTTTGAGGACAACTACCACAATCCAGCAAGTCATACCAGCGACACTATATATGTATATTTTGAAACGCAAGCAAGCATTCCGCGAACTCTTGAGCATGCGCGTGTGATCTGGGAAATCATATGCACTTCCATTGGGAAGTTCTACGCCAAGGCCATATGGCGCAATCTTAACCCAGACTATAGATATGACGATGAACTCTTGAGTGAGCAGACTTTTCTCATGGCGCGTCTGCATGACTTTGGTTTCGGTTTAGCTATGCTGATGGCGGCGGGAACGAATGCTTCCGCTCTGCGACGGCTGGCGTTTGTAGACACCTACCATCTCTTGGCAAAAGTTCTGGTCCCATGCTGTTTGGATCGGACCGAGATGTCATATGACGGCTACGCAACCCAATTCAAGGACATATTAGCCAAAGCCAGGAATCTCATGAGTCGTTCTCCACTCCCGAATGGAACGTCATTTACCAACGAGGTGGGATGGTTACCACTGATCACTTTTGTGGCATTGAAATGCCGCATACATGCAGTGCGACTTGGGGCACTCGAATTGCTACGTGAATCGCGTTGGCGAGAAGGGCCATGGGATGGCATGAGTCTAGCACACGCTGTGAGCAATTTAATACAGCTTGAAGGCCAGCATGACTGGAACGATAGCCCAAGTGATTTACTACCCTCATCTGGGATGAGATATGTGTGGACGAACATGTTCTGGGACTTTGAGAATCGGCGCATGACCATGGAATACACTAAAGCATGGGCTGATGAGCCAGGTGAGCTAGAGAAGGTGACACGCACTGTCAGCGGTTAAACCGCGGCTGCTCGAAACTAATAAGTAGGACTATGTTATAGGGGGAGGGCAATAGATGTTAAATGTCGATAGCTGCAGTGTGAGGCTAGTTTCGGATCATCGGCTTATGAAATTTGATGATTATCGTATAAGGGCGCATCGAGGTGCGATTACCCACAATTGTCCAGATACAGTGCGCATTGGCCTTCGATACTTAACTATGTATCCTTTATCGAGACCATAGATTAGATATATATATATATATATATATATCTATGATAATTTTAGTGAAAACAAGTACATACGACCATAGCTCTTGTAGACAACCTCTAATAAACTTCTATCATAAGAGAGGCAGAGAATAACCTCTTGGAGTCGGTTACTCATAGGCTGCTGAAGCTCTGCGGTCTGTTACGGAATGACTTGTGCAATCCGGGTTGGGAGCGCTGCCGCGATCGGGGTTGTGAGCACTGTCATGATGATGTTACACATGGAGGCTCTTGAAGAAATGTGCTAGGGAGACAAGAGGTTCCCCGACCTTCATGATCTCGATAGCTTAGCCACTCAAGTACATTTTGAAAGACGTCAGATTCCAGTATTCAATCAACCTATCCATGTGAAAACCGGACTCGTTCGTGATATATTCAACTAATTAACCTGAATTTGACGCCCTGTGTGTGTGGGTCGTTTTGCTCATGTGAAAGAGGGTAAATGTCCACTGTCAATTTGAAGAACCCTACTGCCCTATACATGGCGCACAGCACAGTATCGTTAAGTATCTGGCCAGCCTCGGTACAAAACGCTTGACGGCGTACCTCATCTTCCTCGCGCCGTATAGCCCAGTCCCAGATGAGAGGATGCAGATGTATCTTGAATGGCCTCAGGTACTTCGAAGGTAGGATTTGAAGTAGTGTAAAGTCGTCAAGTTCCGTCACGAAATATGAGAATTTGTCGCGGCTGAAAGTACCGTCCTGGTTCTCAAATTCTGTAAGCCAAGAGGAGTGTTGGGGCCGGAATGTACAGTCAATGCTTTGCTAGAAGTGTTTATCACACAGAACGTGGGAGGTCTTTCCAAGCTGAAGGAATACACAGGTTAACAGAAAGTCGCATCGATTTCGAAAATCTTCCTGTGCCATGTGGCGCTTCTTGAGCTTGTTTAGGCGAAGTTCCCATGTAGCAAAGACACCTAATTTATGACCCGAGAATTCATGATACCTACGCGCCAGGCCCGCGTGGATTTCCTTGTATACTTATTTGATAGACGCCTGTATGATAGCGAGCGGAAGATACCCTAGTCGTTTGACGACAGCTCCGACGTCTTCCGCATGTCACTCGACCTGGTCGTTTTGACTTCCGAGACGGCCTGCAAGGGGTCTCAAAAATTCCTTCTCTTCCATCATATCAATCTCCATGATCTCATGTATACCAGCTTTTTGATATTTTTGTTGCAGTTAGTTATTAAAGCAAGTCATGGCCCTTACTATGGGATGAACTGTCATAATAAATCCTCAATATCATGAATATTGTCAAATGACACGAGGAACGACCGCTTCTACTGTCTCGACCTTTTTTCTCTCTCTTTTTCTTTTTCCCTTTCTTTTTCCTTTATTCTTTTTCTTCCAAAAATATAGTTAAATAATAAATCCATTTCGTCAACCGAATCCTGATTTCTTGGCTATGGTTCCTGATATAGAGATTTTGCAGTTAGATGGATAATCTCGTCGAATGCCGTTTCTACGGATGCCGTTGAAAACGCATTGATCCAAAATCCAGTCACAAAGACTTTGTCATAAGGTTTCTGGAAGAGATTTAGGGCAGTTTGAGTCTTTCCTACACCTCCTGTTTCTCTTGGAGCCACTTTTTGAGTTTCTCTTGTCTTGTTGGTAACGAAATTCCGTTGGTCATGGAGACGCTCTAATATGGGGTCTCAGCTAATAAAGTCCCTTGAGGGGAGATGGAGTTTATCCAAATCAAATGGTCGAGTTGACCTGATTCAAAGTGTTATTTTGTTCAAAGTCAAGACAAGTTCAAACCAACCGGTGCGTAATTGGCTTATGATCGAGAGGATTCGAATCAGGGCGCCGAAACCTTTCCAGAGTTGCTATAAAGTCTTTGTAGTCAGCGCTGGTACTGCCCCTAAAACTCACCATTTATCGGTGGTCTGCAGTAGTAGGATGGAACTCTTCGTTCTTGAACATCAGAGTGGTGGAAGTTTGATCAACGACTTTGCGACAGCCAACTAGACTAGGTCTCGGATACGAACGTATTTGGCCTGTGAAAAGGCGTTCTCACCAATCCCAGGCCAGGGACCGGCCTCGTCTCGTAAAAGGTGAAGACTGCAATGTCATGGATTGAATCAACCTTGTGGAACTCATCAGTTGGATGGAAGAGCCCGTGTGGCAGCAAAGGCGGAACCACTATGGTTTGCGCAAAAACGTGTTGAATCGTCCTCGGTACTTTTCAACAGTGGCAGTTACCACTAAACCCAGTCACATTATTTTGTTCGTTCCCGGTTGGTTTGGTGTTGGTGTATGGATTTGTGGCCTGTGCAGCCGATTGCAGCCTAATCGAGCTCGTGAGGAGTTTACAGTGCTGACAGGACCTTGGAGACATTCCCCTTTGAGTGGCTGAGCGTACATGGCGCATCTAAAATACTTTCGTCAATTCTTCATCATGAACTCCGGGTCTGGAACGCTGCGATTGCAAGCGAACAGATTCGAAGTATAAAATATCCCACGTTAGATATGGTGCGACCAAGCTTTGAATGGTCGATCACAGAGGATTACAAAGGAGATTCCTTATGACCTCGTTGCAGGTCGAAGACTCTGTGCAATGACACAAAGGACGGGCTCAGGGAACAACTCACCATCTCAAAAGAAAGTACATCAAGTTCCATAGGCTGACACAAGAATAACTGATGTCGCATTTCCATATTGGGATGTTAAAACCGCATTGTAAATCGCCCTTGTAGCTCTAAAAATAGTTTTGGGGGAAGGCGGGATCATATCATATGCGCCTCAGCCATCAAGCACATCACTGAAAACCCACACATCTGGCGCATTTGTTTTAGTACGCAGTCATAATTTGTAACAGATATAATGAACAGTAATGTAACTGTGAGTGTGAACATGATGTCTTGACTAGACCAAACAAAGATATTGTACGGCCGCGGCTGTCTGCTGAAGGACCTCGGGGGGATTTCCAAGAGCTGAATTAATACTGGAGGGCGGCATTGAAATTAAAAACAATCTTAGAGAGACGATTCAAGGTGAAAGTCGCGCATTGGTGAGTTACAGCTGCGAGAACAGCCGTTTCTTACAAAGCTTTTTGCGGACCTATGTAGCCTGTTTCGAAATCTCTTTCGCTGTGGAGAAATTATAGTGCTAGTTTCTGAGGTTAATCGATTGTCATTGATATTTAGGCTCGTTGGTTCTTCTAACCTTAGCTATTCGTATCCTGGGCGTTTGTCTTTGGGCTTGCCATGTTCAACTAATGTCAGGTGTGCGTCCACTTCTGAACATGCTTTTCACTTCGCTATATTACAACCAATTTCATCGTAATGACGTGTTATAGAATAACGACAGTAATTTTCAGTCGTTTAAATACACCTGATTCGATTCTAACTTTTGATCTCCACTGTGCTCGCTGTTTAACCCAAAATGTCTATTAGTCCGTCCTCATCATCATTGCCGCTTTCGCATTGCATCTATTTCTCTTCCTTACTGTTATCTTTGTGAATCTTGACTCATTATATTGACTTGACACAATAATTTGGAACTTCAAAACATTGCATGAAAGTCTATTATTGAAAAATTCTAGTTTGTTTGAAGCCACTCGAAGCTCTTTTGTTCCGGTTTCCAAGGGTGGTGTTGCCGCCGTACACGAATAGGAATTACGGCACAGTCCAACTGAATGCCAATTTTAGGATTGATCAACCAAGCCACTTACGCAGCGCAGCCCCTGATAGGAAAGGCATGCCCCATGCTCATTTCCGCAACAATCCCAAAGTTCCCATTGCCAGTACTTGAGAAGGAAGGTATTTCATACGGGAGAATATGTACTTGTTTGACGTGAGACCAACGCGGTTACAAGCGATTGTGCATGTATGACTCACCATTTATCCTGTTACATATCGTAATGACAGCTACCTACAGACAACATGAAGTAACACCAATGACATCGTTACGATTAGAAATAAAAGGTTTGCAGCTTGTGTCAGACAACCTATCAAGGAATGGAACGTTGACAAAGCCCTAGCGTTGGCTATAATGGTGATGTGCCACATTTGTGGTAGCACCTCTGAAAAACCTGGTAAAGGTTTCCATACGCGTCACTTTCGCTAAAGTTGCATTAAGTACAGACTCATTCGCGACGGCTTACCGTGCAGTCGTTACCAAGGGGAACGTCTTGAAATTTACTGAATGTGCCATTATCCGTTGTGGAGGACTTCAACTTAATGGTATGGTGGACGGGATTGACTTGAACAGAGCAGAATTAGAACAAGCCAATCTTCTGGGCGCTGAGGAATGCGCCGCGAATCTCGCGTCCATGGATTATGCTATAGACGTTATCATTGAGCTTCTCTGTTCTCGAGCAACGATGGAGCAGTGAAGCCGGGCGGACAGGTAGTACTTCTTATTTTAGCAGCTGAGATTATTTCGCTCCGATAACGTCCATTGTTACTCAGAATATCTTCTGAGAGGTTCTACAAGTGCTAGTCTTGCAGAGCTATATGAGGTCTTACGACTGATCTACCTCAGACTTATAGGTTCTCAGATACAAGACATATCATTCGCTGAGGTCCCACACGGCCTCAAACTTCTAACTCAAGGTGGCGTTCATGGCCGCTGGTGCGCATTATTCCAAAAAAAATTCGAGTGGAGAATGTCGTAGTATTGGCGCGGTATAAAGTGGATCATTGATTTTGTATGCTAAGCGTAAACCTCTTAAAAGTCATTACAAGTACCGTAAGTAAAGATTAAATGGAGGTATAGTGAGTAATATATAATGAATAAAATATTGTTATCGCGGGCTATGGCCCGGTAAGGGGCCCTTGGGTACCCCTCGGCCGATTATCGATCAGGAGCCTGGGCCATGGCGACTCTCTTTTATTTCCCCTGGTTAAACGCATAAGTACCTTCTCTTTCTCCTTTCTCAGTTTATCATACACGTATACAATAGGCTCAAGCTCCCGTTAAACAAGGCCCTAGGTTAGACCATTATAGCGTGTCAGGCTTATACTAATAAGGTATGCTAGCCGCAAAAGTATGACTGTAGAGATAGACCTTAGCCTACTATACTAAGCAAGCCGTGGCCGTCAGCTAAGTCCACTTGGCCAGCACAGACTCGGTCAATAGTATATCCTAAAGTTTCTTACTATTAACTTACTGAAACTCGCCAAATTGCTAAGGAGCATTCTTACGAAAGGGCTCGGTTAATGGTAAGTTGATCAAGACACACTCAGGGATAAATGCACGGCAATGAACTGTCAATCCCAGAAAAAGGATGGTATCTGAAACATTCTTGATCTCATTGAACTAGAGTACGTTGATCGCTAATCGGCCCTCAGGTTTCGTTCTATAAGCACTGCAAAAGTAGATGTGTGGCACCATGGTCGTTAAGGGCTGCTGGTCGTGTCGTCAGCTAGCTCACATCTCACCAAGCCCTAGTCAATAATGATCAAATGTTCCAGTACCTATCTGAGGGTTTCTGGATACGCATTTTCATCGTTATAGATCGATTGTAACCAGTTATACTGATGTTATCAACAATTACGACGTAACTTTGGGAATCAAATCATGTAGTATCCTGCCCAGGACCATTGTACAAATGAGCGACCGAATCCATCGTTCCATAAAGGACAGTCGACATCCTTAATAGACCGATAGGTGGAATAAATCTTATGATATCTCGTTGTTTCAAGACCTTGACCGATTTTCTTATCCGCAATAAAGTAAGATGTTGATACTTTAAGAGAAGCTGTGGGCTAGATTTGATACATTATTCGATTACGAAATGCTAACATGAGGCGATAACTTGCAAAGTACTAGGCTGATATTGTGTTAAGCTTTTTTACCTTCGAGGAAAGGATAGAAACGGTGAGGCATTTTCGAAATGTGAGAGCCATTAAATGATAGGAATGCTAAAAATGATGTCGTTCAAAGTTGCTCGTTAGGCTTACTTGACTGCCTGATTCATGGGCTACACGTTTTCGCGTTACACTTTACAGGGCAAGTAATCCCTTTTCGCCATTTAGGGATGTCCTTCGAACGCTGAATTGGCGCTTACATGGGTTACCACGAGAGAATTCCCGGTGTTGTATGTTTGTGCATTTCTGTATGATTCTGTCTTTACTAGACTAACTAGTGCAACTTCACGACATCATCTCGAACCCGATGTGAATTGCAAGTTCTGTTCTGATCTTATTCAAGAAATTGCAAGCATATCCTAGAACGTGTCAATGCATGGAAAAGCAATAGAACCATCCAAAAAGTGGGAATGGTCAGACAACGTAGTTGAAAGTTGATTAATCAAGACCACAGGTCTCGGCGTCCACAACTAGCCCGTCTGAAGTTGACAATAAGCCTTTAAAGTTGCGGCTCCTGCCAAGGATTGTGGGGTGTTTCTCATGTTTCGACTATGGCATCTAAATCCACCAACCACCATCAAGACGGACCCAAGACGCCGTGGCGGACCGGGAAAGTCTGGTCATGATCACCATAACACTGCATGGTCCCCTTCCGTTCTACCAAAATCGGTCTACATGCCCAGGCCTGAACCGGGAATAATATTGGATGAACTGCCGCTGTCGATGCGTCTGACAGGTCGCATGACGACGCCGTTGGCTACCTCTCCCTGTCGACTGGGAGTTATACTGCCCACAACTGTGGGGCAAGCCAATAAAATTGTGGGAAATTGGTTGCTACGATCCGTTGGGACATGGCAATTAACATCCAACAGGTCCATATGACTAAAGCAATCAAGGCACACCAACACACCAGCATCTTCTACGGCACGGGGGCATATAGAAGGATGTAAAGCATGTATAAGAAGCTCATGGCTTCTAGTATAGTTGACGACCACTTTTTTCTGGTATTCCGATCTACAGCACACCATTTAGCTGTGCTATTCAATTCTATAATCTCAGCAGGCTGAGTCATTCAAAAGCCAGCCGTGCTCTGATCAATACCAACATTAAACATGCACGCCGTAGCCACCGCTCTCCTCGGGCTCGGGGGCGCTGCTCTCGTTGCCGCGCACGGATATGTCGACAATGCGACCATTGGCGGAACCTACTATCGGTTTTACCAGCCTTACACCGACCCTTATACATCGCCTATTGTATGTGCTTCTAAAAAAATTTCCCTTCCGCTAGGTGGGAGAAGTATTTACTTATTTGCGTCGACAGCCTAGCAGAATCTCCCGCCCCGTCCAGGGCAACGGTCCTGTCACTGATGTGACGTATGCTGATCTCCAGTGCGGTGGTTACACTGATGGTGGTATTGTCGGTTCATCTCCTGCTGCTCTACACGCACCAGCTGCTGCCGGTTCAACCGTCACTCTCCACTGGACGCTGTGGCCCGAGTCTCATGTCGGCCCAACCATCACCTACATGGCTGCTTGCCCTAGCACTGGCTGCACGAGCTACATGCCAGGCAACGCTGCCGTTTGGTTCAAGATCTCCGAGGATGGTCGTGACGGCACGAGCAACACCTGGGGTGACACTGGCCTCATGACAGCCGGCAATGCCGGATACCAATATACCATTCCTTCATGCTTGAAGTCGGGCTACTACCTTGTCCGCCATGAGATAATTGCTCTGCACTCTGCATACAGCTACCCTGGCGCACAGTTCTATCCAGGATGTCACCAAATTCAAGTCACTGGCTCTGGATCTACCACCCCTAGTGGATTGGTGGCTTTCCCGGGGGCCTACAAAGGCTCGGATGCAGGAATTACATACGATTCATACCAAGCCACAACTTACACTCCTCCAGGCCCCGATGTGTTCAGTTGCTAATTTGTTGACCGGAAATGGCCCGAGTTGGGTTGGAAACCTTATTGATTGGCATACGCAATGGCTTCGATTTCATCTGCTGGCCCTGTTCTCTGTAAATATTCGAATTTAACATAGATACTTTTCGAAACCACCAATCGCCTGGATCTTACGTGAATCCTTGTACTTCTTTGTGTATTTAAATCTATGCGCTGCAGTTGGCAGTATTGAAAATCGTGCACGTCGATTTCTCCCAATTGCCGAGTTGTAGCCGATGTGTCTGATTTGATGTCTCACAGCCACAAGCAGTTATCGATCATGGTCGTGAGATCAATGAGGATGTAATTGAGCCTGAGAACCGACTCAGGGAGTTGCGTCTCAGAACAACTCGCAACCTGAGCTGTGTCGCGAAAAATAAAAATAAATTCAAGAAAAAAATTATAATAAGGGATTCATCGCCCAAAACCACGTGACAGGTTCTTGAATAGGTGTGTTCTGCATCTAAACCTCGAAGTGCGAGAAGCAGGTGCCATCGATCCAAGTTACCTGATATTGCGACGCTACAACGTTTTAAAATAAATCGATAACAAGGACCAGCTGCTGTTGAGGTTAGTCAAAACATTGTATTGAAGAATGTAGATGAATCTTGCCAGTTTCGAAATCTGTCCGCGGCGGCTTGTTAAGACACAAGATATTTGATGTTCATTTGAAATGTTTGACCGTCTAGGGGATGTTCCAAACAAAATCAGCGATTGATACATGACATCTGCCTCATTTAGCTTAATGAGCATGTGTAAGTGCAAGTGCGCCGACAAGATCAGGTTACACCCGTATACAAGATGATTTCGATTAGTCTGCTGCAACCTAAAGTTTACGCTTTGTGCTAGACTAGTACCGATAGATATGTAGACTTGCAGGTAGTGCGGCGTGATTTCAACAGTCGTGATCTGTCATCGCTGTCACTTAAATTAGTGAAGCGTACGTAAAGTCTAACTTAGTCTAGGTTTCATTCCTCCCCGAGAATATCCTCAGAGCGGGTCACAAAAGAGATTGAGCCACCTAGTCTAGTCTGTATTTAGCTTTGGTAGGGATTCTGAGGGAGTACTCTGTATCATCTTCTCAGTTCGCAACTGCGTAAGTCAGCCAATTGGGTCTTTTGGACTGATCAAAACACAAGTTTGATCATGTAGTTCCAAACTTCCTTGATACATATCATACACTTAGTTCCATAGATCCTCCGATGCCTATTGTGGTAAAATGTATAGACGTAATTGCTGGATTTGGTGGGATTAGTGCTCGTGGCTCAAGCTCTGTGTGAGTCGCTCTCACACTATCTCATGCTAATGAATTCTGATGCGGGTAAGCGGTGCCGTCTTGTGTTTATACGATCAGTGCATTTCCTTCCAGTTGATCAACCTCAAGTGTGGTGCACCAACCGAAATGTGCACTAGGCGCCAGCATTCTCACGATTCTCACTGGAGGCGCGTTGGTCCTCTTCGGCCCTTGCGTCAAAGTGCCAAGGCACTAACTACTGTGAGTAATTAGGTTGCGACATGTTCGTTATGTCAAGGGACCAGGCTGATGCCTATGCAAAACGCCAGAATTGTGCAAATATTTCAAGAAATCCCATGAGCCTGGTGGAATACAATTTAAACGGGCTAGCGTAGTGGCTTGTGGTATGGTGCGATGCCCGGTATTCCGTACTTTGTGAGGCGAGACCGACTCAGCGCCGGGGCGCTTTCCATGGGTCTCAGTTATGGCAGAGGAAGCGTTAGGCCAGCAGTTGGTTTCTAGTTGTCAATAATAGCATTATGACGATGGTCATGCAACTCTTAAACTAAGATTTGGAGGAAAGGATCACTCAACGTGGTGCGCGTGTGTTCAACCGCTGACGTCGTCGGGGAAAGGATGCGTTCCTCTCACAATGCAGAAGCCGTCACCAGCTTCCAGTAATGCACCTGGATCCCTCCAGTGCGGCGCAGCTGCTCAAACAGCCCCATCTGCCCCAGACTCCTAGGCCTAAATGTGGTAAAGGGTCCTGCCAAGTCTGCATTTTTAGCAACTGCCTACTAAGTACAGGGGTTACAGCAGACGATTTAGAGTGAAGGCACGGTGCGCTAAAGCAAGACAGCAGCGACCTGGCAATCCCAAAAAGAAACCCGGCCTAATTTTTGAGGCTGATGCTAACTGCGGGCGGCTGCTCGTGATAGGATATTACCAACATTAAATGCACGCACTCACGGGCAGATGTATGCTGGGACTTATAAGCCGTGGACGGCCCAATCGTCCTATAAGCCCGACCTCTTCTCACTACACCGCTGTTCCGACAAGGCCATTTAGTAAACGCTCATCCATCGAAGACATCCCCTGTTTTGATGTTTCTACATCACATCGACCTATTGTGATAGCATAGTGGATACATGTCCGCTTTTGTTTTGGAAATATCCGGGCATCCAGAGAACACGACTAAGTTGATTTTGTGGTTGGAGTGCGCACAATCAAGACACCATGGAGTCCACGCATCATCAAAACCCATACGCCATGGCGGAAAAGATTCTGCTATTTACGGCGACATTTAGTTTGGCAATTTCGATGCTTATAGAAGCGATTTTACTATTTAGTACGCGCAAGACTAGCGCTTTCGTAAGTCCATTTGCCCTCAACGTCTGCAGAGATTCACGCGAGTAACACCATGTCAGACGAAACGATGGCTTCGACGAGGCCTTTTATCAATACTGGCTGTCAACTCAGTGTTCTCATTTGGAAGCCTTGCGTTCTTTACTGCAATACAAATCGTGAACAAGCACTCTGAAAAGCTTATCAAAGAAGGAACTGGGTACGAAGTCGGGCATCCAACATATGGCGCTATCAGCATTGGGCAACAGGGCCTTGCACATGGACAGTGGTCACAAGAAGAGAGCAGACGCATGATCCCATGGCAACTATCATGCCTGGGCATCTTTGTTTTTTCTGTTCTGCTTTTGGTGTCGGCATGGCTTGACCTGAGAGACGAGAAAATGTGGATGCGTGATGAGGAACAGACCTTTGGTGAAAAGGGAGCAATTCATTTATAGTACTATGTTGGTTGGTTGAGCGTATGATACCCGAATCTGATTTATTTATCCTTCGCCAGATGCAGCTTTCAGCAGCACCATCTTCCCGAGAGTTCCTGTACCGATGCCGTTTACCCCGATGCTCATCTTCCCTCATGTTCTCCGACGCGGCTCCTACGCTGGATGTGACTGGGACACATACGACCAGCAAGCACATGATCCAACTTCGGAGTTTTTGGAGACACCGACGCTATTCGCCGTTCTATTGGAAAAGGACCCACCTCTTGGCGCTTATGATGACCTCGGGAGGCTGCTCCAATATTTCGGCTTCAGCCGAATTTCAAATACGAAAGCGCTGCCAGGTGTCCCCGAACAAGCATGGCGTTGTTTCCAAGTTTAGATGTTTAGAGCTCGTTGTGGGGAGACGGTTTGCGCGCTGGTACAACTAAACATGCCTGTACCATTGGCTGCAAACCGCTAGGATTTCAGAATGAACGCTCGCAACTTTCTATTTATTAGACGCCAAATCCGCCGACCAAATCGCGAAGCACAAAGTCTATCAATCACGTCTTGTTTGCAGAGTGTATAATGCCGTTTTCAGCGCGAACGTTTACTTTGAGCCGGTATAAATACTTTTGGTGGATACGCTATCTGGGCGGACAAATTTGTGAGAAGCGTTGCACACTCTCACACATTTACTAGTTCCAGAGCTCGTTATCACGCCCGAAACATGTCGCCAGGGTTAGCCACTGTGGTCAATGTTCTCAGAATGCCCCCTTTCATTGTGCACAGTTCGGATTAATCGAGTAACATACAGTCAGTCACAAGAAGGCCTGCTTTGGAAAAGAAGAAGGGTTCCAATTAAGGCCAGAGCGAGTGGCGTGATGCGCATTGCGGCAATCTATCCGATCAGATATGGAAGGTCGGCAGGGCTCTTGTTAAGATATGAATTCTGACAGGAACAGTAACACAGGATAGGCATTAGTGTGCCGTTTGTAGTCTTATTGACCACTCCCTACGACAATGCGATTTGTTCTCACCCGTTTTGCCCTGCACGGAGACGGTACTCTGCTTGTAGACGCCCACGTTGTTACATGACGATTCAAGTGTTCAATCAAACGAGAATCAATGGCAGCACTGGCGGCTCTCCGGACGCCCTCCACGTCTTAAGATAGAAGCTCGCTCTGTCTCGATATAGTTGTCTGTCGTTAAGATATGGCGCAAGCAATATTCAGAGAGATCCGGCATATCCGTGTCACTAATGACCGTGAACACAGCCGATTGGCGTATTCCCCACGTTACCCCATAAAGCACAATATAGCACTTCGGCCCCGCCATCAACGGCGGGTGTTAATGCGGGGGAACCTTCCCCACATCTTCCGCTGCGGACTACCATCTCTGCAATGATAGCTCTTGCAACGCGAGAACAAGGTTCTAATGAGCTGCAGGATTGCCATCTTTAGAAGTCCAAGCGGGAGGCCGTGGATTTCGGCTGACTCTCGGCATTGGAAGTTTGCCATATAGGTTTGGAGATCATCACATTCCAGCTGTGCATGTTCCTCCAGATTTGATGTTCCAACATCGTGGAGCCTCTCAAACTTATAACATCCGAGACGCTGCAATTGGGGAAGTGACAAGATCAAGATGCACTCTTTGGCTCTGATAGGTCTGGTAGGCTGCGGTCTCGTCGCCAACGTTATCCTCAGTATATACAAACACCTCTCATCCCCTCTGCGCTCCATTCCTGGACCATTCATCGCACGCTTTACAAATTTTTGGTATCTCTACCAACTGAGAGGAGGAAATTTTGAAGTTGTCAACCAAAGGCTACATGAGAAATACGGTATCCACTCCAGATGTATATGGTACTGAACATGTCAGCTCTGTTAACACGTAGACAGGTCCGATTGTCCGCTACGGACCAAACAGGTACAGTTTTGCAACCCTCGATGCTGGCAAAGCAATCTACGGCCACGGGACGTCTTTTCCAAAATCATCGTGGTACAATAGCTGGAGGGACCCGGGGACAGGAGTCTGGACACTTTTTACAGATCGAGACGTCAAGCGGCACGCTGGAAACCGGCGACTTTTCCAGAATACATACAGCATGTCGTCGCTGGTTTCATACGAACCGTACGTAGACGAGTGCGCAGATCTGTTCAGCACACGGCTCACTGAGATGGCGCAAGATGGAGTCAAGGTCAATATGGGACACTGGCTACAATGTTATGCTTTTGATGTGATCGGGTCAATTACATATTCCAAACGTCTGGGATTTCTGGACCAAGGGGACGACGTCGGTGGCGTGATCAATGCACTCGAGAATTTCCTCGGTTATGCGACGCTCACTGGCGTTTACGCGCACTTGCATCCATATCTGTTTGCACTGAAGAACTACATGGCGGGATCCAAGGGCGCGGGTCGCGCCTATGTGCAGAACTTTACCAAAGAGTGCATGGTTGAGCACCAAACGAATCCCAAAGCGCTCAGCACCAATGACAAGACCGATTTCGATCACGACGAGACGGAAGATGTCTCCGGGAAGGCAACCGACTTTCTCACCAAGTTCTTTTCTCGCCACACTCGTGATCCGGACACGTTCACTACTTACCACATCGCGGTTGGATGCGCTCAGAATATGGTGGCTGGGTCTGACACTACTGCGATCTCGCTCTCAGCCATCGTCTATTACTTACTCAAGAATCCGTCGTGCTTGCAGAAACTACGCGATGAGATCAGCGAGTTACAGGCCGAGGGCAAGGCCTCCGAGAAGTATGTGACATTCAAAGAGAGTCAGGAAATGCCGTATTTGCAGGCTACAATAAAAGAAGCGCTCCGACTGCATCCTGCCGCGGGCTTGCCACTGGAGAGAGTTGTCCCAGAAGGAGGCGCGACTATTAGTGGGAGGTTTTTCCCCGAAGGCGTACGTATAGTTCCAAGAGACTTACCAGCGGTGGGCTAACAGAGTTACGTCAAGTCCATCGTTGGCATTAACTGCTGGATCGAGCACCGTAACTCGCTCATTTTTGGCTCAGATGCCAATGAATTTCGCCCAGAGAGGTGGCTAACGGAGGATTCTGAGAAGCTTGCCTTCATGAACCGTCACTGGATGCCTGTGAGTTCTCACACCAACTATACTCCACTCCTTTGCTTTATTGAAGGCTGTCTATTTCCTGACATTAACATCCTTGTAGTTTGGCCTTGGTTCCCGGACGTGTATTGGCCGTCACATCTCCATGTTGGAGATTTCGAAACTTATCCCGCGCCTGGTACAGACCTTTGATTTCAGGCTTTCCGGTGATTTAGCACGATCTGATGTGTCGTGGTCGACTGACAACTACTGGTTTGTGAAACCAAAAGACTTTCTGGTGGAAGCGAAGTTACGTTAGTAATCAACAAATAAGCTGTGAACGGCGTACATGAAAGAAGGCAGCATTTGAGACCATGCTTCATCGGATACGAAGTCTGGATGTTGAACTTCTTAAGTGCGGGTGACGGTTAGCCAGGGGTGTGACAGGTGTCTGGGAGGATTGGGTTTCAGACACTGCCGTTGACGTGCAAGCTGCAGCTGGGTAGCACAAGGAAAATATGGCCAAGCTAAACCGACAGACCCGTCGAATGCAGTAGATACGAGAACGCAGAGTGTTACGCTTCATGTCCCAGGTTCATATACATATCAGCAGACCTGCTGATGCACAGGATTGGAGTCGTCTCAAAGATCGAGCAAAGTCATTCCAATAGTTCAGAACCGCATCCAAGTGATGTCCGCTTGCGCATGAAAGACTAGCAAACATGCGTGCCACTGTGCAAAATAGCCGAGAGTTCAGTGAAGAGCCGCTTTGACGTGGCAACAAGTGTAGTGCATTGCGCAACATCTCTCAAGCAATCATCTCCTGCGTACCACGTGATATCTGCATTCGGAAGACCTTTTCCCATTGACCGTCTTGCAAAAATGTTGTTGGTCCTTGATAGGTCTGACAGAAACAATTGTGGCAGTGAGCAATATCTCTTATCCGTACGAAAAACGGGTAGAAACCGGCACTGGACATGGTAGCTATCCGCATCTGACACTGGGTGCTGTTTAATATCATGCAACAATACATTTGGTGTAGTATGATATGCTTCTATGTTTAAAACAACCCATCTCCTCGGAATTAGCAGCTTCACCAGAAGTGACAACTATCCATACAAGCTGTACCTTGTTCTATTGCCTCAGATTAGCAACCGTATTAATGGCTAATCCTCTGGTCAACCTCCCAGCGACCCGCTCTACGGCGCCAAACACCGACTCGAGCAACTTCGTTGGCAGTATGCCGAGCCGACAAAGGATCTCGTCGAGGTTGCAACAATCCACCATTGCCCAGAACAGCAGGCTACGTCAGCTGTGGACGTCCCGATGGATCCATCCTCAGAGAAAGGCATACCTCCATGCCTTGGTTGACACGAGCAATTGCTGGTCACTCATACTCACCATTTTCTATATAAATGGTCTGGATCAAGCGCTGTGCAATGGCATTCCGCCAGGCGTGGAATTCTATAGGATTCACACGGCTGTAAGAGAACCAGGTTGTTGCATTCACGATGGGCGGGTATGATGACTAACAGTAGTCAGTGGCAAATCATTCTTGCAGCAGTCGTGGGCGGCTCGCTCGGCTCTCTTTTCAAGACGATTGGGGAATGGAACGAACAGATCCCTCGTCCGGGAAAGAACTTGGTCGTCGTAGGCCGCGTTCACCTGCCTTTGTGGTTGTACATGTGCCTTACGCTTGTCGGAACATTTACCCTTTCGTTTATGGCGAGCGGAGGCCTGAGAAAGATGCGCAGCTATGCACGGGCGGCGCAGGCTCCTAGTGAACAGTTTCCAACCAACTGGGCCTGGTATGGGGTTGTGACGGCGATATGTGATATCAGCCTATTAGCGGTGGCTGCTGATGCTATCATTCGGCACAAAATGATGGTCAGTCAGGAACGGGATGTTGTAGATGATACGGTCGATAAGCGGCCAGGGCAGTCAGGCTCGGCCTAACCAAAGGGGGTGTGTGGGTTCAAGGCCACGGAGCAAGTGCTGAGTATTTTGGAAGGGCAGCAGTCTCGGGTTCTCTCCTGTGGAAGGGTCGCGTTTGAAACTTTGGTCCAATTACTGAGTTGTAGCGAATGCTGAGCACAGTACGCAGTGTTACGGCTCGGAAGTTCCCTGTAACTCAAGTTAAACAGGACCCGTAGTGGCGATGACAGTGTGCAGACAGTGCATAATCAATACTTGATTACTGTCTCTTATCGGAGCTTCAATTATGTATGTAAGTTCGTTGACTGGAACCTGCAGCAGCTGATTTCCCTTGCAACTTGCGATCCAGGCATTCACATGCATTTCATTACTTCGGAGGTCTTAGGTTAGTTGGCAAGCACTTCCGGATCACCAGTTCACCTCCAACAGCCTGCTAGACCCGCTTTCACGCGTCGCAAATCCTCATCGACAACTTGCCGCATCTTCAACATCCCATCTGCATTTCGCAACATGGCGACAGAAGATGCCCGCTACCGGGCTTCGACGCAATATCGACTATGGTCGTTCACTCCTGCACAGTTGTCCTCTCTACGGAATGACAGCAACAGCCTTGCCAAGGCAGCAATTGCTGCAAGACTGCAGTCCTCGAACCCGCCTGTTGACCCGCTACCCGAGTTCCTGACGCCAGCCGAGGAGCTGTCTCTGCTCAACTTCTACACTGCCGAACTATTACGAGCCGCTGCTTTCCTCGAACTCCCAACCGAGATACGCGCAACTGCTGCTATCTTCCTGCGACGGTTCTATGTCACCAACAGTATTATGACCTATCCTCCGACTGAGCTGCTCAAGACATGCCTTTTTTTCGGCTGCAAGGCAGACGGCTACTACATGCGCCTTGCCAAATTCGCCGACAAGTTTCCAAACACAAGCGCCGAAGTCGTCTTGGCTGCCGAGTACATTCTATGCCAAGGCATTCGTTTCGCATTCGACGTCAAACACCCGTTCCGAGCTTTGGAGGGCACAATCATGGAGCTGAGAAGATTGGGCGATTTTGAGACGAAAAGAATAGACCGCGGCCATGGTCGGGCAAGAGAAATCCTCAAGTTCAGCCCTCTAGTCACGGACGCATACTTCCACTATACACCGAGTCAGATCATGCTCGCGGCTCTGGCAATGGCCGATGAGGGTATGGCTCAGCGCTTGTTAAGAGACGCATTCGCCGGCCAAGGCGAGGCCGCCAGAGATCAGGTCTGGAATGCCATTCAGTCATGCCGCGAGCTACTAGAGAAAGAACCGCCGGAAAAAACAAATGACCAGAATGTTGTAAGTTTGGACTTGAGAGAAGCAAGAAGAAAAAACCCTCTGGTGTACTGTTTGAGGTTAACACCAAGCAGCAGGAAACAAGTAAGGCCATGAAGCCGTTCGTCAGGAAGCTCAAGAAATGTCGCGATCCTGATCGAGTAGACCTTGTTGCGCTGCAGAAAGCTCGGCGTGAGCAAGCAGAAAAGAAGAAGCCGAAGCCCGCAAAGAAGGAAGACGCTTCAGTATTTGGCGCTACCCTGGTTGAACCAGATGCCAAACGACGAAAGACGACTGACGATCCATTCGGACCTCCCTTGGGTTAGGGCCAAGACCAACCCGGTAGACATCTATGAAGTAAACTCATCACTTGATTTAACATCCTTATTATCGGTTGTATTTTCGAATTGACTAGCTATGCTACGATTCTGCCTATGAAGCATCAGACTTCGGCGATCATATTACACCAGCTTCATGACTTCAGTATCTGTAGCTTGACTTGATTTTAGAAGGGCAGTCGCATCGACCACTGACTTTTATTAAAAGTCTCGCCAACCTAGCCCTATGAGATAGGTAGGCTTACACGAAATACGCTTGCGCCGTCGATGGGGTGAATTGGCTGCAGCGCATCGCATTAACCCAGGTGCTTTGCAGCTTGTGGCCGAGGCATATTCCCTCAGTCATCCGGCCGCCCAATCCTTCGATTGAGGTCTCCAGCGCTACCCAGGCCGCTACGCAGATTAGATTATCGAACGTATCATTGACAATCGAGACTTTTATACTCAATGCTCATGTATCCTTTATCTGTAATCGCCGGCGCAACTGGTATTATCGCGTTTTCGTTTCAAACAGCAGAGGTACTCCTGACAGGCGGTTCGCACGTCAATCATCAAAGCGAGGACGGCGAACGCATTGTATTAGGCTCCGCAATGTGACAACCCCGAACTTTTACATCTGCTCCTGAACCATGGTAGCAACATCAGCCTAGCAGATGAATCGGGATATATCCCCTCTACCTCGCTGCGTACAATGGTCATGTCGACATCACGAAGATCGTCTTAAGAATATGGCGCCGATCCAAGCTTAACAACAGCAGGAGGAGATACGCCTGCAATGGTGGTGCAGGAAGAAAGATACCCCGAAGTTGAGAGGTTGATTGAGCAAGTAGCTGGGTCCATGATACGTCAAATTTTTTTATTTTTTTTACACCCTCAGGACTGATTATGAATTCCTGACCAACGCTTTCTATATCGGTAGCGTATCATTGACGCTCAAACAAGATCCCAATCCAGGGCTTTGGATCCTACTCGTTGCATTCACTACATAGGCCTGCAACGGACTCGTCCCGCATTTCAGCCCTAAAACGAACGCCTTTGCGAACACGTCCGCCAAGTATGGACTCGTATGTGTGTTGTCCATCGGGAAAGCAGCATTCACGACATCGGCGCCGAGTAATTTCAGTGCTTGAGCATTGTAGCTGCTATGATCTACGTAGTAGATACCTGCATTAGGACCGCCTAGAGACGAGACGATATACCATGAGTAATAAGAGTACTTGGTCGGCGTCCAAGCGAATGAGCCGTCGGTGGTCAGATATGGATTTGTGGGCGTGGGCGGCGAGATAATAACTCGAGCGCCAAGGGAGAGGAAGATGGATGATGCGTTCTGGAGGTATGTGACATACGTCTGTACGATCTCAGTTTGATTGCTGTGATTATTGGTCAGCTATTGGTTGCATCTTCTGATACGGTTCCATATTTGGGGCGGCCTCAACTTGTAACTGCCGATGCAAGTTTCATTACCCATTCCAGGGCAGTCAACCCGGGACTTTGTATCGTTTGCAGGCACCGTTCCCTTTCCGTCATCTAGCACTCATATTAACCTCAATTCAGCCATCGTCTATCCAGGAAGGGAGTTTACCATCGTTATGGCCAAACTCGATTACGACCCAGTCTCCTGGTATGATCTTGTCTGCCACTGCCTGAAATCTGCCCTCTCGCGTAAATGTCCTCGCACTCCGTCCGGCATATGCCGAGTTGTTAATTCGGATTAGATCGGAATCGAAGGAGTAGTGCAAATATTGTCCAAACCCCTCCGTACCATTATGTCCTCCGCCCGGTGCCATCGTGCTATCGCCACATAGCCATACAGTATGGTTCTGCGAGGGCTCCGCAGCCGTGGACGGATATTTGGCCGCAGTCAACGGCAATAGCGATATCAGGTATAGGAACCTCATTGTACCACTAATATTTCATATACCGTCTATCACAGGTCCAGTATGAGTACCCAAGACTGAGCCGGTCCCGTCTGTCAAAAAGCAAGTTTATATATACTCTTGGCATGGCGACTTAGCATATCTTTCCCAATTCTTCCCTGTGGCCGGAACAAGGGGCAACTATGCGGATGAACTCCACTATCTCCGCAAAACTATATACGCAAAAATGCGGGGAATTAAAGCCACCATTCACGATACTCAACCAATTTGTGAACCAAGACGCTACGATTCGGGGCTCGGGGCAGCAATGAGCGAATATGTTGTTATTCGTTCAGAAAATCAAGGACTACTCGGCACGAGGCTGGTCGAAAACCTGTACTGAAGGCATCCCGATGACGAAACCACCACGTTCGTACATACCCTATCTCATACAGAAGTGCCAACCGTTCGCAGGTAGACGTGATGGAAACAGAGGTTTGTGTGCTTTGCCCGATTTACTAGGCAAACATAGCCACTAGTCCTGCAGCCACAGATGCGATGATCACTGAACCCTGCAGCCTGGAAGCTGAAGACTGCGACGTGCTGCTGCTACCGGGCTCAATGGAGTCTGCTCTGGCACAAGTCAACTGTACAGTAGGCTTTGTCCCGTCACTCGCATTGGCACGGTTGTTCCAGCCCCAGACGACGAGCACCGGCCAGATTTTCCTGGTGGCACTGTCGAATGCTGTGTTGTCGCTCGGCTCGTGGGCATCGGATGCTGTCACATAGATTTCCGTCCCGTTGAGATGGTCGATCGGGTACTCTGTGGTAGAAATGCCTCAGTTAACACGCTGGTCTCCCTCCAGAGATCGGAGGTGGATGACTTACGCTGCGTCGTCAAATTCGCCTGTTTTAGCGAGTTTCCGCAGCTCGAAGGCGTCGCTGGAAGTCTATAGCAATCTTGATCATGGGCGAACGCATCCGCATACACGCTCTGGATGTCTTCAATGCACTGCGCCGACAGTGAGCTGCATGTCCCGTTGTCTGCGGCCGAGGCGTCCTCCTCGGGCCCATCCGTCATGACGGTGACGCAGATCTTCCATGTCGTCTCCCCGGCATCTCTGGCGTCCGAAGAGCTCATGGCGCTGACGACGCTCTGGGGCGCACTCAGAAACAGACTGGTGCCCGTGAATACCTTGCCGCTCGCGCTCTTGTTGTTCAGGGTCTCCGAGTCGGGAATGTTGCCGGTCACGTTGACCGAGAGCTGCCAGCCGTGAATCTGCTCGCTCGGAAATCCTTGAGACAGGTCGAAACCCGTTATCGAGAAGTTCCCGGTGGCGTTGGGCTGTGCTAGATTTCTGTCCCAAGTGGTCTGGTCAAATTGGATTGCATTGCCTTGAACGATGGTTCCTTGCGCTGGCCATCCTGGAAGGGCTAGGACGGCTGTGGAGATACAAAGACCGATTGTAAAGATCGAGCGTCGCGTATGGTCTGCCATACTAGAAAAGAACAAATCGACGAAGGATCTATTGGGTTGGAGACAAGCTAATTGTGTTCCTGATATGACGTCCATGATCCTCATTTAAAGAAATCCACTGTAAGCCACATCTGAAGATCCGGGGTAGCTAGGTTTTACCCCAGATTTTTCGCTTCGGTCCGGCAGTATCATGCAAGAGCGCAGATCACCGGACAGGCTCGTGATGCATGACGTTGCGGCCAGAGGTGTCGTGAGCTGCAACAGGTTTAAGGGGTTGCACATCTATAGCTCGCTTGTCATACTAGTCATAATAAACAGCCAGCTGGTTGGCTGTGGGGACGCACACGAGGATGGCTTCGAATGCGGGGGGCTACGTTAGCTGTTTCACATTATTCCCGATTGACTCTGAATTTGAAGAGAGCGGGCATATTTGACCGTGACTGGTGCTTGCTCAGCTTCCTGTACGTAAGACGGCAATTTGTGTAGCGGGTTGTATGCAGTGGGATCGAAGATGGTCCGCAGCCAAGTACACAAATGCTATTGCAGGCACAATAACAACCATAATCAACCCATTGATGTGCGACGTGCCAAAAACGAACCACCCTCAACGAGCACAGTGGTTTTCGAATAGTAACGGAGTCTTTAATTATGGCATTGAATTACGAACATAAGTCTAGTGGACAGCCGGCTTGAGTGCCGTATACATCGCCGCCTACACCACCAAGCTGTAGAGCGGCGCCTATCACTCCACCCAGACCCTCTCCAGCAATAAGCCCAGCTGCCATGGCGTAGCAATATGTGTCGTAGCTCGCCCTCCTTCTATTCATCCACGTGTAACTTATTACCGCTCCCATCAAGGTCGCAGTGCTATAGTATGTTTGTGGTAGCACAAAGGCGACACCGACTGCCATCCAGTTTGGTAGATAAGACCGATACTTTTCTCTTTTGTCGTTCAGAAAAATGTGCTTGAGCACGACTTGTATAATCGCAATCGCTCCCAAGACGCATGAGAAGATTCCTGAGGAAACGGGTATATCCAGATCTCCTGTGACAGCTTGGGCAATAGCGCGCCACGCTGTAACCGAAGGGGCCGAGAAGGTACAGGTCCCAGGGTATTCGTCCGGGTGAATGATACACGGGTAAGCCGATGTGAACAGGACAAATACACCAGGAGCAATGAACATGGCAAAAATAGCGCCGATGACTTGGGCATAGAATTGCTTCTTGGGCGGAGTTCTCAGCAGGAAACCTGTACGGAAATCAGATGTTAATTCCTGCGCCATCTCAGCAGCACCCGAAGCGATACTTCCAGCCACAAGGTTGACCGTCTGCGCTTGAGGAATTGTGAGCCCTTGGCCAGAAGTAATGCCTCCAAAAACAAGCTGCGCGGCGTTAGCACTAGCTGTCAGAGGAGCGATGTCGGTCACTCCAGCTCCGTGGATGCCCAAGAAGGCGAAGAAAACGGCCAGTATAGAGGCGACTATTGCGAGTCCAGCATTCACATTGAATTGAACTTCCGAGATGATGCAAGCAACGACCACCATAGCCAGGGCTCCGCTGGCCCAAATCCAGTTGGGCACCTGATCCTTGGGTTCGGCCGGGTCTTCGGTTTTGAAGATGTTCTCATTGAACATAGTTGCAGGGCGGGGCGAAGCATTACGTGGTAGATAGGTCTTACTTCGACCGCCTCTCTTCCGCATCACGTTGATTGATGTGTTCTTCCAGGCGTACTTAATGCCGTAATAGAAGATTCGCCAGTGGACCAGAAGTTCAGCAACTGAGCAGCACACCAGCACCGTAACGCCTGGCCACAAAAACCAATAACGGGGTGAGGGCACATATCCGTTCTCGTCCACGCCATTCAACGAGGTAAACGTGACAGCTTCGTGCCATCGTTCGCTTTCAGGTGCTAACGCTGTGCCAATGCAGATACCGTGGTGGACTAGAATCGGCCCAAGTATGCCCCATGCGAACAGCGTACCGCAGAACATGGAGACTGCTGTGTTCATGCCCACTAACATGCCGCTTCCAATGAAAGCTGGTGTCCATTCTATCAACCAACCCCAATTTTCGACATAAATCGCCGCGTTATTGTAATTTCCCCATATAAAAAACCAGGTGAATATATGCCAGTCGTATAGAATACCGATCGCGTAATAGGAAACAACCCGTTGGACGAATGCGCCGAGGAACGTGAAAGACAAAGCTTTGATCCGTCTCATAGCTTGGACGCCTTCACTGTGAGCGGCATGCATAGCTTGGATGGTGACAGCGGTAGCCGTTGGGGTCGGGAAGACGAGTCGTAATTCTCGTGCCATGTTGACAATGAAGAATTTGCGAAGCGGAATGGCGAAGCAAAGCCCAAAGAATGAGCAAACGAGGGTCAGTGTGATGATTTTCGAGAAGTCGTTGGCCGGATTTTCAGACAGCAAGTCGAGTTGGTACATTGCGGGAAGCCCTGCAGTGAACAATCCTCCGAGGCCACCCGCGCCAGCTGAGGTCGCTTGAATGATTGCATTCTCCTTTGGCCCAAAAGGGCTTCCAAGAAAAGGGACGCCCGGAAAGACTTTCGTGAGTAGCTTGACAATTCCAAAGCCAAATATGGCTCCAAACATGGATGCACCGAACAAGAAACCCGTTTTCAATCCGAGATAAATGTTGGAAGCGTTAACCAACGATCCGAGTATGACTCCAACCACAATCGCGCGCACCGTCAACGGGTTTTCCTCCTCGGCCACGCCTTCGATGTTTGGCAGAGGCTGATAAAGGTCGAAAATTTGAGGTGTAACATCCTGGGTGGGTTTGACATCTCCCAATTCTATTTCGATGGTGTCGGTTCTGGACGTGGTGGCGTCCGGAGGCACTTCCTCAGAATATCGCGGTCCCGCCATGATCGGTTGAGGTTCCAGAAGAATTACAAACGTAACAAAACACGAGGGGCATGTGGGAACGCTTGAATCTTAAACTACCCGATCGACATGATGTACCTGCCAACGTTGGGGCAGCCTTACCTTCAGCTCCGTGCGTTATGGGCCTGCTGACCTCCAACTGCTGACAGAATATGGGGAATTGTGGAATTAGTATATGACGAAGCACCAATTAAGTTCAACTCGCGATGTAGAATATGATAAATGTTGCCTCAGAGGCGGCAGCTATACGTGGGAAAGGCCGAGTCCAGGAAGATGCCCGGCCATGGGACGGTGGAAATTCTTTCGGTTTCGCTTGAAGCCAAGAGTCTTCACCTTGGCACGATGAAGACTATGCATCCCAGAGATTGTGACTTGCTACTGAGAAGGGTGAGGCATTGAATAACCGTAAAAGGAGAAGTCGCCAAGATTGTTTGGACATTGTCTGAATGTTGATTCGCGTGAATTGCTACTGTGGACGGAACTCGGCAGGGCGTCCGCATAGTGGCCCTTGATCAAGTGCCGAAAAGCCGGTGGGAAAGAGTGGATCATGTCCAAGAAGGGCTTCAAGGGATGCCGTGTTCCGGTAAGGCTGATTTGTGACTATGATATGCATCGTTGAATATATCTGCGCTTGAGAACGGATAGCGCGAGATCGATGACATTGAGTTCATGAATGTAACGTTCCAAGGCGCAGCTAAAATATTAAAAAGGTTATTAACCAAGGAGAAGCTTTCCCGTGGCAGCGTGGGTCGATTGAAGCGGGGGTCGAATTCGGCGACTCCCGTAGGGTCGCCGAACGTCACGATTGAATCAAATCTTTAGACGTCAACCTTTTGACAGACCATTGCCCTACCATGGCTAAATATAGACCTAATAGCGCAGGCTGGCATATTTGGATTAAGTTTTGGTTTCACACAAGCCTATATGTCTTCTGTTAACATGCCGTCGAGAAGGACTGAGCCTAAGCTCACAGTGATCGAGCTGTCGGTCGAGGAACTGGCATGCAAGAAGATGGGATCTCACAACCTGCAAGCTGCGGTTGAGGCCTTACATCGCGACGGAATCGTTGCATTGAAAAACGCCGTTAATGTGGAACACTTGGACAAGTTAAATGCTCGAATGGTGCCGGAAGCCAAGGAACTCTATGCCAGGCCTACGACGCACCGCAATTTTGGCAACGATACAGGAAACATCCAACAGGAACCGGTCTTGGAAAATGAGTACATCTTTGGAGATGTTATCGCGAACCCTTGGGCAACCGATGTTATTCAGTGCATGCTTGGACCTAAACCGACCGTACGATTTTACTCTGCGAACACTGCTTTCAAGGCGAGTGGAAGACAGCCGGCACACATCGACATCACTTTTGACTTTCCAAAAATCCCTTTTGGATATTGTGTCAATATCAGTCTGGTCGATATATCTGCTGAAAACGGGTCCACGGAGGTTTGGCTAGGCAGCCATGCAAACACAGATAACCAGGTTCTTAACCGATTCGAAGTCATCCGGGAGGACCTGCTGGCAGAACGTCGCAAGATCAGCCCTCCAGTTCAACCTGCGCTTCCGAAAGGGTCACTTATCATTCGTGATTTCAGGCTGTGGCATGCTGGGAGTAAGCAAGTTTCGCGATAATCTTTTTCTGCCCTTTTCAGCAGATCCATGGACGGTATACTGTCCTCAAAGGCTGTTTCAAAATACTCCCGAAGACTCCCGACCCATCATGAAGACGTAACTCCTGACTCCAAATGCTATAGTGCCAAACAAAACAGACAAGCCCCGGGTTATGCTTGTCTCTGTACAGTTTCCATCCTGGTACCGGAGCAATCTGAAAATGAAGCTACCAGCCAATATGAAAGATAGGATCAATTGGGGGGACTTAGCACCATGCGTAGACTGGCAGCCAGATGGTTACGATTATCTCCAGGGTGTACACGACCACGACTTCGCATTATTACCGTGATTACTTCGAGCTTCATTGACTTCCCCTGGGTATAGGCATATACGACTACAGGACAAATCAAGGGCTGAATTTCGTGCGCCTTCCAGCTTCCTGCCGACAGGAAGCTGTCGGACACGACCAGACACTGGATGACTATTTTTCTCCATGGTGGGCTTGTAACTGAGCAGGGCATGAGTCGGGAGAAAGATATGAACAATAGAATATGATCTCAACGGTTGTATTGTTAAGGTCATCACAGTGAACTCGGCGGGCGGCGGATCTCAACAGCGCCGCACAGGTCTTCAGTCCCCACTTCCTTTATCTCCTCTCAAATAAGTTTCAAGCTCCAAATGATTCCTCTATTTCATCCAGCACCATGATATCCCCCTAGGACATTGATGAGGATTATACATCTGGATACCAACTCCTTTAATAGATAGTATTAGCCTTTCCCGGATAGTGACCCCACAGGTGTACCATAATGTCATCCGATGCTGTTGGAAACAAAACCAGAATGCTAGTGCTGTTACCATCCTCAACTCATTAATGATTCATTTGTGAGTAGTGTATAACGCTTATATTCAGTGACCTTAATATGGAGTGAAGTTGTGGCCTGGAGATAAAGTATCGACGCTGTATGATCAAGTAGTCCTTCAGGTATGCATTGCTCAGTCAGTGTAAGACCATGCGCAGAAGCACTCTATGAGATATTACATGAACACTAAGGGTTATAAATTTGCGTAGTAATCCTGGTATATATCCGCACTTATGCAACCCAGTCTCCCGAGCTTAGTTTTCGTTCGGCCTTCCAATTTCTTCTCCAGATTTCTGTGCATCATTTACTTTTCCGTTACTTTCCTTCTCTGCCACCGCACCACGATTTCCAGCCCTCCGAACCTCTAGCTGGGTTGTATGGGAAAGTCTCGGCCTGCGTTTAGTAGCAATATCGATTCTATTCATTGCCTTAGATTTGGGCGACAGGTTTCGCTTCTATAAGTCATATGACTCAACGACAAATTGACGATTACATGACTTCTGCGCCACGAAATCGTGAGCTGTGGTAACTTGGGCTAAATTCGTATTTACCATTGAGTATATATAGAGTGATGTGGTCGCAATACCAAAGCTGTCAATATTTGGCGCCATATTGGCGCTCATTCACTAGAGGACCGTATTGACTCGCGACTCAAGCTATAGTAATTAGTGCAAGCACAACCGGAATTGTTGGTATCATCACTTTTCTCGCTTCCTTTCGACCATTTTCATCAAGACAGAATGCGGTCCCTTTTGCTTCCAACTGCGTCGACTCACTGCCAATCTAGTCCGGGCTGAGTGTGCCAAACATCGTAACGGACGTAATTACCGTAGTGTTACCGCTGCCAATTGTTCGGAACCTACGCATCCATGCATCTTAAGAGATGTATTCTAGTTATCTGTATTGTAAACTTGATCTGCGTCTCAACATTTCGTTGCACGTTTATGAAAGTATATAAATTGATTCATGTTTAACTTTCCTGATTTATTGTAATAAACAGTAACACCAGTCATATTTACTCCACATAAATTATGAAGAAAGCACATATTAGAATACTTCTCAGGGCAATGTTTTAGACATAGCTAAGCCTAAATTGAACGGTATTCTAAGGCCAAAAGTTAGTTCTATAATGCCGGGAAGCTTCGATTCCTTAGATCGATTCATTTAAATAAGCATACAACGACTTTTCATCGATAACTTCATAACTTGAATGACTAGTTAGTCATCTTTGACCTAATATAAATATTAATAAAGGATAGACGGATTGACATTAACAAATACATCTTCTGGACTGTATATTTTAAAGAAAGTGCTCGTGTGGTTTGTCCTTCGATACGCACGGCAAGGCAGCAGCACCAATCTACCAATCATCTAACTTATCAAACATCCAAGAAGCGACCACATCAGAATACTCAACGGAGCATCTCACACCTTTTGAATCAGGAATAACTCCCCGGATGCATCACTGGTCATATACAGTCGACCAGCTGCATCAAAGTAAAGACCAACTGGTCGAGCACATGTTGTGGCAGAGCATGTCGGACCATTTGACTTTGACGGAGTGAAGACCTTGACATATCCGACCTTGTTCAGGGGCGAGGCTGGAGCGTAAGAGCCGTCACTGGCCTTTGTGAAGGGTACGCGTACAAGGCCGTAGCCGGTGGGAGGAGATCGATTCCAAGCGCCGTGAAGTGTTACATAGAGGTTTGAAAAAGTACTGTCGAATTTGGCATCCAAAGGTGCGGAGTGGGCTGGGAAAATGAGGCGCGGTGCTACGGATTTCTGCTTGCAGTACGAGTCGTTGATGGTACTGGTTGGTGCCTGTACGAATTGATCGCCCAAGGAGAAAGTGGTGGTATCCTTGAATTGGCTCGGGTCGCCGACTGTGAAGCAAGTCGGATATCCGTACCAGTTATTATTCGGCTTGCTCACATTTCCTAAGAAGTTGAGTTCCTCTGCAGGGTTGTTCAGATGTATATCAGTCGTAACACCATTGACGGTGCGCACGAAATTGTCACCACTGTTTTCAACGCCCCACAACCTAATAATTGGTTAGCTGAGTTCCTAAACAAAGTTTGGGGCCTACTCACATTCCTTGTCCATCGAAAGCAAGGCCGACTTCGTTCCGGAGGCCATATCCAGCATTATAGCCTTGCGAGACATAGTTGTACCCGCCTGAGGGCACAGAGTTGAGATCAAAGACCTTAACGATCGCTCTAGCCACACTTGGGTCAATAGACGCGGCGTCAATGTTTTCGCTCGAGCCCTGCGACACAACGAGGAGATTTGGGGCCTTCGGCGATATCACCAATGTCCTTGTTGAGTGGCCCCCCGGGTTCATGCCCGTAACAACAGTGGTGCGGGTGCTGCCAATTGCTCCGGTAGTGGGATTGTATGACCATCTGAAGGCGTCAGTGGAACTGCTGGCATACAGCTTTGTTCCGTCGGGGCTGAGATAGATGCCATGGTTCAAGGAGGTCAAGCTCAGCAGGGTGACGCTCTTCGTGATGCAGCCAGCAGAATCGACAGTGTGCTGACTGATTCCCTTACCACGCTCGAGGATGAGAATGCGACCAGCCTTGTCTAGTGTGAGGCCGCGAGGATTCGTCAAACCCCCGGCGACCTTCTTTGCCTTATATGCAGGATCTGTCGCAAATGCATATCGAGGAGCGGCAACACCTGGACAGCTTTGACTACTGACTAAGATATTCACCGTCAGAAACCTATGATTCTAGTAAGAAAAATGGGACACTTGATCTTACCAAGCCCAAGCATGGCCGATGCCAACGTGATATATAGGAAGTGCATGTCTACCAAAGACTTGCAACGCAAGTAAGCCTCAGTAGTGTTTAATATGTTAACAGTAAGAATAACACACTACCTTAAGAACAAAATAATTGACTTATGAAAGACGACCAAGACGCAGAATTTGTATCAATTCCATAGTGGCTTCAATCCAAGGAGGCTAACTTGATGTATAGACACAGTAACGTAATAGCTCACTACAAAGCCACACGTTTTCTTAATGATGTTGACATCTTTTTCCTCAATTGGCGAATTATCGTCATGATGTGAAACCCAAGATTGAAAAGCAATCCGACCTCGTCAAACTCACGGCCATCATTGGTTTGAACACATGGGCGTGAGGAACAGATGACTTTTTTGACGTACGCTTCACGCCGTAGTTAGGAATTAGACAGCTGAGACATGACACGGTAGCCTAGCCTATGAGACTGATTTGGTAGCTATAAGACATCACCAAGTAAGCATAAAGCTAAAGTGATCCGAATGAATGGATGACAGCAATGATTCGCGCGTAGTGAGGTAGTGCAAGATCGTAATAAGAACGGACTATACTTTAAAGTCTCCAACAGGCAAAAAGTTCATCACCCTGCCGACAAGGGAAATCGGGTCGACGTCTCGCCTGAAACATGATAAAGGCGCGTGATATTTCTGCAACAGGCTACCAATCGAACAATGAGATACGATTATTCAGACTATTACCCAGCTTTCGGGTCTCGAACGTCCAAATAAGCAATGTGCAAGGTTGAGACTGATCCTCGCGATCGCGGCCGGCACAAAGACTACGCTAAGAATGACGGCAAGCCGTGCGCATTGGAGATCGTGGCCGCGATCACTTTGTATTATCCATATGTAGATGAGCCCCCCAGCTCGAGGGCAAATGGATATTTTTTTTTTTTCCGTTAGAAGCTTCAGAGTATGGTCTATGCCTCGCACATGCGTCGCACATATTATACATGATTCCAGCTATTACGATACTATATTCCCACTTGGAAGAACTCTCACCGTTTCCTTAGACTCCCCGGGACTAAACCCGCATCATGACCTACCGGAACTCGACTCGTTTTTCAGATGCTAACCGTCCAATATGTATCGCATACGCGATGATTTTCAGGCCGAATCTTTACGCTGAGATAAGTCTACTCTACTCCCTTTGAGCTGGTCCTCTCATACGAACTATGAATTACCACATCCCGTGGTAAATATCGAGCTAGATCCACGGCTGAGAAATGGTGGATTGACTGTAACATGATCAAATCATAGCTGTATAAATATCACGGCGGACCAATCATCGTTCGTTAGAACATGGCCTGGAAATGATACTGATGCGCGTATGGTCGCAACTCGCTCATCCCAATCAGCACAGAACTCAGCGGGAAAGAAACCCGATTGATACAAGTGATAGTTATTGCAGTGCTGTAGGTGGCAAATAACGGCTTGAAATTTTGCGAAAAGACTAGTCAGGCCAGTCCTCCTGGAAAGTCATTCGTATGATTCAAACTTGATTCCACTCATTATGTTTTTGACGAAACCCATTCCAAACCCAACCTATACTTCCAGTTGCAGACATTCCAATCTGCATATAGACGGCGTAATTATTATAGTAACATGTACGGTGCGAAGAGTTAAAAATCGGGGTATATTGTTCTAAACTATGTTCAATCGCGGGGCGGATATCCAATAGTATCCAAATAAGGATTCCAAATTAAAATGCATATGTACCATGTCGGCGTCTTCGACGCCTTCGTATCACTCCATTGAATGACGCAACCAGCCTGCTTGGCCTCTTGCTCACAATTCTTTTCCAACCAAAGAAGATTTAGACGACTTCAGTGGGGCTCTTTTCACCACCCTTCAAAGAGCTACCATGGTGCTCAGCGGAGAAGTTTTCGCCGGGAACAATGTCGCTGGTGTGGCGTTGGAGCTCAACATAATCGTAGGCGAACTCGCCCATCTGGCCATCGTCAAGGCCGATATCCTCTTGTTCAGGAGAGACGCGGAGGCTCAGACCCGGGATGAAGTTCATGATGAAAAGAATGACGCAGGTCATAACAAAGGAGTAAGAGAATCCGGCGACGGAATCGGCAAGTTGGTAGCCAAGCTGGACCCAGTTGTGGTTGACCCAACCACCTGGGATGACGGAGAAACCATCAAGGTGGGTAATGTAGTCACTGGTTGATGTCAGTAAACGAGTTCTTTCGTGTGATTAACATGCGACTTACGCAGCAAAGAAGGCAGTGCAGATATTGCCAAGAATACCACCAATACCATGGACAGCAAAGATATCGAGCGCATCATCGACGCCAATAAGGAACTTGATTTTGGTAGCAAAGTTGCATCCGACACCGCCGACAACACCAAAGACGACAGCAGCCCAAGGAGCGACGTAACCGGAACCAGGTGTGATGGCGACGAGACCAGCAATGGCACCAGAACAGAAACCAACGGCGGACCACTTCCTCTCCAGGCGGTAGTCGAGAAGGCACCAGGTGATTCCTCCGACAGAGGCGGCGATATGAGTGACAATGCAAGCCATGACAGCACGGAGGTTAGCGGCAAGAGCAGAGCCACCGTTGAAACCAAACCAGCCAACCCATAGGAAGACTGTACCAAGAATGACGTGAGTCACATTGTGAGGGCGGTAAGGAAGGCCGGCAGAGCTAGAGTAGCCAGTTCGCTTGCCGAGCATAAGAGAGTAGGCCAGCGCGGCGGCACCGGAGGAGATGTGGACGGGAGTACCACCAGCGAAGTCGAGACCACCCATGATGAAAGACCAACCAGCGGAGTTCCATGTCCAGTAAGCAATGGGGTCGTATACGATGGTGGACCATACCAGCATGAATACAATACAAGGTAGCATGCGAGCTCGGTCAACAGCGGCACCAATAGCAAGAGCCGGCCTTGAGACATGTCAGTCTTTACACCTTCGTACGAATTGAGTAACAGGGAAATGAACTTACGTAATAGCCGCGAACATTCCTTGGAAAAGACAAAAGAGAATATCAGGAACCTTGGTGCTGCCAACCGAAGGCGCACCTAGTACGTCCTTCAGGCCAAAGTTGTCCAGGTTGCCAATAAAAGGGTTGTTTCCGGTGTGTGTAAAAGCCAAACTGTAACCCCAAAAGAACCATTGGAACATGATCAATGCGACGGACATCATCGTCAGCCAGATCAGTGATAGAGCTGACTTTCGGCGGGCGAGACCGGAGTAGAAGAAACCGACACCGGGAATCATGAGCAGCACGAGTGCCGAAGAGGTCATGATCCAAGCAAAGTCACCACTCTGCAAGCGAGGCAATCAGCTAAAGCGTCAAGAGAGGACTGGATGTCCTGCTGTAGCTTACTTCGTAGTAGACGTTCAGGTCCTCGGTGAGCGAGTCACCGCCCGTGGCAATGGTGCCATTGTACTCCTCAACATATAAACCAGCCGACATTTTGTCGAATGTAGCGGGGGGTGGCTCTTGTCAGTGAAAGATAAATGCCTTAGGTTGTAGATGAAGCGCTATGACCTTGAAGACACTTGCTCAAGGTGTCGTTTCGCTTCAAAGGTGATTGAATAGGCGTGAGAAGAGAGAAGGGCAGGCAAGATCAACGCTGGTTGAGCTGGGGACATGTGTAAGCTAAATATGGACAGGGCCCTTGGAGCTTCCTACCTACGAACAATCGCCCGGGTGAAATGAGAGGTACCAAGATTAGATGTAGCGATGGGCCCATCCTCTTACAAGTTGCCTTGCAGCAGAGCGCACCATAGATGTGAGAGATGCGCATCCAAACAAGGTGCGACACCCCTGCAGGTCCATAAGTCTTCTGAGAAGTGACCATTGACGCTAGTGGGTGGGACCCTTGATAAGGCCATAAACAGCAACGGTCCTCCGGGCACTTCTGTGTGTACACCAAGGTCCCGGGCGGGACGCTGCAAGCCATGATCATTCGGCTCAATATTATTTACCTTGGCGAACTTGGGCTCAGGCAGGCCCATGGTTCGAGGAGAATATGCTCCTCATAATTCATGATACAAACGAGAGGAATTGAAAGCATGCTCGGCATCCCAGGAGCCACCTGTTTCCGCCGTCTGCTGGAAACTTTCCAGAGATTGAGAATGGAAGTTGCCGCGTAAAAGTGCTCGAGATGATGGACCCCGTCTGAATAAAACTTGAGAAAAGTACCACTTGGTGTGACAGAGAGTGAACCAGTCATGGTCAGAAAAGACGATGACGCCGGTGGACTTCCCGTAATCCAGAAGTAATAGGGTATACAATCACCGCTTCAGATAGGTGGAATCAGATCTCTCGAAGGAGGAAATCTTAGAGTCTTATTACGTTCTCCGCTCGCCGGTTAGTTTAATGATTGGAAAAACCCTTGTTGACATGATTTGAACAGATGGGTTTTGCAGGTATCGAAATTGCAACCTGCGCGTATTCGCTGGCTTTGCACCTGCAGGGCGGCCGAGCATACGTGGTACTGGGTCTCGTCCTGGTTATGAAACCGTGGGGGCTCTGTGAGACGGCAGGGAAGCAATGTCCTTGGAGAAAACTTTATTCCAGAACAGATGAGCATCAGGGCAACCACGCATCAAGCTGACACATCGTACTTTGGATCGTAATCGAGACTTGTCTGAAAGTGGGAGTCGGCTACATTGGACTTGCACGATTCGATGTTCAAAGCCTTAGAACGCGTGAAAGACGGCTAGGCTAGTAGACTCGAAAGCTGCAAATAGCAATCGGATGTTGCTTTTTAATGGTCTCAACCGTTGAATGCATGATCCACGTACGGATTACATATATGCATGCAAAGTGTACACAGGCTGAGATCCAAGTCTAGTCTGACTAGAACAAACCTTTGATCATGAGGGGTTCAGCTTGAGCCTCGAGGTGATGATGACAAACCCGTGCCTGCGTTTGTTTGTGTTATGATAAATTGAGACCTGTGTGGTTTCTCTGACAGGGACACCGATGGGAAATCTATTGCTGTCATGAACTCGGAGCAACAGCAAGCTTGGGTATTGTGAATCTTGTGAAGGGTGTACAGGCGCCAGTTAGTTGGTATTGCAAGACCGCATCGGCGGGCAGCCGACTGTGGAGTACTCAGGGTTCCGTCTCCCCGCCTCATCTCCACTCCCTGAATGCAATATGGACTTTATCTTGTTCAATGTTACCTATTTCATTGCCACATCAACTCACTCATCGTGCTCGTTTCGCACAGGATAACCTCGATACTAGATCCTTTGACCCAGTAAGTATGGGTATCACAGGAATTTGACAATGGTTCGTACCCGAGATCCGGAGCAGACTCTGGGACATTCAGTCTGGGGCACTCGACATGCGCCATTAACAGCTTGACAACCCCGATGACAATCAATGGTGGCCGTCGAATCCTTATTGCATTTCGGTAGGATTCTTGCATGACAGGACACCGGCGCCACGCTTAGTGTTTCGATGGCGCTTTCAGCTGAGGCTTCAGAGTTCGATACATGTTGGATGAGTACTGCCCTCCGTCACGAGTTTCCCCAGGATCGTGGACGTCCAAGTCAACTTGACACGCGCCTGTCAAACCATCCTGCTTGGTAACTCGGCCAAAGACACCTTTACTGGCCAGTCGAAGGATTAAAGACGAAAAGCGCATCTCGCTAAGTCGCCAAGCTGTCGGGTCCACAACGCCTAGAGATAAGAAAATTCAAGAACCAATGACAGTTGATCTATGGCGAACGCCGAGCAGGGGCCCTAGTAAAGCCACTCAAACGGCAATATTCATTCATCCTTGCTCCCAAGCCGATTAGGCTGCGAGGCCAAATCGGCGCGTCCTCTAGCATTTAGCACCATGAACAGAAGCCGATCCCCGTGCCTTGCGTGCTTGCAGAGCGCTCAAGGCATTATTCTATCTTTCTGGGCTCTGTTCTCCCCAGAGCAAGTGTTCATCTCGGTTATGGCTGAGTACGCTTAGTACGAAGACCTCACCAAGCACGTGTAGAAACCTTGTCTAGCAGCATACACAGCCTGCATATGTTTCATGTTTCAGAGGCAACCGCCCTTACAATAGCGGCGCTCTGGAACATAATTTGGCCTCCTAAAGAGGTCAGCACTCGTGCTGCTCAGTACATGCCATGACCATCATGACGTTAAACACTGCCGATACCGCGGCGGCAATCACGGCAGCTTCAGATACAAACAGTCAAGAGCTCGACCTTGTGCTAAACTGGCCGAGCAAGCGTCGTCGACAAGCCAGTGAGCCCGGAATACTGGCAAACGTGTCGCGTTTCATGCGTGAGGATATCGGTAGTTGTCATGATGTAGTGCTAATACAGCGCGTTCCCTATGATTTTTTTTTGTTTTGATTCGCTTCCCTTTTAGTTTGACACGTCTATATCTCCCACGAAAGCCCTTCTTTAAGGTTGATATAAGCCTTCTTGCTATTAAGTAATAGCTACCACTTCTCTGCCCTACGAGGTGTTCACCATGGTCTTTGTACGTAATACCCGAAGGACCCTTCACGCAGTCCAGCTCGCTAGACTAACCAGACCTTCGGGAATGCTGATCCCCTTATCTGGGCTTGTACGGACCCGTAGCGCTTTTCGGCTAGCGCTCCCGCCAGCGGTCTTAGGGGGGTAATTTCGCAAGAACCACCGTTAGAAAACTGCTAGCGTCACCTTCGTCCGATGATAGTCTGATCCTAGTTTCTCAACTGATTGGCGTTTCCTGTTTTGCGCTCGAGCTCTGATTGGGGGAGGGGGGACTTTGTATCACTTGTTCAATAGCATTACACATAGAATTTGCTGTGGCCATCGGGTTCGAACGGTCCTCCAACGGCCGGCTTCGTTGCAGCACATGGGTCCAGCCAGAGGGCTTCCATCTGTGAGTGGTGACCCACCGACAAGCGTCTTGGCAAATGCTTGTGTGTGCTATGTAGAATTGCACAGTGACAGTAATAACGCACGACGCCGCCATAGCGACAGGCAGAGTTTCCCACTTGTCCATTGTGAATTTTCTGGGTTGACCCTCAGAATTAGTCTCCACAACGTAGTGCTTTGCAAGTACTGAATATATGTGCTCTGGATATAATTTCCGTCGCTGCCGCTTGCCAACACACCGAGTTCAATGCTTTCATATCGTGGTTTTCGAGGCAGACGTAGTTCTGTGTTTACATGGGCTCTGACGCCCTTGTTCCTGATCCTTGGGGTTTGAATGAGCGATAACCAGAATCCAGACTTCTTTTGTCCACATCGTTATGGGCTGAGAAGCTTTGCGGCGTTTCTGCAAAGCTCATGTCAAAGTCCCTGCCCACTAGGTCTGTGAATGGGGCAAAGAAGCTGATGTCGATACCATCCAGATCGGAACTATGCTGGCTTTGGTTGTACCAGTCGGGGATCTCATCAGAATTTGGCGTCACAGAAGCAGGATTTGGAGGCAGTTCTGAACTCAACGATTCTACAGGGTGTTCCCCGGAGAACCTTTTTGCGAGATCTTCCAGAACTTCTCCAATAATATCTGTAGCCATTTGTTCACTCAAGTAAGGCTTAAGCTTTGCTTCCAAACTTTGTCTGACACGCAGTTGCACTTCTTCGAGGTTGTTGTGTTTTTGATTAGTAGGTTGATCCGAAGCGATTTGAACTTCATTCATGTCGTAGACTTATTCCGACGTTAATGTCACCATCTCCCTTTTAAGACGGATACAACAACTCACATGGTGAAGGTATGTCCTTTTCCTCAACCCAAGGAAACAGTATCTTATATACTCCTTGCCATTTCTGGAACTCAGTTGGCTTAGGCGTTGGCTGTTTCCGTGATCGGAGAAGGGCCATCTGGTGTTCGTCGAAACCCTCGATCGGCTCTGCCGCCCGAATGGGACACGGTACCACTTCGCGTTGGTGCACTTCTAAAGCATGGTCATCTTTGAAATTCCGGCAGCAGCGCTTACATCTGAACCTTGGCTGCTGATGTTGTCGATAAAGATGTTCCCTGCCACCACGTTAGCTGATGTCATTCTCAAAGCCTGATATGGTGCTGTTCTGACTTCACTCGATGAACAGCGGGCCACCCAGGACCGCAACAATTCTTCCGGTCTTTGTATATTGACGGGTTGTTCTTGTAATAAGGACAGGCAAACTTTGCCACAAGTCTCTCTTTACCCTTTGCGGAAGGTTGTTCATGCTGGTCGTCCTCATCCTCGTCGGTTCCCTCTTCTTCCGCTAGATCGTCTAGTAGTTTCCTCTTTTTGGATGAGCCTAGATGACCCGTCGCTCGGGCACCAGCCCATATAAAAGATTGCGGCGCTGACGAAGAGGTATATGAAGATGTCGATGATGATGGCTGATCGAATGGCTCTTCTCTATGCCTACCTATACGGCTGTAACGGTCTGCCCTTTGAGGTTGTAAAGATCGCGTCACATATTCAATCAATTTCTCAACCATTTCCTGCTTTATCTGATTCACTGGCGGTTGAAGCTCTTCGGATGCATTCGAGGAGCTCTCACTCAAACATATTGACGACTGTAGAGATGGAGAGGACGTCGCAGTCAAACTGTCCGCCTGGATGAACTGTGAGCCGTAACCGCTATTAGCGAAACTCATGTCCGCGGAAGGTTTGATTGTTGGCGCCGTGGCATGCTTGCTGCCTCGTCCTACCTCCTCCAAATATGATGTACCAGTGAGTTCGATGTCGGCAGAACTGCGATTTTGCACATGGTGTCTCTGATGTGTTGTACCCGCTGCTGAATCCTGGAGCGTCACAAGCTGGTTGGGCGGGTGGCGATCATTGACTCGGCTCACATGCACAGAACCCGCTGGTCGGTTGTCATTTGGCCTCATGGTTCTCGTGGCCTCGTGAGAAAGCACTTCTGGAAGCCGTATGTTAGGACGTGGTTCCGTTTCGCAGGTCCCTGAGTGGCGGTTATTTGCCTCGGAAGCACTGTTGTTGTCACTGAGCGTCTTGGTAAAGGAATAGCGTGTGCGCCTTGCACGGATGTGGGATCTGTCTTGCACAACCACAACACGCTGCAGTCGCTCTGCTTTCCTGGTTTGTTCAGCAGGCAAAAAGTCATGCGCATAAATCCCAGAAACAAAGGGTGCTGGAACTTCATCCAAAGGCTTGGCACCTGTCAATACCCTGCTAGTAGCCAAACCGATTTCCTCGAGGTGCTCCCAAAAATAAAAGTCGGGGCGAATATCGCGTACTGTAAGATGGTCATAGACGAGATGATCTCGGATGTGTTCCATTCGATTTATGAAATTTGTCTCTCTATCGACATGACTTCTCGTAGCATCGAAGACAAAATCATCACAGAACCAACATAAGCATTTGCGAGGTAACACGCCTCTCAAGTGTGTTATCACATGGTCAATCCACTGATCCGTCTCTGTTGGATGGAAGGCAACATCGCAATTTGAATACTCCACAAATTCGCAAAGGAGGGTCGAGTCTGGAGGTACAGAGCGCCTGGCTAGAAGATCAGTGGATGCGAAACTTCTGTCAAGACCATTCAGAGTCGACACATACAATCTCGGCCGCACTGATGGTATCGTTTGATGTGATGAGGGGATGGAGTTATAATCACTACCATCGTCAGATATTGTGCTTTGGAAAGAGGAACTGCTTTCTAGCTCCCAGTCAGCGTGGGCCGAGACTATCGGTTTCGTACTGAAAGTAGCGAACAAATCGCGTTGAAACTCTGCGAAAACGTAGTCTAGCCGGGCCGATTCATGACGATCATGAGAACTACTTGGTAGAGATGTACGTCTGAAAGAATCTAGAAACGCATATACGTTGTCCGCAGTCTTAGAGCTGCTCGGTTCCGCGTCCACAGTCAACAGCGGCCTGTTGATTATTGGGCGTGATGGCTTCCCTTTCGTACTACCAGCAACAACTATGTTCTTCGATAAGTACCGTTGGGGCGAAGGGAACGACGAATTAGACCATGCGCTGTTGTCCTGACTTGGAGTCGACCCGGCTTGGCTTCTCGGGCCATGAGAGACGACTGAAGTCGCATGACTGCATGGTATCGATGAAGAATGTGCCGAGTCTGATCGCTCTGTACCAGTGGTATTCTTGAAGCTCTCATACAGAGTTGTATCCAGATCTAGCGGTACAGGTAATGGTGCAGTTTGAGAAGCAAGGGGTTGGAGTAAAGTATCTTTATCCCAGAAATGGCCGTGAAATGTTCTCAAGGACAGTTGGCTGGCCCTAGCTACTGCTCTCTGAGAACTCGAAGGCGCATAGACAGGATGAGGGTCATCCGGTTCGTAACCTCTGCCCCCTCTATTGTGTATCGCAACGTTGTACCGGTAAGTGGAGCTTCCTACATGGTCATCTATTATGGTTAGTATCCAATGTCGAAACAATGCATTAAGGTTTGATATACACGCTGTCTGGCTCCGATATTCTTTTGTTATCGAATATAACAACGATGGCTCGGTGGCGCATTCTCGGTCAATTTCCACTACATTCAAAACGTTATCAGGATGAAGTAAGCAATGTCTCATGGTGCGGGACTTGCTTTGGGGTTTCCCTGAGGCATCTTTTGCCATCTGTCACATAAAGCCCGGCTAGGCGATACTGAACATGAGTGAAACGACTGACAACCTCTCTGGACCATTAAAATGTAGTGTTCCGAACTGTATTAAATTGCACTAAAGCGCTATCAAAGATTCGATACGGTAACGCTCCTCGAGGCATGTTTAGGCCACAGAGTCTAACCCAAGCACACCGCGAATTTACCTTCCATGTTCCTGCCCAATACAATGAGGTCAGGGTGGCTTGACGGTGGTGGGGTAGCAGGATGTTCTGCGCAGCTGCGTAAAACTTGGCCAAGCTTATCACCGTGCGTTTTCCTGCTCAGCAGCATAATTACTCGACTAGATACCTGTCGCCACTTCTCGAGATATACTCAGTGAAGCAAAACAAAGTAGGCTTGCAAGTATTGCAACGCAGGCTTGAGTTGATTCATCTAGGTGAAAGGTATTTAAAAAAACATAAATCATGCTGTTGTTCCTATATGATCGTACCTGGCTAAGTAATCTATCGAATATTATTCTCGAGCATTGAATTCTTAGAAATTGTCAATCCGCAAATTTAGTATGTCTTCAAAACCAGCGAAGATTTCACCCAAACCATCTCCAACATCTTCAGCCAGTGCCATGTACGTACTATTTCGGCGTTCAGCCAATTTATTTGGTATGATGCGGAGCTGACGGTGAATTAGCGCAAGCAAAAGCAAGCAGGGTCGGTCTCTTATGCTGGAAATATATCTTGCCTCAGCTCCAGCCACCTTCACGGAGCGGCTTGCTTCTGGGCAGGTGGGCATAAATGCGACGGGATTAGGCGATACAGGCGGAGTATCACAGCCTTTTTGTAATGGTTATATGTGTTGTGCGCCCAAGAAATGAAAGTGCGGTTCCTTTGAGTCGAACAGCCCAAACTAATCGGCTGGCTGGTTGTAACGGGAGAGCTTGTTTACTCAGTGAGCCGTAACGCCCATAAGGAAGAATTCGAGCACTAGATAGTGTCGGCGAGTCTATATGAGAACTCTCACAATGACTCACTATGTCAAATCTTCTGTACCAGCATGCGTTACGATTGTGAAGTGCAGTGGACACCCGTGTTCATGAACATATCCGCAAAGGACTCTTTCGCCATTGATGGTATACTTTATTTGTACTCCGTCGCTCTATACTCCATCTCTCCTCCTCATGAACAACTCCAAGAGCCCTTTCATCCGCTCTTCGCTTGCTTTCCTTTCCTTATCCTTGCCTTTATCGCCGCCTGCATTGGCGGTTCTACATACCGCGGGGCCGAAGATCTCAGCTACCATGTTTTCCCAAGCTAGCCTCTTCTGAATGGCTGCTTGGTCTACGCCTGCGCCGATTGCACCTAAAATGCTCCTACGGAAGCTCAATTTCCTTGCCGTGCCCTTGCTCTTAGCATCTGAATTAAGCAGTTCCAGCTCCTTGGGATTTAAAGGTGTGATTTCCGCGGCCAACTTAGCGAGCATGCTCGTGACGAAAACGAAAGAGATATTATGGTAAGGGGCCGCAGCTAAGATGTCAAGAATGGTACTCTTATCGTCCTCGATCTCCTTCGCGGGTCTAGTTGAGGTAGCTGAGCTTCCGATTGCGGGAAGGGCGGACTCGATTTTGGCGAAAAGAGGTGCAGGTATTACGCCATCTACCAAGGAGCGCAGGAAGAGTAGCATTACTTTGGCGACAATTTCGAGTTTGGTGATGTTGGAAAGTTCCGTCTTGGGCAAAGCATCGAGCAGATTGGTGGGATCATCAACATCCAGCGCTCGAATCAAAGCTGAGATGTGACCACTCTCGACATTCGTCGAATCGTCAATAAAAGGCCATCCTGCCTTGTCACGTGGTACCTTGGCCTCATCTTCTTGTACCATGCTTTCGTCTGCCGTGACGCGTTCTGCCAAGGCCTCGAGCGCGGCAGTCAACTTGTAGAGCTCTGGCGGCGATGATGAATGCGGATTCAGGTTATATGGTATACTTCCACCCTTCCATTCTTTGACATCGTCCTTGTCTTTTCTGAGCTTGTAGACGAACCCCCTAAGGCCCCCCTCTCGCGGTGTAACCCGAATTAATTCCTCGATGCTTCGACCAAAGCAAGAAGGTGCCGCGTTGGCACGCACTGGTATAAAGTGATCTCGGCCATCTGTGACTCGTAATACCAAAACGTCTTCCAGCGACGTGGTACCGGAATTTAAAGACTGGAGGTGGGACAGAGAGGTTACTGAGATGGTCAGAGCTGCTGATGCTGTCTCGCCTGGTTCAAGCGTGATTTCGTTGGTTTCGGTCTTGGGTTCTATCTCGGGTCCCTGGGACGTAGAGTCAGAAAAGTGACGCAAGGATACGCTTAGCCACTCGGGATTCGAGGAATTCTTTGCTTGGCGAGCTTCGTCTTCATCAATGCCTGGCTTTGCCACAAAGCCGATCTTGGCATGCACTCCACCAGTATTAGCAACGGTCAAGGTTCGTGTTATAGGCTTCATGAACTCCACATCGCCAAAGTCCACTCCACCACTTCCATCGTCTTCCTGGTCTTCGTGGTGTCCTCCTTCTTTGGTATCGACCACAATCGTGATTCCAGGCCGTCCTTCGTTCTCGGCACGATCTAGTTCTCGTGCGACTTCGGCATGAACCTTTGCCTTCAACTCGGGCACGACCGCATCATAGTCCAGTGTGAACAGCGCGACAATTGGCTTGTGGTCACTGCTCGTAATGCCCTGGTGAGTAGTATATAAATCAAGACGGATATGATCCTCGTATCCTTCTTTCGTAACAACGGTTTGGCCCTCGCCCTCAGCCACTTCATCTTCATCGTATTCGTCATAATCATATGCGCTATCGTTTACTGAATGGGATGAAGTGTCTTTATCCGGATCATAGTCGAACAATACGCTTTCGTCATCAGCTGCGGCGTCGATTCCCCGCTTTTTCATGTCCTCATCTTTCTTCTTGGACTCCTCTTCTTCCTTGATCTTCGTCTTGTACTTATCCAAATCGGTCTTTGTTCTATACAATATGCGATCACACCAACTCGGGGCGCGGCGTTTTTCCGACGAGTCAAACAACCCTACGGTGCCAATGTCGTACTTGTAACTAGGAAGGAAGGTGATCGGACCTTCCGACCAGCCCTCATGGAATGCCTTTCTATCTTTGATAGTTGTGGCCAGCTGATCGTGAGGCAGCAGGGAATCCAGTGTAGCCTGTAGAGATGCAGGGTCATCATGAGGATCCGGTACAAAATCGTTGGGATCCGGAAGTTCCGCGTTCTCGTCGTCGCTGTCATCTTGATTAAAGCTTGCCTCGCGTGATAGCATACCTGGCGTATCGGTACCATCTCCGTCTTTGGGGTCTTTGTTTTGCATGATAATGACACCATCATTGTCCGACAGGGACTTCTGTGTCTTGTTGGCTAGGTCGTATTCGCCCCGGGTATGCAGCATAAGCAGTCGCCGTATGTCGTCCCCTGGCAGACCATCTAGACGAAAGTTCAGGTCACCGAACCAGAAAGCAAAGTCTTCATCTCCGATCTTTTCGGCCTCGTCTTCTGAGACACCGCTGTGGGAGATGGGGCTGAACTGAGTCTGCGATAATATCTTGTTGTAATCCCACCACCGGCGCTCCAGGTTCGTTTGGTCGTGCCCGGAAGCCAGATGACAGTCTGTGAATACAACTCTTGTCGTCTCACCGAGGACGATTCGTGTTGACACGCCCCCCTTGTTACCCATGTACCCAAAAAGCCCCGTGCCTACGGACACGGTCGAGACATTGGAGACAGTATCTGCGACGTCAGGCGAGGCATAGATCAACAACAGGAGGCCCGACAGCTGTTGCGCAGCTATAAGTTTGTAGTATGGCGGCATTGCCGCTTCCAGTGCCGCCTTCCATTTTTCTGTCGCTGTGGTATCTGTGTACCCAGCGATGCCGTTGAGCGGGATGATCTCTTGTAGCCCTAATACGTATAGTCCGATATCTGAACCACCAACCACTCTTATCTTTGGCTCGTCGGTGTGGCTTTCCGCCTGAGACGCTGGCTTGAGCCTTTTATGGCTGTCCTGCCTGCCCGAGACGTCGACATATGTGGTGTCGTCGGCATCCGAGTCTTGGTCATCTCCGGTGTCGTCCTCGAGGATTCCACTAGCCTTGAGGCTCTGGTCGGCCAGATGTGTATCGAACCGGGGCTCGACACCCTCTCCGTCCACGAACCAGCTAGCGAGATCTTTGTCTGTTCCGGGACAAGCAGCGACGTTCCAGGAGCCAACTTTGATGCGTATGCGATGCGGCCGTACGAACTCGTCTTTGCGCGCATGGAGAGCACGGGACAAGGAGTATTGTGTTGACGTCTGGGTCAGGTCGTTCTCGAGATCGTCGGTTTCCGGCATGGATTGCTGCGTCGACGAGCTGCCCTCTGCAGCCATGTTGGACGCCTCTGCCGCGGGAGTGCGACACGGGACTCTTGCGCACAGTCTTGCGAGAGGAAGAGTTTGGTGAGAGTCTGGAGGGCTGAGAAAGAAAACTATATAAGCCGGTGTTATGAGGGGGATCCCATTATATGCCTGCCTGACTTGGCATATACCTATCTATACAGGTATTCGGAGCTGCAGATTCAGATAGGACCTGCACGTGGTGAAGTAATTTTCCCAGTCCAAATGCCACAGCCGCGTGATGGCAACCGACGCAAGCGCAGCGATTTTAGTGACGTAGGAGGGGTTCAGTGGCTTGCAGGTAACTTAACTTAGTTGGTGGTAGCAACTATGAGTTAAGCCTAAGCGCTGGCACATGAAGAAATGCAGTAACGGTTCGTGTTGATTGGGAGCTACTAATGCATCATGAAATCAAACCGACGTAGTGCAGAATCTGCTCCAGAGTGCAACGTGATCTATTTGGCTTGTACGAGTGTGTATCACATCCATCCGTGGGCTGCTCAGGTTGGTTCAGTTAGTGGCAGCATGGCGATGACGTTCAGGGTGTGTTGCGGGTGCGTTTAGGCTATGTTCAGGGCCGGTTCAGGGTAGGTCCAGGGCCGGTTCAGGGTATGTGCATAGTTTGCTTACAAGCGCCGATAAGCTGGGCATCGTCTGTACGTGGTAATTTATCGGCAGGCTCCCCGCTGTGGAGCTGCCAGGTACAGATCTGTAATATCTCTACTACTGTAAGTTCCAACACCACGGTTGGTGCGGACACCATTGGGCCATGCAGCAGCTCCTGCCTGCCCAACGAGACACCATCCCCAAACTCCCCAAACCTCCAATACTTGCTGTAATCGACGACCAAACCAACGTCACATTACACGATACATACAGGACAGCTCCAAGTCGGCGACGCTGCCTCAATCCCCACCTGGCATTAGGCATCCCAGGACGAAGACAAAGAACAAAATCCCGAAAACATGTCTTCCACACCGCGCAAGAAGCGCAACAACCAACAGAACAGCTCATCCGCACATGCACACCCCACCCTCCATGGCCATCAAAGAACACGCTCGCAGCACCTCGCCGTACAACAAGCCGACCTGGCAACCCAGCAGATCACCTCAGATTATGAGTCCGACACTGCAGGCTACACGGCCGCCCAGACCCTGCCGAATCCCGCCCTGGCCCAGCGCTCTGTTGACAACATCAACTTGACCGTCCTGAAGCGCTACATCCCCTCCATCACCAAGATCCACAGCATCGCCTCCAACGCGGTCTTCTATACCTACGAGAACTCCCCCGACGGCGGCGCATTCGAGAAGGCCAACACCGAAGGCCCGCTATTCGCCTGCGGGCTCGACGAGACAAACCTCGAGTACTGCATATTCATCCTCAATCGCAAGACCACCGACAACCTGATCATGGATCTGGCAAAGGTCATCAACTTTGAGCAGCAAGGCGAGATGCTGTATGCTCAGAGCCGTGGCCACGATGGCGAACTCAAGATCTGGGGCCTCTTCATACACGACTCGAGCGACAATCCCCGCGCTACCCACGTCAACAGCATCATGAACTTGTGGAAGCTGGCGACGCTGCCCAAGCCACCCAGACAAACGGCCCTGTCGCCCCAGGGAGGCCAAGGGCCACACGGCGCCTCGGGGTTTGGGGGCAGACAGATTGGAATCAATGAGTTGTTCAAGCGTTAATAAGCACATGGGTACCGGCGTTTGGGGACGAAAAAGGACACAGGGGTTTTGGGTCAGCATTCTGCATCATCAGCGTGGCCTTGTCCATCGCGGGCGTTTTCTTGGGTTTCGTGTGGCGGACTTGGCCTAGGACAGCAAGGCATGGGACGATAACACGACATCTTGTGTCATCTCTGCGGAAACTGCTGCAATCATAGGGATACGTAGCCATCAATTTCACAACCCACTTCCAGTTCAAAATGGGCCCTTTCGAATAAGAGCCGTGGGAGACTTGGAAGTGAATATCATTATATGCCGTCACTACCCCATCCGTTCAGGTAAGCTCCAAGAACACGTCTCCGTGGTCACCGAGTCTGTGCGCTGTATAAAGCCTTGTCGTATGCTAGCTCTTCGATCTATGGAGGCAAAGCGCTTGCGAGCGGTATATTCTTCCATTCTTCAATTAGCGATGAAAACAATGGAGCATCATGGCTTTTGCGTTCCGGTCTAGAGGCCAATGATGAGATATGGAAAATATTCTCGTCATATCTATCGAGGAACAAATTCCATCAGAATGTCGACAATGCGGCCCCCTACGCCGACAATCTGACCTGGGGTTGTCCTTTGCTGATGGCTCACCCGACGAGTCTCAACCGTGGCAGCTTCGGAGATTACTTGATAGCACACGCTTCTGCGTTACAATTCCAGTCATATTTTAATGCACCGTACACGGGTGGAACCCAGTTACATAAGGATACGTCGTGGCGATAACGAATTTCGCGCTGCTACTAATTGCCAACACTAATCATGAACGTCAGGACACCTAGTGGCGGCTTTGATACTTGTGAAGAGAGCTTGGAGTAGAGCTGGAGCTCTACGGGTCCCGTTGGCTGCAATGCCCATCTCCTAGTGACGCAAGCACCCGGTTACGTGAGAGCCCCCTGTAGTTGAGTTCTCAAGTTCGGTTTTGTTACCAAAGACCTCTTAGTTCGGTCGACGTACCCCTTGTCAGTAGCCGCTCAGTGCCACGTTGTGACGAGAGCACCCACCTCTGGGGACATTAGTGAGAAGACGTAACAGGTCAAGGGATGATGAGATTGGCGAATCTGCGCCACGTACGCGTGCCGGGGTTCTGATTATCAGTTCTTCGTAAACGATTATATCACTCTTTGCTCAAAGCGAAATTAGCGACAGCCCGGCAAATCAACATGATTCTCATGTATCAGAAACATTCACGTGGGTACAAGTACGACTTGATAGTCTTAGCTAGATACAGCCGGCGCTGGTATGGTACTCGGGGTCATATACCTTATAATCATTGCCTTGGCTGCTCGCTACATTAGAAAATGACACGCAACCCTTTTAACGACTGCCCATGAGTCGACCGCAACGTTTACCTAACGTCTGCTCCAGACGAAATCGGCCACCTCTGTGCACGTTGTAAGAGCTGGGACCAAAGCAGCGTTCAGCCTCGTTGAACAGAGTTCTAGGTCACAATCACTTACGGATGAACGTACCCGGGATGACTAGTGGTTCTCACTCACGACATCCATCCTTTGTTTGTCAACTGTCCGAGATATCTCCGCGCACTTTGAGGCTCCTATCGCATAGCACCTATGTAGGCCAAAGGTGTCGCAAACTCTGTCACTGTAAGCTTTCTAAGTACAGCCAAGCCCAGCTCTCCGGTGAAGCAGCGGGTATTCGCCCGGTCACGTGTCGTCATGTTGTTGCATCGGCCATAATCCTTAGGTGCTGCAGGTGTGCATGATAAACCCGGCACGTTGTTCAGTTGATATGCGCCCCCGGGATAGAGTTGTTGGCTAGCACTTCTATAACGGGCATTGATACTCAGCCCTGGCTGGGGAAACGTGGGGAGAACACGCTAAATGGGTCTCGCCTAACTGGACGCGGAGGAACTGGTGGTGGGTAACACTACCGGCGGCTTTAACGGCCGAGACGGCGCGTACCATAGTACGCCCATGCCTATAAGGACTGCAACTCTATAACCTATTTTCTGATCTGTGCCGTGCGAAACGGTGATGGTATGTATTGGCGCAAAATAAGCAGTACGTACCGTGTTGATAAGCATCCCGGCATATGCACACTACTGCCCGTCACATCGGCAAGGTTGTCGGTGAAAATCCTTGGTACAGCCCTGTCATGACTACACTTAGTGCTCCGTAGTGAGATAACGTATCTTCAGTTCAGATAAGCTGAATTACTCTTGTATGTATCATAATTACCCACATTATACCACTTCCTTATTGTGGCAAATCACAGCGCGGATGACAGCAGGTGATGTTGTGCAACACAAGGCGATTTTCACAATGCATCAACCCCCCCGCCCGGTTCATTCCATCGCCTTAGACGTGCCAAGTATTACGCGACTGTGTGCTCGCGGGTCTCGGCATGCTTCATCGTCGGTTCGCAGCTGAGATATGAACATGCTTGCCTAGAAGCCATAACATAATAGCCGCTCAGCTGACCGGGGCAGAAGAGCCGCAATAGTAACAATCTACGTCATAGAACATTGATATCCGCGGCTTGCCGCAAACGAAGAGGATAGCGGGCTGGCGGCAACTTATTGTCGGCCCATAAGGTACCAAACCGACTTTTGCGCGATTAATATGGTATGTAAGAGTTTGGGAGACTTGACCCTGGAAATTGACTAAAATGCTGGTGTCGTGTGACCATTCCTAAAGGAATCCTAGGCTTGTTGATGAATGGCCAATGGAAGCTCTTCTGTTGAGCATTAGCCTCTGCCGACCTCATCAAGCCGCAACTCAAAACGACGTCGACAATATTGCAAGGGGCCTATCGTACGTGGTGTTGTGCCGGACTCACCATAGCCTCGTATCGTAATCAATTCTGATTTGTTAAAAAGGGTTTTTTTTTTGCAGACTGTTTTTCATGGGTGTAAATGTCCATATCTCTTATTTGCACAGGGGCAAACCGAAGACAAGAGTTGCATGTGATTGGTTGTCTTTGAAAATCGAACCCCTAGCCGCCAAGCACAAATTTCATAGCTAATGCGCCGTACAAAGCAAGCTTACAGATGTTCAAGGATCAGGCTAAGCCACATGCAGGCTAGAATCTGCACTTTCAAGGATAAAATCATGTCGTTACGTGGTGTTCTGGGTGTGCCTCATTGCCTTCTTGCGCCGCTTGGTGTAGGCGACGAGGTGAGAACGGTGTCTCTCCTTGTGGGACCCGCCGAGTAAATGGGGGGGAGGGGGTCATCGGCGCGGAGGACGGGCCCGCAAATGTGGATAGGCCATTTTCCAATCCGTTGCCTACCAGGAACCTTAAGAACCATGATTTCCGTTGATCGCCCGTTTCTGGATTTCCTTTGGAAGTACGCTTCTTGCTCAATTGAAGAAAATTCTGTGAAAAGGCAGTTGGCTTTTACATCATGGACGCCTTCCGACGAAAGAAGTCAGATAGTATCGGAAATGAGTCTCCTTCCAGGGTGCTCTCAGCATCCAAGGAGACTCCCGGCAGCATTGATGTTCAGCACGGTTCTTCTGACAATGCCGATCAACTACAGCGCCGCCTTGACAATCGTCAAATCCAGCTCATTGCGATTGGAGGTTCCATTGGCACGGCTCTATTCGTCAGCATTGGCACTGGTCTGATGCAAGGTGGTCCAGCCAGTCTTTTCTTGGCTTATAGCGGATATGCCTGCTTGCTTGGTCTCGTCAATAATGGTATGGCTGAGATGGCTACGCTTCACCCAGTCAGCGGTGGTTTCATCCGTATGGCAGGAAAATGGGTTGATGAAGCTCTTGGTTTCATGGTCGGCTGGAACTTCTTCTTCTACGAGGCACTACTGATTCCGTATGAAATCACTGCCATCAACCTGGTTCTGTCCTTTTGGCGTGATGACATTCCTGTAGCCGCAGTATGTGCAGTTTGCATCGTATTATATGCGTAAGTTACCCTAACTAGACGATTGTCTGGGCAGCCCTAATGGTGAATAGTACTTTGAACGTCCTGGCGGTACGCGCTTACGGAGAGGCTGAATTTTGGCTGTCGGGAGGAAAGGTCATTCTGATCTTTATCCTTTTCTTCTTCACACTAATCACAATGTGCGGAGGCAACCCTGACCATGATGCATATGGATTTCGATACTGGTCTGATCCAGGTCCATTTGCTGAGCATCGTAGTACCGGCAGTCTGGGTCGATGGGAAGGGTTTCTGGCTGCGCTCTGGTCCGCCTCCTTTTGCGTCGTAGGACCGGAGTATATTGCCATGGTCGCTGCCGAGGCCAAGCGTCCCAGTGTCTATATCAAGGCCGCTTTCAAAACCGTTTACTGGCGATTTGGCATTTTCTTCATGCTTGGCGCCCTCTGCGTCGGTATCGTTATTCCCTACAACGACCCTACGCTCCTGGCAATTCTTGGTGGAGAGAGTGGGGGAGCTGGCACAGCTGCGGCATCGCCTTATGTCATCGCTATGAGGAATCTCCGCATCGATGGCCTTCCTCACCTTGTCAATGCCCTTATGCTGACGAGTATCTTTTCCGCTGGCAACACCTACACGTATTGCGCAAGCCGTAATCTCTACGGTTTGGCCCTGGAAGGTCGCGCCCCTAGATTTCTGCGCAGATGCACAAAGAACGGTGTACCGATTTATTGCATCGCCATCGTCATGATCTTTCCCTTCCTGTCGTTCCTCTCCGTGTCCAGCAGCTCGGGTGTGGTACTGAACTGGCTTGTGAACTTGATCACTGCTGGAGGCATCATCGACTATATTACCATGTCGGTTACTTACCTCTTCTTTTACTATGCCTGCAAGGCGCAAGGAGTCGATCGTAAGCTCTTCCCCTATTACGGCTGGGGCCAGCCCTACTGCGCTTGGATTTCTTTGTGTGGCATGACCACCATTGTGTTCACATACGGTTATTCCAGCTTCAAGCCTTGGAGCGTGGAGAACTTCTTCATCTACTACACAATGGTCATCCTCGCCCCAATCCTATTTTTCGGCTGGAAGCTGATTCACCGTACTAAGGTGGTAAAGCCACGTGAGGCGGATCTGATATGGGAAAGACCAATTGTGGAGGCGTATGAGTCTACTTTCGAAGGGCCTCCGACAGGCTTCTGGACCGAGATACTGCATTTGATTGGTCTCAAGCGCAACAAACGGGATGTACAACACGTTTGAGAGCACTTATTTTATTCTTGAATGGTGCACTTAACTTGTTCGAAACCGATGGCATTTATAGATACATAGCTGGCCAATCCCAAGCCTGCAGTCCGCACGCAAGTGATATACGCTCATCATGAGGCGCCATTAAACATTCACAGCACAGCACAACTTGAATTACTCACTACACTTATGACAACTCTAATCTAAATCACCAATCCACAAAGTAATCAATCCCATCGGCCAACGCCACAGCAGCTACAGACGCATGATCGCTCCCTTGGTATTCCTTGAGCACCACATTTCTTAATCTTTCGTTCCCCTTCAGGCTTTCGTATAGCGCATTGCAGTTGTCCGCCATGGCAAACGTGGCAAACAAGCTCTCTCGGAACTCCCACTGCTCGTCGGTCTCCGTTCTCCGCCTGACAGGATATTGCTCCAGATCGCCATATGCAAGACGGAAAGCAGGCTTCTCAGCCTCTTCGGCAGGCACTTCAATTTCATTCAGCCAGTACGTGTGATTGAGCAAGTACTTGTCATTCCAATACAATGCAGGACTGCTGGAAAAGAACGTATCGAACAGATCTGGTCTCGTCAGGAGCGCATAAATGACAAACATACCCGCCCATGAGTGTCCGTAAAGCGCCTCTCTACCGAGCGACACGTTGGGAAACTGGCCTGCCACAAAAGGCTTCAGGGTGTGTTCGAGAAAGTAAATGAAGTCGTCGGAACCCTCACGCACGCCGGGGACAGCCGGTGGGTCTTCTCCGGGTGTCATGGGTTGGAAGTCAATGCTGCGCTGCGCTCCGTAGACGGAGCCGGTGATGGGATACCCAATGCTGACGACAACGTAGTCCGGTTGCGCGAGCTCGACGGCGTCGCGGCGCCGCCAGGCTTCGGTTGCACTCATCCCGAGGGCGTTGCCATCTAAGACGTACCTGAGAGACACTGGTTAGAAAATTGTCCTTGAAGTCGGATTTGAATAAATCACCCACATAGGCAGTGCGGTGACGTTGTTCACATCGCGTGATGCCCAATCCAAAGGCCACGACAATTGAATCTGGTAGTTTAGATCAACACCGTTCGTTACATTCCATAGTGCGACATTAGGGACAGCGAATTGCGGAAACGCGGAAGGGATGGGGTCAAACGACCATGTGTAGTTTGCCATGTTGAATAGTCTTGGCAATTTGCTGAAGAAACAAATGCTGAGATTCCTATTCTTGTTCCATGGCCAGGCCGATCTTTATATTACAATGTTTGTAGTACAAGCTTGTAAGAATAATGAGGCTATTGACGGGATGGCCTTACCGACATAGAATACGATGTAACGCCGACATGTTAAACATTCTGGTTTCCAAAGGTTATAGCGGGGTTCTGGGTGGGTCTGTATGCCGACTTCGTATAATCCCCGCTTATTTGACCCGGCTCCAAAACTTCGCACCTGGAACTGTTCTTTTCGACTTCGTAGTTCCCCTAGCTTCATTTCCGAACGGCTACAAACGTCTTCAAACTATGCAGCAGTCTGTTCAGACTGTTTTCAATGCAACCGGACGTTAACATACCAGCAGCCGCAGTCAATGGCAGCAGTAGCTTGAAGGCGACTCGACAACCCTGACATTACCAAGACCGCGCTCAACAGCACTCGTAGCGAGCATGATTGACCTCTATTATCGCCAGAGCAGATAGCAAATGTTTCTACAGATGATTACCTTAACAGGTTCTTGCCTGCTCTTGAGAGGTCTCGGGAGATTTTGTCTATTCTTGAACAAATAACTTACTTAGCACTGACACATCCAGCTGGATGGCGCAAGACTTTCCTGGCCACAGCTATATTTGCGACAGGAACACAGGTTTGTTTACTTTTCCATATTCAGAGGCCTAACAACTGGCTCTATCACCTAAGCTTGCCGAATTAATTCAGAGTTGATACTTCATGAATTGACGTTCTGAGCGACTCGGAGTCTTGTCAAATAGATAAATTTACTTATAGTAACCAAATCCGTTGGAAGGCAGCTATGAAGCTCAACAAACCAAATAAAAACTTCATATTTAATTGATTCCTTCATCTTCTTAAAGCTACTCGCACTTAGTACATAATGTGACTGGAGTCGCGTTGATTATTTATCTCGCCAGGCGCGACTGTACTTGCACTGTCTCACGGGTGTTTTGAAGACAGCATCCACGGAACCTCATTTAGGGCACGAAATGATTGGGAGCCGCACAGATATTCCGTTTATACTAGAGATAGATTGTCCAAGATAGATCAAATGATATCTTCAAATACTGCAACGATGACATTGCTGTAGTTTGTATTGCGTGATAAATAAATTTATATGCTTGGATGACCTTAGTAAAAGAGTGTATGGTGGTTCTCAAAACGATCATGCGGTGAACTAATGTGAAAGGCTGTCATACTCTCGGTATCGAAAACAACTTTCCAATAAGAACATCGTAGTTTGGCCATATATATATATTTAGACCACTAACATAAGTATAGCATAGGTGCTAGTATGAATGTATTGGTATCCCACTGCCTTAGACCGTGCATCGTAATCCAACCACGAAAAGCCCAACAAACCCAAAAAAATGTTCAGCCATCCAAAAGAGGTGTATATTTAGTCATAAATAGAAATATGTAAGCATATACAGACCTCCTTGGGCCTTCATGCAATATTATGAGCATCGGTAGGTCATCAACATCACCACCATAACTACAACCACCACATACACAGGGAATGTTGTCTACTCACTCATCATGCATGAACTCAACCTTCAGGAGCTGGTATCACATGGCACTTCTCCCAAGGTGACAAGCGCGATGAGCCTTGGAGAAATGCGTCTCCGATAGAGTTTAGTTGTGGGACGGTGAAAGCATCACTGGCTCAGGTAATACAGCCAGGTGATTATGGCTCAGAAATGTCTGTATTTGGCAACAAATTGGGTAGCACGCAAATTCTACCATGAAGTATTGCTATAGTATGGACGTGGCTAGATATAACTGCGTAACTGACTCGTTCGGGAGTTGAAGTGGGGCTGTAGAGGGGATCCGAAGGCTGTCACGACAGCATAATTCGGGTTTGGTAATCGCATGCCAGCCCATTCACACGATTGTATATAACACTCTTGCCAAAGCAAATTTATACTTTGAATTGAGAGCTCTGGCCGACCATATAAAACTGCTCACTTCGACGTCATTATGACAGTCCTGTTTGGGGAAACAAAGCTGCCCACCCTCAAATCATGACGTAGCTTTGCACCATGTAAATGCAATTGAACATCACACGTTGAGAATACTCTTTCTGAGACTCATCATCACAAAATCACAACAATAATTTCTCCTGTAAATCTCCTGGAGACCATAACTAAAAGACCTACTCAAATCGAAACTACCGATTCCACCAATTCAATATGTCTCCATTCTCGAACACCAACACCGGCGACAAGATTGCCGATCCATCAACCGCGAAGAACAAGGACAACGATGTACCGCTGAAGCAGAAGATCGAGGACCTGAGCGAATTTATCTCGGCCTGCAAGTATGGCATGATGACCACTCGCGATGCAAAGAGCGGAAAGCTAGTCTCCCGTTGCATGGGATTATCCGGCAAAGTATGTACAGACAAGACTTACCATGTGTTTCTAGTAGTCGAAAATATCCACAGCTTTAACAAACTTTTTCAGGAATCCGGCGATATTGATCTAGTTTTTGTCACAAACACCGAATCTCACAAGACGGACGAGCTGGCCTCCGACCCACATGTAAACATTTCGTTCATCGACTCATCGGGCCAGTGGGCGTCATTTGCCGGCGACGCGCACGTAGAGACGGATCGTGAGGTCGTCAAAAAGTACTACAGCTCTTTTCTCAAGGCATGGCTGGGCGACTTGGGAGATGGCAAGCACGATGGATCGAAGAACGACCCAAGAATCGGCGTCATCAGGGTCAGGACCACATCTGCAACGTATTTGTTGACGAATAAGAGCGCCGTGACGCGCGCAACCGAGATAGCCACAAGTGCGCTTACTGGAAACGCTCCAGAGGTGGGCAAGTTGAGGGAGATCTCAGAACTCGAGGTCCAGCAGTGGAGATCGATTGCTACGTAGAGAGGGTTGCTACTGGAATATACGTAGGGATGCGGCTTGCACAGACCCAGTTCATAGTTATTAAGTTTCCCTGTTGGCAAGTTACAGGTGGTACAAATATAATACAGTAATAAAAAATAAGTGCAAGGACCATCATGAGAAATGACACTTTGGCTCCAGTAGTTAAGCTTGTCATACAACGGCAAGGTTTGCGCACCATATTAAGTACTCCAAGCGGTTAGAAATCCCCAATTCATCTCTACGCAATCTGTACAGAGCACAAATATATGAAGTTAAACAATTCAAGTAGTATTCAGAACTCGTGCAAGGAATATTTTACACCAAATTCCCCAATCAGATCCATATTGTTCAACTGTTATCTAGCCAAAAAGAGCCTGCGGATAGCGCAGGCAGTAAGTACTCTGCGCCAGAGGTAACAAACAAGTTTAGAAATTGGCAAGCATGGCAGCGCCACCGAAGAGGGCACCCATACCAACAGCAGCAGTCTTCATGGGCATTCCACTATAGCCGAAGTTAGTAATTACTCTTCAAAAAGTGACAATATCAACTAAAGATATCAGCGTCGCTTAGGGTCTACTTACGGATTGCTAGTGCTAGTAGCAGCAGTACCTCCTGATGTGGCAGCGGGGAAGGTGGTCGTCGGAGTAGCGACACCACTGGTGTATGGCACACCAGCGGTACCGCTTGAAGCACCAGAGTAAGCAGGTCCAGTGCCGGTGGTGTCAGGAGTAGCGGTAGAGTTGTCGGAGTTCAAGACCCTGTAATTTATTCAGCATTGCGATACAATGTCGGGTGCAGCTGAAAACTTACTGGTTGATGACATGAACAACGCCGTTACTGATCAAGATATCGGGAACAGTCACGCGTGCAGCGTTAACATAAACAGTACCGTTGATGACGGAGATGGTCAACTTATCACCGTTGGTCGCAGTCAAAGTTGAGTTTTGCAAGTCGGAGCTGTAAGCAACATGGTTCTCGACAACGTGGTAGCCGAGAACGGTTCCGAGGTCTTCTGTCGAGATGTTGGCAAGAACACTGCCAATGTCGTTGAAGGCGTCGTTGTTCGGAGCAAAGACAGTGATATCCCTCAAACCACCGAGGGTACCCTCCAAGTTGGCAGTGTTGATAGCACCGGCTGCGGCCGTGAGGTTAGCATTGGAGAGTGTTGTAGTCAGGTTTGAAGGGATATTCAGAACGCCATCAACGATGTGTATAACACCACCAGTGAAGTTCAAGTTGGCGGTGACAACTGTTGCGTTCTGCTTCAAGGCGCTGAAGAATGTGACGTTGCCATCTGAGGTTCGGGCCTCAACTCTTTGGCCTCCAGTGACGCTTGTGTATGACTGGTTGGTGAGGTATGTCGGCAAGAATGCAGAAGTGTTGCCAAAAGCATCAGCATAGTGAGTGCCGTTTAGGATATGGTAGTTCAACAATGCAGCCAGAGCTGAATTGTCGGCGAGCCTGGCGGCAGCATCGGAGTTGTTTAAAAGAGCACTCAGGGCGTCATTGTTAGGTGCAAGGATGGTCACATTGCTCAGTTGACTGAGCTGGCCGCCAAGACCGGTGCTTTGTAGAAGACCTATCCTCCATAAGTATGGGATAAATATCGAGTCCAAATGAGAAACATACCATTCAACGTGGACAAGCTGGAGTTCTGAGCATTAAGGGCGTCACTCAAACTTGGGTTTTGAGCATTAACCACGCCAGCCAAAGCCAGAGTAATAGTTCGCTTGAGCTGCATTGTGAGTTGTTTCCTTTTTCTTTCCAGAAGCTGACTAATTTGGTTAGTCGAAAAGGCCCAGCAACAGTTTCTAAAGAGAAAGCTTCCACCAGATAAAGTGACGGGAGGCATGAACCCTTTTATCACCTCGTCAGGTTGCGGAACCGGCGACATGGACCGGGCTGCCTCACATGGCAAAACAGCGTGAAGTCATGGTGTCGATGAGGAAGGCCGAGCCCACCAGCTGCGTTAGTTACCATAGAAGCCAATGACGAAAAGACACCATTGTTCGTGGTCTGAGAACCAGCCAATGTAGCATCTTGGCTGTGCATAAACTCAAGCCCGATTGCAAGACACTAGTCGATCCTCCAATCCGTTTTATCCGTGAGCTCGACCTGGCTGAAGAGCTTTGGCATGAGCCCTGAACTCTCCAGTTAGTCTTTGACACCTTGAAACGATCAATAAACGACATACTTGTTTCTTCCAATCAGAGCGTAGCCTCAAGCGGTGCTACTTACCCAATTTAGACTCCAGCTCATCCTCCTGGACAAGGATTAAGAGATGTGAGATAGCATGCCATGGTTGGCTGAATAAAGTAACCAGCACGAATCTTGCTGACAGGATCCGAGGGAATTGTGTTCGTAAAATTGTGTTCGCGTAATGCAATTCACGTATTCGAAAGTCTATGTCGTCAGACTAAACACCATCTAGGGACAAGCCACTAGCGTCATGCTGGGTCACCTTGTCCCCCGCATTCTCGAACTGGATTTGCGCCGCGATCGAATCGGAAGAACGCTTCGAAGACCGCAAACAGAACTAATTGCAGCTTCATACTGTAGGCCCATTTTCTTGGAATCTCTGGTGCTTTACCGCGACTCTCTCATTGGGTTAAGCTTTAGCCCAAGGAGCTGAGCTGTCTCAGTTCGGAAGTACCGGCAGCCAGGCTGGGGATAAATTTCCCAAGTCTCCCAGTTCAAGAACGTAGCAGCTGCACTATTTTTCGACTATGCCGAAGCCGTTGTGCAATTGGTGCTTCATAGAAGCAATTCAGGTTTTACAATACGGTAGGTAACTTAGTAAAGCAGAAAAAAGAGCGTTTTTCTTTTGGTCATGGGATCTCCACTTTATACGCGGTCCCCTCAACGCTCCATAAGTGGCTGAGGTGATACTATAATCGTGCCTGACGGCTCCAGGCTCGCGATATTAGTCTGGGGGCAACATTGTGCGCGTTCAAGCTTATTCGTTAACGTACCTTGCTGCTCACTCAATGCTGGTTTGGCAAGTGCCACAAAAAGCCTGGAACATTTCTATGGAATATTGTTCTATTTCTTTTGGCCAAACAAACCAGTGCATCAGTGTCGTGACGTCGTTGTTTTGAAGCGAAGCATACCTTCCCTCCCTTTCCTCAGCTTAATGATCTGTGTTATGAAACCTAGTCAAATTGCACCAAATTGTAAATTCCTGGGGTATATCACGTTTTCCCTATGGTTGCACCGAACTTGTTTAGGATGAGATATCGTCATAGAGATGAGTATTGCAAAAGCACGTGGCCACGAGACGGAGCTCCGAGAGGTGGAAAAGGTAATGACGCATGACTCCATTATTGGGACTCTCCCTTGCCAGAAACTTGCCATTTAACAATTAGGACCACCTGAAATAACACTCTAGTACAATGCAGTGTCATCTATTGGCGAAGAGTATGACGGAAAGTATGTTCAATGAATATTGTTCAAGACAGAGTGCAGTGCTGCAAAACCAATTATAATCTTCTGAACCAAATTGTTCGACCTTTCGGTTCTTCATTTTCCTTCGTGGGAATCAGCGATGCGACTTTGCTCGACTGTTTCAGGTTGCCCCTAGAAGGACTGGATAATGTCATCACAGTCAACCTGTAAAGAATGTCAAGTTGGTGCGCAGACCCGTGTCAGGACTTTAGAGTTCGTCAGCCTCACTCGTTCACTAACTCGCTAGACCCCCCGTACATCCACAGTCTTGCTACGTTGACTTCTCCGACCGAGAAAACAGTGCTGCTCGCAAACAAGTACTGCATGTCGCACGGATGTCGGCCACATTCACGGTCGATTGATGTGAATCAGGTCAACATCGCATGATGAGCACACCTGGTAAATATGGTATACCTCAACTACAGATCAATGGGGCACTGATGTGTGTATTTCATAGGGAACAAATGCACGAAAGCGTATTTATAGCCCTCATATCACGACGTAACAACGCCCTTTGACAGAACCTACATCATCAAGGCTTTGGAGGAGTCATAGATGGTATCAGTGTGTAACTCCTGAGTTGGAATATTGGTCAAGAGCAAGCCAACAGCCTAGGATATCATGCGTATCCGTTATGGAGAATACTCACTAGACGGAAGAATACTCAGGATTGCTGTTCCAGTGGCTTTTATAGTATGTACTTACCAAAAGCCTACAGTTGATTTTAGCTAGGAAACTTCCAGCGTATGCCAGACCTAGAGATGCCATCAAGAACGCACCCAACCAAACACGCCGTGTAATATCATGGCGAGCAATACAACCGTCAGTACACCTCAACAACTTGAATCTACATAAAGTATCTAGCACTGTAGAGTACTTACTGGTGGCTGGAACCGACAGAGAGAGTATGGACCACGACTCATCGATCGCTAGGCGCGTAAAGCCCAAGATCGGCCCATAACGTGTGAAAGGAAATCCGTGGTATGGTCACTGAGCAATGATGTCAACTTTGTACAGGGCGAAGCAGGTTGTCACGCTGACATTCAGACAACAGATATTGATACCTTAGCATCATGCCAACTATTATGAAAGGCTTGACTACCTCATGAATGCATTAGACATCGATAATGGAAATAAAGAATCTAGATTCGTGAAATGCGAGGTTTGATTTTGCGAAATGATTAGTGTTTCTATATTCGGCAGTGCTAGAGATCGTTGGAAGACACAAACAATTGACAAGAGTAATAGGTATGGTAAAATAACACAATCTCTCTGGATAATACTACAACAAAGGCGAACTCTTCGCGTCACTAACGGTATGTGAGACGGTAGGGCTGCTAGGAAATATGACTAACAAGCAAAAGTACAACACAATGACCTCGGCATAATTCATGTAGCAAGCACGAGTTGTCAAAGAGATAGTGTGAACATTGCACATCGATATGTGAATGTAAACTTCTCTTAAAACCCACCGTTTGAGCTGAAAGGAAACATCATGAAAGCACACACTTGAACTATCGATCGCGCATTTTGACCTTGGCTACACATCTGCATTACCACACAACCAACTCTCTCAAGTTATCAACACCAAGAGACCCGCACAACAATAACACAAGCAATCATCAGAAATCAAAAATGAAGTCCATGAAATTCGTCGTCGCCTTGATGGCTGTCACGGGTACTGCATTGGCATCATCTGTCGACACCATCAACACCGTCCTTGGCCGCACCAAAATCGGCACGCCTGAGGATAATGGCACGGATCAAAGCCGAGATTATCCATGAGCGCATGAAAACTCGCTCGGCCTCTGAAAACTCAGTATCTGGTGAGCTATCTACTGATCGCATGATCTCACGTCAAGCCATTCAGCACTGGACTGTTGGATGCGACAAGCCCGACAACATCAAAAGTCTTGAACCCGACGATCTTGAAGTCATAACTGAATTTGTCAGCGAATGGTGCGATGCCGGAAACAAAGTTTGGCCATCCATGGGCGTCAATTCGAACTGGGCCGACGCACGCGTTGCAATCTGCAATTATGGCTGGTTTAACCCCTGCAGCCGTGAGGAGATCGACAATGCCTGGAAGACGATTGACGATGTATGCGACAAGAAGGATGGCAAGCCGGCTACAGGCTGGTGGTACGAAGGCGACAGGCTCAAGGCTTACGAGCGCAGTCAATGCAGCCAGCGCAAAGTTTGCGGTAGAAGCATGGTGGATTGCTCGAATACGGAGGGTATTGATTCGGTTCCGATACAGATCTAGAGAGCAGGCACACATGCTTGGGCTTGTGAATCTTAGCTATTAGAATGGCTATCGACAACGCAGGCCACAAACGAATAAGAGCTTAACACATCCAAGAGCCCATGTGCCTCTTCCCGTCAAACTATCATGCCATTTCGGTATCGTGTACGCCCACTTGCTGAGCCTCCGGATATATGTTGAATTTGAAACTCTTGAGACATCCTTGCGGTCTTGCGTTGTGTATTGTAGAAATGGCAATACTCGAGTGATACGGGTGTTGTAGACAAGCGCCTGTGTATCAGTAAAACGCGTCTTCGTACACGGTGTAAGGCGATAGTTGGGGGGCATGGTGCTTTCGGCTTGAAACGATATACAGACTCAAAGCCCAAATGCACGACAGATTAAGAACGATATCGAGAGAGTCATGGTTAAGCATGACTAGCAGATGCTCACTGATAGTAAATTTCGTGGTCTGTGGCATGCATTGGACAGGATCGAAGATGATGCAAATCACACGTATTGTTTGCCGCGATCGGAAAGCGAATTCAATCCAGGATACTTACGCCACTTGTAATTGTTGATATCACGGATCTGGGGAAATAGCGTCGCATGTGTCAGTGATGCCAATTATGTAAAGAAACATTATCGCAGTGCGCCTTAGGAAAACTTCTAGGCGTTCTTGGCTGAACTACGGGGAACAGCATGAACGGGGAGTTGCTAATGAGAAACAGGAAAGTACATGCGTAGATGCCAATAAGATAAGAGTAATGGGGATGTCCACGCGAAAGCCAAGCCTTCAGCCAAACCGACGGGACGTCTTGGAAGAGCCTTGCAGCATTGAATCTCGCGCGAGCTGACTCCCAGCATATCTGAAGAGGTCAACTGGGCCGCCTCAATTCATCAGCTAATTGTGGCCTGACTCGTTAATCAATCCAGACCCTTGGGGAGCTACCGAGGAGGATGCTGTTATCAACGGCGCTACCGGCTTGGCAATGGTCAACCGACAAGCATTGGCCGGCATTTACAGGCCTTTTGACCTGCATCAACGTCCGCCAAGATTGATAGCGACGTTTTCATTGCGTGGTTGGAGCGTCGGACGGGCTGCTTGGCAGGCAGTTCTTATCTCTCCAAGGATGTGTTCTTGACTGCCACGAATTGATAACTACTGCGACGGCGCCTGAGGGGTATCTTGTTGATCATGTTTATATATATCGAGCGTGAGAAACCACAGAGGACATGCTCTCATCCCTCACGCTTCACACATCTTCGCCGAAGCCATCGTTCCTCCAGCAGACATGGATACCGAAAAGATTGGCGGCTTGACCGCCGTATCAAGTGGCGATAATGCACCAGGAGAAGTGATCACCACCGGTACACAGAATCAAACCGTACGCGGTCTCAGTCCTCGCCATGTTCAACTTATGGCCATCGGTGGTTCTATCGGTACAGGACTTTGGGTGAGTAACTATCTCCACATCTACCCCGGAGCCATGACACATAGAATGAACACATACTAAAACGCAACCCACAACAGGTCGGTATTGGCGGTGTTCTAAGCAAAGCTGGCCCACTCTCTCTTATTCTGGGGTACGCGTTTTGGGGGCTCCTCTTTATCTGGCCGCTCAACTTGACAGTGGCTGAGATGTGCGCCTATCTTCCCATCCGTGGCTCGATCTTCGAACTTGCGTCGCGGTTCGTCGACCCAGCTTTGGGTTTTGCCATGGGATGGACTTACTTCTTCGCCGGTGTAATGCTTGTGTGCACGGAATACTCAGCGGTCGCAACGGTTATGCAATACTGGAATGCCGATATCAACCCGGCTGCATGGATTGCCATGGCCATGGTAGTGTGCTTTCTCCTCAATGTTGTGGCTGTTAAATGGTATGGCGAGTCTGAGTTCATCATGGCATCTACTAAGGTTTTGCTCCTATTTGGACTCTGCCTTGTCACTTTAATTACGATGAGCGGTGGCAATCCACAGCATGAAGCCTATGGGTTCCGAAATTGGGGCAGCGGCAATGCAATGCACGAATACTACGCCACTGGAGATACTGGACGATTCCTTGGGTGGTTCAAAGTTGTCATCTACGCTGCCTTTACCATTGCGGGTCCGGACATGATTGCACTTGCTGCCGGCGAGATCCAGAACCCCCGCCGTACGATTCCCCGCGTCGCCAAGCTCATCTTCTACCGTCTGGTTGGCTTCTATGTCATTGGCGTCTTGTGCGTTGGCATCATCTGTTCCTCGCGCGACCCTATGCTCTTGGGCGCTATTGAAAACAGCGAGCCTGGCGCAGCTGCATCTCCATGGGTTGTCGGTATCAAGAACCTCGGAATCACAGCCCTACCCGATATTGTCAACGCCCTTATTATGATTTCAGGGTGGTCATGTGGTAATGCCTACCTATACTCATCTTCACGAACTCTTTACGGTCTTGCAAAGGATGGTCAAGCCCCGAAAATATTCGCCAAGTGCACCAAGGCTGGTGTCCCAATGAATGCCGTCGCGGCTGTCTCTCTGATCTCTTGCATCACCTTCCTGGTTTCCTCGAACTCCGCCGTTGAGGTTTTCTACTGGTTCGTCGACCTTACTACAACGGCATTGATCATGACATACACAATGATGCTCATCGCCTTCCTGGGTTTCTACCGTGCCAGAGTCGCTCAAGGACTTGACCCGCGGTCTCTGCCGTACCGTGCACCATGGGCACCATGGACGGCTTATTTTGCCCTGGTTCTTGGAATCCTAGCGCTGATCTTTGTTGGCTACAACACATTCGTGCCTTTTGATGCTCGTAGTTTCATTACTGCATATTTCGGTCTGTTCTTTGGCATTTTCATGTACGTACTCTGGAAAGTCGTCAAGCGTACCAGCATAGTCAAACCAGCCGAAGCGGATTTGATCAGTGGCAAGAAGGAGGTCGACGACGAGTGCAGACATTGGGAAGAGGGTGGTATTGAGGAGGTTGAGAAGGAGAGACTGGCTCAGATGAGCTTTGCTCGACGATGTTGGGAACGCCTCTGGTAAAGAAGCCCTGACTTGCTTCAACACTTGTGACTACTTTACAGTTCAACCAAGGAACCACAATAAGTATTATAGTCTTAAGTATGAATGTATGTATATATATATACCCATGAACCTTTTGTTTTACGAATCAGTATGGGAAGCCTGGATGTTCTCATCCGTGGACATCGAAAATGCACTGATTTCTGAGGATTATGTATCAAGCGTGACATTGCCACAACGACCGTCATACCATGCATCCCCAACGTGTAACGTTATGACCGCTTATTAAAAAATTCGAGAGTCAGAGTATCTCTTTGATTAGCTGTGTAGTGCAAGGATAGCGTAAAATTACTGTTGGTTGGTCATATGTTCAACTGTGTTTTGTTCCACCCGAACTGTAACTATTTTAAGGCAAGCAAGTCGTCACAGTCACCGTACATAGCAGATACTATTGTCAAGGACAGAAAATATCTCGTTCAATTTACAATGTTCGCTATGCATATTAGTCTCTATGGATTGTCTACAACTTGGCAGCCTCAATGCGTCGGCCAGTCTCATCAAAGCTGATCTTTTGGCCCGAGTTCAGACTCTCCTGTAGAGCGCAGCCAATCTTAACTGCCTGAACAGCTCCCGAAAGCTTAAACGGCAGCTTGTTATTATCCAAGCATGCTGCAGTAAACTCATTGGCCTCTGTGACAAAAGCGTGCTCGAAGCGGCCGTAATAGTCATGAGGAATTTCACGTCTCACGCCTTGCGGCTCGTGCATCTCGACTAATGAGCCCATGGGGTTTGCGTTGATAGCCAGCTTTCCATCAGTTCCGATGATCTCGGTCATATCATGTTGACCGGCTGCCATCATCCTGCTACTGTAGAAGTATGCGATCCTGCCGCCCCAAAACTCCACGATACCTACACCATTGTCAACGTCCTTGTGCTTTCTCAGCTCAGGCTGCACAGCCGTGATGCCCATAGCGACGACGCTCTTGACAACGGAGTCTTGGCCAAAGTACCATAAAGCCAGATCAATATCGTGAATGTTGCAGTCGACAAAGATACCCCCGCTGAACTCGGCGTATGCAACGAAGAAGCCTGAAGGGTCAAGTTTATCACAAGTCTGAGAGCGGAAAACCGATGGTCGACCAATAGCACCTGCATCCATGCGCTCGAATGCCTGTCTGTAAGACTGATCGAAGCGCCGCGAGAAACCGCACATGACCTTGAGGTGTGGCTTCTTAGCTGCTGCGTCCACTACTGATTGTGACTAAGGCTAGCGTGTTAGTTCTTGTTCTAGTGAAATTGTTATTTTGATAGAGTAAGGGGGCTTACGATTTCGATACTGGTACTCAAAGGCTTCTCACAAAGTACATGCTTATTTGCGTCAATGGCCTTGATTGCTTGCTCGGCATGGGCTGTTGTGACCGATGCAACGACAACAGCTTCGAGGCCTTCGTGCTTAAGCATCTCGTCGTAGTTGTTGTAAATCTTACAACCAGGTAGTTCTGTTGCTGCCCATTCTGCCTCCTTTGGGTCAGGTGTGAAAGCAGCGACAAGATTACATCGGGGTGTGCGGTTCTGGAAGTTGAGGGCATGGCGAGCTCCCATGCGACCGAGGCCAGCAATGCCAACTTGCAACTTGCGAACTGGTGCCATTTTGGTAGGTTACTGTGCGGCAATGCGTGGAGAGTCTTCGACGATGGGTTGAGAGTAAGGGTTGAACTGGGAGATGCTGCAATACCATCCTACTTGATCACATTGAGTACGACAGGCTCTCTTATATGAAAGCATCTTCCGTTCGACTCTGCACAGTTGACCCTTACGGCACATCACATCTCGCAGGAATCTGCTCTTTCCGGATCTGATCATGACGGAAAGTAAACTAATGTTCACCGCAGAATTCTGTAGGGGGCTAATGCATTCGTTCTCTTCACGATCAACATCATGGCAAGACATAGGAGGGGATCCGGGCAGAGTTGCCCTGCAAACCGTATTCAGCAAGTGGCAACTAGAAAACCAGAAATTTGCGCCGACCCGCATCTGGTCTACTAGCAATTGGCTAGTATCCCGCCTCAGACCCACTTCCCCAGTCGCTCCCCTCATTCTTTTGAGCCGCCCTGGGGAACTCCCCATCATGTGGGTTTGAACACAAATCCATTCAAGCCATGAGTCGGACTATATACGGAAAACAAGATCTCGGCCATTGACAAGTAGCACAGAATTCCTGATAATGATGACAACCGAATGCGAGTACATAGCACAGTTCAGGTAGTGCCTACGATTGCATCGTTCATGATAATCCATTCATAATCATCCAGACCCCTCGCGCATTTTCCACCAAATATTTCCGCCTTCCACGTTGGCAAGTGGATTTCCTGGTCCCATACCTGAGGAGCCATCCTGTAGCACGAAGCCAGCCTTGCGATAAAACTCGTCTTTGCCTTTCGCACTGACAACTGAGGCGCAGATACCGTCTTTCTCAGCACGGTAAATACCCCATCGAACCAACGCCCGACCGATTCCCCGGCTCTGATAATCTGGATGCACTGCCAATGTCTCCAAATACCATGACTCAGCACGATCGCCAGACCAGACGCCGTCAAAGCACGGGTAAGCGCGGTCGATCACGTCCTCTTCTTTTGGGTCGCATGCGCGGTTAGGCCATAGGAGGGCATGTATCTTCATGATTACTGAAGACGCGGGCTTGAGAAAGTTACCTTACATCTATTAATTTCAGTAGCCAGTAGTCGAGCGAGGGGGTTTCGCAGAAATGTGATCCTCCATCAAAACTTTCGAGAAAGAGAATGCACGATGGTTAGTGCTTACGAGGGTCATACCATCCGCATTCCATTAGCTTGCCTCCTTCGCCAAGTCGTGCCCATTGTGCGACTCCAACGATGGTCTCCTGGCAATCCTCACCCTTTTCGATAGCGACCAGCCATTTCCATCTATAATCCCAGTAGTTTACTCGAGCTTTGCGCAGCCAGAATAGTTCCACGTCGCTGGGATATTGCTCTCGATACGGATGTATTAAATCGCCGAACAGATTGTCATCAAAGAAGGCTAAGGCTGTTACATGAGCCACTGCTGGGAGGTCGCTGTAGCGTGCTTCGCGCTGTTCGACTGTCCAAGTTTTCGACGACATGAACAACAGATGACAGCGACGTCTCGCTATCAGACAGTATCAGTAAAACAAATAACACACCTTTTGGTCATCTGAGTGTGTAATAATCAAAACATCGACGCCAAAGGGAGGCCGAAGTGCAGCACAGGTCCTAAAGTCCTGCGGAATCTCAATATTTAGGGGTGCCTTAGATAAGAAAATGATGCTTGTGTCTCAGCTCTATTTGAGGTTGCCTCTGCATGCACATCGACACAATGTCACCCTAGCTGGTACCACACCTGAACGATCATTAAAGATTGGCCAAGATGTTTTCTGAGAGAATTGCTCCCTCCTGAAGGGATGCTGCGAATCGTATTCTGGACAGTTTCTCGACTCATTATTTTGGACTATAATAGAAGTCAGTCAAAGGAGCACTAGCAATTCTATACCAATTGCAATGACGCTGATACTACTCATGACTCAAATCCAAAACCACACCGCACGACACAGCTTATTTTTGAGTATAAACGAAGGCTGCAGGAAGTCTAAACCTAACATTCGTGGTCCACCAGTAACGTGTGCCGGAATGAGTAAGACTGCAGGCAGGCAGGATGCTTAAGCGACAGCTACGTAAGGTTGCCATTGTAACACCGACCCCGCCAGTCAGATATCGAGCCCAGACTGCCGAAGCAATAAAAGCCGGTCTGCAATTTTTTGATTCAATAGTGTTGGCCATGGCCATTGCAAATGTGTCTTCAGAACACATCGGCTTTGCGGGCTAGATTTGAATGCTTGTCCATTCTTTGTGCTCACCACTCCCCACGCAATCGCTAAACCTGGCAGCAAGATGGTATTAAATGATCCTGAAACACGCGATGTAGTTGGTCATCAGGTATCAGAGACCAGTGACGATGAAAAACAAGGAACAGCGGACGACCGCGCTCACATGGTGCGATTGGGCAAGACCCAAGAGTTACGGGTAAGCCAAGTTATTCAAGCTATAATTGTGAAATTAAGTGCATTCCAGAGAAACTTCCGATTCATATCCATATTTGGCTTTTCCATGATTGTCATGACTTCTTGGGAAACAGCATTGAGGTGAGCGAAATCCCTTCTGGAGGAAACATGGCTGACCGAAGCATGGTCCTTAGTGTCTCTACAATTGGTTTGCTCAACGGCGGGACGGCTGGCCTTATCTGGATGGCGTTTATTTGCTGTATAGGGTTCATATTTATCAACGTCTCAATGGCAGAGATGGGGTCAATGTCAGTCTCATCGCCTGCTAACATGGCCCATGGCTTACTTAGAACAGGGCGCCCACTACTGGCGGACAATATGTAAGTGACTGGGCTCTGACAAAATTCACGGTTCGTGTAGACTACGAGAACATGTCAGATCAACCGCATCTCATTTGGCACTTGCAGAGAAGTTTATACATCGTAGGAATGAGTTAGTCGCTAATAGGGTCGTGCAACCAGCATTGGGTCTCGGAATTTGCGCCCAGGAAGTATCAAAAATTCCTCAGCTATTTAACAGGATGGCTTGCAGTTCTTGCCTGGCAGACCGGCTGTGCCTCATCGGCGTACCTGTCAGGCACTCAGATTCAAGGTCTGGTAATCTTGAACTACACCAACTACGTGCCTAAGCCGTGGCATGGCACCCTCATCACAATTGCGGTCGCCGTGTTTAGTGTCATATTCAACATATTCCTTGCTAGCAAGCTCCCCATTCTTGAGACTATCGGGCTTATTATTCATTTGTTTGGATTTTTCGGAATAATTGCGACACTCTGGGTCTTATCCCCAAAGGCCGACGCAGTGTCGGTTTTTACGGAGTTCAGTGACGGCGGAGGCTGGGGAACCCTGGGCGGTAGTACCCTTATAGGTGTTACTGCAGCTATCATACCACTACTCGGAGGTGATGCGGCTGTTCACATGGCTGAAGAACTCCGAGATGCCGGGAAGATTATTCCACGGTCCATGATCTGGTCGACTGTCACCAATGGCGCCTTGCAATGGGCCATGGTTATAACCTACTGCTTCTGCCTCGGCGATTTGGAAGAGATCCTTAGCACTGCCACCGGCTATCCCCACTTGCAAGTATTTTACAACTCAACGCAGTCAGTGGCCGGGGCAACTGCCATGGGGTTCTTGATCATTTTTATAACCATTTTCGCCAACCTCAGTATTGTTGCGGCATCTTCGAGGCAGCTCTATGCCTTTGCGCGAGACGATGCCGTACCCTTTAGTACTTGGTTTGCAGACGTCCGACCTGGATGGGACGTCCCGCTGAACGCTCTCTTCATGACATTTATCACCACCAGTCTACTTTCGCTCATCAATATCGGTTCGCCGCTTGCATTAAACTCAATCACCTCCTTGTCAACTAATGCTCTGCTCTCGAGTTACATCTGCTCCATAGGGTGCATGGTTTGGAGACGCTGGACCAACAGTCGTCTGCTTCCTTCGAGTTTTAGTCTTGGAAAGTGGGGTTTACTCATCAACATTGTGTCAGAGGCATTCTTAATTGTCTTCTTTGTCTTCGCATTTTTTCCATCGGCGCCTGATCCGAATGCTGCAGGAATGAACTGGAACATCCTCATGTATGGGGCAGTGGTGTTATTTTCGCTTGTTTACTATGTCTTTAGTGGAAGATACCGATACGTCGGGCCGGTCGAGTACGTGAGGAAGCTCGATTAAGCATACAAATATCGTCAGTACGTGAGAAAATGGTGTAGAAAGCAATCCATTCCTCGAATGAGACAAGTGAGTTAGGGCTTTAAAATCCAGATGCGAGATTAACGCACTTATTTCTAGAACGGTTACGTTTGGTGTAAGGAGGGGCGTTGTGATAAACAAAGAAATGTTTCGTTCAATATAAGAACCATATAGTACGCTGCAATACACTGCAGAACAGCATCGTATAGCTTGAGATCCTTTTTCTTGGTATTATTAAGATGAATAGTTGACTACACGGTAGAGCATACAGCTAAGCAGTCCTGAATAATAAGTTTCTAAACTCCGAATACGACGTGTCGCGTGAAATATTATCTACGGACATGTAGTGCGTTACAACGATGATGTTACACCCTAGAGCAATCTTTCGACTCTTTCTTGGCCACACATCATGCTTCATGGGATCTGGGCTCACAGAGTTGATCTGTCTTCTGTGCGTCTTGAGCTTTAAGCGCACGCTCCGTAGTATTTGATATCCATATAATTGGCTTTCACTAATTTGTTTCAGTTGCAAGATGTGGCATCATGAGCGAATGCGTCAAAACCTTTATGATCTATGAACATATTCGAGGCGTTAGAGTAATTCTTAACTAGATCGTAGGTGGCTGAGCCGCCAGAGACGTCAATTCCGATTATAAAGGCACGAGGGGGTTGTGGCCGTTCTCAACACATAGATCAGAGGACTGCAGTTCAGTCCGAAAAAATCTTGATGTAAGGAGACCAGCCCATGCTATGATAATCCACTACTCGTCTATTAGAAGTTGGTGGCTCCCATGCAATCGAGCAATACAACGGAGAATGACGAAAGCAAAGCGATGGGCGGAGGATATCCAGACGATAGCGACCAATCTCTTTCCATTAGCAGTGGCGGCCGTCCCTGATAGTGGTGCGCCGGAGTCCGCTTGGGACGACTTGGCCAAATGCTAACAGGTTGGTATCAACCAGGAGCCGGGTAGAAGTTGCAGTACGAAGAAGTCCACAATAATCATCCCCTGTTGCGATGTAGAAGGTCTTTAACAGTCCCCATATCCATCAAGTCGCAAAGTACGTCTTAACAGACTGTACTTAACCGATATGATGCAGCAAGGTCAATATCGCGTGAGACACATGATGGGTTTGGTGTCTCTGTAGGAATTGGTACCCTTCTTATGGTTCTAAATAAATCATCGTATTTGGCTTGCCTTGAGTCCCACAAGAGCGATACCAACTTTGTTTAACAAACTCTGTGAGAAGGACATTGCCATCATGCACTTACATCAGGGTGGCTCTTCTCATCAGGGTTGATTTTATGTGATAGCAATTTCGCTTACACTGCATTGTGCAAGATGGCCATGTATGCTTGAAACTCTTGAATCCTACAGGGTCCATCTCCCCGGAACGATATACCAATATCTGGGTATGGTTTTTGAATCATACTAGAAGATCGACATTAACAAGGCGAATCTGGGTCATGGGATGTTGCATCTTTTTGACCTTCCAATCAGTCCCTTCGCATGGGTAGTACCGTGTCCCGAGCGAGCCAACCCGTGCGCTCCCACTGAATTGGTCAAAGAAAGTACGCAATCTAGTCACTATATGAAACAGTGCTCCGTATAGTTGAAGGATAACTCGGGGACTTGGCTCCGGACAGAGTTGACCTCCATCGAGTATTGCTTCCTCGTTACCATTGCCATTGCAATTCTGTCTAGGATCATGAACTTATCAAATATTTGACGCAAAATTTTACGGTAATAGGTTCCACCTTGTGCAGTGAGTAGTCCGTAGATAGCAGGAGTGTGTGTATACGAACTCTTATGGCCAACTGATTGCTTCGATTGCTAGAATAAAATATCTGGTAAATATCAAGTGCTATCAGGTTTGGCTTGTCACCGTTCCGCGAGTTTTGAGATATTAGAGGTCACTTTGACATTCCCACTGGGCTTCTGGGATGGATACGAAGTAATTCCAGATCAGAGGGTTCACAGCAGGTGCGAGGCCCTGCTGGAGATAGCGCACAGCTTCCGCCAGTTACGCTAACCATGTTGCTGGCTTTTCCACCAAATGTCTTCCCCGGAGGCAACAACTTATTCAGACATGCGATGTGGAATGGACATTGCAGGAAAGAAAATTTCGTAATTATTTACTGGCATTGACCAAGAGGAAACATTTTGACATGCTTTTTCTTCTGTGTGAATGAACTGGCTGGCGGCTCGGGTCTTAAATACCAATTTTACAAAAGTCGGTTCTTGTCTAACGTCAATTCACAACAGCTTCTTAAAGTCGAACAATCAAGTGAGGTGCTATGTGAGGTCCATCTCTTACATAAACCAGATCAATTCAGAATGTGGTTGCGAGCTACATAGTACATATGGCCGGAAGATATGCGATTGGGTGCCGCCCCAGAACGTCCACTTTATGCATTTCTCCCCTTGCTGCCCGGGTACCTGCGGCGTGTGACTGAATCTCTTATTATCTCACGTAATCTCGGAAGCGAGTAAGCATATGAGTCTGGCAAGCCACTGCGAATGCACGAATAGCGTCCAATGAGAAGGATGCAGCGAGTTACGCATGAACTTTGAACAAAACGGCGGCAAGTCCGCGCTGATCTCGTTCCATCATTCTGTGTTTGTCAGCCCGCCCCAGTCAAAACAATTGTGCTCCAAGGCGCAACATGCACACCAACGGACTTCTACCAGTGCTGACAGCCCTTGCTGGTGCTGCGTCTGTCACTTCTCAAGCCTTGTCAGCCAGATACGCTAACTCTACAACTTGCAGATATGTGAGTTTTCATATCTCAATATACACTCCTCAACCAAGCTCTGTTCAAAAGCTGATTTGTGTATAGGGCCCAAATGACAAGTTCTGGCCTTCGAATCAGACCTGGGCTACGCTAGATCAGTCCGTAGATGGCAGACTGATTAAGAGCGAACCTATAGCACAGTCGTGTTATCCGGGCGACAACTTCGACCTTGCGGACTGTGATTATGTGACAAAGATGTGGTCTGACCAGGACTTCATGACCACCAATCCCATTGGAAGACCGTATCCATATAACATCACTTGTGCACCTGTCAACTACACCTCAGGTGACGTCCCTACAAGCTGCAGTCTAGGTATCAATCCTAGATATGCCGTCAATGCCACTACACGCGATCACATTCTTGCTGCACTGAAGTTTTCTCAAGATAATAATGTTCGTTTGGTAGTTACAAGCACGGGACACGATCTGCTTGGCCGCTCAGATGGTTATGGCAGCCTGGAGATCTGGCTACGACATTTCAGAAATAGCATTGAGTATCAGGAGCATTATTTGTCCGCTTCCACATGCTACAAGTCACATTGGACGGGAGGTGCTATTCGAATCGACGGCGCCTGGCAGTGGGAAGATGTTTATCCTGTTGCTAAGGAAAACAATGTTATAGTCGTTGGTGGTGGCTCAGTTTCCCCTGGTGCTATTGGTGGATGGCCTTCTGGGGGAGGACATGGTAGGTTCATCAAAATTCCATCAGGCAATAGGGACTCGTTCTGACTAAACTTAAAGGACCGGCAACACGAAATTATGGCCTGGGTGCAGACCAGACACTCGAAGCCGAGATTCTTCTCGCTAATGGTACTATTGTTATCGCCGATCACTGCCACAATACAGATCTTTTCCAAGCCATTCGTGGGGGAGGTCCGGGCTATGGAATCATCCTCACCAGGACCATCAAGGTCTATCCTAATGTCAACACGATAACTGCGCACCATCTCGCCATCGCGCCCCTGGTCAATGATATAACAGGCAATAACTCTGCTCTACTGGATGCAGTTACTGTATTGTTACAGTCATTTCCAGCCATGAACGATGCTGGTAAGTCAAGCGTCTAGAAAGGATTTACTTTCATTCCAAGAGCAAGTTCTTAACCTTTTTATCTTTAGGATTCTCTGGCTATGGATACTGGTTTCGAAACTTTCCAGGCGTTTTCATACCGCCCAGCTCGACATCAGGTTACAGCCATGGTTTTTGGACCATTAACAAGACCCAGGAAGAAGCCGAAGCAGCATTTGCGCCTGTGAGGGCGGCACTGCAGAAGCTCAACAGCACTATCTATATGATAGAAAGCTGGGCCAGCTATACCGACTATTGGTCATTCTACTTCGCTGAGTCAGCCGTCTACGATCCCACAGGTGATACGTCTATCCTAACTTCACGACTAATCGATCCCGAGTCTGTGGCGGATCACTCGACCGTTCGTGGTGCGGTAGAGGTCGTTAGTGGTAAAGTTGACGAATACACATCGAACGTAGTTCTCCTAGTTTCGGGTGGCCAGGTCTTCAAGGATGCATCAGACAAATCGTCTGGCTTGCATCCCGCTTGGCGCAAATCCCACTATGCCCTTATTGCTGGCCGAGGTGTTCCCAAGAATGCCACCAACGAAGTGAGACAAGCTGCTCAAGATGACATCACCTTCGTCAAGGGTGAAGCCCTGAAGAAGCTTGCGCCTGATACTGGTGGCTACATGAATGAGGGCGACCGGAATGACCCGGATTGGCGAACTTCATTCTATGGATCCAACTATGCAAAACTATTAGCTACAAAGAAGAAGTACGATCCCGACAATGTCTTCTACTGTACGACATGTGTAGGTAGTGAGCAATGGGTTGAGAGACCGGATACGCCATTATGCAAGACGTAAGCTTTCGGTCGGATTGGCATATACATTAAATTGTATAACACACATCAAAAGTTTAAACACCAACACGAGAGCCGAATCTGAGACGAAGATAAAGATTGATTTTGTATTATGCGAACGAGGATGTGTTGTTTCTTTCATGTCTGGTAGCACAATGGCACTCGTGGCATTGATATCCCGAGCTCCTGAAAAAGCCGTGCTGTGGAAATGACATGCTATATTGTGCCATTAACCTGCAATAACCACCAGGCCACAAATATACTACAAAAACTGCTCATCCCAAGAATTTTCATTCGACAGCTATATCTCCACACACGTTTGTGGCCTCGCTACTCCATCTTCAGAACAACGACGGGGTTCCGGCCCCCTCGCACCAGCCTGATGCCAAATCTCGTGAACCATAGCCTTTTTAGATATGAAGGTTCTCCTCACGACATGGCACCCGCATAATGCGGAACATCAGATAAAAGGGTACTTGAATTAATACAGATCGTCCCGGAATACTAAGCATATATCCACCGCGTAGAGTTAATTGGAGTGAAGAGCAGATCACATTTCGTAATACAAGTCTGAGAATTGTTGACTTGCTGGTATATCAAACCTTCGGCGTTGCGAAACTAAATAAGAGCGAATGCCAAAGCATATAAAGGTCAGGTGAGGGGTGTCGACTGCTAAGGTAGTGCAATCAAGTTGAAGTGGTTATACAATGACATTGTCGAGAAATGCTTGCACAGTGTTTCCAAGTTGTTTTAAATCAAAATCAATTCAATTACGTCAATGACGGTTATGTTACTCATCGGTTTTACATTATTAGGTCTTGCATTGATGATGTAGTGTACCCATACAACGCTTGAACGGTTCTGCACCCGTGAGCTAGCCCAGAGGGGTATGTAAAAGCCACAAAGCTGAATTAAATCGGCTATACTTGGTACAATCGATAATTTTTTTCAGCTTCCAGATCAAATGCTGAATCGGAGTTTCAACAGTTCCACGCCAAATGTGACTTCGCCGAGCCGAAACGTATATCCCAAATCGTTTGATATCTTCTCTTTTTCGACACCCGAACCCTATCTTCTGCTGCCATAGAGGTTCGCATTTCTTGTCGCACATGCCTGTTCACCCCGCGCACACAATGGCGCGATAGTCTTGCCTCAAGGTTCCATGAATTTCCGATTGTTGTACCTTCACACAGCAGGTCGTCGTGTTACAGCTCCGAGTCGCATCTTCCACTTATTCTTTGTTTTGCTTTGTCATTGGCCAAATCGCAACTTGAAGAACCGTTGTCTCGATGTTACAGGTTTGCAAATCGAGACCACCAGGCGGTGACTGCTATACAGCCTAATGTGGTGTATCAGCAAAACTATCGATGAGGCGTTGCCTGACTTGAAATGAACTGATACAGGAGTTGGCGGCGGGTGAAGCCTGCATAACTCGCATACCCCCATAATCGGACCGAATCGTGATGGAACTTTCACGAGCGAATAGTATCACCTCCACGCAGAAATTGTCGTGTACGCGACGGCAACCCCTCCCTACCGCCACAGGGATGGACAAGTAACGCAGCATTCATTTCTTGCTTTAGCCGGACAGGACTCATATACGAATCGGTCATTCGTTTATGAGTCCTGGCAGGCATATCCAGCACAATAATTTGATGCAAGGCTGATGGTACCTGGTCATGTTGGATACTGCGGTGGTCGTTGTTCCATGTACATTGGGCGACCCGGCTATTGCACTGTCAATTTTGCTCCAGTGCGCCTCAGGTCTGAAACGGGATTCCTACTGTTTGAAGTTCCGGCTGGTTTAGCCAGTCCTGAGAGAACCAAGAGACTGATTCAAGACCCGTATTGCCGAAAGATTCGAAATTGAAGTCGAATCCATCCATCGCACCTTCAAACGCGTTGTTGTTGTCCAATCCTTCTGGCGGGTCAACGGGCGGTAAATTAGGCTTTGGTAGATTCATTTCGTTGATATAGGGTGGCACCTCTCCGAAAACCACTTGGCGATTTCCGGGGGTAACCTGAGACACAGGAGTATGATGATCAGAGCCACCACTAATATTACTATGATTGAGTGGCGATAAGAGGGGTATCGATGGTGACTGTGCCGGCGGGATTTCGCTATGATCAATGATGTTCATTTGATTTACAGGATTGTGTCGAGATAGAATCTGTCTGGGTGGGTTTCTTGTGTTGTCAGGACTGCCCGGATGGCTAGGTGTTGTACTGGCAGATAATCCGCGCGAGACAAGCTTTTCAAGATCGGCGTGCTGAGAAATTTAGTTGATGCCGCGAACAAGATATAATCTCGAAAAACTTACAATAGCATGACCTGCCGGTATATGCATCATGTGCCGTGTGATCTGTAGGCACTTCTGTGCATGGTCATGTACTTGGTCAGCAGTCAGCTGAAACTCGCTAGAGTTCAGATGATGAGCGAAGTAAAGCATCCTTGCGCATTGGTAAGCACATGCGGACAAGTCAAGGTCAGTTACTGGAAGCCCTCCATCGAGTGATATGGTAAGCCTGAATATTTCCACGATGGCTAGGGCATGCTCAATACATTGCTTCTCGCACAAAGCCACGAACTGGTGAGGCAGTCTATCAAGAGCTGATCGTGGTAGCGCTTCCTTCAAGCCCGTCATGACTATGCGGTATAGATCGCAGTAGCACTGATGGAACCAGATATGCATCATGATGAAGACACACAGTCGGGGAGAGTATGCGCGTAATCGCAAATTGCTCTCCGAAAACCGGAATGAAGCCGGAAGTTGTTCGTTAAAGAGTTTCAACTCTTGCGCAAGCGCATCCACAAGTCGAGGCAACTCGGCAAGTTCTGGTTCGGGTGTCGCAACGATATTTTTCGTGCGATACAGGATTCTGCTCCTGATCCAAAGCAAGCGCACGTGAAGTGCCAATGACCCTACATCATCGGGAAAAGGCGTCGTCGGAATCGGCGTCAGGTGTCCTGTGACTTGAGGAAGATCGAATTCAAAGTTCCGCTCGTTGCAAGGCAGCTGGATATGCAGTGCCTCCGACGGCAGAATCGTAAAGTCGGGATAGCCTCCATTGATTCCCGAGTCGATGGTCAGAAATGCCCACATCAATCTTCTCCGTGATTCTCTAGCCAGAAAACACAAGCTCGGGTTTTCATAGTTAAGGCGAAGCGCATACGCAAATCGCCCAGCTAGAGATGCCAGCATGAAGGCAGCAGTGAAGCGGCGATTGAGCATCCGATGTTTCATTATGAAAACCAGAGCTTGGATTTTGATTGTTGAAGGGTTTTCCAAGTCCGCCAATATCATCCTCTGACACTCGTCAATACACTTTGTTCCATACTCTCTCATACCCGGGCCCAAATCTGTGAGTAGCGATGTGATGCCAACCAGAGCAAGCAGTAAAGGCTTATCCATCATCCCAGCATGATATCTTTGCATGAGAGATGCGCGATGCAGAAAAGAAAAGACTGGGACATGGTGTATATGGCGGAAGAAGTTGTTGAATGTCCGCGCGATGATGGTTTCATCTGGAAAGGTAACGTTTCTGTATATTTTGTCAGTGGTACTCTACTTACAGGCAGGATTCGATTGGTTTACACTGACGATTCGTGAGTTGGAGGCCATGAGCCGTAACCTCCACCAAAGTTTGCCTGATCGTTTACCCCGACCCTGGTATTTCTTGAACAGGCGTCCTCATTGGTCATTCTCCTCTTCTCTGGTGGTTCCGATGAGACCGAATCATGATCTGAAATTCCCGCCTGTCCGGTCATAGCACCTCCGGATCTCTTTGTGGGCCGGTAAACACATTCGATGCCTTGAGTCTGGCATCGTGCACATGTTGGCGTGTCGCCGCTGCAGCGCGCCTTTCTTGAGTGGCAGTTAATGCAGGCGAGCCTTACGCGCCTTCGTGGCAGAGTCACTTGAGCCGCATTGTCTCCGTCTCCTTGTGGCGACGTATCCGCGAAGGAGCAAGTAAATCCCAACCGTTCACAATTGGCGCATGAGGTCCCGTCGCCGATTAGACATTTGACCTTTCTCAATCGACATGGCTGGCATGTCTTTATTAGATAATAGTGAGCACGTCATTCATTAGACAGCGGAGTTGTGCTGGGTATTGAGATGAGACAACATACTCGTGTATTCGACGAGCGTTTTGCTGGTCGGTTTGCCGGGTCGGCCACCGCCGCTTCAGCTGCGATTTCCGCTGCTGTATCCTTCTCAGCCACTTCGAGACTCATATCTTCCATCTCCATGGCTGCTAAAGACAGCCTTCATCGAAGGCTAGAACAACATTCGGTATGTGCGATTAAGCATGCCACTAATGGAACAACTAAATTTCCAGAAGAAAACAATTGTCATCAAATGTCAGGATGAAATCGGGATTGGTAGGAAGCGCGGGGAGACGTGCACGCCCCAAAGTAGGTTTATCCTCGTCCAAGCCTGTGAGATGGAGCAAAGGGTGCGACATTGAAGGCTTGGTGCTTGGTTTTGCCGAGTTAGCGCTTCGATTCAACGTCCTTCAGTGGCTGGGAGGTTGACTTATCCACTAAATCTCAGGCGAGCACAGTAGCCTCAAAGCTTTCAAGCCTATAAACCCTTGGAAAGCAATAGACCTACTGGATTTGGACCCATCGCATCATTTGGGAACAAATTTGCATCACACGTTCAGGAAATGGCATTGAATACGTTGGCTCCCGCTTACGGAGTTCCTGCGCATCTTCCGGACGTGAGTTGGAACCCTGTTAGTACAACATGCTACTAATAGTATCAACTAACATTAGTCTACTATCGGTTCCTATCTTTATGAGATCTGGTCAAGTTCGTTGTGTCAACGGATATGCTATACCAATAGCTTCGTCTTATTTAGGAATTCTGAACAAATGAGTCGTTGCAGGCCGATGAGATAAAACATGAATAGGAATCACGCATGTGTCTGTTGCTGCACTTAGTGACACGAGGACGTACTCATGTCCGAATGTACTGCTAATCCTGTGGGTTTTAGCAACGAAAAGGTAGGCCGTGCAACCGGGACCGTGCCTTCAAACACCGTTGACTCGATATCTATCAAGTGGCTGAGGTCATCCTGAGCATATGACCAGCAATGTCTGTATCTTCCCTTGCATACGTACTTTAGCCATTGTCGTTAGCATAGATGGACGTGAAGGCTTTCATCGGGGTACAATATCTGCATATCCAGCCTGAGTCATTATCCACCAGTGCCTTTGAGGGGATTAGTGTTTGCCGTGCAAATTGGCGCCAGTTTGTATCACACACCGACTTTCCACAAACCTATGGAACACGTCGAAACGAGATGCTGCCATCATGAGCAAAAATGTCGTGATGCCAAGGGTTCAAATAAGCTGCGCATAAAGCCCGACTGGGTTTGGAGCCTCAATCTCACGTGTCATCATCGAGCTATGACCGATAAGTCCTTGAATTTGTCTCTACAGCACTTGAGATGCCTTTATTCCCTCATAGTAATATTTGACTCCTCGTCCTTCGCTATCTGTTGCATCATCTATCCCGCGGTGCTCACTACTGGCTGTCCAGTCCGGAGTACTGCTGAGACGACAATCCTCGACCCCTTGAACAAATGTGCCTGATTTCCAGGATTTGTTTTCTGATCTGCAGGTGTTGCTGCATCATGTGGGTCTCTCACCACAGAATGTGTGGAGTTGGTGTGTGCGATGTCGGTTGTCGGTAGTCCCAACGGAACTGGCGGCACTCGGGCGGAAGTCGTTCAAAACGGTCCTACGAAAACGCACATTAAATGGTCCATTCTATCCACCTTTTGGGCTGAGAACCTCGATCCACCACATCCTTGGGTCAAGTGACGACAGTCCGCTGCGCTGTTTGTCCCTCGCAAGATAGACGATAAGCGGTATCAGTGGAGTGTTGTAACACATCACCTTCGAGCTGGAACGAATATTATCAAGTGGTGGCCATTGATTTGTATTTTGTAACCTACCTGCATCCACTACTTCACCCGTCTCAAGCTGGTCATGTCGAACTGTAAGTGTCAGCGCATTTGTGTTTGTTCATCATGCAATGAAATTACAGCCTGTTCCAAAGGTCATCGACAGCAGAGCTTTATCGTATCATCAATTGAGAGACCATGCTTATCATTCTGGTTCACAGGGCATTCCCAAATTGCTTCCCTTGGGGTACGATACCACCTCTCGAGCACTGCTCTTAGGAAGACCCCATAGAGAAAATTATTTTATTATTTACCATCTTTCGTTCTGTATTTCCCGTCCATATTTCATTTAGCACATGGTATTTTTCCGTGGCCACTTCGCTTATGTCGATATGTGCCCCCACGTCATTCTTACTGCACGCAGTTCGGTTTCACATGCGTATGTGAGTAAGCGGAACAAGAAATTCCATAATGCCTGTAGGATCTCTTGCATCGGTCACCTTCACGAGCTTATCAATTCGGTGTACATGTCTGGAACGATCTAACTATATAGGATGCTATCAATCAGTAACCTAAGCGAATCGAAGCTGTATCGCCCGGATGGGCGACGTCAAACTAATTCTACCAGAGCCTCCATAAATCTTGTGCGAACATTCCAAGTCCGAAAGCATAGAAGCCACCATTAGACTAGCAGTTGCGTTCTGCTAGCGAAATACCTTTAAGATCTCAACCAGAAACTTGGCCCTGGCAGTTTCTGGTATTTGACAAATAACGAGACATTGTGCTTAAATCATTACACATTGTATGCGAATCAGAAATTTCCTGATTCTGTAATCTAAGTCCTGTAACGAGTGCCAAACTTCTCCGCAGGTTATCGAGCACGTTCAAAAACTGGAAGCTTCAGATGTCAAACTGATCAACGGAAATATAACCAATTGGAAAACATTTATGCGGGCCATGAAAGAGCTCTCCATACATGCCAGATCGGGATATGCTAGGGATGTTGAAACTTTGAACTCGAATTTACGCAAAGCTACATGCGCGAGCTTGGAGCCAAGGAATTACCTTGTAAAACTTCGATGGAGACAGTACTTACTCAAATTGATGCCGTGAAGTGTGAAGAGCCTGCTTCAAATGGTAAGCTTGCGCAACAAGCTTATTGCATAGTGGGTGGCTTCCAGAACATGGACTTAGACCCTATTCCTTCAAGCGATACCACCGCAGCCAGCAAAAGCAACACTGAAGAAGTCACGAATACATCGGTCAGTGATGAGAGGCTTCGAGACGGTAGAGTGGACGAGGATAACAAAGTCAGTAAACCGGAATAAAACACGGACGAATGCAGAAGATGATGGCAATCCCATGGAGGGTAAGCGATTTCGCGAAGCTCTGAAGCACAGGACAGAGCGCCATACATTTTGGACCGCCTTATTATGCAGAACGTTCTATAACGAATACGAGACGACTTTTGAAAACTGTCGAGAATAGTCTTAAAAGCGATGGTAATTCCGGTGAAGCTCCGGTAAGCACGCTTACAAAAGCCAAGAAATCATGGTTCAACCACAAAATGCAGAACTCCGTGAAAGAAATCCAGGTCGCTTGATTTTACACAACGGCAAAGCCTCGTAGTTCGATACAGATGGTATCTACCTTGCTGGGCAACTCATGACCTGGGTGAGGAGACTCAACATTGTGGAGCGCTACAATCGTCATACGCAGAAGCAGGCGTCCGAGGAGAAGGGCCTGCATTGATAAATAGACAGAACATAGAAAGCAGGATGAAGATCAGAGGAAGAAGCAAGAGTAGACCGAGCGGTAAAGAAACTGCAACAAGTCAGTATTCAGGGTTCTTTATGTCCTATTTGGACCATCTTCTGAGCTGAAGATGGCCTCATTGACCATCCTTGCTCTCAAGGTATCAAAGATGCTCCTATATACTCCCGAAATACTTTACTTGGAAGTTGTTGACCCATGTAGTATGAGTAGATGCAACCGTCCCCACAATGATATTATTAGGTAAATGTGTCGCCCGATTGAAGGTTTTAAGTAGGCTGCCATGATTTGTCTAATGAGAACGCATCGAGATTCTGTGATGGCGTTTAAAGACTTCTGGATATGGCTGGAAGATCGAGGCTTTTACATGGTTGAACAGCACGAACACAATCCACAATGCCTACTATTCTGATGTGTTACCAAAATTGCTACAGAGAATTTTAATTGCAACCCTTAAAAACCTTCTTGAAGAGATATGTAATGTGTGATCTCTCGGAATTTTGTGGTCAGCCATATCGAAAAAAGCTTGAATCTTCGCTGGGCGTCTAGGGCGGTGGAAAACACACAGTGGCTTGCAAATCTGAACTCTCAAGAATTTGTGAGATAGCATGGTCATCAGAAGGCGTCAAATTGAACAAGATGCGTAATTCCTCGTTACGCTGGTGGCGAAAAGAAATCTAAGCGACCGCCACAGCTCTTTGTGCCCACTTGCTCATGGAGTGTTCTGGGATGTGGGGTGATTGAAGTTACCTTGATGGATCAACGTCTTCGCCTCAAGGACTTGATTAAAAGAGGCGATTTTCGTTGTGTACTTCAGGCTTTCTTTTTGTTTTTGTTAATATTTTATCCCGTGGACGAGAGGTTTCACAGAGAACGCACGTGGAAACATCGCATATGCTATAGCGACGGTCATTTGAGTGACGTCATCGCCAACTCAACGTTTGAATCTTTGATCATCCTAAACGCAATCAACCATTGCAGTTCGAAATTTAGCTTCAACATGATATCAAGTACGGCCAGACAATCAGCTGACCTAACGGTTCCTGATGCGTTCGGTTTGTTTCCGGCGCTCCCGGCCGAGCTCCGTCTCAAGATCTGGAACGCAACATTTGAGCCACGGGTCCTTGAGCTGCACTCAAAACGCGGACATTACGCCATGCCAGTGTCAGCACACTGGTGTTCGGATTGTGGAAATCCAGTAACTCTGTCATTATGTCACGAGTCGCGGGAGGAAGCGCTGGCATTCTATACCATCGCACTACCAGTAGGCGACGAAAACGGCGATCCTACCAAGCGCCTCTTATACATGAATCCGGCTGTCGATACAGTCGCTCTGCTGGGGGACATGGGTTATTCAAGACTCCGGCATTTGTTCCAATCAGTAATGGGGATGGATCCTGAGAAAAGAGGATTCCAACGAGTAGGGCTTAGTATTAGTAGTTGGGCCCACGAGTACGCAGGAGAGATGCTGCAGTTGTGGGCAAAGGCCTTATTCAAGGATTTGGAGCACTTCATGCTGTTGATGTACACTGAAAGCTCACCACCGGCGAATTTCCGCCGTGGCGAGTGCACTTTAGAGGAGTGTGTAGGCATGGACAGTTTTCTTAGACTGACGACGGGCCATGGTGCGAAATTTAGGTCCGGTGAGGATTGGATAGTTATTGGCAGGACCGAGATGCGTGTTATGTATCTCAACTTTGTCTCTGGGAAATGGACCCAATAACTCCAAAATAAGGCCTGGCATCTCCAAGCCCGAACGACAGTTACAACCACTTTGGTTATAATTATGAGACCCCCGTCAGTCGACATGCTCGAAATAGATGTGTTCAACCAGTGATATCTAACATACTTAATTGGATTGCGTGTTATCTACGCCATTTGGCGTCCAATCAGCCACTCAATAGTATCTCAAAACAAACCCAGATAGGTAATAGCCAAACAACCAAACCAGAACTCAGGTGAAAGCCAAGATTATCGGAATATAATGGCACAGTTAATCACAAACTTCATCATCTCCAAGATTTCTGATGATCTAAACTTGTGCTGATTTGGTCGCTTTGTACTTTGGCGAAACTTCTAACTTCTGTAGCGTGTATCGCTTCGTTTGCTCCAAAAGACCATATGTGAATGAAGACTGGAGCGATAATATCTGAGTGCACAGTTCTGTTAACTAACGAAGAAGGAATCCCTGAATGGTCATGTATATGTCATTTCAAGGTGTCTAATGCTGATGAAGTCACCAGGGGTTAGCATATTGCCATATATTAAGGCAGGCAATTTCGCGATGGACAACTAATATAAAGCAGTGCCCGAATTGGTGACGCTAGGGCATTAACTCGGGCACGTTCGGTCTCTTATCTCATGTCAGTATGTTTAATATGTATACTACATCCTGTCTGCTGTCCTGCTATATCGGAATTTATACCAACTACTAATTGTTTAGTCCACCGGTTCTGGTTTTCTCTTCTGCCTATATGTCATCGTCTCTATTGCGAGAGGTTCTGTGAACTTGGTAAGTTAGGTGATTTAGGACACCGCAAGGATGCGCCAAGCTTATGTGTATCTGGTGGCTGACTAAGGTTAGCAATCGATTTTTTATAGTTCAGAAGAACTCAGGGTTTTTATCAAGGTTGTATCAATTACAACGTCCATACTGACTTAGTAACACAGCCAAGTTACCAGAGTAAACCCACGGCTTGACCAATATGAGACAATCCCCACCTTGACTATTCATGTTTCCCCCAGTAAAATCTAGAATATGATGATAGGCTCAGCATCGCTTGTGATATAGATAGTGTGCAACGCGCCGTTTTCATCTCAATCATATATCTAATTTTACACTTGACAGATACGCAGAGGTAGAAGACACGGTCTATTTTGTTTCCAAACTGACCAAATCAGGCCTATCGGCTTGAGTCCTCGCCAAATCATCTACAGCAGGACGTGACTGGCTTGGATAGGTCATCGCTGCCTACTCATCACTCTACTCTATGGTCTGTCATCACCACCACACCAGCTGAAATTCGTCCATCATGGCGTTAAATACAGGACCTGTTTCCAGGTATCAAATAGAACAACCCTGCCGAATGCTCAGACTTTCTGATAAGTCTTGCTAATAAATTCGAGGAGTTCCAATGCCTATTTCATGGAGTGTCGGCGACGGACTTTGAAAAAGATTTGCCCGGCCGAGAATGTCTGAATCATTTGATTCGGAATAAAACTGTCCGTTTGGTCAGAGTTATTTTGTATCCAGTGATTAGAAACAGAGCGTCTCACTTTGCTCCGAGACCTTTTTAGCACGGAGGACTATAGTGTAGAAGGCCGCAAGGACGATCTTCAGCAGTAACGTGGTCCCGATGTATTTGGGGTGAATCAATGTATGTGAGGCTCGTATTACGAAATGCCACTTTAGCCCAGGGTGGACGGTGACACGAGTTTGTTTTACACGAAAGTTACATTCTTCAGAAGGTCAGTGGTGTGCCCTTCATGCTTTCCTTGCCACTTTTCGTTCTATTTCTTGACCGAGTAAGCAACGTCAGCTTTAGTCTGAGCAAGAGTCTGTACCATCGCACCTAGCCTCGTCACATCTGCATCATAAGTAATGACTACGACCCAGGTTAGTCATGTTTCAGTCATCATAAAGGAGGGAGAAAAATAGAGAGAAAGAAGTAATGACTTACAAGCATAGCCCTGGTCAGTCTTCTGCCTAACCACTGGACCGAAACCGAAGCCACCTCGAGGCTTGTTGTGCTTCTTCAATGTCTCCTCGAACAACTTCTCAGCTTCGACCCATTCAATCTCCATACCGCCCACTGCAGCAACGATCTTTAGCTTTCTTTCGTATATTGATTCGTAGTAGTCACTTACTGCCCATGTTTCCCGGCAGGTTCATGCTGATCCGGGCGTCGAGCGAGCCCAACCAAACAATGTCAACATCTGGGCACTCGGCCAACATGGCGTCGAGGTTATGGATTCCCTCGAGCGTCTCGATCTGAATCATGATAGCAGCCTGATTATTGAGCGATTTGTGTAGATCGTCGCCCATCATGGGTTGATCCGTCAAGCCGGGAACCAAGCGGAAAGGAGGTGCAGATCGTGTACCGTTCTGCTTGGTGCCATACTTTGCAGCCGAGACAACATGCTTGCATTGCTCGACGGTATCGACCTGCGGAACAACAATGCTGGCACCACAGTCGAGTGCGAAGCTAATGGCTGCGTGATCGTGGCCAGGGATACTGACACAATAATTAGCGCTCGACGATGCTACACAGCCGTGGCCAAAATATGGGAATGTACCGAACAAAGGGGATCGTTTTGCCACCGCTCATAAACATCGTCTCATGTACTATCTATAGAGTTTATGTCAACAATGCATAGTCTCAGTGGCACCGGATCATTAGTAGCGTACCGTCGTCATGGTCTCAACATTGCACGATGAGTGTTCCCAGTCAATCCAGACGGCGTCAAATCCCATAGGTGCCAATAATCTTGCAACAGGAATCGAGCTGATTCCGTAGTAGACGCACAGAATTGGGCCAATTTTCCTTTCGTGTGCATCACGGATAGCTTGCCTGGCGTTGTGAGGCTGGAAGAGCGAAGGGGCAGCATAGGCAAGCATGCCCTTGTCTACACCACCACCAAAGTCGAAATCTGCCGCTCGAGAGCCCATCTTGAGATAATTTTTATTGTTGTCGTTATATTATTAGAGTAGTAAAGTAATGTGTGTATATGTGGTGAAAGTGGTGCGAGATGAGTTTGGGATTAGAGGATGACAGGGCCTGGCTGGATAGGAACTACTCGAAAAGTACAGAAATTTATGAGGCTTTTATAAGGATGTATGGTCCTAGTCACGGTCATTACGGGAAAATATATCTTCTGGAGATAATGGTGATACCCGGGATTTGGATGAGTCCGGAAGAGCTGGACTTCTTGCGTACAGCAGCCCCATTCAAGATACCAGCTCCCTGGTCGTTCCCTTGGGCAGACTAGATCAATGATCAGCGTTCTGGGCTTCGTATAGTGATTATTCCGTCTGACGTAAGGCCCGGTGGAGCTACAGACCGGAGCGGCTGCATAAAGTTCGTCTCTTAAAACGAACTATCATGTAGTAACCTGGATAAGTCATACCCTGTGCATACAGCACCTCAGAACTAGAAAATCACGAACTATTACACGATGATCAAGTTGGCTACGCACCTCAAGTGTCATGGGATTATGGTTGTGGTCGAAAATGTCGTCCATATACATGGTACGCTCGATTAGCGATGCAAACTGAAGTTGTGTGATCCTACTTTATATCCTGACTTGGGCAAGTTACACTAGCCATCGTCGAAGTCAGAATGAAGGGGGGGGTTTTTTTTTTTTTGGTCAAACCTAATTCGCGGCCGCTAGACTTACGATATCAAGCAGTATTCTTCTGAGATAGCTAATTACGTGGGTCGGCCATCAATTGCTAAGCACAGATCAGGGGTTTACGGAGTTAGGTATCTTGGACCACATATTTGCCCAGTCAGGCATAGACGCGGACGAGAAGGAGTTGTTGAGTCTTAGTGCCGGGACATGCATTAGTTTTTGCCATGACAGTAAATAAATTTATATCGGGTAGATAAGCATGTTCCTAATACACAAACGCTGGGGAATTGGGCAACGTGTTGGCCTATGGAAGCCGTGGCATCTCTGACGATGATGCATGCATGCATGCGTACGAGGCAGATTGCATGATCATCCGAGCTACTGGGTGACACGGCATCTTTCCAGGTTACTTTTCCGAGCTTGCGGGACTTCGGCTGCCGGTATACCAAAAGCTGATCTGCATGTGTGCGAAGCACAGGATGACTCCAAGAACTTTATTTTGACCTCAGCCTAAGTGATCTCGTCTCTGAGGATCCGCTAGAGTCTGACGTTAGACTAGTTCGTCGGTGACTTTCAATTGCCTTCTTAAGGACGCTGACAAATTGCCATGTTGACTAATTCTAGTCGTTCTTGTATACATGTCCCATCCATACTTTTGAGCGGTACTAAACAGTTCATCCTATGTAACGCAGATAAATAGCTTGGGAAAAACATTATCAACCAAGTTCATGGAGACTGCATAACCTCTAAATCAACTGGGACGCTATTATGTCGTTAGCTTATTGGCCGAAGTCCTAAGTACAGTATAGAGACCTTCTACCTTATGCTATTTATGTTAGGAAAAGCCGATTGACGATCAGTCTATAGCCTCCATTAACATCAATGCCCACCACTTGGTGATAGCCTCATTGTAATCGAACCACCGAATGACAAGAGCAATGATCAGCATGGACCCCACGCTGCCTAACCTAGAGGTGGAGTCGACACAATTATGCAATGAATCCTTCGACGCGCAGGCAGAGACACAGCCACATGAATAAAATACCGTCGACTATTTAACCTTTAACCCATCGTTCAGTCTCCTGATTTTCTAGATATAGAGAGAGAGAAATCAAACCGCCCCCCCCCGGTGTAATGCGTGCAGTACACTTATTCCTTGTAATTCAAGCTGTTACTATTGAATTAGACGCCATGGCCGCTCGTCCAAAAAACATGTCAATGATCACAGTCAATGGTGAAAAATATTGGCCGACACCCCACGAACTTGATCCCGGTGTCCCTGAGGATATGGTATGGCATCAATACCCCTACAATAGTTTGTGGCTATCAGATCCGAACTGGTACGACTCGCTAGGCCAGGATGCAATTGCGCAAAGAAGGATATGGGCCATCCCCAGCGAGCCCGACCAAGTAAAGGCGTTCGAGCAGCTATTAGTCGATATGCCCGACCGTGCTCTAGATATGATGTTTGCTGCGGCAGTCAAAGGAAGACCTCATGTCATCAGATTCTTGCTTGAACAGGGTGTGAAAGCTACGCCGAACAAAACCGAAGGCGATGATGAGACTTTAGTTCCATTCCATGCAGCGGCGGGTAACGGACACCTAGATTGTGTCAAGATTTTCATCGAGGAAGTAGGGCTGTCGGCGAACACCTTCGACGACCTTGGTGGAACGGCTATCATGCGTGCCTCTTGGAAGGCTCAGAGCCCCGAGGTGGTGCGGTATCTCCTTGAGAAAGGCGCCGATATCACGGTCAGACAGAAACCCCATCCCGGCGGTGAACCAGGGACGAGCGTTTTCGAATTTGCTGCCGGAGGGGGCAATGTTGAATGTGCGAAGGCAATCCTGGCGAAGGCCCAGGAGTTGGGGCTCAATACCTCCACTCTGGCGACGCCTGTAGCTCTTGAGGCTGCGGCTGGTACGCCGAATGATGAGGCGCTCGGGATGCTTGATTTGGTGTTGCAAGTGGGGGGATACCCGCGCCAGAACTCCGACGGGGATTGGGAAGGTGATATCGCGTCTCTGACAGATTCAAAAAAGGACGCCCTCGAGACCGCTTTTGCACGGGCCTCACGCCAGGGCCAATGGTCGACCCTCAAGCCGCTCTTCGCTTATATTGACAGCCGAGAAGAGGATGGGAGCTACCACTGGAAAGCCTTGAGGCCGGAGACTATAGAATCTCTGCTTGGTGGGATTCTGAGTGCGGTGGAACGCGACGACGAAGACCACCAAGCCGCGTTCACCTATCTACACGACATAGCTCTAAGTCCGGAATCTCGCCTCACTACGGCCAGTCTCCAAGAGATAAGGAATAGCCTTTTGGGCGATGTGTTCTTTCACGCCTGCGAACACGGGTCACATAATATGGCGCGGTTCCTATCATCTCAACATGAGATAGATGTCAATCACCTGTCACGCAACGTGGAGCCTCTTTTCTCTTCGAGCCTATATACAGCAGCTGGCTCGGGCCATGACAAGGTGGTAGAGTCTTTGTTCTCAGAACAAGGTGGGAGTTTAAACATTCACAAGGGTACCGGCAAGTTTATCAACGGGCCAACCCCGTTGTGGATAACTGTCTGGAACGGGCACGTCAGCACGGTTGAGCTCCTACTTTGTCATGGGGGCCCGGTCGAATTCATTGACGAGGCGTTGACGAGGGGTGCGAATTCGGGAAGGGTGATTGCTACAGCGAAGAAGGCCTTCAGGAGTCCCGTCAATCTGATATCTGAAGATGTATGGACAAGGGAACACGGCGCGTTGGGGGAAACCGAGATCACCGGGCTGGTTTGGGACGACGAAGGCAACCAAATACATTATGTTGTCCTGAATGCTGATATCGCCGTCCTGCAACAATGGGACAGGATACAATTGCGCAAGTCAGACGATGAGCTCAAATCGATGGAAAAGGACGGCAGAGAGCTGAAGGAGCGTCCTATCGCAAGTGCGCAATGACCTATCCATTGCGATCTGACATGAAAGATCTAACGCCCATCGTTTCGGGATCGCGATAGACAGCACAGCCAAAAAAGAAAAAAAAAAAGAAAAAAAGGCCCAAACTGACCCTCGTGGTTCAGTTGCTTCTTACATTATGCGAAAATACTCAAGCAGGAATTCGCGTGTCAGTTTAAATTGTAATTCACTGGAAGACGAAGGGGTCAAGCATTTCGAGTACGGGGTCTCAATATTACCGACGGTTTGTTGTTGTTGGTGAAAATGTCACTTATAGCTGATTGGGTATCCCAGAAGCCAACTCTTTCAGGGTAAGATGCCAGGAGACGTTGGGCGGTGAAGCATCATTGGGCGCATGTTATCGGCAACCCGCCGGCTTTGCGTCATAAGAGGTCCAGCTTCTCCTGTTCGTAAGCTTCATGCACTCGTCTCTGGTATTGCTTTTTCCTTTGTGGTTTTTCCATTTATCAAAGAACACGTAGACAATTAACCGCGAAAGAGAGAGAAAAGACCCTGTAACTTGACTCTCGCAAGTATCATGGCTGAACCCGTCAATACACCAATGCCCACAGCCCCGGGCACACCCATAAGTGCGACCCCCCGGTCAACTTCCCCCGCACCAGGAGGGCCGCCGCCACTGCCGCCACTGCCCGCCATATCGCCGCCCACACCAGCCCCTGGGGGTCCGAAGCCCATCGTCCTCCACATCGGCGACCCGATCAAGTACAACCCGGAGACCTACTCGCAGTTCTCCACCCTCTTCACCGTGGTACGGCCCCCGACGGCGGAACGGCAGCGCCCGGCCTTCATCCAGGCCCTGCGGTCACGGAAATGGGGCAACTTCCACGCCATCTTCCGGCCCTTCTGGGGCACGGGCGGCGAGATGGGCAGGTGGGACGAGGAGCTCATCTCCCTGCTGCCGCCCACGGTGCAAGTCTTCGCGAGCGCGGGCGCGGGCTTCGACTGGGCCGACACGCGGCTCTTGGGCGAGAGGGGCATAGTGTACTGCAACGGGGGGCTGGCGGCGGCCGAGGCCGTGGCTGATTTCGCGGTGGCATCGATCATCTCGACGTTCCGGGTGCTCCCGTACTGTATTTCTTCTGCGGCGTCGGGGAACCGGCAGATGTTTAACGAGTGTCACGAGACCGCGACGGGCCGGAGTCGGAATCTGAGGACGCAGAGCCTGGGCCTGATAGGTCTGGGGAACATCGGGCAGCAGCTTGCGAAGAAGATGGGGTTGGCGTTCGATATGGAGGTGTTGTACTATGATATTGAGCGCAAGTCACCGGAGCTGGAGCAGCAACTCAGGGTGAAATTCTGTCGGAACTTGGAGGAGCTGTGTCGGAAGAGTGACTGTGTTGTCCTCTGTACACCTTCGGGGGATGGTACGCTCATCAATGAGGATAGTCTCAAGTGGTTCAAACTTGGGTCACGGTTTGTGAATATTGCGCGGGGAAGTCTGGTGGATGAGGAGGCACTGGCCAACGCCTTGGAGCAAGGCCGGCTCAGCAGTGCTGCGCTGGACGTTCACGCGGACGAGCCGATGGTGCACGAGAGACTCCGATCATTGGCGGGTGACCAATTACTGCTGACTTGCCACAACGCGGGAGGCACGGTTGAAACGCACATCGGTTTTGAGGAACTGGCAATGCGAAACATTATGGCAGTATTGGGGCGAAAGCACCCGATTACGCCAGTCAATATTCGGTGGCTGAGAATTACACCAGATAACTTGCAATGGCTCAAAATCGGTTGATTGAGGTTGAAAAGCAGTTTCATGTCACTGGATCTGAACGACAAGATCGGGATGTAATAGATGTTCGAAGCAGGTGTATATATTCAAAGATTCGCCAGTTCACAGTTCAAACCCGCTATTTGAGCCGTTTCAAGTCCTTTCAAGTGTTCTGGATGGCCCTTCAAGAACCGTAAACGCCTAATGCTGTAAATCAAATTCCCAAAGTCAAAGTACTCTCTTGTCCAGCGAAAAGCAGCCTATAAGCTCACGCTGGCTTCGGCTTCTTTCTGATCAAGCCAGCTCCAAGCAGGTTGGCCTGGGTAGCTTCGACAACTGGCGAGGGCACTGACGTATCAGAAGTTGTCTTCGCTTTCTTTCGAACAAGGCCAGCGCTCAACACATTTGGACCGCCGAGATCACCAACAGGGTTCCCAGAGGTGTCAGTAGCGCCTGGTGCAGGTCGCTTCTTCTTAATGATGCTAGAGAGGTCGTTTACGGCCCTACCTGCGCTGCCAAACATGGGTTGAACCGGAAGCTCGCGTCGTCCAAAAACCTGGAGGCCCCAGTCCTTTCCAAAATTGACTTCCTTGGTCCATCGAGCAGAGCTCGTTGTTGCTTGCTCCAGGGTGCTGAATTCTAGGTTCAATAGAAGCTCGACTGCACGATTATATCCAGAATCGTCAAGAACGACCTGGCCCCGTCCCTCTTCGGGCCAGTAGTAGTACGCAGTCTTTGTCTCTTTCGGGAAATGAGCGCGTTGCTGTGTCTTGACTTTTGGCTGACGAGAAATGATACGTCCTTTGAGAGTCTTTTTCTTTTTCAGCTGGCGGAGCCTCGACCTCGCTGGTGTGGCTTGTGAAGATAGTCGCGTAGAGATTGACTCGAGCTGTCCCTGGCTGGGTTCTGGCGTCAGGAGTCGAGGTGCCACGGTTGAGTCCGACGCCGCATTAAAGGAGACATTGGGGCTCTGAATGAAAGCCGCTGTACTACTACGAACTGCTCCCACTGTTGCGGCAGAGCGCTGGCTTGACGAAGGCGGGTCAAAGACAAGCCAGGTGAACCCGGTCATTCTTCCACTGGAGCATTCTTGTCGAAAAGCCATCATTTCCCAGAACTGATCCAGCGTCGTCGGACTCTTCCAACCTCCAGCAAGTTTGGCCCTTGCTGAAGTAGATTCCTCTAGCTCCTCGACGAAACGGGCTTTGGGATCGTCTGGGTATGTAGGTATAAGACACCGTACTGGTATAGTTTTTCCATATGTCACAGGGTCTGATATGTACGGCGATATGCGCTCTAGTGGATGGCCCAGGGTCCAATGTTTCGATGCATCAACGGTGCGAGGCAGAAAGGCTCGGGTCTCATGCTCATCCAGTCCAGGAATTACTAGGTATGCGTGAATCTTGTCCCAGCTCTTCTGCCCTGTTTCTCCGTCCTGTCCATTCTCCAGTAACGGGTTCAAAACCCGACACCACCATTTGACTAGTCCCCTGTCGTCGAGGATATGTTTCCCCTTGTTCTTGACACTGCCTGGGAATAGATATTGAGATTGCGACCTGGCAAATAGATTGACCACGAACTGTGTACCCTTGCGGGTTCGGCTGGCGACAAGATGTGAGATGAAGGCCGTGGTAACTTGTCGTGTTGGTGATGGTGTCCCTCTCGGCAGTGATAAAAGGCCCAGATAGCCAGTGGAATCGGCCTTTGCGACAAAGAGGATACTCGAATGAGCCGTGGTGTATATGTATAACTCAAGGGCAAAGGCCAGGACCTGCGCCTTTGACGCAGGCGCATGAATTGAAATGGCCAGGAAATGTTTTTCGCAGTAAGTCTTGAGTGGCTTCCTAGCTCTCGCCTCGCCATTTGAATTTGTTGGATATGCAGGAGGGTAGCATAGTGGCTCAGTGATCGTTGGGGGTGTCGACAGATGGTGGGCAGTGAAGTGTGTGTCCTTGGGGAGAACTTGGGCCAACTCGTCGACGAGGGAGTTTGCGCCGGCCTCGAGTGAACACTTATGGGTCGCCATTGTATGATGAACATGGAAGAAGAGCCATACTTGACGGACAGACAGACAGACGTGTTGTTGGCCTCAAACCATGGTTATGTTATGGTTGAACAAACAACGTTTACTTGACGACAAACAAGACAAAGAAAGAAAGAAAAAACCGCCCCAGTTGCTGTGAAGATTCACCGACGAATCAATCACGGGGTTACCAGTACAGTCCAGTCACGGTTGTACATTAGACTACAGCAACCAATCTGTGGACCGCGCATGGAAGAAGTCGCGTCGCAATTATCATCAAGGGTCGCAATTAAGGGTCTCTGCAGTGGGGCCGGGGGAAGGCTCACAGGAAGACGGGCTCCAGGCTCCAGGCTCACAGCAGTGAGCGTGAACTAATAAAAAAAACCGGCCCACTGGTCTGGCTGGCTGGCTGGCTCGCTACGTATTCTCGTTATGGCACTAATCGTCTGGCGGCTGGCTCTCCCCATCAGCGGCCCGCCGCCACGTGGCAGCGCATCAGCTTGCTGTGCTGTGCTGTGCTGCAATCGAAGCTCCCCCAAAAATTTCCCTGTCGCAAAAGCTCAAGATCGGTCCCAAGCAGCCGAGCCGTATTCCAATCGCAGCTTCACGACGGCAATTCGTGGTCTGCAATCCCAATGTCGCTCAACGTCTCGAGTACAGCCAGGCGGCTCGCCACACAGACTCTCCGGAGCTGCAGATCTGCCCAGTCGACCAGCAGCACAGCCCTGCTACGGCCCTTCATCTCAGCATCCCCCTTCTCGACCTCTACACCCCGACCACAAGACGACCTTGCCCCTGCATCGGAATCTGCAGACCACCTACCTCGATGGGCGCGCACACCGGAGCGTATGAAGGCAACTTTTTCTCCACACATCACAAAAGACCCCAAGAACTCAGTATGGCACGTGAACACGGATCCCGCCAAACTCGATGACGCCCTGAACAACCTGCTCGGCAATGGCGGTGAGCGCCTGCTTCCCGACGAGCTGAAGTGGCTCGCTGTGACGCACAAATCTTTCGACCAAGGACGTAGGGGCTTCAACGATCGTCTGGCTTACTTGGGACGCCAGATCGCTGTTACCGAGGCCATGCAGAGCATTTTGAGCGAGACCGCCGGACCTCTGGGCGACCAGACTATGGAGAGGGATCCATTCGAGGGCCGGAGGGAGCCTTTCGAGAATGCCCTGTTGGACAGGGTGGACCGATTGGCCTTCCAGTTACCAGATTCCGTCTTTGACCTGAAGAAGATGCAAAAGCTGGCTGTGGAGACGGGCATTAACCGGGTGGTCAGGTGGAAGCCCAGAAAGGTGAGTACAGAACATGACGTGCATCCAGGTGGAGGCTTGGTTGTGCTAACCCATTCACAGCCCGAGAATTTGAAAGTCTCCGGCATTCCGGTCGTCATGTCCGGAGCGTTATATGCCATCATTGGAGCTATCGCGCTACAACACGGCGGAAAGGTCGCCAGCAAAATTGTCAGAGAGCGCATAATAAGGAAGCTTCGGTAGAAAATAGAGGACAGGACCAGACCAGGACCCGTGTATTACTATGTACAACAGGATGTACATCGTCAAACGGCATAGACGATAAGGCCTACAAGCAGGCTATTGTATATTCAAGAACCAAATACTTGCACGTGAACAGTGCACAAGTTCTCAACAGACTTCCCTTGCAAAATGTTTGAGGAAGGGCTTGCCAGTGGCATTTGTAACAACCTGCAGATCCAAGACCGGTAATAGATACACTTGGGGAAATTTGCGACTCGATGTGACCGACCGTATGGACGACAAAATGCGCTTCCTCGTTTGTGTCGACAATGATTCAATTGTCTTCCCAAGTACCGTGAGCATGTGGGAAAGATCGGATCGCTACCGGGCAATGTTGCGTATCAAGAAACTCCGAGCGATATGGAGATGGTGATTTTTTGAAGAGAGGCATAAATTTGAGCCATCGTAACCACTAACCCGTGTCTAGCCATGTCCCTGTGACGGGCTCTCTATGAAGAAAACACTGAGCAACAAGCATCTTCTCTGGTTGAAGTAAGTACGACCGTTACGGCTCTTGGAATGTACCATGCAAGGCTTTGGTAGCATCCTTTGTGCGGAGCCAATGGTCCGCTCTCGCCTTCCATGCGCGGCGCTTGGCCCAATACGGAAAACCATTTACTGCAACATCTGACCTCATTTCATATTGTCCCGACGATGATCGCGTGAGCTTCACAATCCGTGGACACAATACAGTTCGTCAAAAATCCAGCATCATGGAGCAAGCACTGCAGAAACGCACACACAGGCCTGTCCTCCTGCGGGTCCGCCTACAATGGCTGCTCGTCGTTCCCTTGCTCCTCGCAATCCTGGGTGTCGTCATGCTTGTGCTTCACTCCGATTACAACATCCCCGCGCTGTATTCGCAGTGTCGCGCGCACTCGCGGTTACACGCACTCTCCAAAATACCTGTCATCGGTCCGCCAACCTGCTTTCTCATCAGTTTCTTCCAGTTCGCCAACGCATCGGCCCGCTCGTTCGCCCGCATGAGCGTCATTCTCAGCTTTGTGTCGGCTCTGCTGGCGACCAATCTTGTCGAGTCCGCAAGGCTTTGCAACAAGCCGAGCCGGGTCATCTACAAACCTACCATCCCCTGGTTGGTATTCAACTTGCTGGGTGGCGCCTTGGTATGGGATCTGCTCATTGTGCCGAGTTTCTTGCTGAGAGCAAAGGATGTCCAGGCTGCGAGAGAGTCGCGTAGAGCTGAACGTATCAGGGAAGCTGACTCTGATATCGACCGTCAGGTCCGGTGTCTGTCTAGTCAGGTTGAAGTTTGGGCCATCCCGGTTGCAGTGGTCATTGGATTCGTGGTGCCAAGTGTGGTCATGCTAGCGGTGAACGGTCCGATCAGTATCGCTGTGTGGCTCTTCTTCCCGCTCTGGGTGTCTGCCATTCGATACGCGGTCAAGATAGTTGGAGTCAACTCCGTTGTCGACCCCGAGCCATATCACCTTGAGTCGCGGCGATGGCCCACTGTCGGAATCTATGCTGTGCCGGTCTTATGCTCCGTGCTAGCGCATGGCCTGCTGATATGGAACTTATTCAGCCATGAGGATCGCAAGGAGATGACTCGTGTTACTATTCGGTTCATTCAGATCGACTTCGCCATCATTGTGCTGACAGTGGTATACTGGATCTTGGTCGAGGCAGGAGTTATTGTCACGTTAGCGTTTCTGGGGCTCTCGATCCTCCTTGGACCTGGGGCGGGTTTATGTGCTGCTTGGGTGCTTAGGGAAAAGGCAATCGAGAGATATCCCGATGGAACAGAAGAGCAGGAAGGAGACCAAGAGCAGGGAGATAATAATGAGCAAACGCCATTGCTACAATAGGACAACACCAGGACTCCATACTTGGGCACCAGGCTCTCAGATAGCTCTCAGATATCACGATACACGGGACAATACAGCAGCCATACATGACATTTATAAGAGGTTTCACAATCCACCCGAATGGCAAGGGAATATGCGGGTGTTTTCTCTATAACCCTGATATTTTCGTCCGCAGCATGTATAGAGGACAGCGAAGCTCGACAACTGACCTGGCAAATCTCATCGGAATATTCAGGGGATTCTGGGAGGAAATGAGTAAGCACCTTCACAAAAAGTTTTGCTATTAGCCTAAAGAGCACAATTTTGCCAATAAGAAACTTCCGTAGTTGACTGTCTTCCATCGTCTCGTTACTACTCTCGACTAAGAGATATGTCTGTTAGCTCAACACGCTCCGAAATCTCAGGTCTATACGTCACACTGATCTCACACTTCAACGCCGAACTAGCATAGATAACTCCACAGTAGAGGGTTAACCCATAAACCAGATGGCTTTGGCCACTAACAGGGAGCCCATCGCTATAATTGACAACAGTGTCCTCAGGCCGCAACGTGCAGCTTCCCCTGGCCATCTAGTTGCTCCTACTACATGCCGCAGAAGCTACAAGAAGCTGCAATTGATCTATTATTCCCTGCCCAGGATGGTGATACGGCGTTCGACTGGGATATGTTCCGCAAATGAATGACTGGGATGAGGATCCAGCTTCCCAATGTGGTCGACTTGTGATTGATTGTATGGAATCTGAAGAGTGACCCTGGCACGGATGGATTATCGCAGGGCGTAAATCAGGTTCTTCTGGAGGTCATCAGGAACGGGAACCAAGTTGCAACATGATACACCAAAACAGGTACGACAGGAGTGTATCATCATGCCTGTGCTGGTTGCGATAGGTTACTAGGTTTTCTTTCCGATGGATAATCACAGAACACGTCCTCTTGTATATCTTCTAGGTAGCTCGTTCCCCCAAAGGTTCAGCTGCCCTCCGATCTTTCCTTCCTACCAACGTCCATGAGGCCAGTATACCTGATATAGAGCCAATGAGGAAGCACAAGCAAATGATGTACGAAGTACGATACGTCGGCCCGAAATTCGTGTTATAAACGTGCGGACCTACGATACCACTGAACTGCGCCATCGCGTTGGTCCAACCAATGCCAATCCCAGCCGCCACTGTACCTTCAATAGCTCGAATGCGTTCCGGCCAGATAACAGGATAGGCTGATCCGGCACAGGATACTGCTACGATGAGTGCCAAGTATTTTACAACAGCGTTAGGAACCGTAATAAGTATGATGTAGCAAATAATTGTAGTGGATTCGACTACCGATAATTAGCTCAGATCGTAGCGAAATGGTGTAATATGGAACGTACTGGCCACAGCTGTCGTCCAAGGTCTGATGATCTTCTTATGCAGAAGATATCCCACGGTATTGAGAAAGAGGAAAGTGACGACATATGGAGGCTGTCTATGTGTCAGTGTGTAACTCCTTGGACACTCATTTGGGAGTGTTCATTTACAATATTCATGAGCTGAGACTTCGAGGTTGTCGTAAAACCAAGCTCGTATATGACGGTCGGCAGGGCGAAGCCGACACCGAACCCGCCAATGCCGTGGCAAATCCAAAATATGGAAAATGTATACAGAGACGGGTCCTTGAAAAGCACCTTGAGCGTCGTGAAGTCCCAGTGACCTTTCTTTCCTGTGGGGGCAGCTTTGCCGAGTCGGCCACGTAGGAACTCGCGTTCCTCTTCACTTAGTAATTTTGAGGTCTCAGGATAGTCCGGCAGCCAGAAAAGGGCGATGAAAGCCAATATGATGGCTGGAAGGCCTTCTAGCAGGAACAGCCAGCGCCAGCCCGGAATACCACCAAGGCCGTCCTAGGGATGAAATTAAGCTGGATGGCGGATGACTTGGTGGCAATGGACTTACCATGAACCCGATCGCGTATGCTAGCAGTCCGCTCAAAGCGCTTGAAAGCTGGCCTACCGAGTAGAATATTGCGACGCGCTGGGGGAGCTCCTTCGGCTTATACCAGAACGCCATCTACCACGCAAGTTAGTATTCATTACGACCCGTCGCCGCTCTCACGGGGTTGTTGTGAACGGGTGCTACTCTGGAGAGACATCATTAGCCAGCTTTATCAACCGTCCTTTGGCGGTAGTCCTCACCACGTGGAACAGTACGGCAGGGAAGAAGCCTGCCTCAGCCAAGCCGATCGCAAATCGGGCACACATCATTCCGTTGAAGCTCATAACTGCTGAGGAAGAACATGCTGAGATACCCCAGCCAAGGATAAGAACAAACATCCATCGCGAAGGCCGGAAGGTCTTCATAAGTAGCGTATTCGGGGGCTCGAAGATCAAGTAGCTGTATGAGAAGATCGACAGAGTCCAAGCCCACTGACTGGCGTTGAGGCCAAGCTGTTTCTTGATACCGGTCCCATTCTCGAGGTTGATAATAGCTGCGTTTGAGTAGTTGGCAGAGTCAATAACTCGGAAGATGTAGACCAAGGAGTAAAACCCGACAAGCCACCAGTCAATCTTTCGTATCACTTTCTTCTCGAACTCCCTGTCGATTTCAGAAACTTCGGAGTCGGATGATACAGCAAACTCGTCCGTAGGTGCAGGAGCTGAGACGTCATTAGCTGACAACTTGGCCTGCGCTTTATCGGCCATCATCGGGCCTGGTCGTGTATATATCTTGTAAAGGAAAAGATCCTCAGGAGCAGTAGACGCTCAAGGAGATAGTTTCTTTTTGCCGGTTGCGGGAGGGAGAAACAAGTATAACCTGGTTGGCTCGGTCTATTTACATATGCTGCTGTGGATACTATTCTATTGACATTATATCGCCACAATCCACTGCCCATCACGACATCGCTGGCAGTATGACGTCGTTATGCTCGTCGCAAGTTAGCATCCGAGGACATGGGACTGAACAGAGGCAACACAGCAACTTGACTCCCAGGGGAGGGCAAACTGATCGGCAATTATGGGCACTAATACCCATATCCCGACTATTAAACGGCAATAAGGTTGGGGCAATTACAGACTTGATCTCTACGGATCCGTACCATGCAAGTATAACGCAATCGGTAGTCGGCCAAGGTGAGCCTTTTATGGATCCGATTCATCTGAGTCGGCCGAGTATTAGTCTTTAAGGCTGATATTGACCTATTAAACCATGGGCGACAAGCACGCATTTAGTGCATGGAGCACGCCATAGTACGCCAACCAATCAGAATAAACACCAATCACATACTTCGGGATGCTCTACCGACTATCAAAACGACTCCAACTCTAACGGCCCGCTAGCTATCCCCTCACCAAGCAGTTTCACATGGAGCTCTTGCTATAAACATTGTTCCCGCCTTCTGACCGCGTCGGTTGATCCGCTAGGGATTCCAATACGTCGCATCGTCAATCTATAAAACTGAAAATTGCCATGGCTCCTATTGCCCTTGATGAAACCGCTGTCTTTCCGACCAGGAAACTTCTTGTAAAGCCATGGAGTCGACCACAACCAACGTCGGAGAAGCTTGACTGGGCCGACCTGCCAAAGATCGACCTCTCGCGCTTCGATGAGCCAGGCGGCAAGCACGAACTAGCTGATCAACTCTATGAAGCAGTCACCAAGGTTGGTTTTTGGTCAGTCGTCAACACAGGAATTGACGACGAACGCGTGCTTCGTCAATTTAGCATTGGCAATACCTTCTTCAAGGAACCAATTGAGGAGAAACGCAGGTTCCCGTGTAACTTCGCTGAGGGCGAATATTTCGGGTATCGCGAAAACTCGCGGTGGATCGGTGATACCGGTGTGAAAGAAAACATTGAAATGGTATTTGAGTTTTGTATTTATCGACTGATACCACAGCTAACATTGTGCAGCTGAATGTGCCGAAAGCTACGCCAGCATATGCGAATGTAGGCAAGCACCAAGTAGTAGAGGAGAACTGGGATGAGATTGCGAGGTTCCACCGCGATCTGTGGGAGAAAGTTATTAACAAGCTATTTGTTTTGATCTCAATCATTCTGGAGCTACCTGAAAACTATCTGTCAGATGCCCACGCGTATGATGAGGATTCGGACGACCATTTGCGATACATGATCTACAACGCCAGGACACAGGATGAATGGGAAAGGGCACAGGCTTACTCTAAAGGCGGCCATACAGACTTCGGAAGTTTGACTTTGTTGTTTTCCCAACATGTTGCTGGCTTGCAGATTCGTACACCCGAAGGCGATTGGAAATATGTTCGACCTGTTGATGGCGGCATCACCTGCAACGCTGCAGACACTCTCTCATTCCTAACCAAAGGTAAGCCGCTCACCTCAATAACCATAAGTTCGTGGCTAATACCAGTCTAGGATTTATCAAGTCGACCATCCACCGCGTAGTAACGCCACCAAAGGACCAGATCAATATCTCACGTCTGGGGTTACTGTATTTCAGTCGGCCTGGAGACCATACACCAATGCGACCTGTCCCATCGCCTGTACTAGATCGACTCGGGCTACTGACCGAGGAGGATAAGGACGTCAATATACCAGTTCCGTCTGGTGTCGAGTATGTTCGAGCTCGCGTAAAGGATGTACATCATAAGACCGTCCTAGACAAACGTGAGGGCACGTCGTTCGAGTACAAAGGACTGAAGGTTCAGAACTACTACGACTGAGTACAATGTAGTCATCTTGAGTCAGCCTATTACGACTGATGATGTTGGTCTCAGTTCGTGGTCTTGCCGTAGCTTGTAGTTCTGAACTGGTGGAAAGGAGACGAGTTCGCATGTTTGATCCAATTTGAGCATCCTGGGTATATGGCAGATGATCCTCAGCGTTGCTAAAGGAACATAGTGTGACTGGTCATTGCCATTAGACGAGTTCGAAGGTGTTGGAATTCGCGTGCGCATAAATCTACATATCAGAGAACCCATAAAGACTTACGAGTGTAGCGCATCATGGCGAGCGGTAGATCTCATGAAGAGATACTCGACCGGTAGCGTAGACAAGAATTATGGAAAACTATTCACTATTTTCAATACAGATTTACCAAGATAACATGGAATAATCTCGCAACTCACTAAAGTAACACGTAGACATCCAACAGTATGATGCGGATATGCTGCGTTATTCCGATTAGATTAGTCGATATTCGAGTTCATGTGACATGTGAGCTTTAGTGCCGTTAGCTTGCCAGGCTGGGGCTCTCACATCTCGTCAGGCTTATTCGTTCACCGTACAAATGAGCCTTGTTCTATGAATGTTGGGTCATCTAAGAGCCACGTCAGGTCATCAGAACGCACATGGCCAAGCGGTCCGTTGCCGACTTCCCCGCAGATTTCTCTTAACAAAGTAGTCACTGGTGACGTCAAGGCTTCGTCTGAGCATCTCACAGTCCTTAGGAACCCCGACAGCTATTTCGTGATGCGATGTCTGCGAATTCTGGTTGCAAGTTGCCCATGCTAACGGAACCATCGGCGTTACCCCTAATCAAAAAAACAGCTCGCTGATTTCTGATAAATTATGGAATATCCGAAATTTTCTTTAAGAGCTTTCAGTCGATGTGGCCGGTCATTTGCGTGTAGTATGATTTCACAGCTCTGTGTTGGTGACGAGTTGGCTTGTCTCCCGGGAGCTGCCCGCGGCGGAACACCGATATATGAGCATGCATTCTTCTAGATGACCTCCTTCATTGAGCAGGGTACCAAAATGACTAGTGTCCATCCGTGTAAAGCAGCTATATTGTATGAGTCGCCAGTACTTGTTCCTGCTGCCAATGTATATCGCTTACCACTTGACTATCAAGAGAAATATGGTAAAGCATGGCAAATGCTGCAGGTAAGTTCATTTGGCAGGGTTCACACTCTCAGGATATGTCTCAGTGATCGATAGGACATAAGTAATTCCATGCACTCGACGCCAAGATGTATAGGAGCAGTATAATATTACGGGCCAGGCCGGATAATTAACAACGGGTGTTGTCCTGCCTTTTTTAATCACGCCAAGAGGGGACGCGTCAGTCCCCAAGCTTTACCCCAGACGCGGGACTTGACTCGAATAGTCAAGTCGCACCATCCAAACCAATCAAACATGAAGTATTTCAAAGAGGCCCGAATGTTCAGCACAACATGTCGGTAAATGTATGCACGTCAACGGAGATACACTTTTAGTCTCTTGAGGTCCATGCACTATCCTTTGGTTACGGTGCTTGGACCGGACCGTGTCTCACGCGGCGAAACACAAGCCTCGAAGGAACATTGTGTTCGGCTCTTATGTTGAGGCGATGTCTCAACAGCCTAAGAGCCCGGAGTTCGACTATACAGGAAGGCAATCAAGAGTATGAGCCTATGGTCCTTGTTTTTCTTTTCTTAGAAAGGCGGATGCGCTACAGCTTGACCGTAACCTACTGGCGACCCATTACGACGATGGGGTTACAATATCATGCCATGCTACTGGATACCCAAGAGGTTCTAGAATCTCGGTGAGTAAGACGTGTTGATTCCGTTGTCTGCGGATGATTAAGACGATGACTATAAGAGGCTCGATTACTCTTCGGAGACTTGACTTGCACCACGCCATAGTCAGCCAGTCTACTTTCATCTCAGTCCCATCAGCCATCTACCAATATTTTAACGTGTCAATCAGTAATGGCTCGCTACTTCGCCGTTGTTGCCCTCTTGGCAACCTCTCTTGTGGGAGGCGTCATGGCACATCCCGGCTCTGATATTCAAGCTGAGATCGAAAGGAGCGCTGCTTGGCAAGCCCATCCCGAATACCGCTCCTTGAAGCCATGCCAGGGTGCAATCAAGGCTCGTGACCACAAGTTGGTCTCTGCTCGTATGGAGAAGTTTGACAAACTCCGTGAGAAGCGGGGCATGGAGAAGCGCACCTTCCAAGAAGTCCTAACCACCAACCACCACTCCAACAAGACCGTCACCCCTGACTCCACCCCGGAGGAAATTTTCGGTTCTGACAACTCCTGCATCCTTCAGCCCACGGTTACTGAGGGTCCTTACTGTGAGTGTTTACATCACGCGTAGGCTATGATGCCTCTAACATTTTTCAAGGGGTTTCCGGCGAACTTGTCCGCCAGGACATCACCGATGGCGAAGAGGGTGTCCCATTGACCTTTGACGTTCAACTCATCGACACCACTACTTGCGAGCCACTCTCTAACGTTGCCCTCGAAGCTTGGTACTGCAACTCCACTGGTGTCTACGGCGGTGTCAGCGCTCGTGGCAATGGTAATACTAACGATCCTACTATTCCATACAACACGGCTCTCCGTGGTATCCAGTATAGTGACGACGATGGTGTCCTCTCTTTCGATACTATCGTGCCTGGTCACTATACTGGTCGTGCCGTCCACATTCATAGTAAGTAGCCGCTCTTGATCTATATTGACCTCACTCTGACATAACTTCAGTCATGGCACATATCGGCGCTACAACTCTCGCCAACGGCACGATCGCTGGTGGTCACGTCGCTCAAGTCGGTCAACTCTTCTTTGACCAGTCGTTGAACGAGGAGGTTGACACCGTTGCTCCTTACAACACCAACACTCAGGCTTTCACCGTGAACGCTCGTGACGGTATCATGGCTCAAGAAGCTGCCACTTCTGACCCAGTTCTGAACTACGTTTACCTTGGCAACTCCGTCGAAGACGGCATCTTTGGCTGGGCCACTGTTGGCGTCAACCCCAACAAGGTCATCAACCCCCACGCGGCTGCACACTACAACGGCCCCGCATAACTGTGGACGCAGTATATGTCGCAAGGCCTGTAAATGATGTTATTGATCTCATACGGCGGCTTTATGTTTAAGAATGACTCGAAACTTTATTTCTGATGTAGTGGTATTTAGCAGATTGTACATAGCATTTGTTAAGCAGTAACAAATAGCAATTCATAAGTTGCTTGTGCAAAACGATAGTACACACACACTCTATCTCTATATCCCTATTATATATATTCAATGTCCTAGCGATCAAGCAGTGTCTCAGCAATTCACTGCAAGCCTGCACGGTTTGGTCGGATCTCCTCACTTGTTCTCCTGAGACTCATGGCTCTACAGGGTTTACTTCCACCTTACACTGCATCAAATTTATAAGAGGAATATCCGGCCACATAAATTTTAACGCCAACAACAGAAATTCTCGACTCTTCTCGTTCAATCATCATGGATCTATACCTAGAGAAAACATCGTCAAAATCACAGGAAGCAAGTCTGGTATGTTAAGCACCTTATATCCTCCTATATAATACACTAATAAAGTACAGGTCCTCGCTACGCCCATATCATACTTCTCGCCGATTTAGCGATAAAAAAATCTCTATTCACTGACGCAGATTTCCGAGGAAGGCTGCCTATGAAGGTGCTGCTAGACACTATTAAGGAGCTTGCTGTCACCAAGTTAGAAATTGAACTATATGGAAGCCACTGCTACTCGCGCCAATTGAAGTGCAGCCCCTTTAGAACGCTGTACATATCTCGACTTGCTCCAGGCTATAAGGACCCCTTATACAACTACACAGAATTTATCAACTCGCTCCCCTCACCCGAAGCCTCAATAATGAAGCTCGCTGTCAATCCTGGAGCCGCTGACTTCGAACCAGTGGAGACTCTAGAAGATCGAATCAAGATACGAGATATGAACTATGAAGGTTGCAAGGAACTCATGGAGACACCCAATCTCGGACTTGTTCGGGCCTTGGTCATTCATCCGGCCAGGGAGAAGCACTACAATGCCGCCACCAGCTTGATGTTCTTCCATTCCGAGGCCGCCGAAGTCGTGCTCAGGTTGTAACCGTAGGCTTGTAGTCTCTAGCTGGACCTATTTATAGAGCTTATATATATAAATTCTTGGAATAAGGATTTATTATGTCAACACTGATGGCAGAATATCACGGATCATCTAAACGACTGGGATCAACTGCCCACAAGCGTCTGAGATGACAGGCATTCCTGTCGTCTTTGGAAGACTCCGCATTCTGCTCTTCTTTAGACCATGTGCCTGGCAAATACAAATTGGCAGATTTCCTTTGTTCTCTTACAAGTGGGCTGATTTGAACTCAATGATTGAGGCCATTGTCAACGGCGAGAACCTCACAGTTGCAAAGGTCTTTAAATCAGCACTACACAGCATATGCAGTCGGTAGTTTACTCACACTGAGGACCAATACATTTGGGTTGATGCCCTGCGTAATCAACCAGAATGGCCTGGCTCAGCGGAGTGCGCAAGTCAAACGTATGGGCAAGGTCTACAATCAACTATGGGTACGATGCCGGAAAAATCCTTGAAAAGATCTTGGATGACTTGAGCCAGAATGATTCGATGACAGAAACCTTTATATCAAAGCTTGACCGGATAGGCTTGGCAAGGTCTTGGCGTGCAGAGTATGTGGTCTTACTGGAAACATCTCAGAATTATATAGGAGGTATTGTCTGCGCACAATGCTGCGCTCGTATTCTTTGGTAACAAAATAAGCAGCATGAGCACTATGTTTGTAGCTACGGTATATTTATCCCGATACGCTGATAGATGGCAGGCTATAGGGCCCGAAGCTCAAGGGGAATTTATCAAACGACATCAGCTTGCTTCCGTGGTATTCCCTTGTTGTGGGAAAACTTATAGTATTTGATCAAGTTGAATCTCTCAATCTGCGGTCGCCCTATAAGGTCATGTTTCAATGAGAGGACGCATAATAAAAGGTGGAGCTGACGATATGGGTCTATTGTGGGGGTAGCTTCAACGGCTTGGGCGATCTCATACAGGCGTATATGCTTCGGAGTAAACTAGCAGCTACTGGAACAGGCCTTCTGGTCCTGGCTCGACGAGCTACTCAATAAGGGAGATGTAACTTTCATACTCTCAAAAAGCTGTAAAGCTCCAATGACGTTGAGAGAAATGGCGATGGAACTTGTATGCTCGTTGGAAAATATTATCTCCAAGGCGTGATGAATGGTAAGGCGTAGCAATACCAACAGAATCACGGGGTAGAAGACACCACCGTAACTCTTTGATAAAGGGACGCCAATCAAGATGATATATTGGTCCCCTTTAACTATCTAAGTAGTTTTACCTATCTATTTTGGTGTATTGGGTGCAAGTTTATGATAATAGTAACTGCTTGTGAGATGGGTTATACAACCCACGACGGACGAGTAGAGACCACAACTGCTGCTAGGTAAACAAACAAGACATCGAATGGAACATCTCCCACACATATAGGTTAGCACTCTAGTATTGTGCACCACTTTAAACTCGTGTCGTCTAAATGGCGGCAACAAAATTTTGTCTACCTTAGGATTGGTTCATAGTAGACTTCTACTAATATGTAGAATGACTCGAAATATATTATATTTCAATGAGTACTCAAAGTGAAAATCCAGCAGTATAATAAGGAATAAGAAGGGATATCATAGTCACGCTAGTAGATGTTAGAATTTGTCCAATTTCTTGGAACTTCTGTCTGTAGCTGGGTTGTCCAAAGCCCCATGGCATCTCCACATGCCATACTAACTCGACCAAAGCAGACTCAATTTTCAAGAGTGCTTACTTTGTCATCTCTCTCTCTCTCTCTCTCTCTCTCTCTCTCTCTCTCTCTCTCTCTCTCTCTCTCTCTCTCTCTCTCTCTCTCTCTCTCTCTCTCTCCACAAGCAATGTCCTTGCTGCTAGCACATACACAATTCTGATGAGAGAGCGGAATTCTATCGGCCAAGTCTACTTAGCTAAGATCAAACGCATCGACACGTTCTCCTGGCTCATTCAGGTTATCATCTTGTACGTGCGGACTCAGTAACATGGCAACTGATATCACTTTGGGTCGTTTGCCCAAAGAGTTCCGCAGATCAGTATTCTGGACCTCTCAACACAGACGAGGGTAGTTTGGCTGTGTTATCTATGAGTCTTCCGTGAGTCTTGACTTGAATTGAGCCTTTGTCATCGCCTCCCAGCTCGTGAGGCTCCATTTCATGGAGTTTAAGTCGTCAACAAAGGCCTGCCTAGCAATCAAGCGATTTCTTCGAATGCCAGAACGTGCGACTTCGAAGAAGACAGCAGTATAAAGGCAAGGCCATCTAGTTGTAGCGAGCAACTTGGTGAATGCCTGATTTGGCATACCGAAACATTACGCTTGCCACTCTCAACGTCCAATACCTTTCCCCTTCACGTCTACAGATACTCCTGAACTGTTGTCAGTACCTTTGAGTAGGTCTCTTAGACTCCCTTCAGCATAGCTTTTCGGTCTACTGCCTTTCAAATCCGAGCAGGCAATTTCCGTCATGGTGTTACCTCCTCGCCATGGTATCCAGTTGCCGAGCCCCGACAGAAGATTCGAAGAACTTCTTGGCTCATCTGGGCTGAAGATAGCCGCATTGGCAATTGAATCTGATATAGTAGGTCTCGAGGGCTCACTCGGTGGTTCATGCGTGTAATTAGTAACCGCTGGATCCTCGTGGGTTGTTCTGATTTCGAGATGACTTCTTGATGTCTTGGGCTTGGCAGGTTCACTAACCAGTGCAGTGCCCGATGTCCGAGGCATGGCCTGTTGTCGACTACTGTCCAGCAATGCTGTTGCGAATGAAGCTGACTTCTTCCGGGCGAGCTTCTTCTGTTGTTCTTTCGAGTTACCTGTACTGCTTGGAGAAGCTCCACCATCACCCTTGATATGCCTTGAAACCCGTCCTCTCACCTCATCAGTGAGCTCTTGAGCAGACTTCTTCTTACTTTTTTCTTCCTCTGAAGACCGACTAGAGCTCATGATGGTCTCTAATGTGCCATAAGCTGCGCTTTTCCTACGTGGCCCACTTCGACGCTTCCTGTGCCCTGCACTACTGTGTTCATCGTCACTCGAGATAGCCTGCAGTGTAGGTCCGTGATGTCTCGACGAGGATGCAACAGAAGCCACAAAACTGGACCCTGATCCGTGAGGTGCAACATGCACTTCATACTGATTGCTCAGCGAGTACTTGGACCTCGCGCATATTTCAGCAATCCTGTCCAGATCTGCTCCGATGTCCTGTTGTATATCCGCCATGATACTCTTGAAGCTGAACGCCTCGAGCGGTGGTAGTTTAACGTCTTCAGCGCCCCGCCCCCGGGGTTTCTTCTGCCCCTTATGGCGTGCCATGCTCAGCACCATGCCATTGCGACCTGGCCGCCAATTGGATACGTTCGGCGTGATCGAAACGGCAGAGAGAGGAACCCTGCGACTGGCTGGCCGACTGCCGGTTGCAGAGGGTGGTGGGCCTGAATACGTGCGTACTATTACTGGTTGCGAATGCGTACCAGTCGTTGTACTCGTAGCCGTGCTCGGGACGCCGCTACTTTTTGTATAACGGTGGCGGGCTGACGGCTGCGAGCGATTGAGCTCGCGCAGTGCGGTGGTTCGGCCCGTAGTCGAGGTGTTGTCTACGGGTATTGGCTTTCCCTCAGCAGTAGAAGGCACGAGCGAGATGCTAGAAGTGTTTGGCTGAGCAAGAGGGGGAATATGAAGAAGGGAAGCGAGTGCCGACGTCGTTTAGGATTTCGGGCAACAGGAGGAGGCAGTCGAGGGGATGGCAGAGGTTTATGAGTAGTACCATTAGACGGCATAGAGTCTAGATGAGGTTGAAGACATGGCGGACGTGTGTCTGATGCCGATGGTGTCAACGTAGCTTCGGCTCTCTGCTGGGGCTGAGGGATAGATGCCATTTCATATATGCATGAACAACTGTAAAGCGGGAGAAACAGGTATGATGTTCGGCAAGAGTATCAAATTGGGTTGCTGCAGGAAATCTGTAAGCAAGCAGCGGGCATATGTAGGTGGTCGTGGGTCCGTATAGAGGGATGTACGTGTGCCGCCTGATATGCGTCTCTAGCTTATAGCGACATATATGGTTTCCCACATTCCACTTGTGGGTAGACGAGACGAGATATGCAGAGTTGAGCCAATGCTCAACTAGAGCTCGATATTGTCTTGCAGCTGCACTTAGTGGGGCCAGGCTTCAGTTCAGCATAGACAATGAAACAAAGTCTAGGACCTGTTGCGGGTAGAGATACGCGCGCAAGGAGCGGGTCGTAGAAGAGGTAGGGTCTTTTGGGTGTGCGAAGTATATACAGGATTGTGATGGTAGAAAGACGCACGCAACGTAGAAACGTGGATTTGGGTGTGCGAGGGAGTGGGGTACAGACAGGAGTCTTGGACGCCCCAAGGACGATCTTGGGGAAGAACCTCGAGTTCGTTCCTGGAAACGTGAGAGAGGCGATAAACGGCAATGGTTTTCGCTCAATCAACCAGCCATCCACAGCTTTGCTGTCATCGCCTCAGGCGGACACCGAAACGGGGAAGCGGAAGCAGATAGGCGATGGAATCAACCCTGGAACCGGAATGAGTGAATGCGAAAGATATTGCCAGGACGGAGAGGTGGATTGACCCCGATGTGATGCTGAGCGGAAAGTATTTGTTTCTTTTGCTCGGCCGTCTGCAGAGAAAACCAAAGCCTCGCGATGAGTGGTCGTTGGAGTTCAGTCCAGAAGCAATGCGGGCTGCACGAAGGCGTGGCAGCTCGGGCGTGGTCAACAGGGATCTGAGAGGGGAAATATGTGGACATCCTGCCTATCCAATTCAGCTACTGCACATGCAGCCTAGGACATTTTAGAACCTTTTCCGTCCAAACTGCCACTCCCACCACGGACACTAGGTTATGCATGTACTTATGATGCGGAACAGCGAAGTGCTGTGTAGAGAAACCAAACATGTGCTATTTTGAACAGTTGATCGCAACACGGTGCAATAGCTGGAAGTCGAACTGCCACTGATAGCAAATCCAAAACTATGGCGTGGCATTCTTCTTAGAATCGTTAGCGTGACATGCAATTGGGTACAACAGCCGACGTTTCTGTTCCTTATTCAATGTGGAGAGAGCTGGGGGGGGGGGGGGGGGAAGGAACTACCTCACTACATACCACAAGGTTGAGTTTGGGGTCCTGGGTATGCCGTTGGTTTGCCCCACCATGCGGACCGGTCATTATTATAGGTATGTACTTGGTACCAATGCCATGGCACCGGATTGGTTCATGATTTTTGACGTGTCGGTTGTGGCCGGCTTCTACAAACGTTGATAAAGCCTCCGAGAATATGCTACGTGTACACGCACGTCTGGTTCGGCTCGATGACTCTGCTCGACTGATTGTATACGTATCTGCTTATCCACTGCGAGCTGTGGCAGCTGTCCAATAATGCTTTTTGTCAATGCCTGAGCCTTTTGAAGTAAGACAAGATGCTTTGGATGGCTTACGGTCAAGCGAAAGTATCTTCCATGCCTGTATCCAGCCCATTGTAGATACCAGACACCCTCGGTCAGTTTCGTGAAGGGCCCACTGGTAAGAAGGGATGTGAAGCTGTAAGACAAATCATAGTAATATAGAAAATGAGTAACGATCACTACAAAGTGTTTACAAAAACAGAATTATGAGACCGAGGCATTCCGTCCATTTGTTTTACTTGCTTTATCTTATAGATAATCATTCAGCAGGGACGCAGGCGTTGCTGAGGTTTCAAGAGGCTAATCCGTCCAATTATTACGTCTCATTACTATGTATGCCTGGTGTGTTGTCTGTTATATGGAGATCCACTGGTATAAGAATACGGCCCCGGGCCGAGGCTTGAACCACTGCAATGGAGTCTCTCGATAGATGTATTACATCACAACATACCTGACAAACCCGTCCGCACAAAGCAAACCAAATACGCTAACCGCCACACAACACTCATTCCGTGCAGGCCTCGACATGAGTTGTGCGCCAATGTGACTACCCGGAGAACTAGTGGTTCCACGCAGATGCCATCCAAGGACAGCATCGGTAGTGAGGGAAATACTAAGATTGCTACGTGTCGCTCGCCCGTCTTTCTTCACTGAAATCTAGCCATTCTCTAAGAAGTAGGCGGCGCCATTGTGCCATAGCCATGTCCACCTGTCTGTACACGATCGCTGTAGACACCGGCAGCTCTTCTGGCGGCGAATCGACCTTCCCTTGCTTGCTCTCTACGGTCGTAGTAGACGTATTCGATGTAGAATGCGTGGATGTGCCCAGGGATATAACTAGAGCACGCAAGACGTGTTAGCATAATTATATGGTAACAGGGGAGCCCAAAACAGGAGGCATCTGAGAGGTATCGCTTACCCGAGAAGTGTCAGACAGATGTTGATGAAGAGATCAGCACCGCACCCTGCGACTGCCCAAACACCGACCGGGGGCACTAGAATGTTAGCTGAATGAATGTGAACAATGCCAGGAGAACGCACAGAGAATGGTGATCAGAACGATGAAGACGGCTGAAACGGCGCCCATTTTGTCTGTGTTGCTGCTGTTTTAGATGTGTTGCTTTGTTTGTTGTTGGTGGTGGAACCTTGCGAAATGGTTCTCTCAGTGTTTCCTTCCGAGCTGGTGGTTTTGTGGTTGTGAAATCGTCGTGGCAGAGGCAAAAACGCTGTGGCAGTGCTTTATGTTCGTGGTGTGATTTAGTAGCTATGTTCAACGCTGCCAAGTTTTGTTCTACCCATTCAAAACAAACTTCACGTTCTTCACCTTGACCAACATGGAAAGCGCTTAATATGGCATGATGACGTATGCTGATGCTGCACGTGCCAAGCTTTCGGCAACCGGCAGTGGCGGGTCAAACTCGCGCCTCCTTCTAAACGGTCGTAGCTATGTCGGCGTTGAGGTGCCGTTCTACCGTGGCTGATGCCAATTCAGTGCATTTCCGTTATCAGAACATGCCGGTATGTTGCTCATGACTGGGATATGTCGGCATGGCGGTTGTGGTTGACGTTTCTACAAGGGGTTTATAGAGCGTAGTGTGAGCTAAATTGTTATACTTGGTAATTATGCTTCGAATGACGATTGCTTACAAGAGCGTCAAGCATACTATATACTAGGTAATATCCTATGGAGTCGTTCGATAGTTGTAGTATAAACTCCCACGGATAAGTAAATTGCTTCATGATAATACCTAACTTAGTCCCTTTTCGAACATCTGTCATGATCTAGTCTAAGGTTAGAAAGTATCTCGAAGCCTGGGAAGATAAGTTCCCATTAGCTTCGCTTTTAGTTGCAGCTCGGATCTGGAAGCTACTTATGTAAGGAAGTGAACAAGGCTATCAAATAGTATCTCCTGTATCCCGGAAGCTTAAAATAGCACAATAAATGCAGAACCATGAATTTCAACATTAGCAAAAGTCCGAGTCCGTCGGGCTTTCATGACGATCCTGGTGTTGGAAAAAGCAAATAGCCTGAACCAGCCGTTGAGGTATTCTGCAATGAACCACATTAAAGTATTTGTTGGGCTTGTCTTGAGCTTTAGAACCACGATCAGGCCTGGCTGCGCTCGTAGTTGCGAAGGTGACAGTTTGTTGGATGCAGTATACATCTAAAGTAAGGAGCGCACTCTGCAACTACGAAGATGATGATTCGTAAACATCTCAGAGTTGCGCCTCAGGCTCCGATCAACCACGTTTTGTGCCGCACTCAGCGCACGCTAAGGCATGTTTTCCCTGAAACTTAATAGGCGCCTGCAGCATGCGCGCCAAAGATGAATGGATTGGAGTTGTAGAACCTTGACCTTTCCGAGGTCAAACATCTGGAGTGATAGTCATTCCACTCCCTCAAAAGAAAGAAAATTAATAAATAAAAAAGCGCTATGCGTAGTATATCGAGATGACCTTGAACCATCCAAGCTGGGCAGGTGCCTAAATGACAGCCGAATTTTCCTGTTCCATTAGGCTTAATGCCAAACGGAGGGGAGGCCTAGGATTATATCTGAGACGGTGACAAGTAGAGTTGATGTCGAATTTGTTAAGTAGTGCTGGAACTGTGCTGCTTATTGTTGAGAGGGCTGCCCGCGGTTGACACATTTGAAAGTCAGGCAGATATCATTCTAATCCAACATAACGACCTCGCGCCATGAGGACTTGGAGATTCCGCAAGTTTAACGTCTCCAAGGGAGGACGCTAACTATGTAAGCGACGAGTTGAATGGGTTGAGTGAGTTGATCCGCGAGCATTGAGCCGGTGTGAGATTGGTCACTCCTGCGGTTCAGATCCGACCCATGGCGACAAGGTACAGTGCATGCCTTCGGGTGAAGAGCTGGAGCTGGAGCTGGAGCTGGAGGGAAATACCTGGTTGCTGCTGTGCGGCTTAAACAACGATCCCCTGATCAGAATGAGCTACTCTAGACTTTGTCGGTTCTGCTCTGCTTTGCTCTGTGTCAGACTATGTACAACACAAGGTTAGTGTTGATCAGGGTCGAAACACAATAAGAGTGCCCTTGATGTTGGAAAATGCCCAGGAGAGACACAGCCACGGTTTTGCTGGCCATACAATACCTGTGCTTGGACTAAATTTGGGTAGAGAATACGCACGCAACGGGAAACTTTCCTCGAGTTAAGTGTTCGCGTCAAGCTCCCCCGCGGGTACTAACTTATGCACCCAAGGTTTATATGTAGTGGTTGTGGGCGCTGTAGAGGCTAAACCTGCCCAGGTGCATCCCACATACCCTATCGAGGGACCAGGGACCAGGAACGGGTGAAGCATCAATGAAGAAAAGCCAGTGCATAACAGGCACGCAACAAAGTTTAGTTTATCGTATGAGAAAAGTGTTATAAAGAGGTAAAACTCCCCCGTGTCCGCCAACGTTCCATCTAGAACCCTCCAAACCCGTTGTTTCGTGCCTAACCCATCCCATCCCATCCTGTCCTGACCTGTCCCATCCCATGTACCTGCTGAAGCTGCCAAAAGTGCACTCTGCAAGACCGTTAACTCGCAATCCTAGTGAGTGCAGCCGCCCTTATCCATGTTAGCCGAGCTTGCCTGCTAGCCCACCATACTATTCTGTTTCGGGCAGTATTGAGGCTCGAGCTTTACGTGGAAAAAATGATCATCACTTTTGGTTTTGGGACAGAGCCCGAATCTGCTGGGCACTCGCGAAAACCGGCGCATCAAACAGGAACGCATTGGATGTGACACGGCTGAAAATCGAAATCCTAGTTGTAGCCAAGTACGGAATTTCATTTTAGAGGTCAAGGTTTAAACCCATCAGCGAAGCAAGGCCCCGAATTTAGAGCACAAGTACCCATTTCGGACCTGAGGGTAGTCTGTTCTGTTTAATTCCCTGCTCCGGCGAGGACTGAGGTCTGAGGTGTGAGGTCTGAGGTCTCGAGGTTTGAAAGGTCCTCCTCGTTCAATTACTCCATCTTCCGGCTGCCGCTCCACACCAGCACAGCCAGAAACAACATCACCTCATCCCCTTCTTTTGATCCCGAGCCCAAGCATCCATTCTCTCTGGAAAAACCCACTCTCACTTTCCCACCTTTCTCCCCCTCCCCCTTCACCACAGCTCTCCTCCGATAGCAAAGGGTTTTGCCAGGGCCGTCCATTATTCGGTTTTGGACATTGACAACAGACCGGACTGGAAATTTCAGCTTTTCATCTGCTGCCATTCTCAAACACTTTTCGCTCGCTGGACTGGACTGGACTGGCCTCTACAGGACTTTATTGGATCTTCGCACAGCACAGCACAGCACAGCACAGCACAGTTCGCGCCTCGACGAAAGCCAACAAATCCGAAGACAAGCTCTAGGGATTAAGCAAAACCCGCTTTGCCAATTCCCTCGCCAACAATCACCTGGCCGGGCACCCCTGACAGTTTCCTTCAATCTGGCTTGGTAAATTTCACGACCGACAATCGAGCTCAGTTCACTTCACTTGGACCGAGCAACCCGTCTCATACCTCAAAGCAAAGACTTGGTACTCCTCGACTTTTCTTTTTTCTTCACGAAGCTCAGGCAGCTATCCCACCCAACGACGGAAATATTCTTGTACTGAATATCACTCGATCGCATCTTGAGCTGTCCGTATATCGACAGCCAGCAGCACATATCTTTCGAGTACTGTACTTGTGCTACAAATACCTTGTACATCTACAGGTCGCCCAATATGTCTAGTGTGCCGCCTCAACCGCCGCACTTTGACCGATATATCGTCATCCATGTTGCTACCACCTGCGACGAGCACGGTGTCTACGTGACCAAGGACTCGGCAGAAGTCATTGAGCTCGGATGGATTGAGCTCGATGCTAAGACTTTAGATGAGGTATGACTCCTGCCACCTAGCACATCTCGTCGTGTACGACACCAGCAGGTTAACCTTGTGCTGACATATCAATGCTACTTGCAGCTTCACCGCGAGAGTGTGCTCGTGAAACCCATCAACACACCCATCACTCCTCTTTGCAGTAAGTTGCGCGTTGTATATCATCAATCTCTAGCACGGGAATAAAATCAAGGCCTTCTCGCATGACTGCACGAAAGCTTCTACCGTCGTGTTATATCATGCTTGTCCTGCCCCTTGCTCGACTGAGCTAACGATACTTTCTACTCAACAGCGAGCCTGACGACGCTCACCTGGGAGCATGTCCGCAACGCAGGAACTTTCCGTGACGCGATTAACCGCTTCGATGCCTTTGCGACCGAGCATCTTACCAACCAGAACCTTGACTTCGTCTTCGTAACCCTCGATGCTTGGGACCTTCGTGTCCAGCTCCCCCGTGAGGCTCGGGACAAAGCCGTCGTGCTGCCACCATATCTACAGCACTCGCGAACATTTGACCTCCGCACCGAATACCAGCGCTGGCAACAGCACCACCCCGAGTCGCTACCATTCGGCCCCAGCATGCTCTCTAATATCTGCGCAGCGCTAGAGGTCGAGCCCGTGCAGTCGAGCGCCCCTATCAAGCACAACCTGCCTTTCCATTTGCAGGCTCTGGCTCCGGCCTCGCCTCGTCGTGCCATGGAGGAAGCTGTCACTCTTGCCCGTGTGCTTAGAGGGCTCATCCGCAAGTCTCAACCTCCTCACGAGCACCCCGATGTCCTTACCCGGCCCATGGACGCCCGCGCTGATGTCCGCGCCTTCCTGTCTGAGCGCAGCAAGGTTTTGCACATGTCTGGCTTGCCCCATGACACGACCCAATCCGAGCTCGAGAGCTGGTTCACGCAATTCGGTGGTAGACCCATCGCTTTCTGGACTCTCCGAACTCCAGAGCAACACAAACCAACCGGGACCGGCTTCGCTGTGTTCTCGTCCCATGAAGAGGTGAGCAGTGTTTAAATTTATACGTAATATACCATCTCATACTAACATGACGTATAGGCTGCCGAGAGCCTCTGCATGAACGGACGTGCCCTCAACGAAAAGGCCATCGAGGTTTCGCCTTCTTCAAGCAGAGTGTTGGACCGGGCCGCAGAGATTCTGACCCCCTTCCCTCCCAGCAAGAACCGGCCGAGACCAGGTGACTGGACTTGTCCTTCGTGTGGCTTTAGTAACTTCCAACGACGTACTGCTTGTTTCCGATGCTCTTTCCCCGCCGTTGGTGCCGGTGGTCCTCAGGCCGATGCCGGTAACTACGGCGGTGGTTACGGTGGTAACTATGCAGCTCCTCCCATGATGCCTCCTCCTCACCATGGAGGTCATCACCACGGTGGCGGTATGGGCCACGGCCATGGTCGTATGGGCGGCAGTGGCGTGGTCCCTTTCCGCGCTGGAGACTGGAAGTGTGGCAATGAAGTGTGCGGTTACCACAACTTCGCCAAGAATGTATGCTGCCTTAGATGTGGCGCGAGTCGAGCTGGCGCTGCCGTCGTTGCAGATTCAGGCTACCCATCCCCCATGGACAACGGATCTAACTACGGCATGAACAACCACTCTGTAGCTGGCACTCCTGGACCCGGCCCATACGCCTCTGCTGGTGCTCCCTTCGGTGGAGCTGGTGGTGGCTATGGCCAGCACTTCGGTGGCCCTCCTAGCACCTACGCTCTACCATCTGGTATCGGCGGTGGTGCTGCCCCTTATCCGTCTACCCTCAACACCCACCTTGGCGGCCCCAACCCTGGATCTCACTCAGCCGGCCCCTTCGACAGCCGCGCCGCCGAGGCTGCTTTCCAGTCTGCTGGCAATGGTCCTGCCTCTGCCGGGCCTTCCAACAACAACAACTTCTTTGGCTCGCAATCTGAGAACGACCCCTTCGCGTTCCTTTCATCCGGTATGGGCGGTCTTTCCGTTAGTGGAGACGCTCGTCAGAACGGCTCTCAGGGTGGTCCCCAGAGCAAGTCACCCGCTGCCTAGTAGGCTTCGTCAACTTGCACTTCTCAATTAATCTGTACCTGAGTACTGTTTGGTGGCTGCGAATTTCTCCTTGGGCTGTTTCGACAGGTATACATCACGTCATGGCGCTTTCAGCAAAAAGCTTGTCTACTCTGCAATGCCAATCGCCCTAGTATAACAAGTTGCACATCACATTTGCCATAGCGATGTGCAGCTCTACAACTCTCCGACTTGCATTTTATCACTAATTTCTGCACCATACTCGGAAGACTGTCACTCGATAGACCAAGAGTTTCCTTGGCGATACTTCTCTGGATTACTATTTCGAGGGAGTGTCAGGCTTTGTACCAGGGTAAAGGGGGGAGTCCAGGTTGCGGTTAGGGCAGGCGTGGTGTTGTGCGTCATCAAAATTCATCTTTTGAGGGGTGCTGGAAAGACAAAAGCACGGAATTTGAAATTGGAATCTTTGTGCCGAGGCACTTCTACACCTGAAGCGACTTCAGATTTATGGCAACAAGCGCGACATGTTGACCTATTACCAGTATCTGTGGGAGATGGTGGTATACTGGCTCAGGCGGTAGTAGGACAATACTTGTACATGGAATGGATTTTTGTGGAACGGACTGGCGGTGCATAGCGCAGGGAGTGCAAGGGTCTATATTCTGTCCCGTTTCGTGTCTAAAGTGGTTTTCTTCTTCTTTTCCCGCAATGTTTCCCGCTCTCATTGTTGTGTGTTTGTTTCACTCTCCTGTCAATTACATTCCTTTTATTCGTGTTTTATCATGTGCACAATTATCTACATGGGCAGAAAGGCATTGCCAGAAATTGGCTCGAAGCCCCATCCTTGGGGTGTCAATGGAGTGTAAGATAGCGCCACCAGGGGCTGGAGCCGGTGCAGAAGTAAAATAGTGGTGGATATTGTTAGAGGCTAATAATAGTGGACGGAGAGTGAGAGAGGGGGCCATGTTTTGTTGCATATTTGCATGAATAAACTAAAGACAAGTTTTAAAAAAGAATTGCATTAAAAGATTATTCGTTCTAGGTGTCGTCCCTTCTTCGCCGATTATCTACTCGGAGTGGACATGGAGAAGCCTTGATGGTGATTTGACTTGAGCTTGAGGCTTACAGAAACCAAACCCACTGAAGACCAAGTCTTGGATCGGTCTCTGGTACTTTCACAATAACTAAACATCATGGTCGTTGAACGGCTCATCCATTTCCCTCCTTAGGCCAGCCGAACCTTGTGAAGACGCAGAAAAATTCGGGACCCAGAGAGAGTATACGCAGGTTCATTGCATTACTACTATATTATCTACCGGTCTATAACCATAGCCAAGAACCAGTGGTATGGATTACGAAACCAACTGCATCCACCAAGAAGAACAACGACCGGAGAGAAGCTTATCCTAACAGAGTCGAGGTCCTGGCTTGTGTCAGTCAACTGCTCTAGTAGAGATTTGGTGCCAATGCCCTCCTTCAGAATCATAACGGTGCCAGTGTGGAGTGGAAAAGAAAAAGAAGAAAAACAAGGCGTCGTGATTGGTCTTATGTCGTTGCGTTTGATGCCATGCTCGAGCAAGAAGGTTATGGCGACTTGCCATATCATGCAGAACGGCTGCACGAATACCGCCATGTTAGTCAGCCCTTGATGAAAAGAAATGAGAAAAAAAAATTTTTAAATAAAGGATACGGTAGAAATGCTTACCGATTAGCGCAAGGGAACGAATGTAGAGTCGGCGAAGTGGCGCGGGTGTCGAAGATCGTTCCCCAAAGACAAACTCGGAAGGATCGGTCCCAAATGCGAGCGGAGTAGAGAGACATCGGGCTGTTTTGGTTTACGAGACGGTGTTGGCCGTCTACGTGTCCATGTATTCATCGACACCGTCGTCAAAGAGGGATGTGAACACTTTGAGCTCCATCTCCTCCCACATGTCCCAGATGTTCTCGTACTCGATGTCGGATTCGCGTCCATAGTCCTCATCTCCCGGGATATCTCCATCGTCGTCTTGATCCGTTTCCTCGTCATCAGTTGTGCCATAGATATCGCCAAAGTTGGGGGCGGGAAGCGCAGTCGTCCGAGGGATGTGCATGATGTGGTCCTCCAGCAACGGCTCCCATGCGTACTGCACCTTGCTGTTGTCGTTGACCTCTATGGTAGCCTCAAGGCTGTCGACGCTCGAATCGGACTCGTAGCCGCCGCCATTGTCGTGGTGGATATACTCTCGAGCTTTGGTCAAACCAGCGGTCACGATACCGGGGGCGAAAGGAGAGGCGGCATCGGGCGCGATCTCGTTGCCATCGGCGTCGACTCTGAAGCTAGGGTCATCAAGATCCACACCCGCGGAGGACTGCAAAGCCTCCGTCATTTTCTTGTTGACATCACGGTTCTCTTCGAAAGTCAGGTCGCGATCGTCGTACTTCCGGTCGTCCCACTTGTAGATACCCTCTTCGCGGACCTCCTGGGCCAACAGGATCCTCTTGCGACCGCGCTCGTCGAGCTCGTCCCATCTTGCGCGGCGGCAGTGGAAGGGTGTGAGCTCAGCACTGGTGTTGATAGCACGGTTCTTGTACTCGGCATCGCGCATCCAGATCTCGTCCTCGGACGGGGCGACGTTTCGGCCGGTGGCTTGATCGACATGACCCCAGATCACGAGGCTCATGAGGTGCTCGTCGAGCTTGAGCTGTCTTCGAGCGCCCTCGGCCAGGATGCACTCGGAGGGTCGCAGCAGGGCGGGGACCATGACGCCCTTCTCGCCCCAGTGCTCGAGGTGTAAGCGGCCAATCTGGTTGGCCGGGACGCCTAGGACGGGAGGTGCGTAGGGTCGCATATACTTGGGGTCAAGGAGGCCGGTGAGCTGAAATTTGCCGAGATGCCAGCCCGAGCCGAGATCGTAACGGATCTTGCACTGTATCAACGAGACGTGGTCGCGATAGTTGTGGCCGAACAGCATCTGCCAGAGCGAGTAGAGGGATTTCTGACCAAGCATGAGCTCGAGCAGGTCCGTGGTCTCGGGGCCGTAGATCGGGTCGTTTAGGCGGAATGCAAGTTTGGTGATGAGGATGACGAGATTGACGAGATCCAGGTCCGAGAAGACATCGTGGCGGGCAAGCAGACCGCGGCGCTGTTCATTGGTGGGGAGGTCCATGACCATCCACATCTTCAGAAGTGAGGCCTTGGTTCCTTTGGGGCATCGGAAGCCCTGTCGGGCAAGATGTGCGAGGATGTCTGCGGCGATATCGTCGCGAAGAGCAACCATCTGATACCATTTAATGCTGGGTACTCGCCTGCCATTGTCTCTGACCCACGGACTTCTAGAGGCGGCATCGTTGTTTCCAGCAATCTGCCAAGTCAGCTGCAGCGGAAATGTCAACTGTCGACCGGCAGGGTCTTGTATTGCGAAGTGCTCATATGCCTTGTGCTGATCCCAACGGAAGATTCGAGCAGCATCGGGAGCCCAATCACGAGTCCAAAACGCGATGCTGGACTGGAGATATGTGTTGGTCTGCGTGTGAAACTGGACGGACACAGAGTAGAGTGTCAGGACGTCCCGCGGCGGAAGAAACAATGCCACGCCCATAGCGAGCTCCGGGATCCGCGAGAGTGCTGATATGAGGTCGAATGGATGCTTGTCCTTTTCCCGTTGTGAACTACCGGTCGACTTGGCGGTAAACCCGCTCATTGAAACCAGTTTGGTTACGTCCTTCTCGCGAATGGCACCATGACCCGTGTTCAAGGCTGCTAAAATTCTGTCAGTGCGGCGCATGCGACGCACGAAGCGATAAGCAGATGGCTTGCCTGTCGCAGCAGCAGTACCGACCTGCTCTGCAATCCTAGACTGCGCGCGATCATTAGCTGCCCTGCTTCGGACTTTGGCGTCGGCACTGAACTGGGCCGTAGCAGGTGTAGCCAGCGAGAATCTTGCAAAAGCCGAGGAAGGTGTCTTGGGTATCGGCTTTACAACGAAGGGAAATTGCGCGGGCAGGCCTAGAAGATCCTTAGGCTCCAGGTTATATATAGGCGTCTTCAACAGAGCTACGAGCTTATCTCCGGTGCGCTGTGCCTCATTGTCCATGATTTTCTGTACTTCATCGACCTTGACTCGGATACCTCTGTTGTATGCTGGTAGAGCGACATAATGGGTAGCCTCATTGACGAAAGTCAACGGTGCGGCACCTGGAAGCTCGAGATTCAGGCGTGCAGGGGCAGCCTTGCGTTGCGTGATACCGGTGCCGGAGGAAAAGGTCGGGATGTCACTTGCCAAGTTGCGGCGTATGGGTGAGGGCGTTGATCCTGAAGGGGTACCTCCGTGTCTATGCATGGGCGAGCCGTGCTTGATTGGGGATCCCAGGCCTTCTCCCCGGTTGGCTATACTCGGCAGTGGAGTTCTTTTTCCAATGTGCTCCGAATCCGTAATGTTTGTCCGCGGCTTGTTGATAGGTGTGAACTTTTGAATGCGAGGTGTGTCCTCAACATCGCTGGTGTCCTCATGACGGCTATCTCTTGCAACGGCAATGCGTCTAGGCGGTGTCGTCACATCATACTCACCAAGAGGCACATGAGTGCTCTTATCTTTGTTGATGCAGAATTTCTTGAAGGGCGATGAGACGATATCTCGGTCAAGATCATCATTGGCGACTGCAACTCGCTTACCAGAGTCTTTGATGGCACTAGAGGTCAGATTTGGAGCCGGCTGAAGGTATCCTGTCTGAGCGATTAGAGCATGTTGATCCTGTTGGTTTCTGGCTGCCAATGTACGTATTGCCTTGGCAAGTCCCGCTGCTGTAATTAGATGCTTTGGGTGTTCTGCAGCACAGTCTTCCAGACGCTTGCGGATCTGGGCCCGGTTGGGAGTTCGCTGGTTCACGTTGCCATTGTGCTTAGCCTCAGGTGTACCAGGTGCCTGAGCGCGAATAGGTGTTAGGGGCATTTTGTGCTGTTTGATGGGTATCCCAGCGAATTGTTGATATTTGTGTACAGGAATCAGGGTGTGTGTGTGGCGGTGCTAGTACAAGAAATCCAAAGTTGTCGAAGTAATATTGAACAGTGCGTTCGTTAGGTCCAAGGGCCGAGTTAGGTATTCGACAGAGGACCGGAAGTGGCCTGCTAAATTCAGATGGAAGGCCCAGCTGTGGTATGGCGAAGAATCTATTGATATAGTGAGCGATGGTATACTTTTGTGACTGACGTGTTCATACGTTGAAAACTGGCAGAATCAACATGCCGCCATATGGCTATGGTGCAGATTTAAACTCTACATAGGGTGGGTGTGGCTGATCAAGTGTAGAGACAAACATAATGACAACGGGATAGATGAATATAGGATGATTGAGCCGAAATAGCAGACGAAGCACAAGCTCTAATATCGGAATGTGGAGATGTTACGAAAAGACTCATGCAAAACTCCTTGGATTGATTACATACCTATAACTGGAGTATCCTATTTGACTCGGTTGCCAGTCTACAGCTAAATTCTTCTGTAATAGGCTCATCGGCCAAACATTTGAAGAGGAAGGCTGGAGAGCTCGTTGCGCGAGGAAGTATTGGGTCCGTAAGTCTGACGAGATCTGTCAACTTTAAAGGTGCTGTTCAAGATTGGCTTGGAAAAGAAACTAAATATTGGTTATCATAATGTTGATGAGAATCTGGCCAAACATTTTCTTGACGATGAACGTACTTCGTTGGTACGCCAGTGTTGGTAGGCAAATCAAGAAACAGAGCAACCCCGTTTGGTCGTTGGAGTGGAAAAGAATGAAAGTTCTTAATAGGGTGGTACTGACTAGATTTTTTTATGGCAGAGTGCTGCCAGTGAAATACAGCTGAAGTGAAGTAGAATGAGCGGTGTTGATATCCAGGGTGGCTTTTTGTCGACAAGGGTGATGAAATTGTTTCTGCTAGATTGCAGTGAACTGAGAAAACAGCTCTGGAAATTGGGTTAAGTGCGTAAAAGAGCGACTGATAATGTATCCAGATAGTCAGGTCAAGTGTCACAACAAGCGTATGTGATTGTTGGTTGTCAAAGTTTCCACAACAACGGTTGTCCAACACAGCAACAAGAATACCCACTTCAAACAATCGAGTTCTTCCTGGATAATTTCTAGTTCTGCACGTACTTAAACTCCTGATCTTCATTATTGTTATTATGTAATATTTGGGCAAGTTCCATGAGCTTTGGCTGATCAGCTGTACAAAGTCTTAGCTTAATCATGGAAGCTGTGAGTAAAAGCTTGAGCGATATTACAAGCCCTTGAGTTCGAAGCTACTTTTATTGGCATATCGAAATATACACATTGTCTTGTGCCTTTGGAGAGATTACACTCGCGTTTATCATACAATGATACACCTTGAGCGACCAGGACTTCCGTATATCGCGACCAAGAGAAGGGACAGGACATGTTGAGATATTGCAGTCATGTGCGAACGTACCCCGACCAGAACTCTTGTGCGGTAGAGGCCTACAGTGCATTAATGCCTGCTGAGATATTCGGTACTACATTAATGCTTGAGCCCTTTCTCTTTTTTCTTTCTTTCTTTTTTAGATGTGTTGATGGTAGACTGAGTCTCATAGAAGTTTTCGCGCGAATTAATGCCAGATCCCTTTCAGAAGCATCCGAGTCTGACAAAAGTCACCTTATCTAATTCTGCCTGGCTACGACAGGACGGTGCTAGAGAATATTGGTGAGATCGCTTGCGCATTCTGTCCCATTTGATAATCCAGCAAGTCAGTAGTTTTCAGTGTTCGATCCGAGTCATGATATAAGACAACAAGGGATGTCGGGCCAAGAACTACTGTAAGCGTCCTGGAACAAGGTGTGAAAGTGTAGAGCATATGCCGCTACTGGTACATATTTCAGCTTTTTAGGTCGTGTAGGCTGAGCATTCACATGGCTTACGCCATATACGAACAGGGGGGAGTCATTGCGATGCCATACAAACCACCAGGTGCTGCTACGGTCAACACGTGTAACGCTTAATGGTACGAGTAACAGAACGCAACCTTAGGTTGAGGAAACAACTGTTTCAGCCGTTTACACATAAACTCATAAATACATAGGGTATCTGTCCTGTTCACTACAAAATCTCGTTGACACTGTGCGCCACTTTTGTCGGCTCCTAGGTCGAGGGAACGGCAATGGCCTATCCGGCTAACGGAGCTAGAAGCTATCTGCCCATCTCGTCGAGACTGATATCGGCGTCATCTTTACCTACGATCGAATCGGCCACTTTCCAGATCTGCAGCATGTTGTCCTCTGCAGCCGAAGCCATCAACCAAGGCTCATTGAGGTTCCAGCTGAAGTCTGTAAGATGGTTGGTGTGACCACCGTGCATGAAAAGGCTTTCACGTGTGTTAGTGGCAAAAACAAATGGTAGGAGATGAAGACTTACAGCTCAGGAGGACCATCCTCTTGATCGTCGGGTTGCTGCTCCTCACCAACACGAGCAAGATCCCAGTAGATTATTCGTCGGTCGTAACTAGCGCTTCCAAGAATACCAGCCTCGTGTGGATGCCACGAGATGGCCGTGACTGCGTCCTGATGGCCCTCTAGGGTGTGGACCTTTTCCTTGACATTTCGTAAATCCCAGATACCGATTGTCTTATCACCCGACGCAGTGGCAACCAAGACCTCAGTGGAAGGGTTGAATGCGAGCGCGTTAATGGGCTCGGTGTGACCGCCTCTAGCAACGAGGGAGGACTGCGTAGTCGTTGGTTGACGGACATCGAGGATCTGAAGGGTCAAGTCGTCGGAGACAGTACCGATGAAGTGTTTGCATATCGGGGAATACTGCACATCGTTGACGACGCTAGTGTGATGGGTATAAGTTCGTGTGGGGTTCAGGGTGTTCTGGCCAGCCTGCAGCGCCGTGATATCCCAAAGACGCACCGTCTGATCCTCGCTACCGGATGCAAGATGGCCCTCATTATGGGGGTTCCAGGCAAGACCGAAGCCTTCCTGCTCATGGCCGACCAGCTTGATCTGCGGGTTGACCTTTCCGTTGGGTGTGTTGCTGTGCTTGGTGCGATCAAAGACCAGAATGCTGCCATCGCTGGTGAGGGATGCGATCAAATCGGGGTTCTGGGGACAGTAGCGAGCCTTGTTGACTTCGGTGGGATGGTCGATCTTCTGCACAATATTCCACTTCATTGCTGTCTTGTCGCCCTTGCCGTGGCCGCCAATCTCACCACGCTCCTCGTCGTAATCGCGAGGATTCGGCCGGACGGCCTTTGGGATTTCGACTTCGGCGATCTGGAGGTAGTTCTGCTTGTCGTCCGAGGTGTGGGTTCCGATCAGAGCTCTGTGGATCTTGACGTTTTTGCCCTCAGGCTCCTTGACATCAGGGAACCATTGGACGGTCAGTGTTGGCCAGGTAAGGGCAGTGCTTTGAATTGTCAGCTCAGCATCAATGATCTGGGTAGCAACACCCACCTGAGAATCATGTCGTAGAGGAAAGGCGCGTTCTTCTTCCATGTCTTGTACTCCTCATTGATGAGTCTCTGAGCTTCATCGTCCTCCTCGCCGTATGTGGCGGCGCCGTCCACTACGTAAAAGTCAGTAAGGCTGGTTGTTTCCAACGGAGGGCCCGAGGAGGAGGCGGGCAAAACTGACTGTCGACGTCCTCAACCGTGGGAGCTGGTGCCATGTTTGTTTGTTTCTGGGCGCAAATACGTAAAGACCTCGGGAGCTCTAGCGATGTGAAGGTGATGTTCTGAAGATATTACGGCGCAATCGAAACTGCTCTGAGCTGGTCTTCGGTAGGTTTCGCGCCGAGGTGAGTTGGGATAAATTAAAACAACTGGAAGCTCAAGACGCGGTGCGCGTAAAGTGGTTGGAAGAGCTCTATGTAGCTAGCTAGCACACTAACCGACATTTGGTTTAGCGGTTCTATTTAGATGCTACAGGGGCCGGCCTCAGACTTCTCTGCTTCTGGCCTCCAGAGGAATACCTGGCGGGGCAGGTGGGCAACTGAAGGGATGTGGCGAGCCAGCCGAACTTTTGCCGTAAAATGTAGGTAGTTACAGTAGTCAACTTGCCTGTAGGGTGTCCTAAACCCAATCGATGAACGATGTTGATATGTAACCTCGCCCAACTTTCTCCACACCGTAACTTAGTGTGCATTGTGATACGGGATTTACAAAGTCACCCAAGGTTCACGAGGAAGGCTGGGACGATGCGAACTGCCTTGACGGGAATTAATGGATGCAGACAGATTCGCCTGTCGGTCCCGTCTGGGATAAGTTCAAAGCATAGTCTATCCGGTGCCTTCTCCATACAAGTACTGCATATGTAACCTAGACTAGTCCATCATATCATGCCATGCCCAGCATTCTGGACACTTACTGCGCTTGTGTAACAGTGCACAGTTCTTTTATTTTTGCCAGCATTTCGGGCAGCTGCAAGGCCGAAGGCAATTTGGCAATTTGGGCAATTTTCATGACAAGGCAATATCCACCCACCCACCGCCTGAGCTGCTCGGGGCATAAGTTACTCAGCCTTGTGAGAGTCCATCGATGACCGAATATCGAATGTGATTCCTTGCCGAGCCTTCACCCCCCATTCGCCGCCTGCATCTTGCCGTGCGCAACGTCCAACCGAGAGTCCATCGACTCACCTCATCCAGCAACAAAACCCACGCGTTGGCCTCGACTTTGACAGAAAAGTCCCAATGTGCTACACACGAGTTTCGCGACAATCAGTTTGCAACACTTTCCTTTCCGTATAGGTTCCTTTCGGAGTTTTAGGATTCTATATTTCTAGTTCTGCTTCAAGTTCTAGTCTAGGCCATCATCGTCTTTTGCTGCCACCAGTTTCATTAATTCTAGTTCCTTTGGTACTACGATTCTTTCAGTCGCAGTCGACCTGTGCAAGTATAGTATCTATTGTCGCCTCGGTACATGACTTTCTGAGAAAGTGCCTCAAGAGCTGCGTCTAATCATCCGCCCTCCCCTACCCCCGAAAACACACATTGTCAACGTTTCGAAGCTGCGAAATCAGCCCAAGCTACCATGGGGTATGTCTGTCTACACATGTACCGGCCGACCTGCGCTTCTTGCTGACCATCTCTCAGTGTTCCCAAGTTCTTCAGGTGGCTGTCGGAGCGCTATCCGGCCATCTCTCAGCTCATCGCTGAGAATCGGATTCCCGAATTCGATAACCTGTACCTCGATATGAACGGCATCATTCACAACTGTACACACAAGGACAGCGATGATGCTACCTACCGCCTCAGCGAGAAGGAAATGTTCATTCGCATTTTCAACTACATTGAGCACTTGTTCGGCACCATCAAACCCCAGAAGCTGTTCTTCATGGCTATTGACGGTGTCGCTCCTCGCGCAAAGATGAATCAGCAGCGTGCGCGACGTTTCCGAACCGCTCTCGACGCCGAGAAGGCCCGTGAAAAGGCCATCCGCGAGGGTGTAGAGATGCCCAAGGAAGAAGCTTTTGACAGCAATTGCATCACTCCCGGTACTGGCTTTATGCAGAAGCTGACACAGCACCTGAAGTATTTCATTGCCAAGAAGGTGTCCGAGGACAAGGACTGGCAAGGCTGTGAGATCGTTCTGTCTGGCCACGAGGTGCCTGGTGAAGGAGAACATAAGATTATGGAGTACATCCGTAACGCAAAGGCCCAGCCAGATTATGATCCCAACGTTCGACACTGTTTATACGGTCTCGACGCTGATCTGATCATGCTGGGACTTCTCAGCCATGACCCACACTTCTGTCTCCTGAGAGAAGAGGTCACGTTTGGCAGGGCTTCCAAGACCAAGTCCAAGGAGTTGGAGCACCAAAATTTCTATTTGATGCATCTCTGCATTGTTCGCGAGTACCTGGAGTTGGAGTTCCAGGACCTGAAAAAGAACGATGCCCTCAAGTTTGAGTTCGACATGGAAAGAGTCATTGACGATTTTATCTTGATGGCTTTCTTCGTCGGAAACGATTTTCTTCCCAACCTGCCTTACCTACACATCAACGAAGGAGCTTTGGCGACCATGTTCCGTATTTACAAAGAGATTCTCCCGCAAACTGACGGCTACCTCAACGAGGGCGGTGTTATTAACCTGTCAAGGCTGGGCTTATTATTGGAGGAGTTATCCAAGGAGGAAACTCGCCACTTCGAGCACGAGAACTCTGACGAGAAGTGGCTCAGGAGCAAGCGCGCTGTCGAAACCAATGGTGATGCAGCTGGCAAGGCCAAGGGCAAAGTGATCATGTCATCCCAACAGAAAGACCTATGGAAGCAGATCAGGAAGTATGTTCAGAAACGCCCCGAAGGTGGTTTGGATCTGGGCACCAAACTCATTGCAGCCGATCGCAAATTTGTTCAGGACGCTGCCGAGAGCCTTCACATCGAATGGCGCACTACTGAAGATGACGAGGGAGAGAGACATCTAGTATTGTCTATGCCGTCCAATCCCGCCGGCGAGAACGAGGAGGAAGAGGAAGAGGAGGGCCATATGGCTCTTCTCCGTGTAATGAAGCGATACGACAATGCCCAGGTCGTTGATGAGTCAGCAGAAGAGGCTCAGGCTTCCATGCAGATTAAGTACAAGGAAAAGTTCCTTGAGTGGAAGGAGAAGTACTACAAAGAGAAGTTCGACGAATGGACCCCTGAGACCAAGGAATCAGAGTTGCGCAAGCTCTGCGAGAACTACGTCCAAGGTTTGCAATGGGTCTTATACTACTACTACCAAGGAGTTGCTTCGTGGCCGTGGTATTATGCCTCACACTATTCACCCATGATTTCTGGTAAGTCTGTCTGCTTCATAGGTGTTACAGTCTACGCGCGTGTATCTTCTCCACCCATCCAGTCTTATTTCATCCTATATCGTTGGCATTTCCGAATCCAATCCTTGCTATTCTATCTTATCTCGACGACGTTCTGCTCAGCAATATTCACAATTTTGTCGTTCGTCCCAAAGTTATCCCAGTGTTGTCATTGCTAACTCTACTCAGATGTTACCAAGGGCTTTGGTGCCGATCTCGACTTCAAATTGGGTCAGCCATTCCGGCCTTTTGAACAACTCATGGGTGTTCTGCCCGATCGAAGCAAAAAGATTGTTCCTACTGTTTATCACCCGCTCATGACTGAAGCAAACTCACCTATTATCGATTTCTACCCAAGAGACTTTGAGCTTGACATGAATGGCAAGAAGATGGAGTGGGAGGCAGTTGTGAAGATTCCATTTATCGACGAACATCGACTATTGTCCGCCATGGCTCCGAAGAATGAGCTTCTTTCGGATGACGAAAAGGCTCGAAATGGCTTTGGGGTCAGTCTCAAGTTCACGTATGATCGTTCTGTTGATTACACCTATCCATCATCATTGGTCGGCGAGTTTCCCGACATTCAGCACTGCAAGGTTGTCGAGAACATTTACGATCTACCTGTCGCGGAAGGCCTCGAGCTATACCGTGGTTTGATGCCCGGTGCCAAACTGAATGTTGCAGCTCTGGCCGGTTTCCCCAGTCTGGCGACATTGGCCTACAATGCAACCCTGGGATTCCATGGCGTCAAGGTTTTCCAGCAGGAAAGCCGCAACGAGAGCATGGTTGTGACCCTGTCTGATGTCGACATTCGCAGCCGCGCTTCATCTGCCCAGGTCAAGCTTGGTCAGAAATGTTTCGTTGGCTACCCATTTTTACAGGAGGCTAAGATTGTTAGAGTCTCGGATGAGCTTTTCGATTATACCCTTGCTGAGGATGGCTCTGGTCAGGTAGTCACGCGCGAGCACCATGGTAAGGAGATTAACGATTGGAGTGCCAAGGCTTCTCGCATTGAGAACTTTTACAACAATCGCCTGGCCATCATCATTGGGGACGTCGAAGCCATGGTTCATGTTGAGATGCTGAAAGGCCTCACCAAGACCGATCAAGGTGCACTGGTCAAAGAATACGGACTTATTCCGGGCACTGAGACAGATTATCCCGCTCAAGCAATCGTGGATGAGGTCGTTAGTGAAGATCAACGGTTTATTGAGCAAGAGGCTTTGCCTATTGAGGAAGAGTTGCCTGTCGGGAGTCGCGCTTTTCTGCTGATGGGCTTTCACAAGGACAATCACAAGAACCAACCGGCACTATCCCGGGAACGGCCGGTGTATGGCCGCCCTGTGGAAGTCGTTGGCCATAAGGATAACCGAGCCGTGGTCAACACTTCCCTCTACTTTGTTAAGCAAAAGTTTGAGGAAGGTGAGGACCCTATCGCAATACGGAATAAGCTGGACTTGTTTATTCGGACGGAACCACATTTCGCCAAGGCGGTTATCCAAAAAGCTGATAAGCAGAACAACTATTGGCCGTCGTTTGCACTCGCAAAGGAGCTAGACCTTCATCCATTGGTGCTAAGCAAGATTACGGCTTCCTTCTTTGTGCGCACTGTCGGAGGCATGAGGGTCAACCTTGGCCTCGACCTGAAGTTCGAGGCGAAGAAGTTGAAGGTATTGGGCTATTCACGAAAGTCTCAATCCGGTTGGGAGTTTAGCACCGCTGCTGTTCAGCTTATTGCTAATTACATGGCGCACTTTCCTGACTTTTTCGCTGCCATCAAGCGCAATCCTCAAGGCAGTGAACTATCCGAGACCGACCTCTTTCCCGATCCTGAATACGCTACCAAGCGAGTCAAGGAAATCGGGGCTTGGATCAAAGAACAAGACAAGAGCAAGTTCGAACGTGTTCCACTAGATGCCGAACAGCTTGATTCTGAGGTGGTCAAGCAAATTGAGCAGGCGCTTGACGCGGTGCTTAGCGACGCACCTGCCCCCTCCCTGCGAAGGTTTGATGATATACCGCGAAACGCTATATTGCGTCCGCAAGATGCCGAACAGCGTCTGGGCAAGCAGAAGTTCAGTCTTGGTGACAGAGTTATGTCCGCCCAGAACTCAGGAAAGGTGCCTATTGGCCTTAAGGGAACCGTCATTGGTATCAGCAACATAGGTAATAAGCCTGTGCTTGACGTCGTTTGGGATGGCACTTTCATGAGTGGCACGACTCTTGGCGAGCGGTGTAGCCCCTTCCGTGGCGGCACCGTTCCTGCCAACTCGGTACTCAACACAACGTTTCAACAGCTCGTTGTACTCAACGCACAGCAGCAGGCAAAGCTCGATGCTCAGCAACCGAAAGCAAGCGCACACGGTACCTATGGCAGCTCTCACGGGAAGGCGTATCGCGAGGCACCGGCACCTGGCCCGTTACATGGTAGCTACAGAGGCGCACTGAACGGCGCGGCTTCTTCGCAAAGAGGTAGAGGCAGGGGCAGAGGTGGTTTCCCTAACGGCGGTGCTCCTCCCCAGCTTCAGTCAGCAAATCTTGTATATCGAACAAGGGGTGGTGGCAATTTGTACAATCCTCAAGCTCATCAGGAAAGTGCCATACCACAAGGCAATTACAACGCAGTACCACCTCCCGCCAACTTGAATGACCGCGGCAGGGGCCGTGGTAGAGGCCGTGGCAGAGGTGGAAGGGGCGGGCGAGGTCGAGGTGGGCCAGTGCAGCAACCGGCCGCATAGATAGTGTAGTGATCTAATAACTGATTAAATCAATTCCCCCGGTCACAGCTAAAGTTCCTTATGTACCCAAGACACTGGGACAATCCTCGGGAATACGTGATAAACTATCTTAACGGATATTTACGCACTAGTAAAAGCCAAATTCGGCTCCCCGGCCTGGTCCTTGGGTTCGTCGAACCAACCTTCACAGTTGATTGGTGCATGGCCTCGGTACGCAACCGGCTCCGGTCCGAACATGGCTCCAGGTTTGGCATTTAGAGGAGGATCGGGGTGTAGCACCAGTGATCGAAGACAGCCCGAACACATTCAATGGTCACTCGTCCACGGCTGTTCCCAATGATTTCTTGTGTCCTGTCTTCTGTAAGGAGCGCTGGGGTTAGGGCAGATGTTACACAAGTAAAATGAGAAGCAGTCTTCGGTCATGGGGTGAAGTTACAATGTTCCCGCAATCCTATACGTATGATGGACAGATCGACCACAAAATATTCGCTGCCACGATACATGTCTTACGAAAGTGCCATTCATCAGGAGACTGACAACGCTAGGAGTGCCCACAGAAGCAAGGCACCCAACCCAGGCCAAAGGTAATAAATGACGTTTAGCTGGCAAGTTTAATTGAAGGCGTTGATTGATGCAATTTACAGCCCTACGTCATTGTGTTGGTTCGTGATGAGGAGTAGAGTAGTGCTCAGAGAAGTGGCGTCAAGATTTGCTATAAGTCTTATGATGCAGATAAAGGGAAGGAGAGTAAACAGCTTCGTGTTGACGTGAAGGCAGTACTTGGTCCTTCTTCCTGGGACAAGAGGGTCCAATAAAAAGGGCGCCTTGGCGTCAGCAGTTTATTCTGATGCTCGGCCAGTCTCTGGTGCCATGAGTATGGTTCTTCTTCACATTCGTTTTAGTCACAGGGGTAACAGCAGGAAATCAATAAATGTGTAAGGGAGAGGCCGCGTAGTTGTAACAACGCGTAGCGAAAGACACTTGCCCCATGTCTTAGTCGCTTCGGAATAAGATATTATGCAAGTTCACTGTACAATTCGGAAGCTTAAGAGTCTTAGAAGACGGAGCAGCTTCGACAGGGGTCAAATGAGATGCATGGATGGATTCCATGTTGCCATTTCTGAAAACACTTAGCGGCCTGGTCCTACAACACATATAGTGTGAAAATTGAGGGCAGAACCAGGGAGGTAATCCAGCATTTGCACTAACAGCTCAAGATTATTGTGAGCGGAGGATCAGCGGGTTCGCGATTGATCATTTGTGCCCGTGAAATTGTTGCCGGGCCGTTGATAATGAAAGAAGCGGAGTGGTTATTTGACCGAGTAGTCTCGGACCCTCGACCATTACATGAAAACCAAGTAGCGCATACAAAAGTAAATAGAGTGTACAACTGGTTTCAATAATTTTCCACTTATGAAATATGAAATATTCCCGAATCTTATTAGACTTGGTATAGTCTTCGAATTATAAGCTAGTAGTATAAATATGGAATAGGATGGCTCATTATAGTGATACAAGTAAACAAATAATCTATATTGTTTATGAAATATGTTCTATTAACAGCTTGGTTGCCTGCGGCAGGGATGATGACATTGTATTTACAGCATACCTCGGGATGATTTGACAGCGGAGGTAATTACCCGTTGGCGGCAACCTGCTGCAGTCTGACGGGGGAATATGTATCCGTTTTCTTCGATGATATGGGTTTGCTACGTTGTAAAAGGGGCCTGATAGGCGCTTATGCTCTGGAAGTTATACTATTTTCCTAGATAATTAGGGCTACTAATTGACCCTTACTACTGTCTGGAGATATCATAATAATTCTCATACGCCGTTGTTAGAATCGTGAGTAATACTAACTTATGTGACTGTAATCTCGTAAGCCGTTTGTACTGTAAGGCCCTTAACTTTATATATGTAAAAGATAGAGTTTTCCCTCCCAAGCCTTTAGCTTGATTTACTCTATTATTTACGTACTATCCTGATTATAATAAATCCTTATCCAGATCTGTAAACCACGTCAAAATTCGGGCATTTGAATTGTACATGCCGTCAAGTCAATCCTGCCATTGTTCCACGACCGAATTAACGCTAGAATGGCGACATCTGAGTACAAAGTCTTGATCACGGGCTGTTCGGACGGTGTGGTGGGCGCAGCACTGGAAGTCGCATTTCACAACGCCGGTGTACATGTGTACTGTTACCTTAAGCACTGATTGTATCTTTCTTGCTGCAAATCGAGCAAGTCCGAATTTTTCAGAGCATACTCTTGTTGATGGATGTCAATTGGCGCTTGTCAATGTAGATCTCTAAGCTTTAGTCTTGAGCAGCTACGTATTCAACATACTCAAACACTGTAAGGTGTAAAGCGTTGGGCTGGGCTTATGCACAGAGCCACGATCCGCTCACTTTCCAACGACTGAGGCAACAGAGGTGCAGGGCTGACGATAATGATGCCGAAAGTGGAGGCCAGGCGGATCAGCTCATCAAAGAGTTCCGTCAAATGCATAAAACGGGTACCGACATTGGGGTGGTGATGCTGCATTTTGTCAAGATTTTGAGCTTGCTGGATGGCGGACCGGACGCTAGTCGGAGGCCACTTGCTGTTTCTTCAGCATGGTCAAGGCCAGGCGCTGACGGTGTAATTTTTAATCATGATTGCTACCAACGCAGTAGCTCATGTCCTTTCGACGCCTCACAGTACAAGTTGTGCCTGATCGTACTGTGCTGGCGTTGTCACTCAAACATCGGTACTGATTTGACACAAAGCTTTTCGAAAATACCTGTTGAGAAGACTGATGATAATAGAGATAAGCTCGCCGTTGACAACGGGGATTTTTTATTATTGTTATTCTTTCTTGGCCAATTCAGTCGGATGCGTTTGCAGGTGGACAGATGCGCCTACAAGACGCTTAGGTCAGCCCGTGCTGATCCTGGAAGCTACATGTCACGTATGCAGAACATGGACTCAAGCTCAGACGGTGCCATTCTCGACAAGTTCAACCTCATCCTTGGGAGCCAGTCAAGGCAGCCTCAAAAGGATAAAAGCGGGCTGAGTCGGATTACCATAATCAAAATGTCATCATTGCGAGATTTAATAGAGCATGAGTGAAACCTACATTTGATGTGAGTAGCAGCATGGTATTCGTAGTGCCGCAAGGCTCATCTATGGGCGCGCATGCATACGTAGACATGCAAATTGATAGGATTCAAATGATAAAGAAATGTCCGGTGTTGCTTCAGGTCATCACCGCATCATGGGAAGCACTCGCGTGGGGCCCTCGTGATGATGGTTTTTAAGCAATGGCTCGTTTGGTCAATCTTGACACACACATCGGAGTCGTCAGCAGCGTAAGGTCAAAGGCATGCTGTCGATGATTTGAGTTGGTGGTCTTGCATAATGAAGAAGAAAGGGAAAGTGTGAGGCCTGGGGCGAAAAGTTTTGGAGTTAAGAGGAGCCAGAGCGGGTGGGGACCAGGGCGCCAGCTGGCATGTGGGGAGGCTTGGCGGGCCGACAAAGCGTGGCAGTCTTGCAAGAGAAAGAAGGGTATTGTCCGGACCCGCATGCAATGCACATCCATTGATGAGATGCGCTAAACCTGTCTCCGTTACCTTGCTGAAGAATGAAGCAGTTTTAACCTACATACTGTAGACAGATGCTGTGCAGTGGCTTCTGTGGATCCCAAAGAACAAATGCATCCCCTGTCAGGTGGTGCAAAAGCATGCCACCAAGCACCTACAGACGCCGGGAACACGAGAGACGAGACGCAGGCGCAGGCGCAGGCGCAGACGAAGAACGTAGACGCCAGACGATGCAGACAGACGTGAGTTTTAGACGCCTGGTCTCGTTGGAGCACATTGGGGCATATGCAAAACTTAGCATATGCAAAACTTACAGTTCAACTCTCTGCTATGTAAATACCCACACCAACATCAGAACCCAACTGTTCAACCAATTGTTCACATTCAACCTGCACAAGCATCAACTCAACTCAAATCTGCACACGAATATACCCATCCACCCCCGTCATTCCATATCAATTCTCAGTGCGACGCCAGAACACGAACGTCAGGCTGCCAGTAGTAGTGAACACACATTTGACCGATACTGTCCCGCAAAGCACTTGTACCGTACTGCATTCTGTACTCTGCACTCTGTGCTCTCGGAGGAATCCTGACATCACCAGCTCTTGTGTAACGGCCAAACACGACTCCTACAACTGCATTCGCCACATTTCGGCCAACCAAACTGCCCCCGCGACCAACGAATCAACTTCTTTGGCGCATTATCCTTATTTGCCCTCGGGTTCGATAAAAAGTATAGTATTGGAAACTTTGTCTGTACCTTGGATACGGGAAGGAGGACCGGTCAAGAGAGAATTTACTTTCACCTCACGATACCATTTGGATCCAGTCCCCCGCCTGTCACTCGTTTACCAGTCGCGGCAATGGATAACAAGAACACCATCTGGAGCCGCCGCCCCAAGTGAGTAGCTGTTCGTTCAGCCTACCTTGCCCTACCTTGCCTTGGCTCGGCTCAGCTCAGCTTGGGCAGCCTTCGCATTTGCTGTGCCTTGCTTTGCTTTGCTTTGCTTTACTCTGCTCTGCTGTCCTGTCCTGTCCGTCCTGTCCTGTCCTGTCTTGTCCTTTCATTGAACCTCGACTGACACTCCTCTTCTTCTCCTCCTTCAGCACCAGCAACCTGTCATTGTCGACCAACCCAGAGGGACCGACCACTCAAGCAAGAGACTTCTCATCTCTATCACGCCGAAATGGCCCCCAGTCCTCCCACGGCCGGTCGAACCCTTTTGCGGCTGTGGCCACGCCTGGCAGCGGCCTAGCATCCCCCATTGGCACAGGAGGTTCCAATGTCTTTGCCCTCGGCTCAGGCGGTGCCTTCGCGGCCTTTGGTTCAGCTAAGACCCCCAAGACGACGGGCAATCCTTTTGAGATGGCTATGGGCACTATTGGAAGTAAAACACCCTCAGCAGAGAAGACCTTCAAGGACGCTGCGAGACCCCCCGGCAACGACGATTCAACTACGGCCGACTCCTCGCCATCTACTCAGCCTGGAGGATCCCACCCGCTCAGTGACACGTGGGTATTCTGGACGCGGCCGCCCATCAGCAAGGCCCACGGATACATCCCATACGAGGACACATTACACCCCATGATGATGGCGTCCACCATCGAGCAGTTCTGGACTGCGTATACACATCTCAAGGCTCCCTCCGAGGTACCGTTAATGACCGACTACCACATCTTTAAGGAAGGTATTCGCCCGATATGGGAGGACAAGGAGAACAAGGACGGAGGCAAGTGGGTTTTGCGCCTCAAGAAAGGCGTGGCAGACCGCTACTGGGACGAGATACTTCTGGCTTGTGTTGGCGGCGCACTCTGTGACGACAACTCTCAAATCAACGGGGCAGTGCTCAGTGTGCGCAATGGAGAGGACGTCATCTCCATTTGGACCGCATCTGCAGGGGGCAAGGTCCTCAAGATCAGGTATGCTTGAATCATCCTAGAGACATGCATTCATCACCCGTCGTACACATACTGACTGACTCTCTCAGGGAGTCAATGAAGAGCCTACTCAAGTGTCCGCCCAACACACGCTTTGAATTCAAGAGCCATGACGAGAGTCTTACTCAACGAGCCACGATTGACGAGCAACGACGTGAGAGGGCCGCCAACAACAATAACAATAACAACAACGAAAACAAGCGACACAATAATAGCAACAACAACAACAATAACGAAAGCCACAACAGCCGGCGCTCGCAGGATGAGCAGAGGTCTTAGAAAAACCCCTGCCCTAAAGTTTTGGCTCAACTTTTGAACGATGCCATATCCATAGCCATGGAATCCGAATAGGAAGAACCCTTTGTACACCTACGCATGTAACACCTGGAGGGATCATTCTCATAGCGACTGATTTGGTATTCAGCGAAGGTGGGACTGATGATGATGAAATAGCTAGTTAGCCGGGAGGGGGAAATGACTACTGGCATGATATCATAATCTATGCAATCCGCTGGTATTGGTTCAATCTACGTGTCTCTCGGTCGCATTGGCACAGCTTCTTCACGGCTTCTTCACGCCAGTTCGTGCTGGTCCGTACCAAACCGCCAAATCCCACGATGGATAAAATTTCTAGCCTGGCTCTACGTTAATCGATACGAGCGGTGGACGTGTTTAGAATCGAGACGGTCGCAGCGGATAATGTGAGGACGCATACTGGACAGGGACCAACCAATGAGATCTCAGTCATTTTTGTCATACCAAACAGCTTCAGCCAGCACTGGCCGTCGATGATCGTCAAGTAGGAGGACACGGGTGCACACACTCGGCTGTTGGGGATGATTTGAATTCGGACCATGTGACGTCCGGGCAAATTATTGATGCAACCAACCACAACAACACGCGGACATCCCAGCTAGTCACCATCACACCTGGTATGATTTGGAATGAGATTGGGGTTCCTGCAAGCGTACAAAATGGTATTTGTCTGTGATTTATGCGTAAAAACATAAAAAGGGGTTTCACTCGTACGTCAACAATATGACTAGCTACTCAGTAGACAGACCCAGCCAAGTTCACAATCCAGATGTACCTGATTCAATGCGTCTCATCCTCCCACTCTGCCATCCTACCACGACCGAGGTGAGCAGCCTGCTCCTTACGTCCTCCGAGCTCGAGGTGGCTCGGGAGGGGAAGCGCCTCGTAGAAGGCCCGGGGGACGACCATGCGGGGCCGGCCGTCCTCGAGGCACTCATCCTTGCCGTTCAGACCGTCGAGCATGCCGCCGGTGACGTGGTCGACGAACCTGCGGAACTCCCCCGTCTCGCGGATGTTGCAGCTGCGGCTGGCGTTCTCGGCGTGGGCCAGCGCCGGCGCCATGCCCCGGTAGTCGCGGAGGCAGCGGGGGCACTTGAACACGACGTCTTCCCGGTGGGCCGGTGACTTGAGGTGGGCGACCAAGGCCCTGGCGTTTTTGTGCTTCTTCCTTTTTTGTTTTAGCGATCGAGTCAGTAATTGGGGCAGTATGGTATTGTAAGTGTGATGAATAACTCACTTGCAGCCATGAGGGCAGACGAATTGCTGCAGGATCGGATGGTAGAAGACGGCCGCGCTGAATCCAGGGTTGTCCGGGTCGCTGATTCTCTCGATGGGATTGACATCACGGGTGGAAGGGGCAGCCACGCTGAGCGTCTCCAGCTGGCGAGTTGTAGGTCGTGTGCTGGGACCGATATCCAAGAGGAGGTTCTGCTCCTTATTCCACTGGTTCTCGACTTGTCCAACGGCAGGAGTACAGTGCGTCGGCATATCATTCCCGGTCAGAAGGTCAGGAACTCGAGCGTTGCCGCTACGATAATCCTGGAGATCCTTGCCAAGCTCGGGGAAGTTCTTGGTAGTAAGTTTATAGCTGGGAATGCGCTCATCGGGCTTGGTGTGGGGACGATGTTTATCGCTGATATCCATCTTGGCCATGTTCCCGGTGAGGACAAAGTCTTCATTAGCCGGGTTCATCTTGCGCAGGGCTTCGTTGAACACAATCTGATCCTGACGTCGCTTGTGTAGGAAGGATGGGAAGATGCGGGGGCATTCGCCGCGTTCGACATGTCCAATTAATCCAGCTCCAGTCTCACTCTTGTATTCGCACCCAGGACAAATCAGGTCTTGAGATTGCTTGTGAACCTAGGGAAAGGGCATTGAGCTTGCGTAGGAACAGGATGGATGAGGTGAACAACGTACAATACTGTTGTGCTTGCCGAGTGACTCGAGGTCAGGATAATCTCGCTCACAGTCAGTGCAATAATAATGGCACTTCTGCCACTGATGGCCCATGAGCTCCTCCTGTGAGCGGAGGGTGGTCGTGCAGGTAGGGAGGAGGCACTTGAACTTGGGCAGTGCCTCACGCTTGCTTTTTGGGGTACCCGTGATAGGATCATGCAAACGAAGATGTGGTGGTATGGAGGGATCATCAATGTCTCCGAGAGCAAACGCTCTTGCAAGCGATCTGCTTCCAAAGATATCAACGTCTTGTGTAGACATAGTCGCTAATGTGCCGGCTGCAAAGACTGGAACAAGTTACATGAAGGATCAAAAGCTGGACTGGAACAGGCCAGTTCCAAGGAAAGTTCTCTTGGTTAGGCCGATCGTGTCTAGTAGATTAGAAAACGTAGCTGGTTGGTTGGTACACATCTCAGGCAACAGTCATGCCACTCGTCGACAACCGAACATCAGTCTTAGGTCAGGCATCGCATGCCGAATAACACCAAAAAGTCGGTGACGGTGAATAGAAGCAACGCTCAATTGCTGGCGTTTGGGAGCGAAAGGTAACACCGTCGCCTGTAAGATCGTCATATAGAGTGAAGGAGTTTATTACCTTAGTCATAGTATCTCTGGAGTCTAGCCTTTTGCATTGAACAGTATGTTTTAACTCCCTCCATGCAATCGGACAGATGCCGCCTGACGTCAACTCGATGCCGACTCTTTGTAGTCGCCTTCTCTCAGGCGATACTTCCTTGTTTTGCATTGAACCATGATGGTTCTCGTACGTTGTCCAAGAAGACCAAAGTTAAGTTTTTGTTCTTCCAAGGTCCATTCTTGAGCCAGTGTCTCTTCTCGCTCGAGAAGTCTCATATCTCTGGCCTCCAAGGACGCCACGGCACATCCAGCCATTCATTGTTTATTTAGTCTTCACTAGCTTTTTGTTCATTACCAGGGGAAGATACATACTGTTGTGTGATTGTTTTGTCTTTGGAACGGTGAGACCAGCTTGCAACTGCGACGAAGTAGCTCAATATGGTGATGATTGAGCATTGTTAGCCAGAAGGCTGCGTAAGACTTATTCGGTCATGCAAAGAATGACCTACTGGCTGTTCCGACGTGATGATGCAACCAACAGAGCTAGAAGAGCAGTCACTCAAGACACCAGCAAGTAACTTCAGGCGCTAAGGATCTAAGGATCCCGTTGATCCAGATCACATTTCAGTCTCCTCACGAGATGAATCATATCAGTGGCAAATTATTGCGCAATTAGAGCAAGTGAACAACACCAGCTACACGCAACATATATTGCTATTGCATTGGTAAAAGCAACTTGTCCGCATCCAAAAAAATGCAAGCGGCCAATACGTAAATTAGCCGAGGTCGATAAGTCCCATAAGAATAGCCGACTCAGACCATCGTATTCAGGGTACTTCCGCCCCTAGCCTCTGAATTACAAGGCCCAGACGATCAGATTGTTTTCAAGCTAGATTCGAAAAGACTTTCAACCATGATACATCTTATGGCCAAGATTGAAATGGCCGTACTGCCAGTCTGCATTGCACTGTCAATAGGCGGTTCTATCAGGAAGCCGAAGGATCGGAGTTCAAACTCAGCCGAACGGGGCGTTTTGTAGAGCGGGCAAGAGAATCGATGCTCCATGACATCTGAGATGCCGGAAAGTCGTTCTTGACCTGCCATACCGAACCAAGATTGGCATGGAAGTCGAATGACGATATGAGGGTTGAAACTAATGCGAACACCCCCGCAGCCTGGCAGATACTCGAGTAACCAAGGTTAATGGACCTTGCTTTCTGGAGAATCAAGATATGGCTTGCCCATGCTCAAAGTCGTTGCTTGTGTTGAACAGCTGAACCGTTTTGCTGGTCGTGTAGGATCAGATCTTCCAATCAAACTGATCCCAATATTGGAACCCCACGCCGCTATGATTGCATACAAACGCGGTGAGACGGGAGCATGGCTCAGAAGTTCTGAAAGTTCCATCGGTTGCTGTTGCGCTGTTGCGCTGTTGTGCTGACGTTCAGCCATGTTCGAGACGACGCAAACAGCTGGCGTGGAGGAAGTTTGCATTAGTTTTCCAATTAGAGTTTTGAGTTGCAGACAATGGTGGTTTTAAATGCTGTATTGATGATTACGGTAGGACCGCAAGTGGCTATCAGCTCGAGCTGTTCTGGGATCGGATTGGTGCAGATATGAACAAGCCATTCGACGTTGGGCACTCGCCACTGGTTCTCTGCCGGATCTTGAGAATGGGCGTGGGATGTTTTTATGCTTATTCCAAAATCCCCGCTTGTCGGCTGGCAATGGGCAATTAAGCTGTTATGATTGGTGGAGGCAGCCGGGGATGCTACCGAGCATCTGGTTCGTTGAGCCTCCACAAGGAACCGTTCTGAGAACCTGGCCCATGTAGCCCGGAGGGTGCTCCGTCGTCACTATGAATGGCTAACCATAGTTATCGATGTAATAAAAGTTGCGAGCGAAGAACCCCAGGAGAAGTGGTTTTCTAACCAGACACACTATTGTGACGGTGTGTCCTTTCCACAACCCCCTAATACTGTACTCTAATCAGAAATTTTCTCGTGACATGTCACCGCCTAACAAGTGATTTTGTCGCAAATCAGGTCGGCTATCACATTTACAAGTTCATCGAGCACGTCATCCACAGGTCTCAATTTTGTGGTCAGCGAGCTTAAAAAGAGCGTGGTTTTCGATCGGTAGTCACTTTGATTTGTGCAAATTGTTGCGTGTCGTCAAATCCCAAGATCATGGATGTCAATGGTAAAGTTTTGGGACCAGGGTGTTGCCAAGATAGGCTCCATCGCAAAAGCAAACAGACGCAGGTAAGGTCAGCCACAAGATCGGAAACCGTTTAGGCGTTTTGGAAGAGATACTGGAACAACGCCACGATGCTGCACAAAATTATCGGGGTTGAAATCATATTATGCCAGATTGATCGACGGGCCTAACCTCACAGTGCATCCTTCAGTCCGGAACCAGGATGAAGTGCTTTTCTACGGAAAAACCAGCGGGTATGTCACGAGTCACCCAGAAAGTCTTAAGCCGCTCAATGCCCCGTTAGCTAACAGTATCAGATACCTTCCATCCTTATTATGTACTTTTCTTGGAGCACTTTGTTTAAAAACATTGCATGCGGAGAAGGATCTTGGCCAAAACGTATTGAGGTTCCTCCTATTTAATTCCATAAGAAGAAAGAAAAAGAAATAAACAAGAGGCTTGTTGATATAGAAAAGGTGGAGGAAATGATGCAGTGGAACATGGCAACATACGTATAGCGATTACGCTTCATAGCGGTCCACTCACCACTAGGATAGTCTCAGGCTAGTGCCGCGACTACAACGAGCTGAACTGAGCTTCGAATTGGCCAATGACTGAAAACCCTGCTTCAACATAACGCCAGGCACACGGGATGCCCCTGTATAACGTGACACTTGCATATCTGAATTGGAAATTGTCACGGCATGGGCGTATCTTTTCGGAAATGGCGTGCCACATACGATTGACCGGTAGCAAGCAGGTGTTGTTACAGAAGTTTTGTGGCGTTTAAATTTATCCTTCACTATTGCCCATGTTACCATGCCCATCGCCCTAAACTCGTATCAACTGTTGTATACTGGGCAGAACGCTTGTACTTCTTCGTCCCATCAGCAGGACTAGCCAAACAGGTAATGGTGCAGACACACTGTATAAAAAAGCAAAAACGTCTTCTCCATACAATTTTTTTTTTCGTATGTCTAAGTATCAAGCAGCCCGTGAGGCACGGAAAAGTGAATGCTAGGGTTCCCACTGAGAATTTGTTGTTATGCCAAAGACATGTCTTATGATATATAAAGGCGGCCTTTTTGTGCAGCTTTCAGTGATTTTCCATGAAGCTATACGAATACTAAGACTCATCTAATTACATAATCTCTTCTTATTCTATTCTCTTATCGAAAAACGTGAGGAGTTTCTTCATCTTCTACTTCTTCTTTTGGAACCCAGACAATGCCCTGCACAAACAAGAATGTGGTTGCTAAGAGGTGTGTTCAAACCTGCACGGTCGCTTGATGTTCCTTCGTTTGGAATCTCATGTTTTTGTCTCCAGGAGTACCTCTTCCAAGAAGCCTCATAGTGTCTCGTCATCGAAGGCATCAGACTGTGGTCAAGCACTCTCTCAAGATCGTTTGAAAGCATACCTTCTCGAGCCCAAGACAGCGGGGAACCGACTGGTGATGGTACCAGACCATACCAACTCCCAGCACACCAGTGCAGTCAAGGCCAAAGCCAGAATGTCATATACATTGCATGATTTCACAAAGAAATTCTACCAAGCCACTGGACACCGGCGGAAACCACGCAACCTAAAACCGCTGTCAAAGTAATATGAACATTGAGCGCTCCGTTGAGGCTAGAATGGTTTCAACGTCGCCATACAATTAAAGGTATACCAGGATTGGTCCTGAAATTAGGGCGCATTATTCACTTGCAAAAAGTGCTGAAACGGATGTGTATGGACTCATGCGCGATGCGAGTATCGGTTTCAAAGGGGCCTCAAAGAATGACGACGTGGAGTCCTGAGCGTGAAAAGTGGCTGGATCCTCTTTGTTTATCGGCACACTTAGCAGGACCGGAGATGATGTATTTATCTATCAGCCCATGAGTCGTGGCTACTCGTTTTAACAATATCGTTGAGCGAAAGAAGTATACGTACGAACACAATACAACCAGATTTTTTAAGATGATCATCAAAAGAACTCAGGTGGTTGTTGTTGGGACTCCCTGAGTAACACATTTTCATACAAGGTGTCTTGTAGACCTTCCAACCGTGATCTCAAAATGATGTCAGAAACGTCATGTACAAGATACTGGTCACTGAATGGTGAGTATGCACCATTCGGGTTGAGCTTTCATATACATGCGGGCTTCTGGATCATAGCATGTATGGCCTGGCACCTATGCAGGGTATTATCTATCGTATTTAGCAGACTTTTGAGGCTGCAGTATTGTGATCTGTAGGCTACCATTGAATTCAAACTATCATCGTCAGTCTAGTCGCATCCTCGGCAGTTGTCAGCAGATTAGTATGTGCCCGCCATACGTTGACAGAGATTACTCTCGTCATAAAAAGTTCGCCAGCAAGTTTTATAACCTCACTTGGTGTCCCACCTGCAAGTCTCATCAACTACAAATGGGAGGCTCCTTCATTGCTACTCAAACTTTTTGCTTAGATCCCTGTTATGAAGTGCTTTTTGCGAGACGGATTT